AGAGCTTGATGCCAACTGTGCCTCAGTGCCCAGCTCCTCTCAATCAAGTAATACCATCTTTTTCTTGTTTCTGGTAGCAGATTAATTTAAGGTTTTCACCGCTCAGCAAAGTTTTGGCATGCCTCACGTAATCAACATGCAAAACGGATTTGCAAACGGGCAGCTTGCAGCTAATTTCTTGGTAAGAATTAGGTAAACAATGAATTAAAGAACTTCTCTCATTTATTTTTGACAGAAAAGTCTTTTTCAAAGCCGAAAAAACGTTTTTTGAAAGAGGTTTTGTTACAGCCAGAAGATGGGAACATATGGGCCCACAACACGATGAACAACCTCCCGTCCATTCAAAATCATACAGTTCGGCAACAAAAGTAAGACGCTTCCTCGGATACCCACAACCTCACACCTGACTAACTCGCTTTTATTTGGATGAATGTCTGTGTCCGTGACTTAGGATTGCCGTTTCAGAGCTTCGCAAACAAAATCTCGCGTTGGAACGCAAAAGAAGACCACCAGTAATTCGTCCCCCGCGCACTCCGTGATAACTCTTTCTAGTGATGATGATGACAGCAATTCCGCCGGGTTCGCATTTTCATATCTGTGTAGGCGGCGCAGAAGCTCATCTCCTTTTTCTTCAAGATTCGAGGCGGACGAAGAAGATTTTTGTTATCATTTGATTTTATGGTTTCAAAATTATGAAAAGTGTCAAAGGATGTGAAAAGGATCAGGAAATCCAATATTCGTGTTACTTGTTTGCATCCATTTGTATTCTGTGAGCTTCGTGAAAGTTGTAGTGCAACAACAACAATTACGCATTTCAAGCTTTTTTTCATTCTTTGTCCACGTTCGCCTTGTCATCTCGCAAATACAAGTAAAAAAAAAACTTCGATCTATTCAAAGTTCACAATCTTGAGATTATTATTCAATATCTAAAGGAGTTTCCAAAGAATAATGTTCCAGTCTCCAACTAACCCGAACATTTTCCCCTATGCCCCCGCCTTTGCTTGAGACACTCTCTTAATTAAAGTTGCACGAATGAAAACTCATGAATCTACAAGGGATAGCTCCAAACCGCTGTTTACGCGGTTTTTTGAATAAACTTCCGATTTTCGAAAACATTTTTTTTGTGCCCGCGCTGATTTAACCGCGGCCTTTTTAGCCATTCCTTGAGACTTCCTGAAGTTTGAAGTATTGTAATGAAGAATGAATTGGCATGAGAAAATCTCGAGTTGACGTAATTGAAACATTATATTAACGTAAAGTTGATTGCAGCGGCTCAACTGAGGCAAACGCCGCGGCTCTGGCAGGAAACCTGCGTATGCCTTCCGTCTATGACCGCGTCGGACCCAAACTCGCCGGACTTTATGCTGGCGCACAGATGTACGACAACCTCGGCAACCCGCTGACCGTTCTCCAAATGGGCTGATCTTCTTTCACGGGAAAATCATATATCCAATGATGAAACGCAATGATCTACTATCACGAGTCTTCGGGGCTTGTATCAATCGTTTGGCTCCTCCACGGTTTCTCTTTTGTTTCATTCCTTTTTGCTCTGTTTTTTTTTCCATGCCGACGCCCACCAATGTCATTTTTTTTTTCATTCTCCTGTTTAATCTGTGCAAATTCTGTGGTACTGTTTTCCTCTTTTAATTTATTGAGTCTGATCGAGTTGTGCTTTTTCATGGTGTATTTACATACTACTACATTCTTCATGCCTAAGGGTATTGATAATGGTTTTTTCTTCTCCCATTTTCGACGGCTCTGTGATGCTTATTCTTTTTTAGCTTTTCTGTTATCATGATTCCTGTCAAATGTGATTCTTGTTGGTTTTTCGTTTTGCTTTGTTCTCCTATTCTATCTCAATTTCATATGTTAGCAGTTCTCCGTTGAGAAACTAGAGTACAACTGGTCATTTGGCTCCATCTTTCAAAAAGTCAGAAAAGATGCAAAAAAAGTTTTTGGGTGATTTTTTTCGAGCTACCCATTCCTTGTTTTTGTGAACTATTAACTGTTTCTAGTTGCACGAGTAATGTGGGATGTTAATTGATAGTTTTTTTTTCTTTTTCTGTCCCTGTCTGAACGGTTAAGCTTAGTTTTTTTGCTTTTGTAGTTTGCTTTCACAAAACTCTCTCGTACAAATTTCTTTGAATTCATTCAAACCGGGATTCCTGGCAGCTTCAACCTTTTTTTCACTCAATAGGCCGAAAAAAATTGTGTTTTTATTCAGTTCCCAGCTCTAGGCCAAAAAACGTAGTGCAGCTTGCTGGCTGAATGAAGTCTAACCGGAAATGCGGAACATAGAATGCTAAAAAGATTAATCGCAGCCCTGGATTGTTCAGTTCTTTAATTGTGAAAGCAAAGCGTCGACTTTCAATGAACGCCTTCCGTTCTGTTTGACGAGTCTCTTCACATCCATTGCTCTCCGGATTCTTCGCTTTGTTCCCCCCCCCCCCATTGTTACTTCCTATTTCTGTGCAAGAACCCAAATCTTTGTAGATGTGAAAGTTATTATTCCTGTGAATTTGAGTGTAATATCAAATTACAATTTGACGTTTTGGGATAGAAAGCGTTATCTTGAGTGGTTTCAACTGGTAAATAAATCTGTTGAATTTAATATTTTTTCACATTTTGGTTGATTTATCGGTGTACACGACTGAGCAGGAAACAATATTGTAAATGAAAAAAGATTTGAAAAACTTCGACGTTTTTTGATACATTTTCTCTCAACCCATTCTCTCCGCCTCTGAGAATTTTAAAATGGCATCAAAAACAGGGAACTGATGGTAAAATAGCAGTTCGCGGTTTTGATTGAATCTCCAGTGTTGTCTCATGAGATCAGGAGTTTAAACCGATTCCTCTTGTAGCTTCCTTACGGTAGGTCTGCGTATCAAAGAATTTTAGTTTTTTTTTTTAAGACGCTGTTCGCATTTCTATCTCTAAGATCTTTTTCAAACGGAATTTTAAGCTGGAATTTGTGCTGAATTCTGGACTGGCCGCACATGAGAATGTACGAGAAAGCGCTATCAGGCAACATTAAACAAGCATGTCTCTATTAAAATTTATATAAACTCAAAACCCGCGGCTTTCTGGCCAATATTAGCCTCAAACTGAAATTTCAGGCACTTCATGTACTAGAGCAGCAAAAAAAACCATTTACCCTGCAGATTTTTCTGAAACATCTTGCTGAATCTCCGCCGTTAATTACTCTTGTAAGTCGATACGTTGTTCAAAAGCTGAGCCGAGTTCTCTCAAGACAACAAAGATCATGTCGTCTTTGAGAAATAGTGTGATTACATATTGGGAAACACGATTTAATATAGAATTAAACAATCAAGGCGGCTCGGATTTAATGGGCTGCAGCGCGCATCGCATAAAAGCTCTTGGAACCATTTCCGAGATTTCTTTTGCTGCTCAAAAGCGGTTTTTTCAAATCTTTTTTTGATTATGTTTGAGTTGATAAGCAACCTTCAACCGAAAAAACTTTTGGTCGGCAGGTTTTGAAAACGTCACATTTTTCATGAGTGTGAGAGTCCTAAGGCTTGAAATGATCGCCAGCCTTTTTCTGAAGTAGCTGTATTCATTTCTGATTATTTTGATTTTGGGATTCTCATACAGACTTCAAGTGCTAATAAGGGAACTTTTTTCATTACTTTTTGGGCAGATCGAAAAACTCAAAAAAGGCGACGAAAACGAGGCGTCATTGTGCAATTTTGGGCAGCTTGCCGCCGGCGGCCGCAATTTTCGTCGCTTGTATTGAAAGCCAAGACGTTGGCGGCGGGTGTCATGTCCGTGGCACGCAAATTATTCGAATTCATAGCCTAATACTTCAACGCCCTTTGTATTGTCTCGCTTTTCACCCTTTCCAGCTTTTTTTTCTACTTGCAACCGATCTCTCTTTTTCTTCTAAGGCGATCTTTTTCTATTCGATTTGAACATGATTTTGCGAAAACTATAATTTTTTCATTTTACTCACAGTTTCTAGAGCTCAGTCAGCTCGATAGAAACGTTTTTCGATCAAAAGAGCAAAAATAACTCGGTTCTTTTTGACAAAGGAGGTCTTCACACTTCCTACTTCGCAACTTTCTGAGAAGTGGCCAAAGCATGCTTCGATCTGCAAAAATTTTTGGCTCGGAATGGCGATTTCCCAAAAGTTTCGCTTATCCGAAAGTTTCATGAAAACCTGACAAGGAAAGTGTATGAGGTGTGTGAACATTCGTGTGAATATTTTAGATATGAATATTTGCAAAAAAAAAGAAGAAATATATGCTAAGCGTCAGGCAGTACTTAGAAATAGCCTGTCGAAAATGAGCGGTAAAAGTTTTAAAACTGATTTTCTTTGGGTTTTCTACTTCTAAAACGTCTACTGTTATTCAGTATATCATGAAAAACACAGGAAAAAAAATTTTCGCTCAAAAAATCCAAAGAGAAATCGTTTTTGAGCTTTTCCTGCACATTCGACAGGCTGTTTCTCAGTACCTTATGGCGCCTGTCAGATAACTTTTTTCGTTCCTGATTATTTATTTCTAGGACTAGCTACCACAAAAACCATATATGCGATGCTCACCTCATACACATACTTTGTGAGCTCTATCTTTAGCGGAGAAATCTGATGACTTTTGAAAAATTTTTTAGCTTATTTTTTTATAGTTTTACTTTTTTCTGTCTTTGAGACATGATTCCAATTTGAACAGCACTAATTTTCAGATAAAGATCGTCAGAAATGTTCTCCGCCCGGCAAGATGCCCACAGCTCGAACGCCGTGTGAAGTAAATGCTTTCGAAGAAGCTTGAAATGGGAAACTTTTCCAGTTTTTGATTGAATATACTCTAGAAAAAAAGCACCTAGACAATGTGTTGTTCCGCTAATCAATAATGCACGATATTTTTAGTCACCACGTGAAAAACTTCGCAAAAAATTTTGATGTCACAAAACACTCAAAGAAAAAATAAATAAAATGTGTACTGAATTTTTCAAAACGAAAATTTGCGTTACAGCTATTGAAGATGGATACGAGTACGGAGTACACAGACACGACTGATCACTCAGTTTATGGACTCGTCGTTTTTCTTGTGATTCTCGTCTTTTTCGCTTCTCTCACTACTGGTTTGATCATCTGCCTTCTGAAGATCTGGTGCACTTTTCATCACCAAAGAAGAGAATCTCATGTCGATCAGGTGAGTGATACGTTACAAAGAACATTTGGTAATCACTCCGTAGCAATCTCTGAAAAAAAGCAATTCTGAATACTTATAATGGGCCGCAAAATACGTTTTTTTGGCAAAAAAGTATGACTTTCTGTCCGTTTTTTCTTCATTCAAATTTTCATTAACTTTTTTACAACAGCGTTAAAGTAGATAAATGAAAAAAATTTTTTTCACGACGTGAAAAAAATCGAGACGTCAATTTCAGTCGCCAATTAAAAAGATTCCAAATTGTTTTTTTCTCTAGTATAAAGTGTACCAATTTATTTTTTTGAAAATGATGAATTTAAGCTTGACTTTGATGATAATGATGAAATATCAATCAACATCGAGAATTACTCAAGCTAATTTCTTTGTAGATTTACTTTTTTCTTTGACTTCAGATTTGCTTTTTATGTATTTGTTATAGAGAGAACGAAGATCGATCCCTCACGGTTCTCCAGTTTTCGATTCGGATAGCGAAGACGATTCAGAGCAGCAGGCTTCCTTCAGTGGACGCCGATTTTGTGAGATTCCGATAATTCGGTTGATGAGCAAAGTTTCGATTTTCAGCCCAAAGGCTTATGAGCTACGTGCACAAATCGTTGGACAAGCGGGAAAAAGACTCGGGAAAAGTTTTTTTCCTAACCTTACATTTCATATGGCTGTTGCTTTCAGGTTGAACACGCGCAAGTTCACGAAAAAAGTATTAGTATGGATACTCGTCGCGTTCCGGAAATCAATATTGATGAAGTGAATTTTTCGATCATCAAGAAAGTGACTGAATAAAAAAAAATGTACAAACGTCTTTTGAAAAAAGTTGGCAAACGGCTAAATACTTTGATGCAAGAGAATCGTTTTGGTGTCTCAAAGTTCATTCTGACATCAAAGATAGTACACGACTCTCAAAACTGAACAAAAAAACCCGCAAAAAAGTAACTTCTTTTGTGTTGCAAGTTAACGAGAGAATTTTTTTTTCAGAAAAAAATCGATTAAAGCTCAAAAATAACGTTTTTGAAACTCTCGAATTTTGAAGAACAGGAACCTAACAAAAATCAAGTAGAAACTGTGTTTCAAAATAAATTTTGCAGAATCAAAAAGTGAATGAACAATTAATTGATTTTTGCGCATACAGGGGTATACTCAAAAATTTCAGCGTGAAATCAGCGAGATAAAACAGATTTTTTTAATTTGAGCGGTCTAAATCTATTAATAAAAATGAGCGAAATTTGCTGAGTCTCATTAAGAAGTTTCATTAAGAGTTCGAATCTTATATTCGAAATAAAAAAAGATGATGGGGAGAAAAAGATGTTTTTTTCAGCACTCCACGGATTCGGTGCAACAATTTCTAACAGGCTTAGAAGGAATTCCGGCAAATCGACGTCCACAAATGGACGAAAAACGATCCAGCAAATGTCATTGATGTGTGAAAAAAATTTAGACATTTATACTTATTTGTTTATCGAAAAAAATCGTCTTCATATTTTTATTTGATTACTTTTTTTGTATGCAAATCATAGATTTCTAGTTGTTTCGATTGAAAGAAGAAATGTTTTTATCCACAAAAAGGAAACGAGATAGAGAAGAGCAAAAAAAAGAAGTTTTCCCGTGAAAAATTCTACGCGAACAGTTGACTCAGCACAACAAACCAACCAACGAAACGAGCAAATCGAGGCCGTCTGCAACATGGAATTTTTATAAGCTAGCTTTAGTACATTTTCGGGAAACCTTGATTAGAAAATAATTATGTCGGGTCGTTCTCTTCAACCGATTGGTGTCTTCATGAAAACTTGTACTTATATTTCGATTAACCAGAGTAATTAACAGCCGAATGGAAGGCGGGAGGTTTGGTGCATTATGTGCACTCTTCGCGGCGGTGTCAACACTTCTAGGATTTGAACTGAGAGTTCTACTCTCCAAAATCTTTACGTATAATTCAATTTATTATTCCATAACAATTCACTCTTTTTCCTATCTTTTTTTAACTTCATTCAAACGTTTTGATTTTCATTTCAAATCCTTAATGAGGATTTGAATGATTGATTGTGCTTGAAACATTCACGCATTTTTTCGAGGCCGCGTCTTTTTTTTTGATTATAGAAATCTTCAATTCCTTATTATCAAAAAAAAATTTACATTTATATTCATTAGGTATATTTACCTAGATTATCCATTTGGGCTTGCTAATTACTTTTTAACACTGAAAAAACTACAAAAAGTAGAGAATATACCGCAAAGAGTGTGTTTAAATTTTCTTTTTTCTCTTGTGTTTAGAGGGCAACGTAAAACTGGAATTGCAAAAAGCGCAAACAACAAAAACCTTCTACTCGACCATAAACCGTGCTGTATGCGTTTATTTTGCAACGATAGAGCCTTCTATTATCCTCACTCGAATCTAAAAAGGTAATGCCATTCGCTAAAATCAACTATTTTTAGAACATTCTTGCGTTTTTATCGGTTATTCTGATATGAGCTGTTTACATTGCGATAAGTTTGAAAGTTTTCCGAATGCGGGGAAATTGGGGAGGAGCTCTGTCACTTACGCTCGCCGCTTCCAAGGCGACCGCAGCCGTGGGAAAATTGAATGATTTTGGATGCACGAGTTTACATCAACTGTTCCGTTACTCTTCTCCTAAAGTTCCGTGTTTGTATAAGTCTTCAATAACAAATGACCCTTCAAAAAGGTTTCAGACGTCATTTTAGTGATCTTGTGCAGGTTTCTCTCTTTCATGTTGCTTTTTTGTTTGGCTTTGCGTGAATTACCATTTGAAATGGAATTTTCGTTGGTAAAAAAATTTATTTGACTAATACAGAGTTAGAAAACAAGGAAAAAAGTTTAAACTGAAACAATAATTCCAATAAAAAGGAACAGAAGATATAATTTTTTTCATTAGGACCAAATCAGTTCAAAAACCTTTTTTTCATAATAATAAACACATTTACCACATGAAAAAAAAACAATCCTGGTTAAAAAATGTTTTCAAGTTTGCGGTAATTAGAATATTTCTCTTAAGTTGGAAGGATAGCTAGACTAGCGATAACTCGAAACAAGTTGAAATTCGCACCATTATCTCCTAGAAAAGGTGAGAAGCTCCGCATAAACCTGTTTTCTTTTTTGTTCTCATCAAACTTATGAAAATTTAATCACGAAACTTGATCGAACTTCGATTCAAATGATCTCATACTAAATCTGCACTCTCTAGTCCGCAGAGGACGGAAGCAGAAGGTCAAATGGTTGACCTCTCTTTTTCTGCTATTTCTGTGGCGCGAAAATATTCTCTCTTCCCCGCTGTCTCTCCAACACAGATCAACACCAACTATTTCGAAACGATGTCGGAATTGGGCCCGTCTGTGTTTTTCTGGTTCTCATGGCTTTTGAGCCATGGATGAGCCGTTTCTTATTCAATTGATTTTTTGAAAATGTTTCCGTGCACAAATTTATTCTAAAGCCTCTCATATTATATGTGTTTGTTCTCATTCTGTTCTTTTTCCACCAAGAACGGAACATCTCTTCACGAGGACTAGATTTTCTGTTACATTTGTCAATTTCGATTAAAAATCCTATTTTATTTTCAGGGTATGGCGGTAGATGAAAGTGAAAAAGATCATCTCAATTCTATAGAAAAAGAGAAAAAACTGAAAAATGGGAAGCTGGAGCTTTCGACGATAACCTATGGAGATGAAGACGATGGCATGAAACCGAATCTTGAGGCGAAGGCAACTTTGCCGTCACGTCTTCTTTTTTGGTCAGTTATTTCAAACTTTTTCTGAGTTTTTATTGGTATCCGACATCTACCAATTAAAAATTTTCAGCTTTATCGTTCCCTTCTTCATGCGAGCTATGAAAGGCCCCCTTGAAGAAAAAGACCTCAATCGCCCACTGCCATCTCTCCAATCAAAAACAGCTTTTCAGAAGTTGAACAGGTGGGATTGGCTCTACATTTTTGAAAAAAAAATAAGTTTCAAGAAAATGGAGTGATTACAAGTACATGAAGTTCGACAACATCTTTTTTCGTGCTATCACTCACACTTTCGGCAAAAAAGTAGCGGCTTTCGGTATCCTGCTCTTTATTGAGGTTCGGAAAAATGAAAATTCGTTATATCAGTCTTTGCGCAGGAGCTCATTCACATTGCTCAACCTCTTTTTATGGGACGCCTTATGAGTTATTTTCGTACTGGATCTACTTTAACCGAACAAGACGCCTACATTGGTAAATATTTTTCCAGGACAGCCAAAAATCTTTATTCCAGCTGCCGCTGGAATTGCTGTGACTTCGCTGATTTCTCCTCTTATACATCATCCTTATTTTTATGGCTTGCTGAAAATAGGAACGGAATGTCGCATCGCCACTTGCACTATGCTTTTCAATAAGGTTGAAACCAAGTTGGAATCTCAAAAAAAAAAAAATCTTATTTCAGGGATTGACGCTCTCGACAAGTGCACTTCAAAAAACGACAGTCGGACAAATCATCAACTTGTTATCAACGGATGTCAATAAACTGGATACGGTGAATACATATAAACATCCATTTTGGATTTTAATTAATTGCAGGCTTTTATGTTTGTCCACTACATTTGGCTTTCCCCGCTGCTTGTGTTCTTCTATGGTTATGCTTTGTGGATGGAGATCGGGGTGTCGTCCCTCGCAGGTTGTTGCTCAATAGTTAAAGTCGCAAAACACGTTCCTCAGGATTCGCTTGCTTGATGGTTATTATGTGCGTTCAGTATCACTTTAGTAAGCAAATGGGACTCTGCAGGTTACTTTTTCCAAAAAAAAAAAACAATATTTATAAAGAAGTTTCGCAGAAAAGAAATAGCCAAGCGAGCGGATAAGAGAATCGGAATTATGAACGAAATCCTAGTCGGAATCCGTGTCATTAAAATGTACACGTGGGAAGATGCTTTCTCCAAAATCGTTGCTAATCTCAGAGGGTTTGGATTTTGAGCTATTTTGTGTTTTCAAGACATTTTTAGATTCGAGATGAAAAAAGTGCGGGACAACGCAATTGCGCAATCAATGGTGATGGGATTATTCTACGCGAGTGGCAAATTAATCATTCTGTGCGCAGTTCTGTGCTACGTCTATCTTGGAAATGATCTCACGGCTGAGCGCGTTTTCGTGGCGGTAAGATACTCGGAAATATTCATCAGATTTGAAAAAAAAATGTGAAAAAAAATTTAATCGTTTTTAACTCTAAAAGTTACAGTTTGCCCTTTACAACTCGTGTCGCTTGCCCTTCAGCCTTTTTCTACCTTTTGGATTGCAACTACTTTTTGAGATGCGAGTTACTGCAAGACGAGTACAAGTACATAACCGGGAACTTCCCTCAAAAAAAAATTTATTTTTTTTCTTAGGATTTTCTGTTGCTGGAAGAATTTTCGCAGCAAAATGCGACTGCCATCACTCCAGGAAAAGATTTAGACTCCAGTTTTTCTTCGGACATCAAAGAAGTGACAGCTTTCCAGAAAGGGTTTCTGAGCTTGTTTTTTCAGACTTTGCTCTCAGTTTCTGAGAAGAGCACAGATGCCGTTTGTGAAATAAACAAGTCTAAAAATTCCTTCAATGCTGAAGTTGTCTTGCAAAGTTTCACTACGACATGGAGTGCTGACGAGGTTCTGAAAATCAATACAAGGAACTTGTGAAAGGTTTTTTAAGACATCTGCTGATGCCACGGCAATAAAAGGAGCTTCTTTATCTGCTCGATGCGGCGATCTTGTTGCTGTGATAGGACAAGTCGGCGCTGGCAAGGTATTACTCACGAAAAATCAATAGAGCGTTGCTTGTTGTTTAGTCATCGCTCCTTTCTTCTATTCTCGGCGAGGCCAGACCCGTGTCAGGATCGTTGAAAGTTTCTGGAAGAGTTGCGTACTGCTCGCAAGAAGCTTGGATCTTTGCCGGAACGATCCGTGAAAACATTCTCTTCGGAAGAGAATATGAAGAAAATAAATACCGTGAGATAGTCTCGCTTTGTGTGCTATTACCGGACTTCCAACAGTTCCCCAATGGGGACAAAGCTCAAGTTGGTGACCGCGGATCTACTCTTTCAGGTGAGCTCAAGTAGCATAAGAAGGATACGGGAGTTGCAATAATGTCAATCATTCAATTTTATATTTCGAATAATCTCATCTCTCTTATTGAAAAGTTGCTATCTCACTGGGAATGAGAGAAACTTTTCAATAAGAAAAACTCCCGTAAAAAATCTGGAATAATTATTGAAAAAAAATATATTTTGCAGTTGACGACTAATGACTTATTCAGGCGGCCAACGTGCTCGCGTTTCTTTGGCTCGTGCTCTGTATTCCGATGCCGACATTTACCTTCTTGACGACCCTTTGTCTGCTGTCGACGCCTCAGTTGGTCGACTCATTTTTGAAAAGTGATATCTTCTTTTATCCGTTTTTTGAAACGTATTTTAGATGCATTTCGGAATATCTCAAAAAGAAGATTGTAATCCTCGTCACTCATCAAATCCAGTTTTTGGAAAATTTGGACAAAGTTTCACTGATGGAAAACGGAGAAGTTTCAAATTACATAATGCTAAGGCTCATGTTTATTTTTGAGGTGGTCGAGACAGGGAAGCTTGCAGATTTGCGGGAAAAGCATTCGCATTTGTTTGCCGAGATGATCAAGGTTGTTTGATAAGATCAGTGAAAGTTATTTCGAAAAACAGGAAGAGATTGCTGTCGCAACTGCCGGAGACCAACTGGTGAACAGAGTGCCGTCGTACTCGCGAAGGATCTCTCATGACCGAAGAGTCTCAGACTCAAGCCATACTGAATGTTCAACGCCACATGGTGATTATGAAAATAGAAAACCAATTCAGATGACAAAAGTAAAATGTGCTCATGACAAAAATTGTTCGAATCATGCTCATTTGAATTTTCTGTTATTTTCTAATCCTTAATCTTGAAATTTCATACTGAATTATGATTAGCTCAAAACTATTGATTTCAAGAAATTGACTCGCCAAAAGGAGAAAGCTCGTTCCATCTGCCTACAAAAGATGTTGAAGAAGTTGAAGAGCCAGAAAAACAGGAGGAAAGCCGCAGTCAAGGTTGTTGAAACAAGAATCTTCAGAAACTCATTCTTCTGACAGGATCTGTACCGCTGTCTGTGTATTTCACTTACGTCAAATCGATGTTCACACACGGCTTCATGGCGATCCCGCTGCTCATTTTTGTGCTTCTGGTTCAAGTGTTGTTCAACGTTGTCGATTGGTGGTTGAACAGATGGTGAGTTTTAAAAACAGAAAAAAGTAATAAAAAAGTTCCAGGACAACAGCTTACGAAAATTATGTGGTGCAAAAAAATAGCAGTTTTGAAAACGCTTCTGTGACAAAGCCAGATCAGTACAAAGAGAAGTACACAGTTTTTGGAAACGTCATAGAGATCTCGTTGGACGATTACAAAAACTCTTTTATTGTGCTCACACTCATCATGGTTGCGTGCGCTGTCCTGAGGTAGGATAAAAAATACCGAACCACATTTGAAACCAAAGTGTCAATTCCAGATGCATGTGGTTCCGAATGACGCAGATCACAGCTTCTAGAAATCTCCACAAATGGATGTTCGACGCTGTTGTTAACACTCATATGTCATTTTTTGATAACAACCCAATCGGTAACTGATCTACCAGAGGACTAGAATAAAATACAATTTGAGGTCGTATTCTCAACAGATTTTCCAAGGACGTTGGCACAATGGATGATAGTCTTTCTTTTGTCTTCTTCGAGTTCTTTATGGTGCTTTTCACTCACTTTTTGCCTCTACTGCAAACCAACTTTACCCTCTTCAATTTTTCAGGGGACCTTGAATTTTCTGGGTGTCATTTTTGTCATTTGTGCTTTGAATCCCTTTGTGCTACTGTCCACGTCGCCATTGCTTATTATCTTTTTCCTGATCCGCAGTGTCTACGTTTCAACTTCACGAGAACTCAAGCGACTGGAAGCCACAAGTAAGACCACTTCAAAATTTCTATATTTTTTCTTGTTTTTACCTTTGTCCTGTCTATACAATGATAGCAACAAAAAGGAAAAATCTTCGAATTTTCAAATACAGCTCGAAGCCCTCTTTACTCTCACATTTCTGCTACCATGAACGGACTCATGACGGTTCGCGCCTTTGGACGTCAAGATGAAATGCAGAGACTTTTCAATCAAGCTCAGGTTTGCTTTAATTCTAAAGAGGAAAAGTCACGGGAAAGCTTTTAGGATAAAAACACGGCAGCTTTTGGATTGACTCTTGTTACTGCCCGTTGGTTTGCCCTGTACATCGACGTCCTTGTTTCCGCCTTCATTGCCGGTGTCGCTTTCATTTCTGTCCACCGTTACGGTATTTACAAATTTGTCGCTCACTTCGAAAGATTTTTCTATAGGCGTTCTATCATCTGGAGAAGTGGCTTTGATGCTGGTTTATGCCGTTCAACTTACTGGATTTTTTTCCTGGATCATGCGCCAATCAGCTGAACTTCAAAATGGTGTAAGTTCACTCTGAAACCGAGATATCCTCCAAAAATTTTGTACATCAAGCGATGATTTCACCAAAATGTTTTGGATTCCCTAAGTGAGTCCAAAAAGCGTTTTATGTTATACATATGCAGTTACTGTGGGACTACGAAATTCGCTTTCAAAGTTTGAAGAGATGGGAAAGTTCAGAAATTTTGAAGAACAAACCGACTACAATTTAATCTCAGTTGAGATGAAACTTTAGCCACACGTCAAAGAAAAAACAAACGAGTTTTCGGAGCTTTCACGGCTTGTCTCTCAAAAATATATACGAACTTGGAACTTGAGTCGTCCTTGCTTTTTAGCTAGCATATCAAGAGCTGTGAACAATGATTTTTAAAATTTTCAAAAATTATAGTATTTTCTAAATTTTAAGTTTTTCTAAAACTCTTATACGAAAGTTAGCGAACTTTCAATTTTTTGAAAACAAGAGCATCAGGAAAGTTTTTAAGATGGTTTCTGTTGAACGAATCGCCGACTACGCTGATCTCCCATCTGAGCATGCTAGCGACCGTAAATCGATGTTTGAAGAAAAAGAAAAAGCGCTTGGAACCAGTTGGCCTTCCGGTGGTAGGATTCAGGTAATCCACCGAGTTCTGAAACTTGTCGTATTTGAAATTTTTCAGTTCAACAATGTTAACGTGTTTTATGAGAGCGAACAAGTTCTGAAAAATGTTTCTTTTGACATTCCATCGAAACATAAGGTTTAACTCTTTATTGAAACACGTGTCATTTGGAGCATTCAGGTTGGAATTGCTGGACGCACCGGAGCCGGAAAATCGACTCTATTACGGGTCCTCTTTGGTTTGAAACCAGCAGACAATGGAACTATCGTGATCGACGGCATTGACGTTCGGGACATTTCTCTGAAGTATCGTCGTCAGAACATGGCCATCATTCCTCAGGTTACTAGTCTTTTTTTTTCAAACAAAAACTATTTTTCAAGGAACCAGTTCTTTTCATTGGAACTCTTCGTAGGAACCTCGATCCTTTTGATGAATATTCGGATGACGTTTTGTGGGACGCTTTGGAGCAGGCGAATCAAAAGTGTTTCCAGACTAATCTTAGCTGAAAGTTTTCAGGTAGAGCTAAAAGAAGTCGTTAAAGATCTCAGCGGAGGACTTCTTGCTTCAATGCAAGAAGGCGGAGTGAACTTCTCGGTAGCTGAAGATAAAATCCTTTCAGTTTCTAGTTCCACGTTCAGGTCGGTCAGCGTCAACTTGTTTGCCTTGCTCGTGCTCTGATTCATCACGCGAAGATCTTGGTTATCGATGAAGCAACAGCAAATGTCGATGCTAGGTAGCTTTTCATCTCGACTCCCGTTATGTGCTTTATTTTTAGAACTGACTCTCTGATCCAACAGACCATCCGGACTCAATTCGCTGAGTGCACAGTCCTCACTATTGCTCATCGTTTGAACACGATCATGGAGTGCGATGAAGTGATGGTCAGTACGATAAACTGTAAAATAAAGCGTCACATTGAATCTTGAAGGTTTTCGAGAAGGGAGAAATGATCGAGTTTGACAGCCCAAAAGTTCTTATGGAAAACTCTGACTCGGCTCTCTGGCAGCTCGCCAAAAAAACTGGCCGTGAGAATGCTCTTCTTCTGAGAAAGGTTCGCTTTTTTTCAGTTTTCTACAGGAATGTTTCTGTTTTCAGCTAGCTCAAGAACTCCACAGCGGCGAGAAAAAAACATAACAAAAACATCATAACCTTCAAGGCCTACTTGTTGTTCATTTACCCTCTGTGTATATCATATGCTTAGTTTTAACGGTTTTTCTCTCATAGTGGAAATTTTCCTCGATTCGGTCAGTTTTTTTATCAACTAGTGTGTGTTGTTGTGATTCCTCACACTCGGGTACTCTTGCAATCCGACTTTATTGGCTTTTCTAGAAGTCTTCTTGCTTTACTCCCGTGGTTGCACTACTACATACTTTCGAACTATATTTATTCGAATGACTCCCAGATTTTTGATGCTCCAAAATTTTGATCCCTTCTAACACATATCTCATATTGAATCTTTTGTGCATACTAAGAAACAGAAAATCATACTAATCTCTATCCCCCCATGTGAATAGCTAATATTCCTCAACGACAAGCATAATTCAAAATTTTTTTCTGGTCTACTTTCGTGGCATAATAAATTTTTGAGAGAGAGAAGAAGTTCGAGGTTAACATGAAAAACAAAACTTTTCTTGGCAATTTGGTTGAAAACGGCTGCTTACCGTCAAATTCTTTTAAGAAATCGTTTCAGGTGTGTAAAAACATTCTGAAACTAAACAATTTTTCAAAAAAAACAAGATCCTACAAGAGCCAAGAAAAAAATATGTCTCTTGATAATTTATTTCCAGTATCAAAACAAGAACTGATAAAAAGTTTGTTCTTTATTCATGAAAATTGAGTGGCGTCCATGATAATTACCGGAAGCGATGAATAGAAAGTTCTTGACACATAACTTTATGCAGATTAACTTAAAAAGGAGTTCCGTTTAAGATTTTTTTATCAGAGCCAAATAAATTTTAAAAACGGTCTGAACATGCAATGACCCTTCCAAAAGATTTCTGGTTGAATGATAAAAGCATTTCAAAGTTCTCTGTCTGAATCGGCAGGAAAAAGTTGTAAAAGTATGTTCAATCTCAGATAAGCTCCTATATTTGGGAAATTCTAAATCTAAACAACAAACTTTTCAACCAAAATCATTTTGAATCAACGAATTGATCAAAACAGCTGACTTAACCGGATAATCAGCATTTATGCTTTATTTTACAAACCGAGAAGTAGCCGCTAGTACCTCTCAATATTATTCACTTACGCTAACTGGCCTCTGATTTTCTATTGCTCAATTTTGAGACGATTCCTTAAAAGAACACCTGAAAGCGAACCGCGAACTGTCGGTGCTTCCAGTGGCTGGCTGTTTGCATCCCGGGGCGACTGCGACAAGTGCTGAACCAATGGAGAGCCTATATAAGTGCGGTGCGCTCTTCGCGCGTCTTCATTCAACCCTTTCAGCTCCTCGCCGCAACTCTCTTTCAATCATCCGCTTCGTTACGCAACGCTTGTCCCTCCTTCGGAAGCTTTAATACATCAATCATGAATTATCTTCTAATCATTCTAAGTCTTCCGCTAGCCTTAGCACTCTATCCGCGTTACTTGTCACCTGATAATGAATTCTTCCCTAATAGATTACAGGTTAGTTTTGAGGTGCTTTGTTTTATCATAACAAATGTTTGGATCGCTTTGTTACCAATGCTGGGGCGTTTAGTCCAATGTTTCGCTTAGTTCTTTGAAAATAAAGAGGCCACTCAGTACGGTAAATTAGGTTGTTGGAACTTACGATTTGCACACTTTTACTGTCGGAAAAAAAAACTTAAATATTCATTTTCAAGCATGCGAAGATTTGGAGCCGCTTAAGGCGAATCAAGATTCTCGAACTGAATTATGTATTTTAAAAAATTGGAAAAAATTTATGAGACCTCCTTAAACCAAAAAGTTCCAACTCACAATCTAAAAAGTTCAACAAGAATCAGAAAATCTTGAGAAAAATAAAGCACTGCTTTTTTTCAGGACGGTCGGTATCGGTTCAGAGCACATAAACAGCCAAAAATACAGAGAGAAGATGAACCTTCAAGGCAAGAAGCAAATCTTGAAGAAAGCATGGACGCAGGTTATTACTGTCACTCAAAAAATTGCATCAGTTTTTAAACTCAAGTGAAGGTCATTTAATGGACTTCTGAAGAAAATAGATACCTTGGAAAGCTCAAAAAACCAGGTGTTACTCCAATTTCCCACTTGACCTAAAAACTTTGAAGAGCACGAGAGTGTCAGGTTACTCCGACGGATTTCGTTCACGAGAGATCGAAAAGATTTCAGAGGTCCTTCAGTCTTATATGCAGTCTGGTCCTTTCTTGGAGCAGGACTCTTCTTCAGAGCAAGAAGACGAATGCTTCGCGTTGCCCAACAGAACCAGGACAAGACCCGCTTTTTTCCAGTGTGAAGAAGGTGACTAGTTTGTGACATATGATGATCAGACAAAAGAAGATAAAGGTTTAAATCGGGTTCAAGTTTTTCTCACGCGATGTTTACTAGTTGTAAAAGTATATTGATGAGCTTAAAGAGTTCTGGAAATGTTAAAGAACGTAGTTACGCTGTGCTATATTTATGTTTCAGCGAGCTTTTTGCTCAGAAGAAAATATATTTGAAAAAAATATATTAAAACTTTGAAGGAAGACTATTTTTAGGTTTCGAGAAAAGAGCTATGTAGCTTAAAACTTTCATATAATTAATTTCGTTATTTCAAAAGGTCACACTCCTCCACTCAAAAGATCTCAGTTTCAAGTTTTGAACAGAAGAGCTTAAAATATTTTTTGACACTTCTCACACAAACTAGGCTCATTCATCGAAAAACGCACTCGTTCAAGCCGACGTCGTGTTTAAGTGGGCCAATACGGCCTTATAAAAAGAGCATGGGCCGGCCGAGTGTTCCGCCGTTCGGAGCTCGAAACGATAGTTCAAAAGAAAGTGTGAGGGACGCTTCAGGAAAGAGCAGATCAAACAAAGCCGCGGTCTTATCAGCGACTAAATTGGGAAACGTGCTTCAGATACCGTACTCACCCTACATGGTGGCGCGATCACCAACGTTTCTGGCGATGACGCTTATCCGGTCAGATTTGACAACCAGATCAGGATATTCCTTGATGTCACTAGCTCTTCTTCCAGAAGGTATGTTGAAGAAACGATCGATAATAGACGAAAATACTTATAATAATCATCTGGCCGTTGAAATAAAACAGCATTCAATGAAGGTTATTAGAATTAATAAAAGTTAAAAATAGGAACTGAAAACTTTTCTCCTGCTCTGCAATAATAGTGCTAAAATATTGCATTGAAATAATTTCTGGCTGAAACTAGTTATTATTGTGAGTAAAGCCAAATGATTAAGCTCACTTAGTTTTGCATGCTTCAGCCCCCAAAACTTTTGTTTTTCACTTTTCTCTCCCGTCTCACTGAATCGGAACATTTTATTTGTCTTACGAGTAAGTTTAATCTGATATCATTCAAAATCAAAATGATTGTTCTTTGAGCTCTAAAACTTGAAACAGCTCGTGGAATTAAAACAATGCCCAGAACGTCATGTAAAATATCAACAAAAAGAAAGTTTTTTGAGAACTTTTGTTCGAATCCCCAGCTTTCCTAAAGTCATGCTATTTCTAACGACATTCCAGAATGTAAGCGTGGCGTTCGAAAAAAAAAAACAAGAATCTAGCTTGTTCCTGTTATTACATCGCACTTGTTTCCGCTACCTTGCAACTTCGATGACCAAAGCACGTTGACCGCTTTTTCTTTGTCTCTTTTTTGAGCCTCTTGTTTACAACAACACACTACACGTGAACATTTCAGATTCGACAATTTGGGCGTGGAAGTTGCCCTTTACAAGCGGTCAACTGGATGGTTTGGCTGCGGCTGGATGTTTCTGCCTAGCTTTGGAATGCTGTCAGTTTTTTTTTGACTCTCGAAGAAAAGATATAAATGATCGAAGAGGACGTCAGAGCACAAAAGAGTTTGAAAAAAAATGTTTGAAATGTGTCTGAAAGTTAAAAAAATTTTTTTAATTTTTGAAAAAGGGGGTAGTAAGTCCCTTCAAGTTTATGTACAGTACTTTGGCCTCGGAACTTTTTCTCTCAAGTTTCGTTTCTCTCTCCAAAAATAAATAGCGAAAGTTTTTCAGTGATAAGGAACTTTGGAGTCTTTCCATCAATCATCAGTTCTTGAAAAAAACTTTAAAAAAATTCAATTGATAAATGTCAGCATTTTGATCCAATCAGAATTCTTTTCATTTTTAAAATCTGTAATCGAAAAAAATGATATAAACTTGGCAAAACAGATCATTTAGGTGCAGAAATCCAAACGTTTTTTTGTTAATTAAAAAAATTTTTGAATAAATTTCAAAACGCAGATAAAAAGCAAATCTATCTGAGCGAAACCTCATTTTGAAGGCAAGAAATTTTCAATCCACTGATCTTTTGGCACATTTGGAAAGTGAATAATAATCTCAGAATTAAATATTTGTCCTGAAATTTCCTGAAAAGCTTTTAAAACCGCTTATTAAAATTTGATTTGAAAAGCACGAAAAAGTGAAATTCCCTTTTTCGTCGAGAAAAAATATGACTGCATAATAACAAAAAAAAAATTGAAAAAAAAACTTGAAGAAGCAACTACGACATGTGTGATGACAATCCGTCGTGTCCAGTCGCTCCTGGTCGCCAAGTTTTGGAATTTGTTCTAGACCCTTCGAGACTATTCACTCGTATCTTCCGTATGATACACCACGATATGGTATTTATTCTCTCTTTTTTCATTCTTCCTCTCGGGAGAACCGACTGAAACGGAGAACGAACGCCTCTTGAAAGTACGACATAAAAAGGTTGAGCGCTATGTGGCTATCAATCACTGTCTCTCAAAGATATGAAGGTGCAACTTGATGCAAACCAGTTCTTTGTTGGGACTTTACAGAGTTATGCAAAATTCAAATATCATAAAAAATTACGTTTATTCATCACTCAGAGTGTATAATAATAAAAAAGAGTAAAACCAGCTCGAGTTTTCAACTGGTTGCTAGCACATTTTTCTAAAAAGAGTGTCTTTTTTCATCTATTTCTTCACTAAAAAAACTGCTCAAACTGTGAAGGTTTTCCAAACTCGTTCTTCTGAACAAAGGCTCATTATTCACAAAAAGTATTTTTCAATTTATTAAAAAAACTTGACTAGCAAAGAAACTGTTTAAAAAAACTTTCCCCGCCCTGGTCCAGTTTTTTTATTTCGATTTTTTTGAGCCAGTTAAACAAAATTAGCAATGATACTCAGGAGAAAAATTGACACAATTAACCAAATCAAGATTTTATTTCATATTCGGAAGAGAAAAACAGAAAAAAAAACTTAGCTTCCTCTGAAAATGACGTGAGCGGAAAATCACGTCATTTTTAAGGTTTACCGAAAACCACTAAATCACATGAAAATTGATGAAATCAAATAATTTATAAGATTTAAAGTTGCATAGATTTCAATACAAAGAATAAGGGAAAAGTTAATTAACAAGAAAGCGCAAATCCGGGGGTTCTAGCTGGAGTGTGGCCGCATGTCGAACGTGTGTAAATGAGCGTTGTCGTATTTGGGGAGTGTCGTCGTTAAGATTCTTCGTTCCATTACACCATTCCTCTTTTAGTCCGCCTATCAGCTGGTGGTTCGCCTCAGAGACAACCGCGACCCCTACCACGAACTTCTCTGCGCCACTATCCAAACTCGCATCAAACTCTAACTTCCATGAGAAAGCAATTTATGGAACGGTTTATCTCTTAATTATGGTCTTTACAAGAAAGATCACTCTGCAACATTTTTAGCCAAGAACGTTTCAAGCAACTGCGTGAAGATTCAAATACAGCAAAAACACATTTTGTAGAAAAAAATTATTATCTTTCAATTTCAAAAAACAGTCATTGAGAAAGTTTCTTTTTAAGCTCCTCTTCTGGATTTCAAAATCAAGTAGGCAAAAAATGGCTTTGAAAATTTATTTCTGGTCATTTTTTTCTTACTAATATTCAGCAGTAAGATACAATTCGGTAGTTGGAACTTTCCACCATATGACGAATTCGCAAATATATGATCATGTGTGTCATTGTTGTTTATTTGGCAGCCCTTTATTCATTTTTTTATTTATTCTAACTATGTACTATTTTCAACGTGTCTTTTTATACGTCATCAAAGACGATTGTTTACCCAGTCAATAAATTATGTTCTGTAATCCTACTCCCATTTAATAAACATTTGTTTTAGAACTGTGGAACGAGTTGAAATTGATAAATTTATGACAATACCAGTAGGAAAAACCATTCAACGCACATATCAACAATCGGTGAGATCAATGGACAGCAGTGGAGATTCAAAATGACAAAGACGAAAGTGGCTTGGCGGTACAAATCGACAGATAAAAATCGTTCTACAGACAAATTAGCGATCTTCGAACGGCCGATTGGCGTAGGTTGCTGACGTAGGTAACCTTTGGCAGACGGCAAAGGTATTGGTTGAGGTCCTCCGGTAGAACGGATAGGCGACCACACAGGCTTCTGCTGAAGAATCGCAGAATTCAGTGCTGCTCAGGCTCTGCGGACTGTTCGACATAAGAAGGTCGTAGACGTCGGAGGAGAGCTGCGGATCGTTGAGGATCGTGATGCTCATCTTTCTTGGTGCGGGTGACGACGGGGCAAAGAGCGTAATGTCTGAAAAAAACAAACTGATAAGTATTGCGCTATAAACTGCAATTCATTTTGACACGTTATCAATTCTCGCGGTCAGATCAAGAAAAAAAAAGGAAACGGAGTGGACGTTTCAGGTGGACTGTCCGAAAATGGAATTGAAAACAAAGACAAAGAGGAGAACCCGGTAGACCAGTTGATAATAACTGATGAGCGCGTGAGTTTTCGCACCGCTCCAAACAATGAAAATTACAATTTATGGCTTATCATTTCGAGTATGAGGGAATAAATGAGAAAATTGATGAAAACCTGAAAAAACCGCATAAATTGGTAGCGTACTGGCAAAAATGTTTTCAATTTTTTTTTTGTTTGTCATGTTTACTTGGCTGAGTCGGGCTTTTTACGAAATATATTTGTGTACATAATTGACCTCATATGACGTTTGGAAAAAAAATATAGAAAGTATAATCCAAAAGTGAAAGTAGGTGATTTCTAAGGAAAGATGAGAACTGAAATTTGGCTGATAATTTATAGAACGGCAGGTTGGCAAATGTCCGCAATAGTGGAACGTTTTTACCTGCGCATTCCACAGCTGTCAAAGCAAGAAAGGACTGGAAGCACAAAAGAGGCTGAACCCCAAAATGGAATTCAGAATCGATGAAGAGTGATAGAACGGCCGGTTCCAGCAAACAACTTGCAACAACGGGAGGACAACCAGATCTCGACATTAGTCAAGAACGCCAAATCCGACTTAACATACGTTACAATGATGAAAAAGTTGCAAAAGAGGCAAAAAAAAAAAGCAAGGAAGGCGCCGGGCGGCAAGTGTAAACCGTGGTGGACTGGCAACTATACAATGGACTAATTGATAAATAGGGGTCAGTTATGACAAACAACAGGTCTCAAAATGATCGCTCATGGTTTTCTTTGCCGGAGCTTCTTGGCTACCGTACCCTCATCGGAGACTCAAACTGTTGCGTTGCCTTCTCATTGGGTCCTTTTATACCGCCTCCTCACGGCGAGAAGAAAAAACTGTCGACTCAAGAGATAACACGACTAATTCGCGTTTTGGAACGTAAGGGTCGACGTCAGCAACGAAAAACATTTATTCTCTCTTACCTCTACCGGTGACGTCGCCGGCATTCACGGAAGACCGTCGGCTACGTCACAAGTGTTCAGATTCACGCTTCTTTTTCGGTCTAATCGACTGAAGTTCAAGAGTTGAAAGACAAACCGCGCTTGTAAAAAGAACACTGGCCGACTGAATATGACAAAATGAACATTGATACTTAAAAATTCTAAGATCAGAAAAAGAAAACAAGAATTCGGGGAACATTACTCGAAAATACTCGAAATTTCGTTACCTTCACACATGGTTCGAATACACAAGCCACAACTTTATAGACCAAGTTCCCTGAATTTATCAAGGGGCAATAAAGTTTACTATTTCCTGCAAATTATGAAAAAAAGCTTAAAATAGCCTCTAACTTCTAATTTAGCAGACAAGAATGTTTCCTTTTATACACTTGCAGTTTTGATACATTGAATATTAACAAAAGTTGCTGACGTCAAGAAGTCCTAATGGTCATGAATATTGTCTTCGAGCAGGATTGACGTCATGTCGCGGAATGGGAAACTTCCTATTTCTGCATAAAAAAAACTTTATCGTGGAATGGCCGTCAGACTTCAAAAGTGACCATTGTCTTGTAGACTTTGACACTTTTTTCTGGAGTCAGAACACTGAACAGATGAAAAATTCATTTAATTTATTTAACAGAATAAAGTTTGCAACAGTTAATTACAGAAGTCGGTTGAATCCCAGCAGAAAAGCGACTAGATTCTTGTCACAAAAATCTTATTGATTCCCCACATCATTACAAAGCTCTCGCCATTTTACGATTGCCGTTCCGGAAAAGCTGAGAAAAGTCCTTTTCAATAACATGAGAAGAGGCTACCGTGTTTCTGAAGTTCTTCACGAAGAGACCAATCAAAACTGGAACATATATTGGGAAGAGGTAAGAAATGCAAACAGCCACCTGGAAAATAAATTGCTTAAGTAAGGAATTTTCAATGTTTAAAAGTTATAACTGTTCTTTTTTTTATTTTTTTTCCGGCACACTGCATCTAAACACAAACAAAAACAATAGCACGCCTCTCAAGATTTTCTCATGTGGTTATCACATGATAAGGTGTGGTAGAACTTCCAGCAATTTCTCATTCTGAACTTTTTGCTGTTAACGTCTGATAAACGAAGCGATTTTTCTGTTTATGTTCCTTTGTTTTTTTAATTTTGCAGCTATCTAGTCAGACATTAAAAATAAAACTTGTAGAAACGAAAGTAAAGTTTCAATCCGACCACAATTATTTCAATTTTTCAAACGACTTTTTCCAAATGAGGTTATTTTACTCAAAATACTAAAATTTCTGAGAAAAAAAGGCAGAGCGTTTATTGTTGTTTTGAATAAAAAAATTTTTGTGATGAAGAAAAACTTTTAACTTGAAGAAAGCGTCTTTTTCGAGCTTTTTAACCAGCAAAGGAAGAAAAAAATGAATTAAAAAAAGTCCTTCGACGTCGTTTTTTTCGACATTAAGACGTTTGCTCTCGAAAAGTAAAGTTTTTTAAAAATTTAATCTTTCTAAGTTTTCATTCAATGAGTTGAGCGCTGATTTGAGAGTATTTCTGAAAATTAAAGTTCAAAAGTAAAACACTTTTTATTCCATGTCGAACTTGATCTTTTTGCTTTCGGTAGAATGTGTTTCTTTGATACATAAGTGTTCCTGAAGTATGAGAGAGCGACCGCTAGCCTCATTCTCACGCAGTTCTCGTAATCGCCGTTAACCAGATCACAAAAATCAAACTCTCAATTCAATTTTCGTTACGTCAAACAGCTCCTCATGTTTTCAAGCGTAGCCGTCGTCTACGTCACAACAGTCTAATGTGCCGAGAAATGGTCTCTTCGCCGATCTCGTACCAACAATCTTCATCTTGTCTGCAGTCTTTTCTCGCTCTGTTCCCGGTTCAGAGAACCCAAATACACGAACCAAACAAAATTGACAACGTCTACGTCGGGAGGGAGAACCCCTAAAGACCAGGAACGCTCAAGTAACAAGTTTCTGATGGTTTTCAACTGGTACTCAGTGTTCCTAGAATTGAAAAACAAAACCTAATTAGTTGAAAGTTTTATTTCGATGTATATTGGAATAAGCACAAAGAATTAAAAAGAGAGAGAAATTTTTCAAAGTGCGATCACCACATTCTCTGAAGCTCCGAAGCTCAGACCCTTGGAAAAAGGTTGCTTCGTTGTTTTACAGTGCAGTTGGTTCACAGAAAATTCGAGCAAAAACCTTGTTTTTGACACCTCCATTGTTTTTTTTTTGTTAGATTCGTATGCGATTTAATCACCAAAAAATTGAAGAAAAAGAAACTGCTATCTTTCATTTTGTAATAAATTTCTTATTTCGAGATTTCTCTGTTTTGAGAAAAATCAAATAGAACCAAACCTGCAGGGAAACGTCAAAAAACGTTTGCAAAACGGCGTCGCCTTTTTCCGAGCCGGTGACGACCACAAATTGCAGGTTATCTTCCATCAAACGAAAGAACATGGCGGTTCTCATCAAAACGTCCAAGGTGACGATCACAAACAAAACTCTTGGCAGCGACCTTAAAAGCTAGGCTGTGAGAGGAATTTTTTTGACAACCTGCGAAGAGAGATACTGTAGCCTGGTTCGTATTTCACTTTCGAAGATTTGCTCAAGGCGCAAACGGTAAGTAGAAGAAAAGAGACGATGGGCGGTAGAAGCAGTAGAGTGAGTCTAAAATTCTGATTAACTTTTTTCTAAGCGTTCTGTTCTTACCTACAGTACAAAAAGCTTTCATATGGAAGAAAATGGTGCAAAAGAAGCGGGTTGAAAACAACAAAACAACAGAAAACGGGAATAATTAATAAAGAAACAAGCACCCGCTTGCTCTCCACAAATGGCCAGTATACCTTGAAAAGCCGTTTAATGAAATAATCATTTCTCATACCTGGTACAAATTGAGATAACGATCTAATGAAACAGCAAACATAATCAAAGTGTGTGCATCAAAAAGAGGTTGTAGACAACCGTCCAGAACTGCTCTCCACACTTCTGATAGATCTTCGTCTTTTTGGACCTTAGCGAATAGATACTCCACATCTTTGCTAGTCTCAAAAAGAACAGTTTTTTTCCGCCATTCCGCCTCTTAGCTTTCCGAAGTTCAAACCTATCTTACCGTGATCAATAAATCGACGGAAAAAATAACAAAAATTGCGAGGCTCCACAAAGCTATGGTCAGCGATAAGAGTAAAATCAGTAAGCGAACTCTGAACACTGATTAAAATTGAAATCTTCATTGTGGAAAAAAAAAAACTCACTTCAGTATGCCTTTACTTTTCCGGTTGTTGACAAGATTTGCCACAAAAAAGTAAATATTCAAAATTGCACCTAGTAAGCTGATAAAAACTCTCAAAATGCAAAAATACGGCAGATGGAAGATGTATCCGGCGTTCACATGTGTACTGAAAATGAACTGCTTTTGAATATGTATCTTAGTTCGGAGAAATGGAAAATTTCTACTTTTACGAAGGCATTCTGACGTGTTAACGAAATTTTTGAATAAGCAACCATGAAATTATTAGGTTGGCATGAAAGAAATGCGGCTCTTTTTTGCCCGCTTCTGATTCATTCAAGAAGCAATATTATTTGAAACGATATTTTTTGTCGAAAAGGGCTTGTCCTTGTGCGTCATTGGATATATAATTTGCTGACGTTCATTCCACCTTTCTATAAAAAAATAGCTCTAAAAACTTCCTTTCGAAAACTGTATTCGCGGACCTAGTTTTCGCTTTACTTCAAAAAGTACAAATCAAATTCAGAAGTTTGACACCTTTCAATATTATGATCACCATTGATGCTTTTTTCTGATAGTTAACATTTTGAATTGCTTTAGCGCTATTCACTAGGCGAAAAAACCTTTGAAATCAAAAAACACGAAAAAATCGACGATGAAGGCGAATTAAAAATGCCATTAGATTGGATTCACAACACACACCTTTGAAACTGGCTTATCAGTTATTATACACCCATATCTGCAAATGAAAACAGTTTTTTTACGCAACGTAGTGCAAAAAATGAGAAATGAAAAATGGCTTCACAATATCGCTTTTTCGTTTTTTTGCGAAAATGTGTTAGCCCAAAAATCAGAAAAAAATTTTTCTGCAAATTTCTGCTTTTTTTCCGCTACAATGCTCAGACATGACTCTTTGCATTTATCATCTGTCCGAATCATTGGATCGCTTAACAGCCAGAAAAAAAAATGAAAAACTTCGATGAAGTTCAAATTTGGGGGTGCAACTTCTTTGACTCGTAGGCGGCCCAGTTTGTCAGAGAGAGTATCCATTCTCTGCGTGAGCATTGTTGACGAGGTGCTAATACAAATAGGACTTACATTTTCAATTGACTTGGGATAACCTTGTTTTTATGATAAAAATAAATGGCATCAATAACACGAATTTCTTTCCTGCCACCCTAATAATTTTTTTTTTTTTTGAAAAGAGAGCTCGCTCAAAAATACTTTTTATAGCATCTAAAAAAAGGAAACGACGATGAGAAGCCAATATAAAAGAGCAATTCGATTTTCTTCCTTTCTAAAAAAAGAGCTAAATTATTCATTATGAAATTCAATAAATTTCCAAGAACTCTAGACCAAAAAAAAGTTGCTTTTGTTCAAAAGTACGAGTATTCTTATCTAAACGACAGAAAAAGTTCTTTTTAACTGAAAATTGAAGCCTATATAACTCACGAATTGAAGATATCCGAATAAGTGATAAAGTCGACAGCTTCCAAATGCTGATTGTGATCTTCTAAAATTGGTCTCGAAGCAAAAAACGTTGAAAAAGATGAGTTGAAATCCATCGATAGGGCCGAAATTGGAGTCGATGGCAGGTTTAGGGGGCGTCCAACGAAAATAGGGGATCTGACGCAAAACAGGCGGATCGAGTGCCACGATTCGATACCAACTTGTGCGTAATTGCACTCGTACAAGCCTCTCGCCTCGAGGGCCCTGAAACATTGTAATATCCGGTTCCGCCGTGTCTCACTTTTATTTCATTTCACAAGGTTTCTACTTTGTCAGAATCTGTTTAATCTGTGTCTTTTTGGTCGGATTGTAAAGAATAACGAGAATAAGTTCTCTAATCGACATATTTATTGCAGGAAGCTTTAGAAACTCGTAAATTTTTCTTTTCAGAACAGCGCCATGACAGGTGAAGAGATCATCAAGATTATTGGTACACAGTTAATCAATTTATCACTGAGAAATTAGAAAAATACCTAGCAGTTGGCAACGGTCAAGAAGATGAAGAGTGAATATGGAATTCGTTATTTTTGATATAGGACATTATGCAGTTGTACATCAAAGACACAGCGTTTACATACACCACGCGCACCGCTGGAGGCAAAAAAAGTAGAAGTTGATCAATTGGGCTGGAGGCCATATCGTGAAGTCGACCTGAAGAATTTTTAAATTTTTTTTGAAATTTTTCATTCTCTGAATGCTCACAAAGGTCGAATACATTAAAAAAAAACTTTGATTTTTTTAGAACCGAGAACAAATTTCTCCTCCTTCTTCTGATCAGGATTTTATTATCAACTTTGAAATTAGAAAAACTTTCTTCTTACATTCTAACTTTTGAAAAAACTGTCAAAAGGTTCTGAATGATAAAAAAGCTTAAACCGCGGCACAAAGAAATAAAGAAAAACTTTGAAGTAGTTAAAACTTACAAAGGCTGCAGACATTTCCAAAATAAAAGTTCTTTCTGCTCAATTTGAATATTTTCTGTTTGCTGAGAATTCATGAAATCCAGAATGATTCCAAGAGCTAAGTTTTTCATCATTTCTGAAGATTTCCATTGTAAATCGATCAGATTCACCTTCCAAATATGCCACATTTTGCGGCGATACTCTGCTAGTGCTTCATTCAGTGTCTGACCTTCGTAAAGAGCGCCGACTGAAAACTTTCATACATTTCGAATTCCAACGCCGTTGAACCAGTTATAAAAGTGCACGAGAAAAAAGGAATGAAAGCAGTGTCCCATGCCAGTTTCTTCAGCACTCTGGTCTGACGACTGCCCTTGAACTTCCTGGTGTCGAGGACCCGGTAGAAGCCGTGGAGCGCTGGCGCCATCACAAAACCTATCGCCGCCATCCGGCCTGAGTCAATGCGATAAAAAGATCATGAGGAAGATTTTTCGAAAGCTCGTTTCGCAACCTTGAGTCTTAACTCAGAAGACAATTTAATTAAAAAATCAGTCACCTCTTATCATTTTTTTTCGTAAATTTATAAGAGTTTGAAAATTCATATTTACAGTATCCTGTTTTTTTTCAGATTTGGCTCTGAAACTATACTTGTACGGCTGAAACTTTATGAGGTTCTATTCTGAATATTAATTGAGCGGACACCTTTTTGTCGTCCAAAAACTTTTGATGCATTTTTCCACTCCGATGTGGCGGTTTTTGCACCGGATGATTTGCCAGAACGTCGTTGATGTGTATGGAAGTAATTTCCCAAAGGGCTGCTGGACGTGCTTAGTATTTAGTCTCTAGTAATTACTTCTCGAATGACACTTTCTCACGCTTAACACCAATTGAAAACAAAAAAGCGCCTCTAAAAAAAATATATTTGTTTTTGAGACCAATGAAAATCAACTTGGTTTTCCGGAATGATCGGAAAATATTTTGAATTTGGCTGTTTTTTTTTCAGAGGAATATAGCAATAATCCTCGAGTGACTCAAGGAAAATTGTGATCGCTTTAAAAAATATGTGTTATAGCTTCTGCAAGAGAATTAAAAAAACTAACAAGTTCTTCGCCAGTCCCATCCAAACTTAGTGACGTCACCATTCAGGTACTGCTGAATAACGTCAGCCGTACCAATTTGAGTGCAGCTTGTAGCGATATTTGTCAACAGCAAGTGCTTTCCGAGAAATCTCCTTATGGCTTCCTAAAAAATTTCTTCGGCGGTAGCCTTCAGCTCACACCTTCATAAAACAACCCTATATGATCTAAGGGACCGACTTCTCGCTTGAAACGCAATTGAATCTGAAGTTGAAGATCAGAAAAACCGAGAAAGGAAAAGTGTAAATTTTCTGAACTTACCGACTGGCAGAGCTAGAAGCAGACGCTACCCATGATAGAAGCTTGATTTGAATCGCTTCAAAAACAGATATCAGAGTTTTCATGATTGGTGTTCTTACCGTAGTACGTGTGGCGTCCCAATGAGAAAACGAACAAAAGAAGAAATGAAATTAAAGTGGGAGATAAAAGAAGACGGACGCGCGGGTAGGCGTGCAGTAGAGGAGCAAGTCAATTAGTGTGAGAGGGTATTGTGGAGGAGCACCCTCTTCGTTTCAAATGCTTGAAATTTTTTTTAGGAACACCGTCTTTTTTTATCAAAATGGAGACGAACGGATTGTGATGAAAAAGTTTTATGTGCACCAAAACTCAAGGAACTGCGACTCTGAGTGGAGTCGTTTCTTTATCATCTTGAGGTTCACAAAATAATTTGAAAAAAACCTTCTTTGAAAAAAATTTGAAAGAAATTAGAGCAATTCAAACAAGTTGGCTTTATCGAATGGCCTTCAAACCTCGCTTTTTCATAAATACTTATTCTATATATTTCTCGAGAAAAAAAATACAGTCATGTTGAGCTCTTCATAAAGAAATGTTCTATAGTACAGAACTTTCGAAATAAAGAAACTGCAGTATGCGAAAATCAGAAACCGTGACGCATGCGGTTTCGTAATGTGTTTGAGTGTTACTAACAAGTTATTCTTATTTTTTCGTATTTTGAAATCTTGAAATATGCTTAAGGTTTGCAAGCGCGTTATTTGTGTTGTTTGGGTTGAGGAGAAGTCCTGAATATCAAACGCACAGGTAATAAAACTGAAAGAATTCTGAGAAAAAAATAAAAAAAGAAAAAAACCTACTTTCTAAAAATTCTCGGAGGTTTAATTTTACGTTCTCTAGAAAAAAATCTTTTATGCAAAAAGAATTTTTACCCAATACGTTTTGCTAGCTTTACTATTGCACCTCGTCTGTCTTCTTTGTCCAAATCATTGGGAATCCCTCTCACGAAATATATTTTCACTCGATGGAGCTGACCGACTTTGCTTCTTCCGCAGCAACAAGTGGTTCTGTAACACGCGAGCACCTTTATGAATGGCGCGAATCATGCCAATCGGCAGTGAGTATGCACTTGAACAAAGAGGAAATTTTTTTCAAATATTTGCGCCAAACACACCCACTTGAGAACGCTCATTATCCGACAGCTTTGAGATAAGACGTTCCTCCTAGCGTTATTGAATGTTCTTAGTCATCCTCTTTGACGAATTCCTTTCCTTGAGTCATTATCTCTCTTCATCGGTTATGGACTGATGATTTTTTTTCACAACAAAAACCTGGAAAATTTCTTTTATGGAAGAGCATTCTTCGCCAACTGTGCCCTTATCATAAATAATGCTCTCAGCTAAGGATGAACAAATCTTCATCTTCTTCTTACTCTTTTGTTCTTACGCTATTGCGTCGGAGCCCCATTACGATGAGGTAAGGTGCTATCCGGGTATCAGTGATAATCAGTGGACTAACGCTAGTAACATATCCGTCTTTGTATGTTACGGCTGGGGATTAAAAACCGTCGTTTTTTTAAAGGCCTATATATTTCTCAAACCTTTTCGTTGAATCGCGGCGGGGATTGAACTTGTGAACCTTCGGACTGTAGACAAGCTACAACCTGTTGCTTTTTGGCGCGCCGCTGATGAAAGAATTGTATCGCAGATGTCAAAATAGTTTCATTGAGGTAGATTCATTGAAGTTTAAAAATCGCAGAAGCCAAACATTGAGAAATGCTCTTGAATTGCGGGCTGTTCGTATGAAAACTGAAATTGTACATTGGTTCAATACCTTCAAACCAAACAATTCCTATTTTATAATTGAAAGTGTTTTTCAAATTTTTCAATTTTTCAATGCAAAAACTTTCGGATTTTTTCATCACCCGGAATGTGAGCTGAGATTGAGGACACGAAGAAGCTAATTCATCCGTGCATTTCAAAAATAGATCTCTCAAAGTCTTCTCGACGCGAGGAGCTTCTTTTTTTGAATCTGTGCTGCGTTTGTTTTGTATGAAAAATACGTATGAAAATAAAATATGAAAAAAGTATAAAAAAGGGTAAATTGAACTTTCTCACTACTTATTAAGTGAATACCAATATCTCCTTCATCATTTTTTTCTTCCTTCAATTTCAAATAATGAAAAAAATATTCAGAGGATATGATACTTTTTCTAGTTTTGCTGGAGATCCACAAAAGATTGGAACAATTTCGCGCCAAGCTGAATGGGAACTTCGTTCTGTCTTTGCGCGAATGTAATCCCTTGAGAAATTGAGTTGTCTTTTTTCCCACAACACTTCATCTTTTTTGAACATCGTTGCAACCTCTGTGGAACTTTCCAGAAGTGTAGATCAAAGAAGAGTGTCTTTTTTTGATGAATAAAATATCAACAGTTTCTTCTCTCACTTAGCAGTTCCTTTTTTTAAAAAGATTTTTCCCTGGATATTTTTTTCGAATATTTATTCACTGCTTTTTGAATTGAGAAAGCTATTCTTTCTTGAGATGGGAGTTTCAATTCAAAAAAATTCAAACTGTAAAAATGAATAACTAGTTCGAAAAGTTTTTTTTGCTTTTTCTAAAAGGAGACCAACGCACTGAAGGAAACATACTTTTAATGATTCTTATTTCGATATGATCACGGTTTTTTTTTCTGGTTGAACGCTGTAATTAAATTAACAGAATGGCTCATGATGCTTGCGCATAACCATGAAAGAAATTTGATACGTGGGTCAGTTTGGCAGCCTTCTAGGTTTGTACACATGTAAGGACAGCAACAGGTTCTCAGGAAGCGGCGTGTCCATCAGCCTCTTTTGCCTCCTAGGGTCCAGTTCGACGTTTTCCTTTTCTCACACTCTCAGCTTATACCAACTCATATGGCTTACTTTAGAAACCCCTCGAAACTTCGGCAGAGCTGAGAAAACTATTTTTTGCTACACCATAAATTACTCTTCATTTGCTTTCTGAAAGCTTTAAAAGCCAGAAGTAGATGCTGTCAATGTTTGAAAACCCTCTTTCGTTTAGATCCTTAGCGAAAAATGGTAATTCCTTTGCTCGGAAAGCCCAAAAGGCATTTTGTTTTGCGGTTTTCTTGAAATTACTGAGAACACTTTTCGGTATACGAGATAACTATAGAGTCGGTCTTTTTCATGACTTCAGGTTCGGCTCTCCTATTCCTTTTTTTATTTGTTCCACTCGATTGATTGACTTTTTTCTTCGTTCAGACTTGGAAACATCTGATTATAAAATCTTCGAACTTTTGAGAAGACCGTAGCATTCAAGATCTTTACCTGGCGCATCAGAAAATTTTCCTGGCTAACTTTTGAACCTGAAATGTCAGAAAGCTTTTCTGAAAAAATTTATAAAAACCCTCTCAACATTCTCTGAAAGTAAAAAAAAAGGCCGCAGTGCTTTGCTCTTTGAAACTCTACAAAAGATTTGAGAACATTATAAAACGAGACATTTTTCCCTCATGATTTTTCTTGCAATCCAGCAAGCAAATAATATCGTTTTTTTTATTTCACACGGCGGCTATCGGTCAAAGCTCTTTTGACTCCGCCGCTCCGAGTAAAACGCCGCGAGCGCATATGTCTAACTGACGCACGCGGACCGTAAAATGCGTCGTGGGTAATTAAGATTTTCCTGGATCTAGTAAAATGAAGCTTGTCTTGGGTCAGATGGCCGGCATGTCTTTTTCTCATTTGTTTCCAGACTCTCGTTTGCGATAAAAACGTGCTGAAAAAAACTCGTTGTTCTTCTCATACACAAATCTGTATTTTTTGACGAAAAAATCCTAAATATTATTATAACGAGTTCACCATAATAAACTTTGAAACACGAGCCGTTTTTTCCATTGGTTAGTGTCTTGTCGACTTTTAAAAGAACTTTTTTAAAACTAGTGTTCAATGGAAAGAACATCTTCACCCCCTCAAAACCTACAGAATTTCAATTTTTCCATTTATAAATTCATTGAAACGGAAATTATTCGAGAGTCTTTAGCTTTCGCCTCATTAAAAAAATGAAGTTTTTTTCTTGAAAAAAACAATTTTAACTAAGAAAAAAAGAACCTTGTGCCCGATTTTTCTCATTTTTTTCAAAGTTTTTCATTGGTGATTGAGATTTATTCAGAAAATCATGACTCACAATTTTTTAACGCTTCAGAAATCAGCGCTGGCGCTTTCAAAAGCCCGAAAATGTTCGAAAAAAGTTCGTAGAGTCAACGAAGCTATAATAAGCTCAGAAATTTGAACTACTGTGATCACCACTTCAAGAAAAAATGCAGAGGAACATTTTCAAAGTGCTAACTCCTTTTTTTTCGAAAGGAATTCCAGGAGAGAAGTTGACGAATTGAACCTGAGTTTTCCTAACTTTGGCAAACGCTGACCGGAACTCCCAGGGAGAAGTAAACAAAAGAGGAAGCGAGAGAGTGAAGACGTCGTGGAGGGCAGATGTCGTGCCGGCCGTCGTTTTTTCGACGTTGGTCGGTTGGCCGGCCATCTTGTACGCCCATTTTCGGACCGGACTGACGGTGACCGTGGCATTTGACGGCGTGAGCCTCAACCTTCTCTTCTTGGCCACACTGCCTCATGTCTCTCCCTTCTCACTTTTGCCTCGCGCGCATTTGCTGGATCAATATTCCACATTCGCCTTGTTCTCCACGTATTGCCATCTCCGGTTTTTCCGCCGAGAGTCATTATCCTATTTCATATCTCATATCATCTTTATCCAAATTAGCCCCTTGCAACTTTCGATTTTGATAATATTTGCATTCCAGTGTGAGTTTTGCTTCATAAAGCTTTGAAATTTTCAAAAATGTATTTTAAAGGTTTATAACTCTCGGTTTTCTTCCTACATTTCTTCCTACATCCATCTACACTCAAGAAGATCTAACATTACTTCCAGAGAAAAATGCAGCAAGACTTTTTTTAAGTCCAAATTGAACTGAACTTTCTTTTTTTTATCTTTAAAAAACTGTAATTCGATAATAGCTTCGAAAAAAAAAATTCAAATACATTGTTGTAGAAAACATTTTACTGAAACACGTTTCATTTATTAGGTTGGCATGCAAGAAATGCGGCTCTTTTTTGCCCGCTTCTGATTCATTCAAGAAGCAATATTATTTGAAACGATATTTTTTGTCGAAAAGGGCTTGTCCTTGTGTGTCATTGGATATATAATTTGCTGACGTTCATTCCACCTTTCTATAAAAAAATAGCTCTAAAAACTTCCTTTCAAAAACTGTATTCGCGGACCTAGTTTTCGCTTTACTTCAAAAAGAACAAATCAAATTCAGAAGTTTGGCACCTTTCAATATTATGATCACCATTGATGCTTTTTTCTGATAGTTAACATTTTGAATTGCTTTAGCGCTATTCACTAGGCGAAAAAACCTTTGAAATCAAAAAACACGAAAAAATCGACGATGAAGGCGAATTAAAAATGCCATTAGATTGGATTCACAACACACACCTTTGAAACTGGCTTATCAGTTATTATACACCCATATCTGCAAATGAAAACAGTTTTTTTACGCAACGTAGTGCAAAAAATGAGAAATGAAAAATGGCTTCACAATATCGCTTTTTCGTTTTTTTGCGAAAATGTGTTAGCCCAAAATCAGAAAAAATTTTCTGCAAATTTCTGCTTTTTCCGCTACAATGCTCAGACATGACTCTTTGCATTTATCATCTGTCCGAATCATTGGATCGCTTAACAGCCAGAAAAAAAAATGAAAAACTTCGATGAAGTTCAAATTTGGGGGTGCAACTTCTTTGACTCGTAGGCGGCCCAGTTTGTCAGAGAGAGTATCCATTCTCTGCGTGAGCATTGTTGACGAGGTGCTAATACAAATAGGACTTACATTTTCAATTGACTTGGGATAACCTTGTTTTTATGATAAAAATAAATGGCATCAAAAACACGAATTTCTTTCCTGCCACCCTAATATATTCAGTTTTTTTAAATTCAAACCTCACCGTCAAAAATGTGTTTATAAGCTTTTCGAGCCTCAAAAGAAATAATATGAAGAATACAATTTTCAACTAACCTTTACGATTTCGTATTAGATAAATGATACCTCTTCTCGAAAATTTTTTCCGTTGAATTTGGAGAAGCTCCGTGATTCGGACTTGAAAACGTGACCCATACCTCTTATTTTATGACATAATAGTAAAAGTTACGCAATAAACATACGCTCTATTGCTAAAAAGAAGGATAATCGACGGAGATGGCCCCGGCAATGTTACAGCAGGTGCTTCACGACTGTCCACCTACGCGCCGGAAAACACGTTCATTCGTTCTTTTCCAACTTTTTATGTCACTTTTGAGCGATCGTTTATCCTTCTCATAACCATAATTATTCATAATGGCCATCTCAACGTTTATGTTAGGGAAATGGAAATTTTAGTGGTTTGTCATTTCATTTCTTGTCGTGTTTTAATTGTTTTTCCCCATTTTTCTCTGAAATCACGCTTTTTTTATTTTTTTAAATTTTTTTATTTCCGAGATCAAAGCATAACGAGATTTTTTTGTTCTCTGGCAGTTCATAAAGAAATTTGCAAAGCTTGAAAAAAATTATGCTTGAACAGGTTATTTGATGTAAATGTTCAAGGGAAAAGACTCATTTTTAAAATTTATAATTCCATATTCAATAAACTTGGGGGTTTTTTTAATTATGAAAACGCCTCATTTGAACAAAAACTATTCTAACAAAACGTTTAAACGTTCTCGCAAAGAATACCGACATTGACCGAGTTTTCAAAACGTCGCCCTAATTTCTTTTTTCTCTGTTGATTTTTTTTTTGCGTTCCTCTTTTGTTTGAACTTTCATTGATTTTGGAAAATGAGAAATCTTTGTTTTTGAGTTTTGGAAAAAATAATTCAGGAAATCATTCCACACTAATAATGACAATTTTATTTTTTGTCTAGGGAACTGAATTTTTTTTTGATACAGTGAATGAAAATTCTGGAAGTAGATGAGAAGCAACTACGGCATAACTGAAACGGTTGACATAGCTCTACACTGTTTTGAACTTAATTTCACAGTTTTTTTTTTTGCTTTTTTTTAGCGTTTGTACTTTTTTTTTTACTATTTCATTGTATTAGAATAATTTACAGGCCTTTAAAATGAGCGATGATTTTGTCATAGTGAAGTACGATTATTTGGCACAAGAAGATCAGGAATTGACGATAAAGAAAAACGAACGATTACGATTATTGGACGACAGCCGAAATTGGTGGAAGGTACGGAGTTTGTAAAAATTTTTCTACAGTTCATTTAAAAAATTTTTTTGAAGTAGCATAAAAGCGTTAGATGCTCAAAAGAGGCCGTTAGAGGCTCGGCCGATTCGAAGTGAATCATGTAGATATCAAGAGAACATAAATTCAAGAAGATTTTTCAAATTCATTTTCTCGATTTACAGGTTGTGAATGACTCGAATAATGTCGGATTTGTGCCTTCGAACTACGTCAGGAAAGAGTCGATAGTGGACAAGGCAAAAGGCACAATCAAAGGGTTGGCCAAGCCGCGACAAAAAAATTCCCGATTTTTGAGCAAGTGAGTCTTTTTTTCTATTATTTACTTATTTTTTTGTAATCCCTGATTTTTTCATACAGTGAATGCGCATTTTTTTGAGAGAGTTAAAATTTCTCATTTCTTTGAGGTTTTATCCAAAAACTGACTCAACTGAGAACCATTTCTTGTTAAATCGAAAAACCGTGACTTGAATCATTTTTATTTATAAAATTCCAACATCTCCATAAAAAAATATTTTTTTATGTTCCGTCTCGATAAACATGATGGAAACTTTGAAAAATCACTTGTAAGAAAAATGAAAAAAACAGTTGATTAAACCGACTAAAAGTTTGGTTCCATCAGAACCTCTTCTGCTTTTGAATAAATATTTAAACAATAAGAAAATGAGAAAAATACACACAAATCAATTTATAGTCACTTCACTGCTAACAATATTTTCATAAAGATGAAACCCGATCAGCAGGTGGTTTTGTAAAATTATCCAATTTGTACGCCTTGATTTTTCAAACTCAAAATACTGGAAAGTTTTCATTGTCGCTGTAATTTCAAAAATTCATAAAACTAAAAGAAATGACCTAAGCTCAGTTTTTGAAAATGCGGCAGCGATCCAATCCTTATGAGACTATGAACACTGAAAAAAACGATAAACTTGATAAAATAACCAGAACTTCGCTAGAAAGTTCTTTGACCCTCGGACAAAAACTCTCGAGAAGGCGCGAAGACAGCCAATTTGGGAGCATGTCGGCGCGGACTTGGCCGTTTTTTATCACGATGGCGCGAAGGCGAGATGACAAACACGAAACGTGCGGGCGGCCTCAGAGCCGTTGACTTATTTGCTTTTCGGTGCTCCGCTCTTTTTCCTCCATGGTTGAATTTCCTCCGTGCAGTCCGGCCTCATCTCTTAATTTCATGATCACCTTCGATTCACACTATCATCTTTAACATCGAGAGAGAGAGAAAAAGTTTCTGTCAATATTTTATGATTCACTTTTTTTTTTGGCGCCGTTTCACAACATTTCACGGCCATTTCCAATTTCTCATTCCCAAGTACCATTTTCAAATTTTACATAGTTCCAACACCAAGAAAATCTATTAGTCATTTGATGATGAAATGATAAAGTGCGTTATCAAAGTTTTAGCAGTGATTTTTAGAGTTTAGTGCCTTTCCCGGACACTCACACAGTCGTAACATTAGTACGTTTTGCTGTTTTCAACGCTTTCTTAAAATACGCATTCTGAAAAAATCAGTCAGAGTGAAACTAAACTTAAATACCTTCTGTATGTATGGCAACTTTTTGCGATATTAGAGTTTTCTCGGGTATATGTTACGCGAAACGGACGTGTTTCAGAAGTTTCTGTGCGTTTCTAGACATCACTTCAGTAGCGTAACCACTCCTAAGTGGTCTCTAGATTTTCCCAGAAAAGTCCGTTTTGCTTTACCAATGTCTTCTTCTTACTAGAAGATTGTTACCGTTTTGCTCGAGAACAGACTTTCTGTTGCTTCTTTTTTCTTACCTATCTTTGTCATCTTTTCCACAATCTTGTCTCTAAAATTGTGACAAGAATTTGAAATTTTTGATGAGATTAAAAAAATTCTTGCTCTGTTCTAAAAGAATCAAAAATTTGTGCAAGACGTTTTTCGTGTGGTTTTTTTTAGAATACTCTGACGGAAAATTTTTAAGCTTTTCAAGCTTTTCAACTTTTCAACAAAAAAAAACTTTGAATAATCTGGAGTTACAGGATCCGGACCGATCGAACGGCTCCGACACGCGCCTTGCTTTCGGATCCAACAACAACTCGTACACCTCGAGTCCCTCTACAAACAACAAAGTTGCAAAAAATTCCTAAGTCTCATGAACAAATCCTTGCGTCTTTCAGTCCATAGGAATTATGACGCGGACAAAAGCGATCGCTAAGTTTTCATACGAGCCACGATTGGAGGATGAGCTGAAATTGACCAAAGGAGACATTGTCTATGTGGTTGAAAAAAGTACCGATGGCTGGTGGAAAGGAGAGGTTCGTTGCTAAATTCTGATAGGAAACTTTTCTTCTTTCTTCACGATTTCTATCTTATCAGAATATTTTAGAACGGTGGCTCGACAGGTTGGTTTCCGTCCAATTATGTCGATGAAGTCGAAAACTCAAATGGAAATCAACAAATCGAAAACCAAACCCCTCCTTCCGCCCCACTACCAACTGTTCCACAAGATAAGCCTGTGCTCGAGGTCAGATTTCATACTGAAGTAAATAGAAATTATTCTTATTTCAGACAGTCGTAGCATTATATTCTTTTGAAGCCAACGGTCCAGAAGAACTTTCCTTTGTTAAAGGTTTGTCTACGTACCTAATATATCTTACCGAACTTATCTTTTTGTTTTTCATAAAGTTATACCCAAATTTGTGGTTTTTTTTTGAATAGAAAGGTCTCAGAAACCTCAGGTCCATGACAAACGTCTTAAACGCAGAAAAAATGTCAAACCCTAGTGAAATATGCTATTCGCCAGTCGAATAATAAAATTCGAGCAAGTTGAAATTCTCAGGAACTTCATTTGGTTCTCCGAAAAAAAAAAATATTTTTAGAATGTTCCAGAAGGCTAAGTACGTCTTCTTTTAATGTAGATTAATGAGAAAGAATTTTCGATTTTCCAGTTCTTTTTTTACAGGAGAACGACTAGACATTGTCGGTCATCCGTCCTATGATCCCGACTGGTGGTGTGCAAGAAATGCTCGAGGAGATCAAGGCCTTGTCCCGAGGAACTATATTGAGGTAGTTTTTTCAAATCTTTTTGAGAAGTTTTAATGGTTTTTCCAAGTAATCAGTTAGCGTTTACCGATTACGTATATAAAATCTCTATTTCTCACAGAAAAGGGAAAGAATTAAAAATGTTGCGAGGTTCGGAAATTTTTCTGTTTGTGAAACTTTCAAAAACTGAAAGTCATTTATTTAGGTCGAACTTCTTAGGGGAGAGCACTCAAAAACCTGATTTTCAGCTTTTTTTTCAAACAAAAAATCAAAAATTACGGAAGAAAGCTAAAGCTGATACCCAGTACAACTTTCCATACGCTTTCTGGAAAGGAAAATTTTTCTCACGACCAAAGTTTTTGACCCCGTGGTTGAATTTTTTGATGTAAAACATTACTTCGCAGTTTGCAATTAATTAACAAAACTCCCGGCTTTCAATTGCTTCCACTTTGGGTTATATATCCGAATGTTCTAAAAAGTTGGATTTGAGTTTCTCACTGACGTGAACCTTAATTATAGAACGAGCAGACTGAAGAATATTCATTCAGGTGACACCGCCAGGAGGAATTCCAACGCCACAAAGTTGGGAGCAACCGCGCCACGAAGTTCCGATGGTAGAAGAGCCGTGGTATTTTGGAAAGATTTCAAGAGAAGAAGCCGACCGATTATTAGACAGAGGACTTGAAGGCGAGTACTTGGTCAGAGAAAGCGAAAGTAATGTGAGTTTTCATGAAAACCACTAATTTCCTTCAACTTGAACGTTTCTTCAGCCTGGCGACCTCTCAATCTCCTTGCGTGGAATTGAACGGAATAAGCATTTCAAGGTTCAGACGGTTGATGGCCAACTGAAAATTGGAAATCGCAGTTTCCCTAACATGGAGGAATTGCTATACTACTACACCACTCATGCCATGTTTTTCTTCTGCTACTGAGAAATTGTTCTTGACAAGACCATTACCAAAATGAATGCCAAAAATAAAACAGAAAAAAACATTGTAAAAAAACTTCACGACCGAATGTCTTAAAATTCATTTAAAGTTTTTTTATATTGATTTTTTTATCGCAATTATTTTTTTATTTTTAATTATTTCTTCTTAAGAAAAAAACTCCGCTGACTGTCTCATGAAATCTTGTAGAAGCCGTCTTTTCTGAAAATGACGGACCCTATTTATTGCACTTCACCTTCGTTTCTTTCTAGGTATAACCCATTGTGATATTCGAGGCTGAATTTCTTGTAAGGATTCAAATCGACCTTTTCCCGCCCAATCGTTTGTTTCTGTCCCCATTATGTGTCGTTGTCATTTTACAGTACCGTGTTGCGTAAAAGCTCAACTTATCTACATCCATAGTGAAGTAATAAAACGGTCTGAAACCTATTTCGCCTCTTACTTTGCCATCCTCCCTTCTTTTTATGTAAATAAAAGGTTCCAAGCAGTTGTGATAAAAAAGATATGAGAACCTCTCAAGCACAGATACTTCAGCTTTGCGTCATTTAAAGCAAAAATCGAAAATCATGAGAAATCATCAACGTATAAAAAAAAAGAAAAAAAAACTTGGAAGGTGAACTTTTGAAGTAAATTTCACGCGTTCCAATAAATGAAAAGTAAAAGAATAAATAAAGTCGTTGAAAATGGATGACGAAAGCTCTGGGTTGAGCTGATTCATCAGTTCAGGCAAGGCATCTCTCGTCATTTTGTGTTTGATTTCTGTGAGTTCTGCTCTTTGTGTATTTTTATCTTCAAGCTGGCGCGTGAGTCGCTCACTTTTTTCATCGACTTCAGGTTCGGCTCTTCTTTTTTTAATGTCTTAATTTTCCACTGGATCAATTTGCTGACTTAATCAAAAATCCTGCGGTAGAAAAACTAGATGTTGCTTTATTATTTGTTGGAAAACACAGTCATCACGCTAAAAACAATTTAAAATTTTGAATTTTCCACTAATTTATTTTTTATGGTAATAATAACAAATTATGAAATTATAATTGAAAAAATGATACTTGCAAGCTAGAAAATGCGACTATACAAATTTCGAGTGAAAAATCTAATTGTAAATAAAACTTGGAGTAAAAATCGAACATTTTTTGAAAAGAATGTTATCTTGCGTTAATAGAATACAATTCTGCGATTGTTTCAAATACAGTTGGACAGTTCAAAAATATTCCCTTTTTTTCTTTTTTGAAAAGTGTTTTAATTGTGCCGAGAGCAATTGAGTCATGCGATGCGAGGGTAATTCTACTAGAACGGAAGGACATTGGCAGAAGCTAGATGGTGCTCGCGGAGCCCCGGATTGGCACGGAACGGCAGGCCGGCCGAACTCTGGCCTGTCTGGTCCTCTGCGTCTTTGCCAACGGCCCTCCGGGGTCGCCGCTCGTATGAACGATCAATTGGCCTGCTTTTCGTGAGGGCCGAGCCTGTGGGTCGTGTCACACGACAGGCTATCTGTCCTCTCTCCCTTTCTCATCAGCTTCATCTCTTTGATTGAAAGCTTTCTGGAATAACATTAAACAAAGATTCCGTGTGAAAAAAACCTTTTTGATGACCGTTAGCACATGAAAAAAACTGATATTGCAATAAAATTCTTCAAGATATTATCAAATTTTTTTCAGACTTCCGATTTTTCATCTATTTGACTGGAAGGAATAATTTTTTTGTTGGGTTGTATCGGTGGATTCTACACTTTTTTTATTCCCAGAGTTTTTAAAATAAATATTTGTTCTGAGTAATTCGCATAACAAATCAATTTTTAGTCAGTTTTTCCTTAACAATCTTTTTATTTTTTTCAATTTTTCTCTTTGAGAATTTTTATCCCATGGATATTGAGTATTTTTTTGGTATCAAAGGGAATTGAAAATAAACACTTTTTTGATCTAACCGAAAAATGCATAACGTCTGTGAAACTTGTGAAGTTGAATAATTTTTTTGTCTTTTTTTCTTTTTCATTATTATTTTATACTAATTTCTTTTTGAACAATTTATTGTGTCTCGATATGTCCCAAAAAAATGGTTTTCAAATATTGAACGGAGTTTTTTTATCAATGGTTTTTTTGATTTTTTTGTTTTTTTCTGAAAAAAACCTCATTGATAATATTTCAAAAAAATTATTTTTATACAAAATCGAATTGACGACCTTTTTTTAAACATTAGGAAACATTTCGTAATTTCACTTTTTTTCATATTTTTTTGTTTTTTTGATATTTGTATGAAATCTCAACTACATTTTTTTACGTTTCAGAAAAAAAGTTCCGTTAAATTAGCGTGAAAGTTTTTTATTTGAAAAAAATATAATCTTTTTAATTCTCCTACTTATAGATCACTGTTTCATTGAAGGAAAATTTGAAACAGAAAAAACTCTATCAAATGGCATCCACTTCAGCCCAAGTAACCTCTAGCGCCAGCCTTTTTTTCTTCTCGTTTTGCGTTTGCGCATTCCACTCGAGAAATTTTTTTATTGAGAGCCTCCTAGAAAAATTAAATCTGCGAACAACGCTTTGCCCTTTGACAGAAAGCACTTTTTTTGAATTTTCAATCAAAATATTTTTTGGCTAGGGAGAAAGTTTTTCGGGGGATCGGTGCATATAACTGAGCTGACTTTTTGAAACAGAATAAATTGTTTTTTTTTGTTTGTTTCATGCATGTGAAAATCTGAAAAAAATCCAGTTAATAAGTTCAATAATGCTTAACTAAAATTCAGAAAACTTTTTTTGTTGTTTCAAATTGAAATCATCCAAAACATAAATTTTTCAATTTTCCCAACGGTCTCCATTGTTCCGCAATTTGAACGGTGAAAATCTCTGTCGGATTTTTATGGCCGAATTATTTTCCGTCTCTGACTTCTGTGTGAAAGTTCACACGGCCGGTAATTCAAACACATTTTGTTCGATTTCTGATGAGGGTATCGGTAGTTTCAGACACATTTTGTACCATAACTAGACAGGAGGCCCTCATGGCACGATTTTTCTCCTTTCAAATGAAACTGGGTCAAAAAAAATTTGCTCATCGAATAAATTTAATGACCAAATCAATTCATCAATTCTTTATCATTAAAAAGTTTCTTGAGGTAGAAAGAAGTTTTTTTAAACTTTTTCTCACTTTTGTCTTAAGAGAAAACTGTGAAAAAGAATAATTTTTTTGGCCTCACAACAGGCATTTTTCATTTTTCTGTTCCAATAACAATTTTTTTCGGGGAGTAAAGATTTATTGTAGACTAGTTTAAGAGATCAAATCGAAATTGCAATGCCAATTTGAAAAGTCAATCGAAATTTTCCGGGAATGAAAAAGGAGTTCAGTAGTCAAAAAAATGAGTAACCTAGGGTTTTTTTATGAATTAATTGAATCAAGACAAATGTTTACAGTTACTCAGAGATGATGAATGAGTTTCTTGACATTACTGAACTACAGGCGCAAAACAAAGGGGCTAAAATTTTGTAACATGATTTTTCCCTAACTTGAGGTGAATAAAATACAAATTCAATAAGTTTCGAGAGACCCGGTTGGCGCCAATTCAAACGTCGAGGTTAGGAGATTCATGAGCGGTTGATGTAGATGATTTGAGAGTGATTGACACTGAAAGCCGGGCTGAAAGGCGCCAGCGACTTCCGCTTCGGAGGCCGCGTTCTTTCGTTGTCCCCAGCAAAACCGACGCGTGTGCAGAGCGGAACAAGTTTCTTAGTTTCTGGCTATGCCTCCGCGCACTCCGTGTATTGATCGATGCGATTATCCAGCCGACGCTCTTGAATTCCTTGCCAAATGGTTGAGAAAATAAGCCGCCGTCGGCCTTCTACTGGTGTCCAGCTAATTATTTGCACTCTTTTCTTTGCGCTGTTTTTGATTTTTCCATGAAAAAAACCTCAAAAACTCCCGCTTTTTTTAGTCTTGCTTCCACTTGGTCGCCGTTCCGACCGAAAGCTAATGAATTCCTTGCCAAATGGTTGAGAAAATAAGCCGCCGATCTCAATGAGTATTTTGAGAGGGCCGGTTGCGGTAGCTTTCAGACATCTTCTATTCCTATCGCTCCAGCTTTTCAGGGGCTCAAAATTAAATAAAAAGGAAGAAATAGGGTTTCTGTTTATATATTCTTCATGACGTTAGCCAATTATTCCCGACAAGGCACTTTTTAACTGGTTCTTTACGCTCAAAAAAATGCAGTATATAACCGCATTGGAAAATTTCTTGAAAAATGGACCCACAAGGTATTTTTTTACAGTTCGTTTTTGAAGTCACCCTGATGCTTTCTAGTCGCTTCTTCTTTGGGTTGATTGTGCCCTTTATCAATTTTTATTTCTGTCCCTTTAGGCGTGAAATTTCAGATTTGACATGAACACTTGAGCTCTTTTCAAAGTCATAGATGAAAATTTGGTGCAATTATTTGTGTAGAGCAATTAAAAAAAAACATGGTCTGTTTTTTTAAAAGTAATCAACAGAAACTGCAACTGATGCTTTTTTTAGATAGAAGGTGAGGCCAAAAATGCTTCACTTTTAGATGGCTGTGGCTTTGCATTTGTGAACACTTGTTTCTCCGACACTTATAAAAATGGTAGCAGAGTGAAGGATACTGGACCGGGCCATAGTAGTCAATAATCGGTTTCTGTTTCAGGACAGCCATTTTCGGTCGGCCTCGTGCTCTGTGCGGTGATAAGAGCTGACGGCCTTTTTCAGCATTATAGTCAAGCGGTTATTGTTTTTTCGGATTGCGTGACCTTGGTCCAAACCGACCGCAGCTGCGTTCTCAATGGAATTCTCTCCTTTGTCGAGCTCTCCAACCATCCTCTTTTCGCATATTTACGCCCGTAGTTGCGATTCCAATCGATTTCGGAATCCATATAGTTCCTCTTCAACAAAAAGTCTCTGTTCCTTTTTTCACTCCTAAACTTTTTAATTGAGGAAATACAGTGTAACAGAAATGTTGAAAATTTAGATAATAAAAAAATGTCGCAATAGAAACCATTTTTTTCTGACTTCCATTGTGAAAATCTTGTAAATGAAATCGAATTTGGTTAAGTGAAAAAAATCCAAAAAAACATTTGCTTATTGTCAAAATTTTGAATGTATAAGATGCTGTCAATTTTTTTTAAAATTTTGTTTATTTTTGATCACTTTTTCCATTTTTCAATTTAAAAATTCAAAAAGAAAAAAACTTTAAAAAAATATTCAAACTAAATAAAACTCTCAGAAATTCTATTAAAACATTCAAAGGAAAAAAATAGCATAATTTGATTTTTTTGCCTAGTAGTTAAATGAAATTTTTTTAATGTTTTGTTGAGTCGTTGAAAAAAATAATATAAAAATAAAACTACCTTTTAGAAAAAAATAAATTTTTCTCAAAAAGTGTGATTGAAAAAAATTAAAAAAACTTTTTGTAAATTATATTTGAAGAAAACTTTCAGTGTGAAGAAAACGAAAAAAAGAAAAAAATGAATTCGAAATGGACTTGCAATAGAAAAGTTTCCGTTTTGATCTTTTTCTATGCGACCGCGCGATCTTTCGGCGGCACCGATTGCGGCAAAAAGGCGCGAACAAAAAAATCTCGCCCAAGTCGCTCTTCGCCTTCTCCCATTCATTCCTTCCTTCTGCACTCGCAATGGTCCCGGTCCCTCTTCTTCTTCTTATTACTCCGACCATCGTCTTTCTGCAGATTTTCATTGCTTTCTCCACCTCTCCCACAAATTGAATTCGATCAATTGATTACTCCCACTCCCTTGTTTTACCTTCTTAAAAACAAGTTTTTATCGAAATCAGCTTATTAACTCTTTTTTTCTTGCTTACTATCTTTTTTCACACGTACTTTGTTTTCCGCGTTCCCATGGTTTTACCCGATTGAGGCGTCGTCTATGAGGTCGCTTAGCAACCTCTTTTTCACGCGTTAAAATGAAAAGTTGAATTTCAGGTCCCCAACATGTCGATTTCGACGATACGCCGCCAAGTTAAAAATGTCGCTTACAACTTTTCCGATGCTCAAGTGAAAGTACGCGAGGCTACAAGGTTTACTTTATTTGATGGTTATGTTGTGATGAGCAAATTTTGAGAAGGGAAGTGTTTATCCAAAGGAAAAGTTATGAATCGAAAGTTTTGGGCGTAAACGCAAAAACTGAAATAACCAAATTTATAACTTTTAGCAATGATCCATGGGGACCATCAACGGCGCTCATGTCAGAGATTGCCGATCTCACCAATAATCCGATGGCTTTCACGGAGATCATGTCAATACTTTGGAAACGATTAAATGACTCTGGCAAGAACTGGCGCCATGTCTACAAAAGTCTCGTCCTTCTCGATTTTCTCATCAAATGCGGAAACGAAAAGGTAAGCTGTTCTTTTGTTTCAGACTAAAAAATTTCAAATTTGATTCAGGTTGCTCAGCAATGTAGAGAGAACATCTTCACTATCGAGACTTTGAAAGACTTTCAACACGTTGAAGATAACAGGGACCAGGTGAGTAGTTTCGCTTTCGGATGGCTTACTAAATATTGAATAGAAAAAAAAAAGTTCGTTCAGGGCCTTAACATTCGCGAAAAAGCCAAGCAAATCACCACCCTTCTGTCGGATGATGAGCGGTTGAAGAACGAACGAACACGCTTTATGCTGACGCGAAATAAGTTCAAGAACAACACGGGCGCCGTCGGAGCTGAAACTTCGTCATCATCCAGAAGACGTCAACATATAGACGCTGCTCTTGGTTAGTTGGTGATAATCGGTAATGACGACGAATATCGATTCAGATCCTGACTTTGAAGACGCTCGGCCGTCTTCTGCTACAGAAGAGGAGATGCAACTGCAGATTGCTTTGGCTCTTTCTCGCGAAGAACACGAGAAACAAGATGAGATGCGCAAGGGCGACGAAGTTCGGCTACAGGTATTCAATCAATTCTTGCTTGATCAAACTGCTATTTCACTCTATTTCGAATTTTTATTTTCAGCTTGCTCTGGAAGAATCGAAGAAGGAAGCCGAGCGAATGGCCAACACAGTTCAAGGCACTGTTAACAGTGGTCAACTCACGCAAAGTGCTCTCGATGATCTTCTCTCTCTCGGTGTTGGCGAGGTACTACTAAAAAAATGCAATATACATAGGTTATCAGTGAAGAAATACGAGAAAAAAACAGTTACTCATTGAAAAATTCCTTCAAACAGGAATTATCATCATATACGTGAGAACCCTGCAAAAACGTTCTCATAGTGCGTAGCACACAAAAATAGCGAAACTCGTTGGAAAGTTCAGTTGTGTAATTTGGGATAAGTACAATCAAATGAAGATTCGGAATTCCCTGAAAGAATTATAACAATACGAAAAATAATGAAATAAACGAAAAAGTTCATTTTTGAACTTAATACATACTCTTTCAAAATTGAAAAATTTTTTGGACATGTGAATATCTTAGAAAAGTAAAAATAAGAGAAAAAATCTGAAAATAGGACGCCACAGCCGTTAAAAACATGGAAAATGCAAAATAATAATCCAAAGGTTGCAAAAATATATTTAAAGTAAAACCAGCAGGTTACCTCTTCTTTTGTCACGGTTGAATATATTTTTCATTATTGCAGCTCGTGACTACAGGTGGAGAGCAACCGTCCTCATCTGCTTGGGGCGGATCCTCTTTGGTGGATCCTTGGGGAATGCCACAAGCTGCTCCTAGTCAAGCTCAAGCACAGCTCTACCCTCAGAGTACTTTTCCTGTCTTTTACCGTTAGGTAATAAATGAATTCACAGATCAAATCAACGATCCATGGGGATCGGTCCAAGCGCCACAGCCTCCGCAGCCTGCGCAGCCGGTGAATCACGATCTTTTCGCTGCTTGGGATGAGACTCCAACTAACACTTCTCCACCGGCCTACAACCTCGTGAATGTTGACGTGAGTTCAAATAAAAAAAAAACAAAGTTTCCGTTCCGTGGATCACACTCAAATTTTTTCAGCTTCTGGCTCCAACGACGTCTGGACCAAATAATGGAGTGACGACAAACGGCAGTGCTACCACAAATGGAAATGGAACTAACGTAACGATGCGAAAAACTCCTGAGAATTTCCTCGGGGAAAACAGCAGCCTCGTGAACTTGGACAACTTGCTTGGTACTTCACAGACAAATTCAAACTGTGAGTGCTAAAGATGAAATTCCAAAAAATTCCAGTGAAAATAATTCTTTGAAATTTTCAGAGAAATGGGTTGACAATATACCCAAAAATTCCTTGAAAGAATATAGTTTGGGGATCGATTGGGCATAGTTTGAATTTCCAAATATGCGGTCCCGAAACGGATTTTCTCCAAATTCAACTTCATGCGTTCTTCAGAGCTTGAACTTCAAATTTGTAAAAAAAATATGATTAAGATTAATATCGGTGACGAAATATAAAAATCTTGTTCTTTTTTTTATGAAGCTAGAAATCTGAAGTCCCTTATTGTAATTCAGTTATTGAAAAAAAAACATTACAGCGGGCAATCCGTTCCTGTCCTCGAACACGAACACTTCGGTCAACTTGTTCACGGCTCAACAACGCAAGTCGCCCACTCTGAACGAGATGCGGGCCGCCCAAGGCCAGGCTCCTCCAATTCCTCAGATGGGACCTCGTGGAGCTCTGCCGCAGCCGATCGCCGGCTCAGCCAACCCTTTCGCCAACCCGTTCTGAATTTTTTAATCTTCAAACGAAATTCTGTCTTTGTGCAGCTCATCAATCAGGGTGAGACTATCAAATCATTTCTCGATCCGAACTTTATGATTTCTTTTTTTGTCTCACTCGGATTCGTATCGTAGAAATTGCAAAATGTGATGTAAAAGCCTATTGGTTGGGTGTTGGTCTTCTGTACGTCAGAAGGATTTTTCATATTTTCCCCCTTTTGTCAAATCATAAGTGATTGAGATTCTCGTGTAAATGCCCAATCCTTGAAACCGTGTGAAACTTGTGCTTAGTTTAAACTATCGGCGAAGTCATCTTGTTAAATGAGCCCTTCATTCTCTAAGAATATCCTAACTTGAAAATGTTTTTATTTGCTTGTAAAATATTTCTACTAACAAATCTCGCTACCCTACTAACCTTTTTGCGACCCTTCTATTTTGAGTACCCAACATTTGAAAGTGACCTTTGAGCAATCTACTACATGCTAATACTTGTAATTGGCCAGAGGCCTGTACCCTTCTCTTTTTTTATTTTTTTATTTTAAGCGTATTATTGTTAAAAAAAGGTGGAGTGTAAAAAAACAATACTTCGAAACATTTTGAGGATCTGTTGCAAATAAAGTTTGAAACAAATTTTTTTCTTTCTCATTTTTGAAAGATGAACAAAAAAACTGATTTTTATGAAAAAAACTTTGAAAAAAATGGAATATAAGAGCTGAATAGTTGGTAGTCAGAAAAGTTAATATAATATATATATGTAACTCTACTCCGTTCAGTTTTGAGAAGACAACTTTTCCTTGCGAGGTCAGTTCGGAGAATTGCTCCAATCTTCTGACTAGGAAATTTTCTTTCCTCCCGGTTAAACTTTTGATGAAATTTTGCTGAAGTGTACTTAAGGACTTTTTGATTGCAGAACAAGAAAATAATTTCTCGCAATAGGTTTTGTTTTCGAATTATGAAGCTTCGAAGTCCTACGCAAAATATGACAGAATTCAAAGCGTCCTAACTCAAAAACGAGATCTAATGCGAAACATTTTTTGTTCTGCAATCAGGAGGTCCCGAAGAACACTTCAGCAAAATTTCATCAAAAGTCCAACCAGGGGTAAAAAAAGTTTCTTAATGAAAAATGAAATTTCTGTTACATCATTTCATCATTTCAAGGCCCATAACGGCTGGAAGCACAAAACCCTTTTTGATATTATTTTTGTTTCGTTTTTTTGAGTTTTGAATAAGATGTTAGAAGAGATAAATCAGCTGATTTTTTTTGGCAAACCAGAATTGCAAGGAACACTTGACCAAAACTGTTTTCTAATGGATTTTGATGACAAAAATTTAATTTCGCATGTGATTACGAAATTGCAAACTAAAAAACATGCATAACGCAACAGAAAAAGAGTTTAATGTTTGTAATTTTCCGTTACTTCTCACAAAAAAAATGATGGTACGACAAAATCTTAAGTCCGCAAATCTCGAGGACCGTAATCTTGTGTACGCAGATCTAAAGTCCCATAATCTTGGAAACCACAATCTTGGAAAGCAAAAATCAACGATTTTGCGAATAGTTTTTTTCTAGAAATTGTGTTCGGTGATCCAAACAAGAGAATACAAGTAGATAAAGTGCAATAAAGAAGACTGAAAGGGAAGATTTTTGCTTTCCAAGATTGTGGTTTCCAAGATTTTGGTCTCCAAGATTTCGGTTTCCAAGATTATGGGACTTTAGATCTGCGTACACAAGATTACGGTCCTCGAGATTTGCGGACTTGAGATTTTGTCGTACCATCAAAAAAATCGTAGTTTCGAAGAATTGTGATGACAAAGTTGCCCGTGCTGCTGGAATTCACGTGATCGTTTTTTGAGCGCGATAATTGATCGTGATGATAAAGTACGCAGCAGATGAAGGGTGTGACGATACACAATGACTGGAGAGGAGAGCGTCAGACGCGTCAACGCTTTTGGCGGCGCATCGCGACACGCAATCATTCCACAAGCGCTTTGCGTCGACGATCAGTTCCTCCAGCTTTTGCACCTTTTCACGGGAATATTCTCACCATGAACTTTCAACAACAAAACTTCGGGTCTCCACAACCTTCGGCAACTAAAACTTTTATGACCGAAATGACTCCAGTCACCGCTCCAACTTGTACGGTATGTGATTTATATCTCATTTTATTTTTTTTTTCGAAAGAAATTGATTGTCGACCCCGCAAAAAAGTTTCGCAGCTTCAAATAGAAAAAATCCAATTATTTGCTCAAATCTATTTCTATTTTCTAATTACTGAAGAAAATCTTACTATTTGCAGGCTTTTGAAAAAAAAAATATGCTTCGAAAAAAAAATCCGTGAAGTGTTCAGAGAAAAAATTTTCCAAACTCTGCTCTTCTTTACTATTGACTTTTTTGCGCGTTGATAATAATCGGTTTTTTTATGACAGAGAAATTACTGACCATAACTTTCATGCGGGCCGTTTCAAGAAAGTTTTCTATTTTTAGTGATAATGTTTGACGTCAAAAGACAAATATTTACGGTTTCGACAAATATACATCAAGTTTTTTTATGCAAGATAAGTGTAAAAGGCCATTAAAATAAATAACCAAGAGTACCTTTTTTGTCCTTAGTGGTATTTACTATGAACGGATATATTTCAGGAAAGCGCGTGTTGTGTTTGTTGAGACTCCGGGATTCGCCTACGGACAAGCCAATTATTATACTAATTATCCAGTGACTTCAGCTTCTCACTTTTCACAAAATAATTTCTACAATCAACCGCTGTACGTCTCTCAGCCAGCTTCTTGGGTACCTCCAGATCCTTTCGTCGCCCCTTTCCAGCCGCCTTTTCAAAACAATGTCTACACATCCCCAGAGTTCCATCGTTCTCCTATCAACGTTGAGCCCTTTGACCTTCAATTCTTCAACGATCAACCGCGAAAATCACCCGAGCAAATTAAGGTTTGGCTTATCTTCACGCAAATTTCCTCTACGCGTTGATAAGAAAGACAAGGTACAAAGTCTGCATTCAAACGGAGACCACTTTTTCCGCTTCATGAGGAAGTGTATCGGCAAACGAGCGTCAATTATCTTTTTTTTCTCAATTTCCTTTCAACACAGTTGTAATTAATTTTTTGGAAAGGCCTAATACCCATGTTCAGGAACAAATACTGGAGGAAATAGTTCGCGAGTGCGAAGAAATTGAGCGCCGAAGCACATCGAGCTCATCTCCAAGCACGGTTTTTCAAGAAAAAATAAAAAAAAATAGCTGTTTGAACAGACGTGGTCTTCGGATGAACGAGACACTCCAGACACATTTCGTCCTCACAAGACTCCAGAAAAACGAGAACGCAAAAAGGTATGTTTTCAGTACTGAAAAATCAAACATGTTGTTTATAATCTTATCTATTATATATTTTAAGGCTCAAAACCGCCTTGCTGCAACTCGCTATCGAGAGAAGAAAAAGAAGGAAAAAGAGCTTAAGCTTGACAAAATTTCAGTTCTATCCAAAACTAATGGCATTCTTAAGAACAAGGTTACCGGAAGTCGAATCATCCAGATACCCATTATTATTTCAGGTGTCTGACTTGGAGCGCGAAATCCAGTATCTGAAGAAGCTGATGAAAGAAATTGGCGTGGCTCCTTAATCAACCTAAATTTTGAGCATTTTCTTTATGTCTGTCAAAAGTGGTCTTTATTTTTGAAATTCCATTATTATATTTCAATCTTTTTCTTTGGCTTGTCCGTATGCGTTTACCCCCCGTAACCTGCATGGTCGTTTATTTTTTTCATGAATTATTCAACAAAAAAACGGAAAAAAATCAATAAATTCGCCTGCAATGTGGTTGATACAGTTTTATTATTTTATTATTTATTTTTTGAACAAATATTGTTAAGCAAGAAAGAGAAATGCATCTGCATCACATTCATACATTCAGAATTTTTTGGAAAGTAGGCAAAAATAGTCGGTTTCAAGTTTTAGGAACTTTTGTAATATTTAGACTGTTTCGAACTGGAAGCGGATTTCTACAAGCGAATGAAAAGCTGAACATCATTCTTCCTTATTGCGAGCCGTGAAGCTAACAGATCTCAAAAATAGAAGTGCAGAACGCTATTTAAGAAAGTTCTGGATTTGAAGTTGGTTGTAAGAGTTAGATTACTTCTATTAACCTAGAAAGAGTCAGTTCACTGCTTTCATGAGCAAAAAAGGAATAAAAATATCGCTCTTCTGCACAAAAATTCATTTGTTGCTTGTTTGTGTGTCATTATGTTTGAACAAGAATGTTATTTTTCTGAGAAATGCAATCGGTTTTTTTCGAATGGAGATTGCACATTTTTGTCTTCAAGCGAGTAGTTGAATGGCTTTGAACTAGGGAACGGAAAGTGAAAAAAAAGTGAAAAATAGAAGTTTGGCTAAACAGCAGCCAGAGGAGACAAGTGGTTGCTGCAGGCGGAGACGAAGGCTTCGGATCGTCTCGTCCTCAGCGAAATCTCCGTCGGCGGGTCGTTTTCTGTGATGTTCACCAACTGTGTGCAGTACTTGGAGCGTCTGTCCGACAGCGCCGCACTCACGTCCCGCTTCCTTTCATACTCCTTGGAGATTCCGCTGCAATTCAAATTGTTATGAATGCTTCAACTTTTTTAGGGTTGCATGCGATTGGTTATCTGTGAAAACCTTTCATTTGGAAAATCAATTTTTCCACTGATCAATCATTCGATTTTTGATAAATTTTTTTTTACCGGAAATAAGTTAGTTACAAAAAGCGGAACAGTAAGGATTTCCTTTCTTAACGGAAACTTACGAGCAAAACATCGCTTTGAAAGTCTGTCTAAAACTGCTGGACATAAAGCAGTAAATGCTGAAGTTGATTGGGTACGTTGCCTGAAAATGGAGTTCATGAAACTGTAAAAACTAGCAACTGACCATGACAATCATGTTACTAGCGAGTAGAAAAACAGCTGGGAACATTCCGTCCAGAATAGACATCCGAATTGAGAAAGTTTCACATACACACAAAATACCCATGTAAGCGGCCTGCGGAAGATTGACTATCTGTAAGGTGTTCAAATATCTCTTCTTCAGAACTTTGATTTTTGTTCGAGAAAATAAATGAGGACTCACAAGAAAAATTGACACTATTGCGACAAGCATGAGGCTCGTTGAGTTGCTATCCCTCTGTCGCGCGGCTTCTTCTGATCTCTTCTCTCTGAAATTTTCCAGTTTTTTCGGTTTATTACATCGAATTTTTTCACAGTATACAAGCATCCACTCGGAAGAAATTAGAACAACGCTTGACTAACAATCGAGCCCGAGGCCCAGGAAACGATCGGCGAAAAATTTTTGTAATGAATTAGTCAACACGCTCAAAAGTTATGTCAATTAGCTTGAATTTGGGAATTCGCATGAATTTTTTCAGAGTTCCATAAAGGTTTAGATACCTCACAGTCGCTACTGCGCAAACCTCCTATTCGAATTAGGAAACTTGAATGTTTTTCATATAGTGACATCCTAAGTTTACTAGCCTCATAAGTTAGAATGGGAAGATTCATAGGCAAAAAAACTATCAAAAAAATCTATATTTAAATCTTTGTACAATGTTAAAAAAATCAATGGGAAAATCCGGAAATCTCATGAAACACTTATTTATGAGTTTTTTTCTAAGGACCAATACTTATCACCAAAACTTACTTTGCTACAATAAAAAACAATCTAACATGCTTTCTAGTAAACATAAAATGACCGCGCCAACAGCAAACTCGAGATGAAGACAAATGAAATTATTACAGATGCACGTCATCATTCAGAAGGTAAAAAGCAAAAAGTCCGACGCATTCTGGACGCAAACCGCAGGCGGAATTCACCTTGGAACGTCAGTTACGCAGTTCTTTAAAATTATCATAGAGATCTCGACTTGTCTGCTTCTGAATGCCACTGTTTTTGAATGGAATGGAAATTGGTCCAGTAAAAAGGCGAATTAAAAAATTGCGAAGCCATATGCACACCACTTCCACATGAGCAAGAACAAATGAAAATAAACTGAAAAAAGGGCAATAGGAAACTTTACAGATGTGTTTGAAGGGAAAAGAATAGGTCCAAGCTCAGGAGGAAGCACCCGCACATATGCCTTCTCACTCAAAACCTTGACTTACCTAAGGAGGCGTAACTTTCGTTTTTGAGCTTTTCTTATGCCACGGATGAGCAAGACGTTGAGAATGACAAGCAAAGTACTGGGCAGAAGGATGAACCCAAGAGCTCTCGTCCAGAAGTAGACGTTGAAAAACACCGTTTCTCCAGTCAGTAGCAGAAGCGCACGTTGTCCACTCGCACACGACCTGAAAGCATTTGTAATATCGATCCTAAAACTTCAAGCTTATTGCTCTATTCACCTATTCACCTTTGGTTTTCAACAATTTTTGTTTTCCAAGTTTTTCGCTTCATTCCCTTGTTCAATTATCATTTTCAAATGGGTTTTCATTTTTCCACTCACCGAACATAACTCCAAGTGCCATCGTAATACACCCAGGTGTCGACAGTTTCGTAGTAGTAATCAAATGATTTGGGTAGTCCACATAATAAAGATATAACCTAAAAATGGAAGTTGCGAAATTTTTTGAAATAGTTCGCTCAGTAATTTTGTGAATGACTTTTTTGCTTCTAAAATTGTTCACGTCATTTCTGAAAACTTTATTCGGTCAGGTCTCATTCGCGCTGATCGAGAAAAACGTATCTGAAGAAAGCAATTCGATTGTTTTCGAAAAAAAAGTGTTTGAGAAAAATAAAGTTTGTCACGCCGATTTTTGAGTAAGTGCGAACCACGGATATTTGTGTAAAAAAACAACCTACTTACCTTTATTAAAGATGCAGTGAATGAAGATTTTATTATTATTTAAATCAAACGGACCACTCATTTCTATGTTAGAAATTCCGAAAACGAACCGCAATTATGACTGTCGCTATTCGTACATTTCTGACACTACAGGCGCCTCTCGAATGAAGAGGATAACTGATAGATACGTATCTAAATGACTTGTTGTTAGATCAAATAGATATATGCACACCTTTGAGCAGCTAAAAGAACAGTGAGCCACATGGCAATGTTGTGGAAAACTGGCGGCACAGCGTCCATACTGTATTTCTGCAGATAACACCACCAGAGCTCTAGTCGTTCTTGTTTTGCGTAATTGCTGGAAAAAATACATTTAAACATTGCTCAAAACCAAAAAAAAAACAAACAAAAAAGGTTAATATTTTCTCCCGCTGAATTATTCGCTCTGTTTCCCGCAAAACATCCAAAAACAGCTCCGGAACAAACGTCTTTTTTCATTGTCTGCAGGATTTGATGAAAAGCTTCCGGGAGCGTTCCAATGGGCAATGTGAGGATCTCAATCAGACAGGGTGCATTTTTGATGTCTGATGACTTTTGAAGATAAGCTCGAAGCTCCTCAAGAAGCTGGACTCTATGAAGCTATTAGCTGACACCTTAACGACACGGAAAGGACATAAAGGTTCAAAATTGAGTAAAAAGGTAATTCGTGTCACTTTGCTTCAAACTTGGGACGTCTCTGGAAACAGATACAAACACTTAATTGTTAAACAAACGATACAAACACTTCATTATTAAGGGAAGGAAAATCTTCTAAACTTTTATAATTTTTCAAGTTGTCAGTTATAAAAAACAGAGAATTTTAATTCAGTTTGTCAAAACCAAACGCCAAGTTCAAGGTGAAATCTAAAGAAAAAATTTTTTTATCACACTGTGAGAGTTTCCACTCGAATTCCAAAGGAAAGTCATCAATCCAATTTCTAAAACTCGGACTTTTGATTGAAAATCACTTACCCTAAAGTAAAATAAAAGAGCGTCCAAGGCAACGGGACAAGTCCGACTAGAAGTTCAGCGATTGCCATGTACTTGAGCACGACGTTTGTCGGTGTTATCATATGCTTTTTTGAAAGCACCATAGCCACCGCGACATTTGCGAACATCGCGAGAAGAACAAGCGTTGGAAATACCTGAAATACCTATTTGTTCTTCGGAAATTTTTTTTTATAGATGTTGTCTTTTGATCTAATGAAAACACTCTTCAGTAAAAACGGCTTTTTTGCAACCCGTTGAACACAAAAGAGACAACTGCAACACATATTAAAATCTCTTTTTCAATACTGATATGTCTTCCTCTTGACCTATGGTACGTTTAGTACTGTACCTGTCCATATATGAAAGCTTCTGGATCTGCGTAATGCGACAACGAGTAGATCTGCAGCCCCCGCACGCACTTGTTGGCGCAGCCGTCAAAATATGTGTGATAGTCTGGAATTATCTTTTCATTCCTTTGTCATGTTATCAAAGAAACTGGTAAATCAAAAAAAGCGCAACGTTTTGTTTTTATTTAGCGTCTAATAAGCATTTCGAAAAAAAAAGCGAGTTGTTTTTGAAATCACTTCTAATTTCTTGAATGTAGGAAGGAAGATTAACTTTGCACAAAAATTAACTGCAAAGCGATAAACAACCATTTTTTTCGCGACTCTTGCTTTCAATTTTTTTTTTCTCAAGAAGGCTGGCAGCTAACTCAAAAAATAGTTGAATTATTCTCAGGCTTACGAGATAACAATAAGAAAGAGCCAAAAAAAGGCATCTAATTCCGTTCTAAACTGTGCGAATAAGTTATAAAATTTTGAAGTTATGGAAAGGGTCCACTACAGAAATATGTCTTTGATTTATTTGAAATGTAAATTCCGTGTAAAATCTTCATTCAAAGTGGTCGCTCTCATTCTGAGGCTTCTACCTAGAGCACGGTCTCCAGGCACCAGCACAACATTCGCTACATTCTGAGTTGTGCTAGGCGCAATTGAAGGGACTACGCGCATAAGAACGAGGCGAAGGACCGTAAGACCATGCTTTCAGCTCTTCCGACTACACGTTTGGACTTCTAGTTCGCCAAAGGCGGTTGTTCGTTATAGGTTTTGAAGTTCTTGTTCACCGCCTAGTCGATTACATCAGACAAAAACCACTAAATAAATGATTTGATTTGATGATGATGATTGATTTGAAGTGAGCCTCACAATTTCTCTTTTTTTTTGCCAACTAAAACTTCGACTATCCATCAAAAAATAATGATTCGGCAAATTGTTTGAAACTTTTTTCTAGTTTTCGAGCTTTCTTCCAAATTCAGTTGTGAAGGAGATTTGGAGGTTCGGAATTTCCAATCAACTGACCGTTGCCGACGCAGAACTGCGCAACAGCTGTATAGGAGTCGTTGAAAGAGCTGGACGAGTTGGGACCACACCGGATCGGTCCGGGATACATGACACCATACACGGTCAGCCAAACATGGCGCTTCTAAAGATGTGCCGCCGGATTTTCTTTCCTCCAAGCGGCTGATGGAACTAAACTTCAATGGGGTTTATTTTGCAGTAGATTTTGTACAAAAATACGCAAAGTGATGACCAACAAGATAAACCTGAAAACACATCTAACTAAGGTGCGAAAACTTTGAAAGCGAAACTTTCTCTGAACGAAATTTCAGCTGCATACACGGAGGAAAAAACTTTAGAGCCCTGGATTTATTTGAATTTTGAGATTTCAAAATGAGGATTTTATGATAACCGGTTTCCAAGTTGCAAAAATTAACAGCCGAGCTTGACAAAAACTTCTCAAAAATCAAAAAAAAAATGTTTTTCCTGGTGACGTAAGTGAAGATTAGATCTAACATTGCGGCTACTGCCAGAGGATTATGAAATGTTATTAGTTGTTAAAAATGAGTAAGTTGTTTACATAAAAAGTGTTATCTGAGTTGAACAAGAGAAGTTTTCTTCATTCCCTGGAAAACTTTCAGAAGAACCCGGTTCGTAGCAACGTTCGAATGAAAGGAAAGATAGAGCATTTTTCTAAAAATAAATAAGTTCTCAGAGCGTGTTGCATTTCAAATGAAGGAAAAACCAAATAAAAATGGAGAAAAAGATTGAATCTGGAAACCGAAAACTTGCAGCCCAAATGAAAACGAAGTGAGGAACGCCTGGTGATCCAGTGGGCGGTTATGAGTTTCAAGCAAGATTAAGAGAACGCTTTTTTAAAATCGAAAACGAGACAGTGAAATACATCGATTATGAAATGAAATCTCAAAGGGAGTCGATCTAAAAAAATGAACATTACCCTCTTTTTCTTTTGAATAAAAAACTTGAGAGAGGTTATAGTTTGATAAATCCTCTATCGACATCATTAATTTTTTAAAGTTTGAACTCTGAGAAAAGACCTAAGTGCCCTAAGAAAAACACCTAAACGCCGGAAAGATAAAGGTGAAACAAACATTGTGAGATCTCTGTACAAGTAAATGAGAAGGCAATTGAGAAAAAAAACCTTTTCCTAATATGTGAATGTGGGGATAATCTGCTGATAGCGGCGGTCATCCCACGGAGACGGGCAAAATGAGAGAATTTGGCACATGCTCACAGACTAGAAGCCCTGAGGGCATCTACGTTTTTTTTTCTCAATTACATTCATACCTCCTCACTTTTTTCATCACTTCTCACTAGATTTCCATACATCTTAGCTCTAACAGACCAGAAGCCCCGAGGGCAAAGCTCCTATTGAAATATGTCTTTTCAGTATGAAAATTTGAATCTATGTGATTTTTATGATGAGACGGGAAAATATTATAAAAAAAAACTAAACACTGCTATTTCAGCGTTTTAAGAAATATAAGTGACTTAAATTTTTTGAAACGTTCCTTCAGTGAACAAAAAACCAATAAGATTTCTATGAAAAATTTCTTGATTAATCTGAAATTTTTCGAGATTTAAAATTGTGTCAGACAAAAACTCAGCTAATTTGCGATTTTCAAGCTTTATTTACAACGTATGATATGCTGACTGACACTTCTCACGGTGCTCGATAGGACTCAGCAGATGTGCTTCTTTTCTAAAAAAATAACTCTTTTTTAGGGACACTGTCTCCCAGAACCCCGACTTTCAGCTCCATTTGAAAAGCAAACTTTCCTCATACTGTCTGTAGTGCTGAAGTGGTTCTCAATTCTGTCTCGGAAGCTCGAAGGAATGTCAATTTTTTGAAAATCTCAATAAAATGTTGAATCTCGTTGAGAAATGCAAGAAAAAGCGTTTTGAACTTGAAGTCGCGATGTCGTCAGTTTGATTTTAGCCTTCCTCTGAAATTATAAGAACAAGGCAACGAGAAAAATGAATGAAAAGGGAATACGAGAAGAAGATCTTCCAGATCAGCGCACAGGATGCGTACGTCAATTGGCCAAGCGAGTCAAGGAAGAAAACGAAAATGAAAGCTAATGAAGGAGGTACATATCACAGTGAAAAGTGATCGGCAAAAATGACGCGGTCATCCGAGAAAAACGACGTCTAAACCTCTTTTTTGAGCTGTTCCTTGTGTTCGACGAAAACATCGTCGTGATATTTTAAAAAAATTTAAAAATGGTTTGCGAAACAATTTCTGAGATGTTTTGAGAAGAAAAAATGATCATGCATCACTTCTAACTTATCAGTAATAGAGTTCCTTCACTATCGCATTTAATAAAAGATCGACGCCTTCATTATTTCTAATTACTTTACGATTTCGGCAGAAACAATGAGTTTCACAAGAATGAGAATATCTTCCCGCTTTCACGAGATTTGATAAAATATTCAACAAAAAAATGGGTAGAATTAAAATCATTTTTTCTTTTGCAATAATTTGATCATTAAGTTTTTAGTGAATCCCAAAAAGGCGGAAGTAGTTTTTGGTGCAGCTTAACGCCGAATCATATCTTCTCTACGTGATGACTTTCTGTCGGGATTTCGGCAAGCGAAGGAGACGGCAGGGGTTTTCCAAACTCAAAAAAGTAATGAACCTCAAAAATCTAAAAAAAAAAGTGATGGAAAGAAGTCGAATTTGAAGAAAGTGAAAAAGGGCTTTTTTTTGTAGGGCTTTTAAAAAACATCATAAAATAGCTGACTATTTTCTTGGACTAAAAACTCACGAAGAATGCAAGCATTAGTGAATTAGGCCAAAAGAAAACTAATAGTGTGGTTTCATAAATCTTGATGTGCTGCTAATATATCTTCTCTGGCAAGATTTGGATCCAGGAGTTTGCAGAGAAGATATAAGAGAGGGATCAGACGTCATCTTAAGAATTCCCCTTCCTGAAGCTTCCTGGTGCGGAGTTTGGATGTTAGAAACCTATTTGTTCAACAATATTCCTTGAAGTAAAAAGTTAAAGTTCATGGAAAATCCAAGCAGTTTTTTTTGAATTTAATTTTTGGAAATCTGAAAATCGAGCTTCTGAGATAGGGTTGACTGGGAATTCGCGTGTGAGGATTCTCAGAGATGACGGCAAAATTAACGAAGCAGCCATTAAAGTTGCTCATAAAAAGGTGCAGAATAAAAAAAACCAGAATAATAAATTTTTTTCTGACGCCATCGCCTGCATTTTTTTAAATAACAGCAGAATTTGATAGGGAAAATCTTTTATAAAAACAGGTGATTTTCAAATTTTTCAGCTTTTAAGCTTAGAAGTCGAATTTTTCTCTGCTACTGGAAAAAAACAAAATGACGTTAATGGGCCTTTTTCCCCAAAAAAGAAGATAATCAAAGTGAAGAAGTCCATTTTCTTGACGGTTTGCTCTTTTATCAAAAAATAATCGAACATTCGATTGATCCAATACTAGGAATGCAAGCTCGTCGAAGAGAATACTGTTTTTCGCAAAAAAAGGAAAACGATATTGAAACTTCTCTTTCTGTTTTGTGCAGAAATTGACTAAAATCGTTGATATAAAGGTCCTTTCTTCTTAGAAGTTATGAGTGGGTTCTCTTAGAATTTTGTAGAGGCGAGGTTCAAGGAGAAGAAAAGAAAAGAACTGAATAACTCAGAAACACCTTGTTAGAGGAGAAGGTGTGAATGTCTCCCGACAAAGCTCGACATGCTCTATCATGAGAAAGAGCAGCAAAAGAAGGATGTAAAGCAGCGACGGAGGTTTTTCCATCAGCCGTTTCCAACAGCAAACAATGAAGTCGTTTTCAAAATTTATAACCACCCAGCTCCCAAAATTGTGAGTCTGTGTGCGGCTTAAAAACGTGAGTTTTGCTCTTGGTTTTCTTTTTCCGGAAAGGTAAAGGCTTAATTCAAAAAACTGCTCATCATAATACCACATACTTTCGAATTCGATTTCATTGCCTTCCAAGTTCTCATAATTATAATCCTTCTTAAGAAATAGCAACTGAAGTTCTTCTTTTTTCAATCTCGACGTTTGCAATGCTTTTGGTCCGAGGACAAAGACAACGAAGCCTACGATTATCATTGCTCAAAATGTGCTCCAGCTGCTATGGAACGAGGTGCTTGTGACCGAAAAAGGGCGGGCTGCCGCCGTTTGGTAGGCGCTGATTGATGGCTTTGCCAGGCAGGATAATAGCTAAGAAAGGCAAAAAAAAACATTCGTTGCTCTTGTTGGCCAGTGAGGATGCACATTTGCCAACACACGTTTGTTCAAAAACGCTTTCTGCTCTTTTGAAGGCGACGAACCTAAACGACGATTTTCTTGGACTGAAATAAGATGTTTATGAATCCAATTAAAATTTATTTCACTCGTAAAGTTGATCGAATGAGTAAATGGCAGAGCTTCAGAGCTATTCTAGACGTAGTCTGGGCAAATCTAGGAATGTGAGCGGGTAAAAGATCGACTGGGAAAAATGGTTTCAATCAGTGCCACCTTTTAATCTTACTTCTTTAACAATGAAATTTCCACAGTTCAGCTTTTTCAAAGCGGCGATCTTTCGGTTATATTTTTGTGCTTTGGATGTAATTGACAGCTTTCGAGTTGAAAATAAAGAGATTAATAATGAATAAGGAAATCGAGAAACTTGTTTGTTCTCCTATTATTTTGCAGCTGCTGCTTGATTCAGAAAAGGTTCTCAGCCAGAAACAGTAATCCTCTGGAAAATGATCGGAGCAGACCATACAGTATTGATGCAAAGAAGGTCTGAGTACATATATGGAAAGAAGCCTCGTAATCACTACTGGAGTCAAGATAAAAGAAAGTAGAAAAACGAATGAAAAAGAGCGTCGACGTCTCTGCGCGACATCGCAAAAGACAGGAGCATTTAGAGTTTGCCTGGGGGCTTCTGAACGTGTGGAAAGAGACGAGCACTTCAGGCCGATGTCATGACGCACAGCGAGTGCCCGTTCTCCACCTACTTCTAGTTCCAATTTATCCCTCTTCGACGGAAGTCTTCAAAACTGCCTTGCGATTTCTTTTGTTTTTGAAGAAGTCACGATGTCATGCTGGATTTTTTTTTTGAAATTTTCGCTTTTTTTTTTGGAAATCGTACAAGTTTTTGTAACATTGGTCAAGTCGTAACTTCAAAAATCACTCCTATTAAACGACGGAATTTCAAGTTACTGAAGGATCCTGCGAAAATGGCCAGGAACGTGTTCATGACACTTTTTAGAAGTGTCTGCAATGCCGGAACAAAGTGCAAAACATGAAAAAACGACTGAGCTAAAAAATGGTTGTAGTTTTCGTGAAGATCATCAATGATTAAACTGATGCGAGAATAAAACTTCAATAAAAATTTGACCAGAGTTTGGTTGGCCTAAAAACAAAAACTTTGTAGAATGAAACCAAAATCTAGAGAAAACAAGGGCTTCGCAGCTGATGCAGTTATGACGAAGTGAGTCAGGTAACGGAGAAGCCACGAAAGCCGTGTATAAGAGTCATTAGGGGCGGCGGTTCGCATTGCACACCGATCAAGTGAGACCTCTGGGCCTGGCAAATCTTTTAATTGAGGCGAGCCAATCTAACTGAATCTTCAATTTTTGCCGCCCTTCCTTTCTTTGCCGTCTGTTTCACCAAAATTCAGCTGTCTGCGATTCAGAAATCGGCGTTTTCAAGGTCTCTATCCGGGTGCTGAAATTTTGCTCGGCGTGGTTACAGATTTCCGGCCATTCTCTTCGGCTGAGTACCTAAGACATAGGAAATACACTGCTTCGAATTTTCACGTTAACAGTTTCCGAAATTGAAAAATATAAGGAAAGAAAACGTTACTTTTTTATTCTTCTTGCAAAACAAAATAGTCTTTACTTCTAAAGTTTTTCAAGAAGTTTCAGCTTCATCAGAACTCTCTCAAAAACGGAGAATCTCACAATTCGTCTAGTACACAAAAAAAAGCTGCAAAGTTTGTCATCGGAGGAGATGGAAATTTGCATCTCCGTAGATGTTGGTCTTCGCGCAGCGTGAAAGACGACCACGGATAATAGAAAATCTAATTGAACGGCCGAGTGATGTGCAGCTAGCGTCTTTCTGGAAAGAACCAAAACGTCGTCGGAAAACACGGAGGTCATTCGGAGAAGTTCTGACGGTTCGTCGTTTGAATATCAATTTAAATTCAGAGCAAAAAAGAAAATATATATCAAGTTGGTCAAGTCAGAAACCAGTTTTACTAGTAAATAGAAAATTAAGAAAAAATGTAGAGAACTGTCAAAATAACAGGGAAAAAATTATGTTTCCAGTTTCGCTTCAGAATATGAAATTATTGGTTTTCACCCAAAACTGGTGGTTTCTGAAAGATTGATTTATAGTGTTTGTGAAGCGGGCCATTGAAAGTTTTAATTCTTTTTAATTTATTGTTTGGAATATCCTGCAACTTTGTATCTGTCAATTTCAGTGGGCAAAAAAACGTTGCGAAAACAACCAACGTTCAAAAAAACAGCCATTCATCCTTGTCCGAGAAGGTGGCGATTTAAATTACAGCATTGAAACCTTCAATTATTGCTGGAATCGAAAAATAACAAAAAAAGATTTATTTTTTTAACGGGTGAAAGGAATGGAAAGGACGAGTAGGATTGCTTAAAAACATTGAACGTTTCGATAATCTGTCAGAAGTAGCTTTTTCAGAGTAATTAACCGATAAAAGTCAATAAAGTCACGAGTTGATTTTTAAATAGGAACCTATGTCAAAAAAACGCCTTTTGTGCAAGAGAAAAAATTTCAAACTAACGAAAGTTGAACCAAAAATTGAAACTGTGAAGTACGAAATTAATCAAAATTCAAAAAGTATGAAAAAAGCTTCGGAATTTCGTAAATAGCATTATACTTTTTTAATTTTTTTCTCATACGAAGCATATTTTTTGATCGAAAATTCACGCAAAATTAAAATTATTAACCGAAAAAATTCTCGTTGGAAGTAAGCTGAAAAGAAAAGTTCTCTAGGTGAACCGTGATGCAAATGCGATTTCAAGAAGACTGGAATGGCGGAAAATGAGACAAGATGAGATCGGACTCGGCAAACGCGAAACTCACCGGCTATTGGCAATTACCTTGGCTCTTGTTTCGGCCTTCTTCGAACAAAACCGACGAAACGGAAGGAGCACCGGGTCGGAAGATCTCTTTCCGGAGCCTCATCCACCCACATCCAGCTCAATCCAAATCCCCTTTTCTCATCTCTAAATCATCTGAACCGATGTGAATTGTCTCCATACTTTCGAAACTTCGCCAAAAATTTTCCAGGCCAAATCAAAAGCTTCGCTAAAAAAAGATGAAAGCTTTTCTGAGATTTTTTTTTCTCCCACTCAGTAGCAGAAGTACTGACATTTTGGAGTAAAGGTGGCTGTTAAGGCTTCAAGACCTTTTTCATCAAAGTTCTCTGGTATCGAGTTTTATAATGTATGCACCGTATCGAAAAGGCTCGATCGCATGATGCACCTTGCTAAAATGAGTGGAAAAAATTAACGGCTCACAATAGAATTTGTAGAAGTGTCATTATTTAAATACGGTAGTATAAAAAAAGCCAGCAAGTTTTCGAACGGCAACTTCTCTGATTTTTTCATTTCGCTAGGGAACTTTCCGACAGAGAAGCTTCCGACGAATCTCTTTCCGACTTTTTTCCCTTATGTTTTTCTGTTCATGAAACATTTTCTAACTTTTTTTTTCTATATCTTTGTGTTTTGGTCATGAATCATTTACCTTCTTCACATAGGAAAATTCAAAACGAAAAGTTTATCGAGACAAAAAGTCGGAAACGTCTCCGTCGGAAAGTTCTCCAGCGATATAAAAACATTGGAAAGTCGCTGTTCAAAAATTCGCTGGCTTTTTTTTCACACCAACTTGAATACAACCGAGTAGAAACAGAAATCACAGAGACAAAAGATCCCATGGCAAATGAAAATCACAGCAAAATGTCAATATTATGTCAAAAAACAAAGGAATGCAGAAAGAGACAAAATATGATCAAAAAGAAAAAGGAATGGAGAAAGAAAAAAGTTGTTCGATCAAAGCTATTCAGATTCTGTGTTGCCAATGTCACATCCTTCATCTGAGCTTTCAAAATCCGTGACCGTTTTTCCAAAATGCCGCAGACAAAAGCTTTGGATTCTTCTGACGGTTTCTCTAACTTCCTTTTCACAGCTCGTCAGGACTATTCGAAAATAACCGGGCGCAAAAAAAGCTTGACCAGGAAGACAGAACACGGATTCTTCCTAAAAGAATATTCCCTATTTCTTTAATAAATCTTTCGGTTTCATTGGTTTGAACAAAAAATAGTCAAATTTGAGTTTCTTTTTTTGAAGCTTTTAGGGAATGTGTCGAAGAAAGCTCTTAAAAAAACTACCCGCTTGAGATTGAAAAAAAGTTCAAGTTTCTTTTTCTTTCAAATGTGTGACAACGAATAAAAAAACTTTAGAACTGTGATGAAAAAAACTACTAGGAATATTCTAAACTCGCAACTTATTTTTTTAAAGAATTTTTTTGATTTACCCAAGAAAGGATCGACTGATATCAGTCATGTTCATGAATTTTTCTCATAATATTTTTTTTGAGATTCCGCAAAAAAATTTAACCACAGACCTCAACAATTTTCTGGCAAAAAGTGACGTCAGATCCGTATGCAGATTTGTCAACAGCTATCATCATGTACATAGCTCCTCGAGGCGTCATTGGAGTTAGTCCATTTATTTTTCGTAGAGATTCCCCGATGATTCGCGAGTTGTTTTGAATTATTTCTCTCGTTTGTGAGAAATATTCATCTGAGGTTTCTTTCAGAATTTTAGGTAGTGCTTTTTGAACCAGTGCGCAGGGGCCCACGATTTTCTGCGACAGAGCGACAATCCCTTTCTTCACTTCGCTGAGAACTCCGTGACAATCGTAGACTATCAGCCATCCTAGCCGCCATCCAGGAACCATCCATCGCTTGGAAATGCCGTCGCATTTTATTATTGGTACTTTCGGAGAAAGAGAAGTCAGAGAATGAAATTCAGCTCCATTGAAAACCAGATCGCCGTAGATTTCATCAGCGATCACAACTAATCGGTGTCTGTTGGCTATCTGAAAAAGTTTCACCGAATCAAAATTTTTAAAATCAATTTTGGAAATTTTGATACTTTTTTGCAGTTTCTTCAAAACTTTTAAATATAGTGTCTAGATCTCAAAGTTTTCGCGGAATTTTCACAGTAATGGCAGTACTTCAATTTCAAAACACGGGTTTTCAGCCCAAAATGTGAACAGTCCGGCAGTTTTATTTTATTTGTTGGATTTCCGATTTTTCAAAAATTTTATACAATCCTAAAAAAGTGATCCAAAACAGTTTACTTTGAAAAATTTTGTCGTCGTTGCGAATTTGGTTCCAGATTGTATTTAGCTGGATGATAAGCATCTACGTATTTACACTACCTCCAGTATTTCTTGAAGGTGTTCCTTTTCGAAAACGCCGCCAGTTGGATTCCCAGGATTGTTGATGATAAGCGCCTTGGTGCTCTCGTCAATCAGCGTTTCCAAGTGAGGCAGATCGATGCGATCGCCCGTGGACATGTCAATCTTGTAGGCGCGGTCTTCGATTCCATGCGGCCGGCACAACGTCGCATACAGTGGAAAACCAGGATGAGGCACCAAAATGTTGTCTCCTTTTCCGGAGAGAGCCTCTATAGTCATCTGTAGTGCGTGCGAGCATCCAGACGTCATCACAACGTCGTCAGCCGTAAACGGGGCGTCAGAGTTAGAGAACTTGGCTACCACAGCCTCGCGAGAACTCAGCGTTCCCACAGATGATTCATACACATCGCTTCTGAAAAATGCCATGCTAAGCGGAACATCTTTTTTCTTACGAATGACTGTCTATGGCTTCGTGAAGAGCCTCAACGGCTATGGGACAGGGTTTTAAGACGCCTCCAACCGAAGGATCTCCAAGATGCAGTCTTATGGGCTTTTTTCTTTCATTGGGCTGTACTGTGAACGAGTCGATGATTGTTCGAAGGGAGTTCAAAGTTTTGTCTGAGTTCTCAGAAGCTGGTAAAGTTTTCCAACTCATTTCTCACACCGTCAACCTTAAAATTTTTATATCAAATAAAACCTATTTATTTTAAAAACTCTAAATGTTCTTAATAGAAAAAACATACCTGGTTATGAAGGAGATGATCGTACAAAAAATATTCAAGCGCTTCTTGAGAAACCGAAGCAAAAAAACAATTCGAACAGCAAGTTATCGAATTTCATTCCCAGCGCGTTCTAATATATTGTAAGTTTGGAAGCATTAACAATTCCTTTGAAAAATGATGTCCTTTTCACAGCTTTCGAATTCTTGGAAATCGTTTGACGCCAACAGAATAATGAAATCGGAACGCTGGACTTTTTTGAGTCTGCAAAAAATTTCATCTTTTTTTGAGGACAACAAATATTTGATCGAAAAAAATGAACAATAAACTAAGCAAAAGAAAGGCCAATAGAATCGCTGATTTTTTTTTTCATGATATAAAAAATCAATCGGGAAGATTACTCAGTTTGTAAAAGGCGAAAGAAAATGAAGTTTCTTGCGCTGAATAAGAAAAAAAAACTCTCAGAGAATAGCCTATGCAAATGAGAGCTATTTTAGTTCAGATTTTCACTCTCATTTCGAATTCTCGCGATAAAAACATGTACTGTTCCTTGTTAGCAACTGTAAGAAAAAACCACAACCAACAAGGGCAAAGTGATAAGCTTCCATAAAGTCTGCGTCTCTTCTTCTCCATAAAATGAACTCGCACTAAATTGGCTGATAAAATTTGAATCACAGGTATTGTCAACAAAAGCTCTGAAAAAAGGCCAAGAACCAAACAAGGGCACACTACAGAGGCTGGATCGTTAAAATGTTGCCACTTCGTAAGTCATCTTACAAAAGCTCTTTTGATTTCTGGATTATTCCTTTGTTGGAAGGTTCATTTTGAACGAACAGAACGGTTTGACAAACAATATTTCCCGGCATCTTCGATTCTATTTGATTGAAATAATGAACTCCCAAGAAAATGTAACAAAAGTATTGTTTTTTCCTATATTGAAAATCAAAAAAAACGAAAAAAAATTTTATCCAATGTATTCATTTTTTTTCTGAACATCAAACACAAAAATACGTGGAAATTAGGAGAAAATACATTAGTGAAAAGAGAATCGTGGGAATTTACATTAGTAAAACTTCAAGAAGAATGAACGACTGAAGAAGAATAAAATCATCATATTCATGGCTTTTGTATGAGATCATTTGTCGATCTTAGAGATTTCGAGAAAAAGAGATGGGTTATAATATGACACCGACATAGTTGTTATTTGCTTATAGTTATTGTTGATTAAGGACCAGATACAGTTATACCGCGAGGATTCTAATTAAGTAAATTGGAATGTGAGAATGAAGGCATACACAGTGCGAAAAATATATTTAATTTTACAAAAAGGCTTATCCCCTGAACTGCACTTATCACCACGGAGGTCGTTATCCCAGAAAGCAAAAGAACAATTCTAAAAGACCCTCATCAATAAATAAAAATAGCGAAGGACAGGTGTCTCGTGGCGTCTCTACGAAAGTCTCGTTGAGGACTGCAAAGTGGCGGCAAACGGATTGACTGCTCCGAACGGGGAAAATCCTGAATTTTTCACATTGACCGCTCTGTTTAATTTCATCCAATTACCTGTTTGAGCATTGAGAAAATTTGTCGCCGGGCTGGCACTAACGGCCGGATAACTTGTTGGATAAACTGCCGACGGTATGGCTTGAGGACCAGCTCCATAGGTCAAAGACCGAGGGGAAGTATGAGTTCTGCTCGAATATTCTGAACATTTCTTTCTGTGTGAAAATTTTTTGGATCACTTGAAACCTGAACTGGCATCAAACTGTGCAGAATATGCAGATGCATAGTTTGACAGTTGATCGGCTGGAGCTCTGAAGAACTATCATTTCTAGCATTTCCATCTTCATACAAAAAAGTAACTCCTCCAAAACTAACCTGTTGTACAAGGCCTCGGCCAGTTCAGCAGCTCTTTTCAAAATCAAGTCTTTGGGTAACCGTTCAGGATCGCCAGGGTATTTTGGGAGCAATTTCTGCAGCCTCGCAAAACCAAAGTCGATACTCGGTTCTGTCAACGCTGCAATCCAATCAGATTTTTCCAGTCCTTAAACTTACGGAACAGAGTCATCAGAAAAACTCACAAACGTAAGCAAAACGAATGGGTGCTCCACGAGAAAACTGCTTGTTCTTGTACTGCAGAGTTACTTCGACGACGCCTGCATTGTGTCGTGGCGGAGTCGTCACTCTCATTGCATGAGGTGTCATCACTTGGACCGCCTACAAACTTCAAAATCCAAAAAGACAAACAAAGTTTCATTTCTTATCAAAATTCTCAATCGACTTTTTTTTTATTTTTCGTGGAGTTTTTCTGGAAAATTGTGTCAACTAGTGTCTTTTCTTCTTCTTCCTACGCCTTTGTACGGCTTGAGCGGCTTCGGCGCTCCAAGTCGATTAGCTGAGGTCCTATCCTGATACCAGCAATAAAGTGGCCCTGTGTGTGACGCATCGAAAACTTGAAGTCGTGGTTTCCCACTACCAAAATTTCTCAAACACTTTGGTTGGGTCAAGGCAGAGATTGAACTTGAACCCTGTGGACCGTAGACAGGGACACAACTTTTTGCGCTACAGCCCACCATTGTCTGATGTATCGATAAAAAAAAGTGTGGAAATCTACGCCTTCAGATTTACCTATTTCATAAAGAAAAAGCTCCCAATGTGTGATGTCCAAAATTAATTTCATGAAAAAGTTGAATAATTCGCTTCTGAGCAAGAATAATGTTTGGCCGTTTGAATTTTCAAAACTTTCGTCCAGTACTTGCAGATCTTATCGATTCGCCATCATAAATTTTTTGAAGAGATATAATTAAAAATTTTTCTTTATTTGAGAAAATCAAGAAAAATAGTTCAACTTACGTCGCTCCAAACAGTTGTCGAACCGAACGCAACTTGTAGACCTTCAAAAAAAGTTCTCACCAACGATGACGACCTTAGAAGATTGATTTTTACATGGAAAAAAAAAAAGATCTTTACTTGGGTTCCTCCTTGTACCCATCCTTCGCTTGGACATAATGCCTTGATCACCGGAGTTGCACCGACGGCAATATCTGCCACTTCGGAGAATTCTGAATATGATCCATAACGCTGTGTATTTATTGCTTCTCATGGAAACGGGCCCCAAAACTCAGTCTTGTTTTTATTTTCTAAGAAACGTTTGGTGAAGACATCCGGAAAATGGTCTCGCAGCCGGCTGCTGGCGCGACGTTTCTCATTTGCATACGTGACGTTTTTATAGATGCGTCCAATTATGCTTATGATAGGCGCAGCTGAACGCCGGAAATCAAGATAACACGAGGAATGACACCCAAGCACTACACCAGGCAAATGCATTCATCTTGTTTGGAAACTGTTGCCGTTTAGGAGAATTGTTCTGTTTTTAGCTTATGAATTTCGTGTTTTTTTTTTTTGAAATACGGTAAACCAAAAAAAAAAGATTTCAATTCGCGTTGCAGCACTTTTGAATAAATGTTCATGAACAATTCTTGACCAACAAATCTTCAAAGTTATTTTTAAAAAAACACCTCGTTCGCGCTATTTTTCGTAGTTTCGGAAAGTTTTTGAGTTTGAATATTTTATGTGAGTTCTACTTTTTTTTTACAAGATTGACATGGATTCAAGTCGAAAACAGAAATTCGTGTGAACTTTGTATAATATTGCAGGTCAGAGTTATAGTGTTGGGGAAGAGCAGTAAAAAATGTGTGGCTGAGAGATATTGCGGAGGGTGAGAGGTTAATGAGCAAGTATAACAGGCTCAATTACGCTGTGCCTTAATAATTGTTCGTTTGGAATGTTGCTGAGAATCAGCAGCAAATGGAATAAAGCTACACCCTTGAAACAAGACTATGAACAAAAATTATTAACCAAAAGTTTGAAAATTCGAGATACTCGGATGAAGGTCTCTGAAAAAACAACTTACCATCTGAAGCATCTGGTTTTTTTGTCCGTCGACCATGTTTCGAGTTGTTGTGAACGAACATGTTTTCTGATACTGCAAGAAGTGGACCATCGATTCTGGCGGATGAACTGAGTACTACCTGAAAGGAGTCACGACTACGATCAATTTCGTCAGCATTTCAAAATAGCTCAAAACCCTTTTATCTTCCTTCAAAGTCCTAACCAACTTGATTGCTCGAATTAACTAGAAGGTCTTCAGAAGAGCTTCATTTTACTGTAACGGCACCCAAATTGCAAATTGGCCACAATCGTCAGCAACATAAGGCTGCGGTTCGTTTTACAACTATTTGCTGACTGCTTCCGACAGTTGGCCGCTTCTTTTCGTCGCATGACTTATCATCCGCGACGCCTTTTCGGGAATATGACAAGGTCAAAGCGAACACAATAGGCGTCAAGACAGTCGGCCACCTGTTGAGCTGACCAACAGATACTTGGCTTCTTTGAAGCAACGAGCTCACTTAATGCCCTTAAAAGGCAAATCCCAAAAAATAGTTCAAGTCTCTAATGATCCTTTCAAACTTTTCATTATGTCAACAAGTATCATTCCAAGACGCATTATTGAGAAATAAAGGAGTATGAATTCTCTGAACTTTATTCATTCGTAAACTGAAAAACTGATTTCTTTTGAAATGAAAATTTTTCTTTTAAATTACAAATTACAACTAGGACTTCTTCAAAGAACATTTTTTAACAAAATTTCATTCATACCTAGGATTTTCGTTTTTCCCAAATACTCATTGATCCCAAGCACAAAATTTTATGAGCAAACGGCTTAGGATGGAAGATCAGCTTAGAATATTTGAATGACTTAGAGAACTTACTTGGAAACGTCGCATGTCTCGGGGATTCCCGGCATTTTTCAAGCAGTTCTGGTTGCATTTCAGGAAAAACTTGAGAAAAAACCTGTAAAAAAGCTTTCATTTTGATGTCTCTCTTTTCCCTAGTTTTCAAGAACAAGTAATAAGTGACAGACGGCTAATGCCGCACTTGCCAACGAAAAGCCTTAAAAGGATCGCTCGCGTTGAAACCGCCAATTACATGATTACAACTCATCTTCGCGAGTAATTCGATCGCAAGGACTCTTGTAATTGTTTGCTGCGTCCCGGAAAAGCCGTTTCTCAAGTGTTCCTACCTTTTTGGTCCGCGAAAAACTACCGCTTAGATGACTTTTGAACTTCATGTAAACCACTTAAACATAAAAAGAAATGTTTTTTCAACTTTTTTTTTTAACTGACCTCCTTTTCAAATATTCGCATACAGATTACTCAGATTCTTAAAAACTCAACGTAGGGGCGCGGGTTGAAAATTTTCATGGGTTTTGTCTCTTATTGAGAACAACTTCTAGTAAGCTACTTGGTGATCGAGACAGTATAACCGAAATTACAATTTTCAAATAAAAATCTGGCTCAAGCTTTCCTATCATGATAACCACACAAGATAAGTCTTAAAACTTTCATAGAAATGACGAAACTTATTTTTCAAAGTTTTTTTATCGAATGAAATATTTCATCCGCATCGGGTTTCGAGTTCGGTGCTTTTCAAAGTTTGAGTTTCAATTTTTTGAGCCTTTTTGAAATTGTTTGATCAATGAAGCCTGGCTAAAAGACTTCTAAGACCCTGCAAAGGTCAATGGCATGTAAGAAACGCGGGGGCCAAAAAGCCAATCAGCTCGATTGCACGCGGACATCTCCGCGCATTCCGTTTTACGGCGACCGTTGTAATGGCGCAATACTATTGGGGCATGCGCGGCAGCCAGCTGTTCCATTCCTGCCGATTGGCTGCTCCAAAAAAGACCCAATTTTCAAAAAACTCACCTATCGATGATAACCGGATCGCTTGGTGTTTCATTCCGGTTGCCGCAGCTTTTCTTCTCACAACATCGGCTGAAAAATATTCTGTTTTAATCTCAGTGGTGAATTAAAAAAACCTGCACATGACTTCGTGTGTGAGCAAAACTCTGCACATTTCGGGGTTCTTGTCTTGTCCTTCATAAGTGATCGCCTGAAAGTTCGAATATTCTTTAATTCTTAGTTTCCCTAGATTTCTCTTATTTATGTGATAAACTGCAAATAAGGCTAAAAATGGAAATAATTTCAGTGAGAACTATTATTTTTCTTATTTTTGGAACTACGCTCAAACACTCTTCGATTACATGAGTTAGAGAACAGGTACAGTCAGGAGATTTCGAATTTTTTCAGTTTTTTTCAAGTAAATTTAGTTTGGGTCTCTTTCGCCTTGCATTGTTCTAAAAAATATTCTCTAAACCCATAGCTTTTTTTTATCAAGTTTCTTCCAATACAAAAGTTTTGAAAGACGTTAATTTTGCCCCTGGAATGAAATGTTTCTGGAATTTCAGTCTTTTTCTTTTTGCGACACTTTCGACTTTTCCACCGTAGCCATCACGGCGATAGATCAAACCACACAGAATTTCGAAGCTCAACAAGCAGGCGGCGCGAAAATTTCGAGCGTCGAGATAAAAATGATGAATGGGAAAGCGCATGCTCGAGCTTCTAGCTCCAAGAAGGCCCATTGATTGGGCTACCGTAGTTGGATTGATGCGGAGGATTTGGCGGCTTCGAAAAACTTGGAAGCTTTTGCCTCTTTCGATTCGTTTTGGTCGGACGACATGACAAGCGATTTTGCAATTTGGCGAAACGTCTTGTCACCCAACCACAAAAGTTTGGATTGAATCCAACAGGATTTATGCGAAGAATATGAAAAGAAGCTCAAAACCCAAGAAATCTTTGACACTTGATTAAAAAAAATAGTAGTTTGAAAGAAGTTTTTGCTCAAAGAATTTAATGATGAGAGTATCCAATTTTTTTCAAAAAAATTCGTATTGATTTTTTTAATCAAATAAGGATAAAAGTTTACAACTGTTGAATTGGTAGAATCCACTTTCAAAACACAAAATTCAAAAAAATTTTTTTAAAAAAATTTCAAAGCTCCTAATTTAATTCATTGTTAGTTTAATCAAAGATTTCTAAAAATTGGACCACCAAGACATTAAAACTACATTATACAGCGTGTTTGAGGAACTTTTCAACAATGGCTAGAAGTTGATTGAAGCTTCGAAAAATGAGGTGCCTGACCTGTTTCGAAACGCTGTCGATCAACCGTACGTACAAGTCTTGTTCCATTCGAAGTCCTGAAATGATATTCAACTCAATGAAAAAAAAAATGTGAGAGCATGTTTTAAAATCGAAAAACACAAACTCACCATTTTGGTAGATGAGGTACAGTTTATAGTGAATTCCATTGCGGGTTTCTTGTCCATCCACTTCTTTTTCTTTTTCAATGAAGCCAGCGAACTGGGTTCGTTCAACTTCTATTGGCTGGTTGGCCCGGTCGTACAGGGCAATGACGAAGTGGAAAAAGTTGGACTTTCGCAAGTTATTTGGCGGATGCTTCTCGAAATGAGCACGCGAGAGCTGCGAGCTGAAACTGTAAAAAGGTCAGGTCGTGTGCACAGAAAATATCAAAAACTGTCAATAAAAGGAAGAAAGAAAACATTTGTAGAGCTTTCATGGGCTTAAAGAAGCTACGACAGACCCAAATTCCTTCTAAAAACAAAGTGTTATTTTAAATTCTTAAACTAGTTCAATTTCAACCATAATTCGTGCCAGAGAGACATCAAAAAAGTTCCTCACTCTGGAAATTGCGTGAAATTTCTCATTGTCGCGTGGTGTCAAAGCGATCGACGGACCACTAAGCTTGAACGAAATGAGGAAAACTTTTTTGAACTATCAAAATACGATATCAATTTATGGCTACACAAAAAGCCGAGAAACATCTGAACGACTTCTAAAAGTATTTCTTGTAAGGTATAATTACTAGAAAAATTATTATTGTTATATTAAACATTAATATGAAAATTGAACTTCTTCGCGAATCGTTGAAAAAAATATAGGAATGGAGTAAAACTACTTGATGAGGTTTCAATATCCTCCAACCAGTATAAAAAAATTTAATGCAATAGAAACTAATTAAACTATCAAGATGACACATCAAATTATTTATGGAGAATTCGAATCTTCGGTTTTTTCCTCGTTGAGAAAACATGAGAAAAGTTACCAAAAAAAAAACGAGCATGGATGAAAAAAAAAGTATTGTAATAGAACAAAAGTAGTAAAATCCGAAATCATTATTTTTTGTTCTAATTTCAGCGAGTTCTGATGGCAGTTCTGTAAGTGGAAAAAAAAGAATCAAACACACTTCTTTCAATTTCATAGCTCAAATGGAAAGTTTCTTTTCATGTAGAATTTTCTGAACATTCAACTGGCAAACATTGAGAAAGCAGCTCGGATGGTTGAAAGAGTTCTGGAAGAAATGATTTTTTGCATACCGCATTTCAAAATTAATTTGGTCTGAGCGAGAATAAGCAGGACAGGCTAGAAAGTTGTTTCGAGATGAAAAGGAATGCGGAAAGCGTCGGCCGACCGACAACGACCACCAAACTCATTATGGTTTGTGAGCCGTCCGTCGCATCGCCTGCACAGGGACCTGGGGACCTGCACCCACGAGAGACATATCAACGGCAGTTGGCTGGCAGATTAAATGCTCCGATGGACTGCGTCTGGCCAACTCCGGAATGGCCAAAGTCCCCAACTCCCACACCTCATATCCCATGCATTAACTTCTAGCTGCAAATGAAGAGCAACCGGAAGAAAGACGAAAAAAACCGGAAAACATAAGAAGCGTGAATAATTACCTGCCAGGAGACGTGTCGAGTAGCGACGGCGGCCATTGAGCACGTAAGTTCTCATCTTTCATAGACCTGAGCAAGGTAGAGTCAGAAAAGAACATGGCTGGCCCCTCGGGAACATGCTTCATTATAGCCCAATCCTCAGCAATTGCCGGCTCCGGCTCCGCCTCTCAGCTTCACGCTGGCCAATCCCGCCAGCTGCCTTCTACCGTACACTCCTTCCAAGGGGCGTGGGAATCGATGCAACACAATTACTGAGTTGTTCCGCTCGCAAAACGCTTCTTAGGTTAAGAAAGAACAAGCCAAGCGTGTCTAATCAAGATTCGTCCTTCCGTTTTTTTCTGCACTCGTGAAAAGTTATTGAAATGTCTCTTTTCAATAAAGAAGAGGTGTGAACGAATATATTGAAGTATATGATATCTGAAGGACAAATTTCCTTTTTTGTCCCATTTCCAATCAAAGAAAAATCAAAATAATGGATTGAAGTGACTCTAGTCATATATTATCAATCTTTCCAAATTGAAAAAAACAAAAAAATAATTTTTTTATTAGTATGCGGAAGTTCTAAGCTCAAGTTTTTTTGCCAAGCTTAATTTTTTTATTATTGAGAGGTCAATAAAATGAGTCTGTAAAGCTTTGCAGAAAAAAGAGCAATATATCAGTATCACTTTCAATTAAACAGATGATGGGTTGGTACATTAACATATTTTTTTGAAGCTTATGTTTTTTTTAATCTCATAGATTAAATTTTGAAATGGAAATTTTCAGTTGTAAACATTTTTGGTTTGAGAATTATTTTTTTCCTAAATGTAGAGCAACTGAATTATTTTTCTCCATGATTCCAGATGTATGAGTCTTTTTTTTTCTACACTTTGTTTTGCGGAAAAATTATTCCAACTCCAGCCGACAATTCTCTTATGGCTAATTGGTGTTCTTCGAACTTCTTCCCGAAGGTGTCTCGTCAACAAGGGCCTTTGCTTTTTCGCGAAATCAATGATACGACAAAGTTGAAGATCTCATGAAATTTTTTTTCCAGATTTCAGTGAAATATTGAAGCTGTTTTTTTCTCGACTAATAAAAGGCTAAGAAAAAAACGCTTTCTAAAAAAAGAAATTCAAAAATTTTTTTGAAGATTCTCGTTATAACTTGATTTGATGATTTCATTTTATTGGAAAATATTAGAGCGACTTGATTTTTTTGCTTGAACTTTCTGAAATCTGAAACCTTCAAAAAAATAAAAAAACAGGAAACTGACAAAAGACTGAAAAGAGAACAAAGATGAAAAAAAGAGAAAAACAGATAATCTTTGAAAACGATTTCAGCCTTCTTCTCAGTCTTTGTAATCATTCTGTCTCTACGCCGCTGTTTTATTTGTACCCGGGAAACGAGATAAAAAAACTTTCTTTTCCGGCTGAAAATTTGTCTCTTCTTGATTCAAATTTGGATTACCGTTGGTGTCAGAAAAAAATTATTACAGGAAATTTGAATTTCCATTTTTTTCTATAATTTCAAGAATTTTTTTCTAATGGTTTCAAGATTATTGTTAATGACGTTTCAAAGCAGCAGCCATCTTCAAGGAGTCTTAAAATTTTTTTAGTTGATTTCGTTTCGCTCTGAATAAGTTACTAAAATTATATTTGAGAAGTGTGTGGGAGTTTATTCAATATATTTGTATATTTTTTGCAAGATACCAGTAAAAAAAATTACACAATCTTGGAATCGTGGTGTTGGAAGGATAAATCAAACGTGTCAGCTCGATTTTGTGAATTTCAAGAATTCGAAGCGACAGACGTCTCGAGGCTCGTCATATCGGGGTTCTATGCAAATGGCGCCCGCAGGCGTCGACCGTTTGTCATCGCGACGACTGTCTCCAACATTTCCAGGCAGCTGCCCTGCCGGACTTTTTCTCAAAATATGCAAATGCGGAGCCACAATTTGTAAGCGTTTCTGCACGCGCATCACTCACTAGCTGTTGCGATGTCTGAGATAACGCCGCAACGAATTTTTCAACGTCTCCTGATGTGTCCGACCCGGAATATCTTGCTGGTGCTTCATGTCTGCCAAGTTTCAAATCTTGGGTCTTGGCATTCCGCAGGAGAGCTTTTATTAGGAAGATAAATTTTCGAAAAAAAATCAACGAGAAATGATAAGAAAGGAGACTTACGGAATGATTATATTTTTCTAACTTGAAAACAGTTAGTTAGCGAATTTCCTTGAAATTTCGGCGCGTTAGAAAATATTGAAAATGGCTATTTTCGCTTTTTCTATTTTCATGTAAAAGAAAGTTCGTGGAAGGCCATAAAATGTCTGGAACATTTTTGGATCAAAATATATGAACTATAAAAACTCTGTAGGATCGTAAAAGTTGGAATTTTTCCGTCTATAGAAGATCTTGAAACCATTTGTTAACTACTCCATCATGCTTTTATCGTGGAAAATAGTTTACGACGGTTTTTCGGAATTTTGAAGTTACAGCAAATAAAACATTATTCTCATAAATAATGAAACATGGAGCTGTTTTTTACGATTTATGGCGTTATTTCTTGTTATCTTAACAACTTCAACTAGAGCAAACGAAGAAAAAAAGAAAAAAACCTCCTATCAGGGAAATCCTCTAAAATATTATAGCCAGTCGGAGTTCCGAAAAACCTTACAGAGTCATATCGAGCAGGAAGGGCATTTCTTCAGGTGTCGGAGGACGTTCAAGCTTGGGGTAGATGTTCTCCATGGGAAACGGCGGAAGCGACTGATGGGAATGGATAGCCAGGTAGTGATTGATATGCATCGCGTACAATGGAACTAACACGGCTACCCACGTAGTTTCATGATTCGATAATTAGCAAAACGCCCTAATTGACATATGACATCTACGTGGAAACCGCGCGATTGCGCAGATCTCGACAATTAACTGACTCTCCTTCGTCATTCTTTTTGAATCAATAAGAAAAAAAGTTAAACTCACTGGAATGAATCGAACACAGTCGAGAATCTGAAATCATTTTAGTTTGAAAGACGGAAATTCCAGGAAGAGTAAGAGATTAGTAAAACTTTGAGATGACTTCATGAAATAAAACTTACGTTGTGGGAACCGATATCTCGCAGTTTGATGATGAAAGATGATATGGAGCTGCCGCCATTTCGATCTCAAAAAATTGAGCCCTCACTAAGCAAAAATGAGTTTGGGCACAATGAAATTTGGATATTAAGGTGAATCGACTAAATAAAAAATATTCCTCGTCTGTCACCTGGAGGTTGAACAACAATTATGCAATGGCCTTACAAAAACAAATGCTTCTTGTTTTCAAGTGATAATTTTAATGAGCTACCGTACGCAGTGGGTTTGTTAGGCAATTCTGCGATCTGACAAATTCTGCGTGGGAATATTGCTGGGCAATTCCAAAAAGCACAACAACCATATTTTTACAATATTTGGAATTTATTGAGTCATTAAAAAGTCAACTTCATGCATCGCCATGAGGAGTACCTGTCTGAACACCGAGAATTCTTTTGTCATAATTTTTTTTCAGATCAAAACTTCCACACAATATGTACAATTGAACATACTTGTTCTTCAATTATTTTTTAGTATTGAACCATCACGTCAGCGTTTACTTCCAAAGTGAAAAGTCACTTCAGTTAGACTGAATAATTGAAAAAAAGTCGTAAGAAGTTTTTCGAAAAATTTTTTATTTTTGTCTTCATGAATTCAATCCAATCTAAATAATCATATTTCAAATTGTTGGTTCTCCTCAATGACAGTGTGTCATACGAAATTGCAACACTTTTTCAGTACAATTTTATGTCCTTCTGCGCAATTTTTGATTTTATAACAGATAAGAGAGCAAGAAGCGAATGGGGTGGACTTGCACGGACAATCAGAGAGTGATAATGAAAGGCTACAAGTGCGGACTCGCTATCACCTCTTGGCAGTACGATGGTGTTGGCGTGGAGAACGGCAGCCATCTGGCTGCTGGTTCTAGTCGCCGACGTCAGGCCTCAGACGGCTCGAGCTCAAGCTGATCTCATCGCCAACGGCCTTCCCGGCACAACTTTCCAGGTGGGTGTTTTCCAAGAGTTCCCTACAGCTCTCAGTTTTCTTCTTTGCGGAAAGCAAAAAATATTTTTTTCGAAAATAAAGTTTTTTCAGAACCATCAAAAGAAAAATATCAAGAAAAAAGTTTCTATAGAAGTGTTCAATCATTTTTTTCGCATCCAACTTTTCATCCGTACTTCTTATTTTTCAGCAATCATTCAAACAATATGCCGGATATTTGAAATCGAATCCTCAACTAACAACACCTGATCTCCATTACTGGCAAGTTTTCTTTTTTCAGAAGTTAAACTGAAATTTACGATAAACTTCAAAATCTCAAAGATGCGCAAATTTGGGTTTTTGAAAATCAATTTTATAAAAAAACTTGTCAAAACGAGATATGAATAATTTTCAGGTACATCGAATCTCAAAACAACCCCAGCACTGACCCTCTGATCGTGTTTCTCAACGGTGGTCCAGGATGCAGTTCTGTGTTCGGAATGTTGGAAGAGATCGGCCCATTCCGTGTGAATGCCGATACCCAAACTCTCTACGAGAACGTCTTTGCGTGGAACAAGGTACTTTTTCTCCTTGTCCAAAATTTTGAATTGCGTCAGATCTTTATTGCTTCTCACTTTCAACCGTCCTTCTGATAGCGTTTACAACTTTGACGCCACAGTTCATAACTTTATCAGAAAGACAATAAAGTGATTAAGAACAGGATAGAAAAAAAAAATACTCGGAAAGTCGAACTCTTTTGCTTTATAGATCTCGAACTTGTTGGTGATTGATGCACCCGGCGTCGGATATTCAATGCCAAATCAAGGTGTTCAAAACGATGATAATGTAAGAATTTTTAAAAAAATTTTTTTCATGAAATCGGCTCATTGAAGGTCGCCACTGCAATCTTGAATGCTGTCGTTGACTTTTTTGGAGTCTTTCCAATGCTTCTGGCAAATGACGTTTACTTTGGAGGAGAAGGATATGCTTCCTTTTTTGTTACAAATATTTCCTACAAGCTTCTTGTCAACCCACAAGGAGCTGTTCTGCCAAGCCCCATCAAAATTCGAGTTTGAACACTTGATGAAATTTGTTATGTGATATAAAAACCGTTTAGGGACTCATGATTGGAAACGGCGTTTTGAGCGCAAAACATCAATACAATTCTTTCATTCCATATACTTACACTCATGGTTTTGCTGGAAAAGAGTGGGTTTTGGCTGATGGAAATATCTAACAACTGTTTTCAGTCAATGGGACGCTTTGCGAAAAGTTTGCTGCCCAGGGCAATCGACTCTTGGCTGTGATTTCTACGGGAGCCAAGATCAAAATTGTCGTGCGAAGGCCGATAACGCTGTCAAAAATTGGATCTTCAGCTCGTAAGTTTTAAACTTCAGGAAATCAGAGTAGCAATTGTTTTCAGAATCGATCAGTATAATGTCTACCAAGATTGCTACCGCACCCTCATTGTTCTGAATGCAACTGCCACCGCAATGGGCTTGAAGGTAACTTGTACTTACTTAACATATGCAGGGGTGGGCATAAATATTGCACGGCCTTTATAACTCCGTTACTATCAAGTGGAACGGATTCAGACAAGATTGTCTGAAATTTTTTATCGGCGAAGTATCCAAGTTAGCACTAATAATTCAACTTTCGCTCCGATTTTCATTGGCCTCACTGAGCGCCTTGACTCTCTTGAAAAAATATTCGACTTTTGGACACAGATCGATCTTGTCATCCATTCTTGATGATGGAGACCATCAGCAGGTCCCGGTTGAAATAGAGTTTTGTCCAGGCGTTCAACTTCAAATATAAATATGCAGAATTGTCAAGGGGTTCGAATCTGGTGAGTAGCCGGTCCATTCCTTGACCGTGTTAAAATCGGGCAGATTGAACTCGCACGAGTCGTGCTCAGCTCGGGACTTAAAGCTTGACCTAAAATCTTGGTGGAAGAAGCAGCGACGGTTCGCAAAGTGGAAAACAAAAAAAAACAGATTGAAATTCCATTGGCAAAAAAGAAAGTTGGAATGATCGAAAAGTCCGTGCAATATTTTTGCACACCCCTGTAATTACTTTTAGGACGTTGTCAACTACAACTCAACAGACTCCTTGAACGGATATCCTTGCCGATCGTTCAGCTCCACGCAAATTTATCTTTCGAGACAAGATGTCCGCCAAGCGCTCCATGTCCGACCAGATATCACTACCACCTACAGATCTTGCATGTTTCTTACATTCTGCTTCTGATCGAAACCGAAGCGCTTCAGAAATGTTAATTTCCCACAGTTGTCAAACGACCTCTATCTGCCGATAACGTCGCTTATGACCCTACAAGGATACGAAACCAGAAAATTCAAGGTTTCATGTAACTGTGAAAAGTAAACTTATATGGAAAGTTCAGATCTTGATTTACAACGGAGATTTGGATGCGACAAACAACTTCATCGGGGCACAGAAATTTGGCCAGCAAGTTGCTGCTGGGCTGAATTTGAATGTACCCTGTGAAAGAAAAAAATACCGAAAATAATATTTTTAAGCAAACTGATGAACGCAAATGGCTGGCTAATTATAATTCGGCAGCGTTCAAATGGATGGACGGTGGAATGGTGACCAGATACAGCAGTCGCTTCGACATTCTCTCAATTCTGGTGAGATTTTTTTGGAATAACTTTTTTGCAACGCGAGCTTTGCTTTGAAAATTTTAATTCCTTTTGCAGGGGGCCGGTCATTTCGCCCCTCAGAGTCGTCCTGCTCAAACTCTGCAAGTGATCCGAGACTTCGTTCTCGAGTTCTTCTATAACAACTGCCTTGGAAAAGTTAACATTGCCGCCGCTCCGCTGCTCCAGCAATATCAGCAACCGGCCACTGCAGCCGCTCGAAAAGCCGCCGATAAGGTTGGTTGGCAGCAGTCGTAAAAACGAATTTTTTTTTAATCAATTTTCGACAATTTCATGACAAATATGTATACCAAAAAATCTTCATAGCATGATCAGAGAGAGAGAGAGAGAGAGAGTAGTGTTTGACTTTTTCTTGCAAAGAAAAATTGGAAAGCCTGTTCAGCTTCAAAAACTATCAAACTCATTCCTGTGAAAAATTCATTTCCTATCATTCTTTTTATTAGAGTTTTGCAGATCATCAGTCTTCCTGGATTAACTTTCCAAATCAACTTCAATCATTATTCTGGATACCTTAACGCTTCGAATACGCACAAATTCCATTATTGGTAGGATACTAATGTTTTTTTTTTTAAAACCATAGTAACTGAAAGGTACGTCGAAAGTCAAAATGATCCAGCCAATGACCCTATCCTTCTATGGTTAAATGGTGGCCCTGGCAGCTCTTCTCTTTGGGGAATGTTCACGGAGAACGGTCCATTCAGACCGAACTCTGATGGGCAAACTCTTTACGAAAATATTCATTCATGGAACAGAGTAAGCTGAAAAATAAGGACGCAAAGAAACGTCGTATGGTTTAGTTTGCCAACGTTTTGTACTTGGAATCACCTCACCAAGTTGGATTTTCGTACTCTACTGTATCCAATGACAACACTTACAACGATGATTTAGTGGGTGAATTAAAACGACATCAATCTTCGAAGAACCATTTCAGACAGCCAGTGACAACTACGGAGCGCTCAAAGACTTTTTCTTGAACATTTTCCCAGAAAAGCTGAACACTCCGTTTTACATAACCGGAGAATCATACGGTGGAGTTTACATTCCGACTTTGTCAAAGCTGCTCATTGATAAAATAAACACTGGCGACATCAACTTGAACTTCAAGGTATTTCCTCTCAAAGTCAGGTTTTCATAAGCAAGTTAAGGGAATTGCTATCGGCAACGGCGAGCTCACGACGAGGCTTCAGGTCAACTCGGTCATCTTCCAACTTTACACCTACGGATTGGTCGGAGAAATGTGAGTTTCATCATCGATGCTCTCAAAAAGGCGAGCTTTTTCCTCGAAAAGCCTATCTTGTTTACGATAGCTGTATTTTGACAAAATGTGTTGCAAAATAATGTCTCGTTACAAGGAATTTTAAAGGCCTTAGATTGAACATTCTTTTTTGCTTTATTTTTTATACGCTTTCAAACTATTCAGGCAATACAACGAACTAGTTTCCCGCTGTTGCCAAGCCAATATTACGGACCCAACTCAATGCGACTTCTACACGCCTTACATTTACTTTGATAATCTCGGGAATTACCAGCCAGTTGCCGGTGCCGATCAATTTTGCGTTAAAACGGTGTGATGATTTTTTACTGACAATTAAATTTTTATTTTAGGTTTTGAGCATTGCAAACGACATGGTTTGGCTTTCTCAAAATGATCCTTATAACATCTACCAAGATTGTTATGCCGTTTCTGGCTCAAGTAGCACAAGCTCTCGAAACCCTGCAAGTGCGAGCAGCAACGCTTTCCTCGACATTGGAGTTAGTTTTCCCATTCGAAACAATGAAAATGCCATGTTATAACCGTTTTTTTCGAAGTTATCGAGCTTAAAATTGTGATGGTCTTTTTGATATCAAACAAAAATTTATCACAAAAGGCTAATTTTGCGCATCATTTTTCAATCAAAAACTCTCTCGAGTGTTATGAAAAATACGAAAAAAATTAACGTCGAGAGAATATGTTAAAAAAGCACAACAACCAAAAAAAAAACAAATACGTTTAATACTTAGAGCACCAATTCCGCTATATTTTTTCGCGCGCAAATTCAAATTTTTTTTTATCTTATCAAATCATTTTTACTTTGATTATAAAAGTTTGACCTTATGTGTTCAATCAAAATGATTTTATTTAGTCGGTGATCAACAAAGACTCCTCTGATCCATTCAATGGGTTCCCGTGCTGGGGAGATGCAGCAACGACGGTTTACTTCAATCGAAAGGACGTCCGCCAGGCTCTACATATCCCCGACTCCGTACAACCATGGGCTCAGTACAAGTAGAAAATGGAAAAACGTATGAAAGTTTATCATTGGAATTTTATAGCGACCAGATCAACACGCAACTCTACAAGCGCAGTTATTTCGAAATGGGTGATACGTTAAGATCAATTCTTGGAAGCTACTTTTACAACGTGAGTATTTTTAGAAAAGAAAGTTTTCAAAAAAATGGCTACAGGTGAACGGCATGAAACTTTTGATTTATAACGGAGACACGGATATGGTTTGCAATCACTTGGGAGATCAATGGCTTATTGAGCAATTAGCCGCAAACATGTCTCTTCAAGTATGATGGAAAAATAGATCGAACATCAAACTTTTAAAATTCCAGACAACTCAGAGCCGCAGTCCATGGTTCTACACCATCGCAGGTACCGATCACTCTGCACAACACTCCGGATTTTTCAAGGTGCTACTGAAAAAAAAGAAGCCAATAATATCATTTTTCAGACATTTGACAAAAACCTTTGGTTGGTAACAGTAAAAGGATCGGGTCACTTGGTTCCTCAAGACCGTCCTGGTCCAGCATTGCAAATGATTTACAACTTTGTCAAAGTGAGATTTTTCTATTGCATTCTACGGTATTCAAAAAAACGCTCTGAAGGAGAGTTCAATAATAGTAAGAAAATTTTTTCTCTTCTGCGTTTCAGTTGTTACACGAAATTGAAAATCTCGTTATATACAACTCATCGATAGTTGATGCCCAAGTTAAAAGATTTTATAGGGAGAGTCAGGAAGGAGTGAACTCTTTTGTAATTTGAAGTCAGAAGACGTCAAATTTTACCTCTTTTTCACCAAAAAAAGATTTTGATTGAGATTTGAATTCATTACTAATCATTGAAGGGCATTGCGTTGAACACTACGTATCCGACGTTCTTAAAACCAGCGGCTCTTGTTCCATCTTACACAACAATCGGATCTTGTGGAGCTGAACAGTACCCGGATTCGCAAACGATGCCAACTTTGCCGCCTTTCCCGCCCCTCCCACCTGGTGTCACCATTCCTTTCGCTGCCAAGAAAGACGACGAGAAAGAGAACCGTCGTGAAAAACGTTCTGTCAAGCCCGACTTCTTCCTCAATACCAACCCCAACGTTCCAACAAACCTCACTCAAGCCGCGCTGAACGACCTGATTCTAACTCTTCCTGGAATCACTTTCAACGTTTCTTTCCGTATGTTCTCTGGATACCTGACTCCTGATGAGCGTCCACTCAACCATCTGTTCTATTGGTAGCTGTAATTGAACGTTAGTCAACTTTTCAATGTGTCTTCAGGTTTGTTGAATCTCAAAACGATCCGGTCAACGACCCTGTTGTTCTTTGGCTGAACGGTGGACCTGGCTGCAGCTCATTAGGTAAACTCTATTCTTATCTATGTGTTTCTGATTTTATGAGAAGGCTTCTAATGATAGAAAAAATTCAGGAGGCTTTTTCCAAGAACTCGGACCTTTCCACCCAAACGATGATGATGGTCAAACAATTTATGAGAACGTTTATTCCTGGAATAAAGTAGAGAGTTTTTATAACCTTTAGCTGTTTTTTTTTCCAGAAAGCAAACGTCATTTTCCTTGAAGCACCTGTCTATGTTGGATTCTCCTACACAGATGATAAGAACTACGTTTGGAACGACGACACGGTTCATATTAGACAATCTGGAAAAGTGAAAAACTTTTTTTCTAGACTGCCGACAACAACGCATACGCCATCAAAACTTTCTTCCAAAGAAACTTCCCACAATACGCTCAGAATGAATTTTTTGTCACTGGTGAAAGCTATGGTGGAGTGTACTGTCCGACGTTGACGCTCAACCTCATTAATTTTATTGATGGCGGCCTTTTGAATCTCAACTTCAAAGTAATAGAACCTTATGTTTTCTCCTCAGATGTGGGAATTCAGGGAACAGCCGTTGGAAACGGAATTCTCAGTGAATACTTGCAAACAAATTCTGAAATGGCGTTGCAATATGGAAGAGCTTTGAATGGCTTGGAGTAAGTGGCAAAATTTTGAATATCATGATTTTTCCGAGTCATACTTTATCAAGAAAATTGGTTTTCCAATGTGAATCTATTCTGGATCTTTCTTTATCAGAAAAGTCAGTGATTATCAACTATCAATAAAATCGATGAAGGCGGGAGCTTTGGTTTAAAATTTGTTTAAAACCCTTAGAAGGTGTTTCAACTTCTGAGAAAATAACTTGAAAGGTAGATACAGTTTCAAAACCAAATTCAAATTATATTCAGAAACAAATTTTTGTTTTTATCTTCTTTTTCTAAACTTTCACAGAAAATTGTGAATTTACAAGTTTTTAGTGACTGGAACACAATGAAAAATGCTTGCAACATGAATGGTCCAAATGCTCCTAATCCAATTTACTTCGATTACTCGAGTGCTCCCGAAAATTCAACGTGCGGAAAGTATGTCGATCGAAATCAAGACTACTACTACGGCTACCTTTACAACTTTTGGTAGGAGCTCAAATTAGATTATATTTCTGAATGTCAATTTTCGCAGGGGAGATCCGTACAATATCTACCAAGATTGCTATCTGATGTACGACACTGTTCCTCCTCCTCCTTCGAAGACTTCTTTCCGTAAAATCAACGGCCGACCTTCCAGAAGAGCCATTGCAGCAGAAGCTCTGCGAAGAAAGAGCCAGCGAGTTTCTGCCAGCTCTTCTCAGCCCAAGTTCGTCAACAATTATGTAAGTCTGAAAAGTTATAATTTTCAAGGAGACTTTCTCCAATAATGTTCTAACCCGTTTTGTTGTTTTCAAAAGAAAATTCTGGTGTGACATCCATAGGAATAATTTTTTCTCGAAAGGCTTTTGAAAAAAATTAAATTAACAATTTTAATGAGTTCAAAAAAACAAAATCAAGCATTTTCGTTTCGAAAATAAACAAAGAAAAACGGCAAGAGTATTTTTTTAATTGGATTGGGCGCAGACTGGTTCTGCGCCATTTGGTTTAGGATAAGTTGAAAAAAATGAGCGTTATGGTAGAATTTTCTCTAAATCAATTTTTCTTTGATTCTACGCTTCTGTTAGTTTTTTTTGTAAAAAGTTTTTGTATTGTTCAAGGAAAATGATTTGAACCTATACTGAATTTTCAAGTACAGCGTAAACGTTTTCTTTCGATAGTTTTGCTACCGAGAAACACTCACGGATCGAATAAATTGAAGCTTATTTCTTTTATCAATACGTCAATCTGGGCAAAATACGAGTTAGTAGGACACTCTTCTGAACGGCATTCATTGCAATAAAGCGTGTATTTTTTCAGGACAAATCTTGGTATGGCTCAACGGACGCCTTCCGGGGGCTCATGTGCTTCAGTGACAGTGCCATGCGTAGATATCTCCGTCGAAATGACGTCCAGCAAGCGATTCATGCTAAAAGCACACCAAGATGGAGCGATTGCGTTGAGTATGTTTTTTCCTTTCTTTTCGTTTCCACTCTTTTCAAAGTGGGAAAATTGAAACATTTTTTAAACATTTTTCAGTAATCCGAGGTGGGACTACGAGACTCAAGAAAAATACTACGACATGAGTGATACCATCAATGCCATCATGGACTCGAAATGGTACTACTTTTCAATATTCGTCATCCATTTTTTTTCAGGTATACTTCGAATACCATGCGTTTATTGTTCTACAATGGAGACGTTGACACCATCTGCCAATTCCTCGGCGACCAGTGGCTGATTGAAAATGTCGTCCAACAGAGAAACCTCAGCGTGAGCTTTTAAAATTGTTTATTTTCGTTGAACCAATATTTTAAGATTGTTTACGACCGACAACCATGGACCTACCAAAAATCCTCACAATATCAAATAACAATCGCTGGTTATGCCAAAAGATGGACGCAAAACTTGGCCCAAATTACTGTGAAGGTTTTTTTGTTCACAATATTTTGGGTGAAAGTTTTGATTTCCAGGGTTCTGGCCACTTTGTCCCTGCAGATCGCCCGGCACAAGCTCTTCAGATGCTCATCAATTTCGTGAGCAACCAACAAAATTTTAGTGTTCCTGCAAATGTGAGGAAATCGTTGAAAATCAAATTGTATGCTCTCTTCAGGTCGATGTAACGCCTTCTACACTTTTCCCAACTTATCAGACCCCTACTAACAACTGCACTCGCTCGGTGAGATTCAGTCATAAGCCATCTGTCAATCAATGATTTCAGCAATCAGATCGTATTCTGGGACTTCCCGGACTTGCCCAAGATTTGCAATTCCGTCAATACTCCGGTTTCCTCGATGGCTTGCCAAACCACAAAATTCATTATTGGTTTGTTAATTTTTTATAATTTTCAATCTTTTGCTTTCTAGGCTGGTAGAATCAGAGAGAGATCCGACTTCCGATCCACTAATTTTGTGGCTCAATGGAGGACCAGGTTCGAGTTCTCTCATGGGTCTTTTCGAAGAGAATGGTCCCTTCCGCGTTTCAAAAGATGGTCAGAGACTCACCAGGAATCCGTACGCTTGGAATCAGGTTAATTAACAACGTTTTTCTTCCATAGTTTTTTGAGCTTAGTTTGCGAATGTACTGTACATCTCTTCCCCTGTCGGTGTCGGTTATTCATACTCTACTGACGGAAGCGCACCAACTTATAACGATAATGCGGTAATTCTTGAATTTTAGTTCTCTCATATTATTTTCTCAAAGGATTACAGACAGCTGCTGAGAACTACGCGGCACTGAAAAACTTCTTCGCGCTCTACCCTCAATACACTACGAGCAGATTTTATGCTACTGGAGAGTCATATGCAGGAGTCTACCTCCCAACTCTCGTAAACCTTATCGTGCAAGGAATCGCATCTGGTGATTTGAACATCAATTTCAGAGTGAGCGAAATGAAGGAAAGAAAAGATTCCATTTAAATTTTCCTTAGGGCATGGCTATAGGAAATGGAGTTCTTGACAAAAACGCTGACACAAACTCGCTCTTCCACTTCCAATACTACCATGGTGGAATCACCTACACGTATGATGTTCAGCTTATCACATAAAGAAAAACAATCAGGCAATACAAAACGGCGATCGGCTTGTGCTGTCCAGAAGGCGACGAATTCGACTGCCAACTGAGCTCGCATTTCTCTTTGTGGAACAACTCTGTGCCTTGGGGAAATACTTCTGATCCTTGCTACGGCTACGTATGGAATCAAATTTTTTATTTATATCTATTTTACCTTCGATGGGGTGAAATTCCAACTCATTTTTCTGTTCCGATCCTGGGTAATTCTTTAGTGAACAGAAAATCATTTTAGGCTCTTTCAATTGGCGTGAACCTTTTGCTAAATGCTTTCGATCCGTACAATCTGTACCAACAATGCTGGACACTACCGTACAACAGTACCACTCCACCGAGCCCTTATGGAGAAAAATGGGTATTTCTCATTCGAAGTTCAGATCTGGTCAATCAGATACTTTTTCAGACAGGAATTAATTACGATTCGACAGATCCTTTCGATGGCTACCCGTGCTATATGGATGACGCCATGCAGACTTTCTTGAATATTCCAGCTGTCAGAACTGCTTTGAACATTCCAGTTTCAGTGCCAATGTGGCTTGCAAACAAGTTTTTTTTGATGTTAGCGAAAAGCTTCAATTTCTTCAAATTTTTCAGCAATATTATCAATGCCTACACTCAGCAAGTCGACTCGAGCGCGCCTTACTTGTCGAGTATACTCGATAAGTATGTTTCGGAAGACGTTCTCAACTTGACCGATTCTTTTTCAGAGCCCCAGACGGCTTCAAAATGCTTTTCTACAACGGTGACGTCGACACAATGTGCAATTGGCTGGGGGCCGAATGGTATACAACGCAACTTTTCGAACAAGCTTTCAATTTGGACGTTCGTTCCAGTGCGATTCGATATATAATCTTCAAAATATTTCAGACTGTTCAGCCAAGACGTCCCTGGACTTACCAAGTAGACACTATTTTTTATCCGACTATCGCCGGGTACTCAAAACGGTACTCCAATAACATTGACGTCCTAACTGTGAAGGTGAAAAACCGATGAAAGTTTGAGTAATGAAGCTTTTTAAGGGATCTGGACATTTTGTTCCTCAAGATAGACCGGCTCAAGGACAGCAAATGATTTACAACTGGATCAATTCCTTGGACTACAGCACTCCAATAAACCCACTTCCTCTCACTCCAACTTCCTCACCCGCAACAACTCCGTCATCCCCCACGACCAAAGTTACAAATGCTCCGCCAGGCTCCACTGTGAGCGGTCAAACGGCGGCGACGCTCACCACCGCCATTGGTCCAACTCAAGCACCAGGCTCCTCAAAAGTACATTTTTTGAATATGTCCAAGGAAATTAAATCTCGTTTTAGGCGCCGTCCAATTCATCGACTCAAGCTCCTGGTTCGAGCTCTCCAAAAACAACAGTTCCTGGAAATCCTACTACATATGTTCCTCCGAGCACTACCAAATCAGCAATTCTTAACTTCTATTTTCTTTCTTTATTTGTCCCGTTTGTGTTCCTTTTGTTGTAAATCAGATGTTTTCAGTCGTTTTTTATGAGCTTTGTTGGAAAATATAAATAATTTATTGATACAATCTGTTAAACTTATTCTTATTTCTTTGAAAGAAGCAACTCTTCAAAGTCAGAGAAAACATTTCCTTGACAAAAAGTTCGAACTTCTCAGTCTCAAAAGTCGGTTGGAGAAATAAATAAACATTAACTTTCTTTTGCCGCCAAATCAGGAATTCGTCAGGAATAAATGATTTGGGAAAATCTGAAAAGTTTACAAGCTGAAGAGAGCAATAAAATATTGCTTTTTTGACTCGTTTGAAGCAAATTCGATACGGTAAACAAGACAGTAGGAGGATGACCTGAGCGGCGAAGACCCGCCTCTGCCGCTCGCAAGGCGCGCGGCCACTCTACACGGTGCTTCTCGGCTTCCTATAACAACAACTCTAATCCGCTAGCACGTCTTCGTGCCCTCCGAGATAGGACTTTGTTTATTTTCGAGCTTCTGTCGACCTCAACTTGCTACGACAGCCCTTTTTTGGGGAGGTGAAGCCATCCAATTCGTTTTTTTTTTCTGGGATGTGGCAGTTTGGATTATGATTTTGTTGCTCTTTCTACTATTGACCGTTTCGGACGTGTTTGGTCAATGTGAGAATAAGGTAATTTTTAAATTAATATTTTATATTTTGCATTTAAAGTATACATTTATAAAGTATATAAACAACAGATTATTCTTCCAATTTTTCGTTCAGAACAATAAGAAGACTTTTTTTGTGGTCCATTAGCGATCCAGCGTCTCGATCGAGAGGATACTTATTCGGAACGATTCATGTACCTTACACGGAAGTTTGGAACGAAGGTAACACAAAAAAGTTCAACCGAATCTCTCATTTCATATTCTTCGAGCACCTGGATTTCTTTTCAATTATTTATTATCCGCTAAACCTCGAAGTTTTTTTTAGCGCTATCATTTCTCAAAAAAAAAGTAAAGCAGGGCCACCTGCTGGCCTAAAACATAAACGCCCGAACAAGCTCTTTGTCGAATTTTTGAGCACCTTTTCGCGCTTTCCGAGGTAATTACGCGTGAAGGGAACAATCGAAGACCCAATCCTACCTGCACCACAAAAAGTCGAAGAGTTTCCTGCAACTCGGGGGAAGAGTCTTAGAAAACGAGTCCTGATTAATTGAGGCAAATCGCGCTGACCACCTGCTAGTGCAATAATTATAGGGAATCTGCCTAGAGTGATTTGAATAGAAATAGCTTGTAATTTATTTGTTTTAGTGAGCGACCGAGTGAGGGAAGCTTTTGCCTATTCGGATACTGTACTTCTGGAAGTGGACTTGCGAGATGAAACCACCGTGAGACGTCTTATTAGATGCAAGAATATGCGTCGGAAGCAGACAGCAAAATCATATCTTTCGTCTGATTTTTACAATAGGATACAACAATGTAAAGATTTTTGTAATTGGATCTATACGATATTAAGTTTTTCAGTGATGAATGCGTTTCGAAAAAAGTTGATGCTTTGGGCACAAAATCAAACTCACTATGCTGAAGCTCATCGCAGAGCCAACGAAGTCTTCGAAAGCATAGCAGGTGAAAATTTTTTTCAAATTGCATAACATTAAAAGAAGCAAACGTGAAACATAAAAAAAAATTGTTTGCTGTACGGTGCAGTGGTATCAGAGGTATCGAGTTCAGGTTTGGGTGCCTTGGCGCACAAAGGACTCACAAACAAGCGCGTGAAGAGGCTCTTGAGCTTGTAACGCGGCAAAATACAATTCCACGGGCACACAAGGCACAGACAAACCTTTCTGGCACGAAAAACCCAGCGAGGTCACGTGCTCTGACAGAAAAAAAGTGTGCTCTATGTTTTGAAGCCGGTATTTGTTCAATTAATCAAAGAGTATTCCAAATTTTTATGAGCGAGCGATTTTTTTGTGAAGTGATTGCCATAAAAACTTGGTTGATTGATTAACTTGATTGATCAAACTTTTAATTTGTGACTCAATCTGTATCCAATTCGGACATCTCTCTCGTCAAATGCTTGAATATTGAAAACTCAAAGGTTTTTCTTGCAGTGCACTGGGATCGTAAGAAGCCGGAATGGCTACTCTTCCTACTGTATCAAATGTGTGAGAACGTCGTGGAGCGGCCGAACTCTCCGATGTTGGATCTCTACCTCGCTCAAAAGGCGTTCGACGACGAAAAGAAGATCCGCGCCATAGAAACAACCGCCGAACAGTGCAACCCGGTGGTTTCGGTTTCTCAGCAAGATGTGCGTGTTCTGTTTGCAAACCTCGTCCAGTTGCGCAACCGATACCATATGTCCTCGCCGTGTTTTCGGATGCGCTTTTCACACCTTCCACTGCGCAAATAATAGCAGTTAATACACGAAGAGTCAATTAGGTGAAGTGCACAATCGCAGAAAGGACCAGTAATGCACCAACACAATGGCTCCACCACTTGGAGCAGGGTCATCTGAAAATTTGAGCGTTCAAGGACTGGTCCTCAGAAAAATTTAAAATCCTATGATCGAAATATTTTACTTGCGCTGCCCTGCTTTCGTGAGAAAATCATTTTTGCAAAAAAAAACTACACTGTGATTCTATCACTAGGAACATCATAGCTTTCTGATTGCTGGCTTGAAAAATTATCAATTTATTGGTCTTTACATGATGAGCAAAAGTTCGTGTAAAAGAGAAGATTTTCAGATTTTCATGCTATGACTTATAACAAACAGCGGGTGAATATAACCTTTTTCCTTTATATGTTCTTATGAGTTTAAGTATTTGCAAAAACTACATGAATTTTGATGATTAAAAAAATGAGCCTTCGTGGAAAAAAAAATAATTCATCTGACTTTTACCCCAAAATTGTTTGAATATATTTAGGACTGATAAACCTATTTTTCTGATCTATCTGCGTCATGAATAGCTTCAAAGTATGCAATATCACTCCGTTTTGATACCTTCAAAACTCGTGAAAAAGCTTAACAGCGTCAGAAAATCAATATAATTCATCAAAAAAAAGTCACTATTTTCACTCAAAAATCTCTTTTTTTCTTCTTTTGTTTTAGAAGAAAAATAAGAATGTGAATAAAAAGGCATTAAAGAGCTTTCAGATAATCTTCGCTATCGAATATACGGTGAAGCATCTGGAGCACATTTTCGGAGCTCATCGCAGTCTGCCTTCAAAGAAGGAAAGGTCAATCACAGAACTCGTGCGCCATTATCGCTGCGGATCATTGGAAGAAAAAGTTTTCAATAGCAATGAAATCTCAAGGACTGACGTTTCTGCAAGATTTGAAGATCGATTGCGCGCCGAAATGGTAGAAGCCTTCAAATGAGCTCATTCATAAGATTGTTTTCAGATTGACCGACAGTTGAAAGAAGATATCATACTTAGACGCAATCATCGCATGGCTTACAGATTGGATCAAATATTGCAGGCTGATTCTCAAAATGTCGTTTTTTCGGCCATAGGAACAGGTACAGAAACGGATAGAAGTTCAGAATGAATAATGAATCATTCAGGGCACTTTTTTGGTAATGACAGTATTCTTAACTTACTGCGTCATCAAGGGTATGTGATTGAAGAGATCACGGAAGATGACATAATGTGAGTTTCACCATCATTCCATTCGAATTTCCAATATTTTTTCCCAGACTTCCGCCACTGAAAGCCAAATCGGAGCTAAAATTCAACTATTTATGGACGAGAGAAACGACTTTTAACGATGACGATGTTGTCATTGAGTTTATCCCATCGTCTCATTCAAACTATTTTTCGCATTTTACCATTTTAGCTGCCATTTTATTTATTTTTTGAATTTTTCGAGGTGATCTTCCAATTGATCTCTGTTGAAATTTGTATCTGAATTCATTCCACGTGATAAAGAACATATTTAATGCACAATTTTTAAAACTAACACTGGGAAAGCAATCGAATAAGGTAGAGCATTGTGACATGAAGGATTTAAAAATCTCGCTAATTCTGGAAAGCTAAGGAAAAAAAATGAGAGCTTAAAAACAGTGAAATGGCGTAAAGTAATTGCAACTGAATTTCATGAGCAATTTCTGCGATGATTCTTAGACGTTCTTGATGAGTTCCTGGGCGATGGTCGTTCCGAGTTTGGCTGGAGAGTCAGTAACCTGCAAAAAAACACAATAAATAGATCGTATTGAAAAGCAAATTATTAGAGTTTCGTAGAGAAAAAATTAGTTTTTTTTAAACAGTCGTCTATAGTACATAAAGTTTCAAATTTGCATCTGTAAGAAAAATTTTCTTCAGAAGTTTGAGAATATCTTTTTAGTTGCTACTGTAAATCTTAATTTTAAAAAAGCCTTTTTATTTTTGTGACGTCATTCAATTTTTCAATTTATTCAGTCTTCAGAGTAAGATGAAAAAAAATCTCTGCTGAATCAGGGTATAATCGAAGAGTTAGTCGTCGGCGCGGGTTACGGTCCACAATCGTTGTCCAATACGTCCCGGGGAATAATCCGACGTTACCAACATTTTTTATTTTCAGCATGAAAGTATAACCATTTGATCCGTCTCGTCGAGGTACGTACGAATATCATAAAATTATTTGGCGCTAGTAAGAAGAAATAACTTTATGATGTGCAAAAACCAGAAAAAAATTTCAAAAAATTTCAAAATTTCGCTGCATTTTTTTGATTCAATTCAACTATCGCTACTACGCCATAAGAAAAAAAAATCTTTTAAAATAGGAAAAAATTTGAAAATTATTCGAATAAAACAATGCAAGAAAGAAAAAAAAATGAGAAACCACAGTAAAAATAAGCGACCGCGTCGAAGCCCGCGCTTACGCACAGTATGCTCCTTTCATATTTTTTCTTTTTTTTTTGGGAAATACATTCACAGATTTTTTGCTACGCGTATCAAGTTTGCAAATCGTTCAGAGCTACCTGATAGTGTTTTTAGTGTCCACGTTTTGAAACTACATGCTTTTTATGTCAAGTATTTCATTTATTTGACGAATTGTTCACTGTGGCTCAGTTTTTTCAAAGCGAGCCACAGTCGGCTTTGCGCTATACGCGCTCCGCCTCCGTGTGAAGCCTCAAAACTAAACCTATTTTTTTAAGTAATTCATTAAAAGAAAAAGCAAAAACTTCTATTCCTCAGAATAATTACTTGATTGAAAGCTAATAAAGTTCATCTTAAAATTTTTCTAAGTGGTCAGCGCCAAATAATTTTATGATGTTCGTACGTATCTCGACGAGACGGATCGAATGGTTATACTTTTATGCTGAAAATCAAACATGTTGGTAACGTCGGATTATACCCGTCCCGGAGTGACAGGTAGCGTTGGGAAATAATGTTGGCCCGTTGGTAGTACCAGCGAATAAACTGCTTCACCATGACGTCATTAAAGAAGTTTATTTCAATATAACTTGTATATTAAAAACATTCATAACTTAAAAACTTGAGTTCTCACATGGCTAAAAAAGAAAAAACGAAAAAAACAAACAATAGCTCCAGCTTCCTGCAAAGCCTTGATCTTGTCAGTAGCGGTGCCCTTTCCTCCGCTGATAATCGCTCCAGCGTGACCCATTCTTCTGCCTGGAGGAGCAGTTAAACCGGCAATGAACGAGACAACCGGCTTTCTGTTTTTACCCTGAAGTTGCCTTGAAGTTCTATCACTTTTTAGGTTATATTACCGAATTGTTTTTAATCAAGAATCGCGCAGCTTCTTCTTCAGCGGAACCTCCGATCTCGCCAATGAGAATGATTCCTAGAATTTTCTGTTTAAAATTTTTATTTTGAAATGATGATGATGATTAACACACGAAAAGGCAAGTAGTCACTGTTCATTTTCACAAGGCATTGAAACGTGAGATTTTATCAACATTGGAAAGAAATTAAGACGATCGACAATCAATTGGATAGTCGATTCAGCTGAGTGCTCGGAAGCCATTTTTGAAATCAGTTTCAGCCTTTTTTTCGAAAAAAAAATTTTTAGTTCATCTTTAGTTTTTAAAAAAAGAAATCTACTAGGTTCTCAAAAAGTCTAAACCTTTCGTTTCGTTGTCCTCGAGGAAAACTTTGAGACAATCGATGAAATTGGTGCCGTTGAACGGATCTCCGCCGATTCCGACGCAAAGAGTCTGTCCCAGTCCGACCTGTGTTGTTTGGTGGACAGCTTCGTAGGTGAGAGTACCCGAGCGCGAAACGATGCCAATGATTCCCTGAGAGGAAAAATTCAAAAAGTCTAGTCTGTGGCAAAACTATTCGAGTAATAAAAAGCTTTCCAAAGAGCTCCTCACCCTCTTGTGAATGTGACCTGGCATGATTCCAATCTTGCACTGATCAGCTGAGATGATTCCCGGACAGTTAGGGCCAACCAAACGAGTCTTGTTCTGCTTCACAAGACGCGATTTTACTCGGACCATGTCCTGAAAGGCTTTACTAGTTAAAATTTGTGAAAAAATCTGTTTTTCTTTTAAAGATAAATACATACGTGCTGAGGAATTCCCTCGGTGATGCAGACCACAAGAGGAATTTCAGCGTCCATGGCTTCTTCGATGGCGTTTGCAGCAGCAGAAGCCGGCACGTAAATGACTGATGCATCGGCTCCAGTTTTGTTACGTGCCTGAAAAACAGGATGTTTGATGTCATCTAGCATTATTGCTTTGGGAAAGGTTGCCGAAAAAACAGAAAAATCAAAATGAGAAAAGCAAACAACGTTTTTTTCTACAGTTGAAGAAATTGAGATTTAAATCAGTTTTAATAGCGTTATTCTCATGGAAAAAATAGAGTTGTTGAGCGAATAATTTGCATTGAAGTTATGAAGATAGAAATATGGAATCATTTCAGAAAAATTCTGTAGCAGCTTTTTAAAACCACGACCGGAATTTTATTGAAAATACGTTAGCAATGTCTTTCACTCTGAACTCAAAATCTGACTAATATAAGATAAGTGGCACGAACCTCGGTGACATTTTTGAAGACTGGGAGGTTCAAATGAGTAGTGCCGGCCTTTTTCTCGTTCACTCCACCCACAACTTTTGTGTTGTACTCAAGCATCTGCTTTCCATGGAAAGTACCCTAATTTTTTTTCAATAATTTCATGAAAAACGCATTAAAGGTTACCTGCTTTCCTGTAAAACCTTGGATGATGACTTTGGTGTCCTTGTTGATTCTCAAGTTGTTATAGGTGCTGTTATAGAACCGCAGGCTTCCTTGAAATTCAATTTTAAAATTTCAAAAAACAAAAATTGGATTACTGAAAAAAACTTGCTAAGCAAATGACTTCGAAGAATTTTTTTCAGAATTTTGTAAAAAAACCTTTCGGAAGAACTTGCACGGTTTTTGGTGATCGTTTGGCCGAACATTCTCTCACCAGTGGTTGCCCTAAAAAAATTTCTGAATCAAATTAAAAAAATATTTAGGAATATGAATAAAGCTGATATAGAAATATGTTCGGCGCAAAAAAAAGCATCAAAGAATTGGCAGCGCAAAACTCGGATTTTACGCAGCGAATACACTCTTTGGCTGCCGATCCGACGCTAAACTATTGAGCGCCGCTGTTCCTCTCCAGGACCACACTAACGTAAATATGCATCCTTCCGGCGCGCCATTTGCTGTTTTGACTTCGGTGTATTTTTAACGTTCTATGGAAACCCCAAAATTGAAATTTTATTTTCATCAATAGAAAAAGTGTCTTATTCTCGGAATCATTCATTTTTTCGATTTTCGATGTGGAATAAAATTATTAAAGTTATCAAATAAAGTTAATTCTTTATCAAAAAAAGTTACTTTTACGGGCAAAAGTGTTATGAAAAACCTGTATAATTCTAAACTTTTTTTCAGGGATCGAGTCCAAGAAAAAGCTTGAAAAAGTTTAATGATAACAGAAATTTAAAGAGCTTCTCCGCTTTCTGAATATTTCTAATAAAAGATGCCACCGGTCTAAAAATTTCTCAAATAAGTTTTTATAAAGTATATTTTTTTCCTCTCTCCTAATTCCATTGCTTTGAAAAGAAAAAATAGGTTCGTTTTTGAGCTTCTTCTTTTTGCTCACTCTCGTCCTAATCACGTGAAAATCTCAACTGAATTTAGCGTTTAACGAACTATAATTTCGGTACATTCAAACATCAATTTTGATGTATAATTCCGAAAGAAAATATACGGGTGAATTCATGATTCGCCTGATTACGAAATCGAATCAGTGCATTATAATTTATTCAAGCGTTCCGTCGTGGCAGTCTCTCATAGCACAATGTCCAATTGTTTTGGTCCTAAACAACTGAGATCGAGCCATACTACGTCATACGTTGATTTCAAAAACATTCTTTCCGGTTGCAGCTTATTTATCTTTTTAATTAGAAAGTTTTTATTTGTAAAAAGAAATAAGACTGGTCGTAGCCAGGGTAACGTTGAAACCCTTCACATCTGTTTTATTTCCTGGGATTATTGTTCGTATTAAAAGAAAAGGCTCCACTCTCAGTTGGCTTTTTCATTTCGCTCATGAGAATCGGGCAAAAATATTTTTCTTGACAAGGTTCTCCGAATGTTTTTTTGCTTTAAATATTCAATTCTCTCGAAACTCAGAAATTTTATTTCAATCTTTTTTTAATTTCAAGTTTAAAATTGCTGTTTGATAGATTTAAAATAGGCCAGGGTAATTTTTTTGAACAAAAAAATATTTCTATTTGTTTCAAAAACGCTTTCAAAACCAAAGAGAAAATTCTAAAAAAATACATTTAATCGCTTTGTTTGAAAATATAAAAATTTGACCAGTAATGGATTTGTGAACAGGTTTCAAAATCAAACTTGAAAAAAGGTCTTTTTAGCTTTTTTTTTTTGCTTCCAACAAACCCTTGTCGAAATTTTGTTAGTAATATTTTACAGGTGTAGAATATATGCGAGATAACTGTAGGAGTCTTTTCAAGAGAGACTACATTTATTTTTGGACCTATAACATCCTTTCCTCTTTTTTCCGTCTTGAAGCCTAGAATCTTCCACCCGAAAAGCCTCATGCGTGTCATAAAATTCGAAGCAATCCCATGTTTGGCGCGGCTTATCGAGGGTGTTGATGCGTTGCTGGGCAGCCGCCTGATGGGCATCCGTTTCACTCGGCACACCTCGGATTTGCAGGCCTCTGGGCAGTCGGCTCTCAGATGGACGTCCTCCATCAGAAGCATTTTTGGGATCAGCTCAACACCTATGTCAGCCAATACGGTATCCCTCTCGTCGTTTTTTCCATTCTCGTGAGTTTCAAACATTTTTGTACCTTACCAACGATATCTACGTCTTCTATGCGTACTACTCACTTTTTTCCCCATATAGTCTCCACTACTCAAAACTCATTCCTAAAGTTTTAGAACAGTGAATGAAAGTGTTAACCAAGATTTGGAGATTAGACGGGCTCATGCTTCAAATCCTCGCTTATTTCAAAAAATCCGGATATAAGAAAGCTAGTGTTCATTACTAAAGCCTATGTCATTAAAGTGGATTGAATCCGATGCTACAGAGTGGATTTGCTCTCGGATATCTGATGCACTACTGGATGAACATTATTCCTTTGAAACGGGCCAACAACAGCATGAAGGAACAGGCAAAGCGCGATCGAGAAAAAAACAACGGAAAAGGAATCGATGGTTTCTTTAAACAAACATTTATTCAAAAAATCAGCATTTTCAGACCCTTTCGATATAAGCGACAAAAAGGCTCTGCTCAAAGGACGAATGGCTGACCCTGTAAGCAAGTTAATATTTCAGTAAAACTTGCTAGTTTTCCAAAATACCATTTACTGGACCAAAGTTTTGAGACGCAGTTGTTGAAATTTATCTTCAATCGTGTAAGACTTCTGAAATGAACCTACCAAAAAGGGGTTAGATAAAATAGTCTCAAAGGCTTTAAAAAAAACAAAAAGAAATACTCTTGCTTCATTAGCCATTTTTCAGAACAAGCTCTTGCGCAAGCCTCGTGTCGCTTTCAACCCGCAAGTTGAAGAGCGTGAAGAGGAAGGTAATACACAATTGCACTCAGAAAGATTAAGCATGCTGTCTTGACCATTTCACTTGAAAGCGAGCATACAAAGCAATCGTAAATGTTGTCTTAAGTAAGTTCCGGTTCGTCTTCACCAGAAGACCTCGAAGAGCTGGAAGACGAGGATGCGTTTCTCGGAAACGAGGAGCATCGCGGTGAGCCCGAGGAAATGGACCAAATGCCGCCTATCGTCGACCGCAAAATTCGCCTTGCCACACCGGAAATTGTATGTTTTTTTCTACCCTCACTTTTTCAGGCTTATGTAGGTTCAAGTGAAATTGCTTTGAAATGAATTTTTTTCTCGAAAAAAATGATTTTTTTTTCAGCCTCCGGTCGACGGTGATCGCCTTACAGAAAATCTAGGAAAGCTTCATGGAAAGCTGGCTACAGCTCAGCTGAAGGCAAAGACCAAACAAATGCAAGCAGAAATGACAAAAGAAGAATTGGACTATGTACGTTATTTTCGAAACTCAATTCTCCGGTTTTCTCTTAAATTTATCCACTAGTACTTGCAAAAAGGATTGTAGCAAAATAATCATTTTCGATTCACAAGGGCATACTTTGAAACAGAGAAAATGATGGATCAATGGTTCACCGCCTACAAAATGGCGATTAAAATAATTTTAAAGCGTCAGCTTCCTTTTGATCGATCGGAAACAGTGATTTGGAAAACCGGTATCAAAATGGATTAAAATCGTTATTTTAGGAAGCTGAAATGAAAGCAAAGCAGATGGAGTCGATCATGGCGTTGATGATGGAGAACAAAGAAAAGTTCGGTCTTTCGAATGAGGAAGAAATAAAAGATCAGCTCAATCTTTACAACTTTTAAAAGAAACTGTTTCGTTTTTTGAGACTTCAATTTGGTCTATCTTTTTTTCTCTCATCTATTGATATAATTTACAGCTGTCTTTTTTTCACATTTGCTATTATGATTACTATGTCCTTCTTTGTGATTTCTTCGTTTTGAAACGCAGTTTATTCAAATATTTGTGATTTAATCTCTTTTGCGGAAGTTGAATCGTGTGATATCAAAAAGATCTCTGAATGAATATGAGGTTGGTTCAATAATGAAGCATGTTTTTGTTTCTTTTCCTGTTTCCGTATTTTTCCCATAAATTTTTCTTTTTTGTATTGGCGTACATTCGACTTTTCTTCTCATACCTTGAGAAAATTTCTCACAGTGAGTTCAGAAGTTTGCCTTTTCTAATCCCTGAAAAAGTTTCATGGGAGCTTAAAACCAGTTGATGAAGACTTTTCAACTTTTAAGAGGGTGTTCGAACCTAAAAAAATTTAGGGTTCTCCTCTGCTTTCCAAACTTCTGTCTACCTCACTTCACTCAATTATCGAAAAAAAAATTAATGGGCAAATAACATTATTCCACGACGAAAAACAAAAAGAAGAGCAAGGAATTTGTCTACATGCATAATCCCAGGGCTTACTGCTCCAGCGGCTCGGTAATTGAGACGGAACTGCAGAGCCCGCCGAAACTCGTCTTTGCACAAAAGTGAGCTGAGCAACTCACACAAGAACTTTCTCGGAACGGCTCCAGCTGCTCAGCCGAGCTCTAGCGACCTCCGGCTTTTCCCCTCCAGCTCATCATGTGTGAGTCCTTTTTTAATTCGGAGTCGAGCATCACATTGTGCCTCGTCATTTGGTCCTTCCTCCAATTTTGTTTGGGACTTCTCTTTCCGGTTCCGTCGCTGATGAAGTTGAAGGGCGGTCCGACCTCTTCTCCTCAAATTCGAATCGTTACCCTTGTCGTTAAATCCAGTGTTTCTCAACTTTAAAATAATTCCTCCTGTAGATGGTTTGTTTGTGTGAGAGCTTGTTCCAATGTTGAATGATATCAATCGTTCAAAAATTCCAGAGGCCTAAAGTTTAAACGCTGCTCAGTGATATGACGGTAAAATACAAAACTTTCAAGAGAAGTACGAAAACATTAGACTGTTTTCGAACTTGGTGAACTGCAAAGCTTTGTATCAGAGTTGACTAAAAAAGTAGCCTGGAAACCCCAACTAAATACAAAGTTATCAAATACATCTGCTAATGTCTTCGCGGACTTGCGCTATTCGACTTTCATTTACACAGAAAAGTAAAAATTTAAAAAAAAAACTGCTCAGAACGAACGAGTTCAACAAAAATCTTCTTTTTGGTTCACATCAACGGAAAGGAGAAAACTTTCTGCAGAAATGTGCTCTCTTTAATGGGAATTTTCTTTCAATTAAGAAGGGGCCAAAAAGTCAAGTCGTTTTTCGGCGAAAGGCTTGCGGGAACTTCTCTTTTCAATTCTTTTTTTAATCTACTGTGAAAGCACATTTTTTTAAGCCATTACTGCTGAGAAAAGCAAACGGTTCTCGACGTTTGCCATCCATCACACAAAACAACATTTTCAAATGGATGATTGAGTTCTCTGTCTTGGAAAAAAGCAGAAAATCGCAACTGTCTCAGGATCTCCTGCTTTTTGATTTTTTTGCTTCTTAAAGATATATACAAAGATTTTTTTATATCATAGTTTTTTTGTGCTTCTGAATTCAATTCTCTTGGACGAGGGATATGTTCAATTTAAAAATTTTTCTGCCTATAAACAGAAAAACTTTCAAAAAAAGGTTTTTTTCGCATTTAAAGTTTTTTCAAGTTTAATAATGATTCAAAAAATCTTTTGCTGAAGAGGGCGAAAACCGAGCTGAAAATTAGCTTGGAATCAAACCGCGAAAACTTCGGAATTTTTCATACACTCCGAAAGTCCAGGCGAAGGCTTCGGAGAGAAAATTTTTTCGCAGACTTCACTATGAAACATCTTCCTATGGTCTTCCAAAAATGCGATTCAATCTCAAAGCAAAAATACTCTCCCATAATTGAACCTAATAGGCTTTTTCCTTCTTTCTACTTTGGCTTTAATTCTGTATTTGTTCGGGAGCTACTGAGAGTAATTTTTTGAACTCCCAGTTTTGCTATCACTCTTCTCCTTTTCTCCCTCGGTTAACTTCCCATTATCATGCTGCATAAGCTCAGCTAACGAAAAATTTGTTTTTGTCAAATTTCCGTTTCCAATCCGAGAATCCTTTGTTGCCGCCCAGTCATAATTACTTCTCAATTATTCACTCCTTCTTGGCAAGATGCGTTCGTCGGGTGCAGGCGGCGGGTTTTCTCGAAAAATGGCTTAGCCTCCGAGTTGCAGGTTCACCTTCTCAGCTGTTTCCTGCCCACCTATTTCTCATCACCTCCTGTCTTGCGGCTACTGCCGCTTTTTTTCGTATTCATTTGATTAGAAAAATATCCCTTTTTGCTTTTTTTGTTCGTTTTTTTCTGAATTTTTCGCTCCAGAAATAAAAAATGAGCGTTTTTTGTTTAATCAGTCTTCCAAAAAGATTATGTAAAAGCGTGTTTCCTCACTTTTGAAAACACAAGCTGTTTTTTGTTCCGGTAATTTGAGACTAAAGTTGCTAAACCTCTTTCCAACACTCCTCTTCAAATAGACACGTAAACCCGAGTTTCGACGAGCATCTTTTGTTCTCAATTTGTTCTGGTTCAGAAATAAAATAATTTATCGGAAACTTTCATCAAAAATGGATATTTTACTTTTGAATTTTCAGATCTGTTTTGATTCATAGAAATTGTGCCGGAATGGGCTGATTTAGAAGTACAATATCTTTGAATATCTTGATACTTTAAACTGAAGTTAACGATGTTGATTCCTTTTTTCATCATTTTTTAACTTGAAGCGATTTATCCAACTCAGAGAGAATTTCAGCAATGGCTTTGATATACGCAAATGCCGTTAACAAGAGGATGAACCAAACTTCTCGAAAAAAGAAATCATCGTCCTGCCCGTTTCACGAAGAAGTTGTCGAAGTTCAATTGTCCCGAAGTTCAAGTCGCGAAATCAGTGTCTCCAGAAAAACGTTCGTTTCTCTTTTTTTTTTTCAAACTCTCATTCTCAGGCTCCGATTACTTATAACTTGCTTTTTTTGCAAAGCCGGTCGTAAAATCATTTTTACCTTTCTTCCGCCGTGTAAATCCCTTAACCTTTGCTTTCTACAACTGAAACCATTGTTAACCGGTTCATAGTGAAAAACATTTTTTTTTGTGAATAGGATGTCTGAGCGGTTTGATCGGAGATGTCACACGTCAATCATTGGGAACCTTTTGCAAGGTTTCAAGTTACTGAAAGCAAAAAACCAAAAACCATAGAAGTTCGTGCCTTGAAGTTAAAGTTAATTTATGTAGTTTAGTCTTAAGCAGTGGAGAAATGTGGAGAAATTTTAGGAGCATCCCAATAGTTCAACATGTACTCTTTGATTTATAAATTACCTTTTTTGATTGATTATAAAATATGAAACTTGTTGGATACCGTAGTTCAAAGTTTATAAAAACAATGAATTTGAAGGAAAATGAGTTTTTCTCCTTTTTCTGAAACCTTTTTCACCTAATCCAAACGGCTGATTGTTTTCCATGCCGGAAAGCGTTCTTTCGTCAGCCCAAAAACACTCAAAAAAGTATTGCAGCTCTGCGATCACCACTACGAGCACAAAGACGAGCGACGGAAAGCACAGACCCGTGCAGCGGAGCAAAACAAGGTTGCTCCACCGGCTCTAATGACATTGCAGTCTAATTAAGCTGTGGGGATTTGTATCTGAAGAAAGTCGTCGACGAAGAATCGCTTCGCAAGATCTCACACCCAGCCATGTCACATTCAGCCGCCACGCAGGGCTCACCGGGCGATAAGAAAACCGAGGCCAAACGGTTGCACGACAAGAAAACGCTGATACAGGTGAATGCTCTCAAAATAGCCGTCTTGCGATGATTTTCAAAAAACGGTCGTTTACCTCGGAAAGCCCTGATATGGCTTGATATCAATCGTTTTGAGTTTACAACTTTTTCGAACGAGACATTAATTTGAAAGTATCTCTCGATTCTTCACCTGAGTGATTCATCTCTCTAGGGAGATGAAATCATTTGGAAGTCTAGAATTCTCTGGAAAAAAAACATGGAAGCAAACAAAAACACCAGATAACGAATGTCTAAGCTCCACCCTGTGCAGTTACTTTCGCTCAAAAAATTTGAAGATGTTTCATTATTTTAAGGAACTTTTTTGAGCTTCATGAAAACATTTCCGTTTTCCAAGCAGTAACTCAGAAAAAATCCAGTTTGTTTTTTGGAAGTTTTCATGCTCTTTCTAATTGTGTTGACTCAAAAAAACGGCAAAAAAGCGATTTTTTTGAGAAAACAAAGGTCTATTTTTTGTTGCTTCCGCGTATAATGAGCAACATCCTTGATCCAATTAATAAGCAGCGTCTCGGAACATAAAACCAGTCATAAAAAGACGGAACCACTTTCCTGAAAGATGATGTCACAGCCGGAGAATTGCAGAAGTACAACCTTGAACACGGAGTAACTGAAAACAAAAGGTCGGAACTCGAAAGACGCAGAAGCGTCAGCCTGGATCCTGAGCAGTGGCAGCAGGAAACACAAGAAAAGTCGGTTTTTTTTAGGAATTCTCTTTTTTTTTGTGAAGCCTTGTAATAATCCAGAACTAGTGAGTTTTATCAAAATTTTGTTGTTCATTCAAAACAAATTAATATCAAACTGAAACGGAAATTTACTCTGATTGACGTTCATTGAACATTATCATGTGTTTTTGACAGAAATATTTTATAGTTTGAAGCTAGAAACATCCGATATTTCGCTTGAGAATTTTTCATTTTTTCGAGAGCTGTGAACAAATGCCTCAAATTCAAACGGATGGCTGCCAATTGTTCAGTTTCAGTTGGTCAGAAAAAAGGAAGGAGACCAGAAAATCAGGCTGATGTGTGCCAATTTTGAGAGAAGCGTGGGAAAATTGGAATCTTTTGGAAGGTTTGAAATGGAAAAAAAACCGTTGAAAATGAAACAAGTTTTCAAGCGTCATGTATCTTGTACATATACATATACTTCCCTTGTTATTTTTCTGATATATTCGCTCTTTCAATTTTTGAAAAAAAAATAATAAGGTAATTTCTCTGAATGTTTGAAAACAACGGTTAGCTTTTTGATTATTCGGTTCGTTTGAAGAATTTTAGAACACTTTACTCAAACTTTTCAGAACATTTTCGGAATGTCTGTGAAACGAATAGCACCAATAAGCTTTCCCATGCTTCTCGAACAGTGGCAGCTCTTTGATCTTCAGAAGATAAAATTTTTTTGTCAAATCATGTCGTTTATTCTATTTTTGGATTGAATGTCGAAGGTAGCTGATGCGTTGGTCTTTGTACGGTCACCTCTGGCCAATCTCTCACTGATAAGGCCAGCCGAAAAATGTTTTCCAAGTTGGCAAAATTAGGAGCAAAGTTTTGCAGGAAAGAGACGGAAGACGGTGCCTTCACACGAATGAAGCGCAAGTTCAGCAAATGGAGACTCACCGGATCGTAAATCGAGACAATCAAAAAAAAAAAGTTCTCAACGTTTTCCTGTCGCTTTAGTACTTGCGGGACTGTCGACTCCGTGCTTTTTTCCTTCTCGAAGATCTCACTTCCCCTTGATTCGAGTTTCCATTGGCTTCATTGATGTATAGTGTCTGGCGAAGTGATCACAACAAGATTCATGAGGAGTAATCGAAATTGTTCGGAAAAAAAAGCTAGTTGATTTTCTGAAAATGTAAAATTTATGGAAATATGATTAATACTTGTTTAGTCAGAAACGAGAAAAATACGCGCCATAACATGAAAAATTATTTTTGAAAATATTCGAGCTGTCATGCCACTTTTGTTTTTGAGGATAAGCCGTTTTGCTGACTTTAATCTTCTGAAGCGAACGCGACCGCATCAATGTTGGTGGAAAAAGATAACGACTTACCTTTTGTGGTTGCTCATTGTTTTTGCAAACAAAAGTGCAGGAAGACTCAAAATATAGGAACTCAGTGAGTTTTTCAGTCCAGCTAGAAATTCTAAAATTGGGATATCGAAAGATTTTTTGTGAGCATTTTTGCCATTTTCTATGTGTCTATAGCAGAAAAGTTTTCAAAAGCTACGGTCAGAAACTAAACGTAAAAAAGCGGAAAATATGTTTTTGTCGCGCTTTCAATGCAGAATAAACCACGCTCACAAAATTTCAAAATTATGATTCTTGTTGTGGATCTTTCTAAGTTTTCGGATGCCTAATCCCGTGAATTGTATGCAAATTATTGAATCTTTTCAGCATTCCACTTTTTCCCATTTTTTGAGGTCGGTCGAATTGTGATCTCTGGCAGTTAGAGTGCATTTGAGTCCCTTTTTGAATCGGAAACATTCAATAAACAACTGATCGCTTTTTATGATCACATGGAGTGCCGTCAATCTGGAATAACACAGTAACCTATTAAAACGTCGCTGGGGTTGGAAAGACTCTAGGCAAGATTGAAACTGGCGTTCGGACAACACTGAGCGCACCAAAATGCTTGCCACACTCGTTTCAACTCGTAAGTATTTTTTTTATTCTGCAAACATGTGTAAATTATCTAGAAATCTTTTTGAAAGGAGCATTTGTTGGAATAAAATTTTTGATTTTCGACCAGTTTAATTTTTTCATCGTTGGGTTAAAAAAAGCGTGTTTTTGAATGGTTAGCTAAGCTTATGCGAAATCAACCTTTAACTCAAAAACTTTCGAATTTTTAATTTGTCAAAAATGTTTTTTTAAAAATAAATTGAAACCTGAATTTTATTTGACCAATTCATCATTTTTTTCACAAACTACAGCTATTCAGAAAGATTTATAAATATTAATAAATACGACCATCTCGAATTTAATATTTCTGATATTTTTAAAAAGGTTTTTTTCCATTTTTTTCTACATGAAATCATCACTTTTGGAGTAGAAATCCATTGTATTGTCTTTTTAAGTAATGTTCAAAAAAAGGAAGCTATCAATCGATTCCAAAATTTAAATAAAAAAAAGTAGTTTATGTTTATTTCCTTTGAAAAAAAGTCATCAGCATTAATCAGTGTATTGAAAAAAATCAGAACAATTTAGCGAGAAATAGGACGAATTTGTGATGAGAAACCCGAATTGCCTGAAATTTAAGTGCTCTCTGTAAAAAATATAGGCCACTTAGAACGTGTACAATAGGTTTTCTTTTTTCTGAAACGTCCAGAAATCGTTTTGCGCTCTAGGAACTGGTTTGTTCACCAGTGCCTTTTTACAGTAACTTTTTTTTCCAAATTCTCATGGTCTCGCAGACTCATTTCACTGTTCTTTCCAGACTGCGTTACTCAAAGAAACTAATATATTTTTGTCTAGAAGAACCTGCGAGACTCTCTAAAAAAATTTCTTTAGTTTCGACCTTTTTTTGCTCGCTAAAACTGAATAGGTTCTGCAACGAGAAAGTTCATATTTGACATTAATTGTAATTTCAATTTCTATGTTATTCAGTAAAAGGAGATTGTTTTTGATCGGTGGAATACACGCCACATTTCCAATATTGCAAAGAAAAAAATTGAAAATTGAAACAAAAAAACCATGAAAATTAGAACAACTATTCAAAATGAGAAAAATTTTGAGAATTTCACCTTTTAACATTCCTTTCATTCCGTGTTGAATATTCAGTCGAGGTCGTCGCTCTCATTCTTAGGTTTCCGCCCAGAGCAAAGTCTCCAGGCACCAGCACAAGATTCGCTGCATTCTGAGCTCGCCAAGGCGCAACTGGATAGACTACGCGCAGAAGAACCAGGCGAAGGACCGTAAGACCATGTCTTCAACTCTTCCGAATACACGTTTGGACTTCTAGTTTGCCAAAGGCGGTTGTTCGTTACAGCTTTTAAAGTTCTTGTTCACCGCCTAGTGAATTACATCATACTAAAACAACAAAAAAAAAAGATTTGATTGATTACAGTTCTATGTAACTTCTTTCTGAACGAACGGATTTTTTCGATAGCCTTAAAGTTACTGCGACTATTGCTTGAAAGTTTCTTTGAAAAGTAGTTAATCCTACTCCCAAAATGTACATACAACTTCGTGAAGGCCTGTTTATATTTTATTTTGAATTGAACTGTAGACTGAAAGTTTGTGACCTTTGTTATAACAAACTCCACATGTCTTCTTCTGTCCATAACGTCCTCCAAAAAATAAAAAAAAGTTGAGAAGAATGTACACACACTGAGACTGGCAAACAGTGATCGTTGCCTTGAAAACATTCACAATCGGTCTATTTTTTCCACTCGTTCGGGCTGGACCACGTGAGTAGGAAGGCTTTTGATCCCACCCCTCTGGCCGACGGCCATTGGTAGGTTCTTTGTCCTGAGGCCGTTTACTTCTCAAGTTCGAGCCTAATAGCAATCGGAACAACCAAGAGAAGCCCCTTCGTCGGTCCTTATCTTTGCCAATCGTTGTCTTTCAAATACACCGCGAGGCTTGCCGCTTGGTCCATTTTTAATCATTTCATTTGATCAACTCTCGCTCACTGGTGTCAGCCGCTACATGTCTTAAAAGTAATTAGGGGCTCGTGAATTTTGAATATTTCATTATTATTATACTAATTCACGTCTAATTTTCAGTGATAAATTTCGTTTACAGGGGTGTTTTTTTTTCAAATTTTGAGTCCAATTAATTTCAGCTACAATGGCATTTGCTACACCTGTTGTTCGTCGTGATTTTAATTTGTACGAAAGGAAAAAAAGAAGTCGAACAACTTCTTCGAAGCCTAGCAACAGCGGATCTCCAAAAACTCTACCAGGTTGGTTTTTCTTGTTGTAGACGAAGGAATTCAGAAAATTCATGAACAATTTCAGTAACTCAAGGAACTTCATTGGACTCGTTACTTGACAGACATCAGCAGTTGAAACAATTGCGAGAGCGCAGGCAACAAGACAGGTAAACTTTACGAAAAAACAGTTTAACGCAGGAAAACTTTTTTCCCAATGAATTCGTTTTCTGGTTTGTTTTTTAAAAAATAACAAACGCGTCTCCGAGGAAAAAAGAGAGATCAAATTTCAGAATGATCCGGAGATGCCACACGATCACGCTGCGAAAAATATCAGTGATAACTGAAGACGAAGAGGAAAACGACCACGAGAGCACGCTCATCGAAAAAATCTGTGAGGAGCTCGAAAAACCGCTAATGACCGAGGTACGTCAAACGGCCCCGTTTTTAATGAGATAAGAAATAACTTCGATACAAATTGATTCACGAGGGTAGAAATCCAAAACTTCCTTCTTATTTTGCAATACCTCCATAGATCAATCAAGGCAAGTGAAACTCACATGCGATTAAATCTTCACCTTCACTTTATAAACCGCATTTCTTCACGTAGTAATCTTCTTAGTGACTCAAAGATGGTCCTTCCGACTGTCTTTCAGAGCCTGTGTGTCTAAGAAAAAAAAAATGAACCCAATGCGAATCATGTGATTCCATGTTTCAGGACAACTTGTCCCACACAACTAGTTTGGAGAGCACCTCTCAAAATGCCGACTCGACAAAAAACAAGAAAAAGAGCATGATGGGTCTGTTCAACCAGTGGGTCCGCAGCCATTCTTTCCGTCGCAAGAAATCAGAGAAGTCTGCCCCCACTTACTGAATCGGACTGATTTGTATTATTTATGTACCTTTAACTGCACAATACCGAAATGTGATACCGAAATAACAAATTATTTTATTTATATTGATTTTCCTTTTTTTCCAAGACTAATTTTTCTCCCACTCAGAAACTTTGTTATGATATAGCCCCACTGTGTCCGGTGTTTATCTGTACTTTACATGCACAAACTCAAAGTAACTAATAAGAAAAGTCACTTCACTCGGATCTTCCAATTTTTTTTTTGTAAATTCTTCATCAAAAGCTTCTCGACCAAGATTTTGGAAGAAAAATTTCAAAACTGTAATCTTCGAGAACTAACTGTTACTTTGCTTCTTGTTTTCCTCAAGAACATCGAGAAGTTCTGAAAAAAAAATTTTGAGATTTGAGGACATTTGTAGAGTCTTCAAGAGTTTTTTGATTTAAAAAAAACTTTGGAGTCTGAGGATATTGACAAATTTTTATATATAATTGTTGAACTTAGATAGTTTTTCGGCAAACTTTAATCGCGTTCTTGAAAAGAGATTGATGCAATCTCTCTAAACCCGTTTTTTCTGCATTTTTTCCATTCTTTGCTTGACGGGTGGAGCTCCACAGCTTACTCTGAAATTCCACTTTTTCACATTCTACTGTTTTCGAGCGATCCTTGACTGACGCAATAAATTGTTTGACGCGAATCTGTCATACTGTTTGTGGTCTTGAACTGAAGAGAATCGACGCCCCATCCCCATATTTGATTGGAGCCAGAAGCGAAAAACAGGCACGTGCTCTGTGATTGTCACTGGGTACAGGAAAATCGGTCACAAGACTGATCAACAGTTTTGGGAGAAAAAATGATTTCATAACAGGATTTTCAATTAAGCTTCTCTCTTATCAACTTGCAGCGGGTCGTAAACGTCAAAAAATGAAAGGAGCTCTATGAAACTAATTATCAAAAAATTTACGATTGTTCATAGATAGACTTCCGAAAGGTTCAAAACTACATCAATTTTTTCAAGCGTTCCAATCTCAAAGTTCATTTCAAAAATAAATTAAATTAAAAAACAATAAAAGCAACGGAAAAAATGTAAGTAAAGATACAGATATTTACACGGTAACCAACTAAATTTGACTATCTTGTGAAGGCGAAATACCCATTTCTGAACCGGCAGAGTGAGCTATTTAAAAAAATGAATCTAAAAAAAGCAAAAATTTCATTCGTTTGAAAATAAAAAAATAAAAAAACTACATTTGCAAGCCGACATCCTTTGAGGGTTTCTGATCGCGCAGTGATTTTGGTTTCCTTGGACGGGACTGAAAAATGAGAAGAAGTTAGAAATCAAAAAGGCGAGAGATGTTGAAAAGTGTTTGCTCAAGTTGAGATTTCCATTTTTTGTTCTTATTTACACAACTAAAAAGTTTTTTTTCTTTTTGAGAAAAAGAAAAATTATTTTTTTCTCGCTGAAGTAGGAAGCCGACTCAAAATTATTTTTTTGAAGTTTCTTATTGCGTTTGGCGGTAGAGCAGGTCTCGAATATCTCCTTCCATTCTGCACCCAATGGTAAATGATGATCACTCTTTTTGACTGGTTTTTTTCACTGATAAGTCCTGAATTGTGTCAAAAAGTCAAGATATCCTAATGAGCTGATTTAACTCCCACTTAAAAATTATTTGTAGATCATTTTTGACATCGGCTCCTTCAGACTGAAAAATTCCCAACTCTAGGATATATATTAGCTCATCAGAAAGTGTTTGGCCAATCATCAAAAACGCTGTTTTTTTCAGATCTCATTTCGAAAGGAATTACAGGATATAAAGTTATCAGAAGTTCAAAGGCTCTGTTTCAATTAATTGAAATTAGATTCAAGGAAACCAACTTTTAACATCTTTATCCAATGATCTTGAGTAGCCGTCGTCGAGTTAGGAACGTTTTCTGGATCAATTTTCCTTTGTGATTGAAAATCTTTATTCTCTGCACTTGCCGCATTTTTTGCGATCGGAATCTTGGGTCCAGCCTGAAAAAATTTGTTGACTATCGAGCTCGAAGGATCGTGGAAATTTTTTGAGCGACACCTTCGTTTTGTTAGACAGATTCATTTTTCAAAGTTTGTTTTCGTAAATAACAGATAATATTCTGAAATAGGTGAAAACGGAAATTTTTAGGGAAAAATACTGAGATGCCATTAGAAGCCCTTCATTTTCACTTTTTTGATTTTCTCTTTCAAGCCCAGATTTTCACCTTACCAGGGAACGTTTTTTTACCCCCCCGGTTGAACTTTTGCTGAAACTTCACTGAAGTATACTCTAGGAGCCCCTGATTCCAGAACAAGAAAAACATTTCTCGCAATAGATCTTGTTTCCGAGTTATGGAGCTTCGAAGTCCGCAAAATACGCACATTAGGCCAAAAAAGCGCCTTTTTGAGCTTTTGGAGTGTCTTTACTCGAAAACGAGATCTATTGCGAGAGTTTTTCTTCTTGTTCTAGAATCAGGGGGTTCTAAAGTACACTTCAGAAAAGTTTCAGTAAAAGTTGAACCGGGGGATGAAAAACGTTCCCTAGTTAGAGTAGTCGATGTATGTATTTTAACCCATATTTTCAAAATCAAATGGAAAAATTCCTTATTTCTTCTGCGATTAGGGTGCGCTATAGATTGCTATTGTACTATGCTTCCCAAAAAATCTTGGTAGAAACAAACTTTTGAGGATTCTACCGCTAAAACTTAGAACTTGTCGGCCGCCAGCAAAAATAAACGTACCGTAAGATTGAGAGATAATTTAGCAGCAAAGTCGGCGTTGAGTTTCCCAGAAGCCGCATTCAACTTTCCGGGAGGGATTTTTACAGGTGCCATTGCCCGACTAAGGTATGAACAAGATAACTTTTTGGATTTGCAAGAAAAATCAAAACTGAAGAAAAATTTTTGAAGGATGTGCAGTTTCAGGTGAAAAGAAAAAAGAAAGAAAAATCAATGTTCTTAGCGATATCCTCAGCGACTTGGTGTGTAAAGTTTTCGCGCGTCATCGGCGACTGATCTGATGCTGCGCTATACGTGTATCAGTGTTAAATGATCACACCGACTTCTTGGAAAGAGTTTCTCTCAACAATATGAGTAGCTTTGGCCAAGAGTTTTTGCAAAAGAAAAATGCACGAATTTTTTTTAAACTTTAGTTAACCAAAAGTTAGACTCAATGGGGTTATTAAGTCTTGTGCTTTCGGAAATCCGGCAAAGTTTACTTGGCGGACTATGGATAGAGACCACACAACTCTCTCTTTTCGCAATGGTAAAATGCCCTGATTTTCTGTTTTTGTGGTTATTCTTTTTCAAGCGCAATACGGAACAACAATTAGAAGTTTGAGTGAAACATAAAAAAACTTCGAAGCGTTTTAACGGAGTGTTGCATGAAGAACCAAAACTATTTTTTTTCCTTCAGGCAATCAAATTTTCTTCCTAGGTTGTTGATTAAATTTCTTTCTTTTTTGAAGTTTTCAAAAAGAAAAAGCATTTTCAACCAAAAAACCCTTCTTACAGCTTTGCTGTATGTAGTATCTACTAGCACACAATCTTAAGTTAAGGTTGAAAAAAATATTTTATTTCTATAAAAGCAAGCAGAAAAAATATACAGCCTTTTGCTCAAAGGACGTTTTAAGGACGTAGAAAGGAACTATTCTCTTTTCAATTCATAGAAAAAATTTAACTGAATCTTATTCTTAAAGCAATCATACTTTATTTTTGAAGTTTATAAACTTTTTATGAGAAAAGACAACAAATATTGACAGTGGACTCTTTTCCCATCGAATGAACAAAAAAACAGATTTGATCGAGTTCTCGAACCTGTGCAGTCCTTCAGTTAATTTTTGAATATTTTTTTTTGTCGTGCCTGTGCGTGCAAAAAAAAAGCAGCTGGCGTAGGGTTGCTAAAAAATTAACCTTTGTAATCATAAAAGTTCAATGCCTGGATGAAATGGAGATCTACAACGGCCGTTATGTGCGACCGAAAGATGAGCGACCGACTTAAATCGAAGATCTACCGCACCGTGATCCGCCCAGTGGCAATGTACGGTACCGAACGTTGGCCAGCGACGGCGAAGGACAAAGCAAAATTGGCGGTCATGGAAACTACGATGCTTCGCTGGACCGCCGGTGTCATGAGGCTCGACCATGTGAAGAACGAGGACATCAGGTAGAGATTCGGAGTGGCGACGATCCGAGAGAAGCTGCGCGAAAATCGCCTGAGATGGTTTGGCCACGTTCTACGATCCGACCCCACGTCCATAGCGAAGACAAGCCACACGCTGGAAGTCGATGGAAAACGGCCAAGAGGCCGACCCAAAAGAAGATGGATGAACACGCTGAACGAAGACCTTAAAGCGACAAAACTACATCCAGACCAAGCAGCCGACAGAACAAAATGACGACAACGTTCCAGAAAAGCGGACCCCGCGACCGAGCGGGACAGACGCTGAAGAAGAAGAAGAGAAGATTCATAAAAGTTGAACATTTCATTCCTGCTTGAGAGATTCGTAAGTCTCTGAGTGGAAATAAATTTATTTGCCCAATACTTTGCATTCTTAACAATTAGTGGCAATACAGAAAAAACTTCACACAGAAAATATAGTTTATAAGAAACTAAAAACTTTTTTTATGAAACGAAAAAAACAATAAAATAGCTAAAAAGTCGATAGTTACGACTTAAGACTTCTTTGGCCTTCCTCGTTTGGCCGGAGTAACTTTCTTAACCGGATTTCCCAGGTTCGCAAGTGTACCCGGTGCCAACAGCATCCGTCCCTTTGGTGCCTGAAATAATCTTTCTGCATTTTCTAAATGAGACACGGAGGCTACAAAAAAATTATTTGAAAACTAAAATCAGAATTTTCGGCATTAGTTTTGTGAAAGTTCGATTCATGGGTAACACTTGTGAGAATAAGTTCTTACCTTTCGTTTCAAAAAATGTATTATATGGGGGTTATTTTATATTTTTTTGTTCTTGTCAAATTCAGATGTAAAGAGTCTTATTTTAACTCCTCGATTAGGTAAAAATGAATAAGAATCGACACCTAAGCATGAAGTAGTTTTTCAAGAAAGAAAATGGCGAGAAAGAAAAAAACTTAAAACTATGACAGATTTTATATGCCGATATTCCCTTCTAATTAAACCGTAAGAAAAAAAACTTTGAGTTCGTTAACTTTTTTTCTGTCACCGAGTGCTTTTCAAAATGCATAAAAAAAAACCTGGTCCTTTTTAGTTCTCTCTTCGTACTTTCGGAGTTGGTCATCCAAGGTAGTCCCTATCTCGGGACGAAAAGACGAAAGAACAAATATCTTCCGAATCTTTTGTTTCATAGAAAACTCTTGGTTGTCGGCGGCCAATTGAATCTGAGAAGAAATTTTGGTAATATTCCAGAATAAAAACCATAATTTCAAGCTAACCGATAGATCTAGTATATGAAGCTCGTAGTTTACTGGCCCCGAAACGTGGTCTGCTGAGTAAATAACTAGAGGTTGATATTTCAAACGTTGTTGAGCCTCTGGAGCCACAGGCAACTCTTTGCATTGAATTATAGGGCACGAACAATCCGACCAGATTCCCATTTCCATCTCCCTCTGAATTTTTCGATTTTGGATTTTTTTCTTTCTTTTTAAAAATTTTTTTATCGTGTTCAAAGAAAGCCAAAAAAATGAGTTTTTGTTTAGGATTATTATCAAAAAGATTTGAAACTCACCTCATCGACTTTGCTCAAGACTTTGAAGCTGGTGAGACGGAGGGTTTTCTGAAATTTGAAAAATTGCTGACAATCAAAAGCAGCCAAAGTTTATTTGTTACTTGTTTTCAACATTGAAGTACTGAAAATTACCTTTTCATCGTTCGCGTTCCTATTCAGTTCTTCATGGGAGAAGACTCTCAACATTGTCTTAGAATCTCGAGCGGAAACCTGAGATGCCAAAATAAAAAAATCCTTTTTCATCAATACGTTTGAAAAAAATAATTTGGAAAGTTCAACCTTATTAGAGGTTTTGCCAGCTTTACATCATATCAAGTTTATTAAGCGTGTTAGGAAGATGAAATAAGTTCATATGAACCCTATGCTCATATTGAAATTTTTTATTGCGATTAAATTTCGAACGAATAAAATGATATGAACTATAAAAGAGAAAAGAAGCAAGCCTGAATCTCAATAAGAGCTCGATCGAAACAAAAAGTTTGAGAGGCAAGGCACGCGGGGACCTCGACCGCACAGATGCTCAGACAAATTGATTAATGAGGAGCGACTTGCCAATGTCTTATCAGCAGACTGCGAAAGGTTTTCAGTCACAAATATATTCAGATCGAAGAAAAAGATAAACGAGGAAATCTTGATAGAGTTTACAATCGAAAGGTTTTTCTCGATAATTTTTTGATTTGAGCTCCTTGGTGAATCAAATTCATCCGAAATTTAAGATCTCTCAAATTTTTTTGTAATAATGTTGAAACGACATGAAAAACAATTATTCATCGGAAAGGGGACTGAAAATCGAGAAGCTTCAAAAGTTTTGCACGAAACTTTTCTAATCTGCGAAAATTCGATCCACGTAAACAATAAATCCATTTTTTTCGAATGAAAAAAAGGTAAACAATTTATGAAGTTAGGTTTATCGAAAAGTTTCATTTTAAGTGATTTTTTGCGACTGAATTCGTTTGTTTTTCTGATATAAAAACAACCTCTTTTGTCTTTTTTTCTGTACTTTGGCAACTGCAAAATTCATCTCAAACTAGGATATCTGAACCGTATAATTGAAATTTAGAGAGCAGAATACTCAATGTCACAACTAATAGAAGATGGTGGCAGGTGGAAAGAAAGTAAAAATAGTGGCCGGCAGATGGGGACGGCACGCTGCGCTGGTTGTGAATCATTGCACTGAACTTTGTAAGGACGCGCGCTAGCCAGAGGTAGGAGCAGAAAGAATTCGAAATAGGTCAGAGACGTCGAGGAAAAAACCATCTCCCCACCTTGAGACATACCAGTCTCCTCTTTTGGCTTCTCTTGCCTACTTTTGTATTTGGTTGTGCGTTAAGCCAAGGCACAAAATTAAAATAGAAGTTTGTCTCTAAATTCTTGGCTTTAGATGAGGGAAGACTTATTGGAAAAGATGAAAAAAATACGGTTTTAAGTTGGAGAGAAGTAAGGAAAGCCCATATGAGTCCCGTCCTCTCGATTCCCAAAAACGGACTATACAGGTTGCAAAAAAATTCATGAAGAGCTAGTCCACACATCTTTGTAAATAACGAAGGTATGATCCAAAAAAGACCGTAGGTGGTGTTGTTAAAAGAAGCTTTAATTAACAAAAAAACGGTTTTTCAAAGTTTATGATTGACTCATTAAAGTCTGTATTATACTGGAATGTTTAGTGGGGAATTTCAAAAAGTTTTTGATTTAAACTTTCAAATTTTTCAAAAAGAATTTTCATTTCTCGAAATCAATTAAAAAAATTTTCACAATCGTTCATTTTTTTATTTCAAATTTTTAATCAAAAATACAATTAGAAACCTTGCGATAAAACAATAGAGCACCATAAAAAGTAGAGTAAAATAGCAAAAAAATACTCATACAAGAACAACCCATGAAGAAAACCGTAAATGATCACATTTCGACGAAATCAAAAGAAACGTGTTTATTTATGATCAGATGTTGGCCGAGAGAGGGTCATATATAACTTCTTCTGTTGCAGATTCCTTTTCGATCACTTCGTTATTCTTGACAGACTTCAATCTGTTGCCCGGTCGCGCTTTTCTTGGTCGAGACTGGAATAAAAATATACACAAATTTGTCTGCAGTGAGTAATTTACCTTCAACATGTTTATCAAGTGATTTGGGGCAGCAGAATCTAAATAACCCACTTCTTTTTCATCGCTCGTAATAGCGAGAGAAGACGCCGTTTTTGGACCGTTCTGAATTCAAATGATATTTTATTCACAATAAAAAAAACCTACAGAAAGACTGAGCGACAGCTTTGATGCGAAATCCTCATCGATTTTATTTGGAGTCACCGCGATTTTGCTTGGAGAAGGTTTTTGAGATAGATCTTTTTTAGGAAGAGCTGTCTGAATACAAGAAAAAAAGGATCATCTTATTTTCCAAGTAGATCAAAGCCTTCCCGAAAATCATGAAACTTGATTTTTTTCTCTTCACTAAAGAGAATTTTTAAAAAAAAAATTTTTTAACAGATAAACTTTTAAAACATTATTAGAATCCTCACTTCTTTTGGTTTTTTTCAATTATTTGTATGGCAGTTACTGATTGTGACGGGACAACCGCTTTTTTGGCCTGAAAATTTCAGAACGAACTGTAAAGAACAGAAAAAACAAACTCTAGCGCTGGAAAAAAGATCATCGTCTGAACTATCGCTGAGAAAAGAAAACTTTTTAGAGGATTTATTTTCAATCGTCGCTTTGGCTGTTGATTTGGAAGGTTCAATCGGATCATTCTGAAATTCAATTTTTGTTATTAAGAACAAAAACAAGTAAGAAAAAATCACCTTTTCTGATTTCTTCCAGACTTCTTTAGATTGTTGGATAGTTTTGGGGATGAGCTTTGCATTTTTTGCTGATCGGAACAAATCTTCGCTATCGCTGTCATCGCTATCGAACAAACTGATCATTTTCTTTTTTTTCGGAATAGTAAGAACGCTTTCCGTTTTCTGAAGTGTTTCTTTTTAAAGTTATTTTTATTCACTATTACTCTCTGGTGTGCGGTTTCCGTTCGAAGATCAGATGGATTTGGAAGCTTTTCTGCCGTTTCATTTTTACAATTGAGAATCATTTTTGCAGCTGGCAAAATAACGTCTGAAAACGTATTAATTCATTTGAAAAAGAATCCCAACCTTGTTTTTTGATAGTCGATTCTTTTTTTACTTCTACTTTTTTTGAGTATTGCTCACAACAGCGGAATTTTCGTTGGTGTTTCCAAAAAGACTTTTATCATTTCCTCCCGATGAATGATTGACGAGTTTTGATTTGAACAAGTCACCTGAGAAGTTCGAAGGAATGGGTAATATCAAAATGAAGATCATACTGAAATCATCGTCTGAGTCACTGAAAAGGGACCTGACCGTCGGTGCCTTCTTTGATTCATTCTGGGAAACTTTCGTTGGAGCCGGCTCTGACTTTTTCGGTATGTTTTTAGTGCCGAAAACTGAAGAGAAAATGAGTAAATAAAAAAAAAATTAACAAACGCGGTTCACTGTCACTGTCAGTGAAGAGAGGTGCTGCGTTTCTTTCAGAACTAGAAGGTCCATTCGAAACTTCATTTCTCGTTGTGAGCGGAGACTTTTGTGGTTTCTGGACAGAGACGTGCGATGCAGTGACCGAGCTAAGTTTTGATCTATTTTCTGCAAGCAGTTATTCTTTTCTAAATGGTTTAACTGAGCTGGCGTACCCTTTGGCGCAACTTTCTCACGATCCGCACTTCCTTCTTTTCCTTTTGAGGTTTTTTTCAAGCTCTTGATGCCGTGCAACAAATCTCCTTCAAATCTCCAGTTTAGAAGTTAGATGATCAGTAACCTGTAGATATCACAGCTGAGTTGATTCCTACGTTATATGAATCATCTTTCTTATTTTGTAAGGACAAATTTTGAACGTCGTGTTCATCTGAAAATTTCCTTTTTTTTCAATGACACCCGGTTGGAAACCTTGTGTGGATTCTTTCTTCATAGGTACAAACAAGTCCTCTTCTTCTGGAATAACTTGCGATTTTTCGCTTTCCTCAGCTTGGACGGATGATGTAGCTGAGCTTTTTCTAGAAGCAACTTCTGAAAAAAAAACCAAAATATTTTTCACAGAGACTTTCCAAAATTAACCTGTAGACAAAGTTGACTTTTTGACAATTTGCGGAGCATGTCTTTTAACTGCATCAACTTGAAATGAGTCATCTTTCGTTTCACGCGCATCTAGAAAACTTCTCAATTCGGGTATTTTCCATCAAGGAAAACCTCTTAGCAATTTTGCCGCTAGCTTCTTAGATGCATCACTTTTCAAACCTCCATCAATTTCACCCGTTGAAGTTTCAAAATTAGTTGTAGTTGTAGTTTTTTGCTTGACAGGTATTGGTTCGGGCTGGAAACAGTGTTATACTGAACAAACATTCCCAACTTACCAGTTTATAGGTTTCCTGCCTCGATAATAACACTTCGGAAGCTAGAATGGCATTTTGCACTATTTGGACTGGATCAACTGGTTGAAAGCGCCGTGGCGATGCATATCTTCGTTTTCCGAACTCCTCTTCTTCGGTTACCTCAAGAAAACTTAAAATTAAAAACTCAAAAAAATTTCGCACACCTGCTCGACGAACTTTTCGTGCGATAAGATTCTCAACAGAGTTTCAGCTTTTCCCATGCGATGCTCGAAATATTTGACGTCATGACTCAAGGATCGAAAGCGATGATTTGTTTCTGATACTTTTGCCGTCAAATGATCTGCCAAAGCGGCCAGTTTGGCCGTTATCTGAATAACTTAACCAGTAACCCTTAGATGGAGGAAAGAAAAATGAACAGCAATTGAAGAAGCAATTTTCGAACCTCAGCGTCATTTTTGAGAGTGCCGATACGATTGTTGTGCATTTTGTTCCCTAATTCAGTTTCTGAAACAGAGGGCATCATTCAAAAAATCAGAAGTGAACAAACAGAAAAACCTCAATTGAACAAAAAATAAAATTTTAACAATGAATTTCAAAATATCGTACGCTTGCTTGTGTTTGGTGCAAACACTACCCCTTATGCGATGAACATTTTTGATTATCGTTCCTCCCTACTCAAAGAAAAAAAAGAATTTCATGTTGAGGTGAAATAATTTTTTCCAATTATTTTAAACACGACGCTCAATTATATTTTTTTGAGAATTAGTACAAGAGAGAAGATTTATAATATCTAAATGTTAAAATTCGTTTTTAACAGGAAAGAACAGCAATCATGATAGGACAGAATTTAGAGTGCGGTTAATGTTAATTTATTTCTTAATACTAATATAAATATTTTTAAAGTACTCGTTTCAAAAATCTGAAAAAAATTGAGAAAAAAACGAAATATAAGCTTTTTATAAAAATCCTATTAGGTTTTTTTACATTCCCAACATTTCTCTCTTTTTTGAAGTTAAAAAATAAAAATCATTTTCAACCAAAAAACTCTTCTTACAGTTATGCTTTATGTAGTATTTACTAGCCCACAATCCTAAATTCAAGTTGAAAAATATTTTATTTCTATAAAAGCAAGCAGAAAAAATATACAGCCTTTTGCTCAAACAAAAAATCTCGATTTTTAGAAAGTTTAATACATAAAAAGTAAATTGAGGATGTGTAATTTCTCGAAAAATTTTTCGTTTGCTTGCAAAAATTTTGAGAATTGAGTTAATTATTCGAAAGCCAGACGATTCGAATTTGTGATTGGCCAACATTGTTGAAACAATGCGCGTCCTATTTTGTTTGATTTTTCACGAATTTCCCGGAATACATTTGTTTTATCTATTAGGTTTTGGGTTTCGAAATAAGTCAGAAGCATAACATTAACAACCGGCAACTACCGTAAAACTCGAAGTTAATTTTACAACCCTTTTTCGTCGAAGGATGTTTATATTAGGTTGTCAAGAAACGGATTTCGTTTTTTGATGCTTCAACTTTCAAGCTTTCTTCTCCTCTTAACTACTTTCGTATGTTTCAAACTTACGTGGTTCCAGTCCTTGAATATTGCTCTGAGCTTTTCTCACCCGCCATTTCATCTGATGAATCTTACAAACTCGAATCTTCTCTCTGTCTCTTCAGTCGGAAAGTTTTCTTTCGCTGTAATGTCAGCATCTCTTCTTATTCCGATCGCCTCAATCAGTTTGATATCAATCCTTTGTTTATTCGCCGCAAAATTTGTGATATAATCACACTACATAAAATTGTTTGTGGCTCTGATCATTGTCTCGATCGCAATAAGTATTTCACTCAATGCCTGTTACAGAGAAATCCACTTCGACTACGGACAGCTGGTCAGTTTTCTAAGGACTACTTTTCTAGGACTATTCCTCTTTGGAACAAATTAACTTCATATTTAGATTTTTAACATCACCCCAGAAACTCTTCGGAATAAATTGAATAATTTTTCCGAACCAAGCTTTTTATGAAAAATATCCCTTCTCGCCTACTGTAAGAAATATTTTTCCGGGTACCTGTCAACTTGTTGGGGTTGACTCATTCCCGCGTCTTGTTATTCTTCTGCTCGTCATATGTTGATCCCTAATACTATTTCTATACTACCCAATGTATGGCAGTGAATAAACTATTATTATTATTATTAAAACTTTGACGAGGAGTTTAGTACAAAAAATCTTTCTTGATACCGGAATGTTGTATATCAGTTTGAAGCTCGATGTCTGTGTTTCAACATGTACATCAAAGATTTTCTCAAAAAAAAAAATCGAGTGGGTTTTTTTCGCCGTGTAAAATTCGCATAAAAAGTTGCAATTTGGCATTATTTCTTTGTCCGAGCTCAAACAAAATGGCAAAGCTATTGGGACGGCTTTTTATGCTTAAAATGTGTGCAACAGATTTTGAGCTAATAAAAAATTAGTCAACTAGCGGTCGGAAAAATTCCGATCAGGAGATATAAGACCGTGAAAGATCCCGACTGTTTTTCAACACGTCTCACTTTTGTTAACTATTTCAAACTTTTGGGGATTGCATCTCTGAGAATACTTATTTATTAAACATCTACAAGGCTTGTAAAAATCAAAAAAACCCATTTCATACATCGATAACGGATTATCAGACAAAAAACGCCAAAAGAACTTTCAGCGCATAAAATTGACAATTTTGAAACCTTGACGCCCGCAGAAAAACTTTTTCATAAGTTGCTTAACAAATACCACATTATTCTCAGCAAATCAAAAACGAAAATAAAAAATAGAAGTTCTTCAACAAGCCGCAGCGTCAGATCAGTTATTTGACTTTCCATGAACAAAAAAGTTCCCCGAAACAATCCCCAAAATAATTGATTTTGCCGACTTTTCGGTCGTTTGAGGCTAGTTCACATAATTTTAACCAGCTGAATTTTGTCTAATAATAAAACAGAAGCCATTAATTTGTCATTTGACAGGAGAAAGCCGGGAAATCTAGCATAAAATATAGGAAATGAATCGAAAATAACCGGAAGGAAAAATTCAAGCTTTTGCTTCAAAAGCTCCTTTAGAAAAAAACTTCTGAAAAAGTTGAAAAAATTTTGATCATTTTTTTGTGTTGATCATCTGATTGCACTTTCTATTATTAATCAACTTACTTCTTAAAAAAACCTTGAAACTTTATAAGTGAGAAATGCTCTTCAATTCAACATGATGTCAATAAGACCTTGATTAATTCATGCGTTTAGGAAATTTAGGCACGTCGGTCATTTATTCTATTATATAATTTTTCTAATAGTCAAGGTTTCGAAGTAATTCATAAATTTTAGATCAGTCAAAAAAACGCCTTCTGAAACGAGTTATGACTGTTTGAAGTCAACCAATGTAAAACGAAATCCGTTTCTTGACAACCTAAGAGCACCAGGGCAATGGTTTCTATCCCCTCACAATTTTTTTGTGCTTTTGCTATCTCTCAAGTTAATAACAAAACAAGTATGAGGAATTAATTGAAATGACAGTTCGATGAGCTTCGGGAGGCTCTCTGACATCGTTCAAGTTTTAGATCTGGCAGAAAAAAAGGCGCGCAAACCTATCAGCTCAGCATCTGAGCACCTAAAAACCTGAGATATTACTAGGAAATTATGAACACTTATTCCTTTTAATTTTTCGGAAGAAAATATGTTTGTCCGGAATCTTATTTTCATTCCGCGTGCCGTAGCGCAAAAGGTTGTATGTCTGTCTACGGTCCAGAGGATTGCAAGATCCATCCCTGCCGTGACGCAATCTGGAGGTTTAATAAATGTTGGAAGGGGAAAAAACCGCGACTTTATAATTTCTAGCCGTTCCACACAAGTGCGGATACGTCTCTAGAGTCAGTCCTCTGACTATCACTGATACTTTGCAAACTTAGGACGCCGACTCCGCTAAAACGGTAAAATAATTATATTTCTTTTCCAACAACACGAGGGGAATCAAATTAATCTAAACTTTATATAGAAGCAGTTTTGAGGTGGACAGGAGTTTCAAGAAAAAAAAATGAGAGGTTATCATTTTTACATTAAGAAGCTTCCTAAACCGCGCTATTGCCCGTTCACGGCTGGCTTGGGACAGCGAACGGGCGGTTTGATTTTCGCGGAAAAGGTAGATAATGGCGACTACTCATGCGCCTTCCATCGAAGCCCCATTTTATGACTTATTTATTTGTCTCTTATTTTTCGTCGATTTAAGAAAATCTGAAAACCAATGAAATGAATTTAAACATAAGATAAACTCAATAGAAACAGAAATAATTCATCAAATGAGGCTCTTATTAAAGGCGCATATTTGACCGCCATGATCTACTATTGCCGCGAAAGTGAAACCGCCTGTTCGCTGTCCCAAGCCAGCCATGAACGGGCTATAAATCAAACTTTTAATACTTTTAAACAGCTATGGTTCGTGCGTTGTTTGAGCCTTATTTGCACTCTTTCTTCATTTTAAACAAGAGTTTTGAATATGTTCTGGAACGCCTTGTTCCGATGGTCGATAAAATGCTTGCATGACTGTGCAGCAAGATGGTCGATTTTCCCAAAAAAAAACTCGAATGACGCCTTTATTCCGCGGCAAACCGACGGTAACCGTGCGGAACAGTGAGGTCAACGTCCTTCGTGTGCGGTTCGGTCAGTTTTTTTTTGTTTGCACTATACACTCAGTCCAACTGGCGAGTGTCCCTACAATTGTGCAAATCTCGACACATGTCGGCGTTCTTTCTATACGATTCGCCGTTTTTTGAAGCCGCCGCTGGGAAAGTTGCATCCAATTGTTGCCTCCTGTTGCGTGACTGCGCCGACAACCCACTCGAAAAATAGCTGTAGTGACCACTGCAGTGTAAAAGAACAGGAGTTGGGTCGGATGTCTGATGATCTTCTCAGTGACTAGACGTGGGATCAGACTCAAATTAATTCGGTGAAAAAAAAATTAGTTTGGTTTCCAAGGCAGCTGGAGACCTGTGAAATTCAGCATGCGAAATTCATTCAACGGTCGACCGAAAATCAATTTTAAGTTCCTTTCTTTAATTGAGATTAATCCAAAAATTGATAAAACCAAAAACGTTTTTTTTTCTGAGAAAAAATTTCGAAAAGTTTTCATTAAAGTTTAAAAGTTTCATGTTTTAATTTATTGTACAGTCTAGTGATCCATAACGGGCTGTGAAATGAAAGAAAAGCGATTTTATATAAAGCGAGAATCCAAATAAGGTTCTAATTTTGTTGCAACAAGTCACTGATGTTTCAAACTTTTTCTTAAGGGTTTTTTTGAAAAACAGGACATGATTCCTAATAACTGAAAAATTTTCAACTCGATGCTGATATTTTAAATCAAAGTCGTGATGACGCAATGACACAGAAATTCCTTCTAAATTATTCATTTCATGATACCACCAAAATTACATGAATTCGATCGCGAAAATTTGGTTCAAAAAATGGGCCTTCGTCTAAACGTAATACGTTTCAGAATTGAAGCCAATTTGAGAAGGTCTGCGTGACACATCTGCTGCATGTCGTCCAGGTGGATGTGATGGACGGCTCCATTTGGAAAGGAAGCGCCCCGTGACGGAGATATTGCTTCGAAATAGCATCATTTGTTACGCCTGTGCCTAATGGATTCTTATGTGATTTATGAAAGCAGAACATTTCATTTTTTGGGCTCGGTAAAAGGTTTTTTGTGCCAAAATGGCCGTGCTTCTCCTTGATGTCGGCGAAATCGTTCTTTTTTAGTGGAGCTTGATGAAAAGCTGTTAACATCTTAGCTGGAGATTAAATGCGACAGAAGCTTCTGAACCTTTTCTGTTCGAATATACTGACGTGAATGCCTCAATAAAAATTACCTTAGACCAGTTGCAAATCATCAAGTTAAAGAAACTCCAAATTTTTTTACCATAAACTTTCTTTAAAAGCTGTCTCTGGGAGATTCGGGAGAATCATTTTTGAATCGTTCAATTGCTTCAAAAAAATCAGGTAAAAAAATGTTAATCATCGTACTGTTTTTTTGATATATGTGCTGTTTAAAAATTTTTTTAAAATTTCAATAGAAATCATCCAATAACTATATTTTTTGAACTCGATTCGCTTTTTTCAAATAAACTTTCAGACGAAAAAAATTCAGTCAAATCGGAATCCAGGAAACAAGGTCGGGGCATCTTCTCTTTGGCCCAGTAACCTCGTTCTTTCTTTGAACAAGATTCGCTTTCAGGAATTCAAATCGCAGTCAGACAGTTGTTCTTTCGCTTTTGTACTAGTGTCGTTCCGAATCTTCAGAGTCACACCCATTTTTTACGTGTTTCGAGGACACAAATCGCCACAAATTGGGTTGCGACCGCTAGGCCACGACACAGAGGTCAGTTTTGTTTGCTTAATGAGCCGCTTTGACTGTTTTCTTCTAATCTTTTGAGACTACCCGTCCACCAAAAATATATAGTTTGTTCGAAATTCTCACTCGGGCTTTCAAAAACACATGAGCTTTGTGAGGATTAAAAAAATAACAAAATAAACGTTCATTCGTTGTTTTTGTAAAAAGTTTTCTGTACAAACGCGGTCGAGACTTTTCGAAACGTCTGTACAGAATAAGAAGACGTCATCGCCCTAACTGTAAACTGAAAATTATCCAAAATTGTTTGCATAAATAATTTTTTATGTGAGAATTGTTTTCCCTTCTATCGAAAAACGTTTCTCACAAGTCAGTTAAATTTCAATCTCCACTTTTGCGTGAAACAATGGAGGAATGGGAAAACTATTTCACTTGAAACCGTTCTAATTCGAAAATTCTCTATTCACCAGAAATGTTCATTTTTGATCCTTTTTCGCAAAGCTTAATGCAGAACATGGAAAATTTCAAAAACCAAAAACCCAACTTTTTGGCCATTATCAGGGTTGAAAAACTTTCAGCGGTATGGAAAAAAGGTTTTTTTTTTTGAAACTACAAAAGTGAGACTTTTTTCTGAAATACAAGGCAAATTCAAAAAATGATAAAATTAACGAAAATAGTTTTGAATTTTTCTGAACTCTATAACGTTTTTTGAATTTGTAAAAAAAAAATTGAATTTTATGAATTTTTATCAAATTTTTCGCATCAAGTATCTGGGAAGACGGTTCATTTTTCGCTGTTTTGATATATTTTCTGAAGTCAGAACGTTATTTTTTTCCAGTTTATATATGAACTGTTTTCGTAATTTCATTTTTAAAAAAAGTTGAAAAAGTAATATGGTGATTTACCCAAAGTGCCCTGATCTTCTTGGTACTTCATTCCAATTTTGACCCTTTTCCGCATACTTTCGGCACAAATACCAAAGATCTTTCAGCCGAAAATCGCAACATTGGCTTTGCGGCGTCTCGCTTGAAAAGTGCGATTAAGACTCCAGACGTGTGATGCAGGCGGCTCTTGAACTTTGCCTGTCACGGCCTGTGGCGGAGCGCTGCTCGTAATGTTGCAGCGATGGGCGAAAAAGCGCCTTGTGGCGTCAAGTCGTGCTGCCTTTTTTTGCACCCTCTGGCCAGTATGCACTTTCCTCTTGCGTCCACTCGCTGTCCAGCGTGAGGGCGTGGAGGAAGAGGCGGAGTCTGAGAGGTTGGACCGCAGAGGCCGTCCGTTTTGTTTCCACAAGCACTGTATTCATCTCCTCAGCATCGGTCAAGCGACGTGAGCTTCTTCCGAGGTCCTCCAGCCGTCAGAGTGCGACCAGATCGTCCAGTCGACTTCGAAGGTTGAAAGCCCGATTTCACAGAAGGTTTCCACCTCTTCATAAAAATAACTAAATTATAATCTCCCAAAATCTAATCAACTTTCAAAAAATTTCTTTCTCTAGAAATTCTGTCAACCTATAAAAAAATCCTAATTCGGCTCATAATTCAACAAAACAAAATCTGAAGCCTATGCAGATCCCGATAGCATTTTTTCTTACTTCGAAGAGGAAATGCGAACTCTTTCGAATTTTACATGACACATCTTTTATTCTGTTTGTCATTTCGGCCAAACTTCCAACCAGAATATGTTTTTTCAAAAACTTCTCTATTTTTTTTCAAGTTATTTTTCAAATTTCAATGAATTTCAGTTGATTGAAACGAATAAAATTTCGGTTTCAATCGGTTATATGTTTGGTGTTTTCGAGAAAAACAGAACGCGATGAAGATTTTTTTAGGGCCTTTTAAGGCCTTTTAATTTTATAAAGACGAGCAAAGCTTACTGGCTTAGCAAATGGCCATTTATCAAAAAGAGGAAATTTCCAACTCTTTCTTCAATCAAACTTTTCGATTTTATTTCTGTTCGATGAAATTTTTCAGTACGAACAAATTGGCAGCGAGTGAAACAGAAAAAGATACTCTGAACCGAAACGTTCAGAGTCAAGGAGAGAGACACAAATTATCGATAAAAGCGAAATGGAATATATCCAAAGCTTTTGAGAAATCTGCCAGCAGGATTTACTGGACAAAAAGGCTTGCACTTTGAAGACCGAGTCGTTCTGATATCAAGTCCGGTGCGGCGCCGTGCCACGCCGTCCAGGCACGCGTCGGCTCCGTTCCACGAGATACTGAAGACATTTATCGTCTGCGCTGTCTTCGACCTGACTCAGGCCATTTTTTTCTTTCAGTACAAAGAAGAAAAATTCTTCTTTTTTGAACTTGAGACTAAATTTTGATAAAGGCTCAATATAAAAAAATGGAAATATCCTGTTAACCAATTTTCGTCTTTGAACAGTAGAATCAACATAAATCTCTTAAATTTTGTTTTGGATTCAGTCTCTTTTTCGGCATTGCTCGAAAACCTAAAAAAAATACATGAAAAATATTTCATCCTTATTATCACACAATGCTGTTTGAAAGTTAGAAAACTAGTGCGTGTAACGAACTGAATTCCCAAATCAGAAAATCTAGTTTTCAGTCTCAACTCAACTCATTTGTAGTAATGTTGATTGAAAAGTCCTCCACCACCATCCCGCAAACTTGATCTCTTTAGTCCGTTCAAAAGAGCTGACGCAACATTGAAATGCACGTCTGTGCTGGTCAGTGAAGGGATATTAGAGAGTGCAAAGCACGGACGGAAGTGTCTCACTCGTCTCTGGATAGAACGTAGCGAGTTTGAGAGAGCGCTGTGCAACGGGAGTCGTCCGAATTGTCCTCTCGCCTAAGGGTACGGAGACACACTGGCTGGTACGTGTGCAACCGCCCCTTTATCCATCGTCCTGCGGTTCTTGTCAGTCCTTCTCCACAGCTACTCGTCGTCCACCCGTAGATCCGAACATGTGTTGGTTTCTGCAACACAAGTTCATCTATAGGTAGACGACGTGGCTAGCGCCTTTTTCCTTTTTCGTAGGTCCTTCTCCTTTCCCACACCCACGCGGAGTGTCGCTGAGGTAGTAGGTTGTATAGTTAAGAGCTGTATCTTTGGAGAACTATGCAGCATGCTACCTTGCCGGCTTTTCTGCGACCTTTTTAGTGGTGGGCGGCAGTTCAATTCAATAGGTGGTCCCAAACTTTCGAATGATATGACTGAAGACTGGATTTCTGAAGGTAAACAATAATATTTGAGTCTGATTCCAATTTCTCAAAAAAAACTTTTGGGAAAAATGCTAAAACTCGGAAACTTTACTTCATTATGGAAAAATTTATGAAAAACAATATTGACTGTTGCCATCTTCACAATACCTTATTCTTATCTTTTTCCACTTTGGCTGCCGTTTTTTGTTGTTGGTCGTTAATAAACATTTGAATTCAATTTGTTATGTTGACTCAAGCATGGAAAGAAAAAAATTGAAACAATCAAAATCAACATAAGCTTTTTTTAAATTTTTTTATCGAGTTCTGCAAAGATACGCATCTTATCTGCATGGCAAAAAAATTATCGAAAAAAAATTTTTTTGAAGTTATGCCTAGGAAAAAAATTTTGTTAAAAAAACCTTTTAAACTTACAAAGGTTTCGAATTTATATGAAATATAATATGAAATTCATCTTTATTGGACATTATTTTATGGTTTAATCAAAATTTGCTTTTATAAAAGCGTTGAAAGATATATTCAGACAATTGACAGAAGAAATAATTAAGCGTTTATTATCGGTTTCATTTCTCAGATTGTGGGGAGTGAAATTTGATAGTTAGTGTAAAACAGTATCTTTCTTAAAAGAATCTTAAAAATTGGATAATTTAGAGCTAAATCTTTTTAACTTTTTTTCAAGATAACAAGAAAAAGTAAGTTTTTTTCTTTAAAGTTTCACGTACAGCTTGTTTGAGCTCTGGAACAGTAATTCTATTCGTTGCTAGCTTGAAATATAAGTACTAAAAACGTATAAACCTTTGATGTTTGCGCAATTTATCGCTCATAAGGTAAAAAACCTTATCACTATTATCTAAAGCCAACAATTAACTCACAATATATTACCCGTTTAGGCTGAATTTGTGGAAAGAATTTTCTCGCAAATTATCAGCGAACTCGAGCAAGTTATGACAACGATTGTCTTATCACATTACGCACGTGGAATTACAATGTTGCTGCCTTGAAACCAAAGAAAACGACGGGCGATAAGCGACGGGACAAGTCGAGTCGGTGGCAAAACGTTGCTTACTTGAATAAAAAAGGCGGAGTCTGGCAGCCTTGGGCAGAATCAGCTCACTCTGCCGCTCTCTTCTAGCTCCTTTCGACTTGCTCCCAAAATGGCCGAAGATTACCGCGTCTATCCCAAGCGTTGGCTCTACCTCTTCGTCGCCTGTCTTGTCAACTTCTCCAACGGGAATGTCAGTTTCTTTGTGCAATTTTTCCCTCATCTCTGTCAATGGCGATCATCCACATTAGCAACTTTTAAACCTTTGAAGAAGTTGCCAGCCTCTTTTAATTGAATTATGTTGAGTTCCAAAAAGTTTCAGGTTTTTTCGAGTTGACTCGAACGTTAATACAATGTGTAGAATGATTAAATTCTGCAAGTTCAAAAAGGAGTTCACACTCTGCCATCTTTACAGCTAATAAGGCTGATAATAATCGTTGATTGTATGAGGCTCAACAGAAATTCAACGTTATATTCGAAAATTTTCATTTTTTTCATTCGAAAAACCATTTTCACAAAAGGTTAAAGTTGTTAATCATTTTTTTTAGACCCATCTTACAATGCTCTCAAAAATATCCAACAAATCCTAAATTATTATCCTAAAGTTTCTAAATCCTAAAGTTCAAACTTTTCAGACATGGATTACATATGCAGCCATCACATTTTACACAAACGACTATTATAATAATAACAACGCGGCACTTCTTTTCAATGTAATTTTCATGGTGCTTTCAATTCCCGTTGGGTTTTTGGCTTGTTGGTGGATTGACAAGTTCGGACTCCGATCTGCGGTTCGCACGAGAAATTTTCGAATGGAATCAAAAGCTAAATTTCAGTATCATATTGGAGCTTGGGCTAATTTCATCGGAAACGTTGTGCGTCTTGTGGGCTCCGGGACGTTTATCGATCCCGCCTGGAGGTTTTTTACCTGTTGCAAACGTTTTCAAAAAGAAAGAAAAAATTTTGAAAAATGAGTGTCGCATTGGAAAAAATAAAGTATTTTTTGCGTAAAGCTCATTCAGGAATTCAATCTATAAAAGGATTTTTTTCTGTTCAATTTCTCTTCGACGAGAAAAATTTTTATTCCGAATTTTTATTCAACTGAGAAATTTTTTTCATTGAACGTGAAAAAAAGGTCTGAAAACAACTTTACCGGAAAAAAACTTCATTTTGCGCCATTTATTTTTTTAAATGAAAGAATTTATTAAAATTTTTTTGAATTTTTTTCTTTGTTCACATTAAGGAGTTCTCAAAAAAATTTTTAAATTTTTTATCAATCAGAAAGTAAAAAAATCACTTCGTGATAAGAAAATTGTTTTCCTTTGGTCATCAAAAAAAGAGTGATCGAGAGATTTCAAGAAGGCGAAATCGTCTGATAATTTTTCACGCTCTCACAAAAAAAAAAGTAACTTTCGACAAACTGGTGAATTCGCAACATTGAAATGGGGCAAAGAAGTGAAAAAGTGAAGCGATCAAATCATCAAACAGTTGGTTTCAGGTTTCCAATCGCTTTTGCTGGTCAGACAATCGCAGCGGTTGCACAGCCGTTTGTAATGTTCCTGCCGACAAAACTGGCCGCCTACTGGTTTGCCGAAGATGAGAGAGGAATCGCCAACACGTTGGCATCCATGTCGAATCCTATCGGCATCGCCGCCATGTACTCTTTGGCGCCGGTGTTCATCAACAATTCTACGCCTGACAACTTTTTCAACATGGTCAGCGTTGAATATGGCTTTAAAAGGATTCAAGCAAAAGTGAGATTGAAGAAATGGTAAGTGAGCTGCAGATCGAGATTATAACAACTTCATGAGTCCTAAAAAAATGGTCATAAATTCTTTAAAATGAAAACCAAGAGAGATCAAGGAAAAGTGAGCTAACATTCCTCTGTGTAAGGGACAAACGTTCTTTTTCTGATTTTGAATAACCTTATTCCAACTTATTTCCTCCAACGAGGCTTTGAAGCAGCTCAAGAAAAAAAAAAGCGCAAAAGACCAGGGGTCGGTGATTATCGTGTCAGATCAGCGGAAGTGGTTATAATCTTTCACTGATAAATATAATACTTTATTTTGGAATGTGATCTGTTTGATGTCTGATTACAGAACATCGCTATAACGGCTCTCGCCACTCTCACAGTACTTTTCACATTCTTTCTGACGACGTCAAAGCCGCCGACGCCGGCGTCACCATCCAGAGACGATGATGTGATCGCCCCGCCCTTCTTTCAAGGAGTTAAAATGTGCTTTCGCTCGAAAACTTTCATCATTCTGGCCATATGTCTTGGTTAGTCTTTGATGACAGATTAAAACATATACTAAAGTTTGAACACGCCACGCAAAGTTTTGAATTTCTATCAGTAAGAAATAAAATCGGGAACAGAACAGATTTTCTATCCATATTTCATGAACTAAATAGAAAGCGGCCGTTGATTGTTCTGTCACAGTTCGCATAATCATCGTATTACTGTTATTTCTCTGCGAAATTTATTTCAACATTCATATGAAAAAAAAACCAAAGCGCACTCTTTTGAAATTTCAGAAATTAACGGATTTGACATGAAACGGCAGTCAACTTCACTATTACCGATATTTTTCGATTTCATGCAAAAAACATTGAAATGTTTTATCTGAAATGTAAATATTGCACAGAGATTTTGAGTTCTGAAACAGTACCATTAAAAAAATCCTGCATAAAAGTGAAACTTTTTATTAAAACTTTTTATTTTTAAAGTTCACAGGATTGAGAAATTCCAGGCGGCGGAGTCGGACTTTTCAATGCTCTGTACAATAACCTGCAGCCGGCTCTGTGTGTCAAAGGCTATTCGCCAACTTTCAACGGCGGAATGGGCTCTCTGCTAATTATGAGCGGCTTGGTGGGGGCTGCAATTACTGGCATCATTGTCGACAAATGGGGACAGTTTGAGAAAGTTTGTCTCCTCTTTTTTTTCGGGAGTATAATCGTATAACTCCAGGTGATGAAGATTTCTTTCTGTATAGCCGGTGTGGCTGCATCATCTCTAACTATTGTGATAAACTATTCCGGCGTTCAATGGTGGGTGGTGCTGTCAATCTTCATCTTTGGAGCGGCTGGATTTTCCATTTATCCCATCGGCTTAGAAATGGGAGTTGAAGCAACTTTCCCAGTTGCAGAAGCCACATCCACCGGCCTCATCATCATGATCGGGTTCTGACTTTGATTTTAATCCATAACTTCTCTCTCTCTCTCTCAATTCATTCAGACAAATTCAAGGCGTTGTTTACGTGATCCTTACAAATTTGGCCACTGGAAAACCAACTCCTGCAGATCTTGCCGTCCAGACATGTGTGGACACGAATCAAAACCTTAAAACCGTTTTTGACGTGGAAATGTACGTTTCTTCAAGAAAATGAATTCTTTTCTTGAGAAAAAAATGATTAGAATTTTTCATAGAAAAGCAAATTTCAGGGCCCTTTATCATTTGGCTCGGGTTCATTTCCGTTCTGATTGTGGTTTTTCGTTGTGCTGTTTTTGGCCGAAATATAAAAGGAGAAACTACGAGCAAGGAAGGAAGACTGAGGCGACAAGAGACACCGCCGAGACCATGGAATCCACTTACGAGTTGAAAATGCACTTGTAAATACTTTTAGGCCATTTTTCTTAGAACAGTTTGATTATATTTGACATCAAAGTTCAAATAAGATAATAGCCTTCTAGCTGAAGTTATTGAAAAGATGAGTGAAACTCACAATACGGGTTTTTACTTTTGTGATCGATTTTTTCAAAAAAATGATATTTTGTGAAAATCTTTAGCTATAACTGCTAGTCTTGTTGCAAAATTTTCCGTACTTCTGAGAAAAAAGTTTATTTCGAGAATACAGTGACATAAATCCTTGAAAAAAACTTTTTACAGATACTTTAAAAGGAGAAAGGCCACCAAACACGAAAGACAAAAAATGAGCTCATTGAGAGCAAAATTTCGAAAAATCTGACGTTAACAACTCTTGAAATTATACTAGTTGTAAAAATGAATGACAGTTTCCACTTTGAAACCAGGTATTTACAACAAGAAAGCGGGAGGTTGGGGAAGATTAATCGTCGATTATCAGCTCCTTTTCGTGCTTCGCATCGCTGATGTTCTTTTTTATAGTTTCGATGGCTTTATTGGCTTCTTTCCACTCGTCATCATCCAATTTTCCTTTTCCGACAAACTTTGCTTCTTTTGCGAAGTTATCGCACATCTGAAAAATGGTTTTCATTCAATCAAAGTGACCTCAGAGGGCACAATCTTTTTTTTGACTGATAATCACGGTCATAATCCCTCGTTTCAACGAGGAACTAAAACACGGGGTATGCCGATAATTAGTGACAACTTCGTAGACGACGACCAAAAAAACAAAGATAAGATGTCTCTCCAAAGTCGCAAAGACACCAAAAGCAAGAGCTTATAACTAATCTTCTAGGAAAAACCTGATAAAAAAGGTTCTCACCTTGAAAGATTCCTCGTCAGCCACATCCAGATAACTCTTCACTAACTTTGAGAAACTCAAATAAATTGCCAAGCCTCCCGGAGAGTTTTTGTCTTTCCACGTTTTTTTTACAGCTAGCGTGATTTCATAGTAAATTTCCTGAAACCAAAAAGTTTCGAGGTGAAAATAGAAGTGAGACCTTGAGTCGGTTCCAGAGTTGCTCACGTTCTTCTTCACGAGCACACCTGCTCAACTTACTGAAAACGTCGTAAACAGACTCGTTGTACATTTCCAACCAACGAGCATCTTTTCTGCAAAAAAAGTTCATTTTTCATCGTGTTTTGAGATCACAACATACACTAGTTTGGCTCCCTCGATCAGATCAATGCAACTCAAGCAAGCGTCTTTCTTGTCTTCGAAGGTGCAGCTGAAAAATAAGATATAAGACTTTTCATATCTTTTTCAGGCCATCATACCTCGTAGTTTTATCGCTTATTATGGCATTGATTGTTTCTATTTCTGGCAGTGTGTACTCAATTCCATCTTGAGAAGTCCATCTTGAAATAAAAATAAAAAAAGTTTTGAGAAAAGAGAAACTCTGAAATTTCTTCCATCGCTTCATCAAATTTTTCGCTATCATTCAATTTTCTTGCTTTCGCAAAGGCTTCATCGCGAGAACTCATTTCCTGAAAAAGCAATCAAAATCAGAAACATTTAAAAAAGAACCATCAGGGGAATGGCGCAAACGTAAATAAAAATGAAAACTACGCGAAATCTGCTTCGAAAAAAACAAAAAAAAATGAGTTTTTGAGTCGTCTTTTTGAGTTTCGAATTATCAGATTTGAAAAAAACATCCAGAAGAAAGTTGGGGTAATTTTTTTAGTATTCGTTTGTAAAAGTTCATTTTTTTGAGTTTGCGTGAACTCTGAAGAAAATTTTGAAAAGAAACTTCTGTAATAGGTCAGTTAAAAATTTCATCAACCCTGTTGTCAAAAAAATTCCTTTTTGAAAATTAAAAAAACACCTCTTGATAAAATCGTATCGTTTGAGGAGTAGCTAACTTGAACAGGCTTTCAAAATTTGATCACCAATGTAGATCATCTTTCGAAGTTTTGTTCAGAGAGTTAAAAAAAAATAATAATAAATAAGCTGAAAAGCTTTTGTGATCATTATTTCCTCATCAATGATAGAAAGATTATAACGGAATGCAAGTAAACTGGCAAGTTGGAAACTAATGAAGGAAACATGGAAGCAAAAAGAATAATGACATTCATAAAAAGGAAGAGTAACCACGGTCGACGTCGATGTGGAAAGATCCAGGAGACAGGTGTTTTTAGGTGACGAGTTCAAGCTCAGCCAATCGTTATCCGTGGGTGGTGTTGTTCTGTGGCGGAGCCTGAGGATCACGCAAAACAGCGCTCTGTTACGGGGGCGAGCCGCTATTCTTTGCAGCTCGCTGTTACACCAAATCGCTCCTGAAACCCAACGAGTTTTTCGAAAGGATGCATGTGATTGTTGAGCTTCTATCGAGTTGAACTGCAAATATGAAGAATAATAAATGAATTTCTACATCTGTGAACTATTTATATTGAGCGAAAAGGAAAATCATTGAAATGAGCTCGCCTATTTATTAGGATTTAAAAAGCGCCAGCTTGGAAAAATTTAACTTTAACAACTGAGCAAAAAAATAAGATTATAAGATTTTTCATATTTCTTTCAATCATAAAAAGACAACAATAAAGGAGAAAATTTTGTAATCCGCGGCACGATCAAAAAACTGTAGATTATCGGTTCAGGCGCGTTTGAAGTTTTTTTCTCTGTAACTCGATTATGATTAAAATTCGTGAATCAAACTGAGCTTTTTTTCGGAGAAATAACAGCTCAGCAATCAGGAAAACTATGTCCGACTAGAATATCTTTGGAAGCATCTGTTCATGAGATTTTTTTAACGAAACTATTGAAAAAAATGAAGATATAGAAGTAAAGATGTTTCTTCAAGTTTAAGTCAGACATAAATTTTTTTCCGAAAGTTCGTAAAAAAAGTTTTTTTCAACGAATCCAGTGGGAAAAAGATCTACACGGACTCACAAACCGTACTCAATGAACAATTTAAGAACATTCTTGTGAAATTATTCAAATTATCTGTATTGTTTTTTGAACCCTACTCCTTATTCTCTTTCTGCATCGAGTAGGAAGGAGCGGTTATAAAATGCCAACTGCATATGTCCGAATGGTTTTTAACAGCTGAAGAACTCGTTCATCTCGTATTCATGGATTATCCAAGAGCGCATCTTCTGCGGGAATCCTTCCAACCGCGCTAAACCCATTAAGAATTCATTTCCGTTACGAATAATGATCTACAGCCATAACTGGGAAAATTACGCCAAAAATAAAAAATAATCCGAGCGATTGGCTTAGAAGCAAGTTGATGGAGGAATTCTGTTTTAGGAAAACAACTTTTGAATTATTTACAGTTTTATTTGAAATACTCACAAAGAAAGCTTCACTGTGAGAGATCTCGGTTCAGAACTTTTCAACAAAGTTCTGAAAGCGAAAGCAATCAATATGAAGTTGACCAAGTTTACTCCTATTTATAAAGTATTTAACGTCGCGGTAAAATGAAAAAACTCGCCCACCATTCTTTCCTGTTTGCTCTACGAACGGTTACTCACTTATTTCCTTTCTTGTCCAGCCGCCTTCTCGTTTTTTTCTCACCTTTGAAATTTTTTTCTAGATGGAGGATATCTTATTTTTTTCGAATATTATTAATAATAATTTATTCACAGATCAGTGTGAACCCCAACGAGTTCACTTTGATCTAAAATTTTTCAAGTTTTTCCCTCAAAGATGTTTGCGGATTTTTCAACAAAACTGCTCCGGGAGTCATGCCAAGAGGGCTAATGAGGATGGCTTCTCAAATTTTTTTTACATCCTCATTTTATTTATTTTTTTAACTTTTTATTAAAACCAATTTTCGCATTTGGAAAAAAAAATTTCAATATGCACATAACTCAAGGTCTGCTTTCAACAAAAGTTGTAATCAGACATCTGAGCATATCTTTTTTGAACTTCTCTTTTTTCCAATAAAGTGTGGCTGACCATAAACAACTATTTTTGCGCACAGTTGCAAGCGACATTAAAAGTTCATCAAAGTTTGCGAACTTATCCGCTTTTTGCCTTTTTCTCATTTTCCCCGATTTTTTCGTCTCGTTTCCAGAATTATCTTCTTCGATCTCTAACTCTCGGATAAATCTAGAAAAGAGTCATTAGGAGCTTTCTGTGAGAATTGTTCCGAGAGAATAATGTACGGCGACAGTGATGAATATAGTCTCCGCTGGCAGGAGCGGTACGTTTCAAAAAAGAAACGAATGCGAGGGCCGTTGATGGCTGGCGGCAACTTGGTGAGGCAAGGCTCGCGGCCCGCCCCTCACCATTCGGCACAAGACATGGGGGCCTGTGTCAACGCTCTTCGGACCATCGTCTTCATCTTCAATCTCCTTTTTTGGGTTTGTTATGCGTTCTGTTATCAAATCACTTTCAAAAATTCAATCGGTTTTTTTGTTAACATTCGAAATAGTTTCAAAAGGCAGCCGCGTGGATTCTATCGATCAGACGATCTTTTTTTGGTTGTTTGGAGAATCTCTGTTTAACTGCATGAGAACACTTTGATTTGATGCGAATCAAGCATAAATCACCGTTATATGCACAATCTTAAAGTTTTGAGGATGTGATCTTTTTAAATCCCTGCTATTCTCGAAAAATAGGTTCTCGGAAAATAATTTTTCCTTTTCCAAAAAAAACTGTGGTAAAAATCAATATTGAAAAATTTAAAAGCTCAACCGTATTGAAAAAAAGAAAAAGCATGAAATAACCTTGTTCTTAAAGAAAATGTCAAATGAAAGCGTCAATCTTTTTTTTTATTTAAAATGCCCTTCGTTGCTTTGTTTTATTTTTGCCTTCTCTTCTTTTTTTACCCTGCATCTGATGTTTTGAACGGCTTGTACCATTACCAAATCGCATCGCACGCTCCAAAGAGCACAAATGACTGCCCCAAGGCCAAATCCAATTTGGCGCTGCTCATCCTTATCGCAGTCTTCCGCTGCCATTTCAAAACATAAAATCCACGAGAAAGTGAAAAAAAAGTTTGTGTATTTGTGTCTGCGTTTGTCAGGCAGGAAGCTCGACTGCCTCGAAACGACTTGAAGTCTTTATCTCACGGCACGCGTGTGCCCTCGACGCCACATGTTTCATTATTGCGCCGCAAAAGCGATCTGCAACGAAAAACATGCAGAAATTGATCGTCGTTCGAAAAAATGCCGGAATTGATCGACGCTAAGTTTTCTGACTTTTTGCGGGTCAGCGGCTTTTAACAAACGAGAACGGCGCCAGAGTGCACAAAGAAAAATCTGTAAACACTTTTCGGGCATCTGCTTTTGTTTGGTGGTGAGGTGAAGTAGGTCAAATTGCACATTTTTTTTTGTTTAGGTATTCCGTTTGATGTGAGGAAATTGATCAATGAGACAAAATTTGGCAAAGAAATTAGCTCACAGAATTGGTTGTTCAATTAGACAGATTGCAATTTTTGAATGATTCGCCGTTGATATTTCAGATGTGTCCTTGAAAATAATTTTGAAAAGCTTTCTAATGTTTTTTTCAAAAAAACATTGAAAGTTTTATTTTGATTCAGCACAGGCACTTTTTCCAAAAATCAAAATGTTTCGCATTTGTTTAGAAAAACTAAAAATGAGGAGACTTCGGACAGGTTAAAAGTTGTTTTTTAACAATCAGAACGACAAAAAAGTTGTAGTCAATTTTCAAGAACAGAAGAAAAAACTGGATTTTTTTTTGTGTGAATGCAAGCCTTTTTGAGAAAGTAAATCTGATTTTTCTGTGATTTCAAGAAAAGCGGAGACAGTATTTGTCCCATTCTGCCGCCAATTTTTTCTCTCACACTTTTTTCCGCTGCGGAATCTAATAACTTTGCTCTTCATTCTGCCCTTTTCCTAGCTCAATCTCATTAATTCAAAATTTTCTTATGCTAATTCCGCCATGAACCAACGACGAAGCGATTTTCACGATAACGGCGAGGAGAGCCCAAGGGGAAACTTAGCAAATGTCAACACATTTGGCCAGTAGACAAATTTCCTTTCTGTCGCTCAGCTCATTTATAATTGAGCTGTTGTTTTGCTTTTATGCCATGTCAAAGAACGTGAATGAGCAAACGCTTTCCCGAGCTTACTCAACTTTTTTTTTCACAGCTGCAAAAAAAAAACATCTAGTGGAACTTTTTTTATTTAAACATTTTTTTTCTGGAGTGTTTGATGATTTAGGTTTCCGATGTAACTATCAACTAAGATTTAAGGCCTCTTTCTCAATTTTTTTCTGGTTTTTCTCACCTTCTCGGGCTCAAAAGCAAGACTCTGTTGACCACATTAAGAACGAGGATCAGGATACGACGTGTGTCGTTCAGTGGCTGGGTAACGTCCACGCAGGGGGTCGTGTTACAAACAAACCAGGCCAAAATCGGATTTCCGCTAATCTTCTTTGCAGTCGCACAACTTATACACATAAAAATTATAAATAGCTGTTGGACTATATTTTGAATAGCTTTCAGAAAAAACTTTCAGGTCACTGGTTTGATCATCCTCGGTTTGGGATTATGGCTCTTGTTGGATCCAACCGCGTCTGACTTTTTCGCTCTGCATTCTACACATCCAGGTGACGAAGAAATAGAAAATATATATATGCCAGAGGATAGTCAATAGTTGATTTTATAATACCTACCTACCTGGCAGCATTCCAAAACTAAGTTTGGACGGAAGTAAAAGTTACTTTTTTTATCATCAGATTTTACTCTAAAAGATAAAAAAAGCAGATATCAATTATAAAAAGTGAACATTCCTAATATTGGAACGTTTTCAGCTTCTTTTCCGGATAGTGGGATGGCTTCTCGTGGCCGCCGGAGCAATCATGACTTTCATCGGTTGTTTTTGGATGCTGTGGCGCCTGGAAACTCAACCAATGCGCTCTTTTTGCAGTGAGCATTTAATATTTCAGCAATTAATTCAATCTTTCCAATTATTTAGTTAGGAAAAATTTTTCTATTTTCCGTACCTATAAACAAACGCCTATGTGTGAAACAGCTGTTGATCCTTCGGCGAAAGTGTTGAGAAATGCGTAAATCATGTGACAAAATGTGTCGTAAGAGCGCGATTCGGACAAGAAAATACACCGCAAAAAGTGTTCCTGATCAAATTGCAAGAGCTTACAACGTCTCAAGCAGCTATTTGTCATTATCATTCAGCTTTTATCGAAAAGAGATGCTAACTTTTTCTGACAAAGAAGGTAGTTTCGTTTTGAAGTTGAGATTTTCGTCACTCCTTGATGTACAACAAAAAAACTGTGAAAGTCTAAATCTTTTATAATTTTTCTAGTTTTTCGAAAACAAATAACATAAAGTCCAAATTATTCCTAAAAAGATATTTTAAGGTTTTCTTCAACTTCGGAAATTATTTTTCTCGGAAAATAGGAAGTTATGCCTATTAAAAACTTTAAAGATCTCCATCTGGTCCATCAATGGATTTTCAGTCAATTTTCGGAAATCCTCAACTGGAAAGGAAAATGACCATTCTGGAGGAAAAAGCTTTTTTTAGCTGCAAGCGTTGTAGGGTGTATAATCTTATATGTATGTCACAGCGAAGACGTAAATTATCATCTTTCAGTTCTTCCTGGTGCTAATCTTGGTCTTCTTCCTCGAGCTTGCAGCTGCTGTCATCGCCTACAATAAACAGGATAACATCCGGTTTGTCATGAAATTTTACGATCTTCGCAAGATGTCGGACATTTTTTTTCGAAAACAAATTTTTTCAGGCAGTACATTGAGAGCAGCATGTACGACACTATTCAAAACAGATACGCGTCTGATGTGAATTACAAGACGGCTTTCGATTCAATTCAAAATGAGGTTCAACTTTTTATCAGACAAAAAAGGCAGTTGGAAAAATGAATTAAAGTTTTAAAAGTTTTTTTAAAAGTTAATCCGCTTTTAAGCAAACGAACTTGTATGTTTTGGACGGCTCTAACATGTGAGGTCATTTCTAAATGTGATTTGAGTTTTTTCATAAATTTGTCAAAATAATTTTTCCAAAAATGTAGAACCAACCTATAAAAAAACTTTTTTTCCGAATTATAAAATATAGTATTTGAGCAAAACTCCGTGTCAAACGCGATTTTGAAAGATTAGAGTATCGCACAGACGGCACTGCGAGATATTTGATGTTTTAATGTGGATTTCAAATTATCATTTACATTTTTAATCACTTGGCATTGAACGTCTTCATTGAAATTGTATCCTACTGAATCATTTTTTATTAGTTATCGAAAAATAATCTTCTGAAACTATCATCTCAACAGCATCTCTTCCAGTTCCAATGCTGTGGAGTGAAATCTTACAATGACTGGCTGAACGCGAGTTGGGACAAAAAAGGAGCCCAGTACTACGAAGACGGCCGCGTGGAGCATGGTATTGGAGCTGTCGGCGGTGGCCGTGGAAACGGCTTCGGTGAGACAAAAAACATGGTTTGTGAATATTTTTTCGTTTTTGAAGGCCGCGTTCCCTCCTCCTGTTGTAATGAACACGGAAAATCAGTGTACCCGAGCAACTGCGGAGTCTCGTTCACTCAAGCGCCTTTGGTCACTTATTCGCAGTTCGTCAACCAGCAGGTGATTTGGATGTTTCGCGGTCTACTCACAAAAAAACTTTTTGATAGCTAAGTTAAAACGAGAAAAAAGTTGAACCAGAAAATTCAACTTGAACTTTTAAAAATAAAAACCGAGCCAATTCTTCCAACTGATAATGACCAAAAAGAAAAAATCAAAAAACGTATATGGCAGATTAATTTATTTTGAGTTGGCCAATTCTCTGAAAATTGACCAAAATATCCCTTGATCTACTAAAAAAAATTCGAAAAGTTTCAACCTTCCCAATTGTTCAGAAAAGAAGTACATGAAGTCGTAAAATGGCCTATTTTCACGGAATTTTTCGGTTTACTTTCTCTGAGACTCTTTTTTTGGAAAAAATGAAATTGCGCAGGATAGAGATGTCAGAGTCTGAATTTGATCTTGCAAAAAAAAACCGACGAATTTCCAGGACATTACTGACAGTAAAGTGCTTTTCTTGTGTAAATATATTAAAAATTCAAAGTGTTTTAGAAGTGTTCACAATTTCAATTTTTAAAAACAGATGATAGTTTTTTTTTAGGGATGCGCCGATGCTCTCTATGAATCCTGGTACAACTATCTCGATGTCATCATCGGCATTTGCGTTTTCGTTGGAGCTATTCAAGTAACGTTTTTCTTGCATTTTCCTTTTTCAAGATCTCATTTAGCTGATTGGAATGGTCTTCTCGATGATTCTTTGCTGCTGTGTCAACGCCGAGAAGAAAAAGTACGACTATTAACTGAACAAACTCATCTTTTTTTTGAGAAGTATTTGAAATTGTGCCAACGGGTTTGGCTTATGTTGGCCCGGTCATTTGTCCATTTTTTAGCTTTGACTCGAAATTCTTAGGTTTTTGGAAAAAAATTACATTTTCTTTATTATGCCTTGCCTTCTATCCAAATGCAATAAGACGACATTACTATTGAAAGAAATACTTTACTGGCACGAACGAGGATAAACAAGAAAGACATCATGACAATAATCTCATAAAGTGAAAATCTGAACGACGTGTTTTGAACGGTTTGATTGGAATTTTCAGGACAAGTATCACTTTTTCACTGGAATTTTTTTCATTTTTTATTAATCAGTTAAAAATTTTTTCGATTAAATTTTCCAAAAACAAAGTTTTACCAGATTTCTGAGAATGTAAAAGATGATAAACTGTTTCGAAGGAAATGACTGCTCGAGGAGATGGAAAGAAGCCCAAGATGTGAATAATAAATGCACAACACTTGTAGGGTACCCATTTCAAAAATGCTGGAAAAAAATGCAAAGATTGTATCTTGGAAAGTACTCGTTCAATCTGAATGAAGGCAAAAAAATTTTTTTGATTCGTAATAAATTGCGTTTTTAAGCAGCTCGAAGTTTAAAATATTGTAAAACATAGCACAGGGGAAATTTTGAATTTTTTCTTCGAAGAATACTATGTTTGGAACGTAGAGTCGCATGAGAAGGGTAGAAGCAAGAAAATAACTACTTACAAGAACTTTTACACGTTTTCGTTTGCTCCTCGACGGGGGAAATTCGGCATTCTCAAAAACCTTCGAATGTTTCTTTTCCGTCCATTTTTGTTTTCTGCGTTTTCGGGAGCTTGTAGGACACCAAGTTGAGCGGGCGTCAGAAGACAAAGCGCAGAAGCGACGGCGAGCCCCGATGTCCCGGAAGGCGTCGTCGCTCTTCCTCCAGTAGGTAGTCGAACCGCCAGAGTGAATACTCCTGCCTTGTAGTTGCTACACGGCTCTATGGACAGTGGAGTTGGTCCTCCGGAAGAACCCTTTAAAATTCGAGATTGAGATCATCATCAAAACATTTCTATTCAAAACTTTCTGATTGATTAAATCGAAAAATTATTAAACCTTTGTATTGCGCAGTTTTTCAGATGATTTCTTAAACGACCGAAAAAGTTTGATCGGAAAGTTTGAACAGGAAATGAATTTATTTGAGACTAACCGCTGGTATACATGGTTTGGTGAGCTCGAGTTTCACCGACGCAAAAGGCCTTGACGCCATCTGAATCAAAAATTAGTGACTTCATCTGTCCTTTAAAACCAACGTGTTCAATTTCGTCAATTCTCCTCTGGTTTCTGCGGTAAGCCTCGATCCTCACTTTCACCATCCACAAGAGCCCCGCAACAACTAGTAATACGATAAAGCATCTGAAAATGGTTTTCTCAAAGATTTCAGCATCAACTTAGTACCCCATGATGATCAGAGCAGACAAAGGCATTTTTTCATGATATCCAAAGCGCATGATCCAATAAATAAGTAACGCTGGGAATGCAAGAATGGGAACCGGGAAGAAAAAGGTGAGAGAAATGAATGCCGTTCTTGATGGATGGTTGTAGGGAGGAAAAAAAGATTCTTACACCAAAGAGATTGAAGAACAAAATTAACATTTTTAGGGCTAAAAAATGCGCAAAAAACGAACGCTGCAAAAATGACGAAGAAGAGGACCCAGTTGATAGGTGGCGACTGGGCAAAAGACACGACAATGGTGACCGGTGTCGTGAAGTTGTAGACGCGCACCTAAAAAAACATAGATACTCAACCTGTGCTTTAATAATTCCGATTTGAAAACTTGTATTTTTCTCCCTATATGAATAACCCTTTCTCAGTGCATTTGACATTCTATATAACACATAACTCATATTTAAAAACTTTCAAAGTTCAGGATTTCACTTGAACCCTTTACGACGACTACTATCGCATGAATTCTAAAAACTCGAGTTCAAACAACTCACGAAGAATGTTGTGTTGGCATCGGTTCCAAACGGATAGCCTTTGTCAGAGGCAACATAAACCCGTCGAAAACCCTTCGAATCGCAGGAAGTGTTGAACTGCAACTTCTCAACTCAAACAAGTCGTTCTTTAAGATTTACCATCATCGTTTGAGTTCTTTCCGGTACCCCGTCAATGTGAGAAGATGTCATGTTCAATGCCACCAGAGCATTACTGTGCTCGCAACTGATTTGGAACGTCACATCTGTGTCTCGCTGAAAATACCAGTTTCTGAACTATTATCTGATTTGACGCTACTTACTTTGTATGGAATGCTGTACAAAAAGATTTCTGATGTGTGCCGGTCTTTGTCGTCGTTTCTGAGTTTGAAAGTGAAGATAAAGTCGACGGCCAGTTCGTCTGTAAATGCTGCTAGTCATTTTATCTCGTAAAATTGAACTCACAGTAGCATGGCGTTCCATTGCTGGGAGAGCCGCCGTATTTAGGTTCACACTTTTCACATTTTGGGCCAGTGACTCCTTTTGTTCTACAGTAGCAAGATCCAGTCGAAGGATCGCAGGAATCCGCTTGTCCATTGCAATCGCAGACTAGAAAAATTGAAATAGTAAGAAAATTGATTAGATCCATTTTATATAACAGGTAAGCGTGTGAAGTATGTAGCGCTAATTAATTCAAAAATTTTGATGTAGACAAATGAGAATAATCGATAAAAAAATAAAAAAATAATCTAAATTCGTTTTCTTTTTTTGGTTTTCTTAATTTTTTTCTGACCCCGACTAAAAATTTTTATTTTTTTCTATAACTGCTCGACTCTTAAAAAAATATGATATTCTTTTCACAATTTTCATTGAACGTTAATTTTTTTGGTTTTTCAAAAAAAGGGCGTCAGCAAAATCTCAAACTTCCTTCCGCATTTCGTCTTCTTTTTCACCAAGAGCGAAACGACCGCGACGCCGCGTGCTTGGAATTAGTCTCCCCTATCGCGACCATAATCCGCGCGACCAAAAAAAAAACACGAACCTCGACAAACACCGCCGTTTCTCGCGTCCCCAAAATAGCCGAAGGCGCATTTTTCGCAGTGTGCTCCAGCCGTGTTGTTGCCACACATCTGGCACTTTTCAATCGTATGCGGCGGAAAAGAGCTAAGCGAAGTCGTGCAGGTTGAGTGACCGTTGCATTGACAAGCTAAATTAAAATTTCAACTGAGAAAAAACCGTAAAAGCTTCTGTTTTTTTTTTGCACTGGGAAACTATGAAATATATGCACCTGCGCAATCGAAGAAGTGCCAGGTTCCTTTGATCGGTGGAGGATTGATTGGACCACTGGAAGTTCCTTGGACACAAGTTCCAAGACCAGTTCTTGAGTCGTCTGCCAACCAGCCGCACTCCGGAGCTCTTTGACATTCTCCGCATGTTTTGTGGTACTCACAGATGCTCGATTCTGCGAGTTGAATGGATTATATTCGTTGTTTTTCTTATGAATTAGTTCAGTTTTCTTATAACGTTCAATAGTGCTTCAAACATTTAAACCCTCATAGCGTTTCTCTCCTAAACGCATTCTCCTGATTGAAAATTTTGAAATACTGATTTGAGTGGAAAAAAAACTCAAAACGGTCAAAAAAGAAGTTTTCTCTTGAATCTCACCAGCTTGACAAACTCTGGCATGACTGGGTCCAGAACTTCCTGTAACCCAAGAGTGACATTGACCATAGGCAAATGATAGCGTGTACGCGTCCAAATTGATGCATCTGAATGATATTTTCAGTCGATTAACAGGGAAACAGTACAGCTAACCTCTGCGTGCTGGGACACCACATACATTGTTCCAATTCTACACAATCGGTACAATTGGAGCGTTGTGAGCACGGCAAGGGACAATCAGTGAGATTGCGGAAGAAGGAATGACTCAGGTTGGATGGAACGTGTAGCGGACTTCCTGGAGAAAGTCGATCTCTGTCTCTGGACGCTTGTTTCGCATCGTACTCGTACATCACAGAAACTGAAAAAGAGGTTTTCATTGAGAAATACAGCTCGGAACTGACTGAAGTCTTCTCTTGAAATGCAAGGCTGGGTTCGGTCGATTGGATACCATGTGCAATGCGGCAGAAGTCGACAAATACCACAGTTTTTGGCCATGTGACAAGGCCTTGGGGCAGCCAACTGATTTTTCCGCGGGCATTTTTCCCAGGTTGTCAACATACCCTGAATTGGTGTCCAGTGAATGTAAAATTTGATAATTACACTGGCTTGGGACAAAACTTATTATGGGTGTTATAATGTATCAAGTATACTCACGAGGCCATCGACGCATTCCAAATCGTTCGGAAGACACTGCTCTCCTGAAGGACACCATCCACATCCTGATTTTGAAGCACAGGACACGCAATCTTTCTGTTCGTCGCAAACTTGCAATGCTTGGCTGAAAATTCTAGTCTGTTTTCAGAAGAGAAGAAAAATTAACAAACCGGAAGGCAGTGTTTCGGCATTCGTCTATCTGCTTTGGATTTATTTGCTTCACGAAACCGCTGAATGTCGGTTTATAGGAAACGTTGGGGTCGTATGTTGTGCAAGTTTTGTCAGTGAAAACACATTTCACGCCATCGCTGATCTGACGACAGTCATCGGGTCTTGTGGTAGAATCACAACGAGCTGGAATATGCCAAAGTCAGAGAAGAATTGGAATCATTCAAAAACTAGCCCATATAGTGCTGCCGGGCTAGATGATGATTGCTAAAGGAGTCTATCATTTTTCAAAGGTTTATAAAAGAGTTGGAGTCTTGCAAAAAACTCAACCCAACACTAATACCCTAAATTCCCAATTTCTCGAGTTATCAAAGCTAGGACTTCGTAAATGTTTCCCCTCTAGGGTTGTTTGAATTTGAAAGCAGTATACGACAAATTCTCGAGTACTCAAATCTTGAGGACCGTAAGCCAGTGTACGCACATTTCAAAACCTATTATTTTGGAAACCAAAACTCTGGAAACCAAAATCTTAAAAACCATAATCTCGGAAAGCAAAAGTCATGGCTTTTGCAAATATGTTTTGTCAGGAAGTGTATTCGGTGATTGAAACAAGAGAATCTGAGAGAAAAAGCAATAAATAAAACGAAAATAAGAGTTAAGAGCTTTTGGCTCTCCATTATGGGCTTCGAGATGTGCATACACATGCTTACGGTCCTCAAGAATGGCAGACTTGAGATTTTGTCGTGCCATCCTGAAGACCAAATAAGCTTGATGTTTAAAACTTGAACTTGAAAAAAAGTATATCAAATTACCAGGTGAGAACTTCCAAACGTCTCTTAAAATTTTGCCACTGAAGCCTCCGTAGACGTATAGCGAACTCTTGGCCAAAACTGCAGAATGACCATATCGACGGAACGAAGCTGGGGCTGACGTCAGATTGTACCATTGCTTGCAAGCTGTAAAAAAGAGACCAATAAGTCTTAGTTTGATGATCCGTGCGTACCGATGTCGTAAGCAAGAACGACGTTGGAGAAACATTCCAGCTTATTGATTTGCGACGAGTTATAACCAGTCCCTCCAACGACTAGCATTAAACCGTTCAAATGGGTCGCCGTGTGGAGGTACAGCTGCATTCCAGATTGCGGCAAGTTGGACCTGAAAAATCCTCAAATGAAACCTGTCTCAGGGTCATAAAGACAATACCATTTCTTTGTTTCGGTGTCGAACAGCAACAACGTGTCGGTTATTGTGTTGTTCCACATCAGACCTCCAAAAACGAGGATTCCGATAGAACCCTGATTTCTCAATAAATAATGGTATCGATAAAATGTTTATTACACTGGGGAGTTCATATTCAATAGAAGAGTGTTTGAAACGACCGTAAACGTGGTCTGTCGTATTTGCAACCGACCAATCATTTGTTTCTGCAAATAAGCTTTTCATAAAGATACCGTGACCAAATCTTACCAAAATTAAAAACTTGGATCTGGTGCATGAAACCAAACAGAGGATTGTACCCAAAAAAGACAAACATCTCGTTTCCTACGACATGCGCAGAGTGACCAGCCACAGCGAAAGGAGGGACCTGTAAATTCGAAGTCAAAGAAATATAAATATTTCTTCCGCAAAATTAATCGAAAAAACAACTGACAATAATGGTGACATTCGGCGTCTCCATTTTCTCCCAAATCATAGAAGAAAGATCCAGAGTCCACAATTCATCGGTGATATTTTGCTCTCTACTCCATTCATTCCTACCGCGTAGAACTCCGCCGTACATGTACAGTTTGTTCTAAATTTATTTACAAAAAAAGTTTGAGGGGATTGAACCTTGTATTTGACTATGGTATGGTCGTATCGAGGAGCGGGTGGTCGTCCTTCAACTTTCACAAGACTCCAAGTCTTACTGGTTACATTGAAAGCTCTGATTTGACTCGTGTCCTCAGCACCGTCAAAGTATTCCCCTCCTGTGAAGAAATTCCTTATTTCTACCACATTGAATAAATTATACCCAGATTCCAAATGACGTCGCCTACGGTGATGGAAACGTGAGATGTCCTTCCTGTTGGAGCCGTGTTCTTAGGCTGAATTTCGTCCCACACCGAAGTTGTGGATTGAGCTTGGCAGTATTCTCCTAAAAATTGATAGTTTGAGGAATCCAGAAATGGGAGAAAAAAACTCCGGAGTTTAGATAATGTGGAACGAACCATGAACTTGGTTATTCGGGCAAACGCACTGTTCGTTCTCACACTGTCCAGAATTGCAGGGACCTGTGGCGAAATCAGTGCCAATGGTGCATATTTGATGCTCACAATATTCACCTAAAAGTTAGGAATTGACATTAATCAAACATATGTAAATCCTAACCCGCATAACCATCTTCACAGAGGCAAACTCCTCTTGAGCAAGTCCCTTTTGATGAGCAGTTGTAAGCGCATCTTTAAAAAAAGTAGTTTAATGGATAAAAGTTTCAAGTCACCGATTGAACTCGTAATTAATGTTGAACCCGTTCAAATTCATGGCTAAATCACTGAAGAAATAAATAAAAGCTTTGCCGGAAGGTGCTGTGAACTCTTGAATTGGCTGGTCACCACTGAAAAGAATCAAATGGAAAGAAGATAAATTTGAGGAACCATAAAGCGGCCAATTGTTTCCCGTAAACACCATTGCCATCGTAAATGTACAAATAATCCCAGACGCATTCTGTCGAAAAGCTTGTGATTCGGATATTCAACGGTCCAAGAGAAGTGTTCTTGAAAAAATTTCTTTGAAAGACTTTTTAAGGAAAATAGTACTTGGCTCGGCTCAATCAACCACGTGCACTTTGAAGATGGGCTGTAGTCTAAAGGCCCGTCAGACAACACACTTTGATTTTCCGACAGTCTGGAAAAATCTCAATATGAGAAAAAGCTAAGAAGTTGGAAATACCGTATTCGACCAATGCAGTGATCGCACTGTGCGCCATTCCAACCTTTGGCACATACACAGGACCCATTGATGCATGCGCCGTTGTAGCAAGGCCTTTCACAGGACGACAGTGACTGAAATCAGTTGTTTTTATACAAATCCATGATTGGATGAGTCAAACTTTTTTAAAAGTTAAAACGGTTTTTGCATAGAAAAAAAAGATATAAAACGTTTTTTCCTCGAAATTTTCTACTTAACTGAGATAAAAAAAAGTTTGTTAATTTGAATATTCCAGCTATTTTTTCGTGTGAGGACACACTGTCAAATCAAAACCTTAAATTTTTATTTTTAAACTCAATTTTAAGCTTTTTTGGTACGTACATGACAGAAAAAACAGAAAATTTTTTTTTTGAAAATTTACATTTCGAAGCTCAAAAGAAATTCGGAGCACATTGATCTTTGAACTTTTTTTCATAAAACAAAACTCAAGAATGTGTATTTTTATTCACTATTAGTGACCAAAATTTTCTTCCCTTCAGAAATTATAGTTCTACATTAATTTCTTAGCAAAAACGCCCGTGAAATGGAGTTTTCTTTGTCTCCTTCTACCCCGTCCAACCTGCCCAAAATCATTAAAAACAAAAAAAGTTCAGAAGATGACGAACCTTCTCAAGTTCGAAGCTTGCCTGGTTGGCAATTACTAATGAAGTGGAAAGAAGTGCCACTATGGATAAAATCCAGTGGTAAATCGCCGGGCGACGACCCCTGTGAAAGTGCATCACGCGTGCATGGGTCCAACCTGTAACTGCTACTTTGATCAATAACGAAATTAATGAAACACTACTTTCAGCAAGAAAAGAATGAAGATTATTATCAACAAAAATGTGATAACAAGCGCGGCGCAGTCGGAATGAAGCTTTTTTTTTGAGGAACTTTTTTTTATCTTTGCAAAGAATCTTCAATAGAGGCTTTTAAAAAAAATTCTGGAAAATTAAGTGTAAGACAAGCAATTTTACAACAAAATTTCTTTTTAGAATTACTATCGAATCCGCTCCACAAAATATTAAACCGTCAATGGATTTCTTAACTTTGAAAATAAACTCGAAGTCTTCGTAAAAATGTTCTGCCTCTTTCAGATTTCGGCATATTTGCTTGGTTAAAAGATTTCATCAAAATAATCATTAAAACAATTGAAGACTTCCGAAACTCGCAGGTCATTAATTTCTCGTGCTGTTTGCTGTTTGAGTTCATTTTTCTTTTGCTTTTAAAAACATTCGCAATTAATTCACATTCCGTTCAAAGCAGGCAAAATTGTCTGACTAGTGATGCGAATAATTGCGAAGCGTGAGAAAACAAAATTAAGAAAAAAAAACGTGTGCATTGGAGGGAGCATAATGATTGACGTTAAGTTTGCAGATGACTAGGCACAAAGAAGACGACGTCCAAAGGAAAGAAAAAGAAGGTCGCAGTGTAACAAGTAGGCCCAAACTGAACTCAATTCGCGTGGATCAATCGATGCGGCGGCTGAGTGGTGCGTCGGGGCTGGATTGTTCAAAAAGGAGGCGGAAAAGGCCGCAGCGCAACCGCGCCGCTTCTTTCAGCTGCCGCGTTCCGCTTTCATCCGGACGACTGCTTCCCACTCCAATTCCACTTCTGTAATAAATTGTCCCATTATTCTCCTCTTCCGCGAACTTTCAATAGCCTCTTTCTATAAAATTTTGGCTCGTCAACATTTTCTCTCCATTTTACGTGGTCGTTTCAGCATGAGTTTATTATTTTTGAAATAGAACAAGACATGATGAGAGTTGATTTTATATCGAGTGTTTTTTCTTACCAGCCTAAAGCAATTCAACAATTTTTATGCCCTTTCAGATCAAACTTTGATAAAAATCCAAAAAATGTTCATACAAGAAATGACGCATCAATTTTATTGTTAGAAATAAGAGCTAAAAAAACTAATTTTTTTGGTTTTGAGCTGATAAGAAAAATGACTTGCAATATTGAACTTTTTATTCGTTTTCATTAGAACCTAGCTCACAAAAGCTTTTCATGTACAGAGATAAAAATAATTTGAGCGCAAACTTGAAAAGAGTTCATATTTTTGGCAACTTTTCTAAATTAAACCTTGCTTTATAAATCAAATACGAAAATAAAAAAACATTTTGCAGTATTTTTGATATTAATAATTTGCAACAAATCAGTGTTAGACCTAACGAGTTTCCTCAAATTTAAATTTAAAGTCAATAAATTATAGCTTTTTCATTATTTGAGTCTTGAAGAAACCAATACGAAAAATTTTTTTGATGGTTGATTGACTGCCAATTTTTTTTTTGAGGTTTATTTGGCGCAATTATGTATAACTTATGATTCAAAATTTTTATCAGTTGTATTCAAATACTCATTAACTACGAAAAAAATTTTTCACACATGTAATAAAACAGCTCGCTTTTTGTTGCTGAACGAAATTTCGTAAGAAGGAACTGTCGGAAAAAAAAGTGTTGTAGAAATGGCGTGACGTCTATCATGAATCACTCTTTACGCGTTTTATGGCCCATGCATTTTTTTTTTCAAGTCTCTCTGACATGCAGATTAAAAACCTTTTATTTTGATGAACCTTCAATTGTCCTTGTTCGAATGAATCATTATAGAGTCCCCTTTTTTGAAGAGCATTGTAAAAAAAACTACACAATGAACTGTTAACTCGAGAGTTTTTCAACTTGCCAAAAAAAATAGTTTCAGTTTTCAGAAAAACGTTTTTCTGCACAACTGAACAAGCGTATTTCATTTGCTCGCTCTTTTTTGCTGAATTAATTTTCTCTCCTTTTTTTTTCATTCATGGTTCTCTCAGTCTTTCAATGGGGCATAAATCGTCTGCCTTGATTACATTTTATTGTCTCCACTATTTTTTTTCTTAGACAATATTCAGGTCTTTTTGCTGAGCATTTTTTCATCGAAAAACAAGTTTCGTGCCGTTAGAAAAAGAATTGCGCAATCAAAAGTCGCTGCCAAATTGCACATCAAATACAAACAGATGATTTGTTCAGAGTAAACCAAGCTGAGCTTGAAATTTCAGTAATTAGATACGAAACTATTTCTGAGAAAAGTTCCAAAAAAAACATTTGATCTATTTATTAAGAGAAAAGAGAAGAATATATATTTTCAGAATTTTCAACCTAAATTTTTCTATTTTGGCTCAAATCTTAAGAGATGCGGCTTGAAATATAAAATGCCAGTGTCATTTTGTCAGATCTCTTTCTTTTTTCCAAGAAAAAGTTTTTGAAGTAACTCTAGGAAGAGAGAAAATGCAGTTTGTGATGCTTAGACTTGCTTTTTACTTCAAGTCCATGAGCTCTCGGTTTCCATCAAAGGGTAGATCAAATCAGAGGAAAGCGGGAAGCTGCGCGCCCCTCGTCTCTCGCACATCGATCGGCCAGGCGCCGCACCCTCCGCTCGCCTGCCAGCTCGGCTACTTGTTTTTTGTGCTTTTTCTTTTTTTGCTTAGTTCTAGCGGAACGTCGCTCGTTCCAGCCGATTATTACACCTCCATTCTGGCCGACTTCGCTGAAAGAAAGGTTCTTTTACTCGGAATTGGTAACTTCCGAGCAGTTTTGTTTTCATTTTAAAACGTGACAGTTCATTTGAAAAAAATAATCTGTTTCAATTTTTTTATTTTAGAGCTTTAAACAGGTTATTGAAAAATTGTTATGCTGGAGGGTTACGTTTCAAAAGTTCAATCGTGTGGGTTGAAAAATTTTGCAATCGCACGCTGTTTCGAATTATCTCCTTTTGAAATTTAAATTTTGCCTAATGTAATCATTTTTTGCCACCTACTTCCTATCTAAAAGCCACTTTTTAAAAATTTTATTAGTTTAATTACTGGCACTGTCCAGAGTTGCCTTGTGTTGGTGAAAAATCTTTTTTGTTCACTTTTCTTCCCCTGCCTAGACTTTCGATCGTACGACCGAAATAAGTAACGAAATGGCATCTCAACAGTTCCTTCACACTGGATCGATTATTTTCGTAGGCGACACTTTTTTGGCTCATGTCACTCATTGTTCTCTCAGCCGCTGTTTCCAAACCGACACCTCAATCCGGCAAATAATTCACCTTCTCATTAGTTTTTTGCGCCAGTTGCTAAGCGCTGTAGCCTTTTTCTTTTTTCTTTTTTGCTCCCAACGTGAAAGGGGAAATGCAAGCAGAACGAGTTCGAGTTCCATTTTTTTCATGTTGTTCGTTCAAAATTGAGCTTTTCTTTCAAAAAAAAAAAAACAACTCAAAAATGTTTTCATGGATTTATCTAAAAAGTTCTAGTCGCTCGTCAAAAATCTGCTGCGCTCATCGGTCTTTGGACATGGAGAAACGGGATTCCGTCCTTGCTTCCATAAACCTGATCCCGAAGACGCATCGATTTTATCTCCATCCAACTCCATCAAATGCCTTTTTCGATTTCCTAGCTTTTTTTTGAATAATGATGAGTTTTTATATTTTCTACGAAAGAATGGTTAGAAAGAATCAACAAAAATGTTATTATGTATCCATCTGTTTCTTATTGTTCGCTTATCATATAATATCGCGGTATCGCACACGATATGCAATTATCATGGGTTTTTTGAGGTATGTGCTAGCCATGACGGTCAACGGCACAGAAGGTAGCACTTTTATCCGCTCGGCGACGGCTCAGGGCCTCGCCGGAATTTGTACTTGGGCCGCTCTTCTCATCACCAGTCATCAGGTTTTTTTTTATGAGAAAGAAGGTTTTATCAACTTTCTGAACTCTAGCTCAAAATGAAAAAATAATGAAAAAGGATAGGCGAATAAAGAGAAAAAAAAAAGTTGAAAAAAAATGAAGTTAGCCATCTGGCTTGTAGTCAATGTTTCTGACTAGTTGAAAAAGGAAGAGTTGCAAAAATCTGGGAAATTCACCGACTCAAAAACTCCTAAACATCAAAAATAAATCAAACTTTATTTATTTCAAGAGCGACACTTAGTGGAAAGGGATTCTCAAAGAAAAAACTGTTTATAGTTACTCATCAGAAAAGTTTCAGATTTACCAACATCTTCGCTGGTACTCGTGTCCGGCAGAACAACGCTGGATTGTTCGTATTCTCTTCATAGTGCCTATCTACGCGTTTGATTCCTGGCTTAGCTTGATCTTCTTCTCCGACAACGTCTACATTTATTTCAACTCGATTCGCGATTGCTATGAAGGTTTTTTTCTTTTTCGAATAATCTTGGCTCAGGGAGATGCTTGAAATTCTAATGAGTCCGGCCGTCGCTATCCTCGGATTGCATGAAAAAATTGGTTTCTTTCAGCGTTTGTGATCTACTCATTCCTCTCGCTATGTTACGAATACCTTGGTGGCGAAAGTAACATCATGGCGGAGATCCGCGGAAAGCCAATTAGGTGGGAACGATTTCATTTTATTTCAAAAAAAAAAAAAAATGGAATGATTGCAGACCGACGAACTACTTCACTTGCACTTGTTGTTTGGCTGGGAAGCAGTACACAATTGAATTCCTCCGTTTCTGCAAACAGGTGGATAAGAACGCTTCTTAGAAAATGAGTCAGTTTAAAATTCATAGGCTACGTTGCAATTCTGTTTCATCAAACCGATTATGGCAGTCATCACTCTGATGCTGACAGCTGTTGGAAAGTACGAGGACGGTAACTGGAGGTTCATTGAAGATATGAAAGCAGTTTTGATGAGCGAACTTCTTTTTCAGTTTGGACCAAGGCTACATCTACATCACCCTGGTCTATAACGTTTCAATTTCACTCGCACTCTATGGAATGTTCCTATTCTACGCTGCCACTCGTGACCTTCTCAGCCCCTATCGTCCCGTCCTTAAGTTCCTCACCGTGAAGAGTGTCATCTTCTTGTCCTTTTGGCAAGGTGAAGAGTGAATGAACTTCAATCAATACCAGTTTTCTCTTCAGGATTTTTGATTGCGGTCCTTGGTGCGACTTCGGTGATCGATCCGGTAAGAAACGCAGAGGGCGAAGAAATAATCGGCCGCGGAACCGTTGCCGCTGGATGGCAAAACTTTTTCATCTGCATCGAAATGCTTTTTGCAGCGATTGCTCTTCGTTTTGCCTTCAGCGTTTCGGCCTATGCTGATGCTCACAATGGTACAAAACATTGAATGTTTTTCATATAACAAGTTTACAGTGAACCATTCAAATGACGGTCGCCCGGTGACACTTCAATCAATTAGCAGCTCATTGAAAGAGACGATGAACCCAAAGGACATTATGCAGGATGCCATTCATAATTTCCATCCGCAGTATCAACAATACACCCAGGTATTTCACTATTGAAAATAACAGATTTTAATAAGAAATATTTTCAGCATTCCAATCCTCAACGATCGGTCAGTGGTTTGAGTTCAGGTTATTTACGCTTTCCCCCAATGTTCCGTAAATGTTAACCTAATTAATCAGGTGCACGAGAACTGGAACAGAACTGATTTCTCCTTACTATCCTCTTGGAATGCTTGCATGAAACGTTCCTGTTAGGAGTTTTTGTGAAGTTTTGAACGAACATTTCTCGTTTGTTTGGTATTTGGTGGAACAACGGTGGAGGCGCTGGAAAAGCCTTCGTGAAGCTGAGAGTCTTCAGGGGGAAGCTCCATCGACCTCGGAGAGCTCAGCGACTCCGACTGCTTCAGCAATGAACTTTTCTCAGTCGGACGAAGCCCGAGGCTTCAGCAGAGTTCCTGGCCTCGAAGCCGTGTCCACAGCGGCTACGGATCCGTGGCGCTCCACGCCGCGCCTCCAAAAGTCCGACTACAACCCGTTACTCTAAGCGAAGACGTCCTTCTCCCTTTTCCTATTAGATAAGAGTGTGCTGTGCTTGTATACCGGTAAGCATTTTTTAGATATGCTTGCTCGGATCTGTTCAAAAAGTGGGAATTTGGAAGTAAGCTATTGTTCTTATAACTTGAATATGTGCGGTCTTATAGCTGATTCACGGCCAGCTTGGGACGCTAAGAGGGCGTGTCCTGTCTGGGCACTCCACGAGCCAGGGGCTATCTCGTGCATTATCGTGTCAGGACCCTTTTTTCGATGGCTCAAGCCAGCCGTCAATCAGCTATATATGTAGTTTCGTGACTTTTTTTTTGAAGGCAAAGAGTTGGAAAAAGTTTAAATTCGGAAATCGTGACGTTTTCGTTTTTTCTAAGATTATCTGTCTTTCTTTATTTCGAATATTCATGGAATTTTTTTTTGAATGAATGAATTAATTTCGAAAGTCGCTGGAACGGAAGTAAGGAAAACAATTAAAAATGTCGAAAAATAGTAGCAATTTTTTTAAATATTTAGGAATGAATTTTCAAAACGTCACGGTCTGAAAAACGTATATGATGAATTTTTTCAAGTGCATGTCAATGGAAATGAGTTGTTTTTCTTCAAGTTTTAATGGTATTATCTCTGTTCAAGCTTTTCTTCTCTTCATTTTTCTCTTTTTATTTTTGTTTTCTGTCCTCTTAGCTTCTTCTGGCCCTGGGATATTTGAGCTTCTTTATGTTGAATTATGGGTGGATTAAAACACAAATTGCTATCAAATTTATCGGGTTGCAGGCGGCAGGAACTAGTTCGAGCACTGAAGAGCAGCGAGTGACGACTAGCGGCTCGACGGCCAACTATTCGACGATGGCCGCGACGGGTCACGATGTCTCCACTCCCACGACTTCTTCTATGCCTCCGACCGGCAACCTGCTTGACGCTTAACTTTTTTCCGTATCAATGTCCTCTTCTTCCTTTTCCATTATTTCCAATGCCATTCATCTCTTTGATCTGAAATGCGTTTCAACTCAAATTTTTCAAGTGAGCGGTGATAAAGTATTTTATTTCATTACAGACCACAGTTTTCTACTTCATTATATAATGAAAACACTCGGTTTTTTTGAATGCTTCTCAATTTTTCGATAGGTGATAATTGATCCCTACGCCCAGTAAGATTTTTGCGGTGAGCTTTTCATAAATTTTTTTCTAATCTATCTCAATCCCCCATAAAAAATCTTCTCCTATTTTTCACTTTTCTTTTTTATGCACTTTTTTGAAACTGTGTAGCTGTCGACTAACGTCGTAATCTTCTTTCTACGTGTCGTGTTTCTCTCACTCTCTGCAATTTTGTCATTTCGGCCACTTTCTGAGCACTCTTTCCAGTTTTACTTCACAAAAAGACATGTAGTGTGTATTAACCTCAGAACGGTGTAGTTGCAGAAAATATTTATCACATACTTCTTACTATCAAGCTTCTTTCGCATTTTTACGTTTTTCGTCTTCAATCAAATATTTTGCCATGTATCGACATCCCAGCATATCGAAAAGCTAAGTTGTTTCTTTTTCTTTAATCAATCATTTTTTCCTCCGGTTGCAAGAAAATTTCCTGTTTATATATATTGTGAGCGTGGTTTTAGATAAAGTGTTGATACTGTTGATGAAATATGAAGAAAAAATATCAAAGATTTATTGAATAAATTAACAATAGAAATCTGCCATTAACTTGGCTACCATGTTTGCATACAATATTTCGAATTATACCTCCGAAAAACGCAAAATTACATGTAGAAAGAGCACTGAGCCTCGTCGTTGAGTTCTTCAGGAAGTGAAATGTCGAGGAAAACAGCGAACTCTTTTTCCTTGGCCTTTTCTTCGATTATTGGTTGAGCAGTTGTACTAGCAATAGCGGCCTGAAAAAATTGGAATTGCTCGAAAATTTGATTCGAAACATGAAATTGAGGGAGAAATGAAAGGACCTCAGTGATGGTTTCAACGGTGGTGGTAGTGGCGGCCTCGGTGGTAGTGGACACTTCAGTGGTAGTTTCGTTGCGAGGTCGGAAACCACAGAGAGATTTCAGTTCCTCTCGGACTTCCTTGGGCAGACCCGCCAAAAAAGCTTTTTCCTGAAAATAAAAAGCACTTAAGTTTCAGTTCAAAGTTTCAACCTTCAAGCGGAGCTCCTTCCAATTGCCGTAGGCTTCTTTTCCTTCTGGGGATAGGGCTTCAATTTTCTTCGCTAGCTCGCTTTTACGCACCTGCAGCTCCTCTTCCCACTTGTTGAAAAGGGCCAGCTGTAAAACGCAAACAAATATTTGTGCGATATCCTTGCATGCACGCAAAAACGTAATGTGTCTAGACACGGGTTTTGGGAGAGAAAGTCATAATTAAAATGAAAAAGAAGAAGCTTTACCGATTCTCCGCTCAACAAGGAGTAAGCGAGTTTCTTCAGGGCGAGCTCTTTGTCTTCTTGGGTCAGTTTATGCTCGAACCTAAAATCACTGCAAAGTCGAAAAATCAGAATAAAAACATCAGAAACGTATGAAGCTCAGAAATTGAGGAATTTTTAGTCTTATGTATTGTTGATCATGAAACTCACCAAACAGAGCGGAACTCCTTGCGGATCGTAGAAGACACGTTTCTCAAGAACGTAGGTCCACATCTACCAGCGAAAACCTTCTCTCGAACTTCTTCAGGAAGCTCGTGAACGATTTCTCTTAATGAAATCGTGAATTAACAGTTCTGTGATGTCATGATCATACCTAGTTTGTCTGTTTTCGGCATCGCAATCGTCGCCCTCCTTGTAGTTGGCCCAGATAGCCTTCACTTTTTCTTGAGCCTCTTCAGGAAGTCTTTCTAGGAACTTAGGAAGTCCACATGGAGGTCCCTTAAATGATTGAATTAAGAAGAAAATCAAGAAATTGAGCTTGAGTAAAAATTAAAATAAAGATACGATGGTTGAAGTTTCTCGGGATTTTTTTGGTCAAAAAGTTCTGAAAGATGTAATGATAATTATTAATAGCCGTTTAATTTTTTGATTTTTTGATTTTTAAAGATTTAAGATTATCGACCAAGCCTGCAACGAATTCTCGGTGATTTGGAAATGATTGTTCTAAAAAAAAGGCTTTTCGTGGACAGAAACTATAAAAAGTATTCATCTAGACTTTCGAAATGCTTTCCGAAAAATTTTCAGAAACTGCCAAAACCTGCTTGAAAATTTTTCTCGACTGGAAAGGCAAAACTGACTCTTTTATGCCAAGGTCCAATAGGGTTGAACGGATCGCCGTGACGAGGTGGAAAGGCGACGACAATGTATGGCAAGACAAGGAGAGCGACAAGTTTGTACATCTACAATCAAATCTCGATAAGAAATGGAAATCGCGTTATACAGGAAGACACATGAAAGATTCAAACAAACAGGCTGAAGAGCCTGGTATAAAAATAGCCGGCAGAGCTGTCTGGAGCAACCGGGCCGGCTTGACCGTCTTTATAGCTGTCGGTGCGGCGGTCGTTCCTAAAAAACTTTCCATAAGCAACGCCTCCGCGAAGCCGAGAGTGCACTGTGTGTGGTCATTGTTCCCGATGAGAAAACAAACAGATTGAGAAGCAAGTCACGCTCGCTATCGCGTTGATGACCCTTCGGCAGAAGGTAATTTGCACCTAGTGTGGCCTCAGGATGGTTCCGAAAAGGGTCCCCGGGTGAGGCCTCAGGATGGTTCCTTAGTGTCCCATATACAATCTTTGTGAGTTATAATAGCTCCTATTGCTAGACTTTTCTAGACCGACCTCTTTTCCGACGATCTTCTCTTTGCCAATCGTTTTTGAAGTTTGGAGCATTTAAGTGCAACAAGAAACATTTTTAATCAGAGCCTGTTCAAAGATTCTTGATCAGATTGAAGAAACGCAAAAATAGCAAACTTGAATGAGTTCTATGCAGTTTCATAGTATCTTTATCAGAAATTTCTCGAAAATCTCAGGTTTTAGAGCCAAATTACCGCCAAGCAGCCGTTTAAGCTTTTTCGCGCAAACTATGTATTTAAGCTTTTTTAACCCATGAAAGCGGCTATCAATGTTTTTAGAAAAGCTGCGAATCAAGCAAAACTGTTCATACTACACCGAAACTATTCTTTTCAGTACTATTCATCTTTTAATATCTCTTTTCTCAGATCCAGAAACCGCATTTTTTCGCAAACTAAAATTTCCTCCTTTTTACAATCAGTCCTATACTATAAATATTCAACAAAATTTTAAAACACTAGATAATTTTTCAATTTTCATTAAAACTGCTTTTATTTTAAGAAGTCCACTGTCATAGGAAATGACTGAATGCCAAATGGTCAAAAACATTGTTTGTTTTGAGCTTTTACCGATACATTTCAAGGTCAACACAGAGCTTGCCGCGGCATCCAGTTCTCCTCCTTCGACGTTATGGGAGAACGTTATTTTCTCTCGCGACCTGTCTTTTTCGGAGCAAAAAATGGACCGAATGAGCATGTTGACCTGTTCGATGAGTCGGTCTCCCTTTTCGTCCAGTGTTTTCTTCAAAGAAAAAATTCCAACACAACGTTCCGAATTTTTCAGAGCTGCAAAACTATTTTTGTCCATAGAACGCCATGAGATCTGAATAAGTTAAATGAAAAGTAAATATGACGTCAGTTCAGTGAGCAGAGTCATGCGATTTCTTGCTTCTTTTCTTGTGGTATAACCCAGTAGACAGTCCAACGAAGAATTTATCTCAAACTTGGGTAATTAAACTTCATATGATTGGTTGTGATTTGATTTACAACATTCAGCAAATCAAATTTAAAGGCGGGAAGAAAAATTGTGTATCGCTTTTGACTCAAAAAATGTTTAAAAAAATGCTATTCGAATTTCGGTTTGTGTCCTAAAAAATTTTTTAGCAAGGTTTGCAATTTTTTTTTTAAGTATCGTCAACTTGATTGTAATGAAATTTTTTTGTCAAAAGGGGTTTTCTTACTGAATAAAAAAAGTTTTCGAATGGTAAACTTCTATTTTCCAGAAAACCCAAGTTAATTCCGCGATGTAAATCTTCGTTTTAGGAAATTTCCTGCTCAGAACTTCAATATCTTAAGAAGTGAGAAATTTTCGTCGAAATTCTCGTCAAATATAAAAGTTCACTTTATTCTCCGAAAGAAGTTGAAAAGAACTTTGCAGAAAATCTTAAAATGAGGGAAGAAGCTCTTTTTTTCATAACTTCGGGGAATCCTTTTTTTGAACTCCCTAAAATCGATTTGTTGCTTTTTCAGCATCTTATTGGTCAAGGATGCAAAAAAAAAAAAAATATGAAAAAAATTTGTGGATTAAAAAGATGTGTGAGAAACTTTTCAGTTTTGCCCGAGAATGGGTAGTACCGACTTCAAAACTGAGACTTTTTTTTTGATGAACCCATCTTATTTTATTCAACATTGTGCTTTGCGCATTAAACTCATTCAGCCAAATTTTGTTTTTGGTGGCTTTAACCAGTTTCGCTATTCCTAAAAAAATCCGAAATGCAAAAAAATTTTTCGATTAATTGTTTAGATCAAAATTTATACGTTTCATCAATTTATCTACTTTTTATCCATCTGTAACTCTACTTTTAGTGAACTATTAACAAAAAGTGTCCCAAGTGGTGTTAGAGCTCAAAGATTATGTTAATTTGAGGCTGCTCTACAGGCAAAGTAGAGGTGAGAACGAGTGAGATAATTGGTCTGCGTCCTGCGAACGCCGTAAACGTCTCCAGCAATCACTCATCGAGCCTCATTTGGTCTCTTAAAGATGATCATCTGGTTACCGTATGCGGTAATAAGAGATTAGATGCCGAAGATAGGAAGGAACGCCTCCCGACGATCGGATCGACCGTCAGACTTTGCTCGATGTCGTCTACGAGTAGGTTGGCTCTTCTCCTGGCTCTGATCCATCTTGGATCAACGGTAAGTTTGCTTCCTTCAATCATTATTTTAACTTACCTTCATAACATCTCTTGTTCCAGAGTTCCCTCTACGATGATGTCGTTAGCGGGAAAGGACCTCTCAATGAAACGCAGTTGCTCAGATTCTTGGAAAAAATGAACGAGCTCAATAAAATCCAGGCCGATATCATGGGAATCGAAGTATGTTTTAAGTTTTTTTTTTTTAAATTTTAATGAATCATTAAAGAATTTATCAATTTTTCAATTTTTTTTCTAGTTAAATATTGTTGCAGCAAAATAAAAAATGAGCAATATTTAGAAAAAATATTCAGCGCAAAAAAGTACCAGCGGTCGAGCTAGATATAAAACGTAGAGCAACCGAGTCAAAATGGGATTAGTTCAATGAAAATAAGAATATTTATACTGCATGGTAAGAATTCAGGATAAAGTCGATACCTTGATCATATTGATCAATTTATGAAATTTTTTTGAAAAAAATTTGATTTTTTTGTGAAAAAAATTATTATTATTATATCGTTTGAGCCTTGCGCTGAGATCAAATAACTTAACAAAAATCCGTAGATCGTGTCCCATGATTTTGATATTTAGCTCACTGCAAACGACTCTCCTTTCCTGGCAAGCATTCAAACGAAGAAACAAGAGGATACCAAGCCAGATCAGGTCCCTTATTTATTCGAAGGCGACATGGTTTTGACAGACGAACAGATGGATGTGATTATCAAGTGAATTTTGATATTTTTGTGACTATTTATGTTTTCATCTGCTTCTAGGAACGCAAGAGATCAGTACTGGTACCGCAAAGGTGCTCCTAAGCAGTACTACGCTCCATCTCGTGCCAGAAGATCCATGACGTCCGTTTTGAGTGCGCGGTGGACCTTTCCGATCCCTTACTACATCAACAAGGCGACTGGAGGTACTGATAAGTTCTCCAAAAGTTTAATCATATTTTTTATGAATATTTTACAATTGATTTCAAATTTTTTTTCTGTTTTTATTTCAGTTAGCGAATCAGCCGTTCTTGATGGCGTTGCCAAATGGGAGCAATTGACTTGTGCGACTTTCGAAAGGCGTTCTTCGCTCCCATCCGGAAACTCTCTGGAGTTTATTGCTGGAAGCGGGTCAGTTCAGACAACTTTTATAACTGAGAACTTGAAAATCTTGATGAAGGGCCTTTTCAGAAAGCTTTTCTGAAAAAATTATCGAAAACGTTTTTTTAAATGTTGAAACGAAATTTTTCAAGGCTTTCACAAGAGATATATCTGGTTTTCATGAGTTTTATGCATGTCTATGTTTATTTCATAACCTTTGCATCGTGTCAAATTCCAGAAGATTTCTCGCATGATTCTGAGATTTTTGCGAAACTATTCAACAAAAAAAAAACATTGATTGATAACCGCTCCATAGTTTTTTGGCCTCCAAACGGAAGATGCGATCTTGTCAAAAGAAATCGTCTCCCTATTTGCTGAAACTGAAAACCGGAAAACTGAAAGCCAACAAGCGTTTTTTCCACTACTTTCTGGACGAAAGTTACTGCGGTCTCGCCAAAGACGCGTAGCGAAATACTGTGTCAATGATTTCAAAGTGTAAAGTCAGCAGAAAAAGACAGAGAGCGGAGAGAAGTTCCCGCTTCCTGAAAGGAGTATAAAAGACCTGCGAATGAAGGAAATGACATCTCCCGGCGGCGCCATGAGTAAGGTGATCGTCTTCGGATCCGCAGCCGTGCTGGCATGTGTGTGCATCTCGGTCTACACTATGGGCTCACTTCTTGGTGAGCTTGACAGCCTCCAGAGTGAGATCCAGGACGGCATGATCGAATTCCGCGTGAGTTTTTCCTGATTATTTTCAGTCTGCACTTGAGGAAAAAATAATTTTTCTATATCATGAAATTTAGGAAATCACGCAAGACACATGGTCTCGCATGCTCTCCAAGCACTTGAACCCAACTGGATCTGCCGCTGCCCCACCGACGTTCAAGACGCTTTTCGGAGTTCGTCGTGCTCGTCAGGCCGGAAACGAACAGTGCAACTGTGGTCCAAAGAGCGAGGGTTGCCCTGCCGGACCTCCAGGACCACCAGGAGAGCCTGGACACAAGGGAGACTCCGGACCAAACGGAGACGACGGAAAGCCAGGAGCTCCAGGTGTCGTCATCGCTGTCACTCACGACATTCCCGGCGGATGCATCAAGGTTTGTTCTGAAAAAAACAAATCATTTTAAAGATAGTTTGATCTCAAAGCAGTTTGAAGCCTAAGAAGGTGTCTACAGAACTCGCAAAGAGTTTAAGATTACAAACTCTATCTGGATTTAAGAAAAAGGAAAAGACTTTTTTAATTTCATACAAACTGAAAGAGTTCTCATACTAAAGATATGATGGGAAACTTCATTTTTTCTCACCATTTCAATGAAAAAACTCAAATGTGTAACTAAACCCTCTATACATGTTAAAAATAAGTTTTCACCTGGGAGTAAGAAGAAAGGTTTGTTTTCAGTGCCCTGTTGGACGTCCAGGACCTCGCGGACCGCCAGGAGAGGTTGGACCAGCCGGACCACCAGGAGGACCAGGAAGACGAGGACCACCAGGAGGCTTGGGACCAATTGGAGAAAAAGGACCAGGAGGAGACGCCGGAAGACCAGGAAGCGCTGGAAGACCGGGACCTGCTGGACCCAGAGGAGAGCCAGGAACCGAGTACAAGCCTGGAAACGCTGGCCGACCAGGACCACCAGGACCACGCGGAGAGCCAGGAGCGCCAGGAAGCCCAGGAGCCCCAGGAAGCGACGGCGAACCAGGCAAGCAAGGAAACCCAGGACGTCCAGGACACGCCGGACACCCTGGAAAGAACGGACAGAGAGGAAGCAACGGCGCAAACGCCGAGCCAGGACCAGATGCTGGATACTGCCCATGCCCACCACGAGAGAACTCTCGTCCTCTTCCTCCAGCTCCTCCAGCTCCAGTTGCTCACCCAGCTCCCGAGCCCCATGTGGAGGCGACGAAAGCACCAGCTGCTGTCGAAGAGCCCCCAGTTCAGGCTTCCGGCTACAACCGTCGTGCCTAGATCGCATGCTCACTTTTCTAGCCTTCTTTTCACCAATAAATATATGTCAAGCACTTTTCATCTTGTTAAAATCGCACTGCATGAGAAAAAAAAATGGATAAGAAATTATGAGAAAACGCCTTTCTTAGTTGTCTAATTTACAGTTGTTACTCCTACATCGGAAAAGTTGGAAGATCTTCGCAACAAGTTTCCATTGGCAACGGTTGCACCAGCTTGGGAACAGTTACTCACGAAATTGGTAGAGAGTTGAGTTCATTCAATGTTTAGAAATTGAATTAAGGTCATGCCCTTGGATTTTACCACGAACAAGCTCGTTACGATAGAGATAATTATGTGCAAATAGTCACTCAAAACGTCTTGGCTTCTTACCTCAGTCAGTTCACCAAACAATCGTTCTCGAGCATGGTGGACTATGGAGTCGGTTATGATTATGGATCAGTCATGCACTACGATCAGACGGTATGTTGATGGAAAATTAAGGAAAACACAAAAAAGTTGCGACTTTGAAGGATCGATTCAATAACGGAAAAATCTCTCCGATTTTTCGGACATTTGAACATTTTTCAGCATTTTTGCGCTAATATGATCATAATTGTGAAAAAGAATCTTCAAACTGCTTGCAAAAATTTTATTTTGAATAGTTTTTTTTAAGAGTTTCACTTCGAACGGAGGCAACACTATTGCGACTCTTGATACCAACTACCAGGCTACTATCGGCCAACGTATCGAACCATCCTTTATGGACGTCAAGCGCATCAACTTTGCCTACTGCAACTGTTAGTTATTTTCCTATATTCTGAAAAATCACTCATTTCAGCGACCTGTACGGCAAAACTGCCATGTTTGAACGGAGGCTACACGGATCCTAAGGCATGCTCCATCTGCCGCTGTCCTACTGGATTTGGTGGAGCTCTTTGCAATCAAGCCGCCACAAACCCGGACAGCTGCGGAGAAGGCGACTTGACGGCTACCAACAAGATTCAAAACATCTCCGCAAATGGAAGATTAAACTGCAACTATGTTATCAAGGTGAATTTCTTTATTTCATTCTTTTTCTAATTGAGAATATTTCTCAGGCACCTAAAGGAGCGAGAGTCTTCTTCCAAGTGACTTCCGCGGCTTTCGCTAGAACCGCACCGTGCAGTTCGAGCTATTTGGAAATAAAATATGATTCCGATTTGACTCGTGCTGGTGCTCGGTGAGTTCAATACCTTCCAAAGATTTTAAAACTGTCTCTTTCAGTTTTTGCACTTCTTATCCGTCGATTTCTCTATCCGAAAGTGAGACCTTGGTCGTCATCTACAAGGGTGGATCTGGAACATTCTTTAGCTTGAGCTATCGTTATGGTGAGTTCAATTTTCATGAATTTAAATTATGCCATTGTTCAGATCCAATCAATTTCGTGACTTCCACGACTCCAACTACATCAACTTCGACGACTACCACCACGACTACGACCACGACGACCACGACGACTACAACCGCTCCAACTACTACCACTCCTAAGAAAACAACAACGACCACACCGCGCCCGACAACCAAGACCACTACACAGAAAACTACCACAACCCCTAAAACTACCACTAGGAGCACTACGACCAATCCCACGCTTCCAACCACTACTACGATTTCAAAAACTACAACCGAACCGAGAGGACCTTGCGAGCCATGGTCCAAGTGTACTGCTTCCTGTGGTGGCTGCGGAACAAAATCCAGAAAGTGAGTAACTTTTCATTACTTTCGAAATGGATATTATGAAAACATGAAAACAAAATGCTTACATGACTCAAACTCTTCACCTCATTCTTATAGGAGAAACAAGCGGACGTAACTATAAATCTTTTGATCTTAGATGTTTTGCAAGATATACCTCTTAACTGAAGATTAAAAACTAATAATTCGAAAATTGATTTCTAAATTTTTTATTTCATTTTTCAAACGTTTTTACTTGTGGAAATAAATCGAATGATTTTATTTGCACTCATTTCCTAAAAACGTTTTTCAACGAACTTTTGATTCCGTGAAAGAAAAACTAAGAAGAATGTAGGTGCGTTTTTGTTTGATGTAGCAGCCGTTGAGCCAATGTCGCATTGCAGATGTGGAACCTACACAGAAAGCGTCTACTGTAACACGGACCCATGCTCCGGTGGCTACTGTTGTCGTCCGTTCTTCTACGTCGTTCAAGGCTACTGTCTCAGACCTCTTACGCAACAAGCGGTAACTTCAAAGCCAAGTCTTGTTTCCCAAAAGAGCCATATTTGAAGAGTGACGCAAAGCCGATGAGGTCGGTGCCGCACTTCGGACCAGAGGTCGAGGATGATACCATCGAGGACCCCAGCGACATCATGGAAACATTCCGTCATCGCTGATTCTTTTTCTTTATCTTTGCTCATTGAGCTTTTGGTAAACACAAAAAAATAACATTTGTTCACTTCGAATGGGTCCACACTGGAAACTTATGGGTTTTTCTCTTAAAATATGATCTTTCTCTTTGTATTTGTTTGTTGAATGTAATAAAAGTTGTCGAAAATTTCTTTTGAAGGATCCAGTACATGGAACTGAAGTTGCAGTCTGAAAGGAAATACTGATATCGCTTCGTAATGACTTAGAAAATATTCAGCCTGACGATGGCTTTCATTGACTTTTTTCAGAAATTGTAGCTTTGAAACGTAAAATAAAGAGGAAGAAATCCTCCGCATGATTATTCTTTCTACGAGACCTTTTCAAACTATCACCAACTTTGTTGGAAGTACCCTTCTCACAAAGCCAATTCAAATGGTGCTAACTATAAGTAAATGTTTCAAGATTTTCCAGTTGCTCAAAAAATACCTTATTCAAAAAATTATTGATGTAAAAATGAAAATTTTGCAACAATTTAGAAAATTCCCCCCTAAAGTGCTCCAGGGGAGTGTTTGTGTTCCCTATTTCGAAGAAGCTCAACTTCTTACTCACGCCATAAGCAGCGTCTGACTCGACATTCTCTCGCAAACTATTTTTAACAGTTGGAAGTTTCCAGAGTTTTTCGGAGGAAGGTACGAGCGGGACGACAGAGGTCGACAGGGGCGGGCTAGGCAACAGACACGCGGCTGACCACCAGATAAAGTGCCATTCGAGCAGTCATGTACCGCTCGACGCTGTTCTTCTCCGTTTTGCTCCTTTGTCTGAGCACGTCATGGTGCCGAAGCCCCGAAAGAAAGCGATCTTCACTGGCCCAGCCAACGGCGTGAGTTTCTAAAATCATTACCATGAAGTAAGGCTACAGTAGACGTCTAGTCAGACGCAGAATCACACCATTTATGTTCCTATATCAACACTGATATAAACTTAGCTTGCTTTTTGAAAAACTTCGAAAAATTAATGAATTTCGGAAACTGATTCTAATAACTTCTGGAAAAAAAGTTTTTTTCTTATGAATAAGCGCTAACACGTGCTTACAAACATAGACCTTGAAGGGAAAAACTTACTAAAATTTATTTAAAAAAGATAGTGGTTATTTTTCTTGACGGAAAAATGGAGGATTTATCTGACGATATTTATTGGAATTCCGCCTTCCATCTAATCGTTTTTAATCTCATATTTTGTGCTCGAAAGTTTTCAACAGCCCATACGAGGCAGTATTAGTAGATCAAAAGTCGAAAAACAGACATTTCAACGAAATTTCTTATCACAGTTAGATTCGAGAAAAAAGCAGCTCTTGCTGTTTGGCAGAGCTTTTCTTGTTTTCGAATTATTTTCGAGAAGGAACACATGTCCACCACGAGATAAAGAAGCAGTTGCCGCGGTCAGAGTTCTCATACATTTCAGAATCAAACTCACAAAGCAGACAACTTTGCGAGCCCAGCTTCTGGCTAGCGGAAATCTCGAAGAATATGGCAGACACATGCAGAACCATCACAAGAAACTTCTGCACAAGTACGACTCGAACAAATATGAATTTCAAGGAAACAACCGTCCTGTTGGTGAAATCGATGAACTTCTGAGAAACTTCATGGATGTCCGTTTTTAATTTCCCTTTTAAAAAGAATCTGTGATCAAAAAAAAAATTTAGGCCCAGTACTTCGGTACAATTTCGATCGGGACTCCTGCTCAAAACTTCACAGTTATCTTTGACACTGGCTCCTCGAATCTTTGGATTCCATCCAGAAAATGCCCATTCTACGATATTGCATGCAGTGAGTTGGAAATAAAAAGAAGCTACTTCATTGTCTTCATTTCCTTATCAGGCGATCAAGTGTTCAGAGCTGTCATTTTTGTCACAGAAACCTTTGAACAAAAAGTATTTACAGTGTTGCATCACCGATACGACTCGACAGCTTCGTCTTCCTACACAGAGGATGGTCGTAAAATGGCAATTCAGTACGGTACTGGGTCAATGAAAGGCTTCATTTCGAAGGACACAGTCTGTGTGAGAAATATATATTATTGAATAGAATAAGTCGACATGATTCTTCTCAAGGTTGCTGGAGTATGTGCCAACCAGCAGGAGTTTGCGGAAGCCACCAGTGAGCCAGGACTGACTTTCATCGCTGCTCGTTTTGATGGAATTTTGGGGATGGCTTACCAAGAAATCGCGGTTCTTGGTTGGTTTCTTTCCAAATGACACAGATCTGATTCAGAGCTTTTGCAGGAGTGAAACCAGTCTTCAACACTCTTTTCGACCAAAAGAAAGTTCCTGAGCCGGTGTTCTCTTTCTGGCTCAATCGGTAATTATTCATAATAAATGCAGTGTTTGAAAGTGCGTATTTAGCAACCCAGAGTCTGTCCTCGGAGGAGAAATTACTTTCGGGGGAAAGGACGCCAGACGCTACAAAGAACCAATTACCTGGGCTCCTGTCACTCGCAAAGGTTATTGGCAGTTCAAGATGGACAAGGTAGATTTGGCGACTTTTCAAAAGTCAACTGAAAAACACAGATTGTTGGAGCTTCTGGGGCTAACATTTTGGGTTGCGCTAACGGCTGTCAAGCTATTGCCGACACTGGAACATCCCTTTTCGCAGGTCCAAAAGCTCAGGTCGAAAAGATTCAGAACTTCATTGGAGCTGAACCTTTGATGAAGGGAGAGGTAATCAAATTGTGAGGAATACCTTAGATCGAGAGCTTTTCAGTACATGGTGAGCTGTGACAAAGTTCCTACACTTCCTACTGTCTCCATCGTCATCGGCGGACAGCAGTTTGACCTTGAAGGACGCGACTACGTTTTGAATGTGAGTTTTTAGACAGGATCATTATTTTCTAAAATGAAATATTCAGGTCACGACCGCTGGAAAATCTATCTGTCTTTCTGGATTCATGGGAATCGATCTCCCAGAAAGGGTCGGAGAGCTTTGGATTCTAGGCGATGTTTTCATCGGACGGTAAACATATTTGAAGAAACATTGGATCATAGTTTCCTGCAGCTATTATACCGTTTTCGATTTCGGAACCGACAAAGTTGGATTCGCTCAGGCTCGAGCCGAAGACGGATTCGCGACTGGACCGCGTGTAAAGAAGTTCAAAGCATACGTTAGTTCTCTTACGATTTTTCTCATTTCCAATTTTTTTTTCAGAAAGAGGTCGATGATTCTGATGACGATGATGACAATGACGACGAAAAATACATTTTCGCATTCTAACTTTTCTTATCACTAAACGCTTCGACTGTATTATTTTTGCACATAAATGAATTCAAGAAGAGAAGTTCAGTAAAACACTTACGAGACACAATCCTACAAAACAAGTACAAAAAAGATAACGATGGTGCGTTTTTGACAAAAAATATACTTTGGTTGTTCTTTGCAACTACGCGCCATTGATGAGAAACCGTGCCGTGATCTATTGATTCATGATTTATGATCGTTCTGAAAGTTTCTCCGCTCTCTTGAACGTTTTATGCAATGCGCAGCTTTCTCGGTGAAACTTCATAGAAACCGAGTATATTACAAGTAGTTGTTGTTATCAATGACCTTTGTTCGAGGACATTTCATCATTTTCGTTTGTCAGCATTATTTTTGTTCTCAGCGTATTTTGACGTCCTACTTTTTTCTCTTTTTTTTTGTCATACATTTTCTCCCTTAAATTCGCTTCTGTTGACCTTTTGGGTTAGTCATTCCACTATTTCATTTCTTTATTTTGCATGAGTTTTTGTTTCAATAATCTTTCCCTTTTTGGTGATGGTTCACAAACGAATGGACTGCGAAGTCCTGAGCGATGTTTCCATTCTCGGAGAACCATTAGTTTTTCGCAACGGTTTGAAAGCCAAAAATCGTTTTCTCAAGGTTTTCTTTTGTTTTATAATTTTAAAACAGCGAATATTTTTATAGGCCGCCCTGACAGAACGAATTTCAACCTATAACCCAGAAAACCCAGAAAAACATGGATTACCCACTGATTCTATTTTGAATCTTTATGACAAATGGGGTCATGGAGGTTTTGGAATGGTACTCACTGGAAACGTCCCTATTGATCAAGTTAGACTAAATGTCGGACTTTTCTTCATTTCTTGAATTTCAAGCGTAACATCGAATCTGCTGGAAATGCCATAATATTCGAAGAAGGAGACAGCGAAGAACGCCGTGAGTTGTTCGGAAAATGGGCGTCAAATATCAAGCAGAAAGGTTCTCTAGCAGTAGTCCAGCTAACCCATGTGAGTTATAGAAAGTTCATATTTTTATAGAGTTTTCATTGCTTTGCCTTTTTTGACTCAAAAGCGAGTTCCAGGCTGGTCGACAATGTCCCTCGACAATCAACCCCACGCCCTTTTCGGCTTCAAATGTTCAGCTCAAAGGAGAAAGAAGGTTTACAAGCTTCGGAGTTCCAGTTCCTTTAACTGTGGAACAAATAAAAACTGAAGTCATCGATAAATTCGTATACGGTGCCATATACGCGAAAGAAACAGGTATTCAAACTCATCATACATTTTTTCCAATTGTCTCAGGGTTTGATGGTGTTGAACTTCACGCGGCTCATGGGTACTTGTTGGCTCAGTTCACTTCTCCCACCACCAACAAGAGAACCGATAGTTACGGCGGTTGCCTTGAAAACCGCCTGCGCATCGTTCTGGAAATTTATGACGCGATACGGTACTTTCGAAGTTGAAACCCAAATTAAATAGTTTTTCCAGTGCCAAAATCCCCGCTTCGACAGGTTTTCTGGTGGGAATAAAAATGAATTCGGTTGAGTTTCAAGAAGGTGGGACAACTGTAGAAGACGCTAAGAGAATGTGTGAGATTCTGGAGGTTAGGAATTGAAAAAAAATTCCTAGGTATCTCTGAAGCGTTTAGGCGCGAGGTCTAGACTTTGTTGAACTATCTGGTGGAAACTTTGAGAAACTGGGCTTCGCTCATTTGCGGGACTCTACTCGGGCTCGCGAAGCATTCTTCTTAGAATTTGCTGCACAGGTTAGATTTCGAAGCAGAAAGCACTCAAAAAAGGTTCCAGATTCGGCCAGTTTTCAAAAACACTGTAGTTTACTTGACTGGAGGTTTTCGAACTGCTAAGGGAATGGTTTCTGCGGTAAAAGACGGAATCACAGATGGAGTCGGATTAGGGAGGCCGATAACAGCAGAACCAGGTGAAAAACTGAATGCTTGAAATTTTAGAATAATTTGAACCATATTTCGACTGATTTCTCTTTCAGATCTGCCAAAAAAGATCTTGGAAGGTTCGATTTCTTCTGTTCCGGACTCCCTACTTAATCAGAACGATTTCGCCATCACTAACATGGCTAGTAATTCACAAATGGAACAACTTGGTCGCCATCCCGTTTCAGACTCGAATGAAGAGTACGTTATAACCTTAAAAATTTTTTTGATTCCCAATTTCAGTTTGCTCGAAGGAGTCAGCGATTTTAGTCAACCTGAAACTACGGAAAAGTATTTAGCGGCTACCCAGGGCTATCAGGAGTACATGAAAGGACTCGCAGCTGCTGGAAAGCCTATCAGCGGCGTATTAGTTTTTGAATGAAATTACTATGCATTTTTCTGACAGTTTCATCAAAAGTTTTGTCTCACTGTTCAAAAAATAAATGTGTCTTTATTTCATCTTGTTCGTGATTCTCAAAGAATAACTGTTCGAGCAGGACATGGACAATAAGCTGCATCTTTCCCATAGAATCCACGTCTTCCAGGAATTCCAGAAGTTCCAGGTCGACCTTGTCTTCCCGGCAGACCCCGATTGCCAGGCGGCCCCATTGCACCTGGAATACCGTCCTCTCCAGAAAGTCCTCGATCACCTCTTCTTCCTAAAAGGTCTTTTGGTCAGGCTGAAAATAATGTCCAAGGAAACCAGGAAGTCCAGGCGGTCCAGATGGTCCTTGCATGTATCTTCGATTGATCATTATGATTCCATCTTTCCCTGGCTCTCCACGTGCTCCCATCGAACCCGTTCTTCCTAAGGTTTTGAAAACTAGAAAATTCTATTTTTGTGTTCTACTATACCTGGGAAACCTGGGTCTCCTGCAGGTCCTGGTGGACCAGTTAAGCCGTACAGTCTAACTGTTCCAGGAAATCCTGAAATTATGGAATCCCTAAATCATAAATTCAACTATCACCGTCTCTTCCAGGAGGACCAGGAATACCCGGTCTTCCCATCTGTCCTGGACGTCCTGGAGGACCATGAGGACAAGGAAAACATCCGATCAGCTGTCTGCATTTTTGTGTAGGAAGAGTTTCATAACTATCACGTCCACGATTCCCTCTCTCTCCCGGGTCTGAAAAATTCCTTTTCTTGTTTCTCAGTAACTTCAATCAAACTTCCTGGACTTCCTTTCAAGCCACGGGGGCCTGGTGGACCTCTGGGGCAAGTTGGAACAATTGGTTGACATTGACACCACGCTGGCAGTGCCGGAAAGCCTTCGAATGTTCTTCGACGCGTCATTTCGAGGAATACATCCCTTTGAGTGACGAGCCTTCCTCGTCGTGTTCGTCCTTCGAACCGCACATTGTAGCTTATAAGATTGCGCCAAGCAGCGTCAGTTACTATCTGAACTAATATTATCAGACGTCTTTGTGGAAAGAAAAAAAATATAAATATTGAACCTTGAACTCGAAAACTTCGTCCTTCACAAAATCGGTCAAATTTTGCATCTCAGTGTAAATATTGTGAAGTGCAATCAAAAAATAAAACGAAGCCAATAACGAGAAGAAGGGCGCTACGAAGTAACAAAACTTCATCTTTCCTTTCGAACAGAACTAGGAGACTCTTATACGTAGTTTTGGTGGCAATTAAAAGCGCTCATCTCCGCAAAAGCTGAGATTAATTTTTTCTCTTTGACGGGAGATCCTTTGCGTAATACTTCAAGTTGCGTTTTCAAAAAAGGAAACGTTGGGAAATGTTTTTCTATTCGTTTAGAAAAATTGAGAAGGGGGAAAAAAGATTTTTTTTAATCGAATTGATAAACTATTTATTAAGGTAATGTGAAAAAAAGTATTGAAACGAGTAGAGAATGGATAAAGAGAGAGAGAGTAGAAAATCAAGAAAAAAAAAAGCTTAAACAATATTCAATATGCCGCTTAGTGATCATTATGGTAACAAATACAGCATTGCTTATAAAACAAAATAATTTTGTAATATAACATGAATAACATATATATGAATGTTACAGAAAGTTTGCTGAACTTCAACTACGAAGAGCTGAGAACAAAAAAAAATTTCAAATAGTTTTCCAAATGCTTATTCAGCTCACGCTTTACTGTTGTTTACTGACATCAAGAGAAAAAAAAGTTGTGAAAAACGTTGAACATGCAAAAATATTTACTGATTACTTGGAAACAATCAGACAAATCGACTAGTCGCGACGTGTAAGCCTCACGTAGGCCGGCGTGAACCGGTTGAGGTCTGCTACACAGTCATGTTTGCGCAGACGAGCACGCTGGTGTCGCTTTCCGGACAAGTCATAACAATTGGGCAGCTTCTTGCGCTTTTCCCGCGCTCCCGTTAATGGCAGCGCAGCACAACATTGCAAATGGGGATCACTTGCGGCCGCAGATTTGGTTACAACTGTCCATCCAGCTGCTCGGCGCTTTCTTTCAAAGTTTCAGCACATGCTCACGTGTTTTTGAGCGTTTTCAAGGCAGTTTCAACTGCGAGACTCATCGGCTCATCACTTTCTGTTCATCAGGCTTGATAACTTGAGAGCCAGATTTAAATTGAACGCTTCGATTCCTAGACTTGTGAGAGAAAAACTGAGAAGTAAACAATTTTTGGGAGTCTGAAAGCAAAAATTTGTAAAAAATGAGAGTTAATTTTTCCGCACTAAACATTTTTCTACAGGTTTTAAAAAAAACTATCAAAGTTCAATTCCGCTAGTCTAATCACGAAAACAAATGCAATATAAGTTTTATCTCCATTATTTGAAGAGGAAAAGCTCAAAACTCTCCAAAGCTCAAAAGTTTTCAGGCTCTTGAATGAAGAAGTTGCAATTCATCTGAAAAATCAAAATACTGAAAGAAAAAATGAAATTTGATTTTTTTAAAATCATTTTCCCTCTTCCTTTTTGTGAGCTCACTTTGAGCACCAAAGATTTTCGTAGACAAAGATTCTTTGTCTCACAAACTCCAGTTTTTTTTCCCACATTTAACACTTTGTGTATGTATTTTTTAGCATTCTTCTTTGAAAAAGAGAGTAAAAAAGCTCTTAAAACATGCTCGTAGCGAAGCCGGAAGGGATGTTTATGCCTCGGGACATTACTATTCTTCACAGCAAAAGTTTGCTGCGCCCTCTCTGCCACGCAGTTTCCGGGTAAATAAAACTTATTTTGAGAATCGAACTCATCAAGACACCTTCTCATTTTGGAGGCAACCTCTCTTTTTTTCTCTCAAGCTCTCACATATTTTTTTTTACTTCGGCTTTAAAAATTTTCATGAGATTCCCCTTCTTCAAGGCTAATTCAAGTTTTTCAAGACTTAAATAATATTCTCACCATATTAGTTCAGAAAGCCAACTGGAGAAAATTTTGAAAAAAACTAGGTTTTTTAATCAAATTCCTAACTTTCCTAAATCAACCTACAAATCTTTTCGGACTGCTTTTATTTTCAATTTGAAGAGAAAGCATTTCAACAAAGCTGGTGGAAAATGAGTATCGCGCAATCCAAGAGATGGAGTTTGAAACGACCTATTTTCCGCTGGAAAACCATGAATGAAACCACGGGAGCGTGTAGCCGCTTACAACTAATTGCTTCTGAAAATGCGCAGAGCAGGTCTGGAGCTCAAAAATTGAATGCCCTTCTTCTCAGGAACGCGACGCTCTTCTTCCTATGGGCATCTGAAATTCCATTTATGTTGAAGGTCGACAACTTTTGTTAATATTTTCTGGTACATTTTTCAGAGAGTCTGCCCATGTTTGTCAGAACAGCTAGATTTTTTGAGTTTTTTTTTTCTCTATCTCACTCACTCAGAAAACTTCAAAGGAAATCATTATTATTGTGTTTTCGCCAAGAGGACTTTCGTTCAACTTGAAAAAAAAACAAAACGCGTTTGTTCACTGCACGCTGCTCATTTCTCACTTTCTTCTGGCATTTTTGCGTTTTTCTCAGCTTTGCGTTCCGATTCTTTTTGCCCGATTACCATACAATCTAAAGGCACTGCAGACAAATCGGCAAATTTTTCTTTGCTGATTCTTTTTTTGTGAAAATATTTTTTTCCTTTTTTTGGAGATTTTTTTGTCTTTTTCCAGATTTTTTTCTGTGTTACAGTGAAGGTACTATCTTTTTTTCTCTTCACTTTGCTTTTTTTCGAAAAATTGAAATTTATTCATGCGAAATCACTAAAATTTATACTAAATGATCAGTACTATTCTGAGCACACATTGAATCAAACTTTCTCCTTCATTAGGAGCTTTTTCTCATTTTTTTCAAGACATGTCCTCCTATATTTTTTTACTTGTTTTTGAAAAAAATTTGCTTTTGCTAAGAAATTTAAAAAAACCATCATGGAAAAACTTTTTTTGCATTTATCACCAAAAAAACTTTGATCGAAGAAAATAGTTTTTTTGTTTTTATTATACACTCAAAGATCGCATCAATTATAATATAGCACGAACTACATGAAACATTCAATATTAGCTCGATGAGCACTGGTAGTTCCAGTTTCTGAGCGGCGGCGCCTACTTGAAGTTGTCAGTCTGGCAGTTGAACCTAACCGGAGACGAGTTTTTTTTCGGGAAACAACACACGCCGTGACCCCTGAAGCGGTTGTTTGCGTTGCCGTTGCGTGATCCGCCTCTCCTCCGGAAGGATCGGCGCCAACCGGCTGCACGCTGCTGCTCGCGTCTTCCGCTGCTCCGCGTGCACTAAGAACTGCGCTCGTCTGACTTGTGTAATCGCTCTTTTTTCTACTTCGTTAAGCTTTTTTATATTTTCCGATGTTTGAATTTTTCTCGACTTTTCAAATATTAATACTAAAGCATGACTTATTGAAAAGAACATTAAGCTAGTCAATTTTTGAAATTGACCTCAACTTGGCTTTTGAATATTTGAATATTTGCTTTTCTTCTATTGAAGTAAGAAACAAATATCATTAACATTTTTTTCAACTTTTCCTTCTTCCATTATTTTTTTATTATTTTTATCAACATGACCAAATATATTTTGTTTTCTCTGGGACGAGAGTGTTCCAAAAAAAAAGTTTGAAGACTGAACTGTTGAATCTTCTTATTCCGACTTGAGCGATTTGAAAAGGCTGAGCATTTTGAGAGTTTTTGGCTATCGTTCGAAAAATTTTCTGCAAGACTTCATGAAACTCCTAAACGTAACTTTGAGTCATCGCTTTGTTTTTGTGATCATATTGAAGTAACTTGAATCTCTTTTTTTAATTGAAAAGAACATCACTTGACTCACTTCTACTTCTTTTTTTTCCTTCTTTTTTTCAAATCTTCCAAAGTGTCATTATTCAATCTCAATCATAGAAAAAAAGAAAGTTCAGGAAAAAAATTTACTGAGGAAACTCTGATAGATGAAAATAAATGAATCTTATTTTTTTGAGTCCTCATAGTATCTATTTTTTTAAATGAAACGAAAAAAACTAATTTTTGACTTCTGTTTTTTTGAGTCTAAACAGACTCAGACTTTTTTTATTTGATTCTGAATTCAATTTTTTTCTTTGATATTTTTCTTCTGGAATTTTTCGTAAAAAGGTTATGCCAATAGAGTTTAAATTTTTTTGAGCACAACTTTTTTCTGTTAGCTTCTAAAATGAGCACCAAAAACCGAAAACACAGTAACACTTCATTTTTGAATATATCCAGGCGTCTTGACAAAACCTTTCAAAAGACGGTTTCTTTCTCACTTTTCTTTATTTTGTATGAATTCTTATTTCCTGTAGTCTCCTGATTCATGCAAGGCTTCTAATCAGTAAATGGGTTCTCGAATCTAACAATTTCATTATTTTGATACGAATATCACGTTTTGCTTTTTTTTTTACACTCATATTCCTCATTTGGTTTGATAATCCTGATTTTTAAAACTACTGCGTTTGATGTTCCTAAGCATTTGAGAATTCTCCCAAAAACGACGAAGTTTTCCCAATTCACATTTTTTTTTCCTACTTTTTCTTTCTCTCAAAAAAATAATGATTTCGCAAACTCAGAAACTTACAAAAAAGAAATCAAAAGCCTTGTTTGTATCTTTTCCTCAGAAATAGCTCAGTTAAACATGCGAACATATTGTTTTCTCATGGAAATGTGTCACGCACGTTCATCGGAGAAAAAAGCGGAGAACTTTACGAGATGCCGTACAGTGTCAAGACTCTTCCAGTTCACGCATTCATCTCGTGAGCCGTACAGAGAACTGAATCGTCCTCAAAATTGGTTGCTATTAAAAAACATTCAATGCGTTCTCATGTGCGAAATTTTCTTCTTCCAGTGTTTCTATTCTCCTGTGACTACAAAAGTGTCGGCATATATACATTCAGAAGCCTTTTTTAGTTATGTATAGTCCTATCAGCATCGAGTTATGTAGATATTTGAATGTGAAAACAGAATTGATTCGTAAAAAAATTTTAAGTTTACTGCCTAAACTTTATTTCTGAGAGTCACGCCGAAGTTGGACACTTTTAAAGCTCGAATAAGAGTTTAAAAGGTGCATCGTAATCGAAACTGTCCTGAGAACTAAATAATTTGAAAGTCTTGCAGCTTCAATTTTCGACTCTATTCAAAATCTTCAATATTCAATGCTATGAGTTTTTATCCAGTTGTTAACCTTGCAAAAATATTTTTTGAGTGTCGCATCGTAAATTTTTCACTTCTTCGTTTTCAATATTTAGTTCATTGCTGAATTTGTTTATAACACGTATTGAATTTCATTGTCACGGTTGACCGGCTCAAAAACTGAATTTGCGAAGGACCATAACGCCTGCGCATCTAACGAGGCTAGTTAGACAGCGTCGATTGCCCAGACTCGCCGTAATTATCTTGCTCAGATTCGCTGTGGAATCTTCACGCGTCGCGTCATTTGCATAATGTACGTAAGCCCGAGTTGGTTTATCCGACCAACGGGATTTCTCTTTCCGCACACCCATACAGGTCTTCAGACCAGAACACGTCGTTTGCTCTCTTTCACGAGTTGTCGTTTTATATTTACAGTAGAATTAGTGTTCACTCTTCTGGGGATGAGAAAAACTTTCATAGAAATCTCAAACTTTTCAAAGTTAATTTTTTGAACTTCGTAGTTACAGTAAACATGGCTTTCAAACCATAACAGGTTACTCTGATTTAACGAGTCCCTCTTGAATTGGGAAAACGAATCAATTGGCGAAGGTGACGTCATGCGTGCACGACGCGGCTTTTCGACGGCGAATTTGAAATCCTACGCGAGCCCCTCTTTTTAAAAAATTTAATTTTTTTTTCCATATTTTCTCGGTACTAATTTTTTTCATGGCATCGAATAAATTTAGTTGAATGATAGAGTTACTTCAACAAAAAAACAAACCTTTGTTCTACATTTTTGATTATTTTTTTGCATTTGATCTCAAAATTTTTCCCCAGAAAGCGGCGCGTACGCAACGCGTCACCTTCGAAAAATCTACCCATCTCGTCATCGAATTCGGTAAAAATTGACTATATTTTTTTATATTGTTTTTTTATAAGAAAAGTTGTCGCAGGTTCCTTCTCCGCCATAATTCTCGAAAAAAACTCGATATATCAGCTTTTTTTAATTTTTATTGAGTGTAGTTTAGTAAATTTTCAGGTGTTTATCCATTTTTTCATTCTGCCCTCTATAAAACTCGTATTTCGGCTTTTTCTGGGTTTCTTTGCTCCATATCATTTATCATCATCCTTCATCCGCAAGTTGAACTTGATTTTTTTATTTAAATAAAATTTTTCTAATTAATAAATTGTTTCTAAATTTATGGTGACCCAGTTGGAATTTCCGTTGATGGTAAGAATGACACGAAATGACGCATGGACCGCGCCTTGCATGAAATGTTTTTTTCCCATTGCTGCTACCAAAAAAAATCGCATCGTAAAGTTGTACTCAAACTTTCCTTTGAAAGTTATGGCTTTTTTGCACCTTTCATTGTAATTTGGTTTCTTCCTTTGTTGGAGTTGTGTTTGTTCGATTTTTCACCTCTTGGCGTCTATCTCAAACAGAACTCCTAATGCTAGATTTATCGAATTCATTCCAGAATTTTTCCATTATTCTGTTTTATTCAATAACTGCTTTTTAGTGTCGAAAAAGAGCTACTATCGTCGAGAAAATGTTCTCAACGAAACTTGCAACAAATGTAACATTCTCATCGATAATTACCCCAATCGAGAGCGTACAAAGTAATGGAAAGAACCAGTTGCCTGGAGGGTCAAGCACTCAAAGTTTTTTTTTTTGCAATAATTCGCCCATCTAAATTCAGAGAAAATTTTCATTTTCATTGTATGAACATAAGTCTTGATTTGGTACATGTCTCATAATTTTTTTTTGTTTGATGTAGCAGATCGCCACTAAAAACGCTAAACTCTTTTTTGACCCTTGTTTCTATGGCTCAAGCCAGCCGTGAATCAGCTATATGATCGCAAAAATGAATTTTCCTTTTCACGCGAATTTAAATTCCTTACTCTATTATTTAGCTCTCGACCTTTGCAGCTTCTCCAGAATTGACCGTGTGGAAATTTTTTTTTCAAACCATTTAACCAAAAATCTCGCCCTACTATTCAAAAATTTTTAATCAATTTCCAACTTCATCAAAGTTCATATCTGTATTCCATAAGAGTGGATCGAGTAAAACTTTTCTCGTTTTTTTATTGAAAAGCTTTCAAAAGGTGATTACTTTTTATAGCCGCGTTGCTTCAGTCAACTCATCTCGTCAGACGCCTCTTCGAACAAGAAGAATGACCGAGACGGTGGATTCTTCTGATGAGGTTTCATCTTAACTCATATTATTTACATGAACATTTTCAGTCACGATGGCACAGTGACCGCGAGGACATGCTGATGATGGTGATGGTGGTTTTGCTCATGTTACTTTCGGTAGTCATCTGGGTTGCATTTTGCGTCGCGGTCCGCAAAACAGCGCGAAAGTTTATTGAGCTGAAACGGGCACGTCGTAGACAGGTATCGCTTTTGTTTATAGTTCACTCACTTTTCGTTTTTGTTTTGACTCATAAATTTTGAAAAACCGACTTTAACTATGTTCTCAAAAGCTTATTTATTCAGAAAAGTGCAATTAACTTTGTAAAAAAAATCGAAAAAAATTACGCTTTTTAAATTTTTTTCTATTTTTTTCCTCTGGTAATAAAATAATAAACAAAAAAATTCAATGAACTAAGGTGTGATCTTAAAATTAATCATTATCTCTTCCCCTTTTATCGATTTCAATAACCAAGAATTGCTTTCATGCGCTAATAGCGGCGGCAATCAATCGTGTAGCATCGGGTAATGAAAACGACAGGAATGCACTACCAATCTACATAGCCACGTTGGCACAAGAACTCAACGTTTGTTTCATTGTTTGTTTGCCATTTCAAACGATATATTAAGATTTACGAGGCTCGGGAAGAAGAGCTACCATCGTACGAACAAGCGTTGAGTATGAGCTGCACTCCGAGTCCTAATCCTGTGCCGACCTCAACTGCGCGGTGATTCATTTTTCTCTTATCTATAATGACCAGCTTTCCCTACTCCTGCTATTTAAATCAACTAGCTTAACGAATAACAATAAACATAAAAAAACGAAGAATATCCCAAGCTGAGTTTTTGATAATAATTCACTCGTCGCGATTCTGAACAGTGTGGCATATTTGTTTTAAATGTTTTCTTATTGAGAAAAAATGAGGAAGAAGAGCCCAGACAAGTCATAACGTTCCATTCATAGGAATCCATCTATAAAAAAGTATCTGTCTTTAAATTGCCGATTATTGATTTGAAGTAAAATTCGAAAATCTATCCGCCATGAAAAGCTTAAAAAATTTCATAAAACAAGATAAACTAATTCGAAGATTGAAAAAAAAAAGTAGAAAAACTACATTTTTCTTTTTACTCAAAAACTGACGCATTTAACGTGTTTAGCTTGCCGCCATACAAGCCTCGATCCCGAAAGAATGACCGAGTACTGAGGTATGACGTACCGTTTTGCGTACTCAACAATGCTCACTTCTTTTTTTCGTTGCATGGAATTATTCGAAAAAAAATATATATCTTGTCTGGTCGCAAAAGTGTTGTCATTTTACATCAGGAACTGGGATTTCACCAAACCTCATTAACATTTGACACTTAATTTGCCTAGACTCAAAACTTCTTGGAATGGCTTTCAACTTTTCAGATGCGTTTAGGGCGTTAGAAAATAAATTTCAGCTGCACCTGACCTAATTTCTTTCATTATACAATGAGCTTGAAAGACTTACTGGATCCTATGCAGTAAAAAAACTCATGAAACCAAATTTGGAAAATTGAATGCCCTTATATTACAAATCTTTTACAGAAGCTAGTTTTAATCACTTGGATACATTTTTCAAGTATTGCACTTGCTTTGCATGCTTCACCCTTTTATCGGTTCATCAACAGTATCTCAACTTTCTGTTTCAAACAAAGGCTTTCATAATAAACTCTCATTTCTTATCTACAGAATCGCTCCCGATAGACCAGGATCAGTGCCAACCATCGTGCTGCCTCCGAGCTACGAGAGTTCAGTACGCAACGAATCAAGTACGAGTTCGGCTGGCCCAAACAATCCTCAAAGGCCCAACTCTAGTCCAATCTATACAATTTCTGGCTCCGTTCAGACAACAGAGTGCTAAAATTTTAGCTTCGTCTTTCTTGAATTCACCATGGTCATATTTTTCCATAAATTCTCATATTAGAAGTTTTTGTAAATCATCCAATAGCTTTCATTGTTTTTTTCTTCTCAAAATCGTGCATTAGATCTACGCCGTTTGTTCTAACTTTTAACCTCCAATATTGTAAAAACTGTTGTCTTCTTGAAGATCGCAAGATCCCAAGGGTTAGGAATACATGAAACAGCGCTCGCTTGCTTCTGTTATTCTTTCTACAAAGATCTACGTCATACTTAAATTCCTGTCGTTATATTATGTGTAAATCTCGTTCCGGTGCCAAGTTCTCCCTCGGGCAAAGTCGGAATGGTGGCTAATTGCCGCATAAAGGGAGAGGCTCAAAAAAGGCCGCAGAAAGGCAGCAAAAAGATCCCTAAAACCCTAAAAGGAACATATCTATGGGGCCTTTTTTAAGCCCTCCCGACTTTGTCTTTGCCTGAATATTCAAGTGCAAAAAGCTTTATGTTTGACGCAAATATCATTGGTTTTGTCTGAAAATCCTCCAAAAATTTACGGATCGCTCTTCATCTGCCCAGCTTCAACGTGACTTTTTTCAATCTTTAAAATGTTTTATGTTTCAAAGAGAGATAAATAGTATTAATTTTTTTATTGCAAGATTAATTATTTTTTTCAGGATATTTTTCTGAAAGTTAGAATTTGAATGAAAGAAGTGGCAAAATTTAATCAAAATAACTGACCGGAAACAAAAAATTTTTTTGAACTCATCAAACTTTTCGCAATTAGCCTGAAATTGAGCCGCTAAACTACATGATAGAAATATTTCAAAAAGTTTTTTTCGATGTTTAAAAAAAATAATTCTTACTGTAATTAGCGTCGTGGAAAAAAAGGCTGACCTTTCTATAACAAAAAAACTTTGAAAATTTGAATTTTTTTCACCCAAAGCAAACACTGACAGACATACTGACAAAAAAATACAAAAACGAAATTTTCTAAAAAAAGCTTAAAAAAATTGACAAAAAAATATTTTTCGAAATTCAGTCTGTTATTAAAGGAGCAGGGGCTGCGGCGGAGGTTGCGGAACCTTTTTTTCTCCAATCGCGCGCCATTCAAAAGTTTTGAAATTTCACATGGAACTTTCTTTTTTAAATTGAGTTTTTTTAGAAAGCTATGATTCATCAGAATTTATTTTGTTTTTTGCATTGGATTTTTCAAGAAAGTTTCCAAAAACGAGAAGCCATCATAGGAATTTTGAGGTATAGATACGACTCCAAAACTATTTTAAAAGTTTATCTAAACTAACTGATAGGCTGAGCTGTTATTATGATGATAACGAAAAAAATATCTTGTTTTTTTCAATAACAGCTGCTGACGAAACTTCCAGCAATGCGTCAAAAATACTCATGGGTTTTTAAAAATTTTTTTTTACTTGCATTCTATTAATCTGCAGCTTCTCTTTCAATATGTTCTAAACGCCGGTACTTTTTTATTGGCCATCGATCATTCTGATGCGCAATAGTAGGAAAAAGTGGTCTAGAAAGAAATGAAAGCGGTCGTACATGGAAACGTGGGTTCTTACCATGTACGGCGGGCACATTAGCATTCGGCGGCCGTTTTGCAAAGGATTGTCCTCTGTCGCCGCCATCCACGAAACCTCGCATCACAATTGTCCGAGTGTGCTGTGGCTACGGTTCCCTGTTTGCCCCGAGTGGCGGAATCTGTTCGTCGGCCCTATTTTGTCCAACAACTTGCCTTTTCACCTTCTTGGTTGATTGGTTGAGAAAGTTCGAAGTTTTTTTTTTGAAAAGCTGTTATCTTCGCCCAGAAGCGAAAGATATTTTATCTTTTCTCAATGAAAAGTCTGAAACTCCTTGCTCAGGACGTCTTCAACTTCAGAAGTTCATAAAGGTAAATCTTGAAAGGTGTACAAAAAGTTCATGATTCCCTAGAAAATCCCACTTTTTTTAAATTTTTTTAGAAACTAAATTTGACACATTTTTTTCGCTTTTATTTTTAATATATGTGTTGTATTACCTTTTGGCACCAGTTTTATTTGAAGCATAACTAAATTCAACTTTGAAAAAGTCAACTGTAAAAAGTTTTTCCAACGGCCTTTGTAACTGTAAACTGATTTTTTTGCCATGAAAAAAAGTCAATAAGTTTACCAATCATGTTAAATTTAAAAACGGTGGAAAAATTTTTAATAGTGCATAAACTCTCTTTTAAAGCAGCTGGTAAGGACATATTTAAGAAGAAATCCCAATACGTTGAATTTGGTATTGAATATTCAAAATCAATTTCTTATGATCCTGTCTTTTTTTTACGATTTCACGGTCGCAAGAGTCTACAGAAAATCAAAAACAACGCAGTTTGATTCGGCATTTTGATTTTGTGACTAGTTTCGACTGACGCAACTTTGCGTGACTAGGAAAAGTTGCTTCAAACGGGAAAAAAGTTTTAAGTTTCTTTGCTCAAACAAGTACGACGCGGTGAAACAAGCGCGTGCGGTGGCCTTGTGTGCGTGTTATCAACTTCCCCGATCGGTACTCTCGGCCTCAACTTTCCGTTGCGGTTAAGACCGGTATATCTGACCTCTTCTGCTCTACTCAAAAACCGATTCAAAAAAAAAAACTTCGAGTTTCTTGTGAGTCATTTTTGTTGTCTTCATTTTTTGAACTCAATTTGTTCTTTCCGTTTGAAATAATCATACTTTCCTTGTTTTTGTCAACAACAGTTCGAAAAAGCATGGGATTATTTGTATTTTTTGCAGCAACTTTCATACTTCTGACGGATTGTTTGCCATGAAAAATTCTTTCTCAATTGATCATTTTGCCTCCCTTCCAAAATGTGTCATCGAGAATGCCTTTTAAGTCCTCAAAACGCACTCGTTCCCCATTCGTTCCTCGCTTCCTGACCGATCGCAAATACATGCGTGTGCTTGAAATGGTTATCGTCATTTAATACACCCGCACTTGCTTTCTCAAGAGTTCTTCCATTTCCCGACTGCCGGCATCCAACGTCGCAAATTTTTCTCTTTTTCTCGATTATATTCAAGTTCACGTTTTGCCACATCTTTTGTAAGAGAAAAATTCACAATTTTCTGATTATAATACTCAAATGAGAAAAAGAAGTGAACATTTAAAACAAACCTGCTCATAATTATTATTCCAATGATGAGTGTACGATAATTCACACTTGTGCATTACGTCGTAAACAACTAAACTGACGCGCTTGGCAGATCGCTTTTTATGTATGTACATTTTTTTTTTCAAATTGTAAATGTGTTTATTCGTAGTTTTCAGTAAAAATGAAACTTGTCCATCCAATTTTCAATTTACCATCTTTCAGAACGGGTCAACTCGGGAAAAAGTTGAAATACTAACACAAAATGGCGTTTCTGCACAAGGTTAAAAACTATTTTAAAGGATCAGCGTCTGACGCTTTCAGAAACCTTCCTACTAATGTTCAGGTTTAATTTTTTTTCTTGAAGAAAATTTTTGTGAACTTAGTTTTGAAACGTGAGAACTTTTTCTCGCAAAAACACTCCTGCGGAAAAATTCGAAATCACTTCAAAAATAGTCCTTTTTTTCAGTTTCCCTTTCACTTCTACATTTTTTCAGCATTCCCTCCAGATGAATGTGAATCCCCGTGAACACTGGAATATCATCGGAGAACTTGGCGACGGCGCTTTCGGAAAAGTTGAAAAAGCCGTTTCACGAAAAGACCCGACAAAATTTGCCGCTTCTAAAGTGAATGAAATAATTTTTCGAAGTAAATAGCTTTTATGATTTCAGTCAATCGAGGTGCAAAAGGGTGAATCGTTACAAGATTTACTAGTCGAAATCGACATTCTAACTTCTTGCAATCATCCTGGAATACTCCAACTTCTGGGCTGCTACTTCTTTGAGAATAAATTGAATGTAAGTTTTTTCCATATAACCTCATTAACTAAAATTTTTGATTTATTTTATGTCAGGTCTTGCTTGTCAATTCATTGAGCACTTCTTTTCTGTAGATCCGCAAATTTTGAATTGATTTTCAGAATTAAGATTTCGGTTCATTTCAGATGATGTTAGAGTTCTGCGGTGGTGGAGCTCTCGATATGATTATGCTAGAATTGGAGAAAGGCCTCACTGAAAAACAAATCGCTGTAGTAGCAAGGTGAGCTTCAGTTCCATTTTTCCCATATTCATCAAAATTTCCTTATGATTTTAAATTTAAATTATTTCAGGTACACTTGCGAGGCCCTCCAGTATCTTCATCAGAATCACATCATTCATCGCGATCTCAAAGCAGGGAATATCCTTTTGACACAAGACGGCGTCGTTAAAGTCGGTGAGTAAATTTTCCATTCTACACTACGATAATTTTCTTTAAATAAAAATTTTTAATTAGGCTGTGAGAATGGAGCTCGTGTTTGAAAGGATAGGTAGGTTCACGGTCGTGATTTTTGCGGCACTTTTCTAGCTGTTTTTTTGATTATCACATGCATGCCACCCTTGAGCCAAAAAAAAAAATGATATTATGCGGCTAAACATGTATTTTGATTTCGTGGTTTTGCATTTTTTTTTTGTGTGCTTTAGGTTTGGGCAAAAAAAAAAATAAGAAATGGAACAAAAATAATTTTCGCAATTGATCTTTCTGGAATCAAAAAAACTGAGATGATGTCCATCATAAGTAAGGGTGTTGCCTCCCATTTGTTTTTTTTTTTGAGTCAAAACTATTTTCTGATAAGCATGATGATTATTGTAATTTCATTATATGCTTTTTGTGAAGTTCGCACTCAATAGAATCCTAACCCGCGTTTTTTCTTCAATGACTTCTGCTTTCATAAGTTTACGCATACTGCCGTCCAAACCTGATGGGAACTGCAATTTCGGAAAGTAAACTTGTTGTTTCATTGATTTTTGGCAGTTTTCCGCTGATTTTCTGATTTTCAACCTCTTCAGCTGATTTTGGCGTATCCGTCAAAATGAAAGACGCCAATGAAAAGCACAACACATTTATCGGAACGCCCTATTGGATGGCTCCAGAAGTGATGAACTGCGAGACTTTCAAAGACAGTCCTTATTCTGTCAAAGTCGACATTTGGTCTCTCGGAATCACTCTTATTGAGTGCGCACAAATGGAACCACCGCATTCAAATGTAAATGAAATATTTGGTTATTTGGAGGTATTTTTTTTCTCAGCTATCTCCAACTCGAGTCCTGATCAAAATCTTAAAGTCTGACCCTCCGACGTTAGACCGACCATCAATGTGGTCCATATTTTTTGCGGATTTTCTCAAAAAATCTCTGGTAAAAAACCCAAATGATCGACCATCTGCAGCCGAGTTGCTAAAGGTACTCGAGAAAATAAATACCACAAAATTGTTTTTATTTTTTTTTAGCATTCCTTCATTCGAGAAGTCCGCGACACTCGAGCAATACAAGAACTTTTGGCCGAGGTCAATGCTGATGTCGAAGAAGAAGAGATAGTCGATGACCACATGAGTTGCGACGAAAGCTTGGATTCTGACGACCATCGCGGTAATATTTCATTTTGTGTCTTATCGTTTTTGAAAGAATAAAACGAAATTCTTGCAGTTCCTGACCTTTCTGATTCAAAATCAACGGGTTCTCGAACTCTTTCGATGGAAAAGTTTGAAGTTCTACCTAAGAAACGCGCCGCGCCTCCTCCACCAGTAGAGGTCCCCAAACTCATTTCATCGGTTCTTTTTTTTTCAATTTAGGAAAAACAAGCAGATTTTTAGACTGTCTCTGAACGCAATAATGTGAAAGAAAAACTGTCTTTCGAATCTCAAGGAGATCAAACTAGTGGTATTTCCCATGTTGAGGTTTTTTTCCTGTTGTCAAATTTCGTGGAAAATCGTATTTTAGTGCAATTTCGACTACGGAAACAAAGAAACCAATGCCCATATGCATCCGGATTTCAACTCGGTCAGTTTTATTGCACAGTAGGCTTTCCATAATTTTTGAGCATCAATATATATTTTTATTTTCAAAGGAAATTTTTCAGACATCCCAAAACAGACAAACGGCTTCAAGTCAAACTTCGGTTCGTTCCCATTCATTCGAGTCAAAAAAAATTTTTTAATCTTTTTGTTGCGTTTAAATTTTTTTCATTATATTTTTTTCCAGCCTTCTCCAACAAATCGCCGTAGCGTACAATCGATGGTAAGTTGTTTTTTTCATAAATTTTTGTGAGAAAAAGTTTCAGAACGACACGACTTCAGTTCATTCCAGCGGCTTCGACAAAGAATTCTTATCATCAGACCTCGTAAATTTTTTTCATAAGAGTATTTTTTTCAATTTTTTCCAGGTTGTATCTGTGGCTGAGAATACGGAAAAAACTAATGAGAACAAAGAAAAATCTGGACCATCTTATCGAAAATCTTCTCAAATCTCGAATGTAGGAGTTATTGAGTGAATCTGGAAAAACTGTAAATCAAGGATTTTCAGAAACGTCCTGCTTCTAGTCCAAGTGCTTCGGGAATGCAGCTGAGTCCGAATTTTTTGGTAAACGTTTTCAAATGAAATCAGTGATTATTTATCATTCTCAGGTCAACGGATTGGCAAAAAGCAATAGTGAACAAGAAGCTTTTTCCGTTCTTGATGACCTCAACTTTGCGTTGGACAGCGAGAAAGGCGACTTTTTGACCTCTCCGCGAGGTTTTAAACTATTCTCGGTAGCTGATATGTGACGAGTTCTTTCAGCGTTCGGAAACGAAAGAGCTTTGTCTGCACCTCCAACATCTTCACCTCCATCACATAAAATACGTGATAGTTAGTTCTGTTTTCAAAACCATCATAAATAGTAATATTCCAGTTATTCGTCAACAGAGGGAAGAAGCAAAAGTTACCGGCGACAGCGGTTCAAGTATATTCATCTTGAGTATAGTTTTTCACATCTTTTTTCAGGTATTAAGGATCAACTGTACGCCAGGAGTTTGAGTGAAATGTCGTCCAGAACATCCGATCAAGTCGAGGTGAAGTTTTCCGAAGGCTGTAATTTTTTCTATCTTTAGGGTCGTGATCGTTACCTTCATACTGCGATATCAAAGCCTCCATCGCAGCAAAAAACTGAATTTGTTATTCCGGAGAAAACTCGCGTTGTCTTCAAAAGGGAAGACGTTATTACTGTCGTTGAGCCTTTGCGATCCCGACACGACCGCTCGAATACAAATTCACCCATTGACGCTTGGAGACAGTCTCCAGAAACCGTGCAGACTCCAGAACATTGGCTTCATCACGAAGAGAAGATAGCTCGAAAAGAAGCTCGTAACGGCTCGGAAGACAAGGAACGTCTTGCGGAAATTCTGCGTAACGCTCTTCCAATCGTGCTCGAACTTAAAGGAGCCCAACGAGAGTTTTTATCAGCATTGGAAGAAGAAGATTACGCACGAGAAGACGTCGAAGAAGTCGCCGAAGATGGTCATGAAGACGAAGTGGAAAATGCGCGACATGCTCTTTTGAGAGCAAGCAGAAACGCTGCCGAGTGGGGTCAGAAGGTCGACCTTGCACAGGCGAAGGCTGATCTGTTACTTAACCAGTTACACCAAGCTACCGACGATAGCGAGTTTATATCTCGTCTTCCTGAGCTTCAGAACCAACTCAGAGACTTGGGTCAGCCTCGTTCTAGAACTCCACGTCCAAAGTCGCACAAAGTGCGAAAGGCTCATGCTCCAGTCCCTCCATCTTTGACCAAAGCCTTCGCTCCGGTTGCACCTCAGCCAAAACAGAAGACACCGGTGCAAGAGCTTTCAATTACTTCTGAGCTCATTCCGGAAGAGCCGAAAGAGCTGATATTGCACAGCCCAAAAATCAGCAAAAAACTTGAACCTCCAGGAGGTCTTAGTCCAACCAACCTACAATATTTTGAAAAGGTCAGAAATTTTTTTTTTTTTCGAAGTAAAAACGCAATTCTCAGACGGATTCTAACCGTGCACCGCCTCCAGAGCCACCAGTAGATTACGAGAAGCCAATGAGAGGTAATTTTTTGTGATCTATCAGAGAATTCAAAATTCAAATCAGAAATTTACCTGTTTTTTAAGAAGTCCCGCCAAAGCAGTCACCAAAACAAGAGAAGCGTGGTCCTGCCGCTTCAAATCGTCTCGGTGGACGTCGAGACATCAACCGTCAAACGGTTACCAAAAAAACCCGCACCTACACAGTTGATGGTGTCCAAATGACTTCCACAACTGTACACGTTTTTGGTGCAAAAGACTCCAAAATGCAAATGTAAATTTTGAACTGCGATCCATCTGAAAATTCTGCTTAGGAAACTGCAACTACAAGATTTGCGACGGTTGCAACGCGATGAGGGTCGTCAGAAACAAGAGCTTGCTTCTGAAGCAAACAAGCTAGTAGATGAACAAACGAGAAAATTCAACCTCGAGCAAACAGTATGATTTTTTTCAAGGTTGAAGAATTTATTTTTGAAATTTCCAGAGCCTCCTTCGTCAGTTCGAAATTGACATGGACCTGTTGGAGCGACGTCAACGGAAAGAGATTGAAGATGCTGAAACAGCACAGGAGCATGAACTTAAGCTCACACAAAAGAAATTACGATTAGAGCAGGTGGTTTTCAATTTCATCAGGTTGATTAAGTGATTTTCGTTTAGGAGAAAGACTTGAAAGCTTTCCGAGAACGCATGAAACAAGAAATGAAAATAGTGAAGCAAGAAATGAGCATGCTCAGCCGAGCTCATCGCAAAGACGCATTAAAAATGCAGAGAGAGGCTCTGGAACACGAACATGCCATGAAGGTCAATATATACTCTTCCGTAAACAATTATTATATATTGCTTCAGGAGGGAGAGTATATTCAACAACTGAAGCAAAATTATGATGCTCATTTTCAACGTGTTTTGGAACGGCACCAGGTTAATTAATCGGAAGTTTTTGAACTTTTATAAATTTTTCAGGAGAGCCTGGCTCAAGTGGAGCGGCTATTTTTGCAACAAAAGCACGGACTTCTCCGCATCAAAGAAAACAACACTTGGGAATTGGAAGACAAGCAAATGCGAGAAAAATACATACTGCACAAAAAGTTGTTGAAAGACGACTATTACCTCATTAGGACGCAAATGCTCACTCGTCATCAGCGAGATCTTCACCAGCTCGAGAAAATTCATCAGGTCAGATTTTAGATGCATTTTTCAAAAAAGCTTGTTTTTGTTCCTATCAATCAAAGGAAAGTTCTAGGAAGAAATCGAAGACTTGTCTCGTGCCCTTGCTTTGGATCGCAAAAAACTGCCAAAAGCTTTACGCGCCGAAGGAAAAACGAGAAGCATGATGTATAAAGAATCCCTTCGAATCAGCGGACAGGTTCTTTCATACAACCTTTGAAGGTCATTTAATAAATTTTACAGACTCTGTCGCCTTCGGAACTGAATGATCTGGTGCGACAGTTTGAAGAGAAAGAAAACGCTCGGATCAAAAATGCGATGGACGAGGCTTTGAAGAAACATCTCAGCAAAATCGCAGCACTCAAGGCCAAACAAGCCGAAAGTGTCAGTTTCCTAGTAAAAATTACTCGATTCTGTACAATTCAAAAAATGCGCCAAATGCTTCAGAAAAAATATTTCGTTTTTACTCGAAAATCGAAGCTCGACTTTCATACTCATCACTCTGTCTTGTTTAGTTGATATAAGATTTCTGTACGGCTAATTAGTTTTTTTTCAGAACTGTATTTGAGAAATGAAACTTGAAAATGATTAGGTGGAAGTAAAAATAATCTTTGCCAACCAAAGTTTTTTACATTACGAAAAAATGAAGTTTAATTAAATTCAAATCTCATTTTTAGATAGTGGAGCTGAATGATCTTCAAAGCGAAAAAAGAAAACAACTATTGGAAAAAGAGAACAACACATTGTATGAACATGAACAAAAAGTACTACGAAATGCGCAAACGATGGGAGGAGGAGTTGGTCGACCGGAAAACGGTTAGTAAATAATTTTTTTAGTATTTTTTTCAAAAAAATTTTTTGGAATTAAAGAATTTACTGATAGAAAACCTTCCTGATTTAAATGAACGTTTTAACATTTTCAAATTACTATGTTCAAAAAAAGTTATGAAAAAGTCATCTGGATTATCAAAGAACTTTTGGTCAAAGTTTCTGAAAATCCTGTTTTTTTCAATCAAAAAAAGATTCATAATTGTTAATTTTTAGAAATCAGTTGGGAAACTATTGTTTCGAGTTTAGATCCTCGAATCGAATTTCAATGAAGAACTCGAAAAAAACAGGAACGTTTCTACGGTATCGCTGCTGCGTCGAGCCACGCCGCATCGCAAAGATTATGAGTTAAAAAAATATTCGCTTTCTTTTTCACTTACTTTTTTTCCCAACTTGTATTTAAATCGAAACATCCTCTGCTCAGGTCATTCCTTTGGCTCATTCAGTACCCTGAAATTGTTGACTTTAACTCAAAATATCATGGAAAATTGGAAGAATTTCTTGAAAAAAAGAAAAAACGTTTTGAAACGACTTTATAAAATTTGTTGATTTTTTCGATTTTCCAGAAAAGCATTCAAATTTCTGTGGTGACGCATTTTCCTGCGTAAGGGTTTTTGAATCCGTGTCATAGCGACAAATCCGCCTTAAATCATTTAATAACAAACTTTATTGCTTCCTACAATCCCTGTGCGTTTTTACCGGAGTTTTTGAGTATTATGGTAATATTCTCGTATTTATTTAATAATTGCGAATGGATTCTATTTTCTGTTGTTTTTTGATCCGCATGGCGTTGAAAATGTTAATAACATCAAACGGAAATTTGTTATCTTTCATGATGTATTTAAATCTGTTGTATTCTTAATGAACTATAAATAGTGACGATTTCATTGAACAATTCAGTGCGTTTCAAATTTGTTTGAAGATATGTTGTCGTATTTTTTCAGTTCTTCGACAGAAAGACCAAAAGTTTTCTGATTTATATAACATTGAAAGTTTGAAAAACACAAGCTAACGTTTTTTCTTGCTACAAACTGATTAATGTCATATGTTTTTGCATGCTTTTTGAAGCACCTTCTTTAAATGAAAAAAATTTAAAAAAATCAGTTTTTGATCAATGGGAAAAAGTTTGTATGTAACATTAAAATGAAGAGGTAGATTTTCCGTTTTTTTATAAAATTTTCACGACATGCATTTTTTGAGCAAGAAAACCATAGAAATTTTTCTTGATATCTCACGAAGTGCATGAAATGCAGATTTTTTTATTGGTAGTATTTTTTTTGTACAAATGTTTCGATTTTTTTAGAAGTATAATAAAAAAATTTCGAAAGCGAGTTTTCATTATGAATTGGCTGTAAGTGTAGTACATTTATCAAACGCTCATCAAACGTTTAGTTAATCAATTTAATCAAATAAACTCTGTTTCTTCCATCAATGTTTGAACTTTTCCAACATGAACGAAATTGCAGACTCGAGAAAATTTTATAATTGTATCTGAACGAGTTCATTTATCAAGGGGCAAACGAAACTATTTTAAACTTCTCGCGTCTGTGGAGGCCGGATCAATGAAGTAGTGAATAAGCAGAAGTTTTTGTTATAAAAGTTTATTTTTCAATGAAATTTTTATCTCAGTAATTGCAATGAAAACTTAAAGTTCATATCTTGCGTCTTCAAAAACTGCCTCTGTGAAACGTTGAATATGCTGAAATTTTTTTCTTAATAGAAAAAAATTGCGATTTATCTTAAAAATTTCATGTAGAGCATGGAAATTTTTAGAAGTTGACCGGTCATTTTTTGATTTCGACTCTTCCTTTTGCTGAAAGTGTCGAAACGCTGTGGTCGGCTCAATTGGGACGGACGAATGGAACGAGCTGACGTTTGGTATCGAGCGGCCGCAGTCCCTGTGGGGAGAGAGTGAGTCACATGGGGCGCGCCTGCTGTTCTCCTCAATTTCTTCCTCGATGCGTTCCGTATAACCTTGAATCGCCATAAATCTCCGTTTGTTCTGGTCTGTTACCTTTTTGAAAGCTTTCAGTGACAATTGAGAAAACTTTTTTCAAAGTCCAAGATTAAAGTTTGAGAGAATTAATCCAATTTCACAGGCGATTTTATTGAAAAGATGTTATTTCTGCAACATTAAATCTTAAGAACTTTTTTTTTAAATTTCTGTCAATTAATCTGAACCCGAATACAATACCCCCCCTGTTCTTAGCTTTAAAAAATCTTAACATTTTTCGTTGGAACAGTATCGTCGATGATTTTTTTCCATTTTCAAAACTTTTTTTATCTTTTTAAAAGCTTTCTCTTGAACTCGTAATTTTCGATAGATTGAAGCGTTTTTTTACTTTCTGCAAACTTTAATTTTTTTAAATTATTCACTATCTTCAGTATGAGAATATTTCAAATTTTTCATAGTTTTTTTAGAAAAATGATTGTGAGGAAACATTACTGTGCAAATTTCTATTCTTTCATTCGATTGACGAGGAAAAAGAATATCGGGTGTGAGAGAAATTTGAGGCAATTCTTGTTCTCGCAGCCACTTGTTATAGTTCTTCCTGGTCTTTCCGTTCTCGAGTGTTCGTTTTCGCCAAAAGTATCATGTGGTTTGAGCATCACATGCTGAGTCACCCGTGTCGACTATTTCTTATCTTCTGATTTTTCATCATTTTCCTTCAACCCAAGAAATTGTAGAAACAACCTGCTTTTTTCGCAAGCCGAAAACCTGTTACGACATATTCCCTCACGTTGCATCGTAGGATAATTTTCTTTATGTACGGTGTAACAGATGCTTCTTAAATTTGTTTTTCTTCCTTGTCGGTGATTTGTTTCCGTCTAATACTCTATTGATGTTCCTGGAACGTTCATTTTTTTCGGCTCAAAATTTCTCATATAAGAATAAAATGAAAATTTAAACTCAATTTTTTGTCAAAAGATTCTCTGAGTTTGTTTCAAATAAATAGTTCATTGATCTACATCTACTTCCAAGTTTTTTCTCTTGCTCCGCTCGATCTTAAATAATAAAACACACCTCCATGACTGCTTTATGAAATCTTTTTTGAGAGACTCGTTGTGTTCAGTCACGAGAATATCCGTTTTCAGTCTTTTTTCATAACTAAAAGCGTTCCTCCGCTTCTTGTGTGTTCTGGATGTTTTTGTTTGCTTGAGCCAAACAGACAAAAAATGGTTTTTTTTTCAGATGCTTTGTTGACACCGATCTTCTGGAATTTTTGAAGGATGAGCAATATTACAGTCAAATGTCCTGTCGAGGTTTTTCGTTCTGGCGCGAAACTCACGCCAGTGGAATTGGTCGATCAAGCAAGAAACCTTGATCAAATCGAACTGACTTTTGAGCTAGGAAATGGAAACGAAGTCCCACTTTTACTTAATAATGAAAAGTTAGTTATTCGAAAAATTCTTCCAGAAATTCGAAACAAAATCCGTTTCAGATACAATTTACGCTCTACGATAGATGAAAAAGCATCAACTTCTACAATAGTGAGTTATTCAAAATTCATTTTTTTTTTATTCGATTTTTTTAAGGTTCCCAATTGTCACTATAGCGGAAATTTTGATGGCTTGAGGCAGTCGCTTTCAATCTGCGATTATGAAAATATCGCAGGTTTGATCATGGTTTCCGGCAACACCTTCAGCATAAGTGCAAAAGACGGACAGTTCATTCTGACACCTCAAATCAGGAACAGCTGTGGTACGTTTTCATTTTCTGTTTTTGAAAATTCCACAGCTTAAAACCTGAGGGAATCAAATTCAAAAAAAATTTGCAGAGGTTTTCCAAAAACCACGTTTGCGAAGAGCTATCAACTCAAAAGCAAATGATTTGGCTTATGTAAAGGATTTAATGGATGGAAAGTGGCGATTTGTTGAACTGGCGCTGGTAGCTGACAATTCTATGGTTTTCCTGTTTCTTCTTAGAAATAGTTCTGTTTGTTTAGTATCGAAAGTTCAAATCGGATGAAGCGGCGCTAAACAACCATTTGCACAGCATTGTCAATATTATGAACTCAGTTCGTTTTTTTTTTGCGTCATACATATTTTTTGAATTTTTTAGCTTTACTATCCATTGCATATCAGGATCTCTCTGGTTTACTCAGAAATTTGGAAAGAAGGAGACAAACTCTCGGCAAGTTGATTGCTGTTTTCATTTGATGAGTTCTGCACTTCAGGTTGTTTCTGATGCGAATAAATCGCTTTCCGAGTTTATGAATTATCGAAAAGGCATCCTTAAAGAGCATCCTCACGACAACGCCCATCTTTTGACGTATGGACAATTTTAGGAAGACTTTTAAAATTTCAAGAAACATTTTCAGAAACGTGGTTTTTACCGATGGGGTTGTTGGAAAAGCTTATCGAGGAACTATGTGCTCGTATGACTATTCCGGAGGCGTTTTCATGGTTCTCATTCCGTTTTTCATCATTTCTGGAGCTTGTTTCATGATTCCAGGATCACAACGAAGACGTTGCAATAGTAGCAGGAACAGTGACTCATGAAATGGGGCACAACTTCGGAATGGATCACGACGTCGACCCGCAAACCTGCAACTGTCCAACTTCTCAGTGTATCATGGCACCTCAATCAGGGTTCATTGCAATTTATTTCGACTCCATTTTGAGAGAATCAATTTTGAAGGCGTCTTGAGTACTGGTCGGAATGCAGTGTCAAATTCTTATCTAGCGCGATCAACCGCGGAGTGGACATTTGTCTTCTGAATGAACCTGGCATCAAGGCCGGCGATGCCAAATGTGGCAATGGAATCATCGAATCTGGGGAGGTTTGCTTGAAAGATTTCATAAAACGAGTCATTGCTACGAGGAGATTTTTCGTGTCTTCGCAGGAGAAATTTTCTCATGTAAATAATTTTTCTGATCTCATCACAAAATAAAAGTATATTTCATAGTTATATGGTGCTTTTTCTCCATAAAACCAAATGCCGACAAACGCAAATCTCCAATTTTGGAATCAATCGCATCAAAATTCATTGAATTCAGCATTTAGAAGAAAAATTGATGAGTTTATTGGAAAGGAGCTCAACTTAAGTCAGTCTTATGATTAAAAAAAAATGATTTTTTGCGGTTCGAAGCCCTCGATTGATCAATGAGTGGACTTTAAATCTTTCAAACTCAGGAAAAACGGTTTTCCACAAAGGAAGAAAATGCAATATGAAAATCGATAAGTTTTTTATGTGTTCTTCTACTTTTTTTGATTTATTTTCTAAAGATTAGGGTCAAAAGCTTCCGATAATTTGCGGTTCTAAAAAAGTATAAATGAATAATTACTCAGGAGTGCGATTGCGGCCAAGAATCGTGTCCCAACAACTGCTGTAACGGAAAAACGTGCCAGCTCAACGGCGAAGCCAAGTGTGCAAGCGGAGACTGCTGTGATTTGGAAATCTGTCAGGTAGATCAATATTCCCTTCAATTATGCTCCTTTCCTCTCAGCCCAAGCCTCGAGCCACCGTATGTCGAGCGGCCACCGGAATCTGCGACCTTGACGAGTACTGCAACGGAAAAACACAAGACTGTCCACCCGATTTTTTCGTACAAAATGGAAACAGCTGTCCAGGAAGGGATAATGTAAGAAAACTGTCTTATTCGGTCTTTTTCTTTTTCTTTTTTTATTTATTTATTTTTTTGAATAAAAACTATTCATAAGTTTCATAAGTTCTTTTTTGAAATAATGAAAAAAATGATCTTGTTTCTTTCCCAATTTTATAAGTATCAAATTGAAAATTTTTTTGAGAACTGCATTTTTATTAGTGAGCAGCAAAAAAAGTAGAAGCTGGTCGAATTTCGCAATAAATTTAGGAGTTCTGTTACGAAGGAACTTGTGGGAGTCGAGAAGACCAATGTTCCCTTCTTTGGGGTCCTACTGGGGTGGCAGGCGACGAACGTTGCTACAGTTTGAATACTAAAGGCACTTGGTCAGGCCACTGTGGCCACGATGTCCACACCGACCAGTACACTCCTTGCAAAAACGAGTAACTTGTCTTCTTTCTTTGAATGTTTGATCAATTTCTTTCTAGAAACAAGCAATGCGGACTTCTCCAATGCGAGACAACTGCAGAACGACCAGTTTATGGAACTAGTAACGCTATCGTTGGCTTCCATACTCCGATTTATTTAGATGCCAATTGTACCATAAGTCTTAATTTTGAAATATTCATTTTTTGGATTAAGATCAAACCAAGAAGTATTGCTATGGAGTTAAGTCGACGTATGTGGGCACGGCGAAGCAAAAACAACCAGGAATGGTTCCAGATGGTGCGCCTTGTGGGAAGGGAATGGTACGTTAGGGTTATTGTGCATTTACCATAATTTGAAAAACTTTTGATTTTTCTAGACGCTTTCAAATCTCTAACCCAATCATAAAAAAAAAAAAAAACTCTCAAAGCCAAGATTTTCCGGAGAACAAAGTGTAAAAAGTTAAAAAAATTTCAAGTTGGATCGATCAAGAGTTTTATCCTCATCGCGAAAGATGAGAATTATTCAAGGAAAACTAATTTTTTTGAAGATTTGCGTGGAGAACAAATGTCGAGACCATGGAAATGTAACCAAATTGACAGCTTCTTGCGAGGCCAACTGCCATGACCGAGGTATTTGAAATTTAAAAACCTCCCGAACTTCTGAAATTTTCAAGGTATTTGCAACAACGTTGGAAATTGTCACTGTGAACGAGGATTTGGTGGCATCGCATGCGAAATTCCTGGCTATGGTGGATCGGTTAACAGTAATGATGCTTACAGTTTCAGAGGGTAAACTTCATGAAACATCTCAAACTTGAAAATTCTTTTTAGGATCACTCTGTCTTCGACATTCTTGGTCTTTTTCATTCTTTTCGGTTTTTTCATCGCTGGACTCTGCATCTACTACCGTGTCAAGCGTAATAGGAATTTGCTCACTGAGTTCGTTTTTTTTTTCATCTAACAAGAGAGGTAATTCTATTCAAAAATCAGGAGTATCTGAAGATCCGCCTTAATTTTTCTGTGAAAAAAGAAAAAACTAGAATCGATTAAGGAATTGGTTTCTTTCAGATCTTGGGTTTATGTGAAGAAAAATTTCGATTTGCACGGAACTCTTATTCCTACTCGCCATGCTCCTCCACCACCAAAACAGCGAATAGATCGGTATGAATTTTCTCGATTTGAAAAATCCTCAAACTGCTCGAAAAAAAGTTCATAAATTTACTCCTCAATAAATTGGGGAATAAGAGGGAAATCTGAATTGAGTTGCAAATAAAACAAGCTTTACAAAAAAGAAGACTGCATCAGATCGACGTAATCTTGAAGCTCTATTTCTCCTTGCGTTTCTCAAAAATTTCAAATTTCAGAGTAAATATAAACCTCTTTTTGATTTTTGAACTTCTAGACCATTTATCGATTTTCAGAGCTGGCTTAGCCTCGACATGGGGGGAGCCACAAAATGGATACATCGCAGTGAAACCTCCATCTTTCCTCCCGCCTGCCATTCCTCTCGTCTCCTACTCTAGCGTCGCTGCTCCAGAATCGAATGCCCCTAAAACTGCAAACACCGCTCATATTCGTTCATTTGATAGCAGGGACGATTTTAACAAGGTTTAATAAAGTGACAATCAAATCATCTTTGAATTGTTTGAGACTCTCCGCCCGAAAGATTTACCTCCATCCGTTCCAAATGTTCCACTGAGACCGCCTGAAGAAGTCATCGAAAAGCTACACGAAGAGTGCGCAGAAGAAATCGGCATAGGGAAGTAAGAACTATGCCAATGAAAATGGGAAATGACAATTTTGGAATTCAGGGTGAAACCGAAAATTTACGACAAACCCTTGCCAAGCGTGCCAAAAGTTCAAGATGAAAAGACGCCACTGAGAAGGAATGAAAGCATGTCTCGGCCTGGAGGAGCACCACCTCCACCTCCTGCTCAACAATCGGTAGTTTAATTTTTTCACAGAATTGAAAGGATTTTTCGATTTCAGCAAAGCAAGCCCGCTGTTCCTGCAAAACCTCCACGCGCTATCCAATCATTAGCGACAGATGGCGATAGCTCAAGTGCAAAAGTTGATGTGAAAAGTATGGCAGCCAAATTCGATTCTCAAAAAAAATAAGCCATTTTATTTCTATTTTCACTCAATGTATACATTTCATAGCTTAATAATTTATTCCTCGACCTCGCTTTCAATATCTCTGCTCTACTGCACCTGTGATTTTAGGAGTTATTCTGTACTTAAAACTATCCATTATCTGGTCATCTTTTTTTTGCCTTTCTAGCCTTCTCTTGCTATTCATATAGTCGCACATTATACGAGTACTCAAACCTTCCGATATTACGCAACCGAAGTTCTTTTTTGTCAAAAGATTTTTTTTTTTAATTTTGTTATGTTAAAAACGTTGGTGGTTTGTGTCGCGGTGACTTTTACAGTTTTTGTAGCTTCTCTTATATGTTTATTCTTCTCCAAATGCCCAAGTGAATTATAATTTTTGATAGAAAATCTATGTCGGAACATCTGCATTTCTTATTTTTAAAATTTTTATTAAAAAGACATTCTTCATTTAATGGGTAATTTTTTTGTTCAAAACTCCTTTTTCTTATGGAGTTCATTTTTCGTTAGAAAAATTCATTTTCAATTTGAATTTTATTCATTTTTTTCCATCAGAAAAGAACAAATAACTCAGAATGAATTTAACTTTAATTCTTGATTTCAGGAAATAAAGGAATTCAGCTAAAAAAAGTTTAGCACCATCCAGTGAGTTGATGCTGCAGAGAGACCTTCGTTTCTTGTTTTTGAGGCGTATTTGTTGAGGTCGTCAAAAAACGTATGAATCCCCTGAAAAAAATTTTTTCTATAAAATAAGATTATCATCCCACTTTCGGAATCAGCGATTCGACAACAGAAGTTGGAACGCCAAAAAGATGGAGTTCTGCATGGAGAATCGATGTTATTTTTGTATCCGACGTGCCCCTAGGAGAATTGTTTTGAATATTGGTAAAACACTCGTTTTTTGTTTATTTGGAAAAAATTCATTAATTCGGGAAAATTGTTTTTTGGAAAATCAGACGTAATTTTACTCCAGAAAAGAGTAGAAAACTTTCAATCAAATTTTGGTCTTGTTAATTTCATTATACTTACAGTGGGCTGATAACGAGAAGAGTAGGATGGGTGTGAGCTCGTACAGTTCCTGCACGGAGGGGCGCTTTCTCATGACTCACACTCACCATCACAACCGTTCTAGTACCTTGAAAAGGAAATTATGTTATGGGGTTATGTTAAAAATGAGAGCTTCGAAACAAAAAAATTGCTGTTTTTCCAAATAAAAATGTGGACTCAACCGTCTTCAGGGTCAGTTGAAAAGCGACAAAGGTCAACGGTTTCTCTCGGCGCAACAAGACCCATCATTCTCGATTTTGTTTCGTGGAGTATTATTGAGGTTTCCTGAATTTGGGATCACAAGTGTCAAAGAAAAAAAAAAGTTTTTCGAGCTTCTCGGGGGTTATTAAAAAAATTCTGTGTTTCAGTAGTTCAGGTAACATTATAAAAACATTTTTTTAAAAAACTTGATAAGGTTTTATGAACCATGCATCAACATTCATTCAGTTCAACTTTTGAAAAAAATTAAAAATTTTTTTGATTTTTTTATAATTTGAACTTGTTTCGTTCACTTTGAAAGTTCAAAAAAGTTTTGAACACTTTAAGGAGTTTTAATTAGTTTCCTCATTGCCCTATAAATCTAAAAACTGAGCTTACTGGATCAACTTCTTGAAGAAGACTGGTTCCAGCCGATTGACTGTCCCATTTGGCCCGGTGAAGACCTTCTGGATGGATCATAACTGCGACCTTCATTTTTAAAAATTTTTTTCAATTTTTGATCGAGCAATTCGAAATACCTCAGCCGGAGTTCGATTGTGTATAATTCCTTCAAATCGAAACATGTTGTTTTCAGTGATATTGCATCTCATTCGCCAAATACAACCGCTTTTCTGAGAGAATTGGGAAATCGTAATAAAACTTTAAGAAAAAATCAAAATTTTTCCTACCAAATCAGTGGAAAACTTTTCAAAAACAAAGACTAGAAATTCACAAAGTATTGATATTCAAACTCCGAAATTGAAAAAAGAATTTAATTACCTTTTCGCAGTGAAGTTGCCATTCCAAAGAGTGAAGTAAATGGAAGACGCGTCTTTCTGCGCTGTTGATGGCGATTTCGTGTTCAGTGAGAATGTCGTTGGTTGGCATCATTTCCGAGAGGAATTTCCCGGACAAAGAAGACTCTGCAGAACAAAGTGGCAGTGCTGGTTGGATAATGATCTCCAAAGGCGTCGCCGGGCGACTGGAGCTTCCAGATTCTCCGATAGAGGATTTCTCGTTTTTCGAAAAGTGCGCTTCTGGTTGGTGTTGTTGAAAACTGGATGCGATGGCAGAAACTTGGAGATTTTAAAAGATCTGTGAGGACAAAATTTCAATCAAAAATTGGAAAAAAACGGTGTTTTAATTCAGGAAGTTTTTCCGAGAAAGCCCTTATTGAGGAAAGTTAATGAAGTGAAAAAGTTTGAACTGAGGAATACAGAGACAGCGTGTTAAGTAAACTCCTAATCGAGAAAACTTTCCAAAAAACTTCGATTGAGAAATAAATCACACAAGGAAATTCTACAGTACAATTAAGATTTTCGGTTAAATGAAACTCATGTTTCAATCGACTCCGAGATTTTTGGCATCCCACGACCTGCAATAACAAAAAAACCAAAAATTTTATAGACCTCGAGCAGTTTTTCGGCCTAATTGAGGGACGACGAGCCAAGCGGATTTGTCCCCAAACTTGGTTATTGGAACTAGACCGTTTTACAACGGCGTGTCATGAACATCCGACGCTGTACTTTTTTTGCCATTCTTTTTGGTTTACATGTATTCAGAGCAGCCGACGGGCTTGTTTCGTATGACAACGATTCTGGACGACGGGTAACGTTGATCCTGGATAACTTTATTGAAAGAATCTTAGTTTCTGATTTGGGCTCTGTGCATTGGAGCCACCAATCCAGATAAATGTGTCGAAGTTGAATTTTACGGACAAAAAATTCTAGCAACGTGAGCGATTTTCTAATCCTGTTGTTCAAATCTCAGTTAAGGTTTGAAGCCGACTGTTCAGATTTGGTTTTCAAAGGTCTCTGCCGTGTTGTGGTTCGAAAAACAGACTTTTCAAAACTTCGATTGATTTCAGATAGACGTGGACGATGGATACACTCTTCTCGGTGTAACGTTCAAGTCGGAAACCGGGATCGAAGCTTTTTCTAATGATGCCCAAACCTTGCTGGATCAAGTTTGTTTACGAAAAATAATGAATATGGGAAAAACTTTGAAGCCGTTGGTGGACTACGGTGGTTATGGAAAAGTGATGAAGGACTCATTGACGGCTTTTGGACGTTTATGGGATGCTGGTTTGGGCAGCTTTTTAGAACAGCTGTGGTCGAACTACTGTGATCTTTACATTTCGGTAAAATGTTTATTTTTCCTATTAATATGACCTTTTTGCAGCACAGTGGATACTCTTTGGGTGGCTGTTTGTCTCAAATGGCCGCAGTTCGATTCCAAAAAGAGCAATGGTGGCCCGCTGATCAGATGTTCTACTATGGGTTTGGAGTCCCGAGATGTGGAAATGAAGTGAATTCTTCAAATTTTTTTTCCATTTTCACTGCTTCCAATCTAAGGATTTCGCATTTTACATGGATGAAAGTGTTGCCGATGCTTATCGGATTAATTGGATCCAAGATAACGTTCCGGTAAAACCAACGAAAAGAAAAAATGAGAAAAACTTTTTCAGAGTTTTCCAACAACTTCATGTTTATCTGGCAGTAGTGCACAACTTGGAAGTTGTACTACGAGCTATTTTCACTGTTGCGTGAGTTGTATTTTTGTAGATACACAAAAAATTTTGACATATTGAAAAACGGGATGCTGCTAAATTCAGAAAACAGTACACTACTCAGTTTACACGAGCTCGCTGGTAAATTCCTTCCAACAGTGCGATATTCCGGAAGACACCGTTTGTCAAGCATTGAGTGAGCAAGACCGAAACAAAAAAGTCTGTCAATTGTTTTTTTTAGCGCCGACGGCATCTGACCACAGCAAATACTTCCAGACTACTCCAGCGGACGTTGATTCTCTGACCTGCACAGACACAAAAACTTTCCCCGACGCATAACTTTGAGTTGTTCTTTTCCATTCAAAGCGGGCAAACCAAAAAACATCTTTGTTATTATAATTTGTAATTTTCGCATGACTAAATTTGACAATTCAAAATTTGCTTCCCATTTGCAATCATTACTGTTTTCCCTGCTCGGGCCGCTACCGTAGCTCCAGCAATTGTGGCTCCATCGTTCACGTAAATTTGAGAAATAGTTCTGGAACAAGACTTTATTTGTATAACACTGCAACTCACGCTGATTTATTGGGGTCCAGTGGAATCTTCACGCTGAGAACCTGAGAAGGAGAGCTGGGAGCAGCAGTAAGCAATGGTAACAAGTATCTGAATCAGAAATAAATAATTAGGGAACTACTCAAACTCGGACACGCGGATCGAGTTCAAACTTTAGTGGTTTATAGACCTAAGTAAGAATACTTGAAAACAAGTGAGAATATCTGCTAAACCCAATAGAGAACAATTTGCAGAAAATGTGAAAATTAGGCTTGAAAATTTTTAGAATATTGCTTTTTACCTTATTTTATATTTTAATACAATCGCCTTGAATGAGCCGGCTATGATAAACTCTAAAAAACTTTTTTTCAGACAAAAGAAGGAGAAAAGCAATAATTTGATAATTTTCAAGCCTAAACTGTTCATTTTCAAACAGCTTTTTCTCAGAAGCATATGAGGTTTAGCAGCTAATCTCTCTTGTTTTCAAGTATTCTGACCTGGGTCTATAAGCCACCAAAGTTTCAATTCGAAACGGGTACCCGAGTCCGAGTAGTTCCCTAGTAAGTAACAGTGATAGATTGATTCAAAATTCTTCAAAATATTTTTTTAAGGAATCGGCGGATTGATAATTATTCAAAATATTTGATATCATTCAAATTTTTCATCAACTTCCTGGAAACCTCCAACGAACTGGTTGGCAGGTGATGATCAAAGATCCGTCTATATCTTTCCATAACGACGTGGGTGAACAACCAACTTCTACTTCCTGAAACAAGTTACTTTGAAATTCTTCTAGGTATGGCACCTACGTGAGAGTATTCCACAGATTTGCCTCGTACAAAATATACAGCTATTGAATTTCTGGCAAATAATCCAACAAGTAAAACTCTGAACTTTTTGTTAAAAGTTTTGTTGAAAAAAGTTCCAAAATAATTTTTTAACTTTCTGAAACTGTCGAAGACAAGCCCTGTAGGAGCGGAAATCGATGGAACCACTGTTTTGAAAGATTTTCCGTCGTGAAAAACTATGGATCCCATGGAAACTTGCACCATTCTGAAATTTTTTTCAAATTTTTGACTGGAAACTTCCTTTGCTCGTTTACCTTTCAATGACAACCATTCTCCCTCTCAAAGTTGTGACGCTGGCGAAAAATGTAGTCGAGGACACGGCAGCAACGTCGTAGACACTTCAATTTTGTTTTTTTTTTTCCCTGAGATGCCCATGTGAGATTACGCCACATACCTATCTATTATTGGGTGATTAATGGTTCTAATATGTTGAAGCTTTCGATTCGGCTCATCAAAGTTCAGTACTTCGATCGTACTTTTTTCAGTCTCACTATTTTTCAAAAAAACTTTCGTCTGAATCAAGCTTTAATATTAATTGATAGTAAGAAACTATTAACATTTCGTTTGGAAGGAGATATACTGATTGCCGTCGGCGTCATTTTTAAATTGCTACTGGTGATTTCCATCGCGGTTTTATTGTCAGCGTTAAACGTGAAAAGATGGCCGTACGTCCTGTTTTCCATCGGGTTCTGGGAAAATATTCAACGCGCTGTTCATTTTTCGAAAACCAAACCACAGCGAGAAAGAAAGTGCCATCAATCGTAGAATCAAAGCCATTGGCCCCTGGGAGGTTAGGAATGACTGTGCACTCGCCGGGAACATGGTTATATACACGTTTATTAAAATCAATGAAAAGTCTATAATAACGTGATTTATTCAAAAGATAGGAAAAATCTGGAACTTACAAAAGTTTGGCAAATAAAACAATGAAGAATGAGAAAGAGGTGAAGGAAAAAGCGTAGCTGAAAAGCATTTTCCAGAAGAAGAACATTCAGAATACTTTTCGCAGTGCTGCATTTCAAATGTCGAACTTGCATAGCGACGCCATCTGACCATTTGGGAACCAAGCTTCGTTGAATAGAAAATGACGAGGTTTAAAACCACAATAAGAAATTTTATCCAAAAGTAAGTTTGAACAAGAAAAAAAAATTAGATTTCCAGAACATTTGCTATTTTTGAACTTTTTTGGCTGCTTTCGTATATAATTGGTTTCATTTCATTAAAAATCAATTTGTTTCATCACCAAAAAATAGTTTTCTGATTTTGCTTTTCAGCCGAGTGAAGCTCCAAAGTTTGGAAGTTATCTCTGCCGTGATGAAATCAAAGATTTTTCGGCAATTTTTTTGAGCACTAAAACTTTACCAAACAGCGTAAAAATGTATTGATTGCAATAAAAAGAACTTTAAAAACTTATTTTAAGCATGTTTCATATCTTTCTCATCAAAGAAGTTTCAATTTCAACTTTGAAGGACGTTCGTTTTTCACAGGAAAAGACCATTTGAAGAAAAACTGCTCTACTGCACTGGTATATTTTTTACGCTGTGTTATTAAAACTTTGGTAACACAAAATCACCGAGGATAGTTTGGAAATGACCAGCTGCTTTTCAAATTATTAACTAAGCGATACCGATGTTTTCAAGTTTCTTCTTTTTTATTATATAAAAGAGCTTTCAAAAATCATTCCTGCGTACCTTTCTCCTAATTATTATTAGTTGTTTGTATCGTTCATTGTTTGCGGCATTTTGTTTGAGTCGTCTGCTGAAATTCGGCATGAAAAGGCGATTAAAAATGTTGAAGAGGAATAACCGGTATGGTTGCAGTCGCAGTAAAGTGACTATTCTGGACAGCCTCCGTCGCTAAACTCATGTTGAGAAGCGCTGCTGCTGAACGAAACAAAGACCCTATTGCTGAAGTTTTGAAGAAGTACCTTGGCGACGGAAAAAAAGGTGGGTGATTCGGAGCAAAACTTGCTAAAGGAAATTTTTTTCAATATATTTTTTTTCTCGTTCTGCGTTAACATCCCCTTTTTTCAAAAAAAAACAAATCATTTTTTTATATGTAATCAATGATTTGAAGATATTATTTTTCTATTAAATTTAAAAGATCAAAACTAAACCTTATAGGTTTTGGAAATCGCTTCTGGAACCGGGGTCCATGCAATTCATCTTGCCGCATGCTTTCCAAACGTGACGTTTCAACCCTCTGAAAATGATCCAAGAATGCTTCATAGCATCGTTAATTACATCGACACGTTGCAGGTTAATTAATTAACATTATTACTATTTCGTGGAACAGTGATCTTTTTTTTGCGCTTAATCATTCTTTTCTAGAAATTAAACATTCTTTCCTTGTTTTAATCAAGCTAATTGTGTCTACTTATTCCGAAGCTTTGCTGTAACTCGAGAACACGTGTCAACATTTTTTTTTGCTCTCAAGTTTCTAGAGACAGGTTGACACAAAAACAATAAAGTTTCTAAAAAAAAACATTGAGAAAAACATTGAGAAAACAACCTTACAGCCTCCTAACGTTCGGGTTCCACTTTTTTTGGACGCTACAAAGCCTTTTGAGCAATGGGCTTTACCGGAAGATTTCGCGCCGCAGACGGTAAAAATGAGTCAATCTTTTTGTGGAAAAACATTTCAGGTTGATGTCATGCTCAATATTAATATGATTCACATCTGTCCAAAACGAGCAGTGAAGGGCCTTTTCGAAGTCATTTTTTGGTAGCTTTGGTAGAGGAAATGAAGCATTTTAGGCTTCTAATGCTCTCCTCAAAAAGGACGACGGACTATTAATAACTTACGGTCCGTATAGTATTGATGGGAAGCTGACGCCGCAGAGCAATGTTGATTTCGACCACAGTTTGAAGAACCAAGATCCTGAATGGGGAATCAAAGACGTCCGAGACTTGGAGAAGGTAACTGACGCGATTTTTTTTAATTTTTAAAAAGCTTTGAAAATTTTTAAATTAATGGACATGTTGAGACAGAAAGAAACAATAATCGGAAATTATTTTTTCTTATCAAACCGCCTTTTTTTACTCATTGTGATAATCTAATAAAAACATCTGAGAGAAAAGCTGATAGTGAATCAACTCTCTTCATTTGTTTAGCTGATCAAATGAATGTTTAACGCAACCTCTTTGTTTTTGATGAGCTAGTTTGAAGTTGAATGTTTTCAAATCTCTGCTCTTTTTAACCCAGCAGGAACCAAAAACTTCCGAAAAAAAGTGAGTCGATTCTTGTAATCGTCGAAAATTATATCAAAAAGCGCGAGGGAAATAATTTTCCGTGAGATTTAATCTTATACGTTTGTTTTCACTAACTGGAGAAAGGCCAATAGTATTAACGGCTCGACCTTTTCGGAATTTCAGCTCGCCGAACGTGCAAATCTCCGTCTGGCAGTACAACACGACATGCCAGCCAATAATAAAATCCTAGTTTTTTCTCGTTAACTATTGCAATTAATGCCCTTTTTTTGTTATCGGGACACCACTTTCAATCCAAGAAAACGAGTCAACTTCCCATTTGCCTTCCTGTTTTTCGTTTTCTTTAAGTTATGATTTTTCTGCAACGCATTGCCTAGTGAAACTTGGCTCCAAATAGTTTTCGGAGCGTCACATCATATGAACAGTGATTGATATTGTTCAATTTTCTATTTTTCATTACATAAAAGTCTCAATGATTATGTTTGGCCTGCTTGCATCTCTTAAGGTTCACTGCTTGCAAAAAGAAAAGTTACCAAATTTTTTTTGTTTTCTCAATAAATATTTGTAATGATCCTTTTATTTTTGTCGTGTTCAAGCATTTTTAGGGGGCTGTATAGATATATTACTTTGATTGGACGAGGAGAAAAACGCTCACTCAAGATGCACAGAACGACAAAGCCTCTCTAGTAGAAGCATACTTGCAATCACTTTGAGGATTTTTGTCAATTATTTTGTTAGCGGCTTTATAAACAACGCTGTCAACCACTTCCGTTTGAGCCGATCGAAGCCGTGCGTGACACGGCCATCCGAGCTATGAGCTTCATTATAAGTCAGGAAGCTTCCTAATAAGAGCATTATGATCTGCATCCTCATTGTTCGTTGAGGCGTGTTTGCGTCTCAATAGCTCGAGAGCCCTCATTTAAAGCCTGACAAAGTTACTCAACCCTAATGTGATTCAGTGCAAACTTTACAGTTTTTTAAACCCGTTTATTCGATGATACCCTGCACGTGCTATTTAGGACTGCTTTTTTCTCAACTTTCGAAACATGTATTTAAAAAACTCAGAATTTGGAGAAACTACAGCTGTTCCTATCTCTAAACTTGTCCTAACACTGATAGATTCAATTTAATTTGTAATCTCACGCACCACTTTTCAAACTATTTGTTACTCGTTTTCTCAACCAACGAGCAAAAATCGGGGTTCAAACGAAATACGCTTGGGCGGATCTTCATTTCATCTCCTCCTAGGTATTTGCAATGCCTGCTTTTTCAAACTAATTAGCAACTGGGAGGCGTTTACTCACTGTTTACTCTTCATTTTTCCCGCCGTCTCGCTTCTGGTTGTCCCGGAGATTCTTACTGGGGAACTTAGTAGTACCGATTAGTTCAAGAGAACTCTCTTAGTTGCATCGAACTGGCATCATGGAGCAAGTCTGGCTGTGGGCGTACGAGAATAGGTTCTTTAATTTTATTGATCGTTATAGGAAACTCACCGTCAATTCAACCAGATTAGTTCTGAAGTCAAAGTTAATTGATATTTCATCGGATTAAAGACTCGCAATAGTTCGCCTTGATTTCCTCGATATTTCACACTTCTTTTCTTTTTGGCTCTCTTAAGAGCTTAAAAGTCTCCCTTCTTTCAAATTTTTTTGTGTTCTCAACAATCCTATCACACATAATTTTTCGGAGAACTGGTTTTCTTGGAGCGTCGAATCATTTCACGATTCTCAATATTGCACCATATGCTTACAACAATTTTACTAGATACTGAAGCAGTGTCTTCTAATCACAGCTTTACTAACCAAACAAGAAGATTTTCTTTTTCCTTATTGTCGTCGAAACACAAAAAACCTAAGCAGTGTAGTTCGAAATCTCGCGTCCGCTACTAGAGAGCTGGGAACACGCCCTCTTCAGCATCTCTCGGCTCCAAAAAGTTGCTTTACAGAGGAGTCGCTGTTTTCAACATGACTGGAGAAGAATGTTCGCTGGCGAACTCGATGGCTCAGGAGCCTTTCTATATATTGCCTCAAGTGAATGGAATACTGCTGGGCATTTTCACTATTGCTTCAGTCGTTTATCTTGCCAAACAATCTGAAAAAATATATTATCACACCAACGTCAAAGTAATTTATTAGTTATCTTCAGAAACCGAGTTTTCAAAATTTTCAGATTCTGCTCCTTTTGAACGTCTTTCTGTGCATCACCTTGTCTCTTTCGGTTACACTGAGCTACGTGCTTTACCTTCTGAAATGGTGGAAGCACACGTCCGATTGCGAACTTCTTTTCGCGACGTCTTTTTGCTCGCCGATTCGCCGAGTTGCTCTGTTAGTCGTACTACTTTGAAAACTTCTCACAACATTTTTTCAGTACTTCTTACACTGGGTTGACCGTTGGACAAGTGGCATTGATTCTGGAGCGGGCTTGGGCCACTCACCGCTTAGGAAAGTACCAAAAGCAAGGATGTGCTCTCGGACTTGTGCTGTCTGTGTTAACGGTGAGTTTGAAATCTTGAATTCTTGTCATGATCAGTTGATTGATAATTATCCTTCAGGTGCTCTTCTCGTACATGGTGATTGATGCCGTGTTGAACGTGGAGAATCCTGAAGAAATGATGACAGTTTGCTCAGCGTATTCCGCTTCGCCTACTATTGGGCCACGTGTGTACAACGTCTTCCGGGTTCAATTATGTGGCGGAGCATTCATTCTCATCGCTTACTATTTTCTTCACCTCAAGAACAAGAGAAAGTTTGTTGAAATAGAGAAAATACGATCTATAAATGGGGTTTCAGCAAATCGGCAAACTTGAACTCTAAGTTTCAACAACACGAAAATGTGGTAGTCTTGCGTCACATTGCGCCTTTGGTCATAGCAAACTGCGGTAGCATGGGTGCATATATTGTAGCTGCTTCGATTGTTCGCGAGTTCATGGGCGTTTTCGGACCTCGTCTCTACAGACTCATCATCATCAATATCTTCGTAAGATCATTTCAATTTCCTGCGTAGGCCGCGAAGGGAAACAATCCTTCGTCTGTGGTTATTCAATTTGCAGAAAACCTCTGAAAAAAGTAAAGACATGTTGGGTTGCCAAAAGTCGAGCGAAAAAGATAAAAACACCTAAAACATCGAAACAGGCAATTTTTTGCTTGATTTAAGTTTTTGTTAATTAAGATTACTTTTGCAGAAAAAGCTCTCTGGAAAGCGAAACTCAATCTTTCTTTTGACAATCCTTAAATTGTTTTTCTTTCAGTTCCTTCCTTACTCCCCCGCTCTCTTGATGGTCGTCCTCATCCTGGTCGTTCGCCATGACTACAAGCAACGTCAATCCGCTCTCCGGGAGATATCTTCGACCAAAAAGGAAATGAACAACGGAAAGAGCTACTTCCAACAGTACTCTGACCAATGGAACGTTGACCACAAGAAGGATCCTCAACACAGTTCCTGTTGGCCCCTGTGATCGACGCAATGCTAACTGAACCAAATAAACTTGCGCTCTCCTTCATTTTTCCACATTTTTTTTTAATTGGGCGCAAGTTAATCTTAAGTTTTTCCTAATATTTTAGGTCGTTTTGAAAGTTATTATCTCGTTTTTTTTCACCACGTCGGTTATCTCCCAACGTCTTCAGATCATTCGGTTCACGTTTGGACGCTCTCCTGTCAAAGGGCTATTTGTTTTCTGACAAGTTCTCAGAAATTTATGATGACATTTCTTGTAACGTGACAAATCCACAAAGAGGGGCAGTATACATAGTTCAAAGCCATTTTTAAACAATTAAGTCTTTTCATAGTTTTCTTTTTTCAACTAATTTTTTCACCTTTAAACAAACTCCACATAAATGTTCATATGATCATATTTTTCAATTTTTTGTCATCTAATGTTTTTGATCAGCAAATTAAGTTGTTTATTCAAAAAAATGAATCATTGTTCTTTTCGTTTAATTAATGAGCTCTCATCTACCATGTGAGTGATTTTTGATTGTCTATGTTTTTTTCGCCGCTATTATTATCATCATTAATTGAACTTCATCAGCGACCCCATTTTTTTCTCAATTTGTTACAGTAAGTTTTTGTTTCATACTTGTAACTTAATTCGATTGTTGTTGAGTACGATAAAGCCAGCAGACAATTAGAGATCTATTCCAGACGCTTTGGCATTTCAAATTTTTAATTAGAAAATTAATTTACGCTCGAATGAACTGATCAAAGAACACTGATAGCGGAAGAATCAAATGTCGCATTTTTATGGTCAGATGATTATGGAATTAAGCATAACAATCTTTGAGTCATAGAGCCGCCAAACAACTTGATTTTTTATCTTCAATAAGCTATGAGAAGTACTAATTTTCTCGGAAACCGTCGAAAAAGATTTTGAAATTTCAAAATAAGCAGGAGAAATAGACAAAGTTACTCATGAAAAGGCAAAACTTTTGAGAAATAGAGAAGAGATAAATTCAAAGTTTGGGGTTTCAAAAACATTTTTTCAATGCTTCGAGAAACACAAACTTTTTAATCAGAACATTAAATGAAAAATCTGCATCCTTTTTTCCAACTTTTACGCGTCTTCAATCAATTAATCATTTTATTCTTGCAAGATCGGAATGGTATGGTGATGTTGCAAGGATAGAAAAAGACCACTAGGTGGATTAAATAACCACACCTGGAAAAAAAATTATTCTCCACAAGTTTTTATATAAAAATTTTTTTAAGTTCAAGATATCTGCGGAATATTCATTCGCTCAGCCAAGTCGCTCAATTTCAAATCTAATTTTGACAAGCCCCGAGAGCAGGAAAATATTTTTTTATTATCCCAAAAGATAAGTACACTATTTTTTGATTTGCAGCTGACAATGAAAAAAATAAAATCAAAAAAATTTCAATACTACTTTATTCAGTGCGTTTTTAAGTGTATTTCAAAGATTGAAGCTTTCTTTTCATTTGAATAAAAAATTTTATCGAAAGGTCTCCTGCAGCTAACATCTACAAAGGTAGTTATCTCCCAGTCCCATGTGTCTTCCTCTTCAAGTTCCGCTTCTAGTTTCATCATCCTAGGAACAAAGCATTTCGCACATTCATTTGAAAAGAACTGCTGACTTCGAAGTTGTTTGATAGTTTGAACTTCAACTCTTTTCCCTTTAAGTTTGTCTTTCTTGTATTCAAATTCTTCGAAAAAGTCCGAAGCAAAGACTTTTCTGAATTTAAAAAATCCCCGGACCTGGTAAGTCACACCTTTTTTTATTTTTTTACAGAGTCATTCTGATGAGATGCTGTCTTAAGCTAGCCATGAACAAAAACTTTGAGCCTGCAAGAGTTTGGCTTCGCTTTCAATACGTTGTATAGAATTTTTTTTTCGGTCCTTATTTTGAAGGTTACGTTTAAACGTAGAGAACAGACCAGCCGCTACCTGAACTACTATCTTGGGCTGGAGATCAACCGCAGTGAAGAGGAGCCGACGATCAATACGGGTCGTGACCCCTCGTTCTCACAACTGATCCTCTACTGCGTCACCTACCATTTTTTGGGCGTCTGCGCGCCTTCGCTCGAGTGCATCCACTTGTGGGAAGTCCTCGATAATTAATGCGCAGCTACGGTTTTTCTTCGCCTTCTCAACTTTTCCGAAAAGTTTTTTCCCACGCTATATATTGCACTTATCGTCTTTTCAGCAAAAAGTCCATTTTTTTTCTGAAAAAGTAATAAGCAAGCGTTTTTTCCCGTTTTCTCGCTTACTTATTGGAACTTTTGAGTATTTTTTTCGTATCCTTTGATGTTCAATGTACGGTTTTGTATTTCTATAAAGGCAAAGGTTCAATGAAAATTTTTAGAGGTAATATTGTCATTATTTTATCGAAGGCTCTTTTTTTTTCGAAATATGTTCAAATTTTTTTCATCGGATTATCAATTTTTCAATATCTCGTTTAGCGCGAAAACTTCAAGTCTTCAAGTTTATGTCCCAGAAGACAACTAGTGTACATTAATTGACCATCAAAAACCTCAAAAGTTGTTTAGGAGATTTTTCAGCTCAAAGGCAAAAAATTTTTTTTTGTTGGAGAAATCAAAGTATTAAAAACATGTTCTTGGAGAAAATTTTTTGGTTCAACTCCTGACTTTAAAGTCGTCAGGAAGCGGGTGTTCAAGGGGCCACAGAATGATATTCTCACTACCCATTTTTTGAATGAAGATGAGAATTATCAGCTCTGAATTAACTCAGTTTTTCTTGCAAGTTCCGCGTTTTAGGACGTTTTGTTTGCCGGTTCATTTTCACATTGTTGTTTGACTCTTCTCTCACTCCGGAAATAGAAACCGTTGAGTTTAACGGCGCCGCGCCACGACTTTGGACTGCTTCTAGCGACTCCCAACATTCGGTGAATGTCAAATTTAATTGCTCCTTGTTTCCATAACTGCATTTGGCGTTCGGGGCTTTTGGTCTAGAATTGCAATTTCATTTCTTTTTTCTGTTCGTCCGATGGAGAACTACTATTTTCTCATTAGAGGACAGCTCCACATTTTGAAAAGACCCAAGTTTGTAGAATTTCTGGCCTTCCAAAAATTAGAATTTTCTTTCCTCCACCAGCAAAAACAGCCGATTGACACATCTGACAGATTGGTCAATAAAACAGCGATTTTCGCCTATCTTCTCTCAGAAAACAGCCTTTGGAAAATTCAAACATCAGAGAAGCCTTCCCTTCATCGCAGTTTCAACTCGATTTTTTGACTGCCAATATCATCCACAAGACTTACCTACTTCTTTCAAGAAAGCGAACATTCTTGAATGACTCATAACAATCAGCGACTCAGCGTATGGAGGGTTGACCTTTATTCACGGATTTTATTACCATCCCATTACCTATCTTAAGTATTCAATTTTTATTTTTCTAATTGTGCTCAGAAAAAGATTTAATAACATCGAATTAATCCCATATCCAATTTTTGAGCGTTTTTTTCTCTAACAATTCCAGATAAGTTCCTTGATTGATTTCTGAATGGTGGTAACAAACAAATTAAAACAGAAAAGGAAATGACAAAAATACAATTTTTGTCATTTTTTTGGCAGTCAAAACAACTGCGACAGTTGAATTTTTCCATTATTTTTTTGTGAGCTTTTTCTTTTTGATTTTTTTGTTTTTCTCATCTCTGAAGAAAAAAATTTCACAGCACATTGTATTCGGAAATCGTTTGTCTCAAATGAAATAGTTTGAAGGTGATCAGAGGAGAAATGAACATAAAAGTGTGTCCGTAACACCAAAGTAACTAATTCTGAATTTCGGTAGAGGATCTTTTTTTCCACTTGCCCTAGAGGTTTTTTTTCCCAAAAGCTCTCGCTAGTCGGAACCGACCCAGACACTCGAAACGAAAGCTCCATGACAGATGCGCAGTGCTTTTTGCTCCACTTTTGGAAAAGAAAGAAACGTATCGGCAGTTTGACCGCGTCCTGCACCTGTTCCATTCCATTTTGTTTTTTTGTCGGTCTTTCGCGGGGCGATTCCAACTAAGCGCTTTTTTCAACTTTCATATTACTCGGTCTATAAAAGTTGTTGTTCAACGTATGGCGATCTTATGGTTTCTCATTTGAGATGCGATGATTCCGAGATTTACAGATCCATAAATCTCCTTTTGAAATGTTATGCCAAATCGCGAACACCTCAAAAAGTCCTGTAGGCATTTGTAATGGTTTAAAAACTTTAATATTAATAATTTGATGATTATTTGTAATCCGAACTGGTTTCTGTTGATTCTTCTGCTAAATAGAGATTGCTGATTCGGGATCGTCAATCAAAACCAAATCGAATCACGGCTTAGGAATTTGCCCCTCGAGGCTGGTCTCGCTTCCAATTGCCGAGAACTGGAAGGTGTGATTAGGGCGCCTTTGATTTTTGCGTCAATCGCGGCTTTTAGTCTCCGGACAATATTTAGGCGAATTCCAGTGACCACTTGTCCCAGGAACTGATTTTCGAATAGTCTATTCCTTGCTCATCATTTTTTTTTTTCAATTTGGCCTATGTGTCAACCTGGTTGACCATTTGTGCGTGAACTGAATCGATCCGGAAATTTCGAGTGGCGTTATTGTTGTCGTATGGATAAAATTAGCGTGAATGTTTAACTTCTTTAGCTATATAATTTTTTTCAAAAAACTTTTTCATCCAGTTCATTTTCACTTTCTCATATTTTGGGTTCCATTTGCTAACATTTTTCTATATTTGAACTTTGAAACTGTTTTTTTGACTGCTCAAAAATGAAACAATTTCTCCAAACTCTAGTGGAGGATAGTTGTTCTAAAAAAATAATAAATAATAAAAATTTTTTTCAACCATAGAAAACGAAAAAAATCCAAACTGTTCTTATTGAAACTAGAGGATGATGGTTCCCCAGCTTTCATGTTTCGTTCTCCTCTCGCTTTGTGATCAATAACCTTTTCAAGGCTTCGAAGTAAATTATCTGTCATTGTGTGTGACGGCTTTAGTTCTTAAGGCCATGGTTTCGCACTACCAATGATTCCTAAAATTTTGGTGGAAGCACGGGGATCTTAAATGGCTTGCTTGCGTTACTTGCTGACTTGCGCTTCGGCGCAACGCGTTGAAGATAACCACATTAAATTGAAAACTTTCTTCTTTGGCAATCCTCAAAGATTTCTGGGGCCTTATTCGCACTCAGCTGCCCAGAACAATACGACAGATGGGGTGGCGCTGGACGGACAACTCTCGAAGACCTTCTTGACCGCGGCTGCATGTCTTTCTCTGATATTTGATCAAGCGGTGTGTACTGTTTGCGCTTGTAGTTGGGGCGGCTTTCTTGTGCAGCTCTTCCTACAAGTTGGCTTAGCTGCCTGACTGCTCACGGGTCATGCCGTTCCAACCGTTCTATTTTTCTTTTCAACTTTTCTTTTTGACTGGAGTTGTAAGCTATTGTTCAGTGGTTTTTATGCTTCTTCAGAAAAGAAAAATCGATTTGAAGAAAAACATAAAAAAAGTCAGAAAAAAAATTTTTTTCAAAATTTTTTTCAATTTTTTTCATTAATAATGAAAAAGATTTCTTGACATTATTAAAAAAAGATAGGATCAAAAAGTGAACTGTGCAAAGTGGAGTGATATTTGCTTTCAAATATTATGTCAGGAGTGGTGATTGAAATTGAGAATTCCGCTATATTTTTTTGACGAAAAAAACTTATTTTTTTAAAAAGTTTCCCTCGAACCTAATTTAGGAAGAATTTGAAAAAAATAATTCCAGAAAACTAATTTAAAACAAAATTAAAATGTTTTTTCTATTTGTAATTCATACACATACCTTTCGTATATATCCTTTTCACATTTTCCGAACTTTCCAAATCGAACTTTTCAAATTAAACCTCTCTTCCTTTAATTTTTTATAAAAAATTAGCCTCCATGTCTGCTGTTATTTTCTTTTGAAGATTTACTAATAAGATAAATTGAAGAGTCTTTCAGTTCCCTATTGCGTCTCGATACTTGAAATCTGTCTGTTCATCAACAACTAGTTTAGTAATTGTTCTGGAAACCGTTCGATAGCGGCGGCACCCTTTGAAGAACAGTTGAAGTTGCCCATGTTTTAGACCTATCGACCACACTTTTTTGAAAATATTTTCGGTTTTGTTCTTCTCAGCGTATAGACTTTCGTTTTACAAACTGTCAAAAAAGTTAATTGTCTGCGCGATTTTTGAGGTCTTTTTGGTTTTTATCCAAATTCAAAAAGCTTTCAGCTCAATTACAAAAAACTTTCTTCTCTTCAAATCGCCGAAAGGGTTTTGGGATTTTATCATCTTCGCGGCATTTAGAGCCTTTCACTCGTTACAGATGTCCCGAAATGGACGGGGCGATTTTAAGAAAACACATGTGGTGTCCTTCACGGCGCTGGTAATTACGAGAGACATAATTCATAAGGACGCGGTATACCTAAAAAGCGGTTGTTCAAGGAACACGTGGGTCCTGAGCCGAATGCGCGTAAAACCAATAGGACAGCTGTGTTGTGGCGATCGTCTTGACCACTATTCTTTTGTCGCTCGCCTAATATGACTTCCTGGACCACTCCTGATCTCGGTTAACTGAAGTCTTTTCTGAGGATGAAGAAAGCGTTTTTGTCAATTTTTACAATATTAATTGAGCTGTTTTGAGAAGTTTATGTAATTTGAGACTGAAAAACATTTCAAATTCAGTAACAGTCGGCATTTTATTCCGTTCAATAGCCTTCCGACAAGAAAATTCATTTCACATGACGCTTCAGTAGTTATTGAGTTTGCTCAAACATTCTACAGAAGATAACATTTGCTAACAGTAACGTAACGGTAGAACCATGTGTGAAATTTTTGAATTTTGGATCTCATGTAACTCAGAAATAGAAGCACTCAAAATTCGGTGAGGAAGCTTACGCAGCTCTAAATAGGCAACCTAGTTATTTCAACTTGCGATATATATATCAATCCAAAAAATAAAATTTAATTTCTTGGTGATTGCCAAGGTAAGCGACCTTCGGGGACCGTTTTTTCGAGAATTTTGAAATTTCACTGCTCGAAGTTTTTTCTTGCCGTTAGTCATTGCTTTTTGAATAGTGGTACACAAAAAAGGTGTTTGAAACCCTGTGGCACCAGGAAGTCTACCAAAAATGCTGTCCAAATTAGGTGATAAGGAAATGCCGTGCTCCTGCCACTTCTTTTCGTCGCTCCGCAGCAAAGTGACGCATTCAGGAGCCTTTTCTTCATTCACCTTTTTCAACTTACGTTCTGTCGCCCCCATAACAGTATTTCCTTGCACTAGGACTCACGCCCGAAATTGCGCCGTACAATTTTTTTCATGAATTTCTTCTTTTTTTGAGGATTGTGATTTTTCCGTCGCCTCGCTCATTATTAGCTTTACTATCAATACAATCGAGACTTTTTTGCAGAGAAATGGACGGGTTTGCAGAAGCAAATCTTCTGCTCAGCAATGCATTGGAACAGTTGGATGACATCATCAAAAATGGTCGGTCTTTTATATTTTTCTTGGTTCAATGTCTTCTCAATCTTTCTATACTCCTTTCCGATGTTTTTTTTTCCTTTTCCAAACTATTTAAGAAAAATGTGAAGTCTAATTTTATTTCAAAAGATCCTGACTCCGTAACTGAATGGAAAGAATTGGACGTTTGATAGTGAAACAAATGCGACAGCCAAAAGTTCCTTAGAACTGAGGGACAACAGGTTTCTGCCCGCCAAAACGTTGTTTGAATTGAATGTTGTTGCGCTTTGTCATTTGGCCACTAACACATGTTTTCCTAGAACTTTTTGTCTTGTCCTATTTTATTACTTTATTTATATGTATTTTTAAGTTACTACGATGCGAAAAAATTTTTTTCCGGATTACTTTTTATCAAGAGACAGGAACCAAATCAATTGAGCAGACTTTATGAAAAAAATATTTCAATTCTCCATTCTCACTATATAGTGAAATGAAAAAACTTTTTTTTTTTGTAAAAAGGTGCCCTCAAAAAGATGCTCGAACATATGCATATGTTTTTTTTTAAAGGACGTTCATATATGGAAAAGTGTCCGAACCGCGTTTGTTTGCTTTCTCAAAAGTTTCTGTCCCCACAAAATTGTTTACGCTTTTTTCGCTAACTCTAATTTGAAAAAATAGTCTTTTTCATGTTTAATGACTTGCGAAATTTTCATTTGTCACTCACATGCCAGTGATATTTTGGAAAAAAAAAGCAATCAAAAAGAAACGGAATTTATTTTCCAATTTCTCGGCTTATTCGATTCCCTCGAAAGCGGCCAAAAAATGGGAGCTCTTGAAAAGCCTTGGAAAAACGGTGTCAAATGTCCTTAATGCTGACAAACGTTCGACGCATCTTCTTTCAGTTGAAATTCTTTAGCGAGCGTCAAATGAAAAAGAAAAAGAAACCAGTTTTTTGGCTTCGTGGTCCAGTCCTATCCGAATATGTAATAGCTTCCACCTTCATTGACGGCTATTTCATTCAGAAATGTATGACTTCAGTGCAGGAATTCATATAAGCCCTTTCCAGATTTTTTGATGTTTTACTGTAAAATTTTCCAATTTTTCTTGCGGAGCGGTCACATGAAAGTTAAGATCGTCTTTTTAATTTGCCTGTTCGCTCTCAAAGAGTCTCATTACTTGGAGCAAAAAAACTCCTTCCAGGTCTTTATTGAAATTTTTTGAATACTCTAATTTACGAAAAAAATGATCTTTTTTTCATTTTTTTACTTTTTAAAAAGCTAAGATACAAAAAGAAAACCTGTAATCCCAAAAAAATTACAACTTCAATTTCCATAGTAACAAAATCAATGAACATTTTTTTACCTATAGAAACGTCGTCCTAACCCTCAGAGTGAATTCGCGACAGATTTCCCGTTTAGCGACTCGGACCACGAGTGGCGTCTTAAGCACTCTTAAACGGTTTATTCTACGAATTGTTCATTTTGTTTGCAGGCAACGGCCGACCCGCGTCTGTGATTAGCGATCCCACGCCGGCTCTTCAAAACGGTTGCGCCAAAAAGATCATCAAGAACAACGGAGTGCTTCGGCGAAACAGCAATATGAAGGACCGCGACGACGGTAATTTGATTCTTTTTAAATGAGAAGTTAAAGAGCAATGTTATGGAAATAAAAAACGCGTAGATTGACTTTGTTCATAATAACATAAAAACGTATTTCAGACATTGATAATGGAAACGCGGATGACGAAAGATCAACAAAAGAGCTAGCAAACCGCAACTGGATGACCAGCGAATGGAGGACACGTCGAGGTATATTATCAACTTGTTCACAGACCAGTGAGAGCCCTGAAGACCTAAAATGGAAGGGAAAAAATTATTGAACAGTTAATCAATTGTTTCTTCATTTTGTGAATCTTTTTTGAAAAAAATCATAGTTTCAGAGATTCTTCAATTTCAAATTTTAAGTGCACAATGTATAGCTCAAAAAGTTTTTCAATTTTTTTTTGGTTATCTCAACTTCCTTCATTTGTAGAGCTCAACTCAGACGAATCTTCTGGAGTCGAGTCACCGCCATCAGACCTACCAACGTCTTCATCTTCGTTGTTCAATCCTCCAAAAATCTACCAAGAATTCGTGAAGGTATTTTTGGAAGCATTCCTCAAAGGTCGAAGTTGCATTTCAGGCCATTGAAGACCATTTGATCACTGAGAGGCCCGACCTTGAAACGCGTCTCAAAATTATGCAGTGGGTCGCCGGAAGGACGGTGAGTTCTGTTTTCTAATTTTTTTTCTGCATGAGCTGTTTGTTTGTTTTTTCCATTGTTGTTTTTGATATCTCATCACAAGTTAAGCTTTTTTTCATGGGTTAGGACATGTTCAATTCTCTTGAAAAGTTGCTGCTCACATTGACCTCTCAAGTTAATCCTTGCAGCTCTCAAAAGGAAGTCATTAAACTCTCTTCCTGGGAATTTTCTGAAAATGCCTTTCGACTCTACAGAAAAGTTTTCTGAGTTGACAAGCTCTGCTAGCAATTTAACAAGAAAGTAGAAAATTTTTCTTCGTATCAAAACGAAGCTCAAAACTTTGAGATAAATCAATGAGCGTATTTTTTTGTTCAAAGGGTTCCCATATTGATCGTCATCTTGATTGTTAAGCTAACCTTTTAAAATTTGCTTCAAAAACGTTTTCAAAAATGTTCAAAAAACTTTTAGTTCTTAGATGGAAAAATTGATGAAGAAGTTAAAGTAATGTTTCTGGAGCGATAGTCAGCCAAAACAGCGAGTTCAGAGCATTGCAGGAATACAAGAGTCTCAATCAAACTGATCTCTTCGAGAATTGCCGAAAAAAAAGAAAGACAAAAACGGAAACCGCTTTTGAACTCATTCATTCATGGCGGATGACACCATTTAGCGGGAAAGTGTTTGGTCGGGTCTGCGTGTTTAGGGAGAGCGTGTCTTTTGCGATGGAGTCTGGAAGAGCCGAAGCCCATGGCCCAACATATACCCTTCCGATGCTAACGCAATTAGCGGTCCAGCAATGTCCTCGCAGAGCCAGTTTTCCCAAACGCTTCTGGCTCCTCCCATTCCTAAGCCGATGCTACCGAAATCGCCATTACCTTGTTTTTTATTCTCACGTTCAAAAAAAAAACTCGCTCGAACTTGTTTTTTACGATTTCCGGTGATCTTTCTCGAAGAGATTAAATCTACAAATAACAGTACTTTACTATTGTCATCGATATATGAAGAAAAGCTGGCGATTATTTGAATTTTTTTCAAATAATCCGAGTTTTTCACATTTTTTTCATAAACCTTTTCTAAAGGTAGTTAAAAAAATTCTATCATAATAAAAAAAGAGCCTTGAATGTGATTATGCCAAACTGCCTCTACAGGTAAGGCAACATACTTTTTGAAAAGCACTCAAACGTTCGCATAAGGTTTGTATTCCCTTTTCACTTAGTTTTTTTTCTCTTTCCGCTGAATTTTTCTTGCTGAATAGTTTCCTGCTATTCTCGGCACAAGTGGAGACTATTTTTGTCACTGGGATAAGTTCTGTAATTTTTTCGCTTTTTTTTATAAAAGGATACCAACTAAGAAATTAATTTAGTTCGCAATAATTTTTTTTATGTTTTGCTCGTGGAAATCTCAGCTCCGAGAAAGTTTTCTCACTCATCACAGTATTAGTAACGGTTTTTTTCTACAGATTTATCGGACCTCGTTTCGAAAAAAGTTTTTCTTTTTAGCTATTCATGAATAATGAGCGAGCCTCCTTGTTTCCCATATATCATTTTCTTTCTAGGATAAATTCTGAAGTCGTTTCCTACCTGCCATAAACATTTTCACCTCACGCAACCCTCCCACTGAACTTGAATTCATCAGTTTCTTCTGCGAACCGAAGATTGCTGCCACTTTGGCGCAGATTATGACGGTGACAGCCTGATTGCCCTATAAGAATAATTGTTGGCGGTTTCCTGAGAAAGGCCAGAAGTGGCTGGGATATTGTCTGTTAAGTGTTCTGAGGCGCTATGTACATTGACGTCTTCCGTGTTCTCTCTTCTGTCTTCCCATTTTTCTCCTCATGTCATTTGTTCATCTTTGGCACAAATTTCAATTTTTTCAAAGAATGATATTTTAGGAGGGCTGCACCAAAAAAACCTTTGAACAATGCGGATCTTTGCCAGATTTTTTATATTTGCCATCTGTCGCCGCTATTCATAACATTACAACAATTCTTTACGCTCGTTTTCTGTTGCCGTTAATTTTTTAAGTGTGTTCGTTGTAAAGTTAATTTTTAAAACGCAAATGAGTTTCCGCATTGTAGATGTTATAATGAGAAGTTATTCACAATTTTTTCAGTTTTTTTGAAACTCAAATTCTAATAAATTGGTTCCGAGTTGTTGAAGTAAAATGACCTTCGAGTAGAGTAAACGCAGAGGATCAAAACCAGCTCTCAAAAAAATTGACAAAAAAATAACTTTAGCGACCAACGGTGAAGTCCATATCATTTATTTGTATAACAATTTTTCGCTATATCAGTTCATTATAACTACATTTTTCAAATCAGAAACTCAAAATATGGCTGCAAACCAGGAGTTAAATAGCAAATTACGTTTTAATCTCGATTATAAAAATCACAGCCAGTTACAAAAGTTTCATGACATAAAAATAGTCCGAAACTGCAAAGTTTTGTAGAAATACTTTCTCTAGTAACCTCTAGCAACATTGTTTTTTTTACTACAACACGGACAGAACAACGTAAATCGGCCATTCAGTTGTGGCCGACGGCACATGCGGTGCTGAATATATCTGTCGACTCGGCGGCGCCTCCCTCAGCTCAGAAGTTTAGAGTGATTGATCCCGGCGGATGGAGTGGGAACAGTTGGCACAAGGAACATTGTCGGTCGCGGATCCTCTCTCGTCGCAGTCAGCTCCGGACAAAGCCACCCTCAACTAGCTCATCATCTCGACTCCTACATTAATGACGTCATGTATTCAAACCGTGACTATGTTGACTACACGGCCAGTGATGACCACATTTCTTCGTTGACCGTTAGTTCGCATAACAGCCAATGCGACTTCAGAAGCAGCGGAAGTGGGAATATCTTCAAAGAACCTGTAAGGTACGCATTTTATGCTTTCCTTTTTGTTGATCTTAAAAATTCTGCTACTTTTTTCTTTTAGTATTGCTTTTCTAGTTCATAACCAATGTGTAGAAAAAATTTGGATAATATTTGAAAAAGGATCATTTTGCGTTCGATTTGAGTATAATAAACGAAATAAGTTTTGAAATTTTTTAAAATTTTTTTAAGGAATTTTTTTTAACAAAAATCAATTTTTCAAAGATTTTGGAAAAAAAAATTGCAAAAGAATTTTTAAATATTTTCCCATTTTTCTTGAAATGACTTCATTTCTGTGAGAACATGTCGAGCTACTTTTTCAAAAAGCTATGGTTAAAAATTTAGATCTCACCTCTCTTTTTTTTTACTAAAGACAGCAGATTCCTATTTTCGCTCGTGTTTTCGGCTTTCTCTAGTTTGGAAGAATGGAGAAGTGCTTGATTAGCGAGAACCTCTCGGGAAGTTTGCACCAGACTTGCTCCTACATCAGAAACAACTTTTTGGAAGTTCGAGCCGCATTGAATTACTGGCACTTCTCATTAAAGCTTTCTACGCTACATGTTCTTCACTTTTTCGATCAGGTCCTAAGCCATAAGTATCTTTTCGATTTTTTTATATGATTATTCCCTTTATATTTTTTTTTACAAAAATTTTTCATTAGCATTTTTATTTGAGCGATTCTCTCACATTCTCAGGAACATCTCATGTGTGCCGTAATTCTTGTCTAAATGCGAATTGTGAGCTGGAACGATATTTGGCAGAATAATTACCTTTTTTTGCTCATTTTTCTCTTCAGGAAAAAAAGCCTCTCTTTGCTCCCGTTTCATTTGCATATTGATGGAACGGCTGTAGATGGCTCGAATGTGCTCAATTTCAAGACGAACGCTCTTTTGTATATTCGCTAGTAAGAAAAAAAAACAATGAAATTGGGTCTGATGTTCAGAAAACAAGTTGAGATCAGCGAATATCTGGTATGTTTTGGGTACTAAAATTACAATCCATTTTCAAGTCGTGCTGATCTTTTTTGGAGCTAACTGTCTTTTGAGTAGTTTTTTTGATGAAAGCCGAAAACGAGAAATACCTTTTTTTTCAAACAAGTCATTCATATAGATTTTGAACAGATCCTTTACGTTAATCGGGACAATGTTATACAGTAAATAGGACCATCCAACATTATTTTTTTAACAACTGGACGGTTCAATATCAGATCAACGCCGGTATCTTCCTCCCGACCTACGCTTCCTTATGTGACGCACTATTCGGACTCGGGATTCGGGTCAGCCTTGTCAGCAGGCTCCAGCTGCTCTTACCTGCCGCCACCTCCACCTTACCGCTTACGGACCAAGCAGCACAAGATCCATCGGAGCCTCAGCGACTCCAAATATTCGAGTTGTCTTGTTACCGCCACTCCACTGATGTCGTCCCCTTTAAATATGCAGCAGCGTGACACTCGCGGTGGCAGCTGGAATAGTTTGGTACGATTTTGCATGTACCTTTTCTGTCCGATTGCTTTCTCTTTCCGATTGGTAAATCTTTTCAACGATTCTCTTTTTTTGATTTTCAACTGATTATTTGAAAGTGGATTTGCAAAGAGTGCATGTTAAGCGTTGAAGATCTAACTCAGTGAGTGACTTTTATTTTCATAAAAGTTTCAACATACGAATCATCAAAATGAAAAAAAAAACTTAATTTTTTGTCAGCTCAATGCTCTCAGATTCCTTTTTACACAGCGAACGCATCTCAAATCTACTTATTTAGACAGCCGTTTATATTGCCCAAGTTGAGTTACGCCTACTAAATCTGTTCGTAGATTATTTTGGAGGCTTCAATACTTTTTTTGAATCTCACTGACTCTTTCTTTCAATGAATAATTGTTTCTCTTCACAGGATTCATTTCCAGAGATTTTTTTCTGTTTTAGAAATAATTTTTCACAAGATGGAAAATTCCGAGTAAGATTCCAAACTTTATCTACTATTGCCTTTGCAACTGATGTTTCAAAGTCCTACAGCTTCTGTTGTCAAATATTCATAATCAGCCATTCTTCAGGAAGTTCAGAAAGTTCTCAGTTTAAACGGATGAAAATGCTTTGAAAAAATCATCAAAAAACCTCTATTTTTTTAAAGAAATCTCCGTCAGCGGTTTAGCTTTATGGAAAATTGTTGCAAAAACGCTTTTTTTCGAGCAAAAAGCCGCAATTATTGACAATGATGAACGAGTCGTGCTCAGATATATACAGAGCGATGGACGCGGCGTGACAAGCATGCGTGGAATGCGCCAGGTGTAGCCTCGGGCCTCGACCAGATCGATAGCTATCACTTGCACCTCTGTTTTACGGGACTTTTTGTGTAGGAATTCTGTAGCAGATCTCGACCTGGAACGCCTTTGAGCGTGCCGTTGAAAGTCGAATCTGCCACAGTAGCCATGCACTTGTTCCTTGTTCGAGGACGCTTTTTCGACTCGGAGAAAAAAGAGAAGCACGAATATGTGACAAATAATGAAAATATTGACAACTTACATTTGCGCTATAATTAATTACCTGTTATTCAAAAAAAAAAAACGATTTTACCGCGGCCATTTCTTCGTTTACATCGCGCTCTGTTAGATGGAATCGGAAATCTATAATGCGGCTTTTGTAGTTCAAAAGTTTAATGGCCACCAAGCGGGTCCAAATGATTGCATGAAATTCCCGCCAATTGTTTTTTTTTTTATCATTTTTCGGATCTAAATCAATCATGAATCCGACAATTGTCACAAACGAAGAACAGAAGTTAGTCACTTTTTTAAATCAAGAAATTGGCATAAGTGCCGCAAAATTACCTCCCTCTTTTATTTTTAGTGCAGTTATGATATTACTTAAACGGCCAATATCCAAAATATTTATTCCCTTTGACATGATGGAAAACGAGCTAGAATTCAATAAATTTCATTCTTTGTGGCGCTGTTTGACGCATCTAAACTCTGAAAGCTCAAAAAAGTATCTAACAATTTTTCATCGCGTCTTATATTTCGTGACGTGTTCATTTATCCAAAATAAAACATGATTGAGAAAAAGACCAATTTTGAAACAGTGTCAGTTTCTTCTATCAAATTTTGTTTGTTGATAAAAGATTATACAACTGTGAAAGTTTGAGGACAATCTTCCAAGGTGGCATCCAGCCAATTTCCAGAAAAAAAAACTATCTGTTAGTTTGAGCGAACGTTCACAAGCGCAACGACAGCTGTTTGGCAAAAATTTTGCGTGACCCTTGATTTCTGCTCGAAACTCATTTTTCAAGCTTTTGACCTATTCTCTGCGTTCCGCGTTTCGAATCTGATTACTGAGAACTTAACAGCTGATTTTTCCTTTTTTTTTTTGATCGAGTTTCGTGATTTTTCTTGAAACACGTATACTGAAAATAACATTCATCGGTCTTTTTGTTTGAGTACTTTGTAAATTCAACCTGAAAGCAGAGATGTTTTCAGAGATTTTTGTGATAATTACACGTCTTCATGATTAAAATGGGCTCAATACAGTAATATGAATAAGCAATGGCACAGCGAAGGGCCAAATCGAAGGTGGATTTGATTGTTGTGTTTTTGTGTTAATTATCAATGTCTGTGGTGTGATTCCCAAAATAAAGCATGGTTTTGGTTCATCTGCATCTTTTTTCAAACAGAAGTTACTTTCTAAATTTTTTTGATTTTGTAGAGCCCTTCGCCTTCGATGTCCACGGTCTCATGTCCTGAATATCCGGAACTTCAAGAAAAGTTGCATCGGTTAGCGATGGCTCGCGACAGCTTGCAGCTGCAGGTTTCAATTTCAAAAGAAGCCGAAATGAAAAAAGAACGTCCAGGTGTCAGTTCTCAGCGAGCAGGTCGGTGCCCAGAAGGAAAAGATTCGAGACCTTGAAGCTCTTCTTGCGCTCAAAAGAAACAACTTGACGTCAACTGAGGAGCTATTGCAAGACGTAAGATAATGATAATGAAGTGGTTCCTGTCTTTTTTCAACCTCCAGAAAGTCTTTGAGCTAATGAATTCAAAACTCGAAGCGACTTTTTTGCTCGGGTTTTTTTTTTTTGGAATTTCTCACAATTCAAAAAGCTAAAATTGAAATTATAACCGTCAAAAATTGATACAAAAAAATTTCAGCCTCATGTCATCGTTTGCAGAAATATCACCGTATTGATGACTGCACGGAGTTGGAATCCAAGAAAATGGACTTGCTGGCTGAAGTCTCATCGTTAAAACTAAAATTCGCTACTCTAGAGCGTGAGAAAAACGAGACAGAGAAGAAGCTGAGACTCTCACAAGTTGGCTCCCTAAATAGTTTTGGTATCAAATTTGCGACATTCAGAACGAGATGGACCACGTGAACCAGTCTATGCACGGAATGGTTGTTCAACAACAACTTCATCATGGAAACGGCCACCCACCCTACATGGCCCCGCTCAGAGAGCATGTCGGCGAAAAACAAGGTTTATGTTAGATTATTGTTGACAGCAAATTATTTTCGAACAATATTCTGGCGACAGGCGTTTTTGATTTCACTTCTGCTTTCTCGAACTCCCAGTTCAATAAGTTCCTAAAAGATAAAACGCAAATACTAAAGTTTAAAGTTTTTCTTTTTTTCGATGAAGACGCTTAGAATGAGATTTACTAGGAAAATATTGGTGTTTTTAATTGATGATATGGTTCGAAAGTTGCGGTAAGTATACTCAGAGTGGATTTCTCAAAAAATAATATAAACGACAAAAAATTAAAGAAAAAAAAAACCAATAAAAAAGTAGTCCACGATCTGAGACAACAGATAAACATGTAGTTTCACTGAAAATAAAGATAAAAAAAAATTTTTTTTTTGCTCATTTGCTGTGGACTTTTTTGAAGCGTCCTATTGAGCTTAGCAATTTTTTGAATGTGACAAATGATTATTTTCCCTACTTTTTAGCTGTCCTTGTTCTTCACACACCAACTCAACTTTTTGCATTTCTGAGGAGACCATAATCAGACTTTGAACCGAGTTTCTTTTGATTTGTAGATGCCGTTATTCTCTTTACGAGTCTCATAACTTTGTTGCAAGTGTCTTTCGTATATTTTAACGTTTGAAGGGTCCAACTGGATTTATGACAGGAGATATTCAGATGAGGAGATGGCTCAACTGCGGACAGCTGTCCAACGTTTAATGGTGGATAACGAACAAAAAAGTCTGCAGATCTGCAGCCTCCGGAACCAGCTCGACGAGCACATGCGCAGTCGGGTAAATACATTTGAATCTCTCTTAGAGTTTCTATTACTTACTTACTTACTTAGATACTTAGATGGTCCATCTTCGCTTTCGACCTTTTATTGCCTTTTAGTGCCTTTTATTGATCGAAGCGTGGACCACACGTTTTCCAGGAGATCTTATGCAATCGGTCATCCAGTGTTGTCGTCCTGGTTGACTGGTATTCTTGCGAAAAAGTTCCATCCGTGGTGTTGAACGTGTTATAGCATAATTGTGGTCTTATTATCCTTTTTGCCTTGCCAGGGCTAAAAAAGACCGCCCATTCTGTTAGCAGAAGCAAGCCGAATTGCGTGACCGGTGTACCGTTAGCCGCCATAAATGGCGTTGCCTCCCCATCACCGCGTAGAGGTGGTACTTGAAGAGTTTCTATTACTGAAAATAAACCTTATAACGTAGACTAGACGATTTTTCTGGATTTCTTCTGTTTGCTTTTTTTTCTCCTTAAGTGGTGCCGTTTGAATTCTCAAATTTATTTATTCAGTCGCGAGAAGATGACTATTTCCAAGCTCATCGATGGAACGAACAGCCCCAATTTGACGTCAATGCACAAATTCGGCGGTTGCTTCTCGTGAGTTCAATTCCTGGTGTGAATGATTGGAAACAATCGTCTTGCAGGATGAGCCTGTGGAAGCGATGCCTCACTCCACATCTTTCCCAGTAAGCTTGAGCTCAACAAGTACCAATAAGAATCCTCGAAGTGCCGTTCAGGTAATTTATTTTTTGTAGAGATATATTTTTGAGTTCTGAAATTTCCAGTCTTCTTCGTCTTTCACGTCATCGTTATCAGCAGCTTCTCCTCAGCACAGCTGGTCTCAAAGTGGAACTCCCCGACATCTTCATGCAATCAACGCCAACCCACGGGCTGAAATGTTATCGTAAGTATCCCAAGAAAACCCCTTTTGTTATAGTATGTGTGCCACGACTTGAAATTTAACGAAACGACATTCCGCTGCGTGTTTTCGCGGAGCGTCTTTCGAATCTAGCTTACGCTTGCAATTGATTGTTGAAGCTGTGAGAGCACATAAAAGTAGAGAACCTTGATAGAAGAAAGAAAAATGGAAAGCGCGACTACGGCTCGCAAAGGCGCACAGCGGCACAGCGGAATGTCGTTCCTTGAAATTTCAAGTCGTGGCACACAGACTAAAAGTGCTCAAAAGTGTTTCATCATCAAATCTGAGCCATGTAGAGTCAATTTTTCCCTATTTGAAGGACGAGAAAGACTGAAATATTGTTATTCCAGATACCGATCTCCATCTTCTCCTGCAGCTAGGCAATTGGCTGCGGAACTTGACGAACTTCGCCGGATGGGAGCTGACATCAACTCGTCCCAATCTTATTCGACTGCTAGCCTTCCTCGAGGCATGGGAAAGGTGATTTTTTATACAGAATTTGAGATTGTTCAATCTTTTTAGGCTTCCTCAACACTGACTCTTCCGGCTAAGAAGCTCTCGGTGGCTTCAGGTGCGTCGGCTGGTGAGTTGAGAACGGCTGCTTCCGTGTGTGGAGCAACGCCGCGCCGCGGCTACCGAGCGCAGATGAACCGGTGGATTTCGGAAAAGTTGGGACGGAAAAAACGAGCTATCAGCGCTCCCAATCTAGGTGATACTATGTGTGCCAAGGACTCTTTTTTTATCAGTGTATTTATTTGTTGGAAAATTAACTTGTCTAACACTATTTGTCTCCAAGATTCAATTGATTTATGATACCACTGTGTGTACAATCGTACATTGTTTAACCGTAATTTTGCTGACTATTTTTTAAAAATCCTCTTCGGTTTTTTTTTATACTGTCCCACGTTTCATAACCAAAGTCATCGGTTCACCTGTCATCGGTACGTCGCTCACAGTTTTTCTTGGTTTCTTTTTTTAAAACTAACGGTCTTTCTGGGCTGTATTAACCCTAACGCGTCAATGTTTTAGTTGAATCAGACGACGAAGTTGCTCGCGGCAGAAACTCGACGCTCAACTCTCAATCGTCCTCCCAGTCAAACTTGAAAAACTTCAAAAGAGATCGGACAAGGTCTTCCTTGAGAAACATCTTCCAAAAACTCACGCGGTCTACCTCTCAAGATCAAAGTAATGGACTTGCGTTCCGGCGAGGGAGTGCTGCCAGGTTTTTTTTTCGGCACTAGATAATTTTATTATAAGAACATTTTTCAGGTCTACTTCCTCTGCTCGTCTTGGAGTCTCAGGTCCTCTGTCAGGAGCCATCGCCATGCGGCCGCCACTCTCCCAATTTGTGGACTGGAGGTCAGACCAGCTGGCTGAATGGATTGCGGAGGTATCAAGTTATTATATGAACACTTGAGAATGAACACAAGCTCAGGTCGGATTCCCGCAGTACTCGCCAGAAGTAGGTAAGCATGTTCGAAGCGGTCGCCACCTGCTCAATATGACTCCTGGAGAAGTTGAATCGGTTAGTCCGTGACAATTTGAATCAGAAGTGGTTACATACAATTCAGACGCTCGGTATGAAAAACGCGTTGCATCGGAAACGCTTATCATTACTGTTGCAAAGGATAGAAGACGACATTGTAGAGCCTTCATCTAAATGGGATGTTCATCAGGTTTTCAATTTTCTAAATGTTCTTTGAAATCAGCTTTTTCAGACATTAAAATGGTTAGAAGAAATTGGTTTGCCGCAGTACAAAGACACTTTCGCGGAGAATGTTGTCGATGGATCTTTGCTCCTGGCTTTGACGGCCGGTGACGCAGTTGATGTTAGTGAGAAAGTTGATGCAGAAAAAAAAAGACTTTCAGATGAGAATAACAAATGCTCATCACTACGCGACTTTAGCGCGGAGTATTCAGTTCTTAAAACTAACTGAGTTCCGATTCAATTCTCTGGAGAAACGATTCGACCCGGTATCCATTTTTTTAATATTTTTGATATTCATCTTCAATTAAGGGTACTGTTAATCGATATCCATGCCCGGATGTTGTTGTCCGATGGTCTCACTCTGCAACTTGTGAATGGTTAAGAAAGATAGATCTGGCCGAGTTTACGCCAAATTTGCTTTGTGCCGGAGTTCCTGGCTCTCTGATGGTGAGACCTTCTTTTCTTGACGACTTGATTGAATCTTCCGATTTTAGGTTTATGAGCCAACCTTCACGGCTGAGTCTCTGGCCGAAATTTTGCAAATGCCACCTCACAAAACTCTGTTGCGACGACATCTCACCTCGCATTTCAATCAACTTCTGGGTCAAAAAATAATCGCCGAAAAACGGGAATTCTTATCAAAAGGCAGCTTTCCGCAAGTCTCTCCAGCATCTAGAGTTAAGGTAGGAACGAGCAAGGAAAAATTCCTTTTACTCTTTTTTCTTCCAGGTTGTTCGAAAAGGATTCTCATTGACGCGAAAGAAGGCGAAAAACGAGATTTGTCTGGAACCTGACGAGTTGCTTTGCCCTGTGACACTCAATCAAAAATATCCTCTCGCGGTATGCTTCAAAATCAGAGACATCGACCAAGACTCTCGAAAAATTCAATAACTCTGGACAATTTCAGAACGGCGATACGAGCTCTATGGAATCATCCCATGTTTGATCAAACATTCTTCTTGTATGCGTAATCTGTATAATTTTTGAACGAAATGTTTGTTCACCGTGATTATGTGGTCTATATCAAGTTATTTCTAATTCCAAATTGTCACTTCCAAATACGCAAATTTATTTATGTTCATTGAAATTTCACGCCATTGCTATCTCAAAAACCGTTCCCAAGTGTTTTAGTGTCATGAGCTTTTTTGAGTTGCAGAAATGATTTTAAACCGAAAACTGACGACATCAAGTGCCTCTATTCCAAGGAAAATAAATGATTGAACAAAAATGTCCACAGTACACAATTAAAGGAGAAAGGGATTTCGATCGTTTAGAAAAGTGAAACCACTGATGACCTAGTGCCTGGAGGGTCAATCGACGACCCAAATTCGCCGTCGAAACCGCCCCGAATTCGATAACATATCACAAAATGCAACTGAAGGCTGATTCGTTCGGCCAATTTTACTTTCCTTTTTTTCGTCTGCACTTTCATTCACAAAAAGAAAAAGAAAATGTCATCATCAACTTTTCAATACGATTTTTGATGTGTTTTTTTTTGTCGGAACACGTGTGAACTTCTTCAATTCACTCAGTTTACATTTATAGATATTAAAAAAATTTGGTTAGCAGCTGCATACCATTGGGTATCATACAATACCGTCAGAAAAGATATATGTGTTCTTATCATTTTCTCGTATTGAATCTTTTTGAAACTTTCCGAGCTGCATTTTTTTGCGGAGTAAAGTTTTTATCAGAGAACCACAAATAGCAGTTATCTCCAGGGAGTTTCAGAAAGATTAAAATAAAAAGAAAGTTTTTGATCAAAAAAAGTTGCTTTTTTTCTTATTATTTGGACGGTAGTTCTTTTTCAATTAAGATTTATTCAATCGAACTTTCACAAAACAAAAAAAACCAAGCCAGGGTAGTTCAGAAGAATTCAGTAAAGCAGTGTTTTTAATGGTGCTGATCCAGATTTCGACTAGTATTTCTTTCATTAAAAGTAAAAATTCCATGACTAAACTATCTTCCAAAAATCCAAGTAAGTTTTTCAAGGGTTTCATACTGAAAAATCATTTCTTTTAAAGCTCTACAGCGTTTGAAGACATGAGCCACAATTTTTTTTCTAGTTGCTTTTGAACATCATTGATGATTTTTCCTCTTAGAACTATGAGTTTAGAAGTTTTTGTTTACCAGAAAGGAGTCGGGCGAATTCATGTGAGGCTCGGAAATTATGCGAAAAATGATTCTTCTGATGATTGAAGATTTGATGATGATTCGAAATATCTATGAGAACTGAGCTCCAAAAGTATTTCCTTGTTTTCAGGAATGAGGCCGGTTCTACTATTGTCGTTAATAGCTCTGGGGGTAAGAGCCGAAGAAGAGAAGGAGCGGCCGGCGTTAATGCAAAGACTCGTCCAAAGTCTTCCGCAGATCCCAGAGGTCATTAAAGGACAGATGCAAGGAAAACCTGACGAGCTCAAGTAAATACTTAACTTCCTTCATTTCGGCACTCAAATATTCTTCAATTAAATTTTTTCAAACAGTTAAAACTTCAGAAAGTTGATTTCGAACATGCTTGGAGATGGTCTGCTCAGTCAGCTTGTAGTTAATCCAATGGGAGTGAGTTTATCGTTCAATTCTTGAAACATACTATTTTTATTAGGTTGCTGAAAACATGGGTGTTCCTTTGAACGAGCTCGGTATCAACAAAACCGAAGTGGAAAAAATGTCCTCAAATATGTTGAAAGGAGAAAATAATGGTTCAACACCTGCTCCTTTCAACCTTTTCGGAGGATTGTAAGTTGCAGGCTATGAAAAGTCAAAAAAATAATTTTTAGCACTCCAAGTACGACGACCACTAAAAAGGCTATGTATGTTGATGGAGTACTTATTGAGGATTTTGACGATTTTATCAGGTTTTTAAAATTTCGTCCGTGATCAAATTTTGAGCGGGACGTATACATCAACCAACAACGGCAATTCTTTTAGAAGACATGATCTCGAGAGCAAAGGATTGAGCACCAGCAAACCACCTGTGACCACAACTCCGTTAAGTACGGAACGAGTGAGTAGAAAGGAATTCGATCGGAAAACAATTTAGTTTTCAGATTGCTGAAGTGATAATGGAAAAATTGAACAAAAAAGAAACAATCAGAGATGTTGGCATCACTTTTTCTTCCTTCAAACAGTGGTTCTGTTTGAGGTTCCTCGTCCGATGCCCCAGAACGATTTGGCGAATCGTCTTGATATGAATCTAATTGACCCTGGTCGAATAGCCGAAATCAACAGCGTCTTAAGAAGAGCTCCGCCTCGATATGGTGATTATTATTTGTTTTTCAAACTATTGTTAGTTTCCAGAAGCGATGGATTCGCTCGCTCTAGGAATGGATGTTCCGACGCATTCGATGCCTGGACCGCCGGGGTTCATACAATCCTTGGATCCTACTGTGGATGAAGTTGTGACTAGCCTCAGAACGAAAGGAGCTTATGGCCTAACAGTAGAAGTGAGGATGTTCAAATACTTTTACGATAGACTGTAAATTGAATTTTGAAGGATGTGAAGCGCCTACAAAACATGTTGCAAACATACGAACAAACTTTGCAAACAAAAGAACTTCTCACGAAGCGAAAACAGCTTCAAGTTCTTCAAAATGAGTTAACTGAGCAGAGGCAAAGAATTGAAGTTCAAAGGAAAATGGAGGAAGAACTCAGAAAAAAGGTTTCCACACGTTTCAGCTTCCATTTTATTGAAATTGTTCAGGAGAAAGAACTTGAAAATGAACACCAGCGTATGGAAGTTCAACTGCGGGAGCAACTCAACAGCTGGCACAGTTCTTTCAATCCGACTCAAGCAGTTGGAAAGAATTATATTTTTTTATTTTCTGGACAATTTTAGCGTGGTCCTATTGCACCTCCTCTCAATCTTGACTCCTTGGATCCCGTCTCTGGAATGGTGAAACTGAGAATTCTCTGAATCGGTATTTATCAAAACTTTAGGGACATCCACCCGCCTCAGAAGAACTTCCGATTGTCTCACAAGGAAGCTCTTTGCATGTTGCTCCCAGAGCTCAAAGACCAGAAGCCTTATCAGAATCTTCTCATGAGCGGAGACTCTCTGAAGAGCGAGAAAAGATTGTTGAAAGTCAGGTAAGCTCACTGTTTTAGATAATGTACCAAGTTTGCACAATAGTTTTTTATCAACGTTCTTATCTGTTTGAAGATGTCGGAAGCTGCTCCTCAACCGATCAAGATAAGCAGTGCACTGAAAAACCAAATAAGGTATTCTCCAAGGCAAAACTCAGAAGTCGTCCCACCCAGTACATCGGTTGTGCGAGAAGAGTTTGTAGATTTGTCGAGCTTCTAATGAATTTTCCGTTAAGTGATGAGTTCAAATCGGGCTGTAACTGCGAAGAAATTTCTTTGGAGAAAATGCGTGGAGACTGGGCTTTGGCTTTAGCTTCACCTAAAGTTGTTGAAGCTCTAAACGGTAAAGCCAGCGAGCTCGTGGGCGCTGACTCTTCCCTCACTTGCTCTCGTTTCGAAGGTTTCTCATCCATTTGTATGATCTTATAAAAGCGGATAACTTGAAGTCGCTGGAGGGAAACAGTCTGTTGCTGCTCAGGATGCTCGTCTTCAGTGGCAATTCAAAGTGAAAGGAAGCTCCAAAATAAATCAGGTGACGTAAAAGAGGAATTATTGTGCAAGTGCTTGTTTTGCAGTTGCGTGGAAATGCGTTGACCATGGACCACAAATCGGTGCGTGTGCAAATGCGAGATTTCGATGGGGAGAATTTCAGCTTTCCATGTACGTGAGCGGTTTTGAGGATGTGTTTTGAAACTGTTGACGTACGAAGTAAATCTGAGAAAAGTGAAGAGGCTTGAAAAGCTGTTAAAGCTGGAAATTTTTCAATTCGTCTTTGAGAGGAAGTTGACAAACTCTCAGTTAGTTTTGGTGGAATGCAAAAAACTTTGATGGTTGAATAATTCAAGTAGTCTCGGCTGTTAGAAACTATTTTTTATTTTCTATTCGTATGTTTGTTAATAAATTGAGTACGTTATAAAAAAAAAGATCATTTCAGTCTGCGCATTGCGAACTGACAACGGCGACAAATACGAATACATGGTTCTGACAAATAGCAAAGGAGACTGCAAAGATATCGCTCTGTTGGTCCGGAACCCCGAGGAGTTTTTCGAAAGTGAAAACAAAAGTCTTGCCAAGTTTTTGAAAACGGTAAGTGATATTGAATAACAACCCATTCGAAATTTTTCATTTTCAGAAAATTGCTAAAAAAGAGATCAACGCTCCAGAGGTTGCCGATTTCTCCAACAAGTGCGATGAATAATATTTCTCTTTGATTTTTCACTTGACTTCTCTCACATTCCTTCAAACAAAGCTTTTCTCTTTTTTTTCCCCACTCATTAATAAATGAACTCAATACGTGTGATCGTCTTTTTCTGTTATTTGAAAAACTTCTACCGGATAAACCTCAAATTGTACAAACAAAACTCCAATCTATACTTCCCGCATTATTTTTTCCGATTTTTTTTCTTTTCGACAGCTTCTCCCAAATGGTCATTTCAAAAATAGCGGAAAAGTCCACTTTTCTTCCTATCTTTTTTAACTCTCAACTTATACTTTTGCTGATCGTGCAGTTTCTCATAATAGACGGCATTTTTTGATTCAAATGAACCTTATTTAGAATTTTGGTCTTATATTTGTCGGCGTTCCGAGAAAAGAGTTTTAATATTTTTTATGCACGGACATGAAACAGAGACAGCTTTCGAAGGTTTCAAGTTGTTTCATATTTCGAAACAAGAGCGTCCAAAAAATAGTCGAGTGAAGGGTGAAGTCAAGAAGCCATGAATTCCCTGAAAATTCAGCATTAAGTGAGGCTTCGTTGATTCGAAAGTTATGGCGAAAATCCGGCTGTTTTTGAAAGTCTTGGACACTCACGGGGGCATTGGACCGAAGCATGAAGAGGCGGTAGTTGTCTGGTTGGTGTAATTGGTAGGCAAGTTCCGGCGAATTCTCAAACACTGGATTGATGCCGGAGCCGCGTCGCGTATCCGTTACGTTTTTGACGAGTCTGTCAGTGAACCGACGCACGGAACGGTCTCTTCCAGTGCGGGGGTCTGCCGAAGGAATGTGCTGCGACAGCCAGTTGTTCTCAACTTCTGAACCTTTTCCAAAATCGTTTTGCACTCAATCCCTACAACCCATTCATATGGTCTTGCTCCAGAAGGAGATCTATTCTGAGAACACCGGTAAAAGTGCAAAAACATGACAATAATTATTTTTCTTATTGACATATGCACTTTTGCTCGCCAAAACAAGCTTTCATGTCGTAAATGAAAAACGACCTCTTTGTTGGCCTTTATCCACGGCAGATTCTAATGCGTTACGACGGCTCCTCCGTGTAGCGTTAACAACCTTAAGTTTTCTTTTCTTCTGGAAATAATTGAAAAAACAAACCTGCTGCGAAATGTATGGCTCTGATGGTCTCTTACTCCTCGAGCCGACAGGAGATCTGCTTTCGTTCTTCATGCTCTTCATAGCAAGCACCGCATCTGTGAAACTTTTCATTCAAATGGCCGATATTTAGAAATTATTCACCTAAAAGTTGATAGTTGAAAACAGTGCCGAAAAATGAATTCTTGCGTTTGCATAGCGGGCAACTTCTGAAACGAACTAAGGTTTTAATGAATCTATTTTCTTGACTTACACGATCCTAGATTGACATTTCAAGCAAAGCGAATGTCCGCAAAATCCAATACAGGGCTTGTGTCCAACGTCATCTGGAAGAGTCAGGTTGAACCAAGCGGCAAATTTCAACCATCAAAGTTTATATCTCAAAAAACTCTTGAAAATACCTAAAAGAAAAAATTGGGGTCTGATTTTTACAAAATGTATACTCGAAGCTTCAGAGTTTTTTTGAAAGCTTGATTGGATACCTTCCATTTATTAAAAAAACTTATAGAGCTTGTTATTTTTCTGAAAGAAAACCTTTCATAAATGGTTTTTTTCATGTTCTCAACTTAAAATTATGGCTATGGCATTGGAACGCTAATTATCCAAAAAAAGGGATCGACTGCTAAGAGAAAATTTGGAAGTTTTAGTACAATACACTTGTTTGTTATTATAAAAATTTTTCCAAAGAATAAAGGATAAAACTCATAAAAATTTGGAAAAAAAATAGGAATCTCACCGTAATCTTCAAGACAAGTTGGACACCGCGAGAATTCGGCGTTGCTCATTCCAGAAAGATGACGGAGTAGCGGCTGACCGAGGGGCGGTCCTAGAGCTGGAATGCTTTCATTCCTTTTTTGGCTTTCCGGCGTTACTATGGTGGAATCCTTTCGAGGACTTCCCCTGACAACCGGCTCATCAACACCAGAGTAACAGCAGCTGAGAAGTAATAAAGGTCTACAAAGGGTCTCGGGAACGCGAATCCCGACAGTTCCTCGAATCGCAAAAACAAAAATAACTCTTCATACATCATCCATTTATGGCTTCTAAGACTAAACGTGAAGCGATGCAATTATAAAAAGTTGTGATTCGAGACTTTGGAAGTGAATCGTAAGGTTCATTCTTTGAAATCTGTCCTTAATGAAGAAAAGTACTCGACGACTTGTGGTGTCCTTTTTACACGTCATTAGCCGTTTGCGCAAAGCTCTTCTCAGATTTTTTCAGAGATTGTGAGGATCCATAAAAAAAAATTGAGAGCTAGAATCCCGTTTTTTTCTCAAAAAAAAAATTTTGAAATTTTGATCCCTTTTATAAGCTCCGTAGTTTTAAAAAAAATATATGAACGGGACATACCGATTGTTAAAGAAAACCCTGTTCTCAATATGGTTATTAAAGGTATAAATGACCCATTGTGAAGTTCCAAAACTGCATTACTCGAACGACTTGGCGAAATTGGGCACATTCCATTGAAAGACCTTTTTCGAGAAATTGCATAAAGCTGTTTTTATGGGCTGTTTGCATGCTATACCGGGCAAATCTAAATTGGAATACGCCTACTGAAAAATAAGAGCTTGAAAACAGGAAACACTGATAATAGACTGCCAAAAGTACGAATATTGAACAATTTTTTTCTTTTCGGAAATTGGCTTTTGCAGATCTTATTAGAAAAATGTCAACTTACATTTAAAATATAATAAATCAACAAAAATACACAAGTCACCTGGGAAATATAAAATACCACAAAGGCAACCTTTTTCATGCATTTCACATAGCCTCACAAAAACACCTCTGATAAAGACTACTTTTTAGATAAATGAATCCAATTTTTCCAAACTTCATCAGCTTCTCGTTGAGCGATTTTTTACTCGTTTGATTTCAGAAACTGTTTTTTCTATTTTTGTTGAGAAAGAAAGTCACTCGAAGTTTGTTTTCCTGAAGCAACCCAATTATTTGTGAACTCCGTTGTGGATTTTGGCATTCGAAAATACGCACTCAGGTTGAAGCCAAGGAATTTCGGAACTATTTTAAGCTGAATTCCATTTGTTTGTTGACTAACCGTCAACAATACGTAACTTTGACACGAGCGGATGGAAGTTAGTTGGTCGCGACTAACTTTTTCTCGAGTGCCATCTTAAACGGCGAGGGTCGAGAGGCGACGCCCAGTGCAAAATCGCTTGGCTAAACAAACTGTCTGGTTCAGAGGTCGCAGTAGAAAAGCAGCTGAAACGGCAATTCCCCACATCCGTCGACCATGCTCCCATCTTCCGCTTTTCTCATCGCTGGTAGCTTTTCTTGACTTATCATTGATTTACCTGAATTTTTGCTTCTTAAAATTTGGATTTTTTTCAAAGGTGCTTATAAGAATCAAGTGAGAAAAAGAAAAGAGAAGCTTTTTTTGAATTATGTTTCTTTATTTACAGTTTTTTTAAATCTTGCCAAGAATTTTTTTGAAGTTCCTCCAATGAACCCTAGAACTTTTTCTCTGTGGGCTTGAAGTTTCAGTAATTTGAAATATTTTTTAGACAGACAGCGAATTTTCGATTCTGTCAATAGTTTCTCAACGGTTCATAAGCAGAACTGGGAATAACTTCAAAATTTAAGGTTAGGGCGTCCACAATCCGAAAACCGATAATTTGAGTTCAAAAGATGAGATATCGCTTTAATTGAACGCAAATAAAAGGTTTAATGAAATATCTGCAGCTTTAGCAGGAATCATCTTTCAGAAGTTCAGACTATTAAGAATTATTTTCTATTTAGAATGTTTGAAATATTCGAAAAAAAAATGAATAAATTATCTTTTATAGGCTGTGTGAAATTCCACGGAACGACATTCCGCTGTGCCGCTGCGCGCCTTTGCGAACCGGGGTCGCGCTTTCAATTTTTTTTTCTTCTATCAAGGTTCTCTACTTTCATGTGCTCCCATAGCGATAAAAATCAATTGAAAGCGTAAGCTAAATTCGAAAGACGCTTCGCGAACGCGCGCAGCGGAACAGCGGAATGTCGTTCGGTGAAACTTTAAGTCGTGGCACACATACTATATGTTTGAAAATAGAGCAGACTTCAAGAAAATAAACTTTTCTAGAGGAGTAACTTGAAAAAGGCTTCTTGAAAACTTTCAAGTGTTCAAGAGTAGTTGCATATTTATAAGCAGAATAAGAGAAAATCATGTTTTCTTACAGCTCTGTGTGCTCTTCATGTCTCTGCTCAAAGCGGAAACATCTACGGCTATAACTACGACAGTAGTTCTGGTGGCAGCGGCTTGAGTTATGTTGTCAACCCAAACTACCGATTTTTGAACAATCAACTGGCTTCTGAATATGCACAAACATATCAACAAGAGTCGAGAGCGTATGATCAGAGTGAGCCAGGAAAAAACAACACAAAAAGATTCAAAACGTCCAGATGGAGGATCAAGCCAGAACAACTTCCCTGGGTATTATAATGGGCCTCCTAGGACGAACGACCAACAAAATCAAATAAACTATCAAGATATTCAACGAGTGAGATAATGAAACAGTTTTTTCATTTTTTTTTTCCTAATTCAAGGACACCGGTAATAATTTTGCCACAAGCACCGCTTCAAGCAACATCTACGGGTACAACTACGGATCAGGCAGCAGTTCGGGATCTGGCAGCAACTACGTCAATCCCAACAACGTCTATTACTCTGGTGAGCTCTTTTGAACGGACAGATAGCAAAAAAAAAACGAACGAAAAGCTCAAACTTTCTTTATAGACTTTTTTGCTGTTTTGAGTGCTCAAATGGGCTTCTCAGTGTATTTCCAATAGTAAACCTTTTTTTCCTTTTCCAAGCAAACGGAGTTCAGATTCTCAAACGGAACACGACTTTTCAGGGTCGAGCTCTACGGCAGCTCCTCTCTACTACCCATTCGGACAGTACCAAGCCAATACCAACACGAATCCCTCGTTGAACAACGTGCAGAGAGATCAGAGCAACCAACAGAGCAGCGGGGTATACCAAAGCGCAAGCGATCTGAAAACAACTCGCCTGCGGGACCAACCAGCCTCCTACACGCCGAATCTTAAGGGAGAAGGACCGATGCGCGGACCGACGCTCGCCTCCACCAGGTTCTTTGATCCAGGCAATAACAAAACTGAGATGTACTATCCCTATCGGTAAGTTCCTCGTTGAAATGGAACCTGACTCATCGAAAGTTTGAAAAATATGAGATTGGTTTGGTTGGAATCTTTTTTTGTTGTAGGTCGGCTCACAAATTTGAGGCACTTGACCTCGCTTCAATTTTTCAAATATGAATATTTTTCAGTTTGACCAAATCTTTCGTTCTTTATCGAAGCGACTATAAATTTCTACGATGTGACATTCTAGAAACTTTTTTTCGAAAGTTTTTCTCTCAGCAAAAATCTTTTGACTTTTCTTGGCGCAGCCCAGTTTTAACGGAAAAATTGTAAGTTGAAAACCATTTTCAGAACAATAAGAGGTTCAGACGGATTTTTGTATGGTCCAATAGTCTGAGATTTTTCTAAAATTTTTTTAGTCTTATTACGTTTGAAAGTTCAAACTAAACTACTGGAAATACAATGAATTTTTAGAGGCAATTTCGGAAATGGAAAATTGGAGAGTTTTCAGTCCATTAATAGAAAAAATATTAAAATTTCGGTTTTACAGCACATCCACGAACTACAATCTCCCGCCAACAAACAATGGCAATCCGTCTGCAAACCAAGTTTTCTTCAACCCCAGTCAATCATCAAGCACATCAAACATTCCGAACTCGGGTAGATAAGTCAGGACAGAGGAACCTTTTTACCCTTTTTGGAACCTGGAAAAATTGTAAATTCACTTTTTCAGATCAATCTTGCCCTTTTTGTAATTTTAGTTTGTACAGTTCCTGCTTTTTCCACTGTGTACCAAACACGTCTTTCTCAACAAATGCTTGCGTTGGAAATAAAAATTTAACTCTTAATATCAAATTCAATCATTAACATTGTGAAGCAGAGCATGCGGAATAATTATGGCACTCATGAGATCCGCACCTATGAAAAAAAATTGGTATTCGATTGACAAAAACCTTTTTTTTTGTTCGAGAAGTGTGAAAAGAGGCATGAACCCACAAGAGAAAATAATAGAAAACTATCGGGATAAAACAATGTCAGCAGATCGGTTCACCGTGATTTTTTTTTTAAACAAAAACGAGAATCCATCGAAAAAGCTGAAAGGAAAAAAAATTGACAGCCGTTTTTTTTACGACCATTAAAAATGAAGCTAACAGGACCTCCATTAGAAGAAAACTTTGATTTATCCATTCAACTCATTATAGCTCGAAAAGCACATTGCTTACATTAGTCCATCAGTTGATTCAAAAAATAAATTGATTGAAATTGACCACTAAATGCAATCCAGCATGTTTTGAACGACACCAAGAAACTTTCTTAGTACTTCTCGCCAATTTGAAGGGGGCTGTCAATCGAATGATCCTTATTGGTGCAACGAATACGTGAATATCTACCTTAACGCTGCCACTACTTACAACTCTGTGCCCAGACAGGCAAGACCAAATCTTTTTCTCTTTTCGAGGTTGTTTCCATTTTCAGCAAGCTTGTAGAGACTTGGTCAGCTCACTCACTGAAAGCTACAATGGTTGCTGCAATACCGTTCGAGGTGCCGGCTGCCAAATCTAGAAAAATAATATTTGTATATTTTTCCCATACCGGTTATGTAATAAAAGTCACAAACTTATGATAAAGTTAAAAAATGGAAAAAAAATTGATTTTTTAAAATTTTTATGAAGTATTAAAAATAAAAGTAGTTGACAAAGAAGGTTGTTTTACTTTGCCGTTATGGGTTCTCTATAAACCTTCCAGAACCCATCTTCATGTACTAGATGAAAGGTTATACAAATTGAAATGTACAGATTTGTTGCGATTTTATTTTTAAGCCTTGAACTTCGAAACGACATATAAATCACACGTTCAAAGCTGTTATTTTTTATGTAATACGCTTGAGTTTGAACCGGATAAAAAAGTCTGACGGATTGAAAACTGGGTAATCGAAAAACTTCCTCCGATTCATGATCTTCTATACAATGAAGCTTGACAATGGAAAAAAGAAAATTTCATATTCAGCTTCGAACTCCGATCGAAAGCATTCATGCATCAGTCAAGTGCTTGACGCTGGTGGGATTCAGTTTAACTACCATTGTTGCACAAAATCCAGTCGATTTACTTTTTTTTCTATTTTTTCAACAAAAAAAATTTTTTCGAGCGAGAAGACTATGAGGTTTGGTTCGGCTCTTAGTTCAAAAAAATTTAAATTCATCGAAAAAAGTTTTTCTACATACTTTATCAATTGGCTAATCACTGAATAAAAATGAAATAATCAATGTATACTTTGGGATGTCATTCTTAAGTCTCGGCTCAAGAATACGGAGCCATCTGAAAAATATATCCAACAAAAAGTAATTCCAATTTTTTTTATAACTCACGCTGAAAATCAGCCTAAAAGCTATAGAATATATCTTAAAATTCCTTGGAAGTCTCCCCATTTACGTATCCCATCCCGTTTTTTTTTGTTTCCAACTTACCTGCTGCATTCCACGCAGATCTATAAATATCATACAAGATAACTACGACCTTAATATTTCTCGCTGGGAACTGAAGAGATGTGAGACGACATGTTCAAAGCGAGGGAATCCACTCGACTGAAATAGCTATTCTTTTCCGAAGTGGCCTAGATTAAGCCCAGACGTTTTGCTTAGGAAACATCTCAATCGCAACTGAAAGGACGCAACACCGCCGGCGGAAGCTTACGCAGGACGGAAGGCTACGCAGCGAGACAAATTACCCGAGCGATTAAGCGGCCTCGCGAACAAAGAAGGCTTGGCAGCTTGCCAGGACAGTTGTCCGGCAACGCGTTCGCCGTGTTACGCAAGTGTCGGTTCTGCACTGAGTTCCTCCTCGCTCCGAACTCCCCGATCTCAGGTACCGACATCGCAATGGAAGTATCAGGTATCTTCACGCTCCAGTCAAAGTTTAGGTTATATAAGGATTTTCTTTCAAATTTTTCAAGTTCATTCCTTCTCAAAAAAGCCTGTCAAAGTTTTTCGGTTGGGTGGTATGTTTTCGAAGCTGCAGGTGTTTATTAAAACAGAAAAGGTTATAAAAGACCTCATTCGATTTTACTTTGTTTCTTCCGGGTTTTCGAATTGCAAAAAAAGTTTTTGAGCGATAAAAAACTTTTTTCCTGTGGCATACAAAGAAAGTTTCCAGCTCAGAATGATTTTCTAACAAAATGGAGGAAATCGATTTTTCTGATGAAACTCTACCTTGAGAAAAAAATTTCTCTTGGAAAGCGTAGTAAAAATAAAGAAGACTCCTATATAAAGCGTACAGGCTTTTTGGGAGATTCAAAGATTCTTTTTTTGCGAATGACTTTTTGTTTGCACCCACACCGTCTTCTCATTGATTTGCAGAATCAGCGAATGTCATAAATGCTAATAAAAAGTGAATGGATTGTATGTCGATGAAAAAAGATATTTGACTTTTGCCCCGAGGCTGCTGAAGCATGCGAAATGCGCGGTTCATTTGCGTTGGTGGTCGCGTTTCGACTGTAGACCGATCTTCCATTCTCTTCTATTTGTCGCTCATTCGCGCATCCTTTCGTATTCCATCCACATTGAGATCTCAAAGAACTTTTTCCTTTGCTTTCTTTTTTGGCTTCCGGCAAAACACGTGGCGGCCTTTTATTGCGGTTCATCGGCCACAGGCGGAGCTTTACGAGCCCGAAAATCTGTGGAAAAATTTTTCTCGTGCTGATCGCTTGCAAATGTTCGGCATTCAGCAATGCTTTTGTTGCGTTCATTGGCATTTTTCAGAACTTCTCGAACAAAAAATCACAACTTACCTGAATATGATATTTTTTATTTTGACTCAAACTCTTTTTGAAGTAAAAAATTGAAAATGTAACCTGAAACATTATTTTGTGCATGAGTCTTCAAGTTCATCAAGTAACCTGAAGTCGAAAATCATCTAGAAACCTGAATCAAAAAAAATAACTATGACTGATCAGCAAGTTCAGCAAAATGATTGCTGGTTGTCAAATTTTGAGTGGCTTCCCGCTTTTTTCTTTGTGTCCAAAAGTTTAAGAGCGAATTTATTGAGCTCAAAGGCGTAAATTTGCTTTTTTTTTGATTTTTTTCATTCAATCTTACAGCTGTCTTTCAGCCTAACTTTGTAAATAGGAGTGAAGTTTTTCTCTAGTTTTTGAATTATTTCTAAATTTTTGGAACAATTGGAAGTTGAAATTTGAAAAAAAGGCTCTATTGAAATTTTTCCATAATTTTAAATGTTTTTTTCCGAAACAAGAACTTATTTTTTTCGAAAAAAACTCACTCGAGTTCAAGTTTCCTTTTCAAATAAGATGGGCAACATTGAGAGCTATCCACTGTTACATGGCCATAGAATACTCACAAAAAATTTCGTTTCTCGAACTTGTTCATGAGGTGATTTTGGAGAAAAACAAAGATTAATTTTGAGCGTGTCTATTACCAAAAATAGTTTACGTGGGATGCTAGCATTTCGCACACAATAATGTGTGTTTGCACATTTCGATCGGCGGAAAATTCAGAGAGAAGGCACGTTTTTCATGGGCTTCTCGACCTTGGGCATGAATTCCCTCTCATTTATTTGCGAAATGAGTCAAGACCTTTCGCAGATGATTGAGTTGAGCAACGGCTGAGTTCATTTGATTATTTCGGCTTGAATTGGTGTTTTTCTTTTTCTCAATAAATAAATCTCAATTTGGGTCAATCATCTAGATCAATCTCATCGAACACTTGAATTTCTAGAGTTGGCGCTATTCAACGGATAAAAACCAGCAGACCAACACCATGCTGTTTTTAAATTCACATCAAAAAACTCGGGATTTTCGTCCAACTTCTCCGGAAATCTACAAAATCTGAGAATAAGTAGAGAAGCCTGAGGAAAAAAAACTTTCTTGTTATTGAAAGGATAATAAAGCACTGAATTTATCTGTGAGTCCGAAAATTCGAAACTTTTTCTAGGAACTTCCTGGTTCAATTCAATCTAAATTACTTTTTTTGAAAACCTGTTCAACCATCTAAAAGAGACATTGATGACTCACAGTGTTCAAAAAAGCGCGGCGTTTGTGTCGTATTTTGGATTGGCAAATATCCGGGAGTTTTTATATCAATGCTCTCTATTATTGTATCCGTTATCTGATTGAGAGTTCTCTCAAAGTTCCTTTTTTGTCAATCATCTTCGAAGTCGGGCGGTTTGTTCATTTTATCTGAGGCTCTATTGATTGCTAGAATAAAATTCTAACAGCTCTCTTTTCATGGGAAGAAAAGGAACTGTTAAAAATTTAGCGTTCGTCTGTCAGTCATATCTTCACTCCTGTGCTCTTTTTTCTCGAAGTGAGAGTATAATTTTTCGTTTCCTCTTTTGCAACTCTCGCGTCAATGTTTCAGTGAAGCTCTGTGTAATAAAGCCGCCCGGAAGTATATTGTTTACTTCTGGTTTACAACTTTCTCTTTTTTTCTTGAATTTTGGTTCTTTTCAGTTTTTCTTTATTGCGGTGTTAAATTTAAAAATGGTCGTGTGGGCTATGACAAATAGCTTGTAAGCGTGAGAATGTGGTTTTGTGTCAGTTACCTGAAGGATATAAAACTGGAATCTATTAAGAAAACTTTTTGTGCGACTTTTATTTTTATTTTTCAAATAAGTTTTCAAACAGTCCATTCTTCACAGAACTCGTGGAAGAACATGTTATTTTTAGAAGAATACACAGTTTTTTTACTGTTTCTCATAAATATTGTTGGGAACAGTGTGATTTCGAGGTACCTGATGTCATTTTGTTTATTTTGCGGGCCTTCGGCAAAAAAAAATTGGCGTGTTCAAACGGGTTCACACACGAAGCGCAACAATACATCGCAATTATAGTATTTTGAGTACCTTCGAAGGTAAATATCCAAAGAAATTGGAACGTGAGGTCCGATCGAATTTTTTCTTCTTTTTGTTTTGTTCTAAACCAGGACTTCAAGTTTTTATACGATCTCAAGTCAGGATCCCTTTTTCTTTAAGGAAAGTTTTATTTTTTTTCGAAGAAATTCGGAACGATTTTTGGTTTGACCTGTTATCTGCGTTTTCCCCTACAACAAGAAATCCATTGTTTTTCGGGCGACGTTCAATTTTTCGGAAAATTGTTTTTGCGTCGTTTTCACCAAACGGCATCGAAATGGCTCGAAAAATGGGTCCAGAATGAGGCGAAGAAGACGAATGATCAAATGTCGCGAGAGAATAGCCTCGGAGCAAAACGCGGAAAACTTTTTGGTCTCCCATCTCCGATTGCCGGATGCTTTTTCTCGTTTTCTTCGGACGATAGTTATCTAATCCAATGGTCGGCTTTTTTTTTGTTGGGACTGCACTAGATTTTGTAGGACAAAATCTTTGCCCTCTTTTCTCCCTAAGATTCTGCTTTGCCCGCTGTGCTGAATAATACTCCAAATTATTCACCACGTTTGAGAATGTTATGTTATCTCCGGAGGTTTTTTTTTTTAATCCACAAAAGGGAAAAAAAACCTTTTGAATAAAATAACACTTGTCTGGGTCCTTTAAAAAAATTCAATTGAGTTGTATCAATTGTTATTTCATTGTTGGAGATTTCTCAAGTACGATTCAGTTTTTTTTTCAAAATGTTTTTGGAGAACCATGTCTCAAATTTCAAAAATTACACCTAAAAGAACCATTAATTGTACTATATTATTTTTATATGGCAAGAATAAACCTGTTTGATATGTGATATATTTTCCAATGGCTTTACCTTTCTACTTTTACAAGCTCTTTTCAAACAGACTTTTTCTTTTCCGCAGAAACTCTAGAAAAATTTGTCATGCCTTTTGACCTTTTTTGTTTTCTCAATTATTTGCTCGTCACTATCAACCTTCACTCTTTGTAGCTTTTGTGATCATCTACTTTCTTGAGATAACACTCGCCAGAGTCATAACCCCGGTTTATGTGGCTACATGCGTGTGCTACCCACTCATTTACTATTTGCCCGATCGTCGGTGAACTTTTCTTTTTGTTCGTATTCATCCAAACACTGCCGCCACAGCGTTTTTTATTTCAAAAACATTAAATCAAAAAAGTTCAGGTTGGATAAACATTTTTTGCCGTCTGCGATTATTCAAGATGTTGGAAGTAGAGCCGCTCAACGTCGAGTGTAAGCTCTCGGTACTTGAAGCTCAATTGGCTCATTCAAATGACAAAGTTCGTCGTGTTTTTGTTCTGATACAACTGATAAAAAGGTCACTTCGGCGTTAAATGTGGAATTCCTTATATCTTCAACCATAATTATATGTATATCCAGATAAAACTCTTTCCTATGTAGTTTTTATAAGTTTCCTGAAGAATACTCTGAAGGTTAAGAGTCGTTATAGCCGCTACTTACTTCAAAAAACAACTGAACCGAATTTCAAAAAAAGTTGCAAGTTTACCAACATAATCCCATTAACAATGAAAAACTTCGAAGTCTCTAAACCAACTTTTGAATAGCTTGTGAAGTTCAAAATTTTCAAGATATCTTTGGCAAACCTTCAATAATATAAGAAAATAATTGAAAATTTTTAACATGCTTCTGAAATAATTTGCACTATGATTGGTAATTTGAGAAACGAAAAATAATTTCAGATTGCCATGCGCGAAAACGTTATTATGCAACTGGAAGAGGAAATCAAAACTAAAGAACGTTTGATCTACGAGCAAAGCCACCTTATCAGTATTTTGGAGAACGAAGTTCCTGAGTCCAAATATGACACAGTGAGGAAATTTTTAACATTTTTGAGCTGAGTTTCAAATAAATTTCGTAGTAATTGGTCTCGTGTAAAATATTGTTCCGGTTTTCAAAAGCGTCGCAAGACGACTCGCACCGAAGGACATCTGAAAATATTGAAAGCTCTTAAATGGAATGAAAAGCACAATATCAAACTGTACTCTCTAAGTCATTGCAAGAAGATCATGACGTTTTTTGTCAGGAAATCTTTTTTTTTAATAAAAGTTTTTTAAGGATTCAATCGGAAGTGAGAGTGAAATCACAATAATTGAACGAGAAGTTGCGTCAAGCAGCTCAACCTCGCCCTGCGCTTCTGAGAAAAGCTCGAGCAGCTCTGGAAGGAGCGATGATCGGCCTTGTGTAGATGACTGTCTCAGACATTGTCGATGCAGAGGACGACTAGAGCAGGTGAAATTTCATAATTTTTGGCTTGCCTCATTTAACTTTTTTTTTGCGAAACTTCTTTGATAAGTGACTCAGATGTAATCTGTTCGAAAAAGTTTTATCGTTCTGTGCTTTGTGATTTTAACTTTACGGCTCTTTGAACACACAAAGTTCAAATGAACGCAACTTTTTCGACACGTCAATGAAAACGTCTGACGTTGTTGGTAACCAATCAACGGAACAACCGTAGAAAAGTAACTAAATATATAAAAAAATTTCGAGGCATTGCTGGACCGGGAACGGCTTGAACTGCAAAACGAACAGCTGCTGAAACAATGGGAAGAAGCGTTGGAATACGTTTCCAGTGTAATAACTTGAATAACTATTCACAAATAACATTGAAGATTGAAGGTTCAACGACAACTGCAGGAGGAACTCAAGAGAAACACGAAACACTACATATTTGATCCCGAGATAGATCAAGAAAGCATTGTCATGTCGAAATGTTTCCTCAAGTTCATTTCCGTCTGCGCTGTCCTCATAGCCTTTTATTTATACAGTATTTGATACGGTTAATGTTGGGTGTACAAAAAGTTAATTCAATAGAATGAAAAGTAAATAAAAAATAGCTCTGTATGCCTAATCTTTAATTTTTCTTAGATACAATTTAGAAGTAAAAATTTTTTTGCGGGTTTTCAAATATTTTCTTTAATAAAATCGAAAGTCAGAAAAAAAGGTCTCTAATTCATGCTCTGAATAGAGCAGTAAATTATATACTTGCAATTATTTGTAAGTTTATAAGAGTGATTTCAAAAGCAGCGGAAGATTGAAAAACCAGAACTGAAATTCTTATTTATTCAATGCAATTGTGAAGGTTGTTCCGAATTCTTCTTGTTAGAAAAGTGACTGGTAACATTAATCTTCACATGCGGCTCACAAAACCTCTTGTTCGTAAAACAATGCAGCCAACTGACACTGACGATGATCAACGCGAGAGATGAAAGATAAATGAAGATGTGTTATGAACAAATATCCCCACAACGAGTGCTTTAACAAGGCCCACCCTTGAAATGCTCACAAACGAGTCCTCTTTGGTTTTTAAATTTTTATTGTTTCTATTTTTTTATATTTTTTTGATTCAGTTTCTTAATCTTGTAGGCTCTCATATTTCAAATAAAGTTTTCATGATTACAAAGTTCAAGGAATCAAGAAGAAAGTGAAGGCGGAGAAAAGGAGAGCTCTTCGCTTGAAATCTAATACAGGTGAAGAAATTTCCTTTCTACAAAGCAAAACTCTCTTTCAGGTTTTTTTGAATTTTCCCTCTCTCAAAATTTGGGAATCGTATCAGTAAACACTAACAAAATTAAGCAGGAAATATATTTTTATAACCGGAAAAATCAATTTTTAATGTCTTTTTTTATTAGAGTTGTTAAAATATAAATTTGAATGAAAAGCATTTGCAATATGATTTTTTTCAAAAAAATTCGTAACTGCTTCTCAGAAGCTTGAAAAATTTTTTTGGCATCGAAGGTTGAGTAATTCAAGTTTTTAATCTTTCTTCTTTCAATTGATATTTCATGTTATATGAATTATGCTAGTTTTCATTTTCATTAATTTCGTGCTAACTTTTTTTGATTTTCTTTCAGTTTTTTGGCTTTTTCTAACATTTCTTTAGCTACAATTGAAAATCCCACTAATGACTGATTATTATTGTAATTTGTAAGACTGATTATTATTTTTAATCTTTCAAAGTATTAGGTCTAATGGTTATAACATAAGATACAGAGCCCACTTCATTTGTATGGAAATTTTATCCGCTCTTTCGCTTGCGGCAAAACAAGCTGTCTCATAAATACTCAGGAAAGATTCTTGGCTTAAGTGTCATTTTGACTCATATTTTTTCTAGTTCAGTTTCCTAAAACGTTCAGAATTGTACCCACAATTAGTGTTCGTATTGATATGAGTAAAAAGTTCACTTCTTCAAATTTTCATTTTCTATCCTATTCAAGACTAAGCGTTACGGGAACCAAGAATACCTACTAATGAGCTTTTCAGGAACAAAAAAGCCGGGGATGAGAAAATAGCTGTCACCAAAGAAACCGCCAGAATTCGTCTCGAATGGAAGACAATTCGTCGCGTGGATTTCAATCCTCGCCCGGAATTGAGTAAGTCCCCACCATTCCATCTTCCAAAAACCCTCGCTGTCAGTTTCGTTTCGCAAATTCAACATTTTTTTAGCGCTCGTGTTTCCTGCTCAAAATTCCATTACTCACGTACCTCTCTTTTTTGACTGATATACTTTCAAAAGGTGGACTTTCAAATTAACTTTGGCCGTTTTTTTTTTTAGAAAAAACTGAACTTTTCGAAAAATTTCTATCATTGAATGTGGAAAGTTATTTTTCTGTAGGCTTTCATCCCTTGTTGATCAAAAAAAAATAACAAAAAAAACAACGACCGGACCCGGCACATACAAAAATTTTTCGAAAACTTTCTCGGAAGCTTTGCTCATTCCGGGTGTTGGAGAAACACTGGCGCAGGAATTTTGGGTACTGAGTTTTCTCAAAACAGAGCCGTCGCAAATGTCTTAATCGGGTCAGGCACGTGCAAGAAATCCAGAGAGTCCATTCCCTTTCGCTGCTTCTTGCAAACGATCTTCTTTCAACGGCGGTGGCGCCTAAATTATTGCATCCTAAGAAATTTTCCAATCATCCATGCTATTTTTTTTTATATACAACGGGTGATGCGATATCATTGGAAAAGCGAGAGAAAACTTTCTCAACTTTGGTTTCGTCACAGAAACTTTTCCTCAAACGCTTTCGCGCCTGCACATCTGAAATGTCGGGGTTATTCTGGATATTTTTGAGAAAATTTGAGAAACACAGACGAAAATTGAGTGCACGAAAGATTGCGGAATGGGACAAGCGTACTCTCTAATCGAGCTCCACTTTGGCAGGCGCCCTGCCAGAAGTCTTCTCAACCGTGGCGTCGTGAAAGCCCTCCAAATGGAGCCCTAATCCGTCTTTACAGTGATATCTTTTCCTTGAAAGCTTCTTTTTTGATCCTGTTCCTTTTGGTAGCCGACCAAGTGACCCATGTGTTGTTTTTGCGGCTTCAAATTAATTTGTACTTGGGCATCCTCGTCGTTTTCGAGATTTGTGAGGAGAACTTCCTTTCAACTTCAAGTGTAGTTCTACTTTGGCTTCTATTTTCAGTGGTTTGAACTTTTCTAAATATCAAAGTTAATGACCTTTTAAAGTATATTCGTCACTGATAGTAGTTTGTAGTCCTACGTTTCCTTGATTTTTTTATTTTTATAGCAAAAACTTCAAAAAAAGCAAACATGAAAGAAAAAGGTTGTATGAACTTATGCTGAGAAATTTTTTGCTTTTGGAGATTGGATTAATGTAAACAAGGATCGTGCGGCACGTCGAGAATTCGACGTCGTCGCGCCGCTTTTCGCCTCTTGTTTCTTTTCGCCACAACCTCTTTTTTTCACTTGCTTCTATTGAGTTCACTCGCTCTGAGTTTTCTGCCGCCACAATTCAAGGCGTTTCCTTCTGGAAGTTCAAATTGGTAGTTACTCATGTGCTCCTATGCAGACATTTTTTTTAAAGAATAATGGCACCTTTACTTGAAAGTTTCTCATCAAAATGAGCCTATAAAGACATCGAACTGAAATTTCAAAAGTTAAACGAAACGCTGATCTGAGGAATTTTTTCTCACTTTGAAGTTTAAATCTTTTGGAAAATTAGGTGAAATACGTTTTTTCTGTGTTGGAATTATAAGTTTCCAAAAAAAGCGTTAAGCACAGGTCTGCAATTATTGCTATGAACTTGATGAATTCGATTTATTCCTTGTCCCGGAAAAATGCAACTTGTGGAGATTATATATATTGTAATGTACTTGAGCACAATTGCTTCATCCTCAAAGAAAAAAAAAAGATTTTCTTCGTAGAAAAAGGTTACTTTGAGAAAATGAAATCTCTTTCGAAGCTCCCACTTTCAAAAGAGCTATGTTTTCATTGGTTTGAAACATCGATCTCCTTCCTACAGTTCACATAACAATTAATACACTTCCCGCATTTCTTTACACAAGAGAGCTGAGAAAATGTCTGCCCCGAGATTTTCATCGTATCCGAATTGCTCCGAAATTGAGACGCGAGCGTGTAAAGGACACATAGGCGCACTGGATTCGAGCTTGAATTTTTCTCTCTTTTCAACCAAACATTTTTCTTTTGTTCTTCTTTGTTTTTGCTCTTGCCGACCACTGTAGTGAGTTGTGTCCAATCGAGAAAATGCAGAAAACTCGGACGTTGCACATCTTTTGATGCGTGTTTGAGTATTCCGTGGCTGCGCCTCACACACTCGGCATATTAAAATCAAATGCCCGCCATTCATAAATTGTTCGTTCTCTTTTTTTTCGAATTGGCGATGAATGAAAATTTCTTCCAAGGTTGAGAAACTCCATATTTAATTTTGTTTTTTTCCTTAATTGAAGCCTTGAGAGATTAACTTTTCAAAGTTATAGGCGATTGCAAAAAGGGCTTTTTCGGAAATTCTCGGAAAATCATGCCATGATGCTCGATACTCGCGAGATATTCATACATTCCAAAGCTTTGTATTATATTGTAGCGTGCCGAAACTTTTTTCTTGATCCTTCATGAAATCTGAGTATTCGATTCGACAGTAATTATTAGAAAAGTTCCTGTAGACGTTCAAAGAGCTCAAGAAAATCTTTATAAAGTTCCAGAGTTTTAATTGAATTGATCTCTTAGAAACTGACTATGCATGCGCATGATAATAAGAGATTTTTTTCTTGAAGAAGAGAGGTTCCGTTTTTGATGAAGTGGAATTTTTAGATCTTTGTCCAATTATTTTTTTTTTGAACAACTGTCATTTTGTGTTGTTAACGATTACTCAAACGTAGGAAGCAAAGGAACAAAATAAGTTTGGCAGAGTTGTTTTGCTTTTTACAAGCCGTGGACAGGGAGAGGAAAACAAGCCGGAAAGCTAGAAGAAGTAGAAAAAGAAAGTGCCGGGGGCTTCTACACCTAATTTTGTTCATTATTGCTTCGTTTAATGACCAACTCGTGATGAGTTGCAAGTGTCCGTCTGAGGGTGGCAGCTAGTATGAAAAAAAAACGCAACAGAGCACGCAGAGAATATTGGCCTTTCGTGCAACTTGTTGACGATTTTTCAACAGTTGAGTACATCCTTAGTTTCTTATTACCTCTTTATTGAAACTCGCTCCGATGGATGTTTCGTAGGCTTTTTTCTTTGAGAAATGGAAGACCCCGAAGTTCGGTTCTTTTTTTCTCATCGAATTTATTCACCTCTGGCTTAATAAAAATTTTTTTCATGAAAATATTTTTAGCAATAAACTAAGAGGTATAGACGTTTTTGGTATTTGTATCCAAGCTGCTAGTAAATGAACTTCGATCTTTATTTCTCCAAATCAAGGTGAAATCATAATTTTTCTATTTTTTTATAATTTCCATTCACCTTGATTGATTCAAAAATAAAAAAATTCATGGCCAACTTAGTAAGAGGCTCAAATGTCTGCATCATTATTTTTCTTGTTTTTCATGCGGAAAAGCGCAAACTGAGTTTTTTTCCAAGCTTTTTTTGGCAGATATAAAAACAAAAAAATTTAAATTTATCTTCTTTTTTTGGTGAGCTTTTCGAAAAAAAAATGTTCGAGAAGTTTTTTTTGGTTTTGATAATAACCATTATTTGGCTGTCCGCACTCGGATAAAAATACAGCGTGATTCAGCAAGTGTAAGTGAAAATAATTGCCTTTGTTACTTTGAAGATTCTGTTTTTGTTTGCAAGAACACTTTGGACTTGACACTAGTACATGTAGAGCGATGGAAATGAAAACCTATGATTTTAAACTCGGAATCATGGAATAAAAGAAGATATATCATTTTCTCAGTGTTGTGCACGTTTGAAACCGTGAAGTGTTCGATGTCAAACCATTATTCACGTCTTTCCCATTTCATTCGTTGCATCACCGGCATTTTATCATCCGAAAAGAAAAATCTGAACGTTTCGCTCTTTTTGCTGCCGTTAGTTGGTTCCCGGTGGGAGGATGTCTTAAATCACCCGTTCACATGTGACCATAGGCTGTGCAACGCCTTGCGCAAGATTTTTTCGACTTTTATCCTCGAATCGGGAGCATTCGTACTGCCTTTAAACTCTTCATTCATTCTCAGAAAAGCCCAAGCGTTTTTTTCAATTAGTTTATGTTTGATCTTGTAAGTGACGTGAACGCTCTTGCCATTACACTGCTCGACGCAATTTTCTGTGCAGAAATTAGCGGCGTTTTATTATTATTTCAGAAGCTTTGCTGGCAAAGTTTGACTGGAAAATCAGATTTTCCATGTAGAAGGTTTCAACTTCAAGCAATAGATTTTTTACGATCCAATTACACCAATTGCTGAGTGTGGCAAAACAGCTGTTACAATGTTAATCGAGCACATTTAACCGAATTTTCTCGTACTTTTCCACAGGTGCTTTTTTTCCTCTCACTTCGAGTTTTTTTCATTCTCATGTAAATGGCCATTTTTTTTGGAATATGTAAAACACTTTGAGTATTTCATCGTAGTTTTTAGTATTTGATTTTTTGTAAAGAAATTTCGTGAAAAGAAAATGATTTTCAATTTTTGAAGCTTTCAAATTTCGCTTCGGGTTCCAAAAAAAATTCAGTTGCAAGATGAACCTTCTAAAAGTGTTCAAAAAAATTTTTAGAAAAATTACCAAGCAGAATGAAACTGGTAAATCTCCTTCTAGAATAAGATTTTTTTGAACATAGCCAGACAATTTCAAAAGTTCAGAAGGCAGCTGTTTGTATTGTGTGCACCCTAACTCTTCGTTTCACTAGTTGATACTTTTTTCATAGTTAAATTTTGAATTTTTACTTAGCTACTCTGTTCACGCTGGCACGTGTAGTTCATTAAGCGCGGTTCGCGGCAGATTTGTCCAGTCCGTCCGCTCGTCTTAGTTTTCTTTTTCATCCTTATTTTCCGCTTGCTTGCTTTGCGTGGGAGTCAGTGCCGCCAGGAAAGAGTATATCCGAAACCAGAAAGGATCTCTAAGCTTCAGAACCAATATTCTTTCGTCTTTTCATTTTCTACTGTTGCAAGGTGCTCATTGTTCAGTTGTGTTCAGAAATTCTCGTTTCTGTGCTTTTCCAGAAAAGTTTCGATGAATTTCGCTCTATTTCTACCGCATACTTGTGCCACTCTTCGAAAGCCGTTTCTCGATAGAAAAAATTTCCATCATCTCTATAAGCATGTTTCAAGAAATTTTGCGACTCAAGAACAAAACGGCTTGTATATGGCTAGACATATGGAAAAAAACTTAAGACCCCATCTTTTACTTTATTAAATTCTCAAAAGCCTTTTCGTCTAGTTAACTTCGTTAGAATTCTTTTTTTTTCCGGATTGGTGGCAAATGGAGTTTTGGTAATGAGATTCAAAAAGAGACGTTCAAAAATCGTCTTCCTGAACAAAACTTAAATTTTTAACGAGGAAAAACCTTTTTGGCTTTCGAGAGTCGTGTTCCGCACTTTTTGCAAATTTGAAACACTACCTGTTACTGACAGATTCTTCACATCAAACTCTCAATTTTGAGGAAGTTGAAAATAAAAATAAAAGCGTGACAGAGACACTTTTGCAGCCTTCTAACCCGAAGCGGCTCATTCAGCAGTTGGAACGACCGCCAAAAAGAGAACATCTTTTGAGGGCTCTCATATTCTCATCTCTTGCAATTCGGCTGGCTTTTTTTTCAGAACGGCATATATCAGTCCACCAATTTTCCAATTTCGCCACGCACAGGGCTTGTTGTCTCTCTTAAATTCTTTGTTTGAACGGCGAAAAAAAGTTGTGAAAATGGCTCTATTTCGAAGCGGGGAACTTATTCGAGAAGTTCTGATAGAGTTAAAAGTTTGAAACGATTTGTTTTTTGCTTTCTTACGTTTGTTATATACTTTTTGGAAGAGAAAGAAGATGTTTCAGTGAATGTCATCCGATGCCTTGTGTTCCAACTCCTGAGCAACGGTCTCCCAATGCGTCTTTCAACCCATCGCATGCACAGTACGCCTGCTGCTTCCAGCAACTGCATTCTAACGTTTGTTGCCTTTTCTCATCTTTTCATTTGAAACACATACTTTGAAAAGCGCTGTTCAAACATATTTATCGAAAAGCCCGGAAAGCAGATGTTCGCTGAATGTCGACTTGAATATTTCCTTCTGATTCTTCTTTGAAGCCTTCAAAACATCTGCACCGGTAAACGTGCTGTTCGTCCTTCAGAAGCTCGTTCAAATGTCGAATGTAGCGAATAGCTAACCTTAGAGTATCCACTTTTGAAATCCTTTTTCTCACTGCAAAAAAATAATATACAAAACTTAACTTTTTTTGCAAAACCTGTCAGCAATCGGTAAGTGGTTCCGCAAACTATCGTAACCTTCATTCACACATCGAACTCGACATCTTTCCCGCTCGTTTCTTTTTCCAAACCGAAGTACTACAAAAAAATTAAAAAAATATATTTTTAAGAAAAACGCGTGATGGAAATTACCTGTATGGTCCATACTGATCATCAAGTTGAAATGGCAAAGGTACCGAAGCTTCAGGGTCAAATGGGTCGATTATCTTCTTTTTTGATTGTCTTTGCAATTCGAAAAGGTTTTGGCAGCTTTCCCTCTGCTCTTCCGTTGATTCTGTAATGCTTTTGTGTTTGAAACTCTAGAATGACTAGACTTGGAAGACATTAACTTTATTACAACTGGGTATCGGACAGACGTCAATTTTCATCTCCTTTTAGATGATGATTTATGGAAATAGAGCGCATAAATACTGCTAGAAACTTTGAACTTAAAATGATTTACCGGGAAGAGCAAACGAGTTGGAATTCTTAGCCTTGAAGATAAAGGCTTTTTAAGATTATTGCACTATAAGGATTCTCATGAATAGTGTCTGGAACTCTCAAATAATATTCTTGAATAATAATTTCTATGAAGACTGAGATTGCCAAAAGCGTGATCCAGATCAAAAACTTTCAGAATATGAACTCACGAATGAGGTAGCATGTTGTAGGAATAGTAATTTGCAAGGAGTTAGGCACGGTAGTTGTGTAGAACCCGTCGAGTTTTGCGGATTCGGACAACATGGAAAAGGAATAAGAGGAAAAGCAGCCGTTTCCAATGAAGCGTCGACACTCGTCTGATTTGGCTGACTGTGCGATTCATATTTTTTGGGGGCTCATCGTTTACCAGAGTCACCTGCTGGGCAAACAGACCACGAGCTTTGCGGCAGCCGCAGCCGCATGGATCCGTTGCGGATTGTTTGCGTCCGGCAGTGACAATAACAGTACCGTTGCGCTGGCGGTCAATCGCTCTTCAACATTTTATTTACAAATAATTGGCAAGAGTTTGTTTTTTGATTACCATAATTTCGAGCCACCGTATAGGAAGGGTTTAGAAAAAAGTTTTTTTTTTGGATGATTCAGATTTTCTTTATACGAAAAGAAAACTATCAAAATAAGAATATAATCATCCCAGAATGCAATTCAAGCACAATTTTTTGCATCCGACTTTTTTGAGAAAGACTGGATTCAAACTAACAGGACTTTTGAATCTCACATTCAATCTAAAAAAAATGCCAACAGATGTCTGTAAAAAAGTCTTTTCCTCTCAAAACCTCATTGTTTTTCGAATCGAAATCAAGATTATTTTGACAATATGAATAAAGGCTCAACCTATGCCATCGGCCCTTGGAAAGCCGGCACCGTACTTCTTCCTACGACCTCTCTTGTACCTGATGTTCTACGAGTGAAATTCACAATTTTTCTGCCTAAGCCACAGCTCCTGCCGCCGTTTAAACACAGTTAAACCAATGAAAGTCGATTGCACATTTCACTGTTCATTACATTGAAGATGCAATAAACAGTGAAGCAGTAAAACAGAATAGAGGCCAAGGACGCGTAAATACATTTTTCTTAACTAACTAAAAAAAAAAGATTTTTAGGTGAATAACTAATTCAAAGAAGGTTCCAGACTGGAGCGATAATCATCGCGGGATTCCACATCCTGCTATGCGGAAGCATCTTCCCGTGGCTCATCCGGAGCCTCTCCACAGACAAATCTCGCGTGGAGACGGTCGCCGAGTTGATGCTCACTTCGCTGTGTCTCATCGCTTCGATCGTGCTCATAGTCGGACTTCGGCTCGAGAGTCGTCGTCTCCTCACCGGGTATATCCTAGCTCAAGTGAGTTTTCTTTTTCATTTTTCCTCTCCTAACACTCTATTTCTAAAAATTTTGTTTTTACAAGTCATTTTGGTTATTCAAATTTAAACTTGACCATTTTAAAGAACTTGACTGAAATCTAATTGACGCGAATTTTTGCTTTACAGTAGAAGATACAAACAAACGGGGTTTAGGTACCAACTTCCTTGTAAAGTATTTAATATTTCTGAAACTTTCTGGAGTTTTGATTACTGTTATAGTTAACACTCTGATGAAGTTTGAGTTAACAAAAAAAAACGCAGCTTCCGAAACTTTCAAAAAGCTTGCAATTCTTTTAAGAAAATTGTGACCGAAATCGTTTTTATTTTTGTTTCTTTTCTGACGTTACTTGATTGAAAATTGATTCAAAAAAATGCAGTTGAAAAACGTTTTTAATGGTTTTTCCAGAAGTTTGTTCAACGTGTATGTTTTATGAGAAAATGAAATTGATTTTTTTATTCAGTTATATATATTCTTTTTTTGAAACGAAAAAAACTTTTCTTCATAAAGAAACAGTCAGTTTTCAGGTTGTCGTAATTGCTTTGCTGTTCATATTGTTTCTGGCTCTAATAATGGGCATCAAGCCTGGAATCCTTGACGATCCGGACCAGAATGGCTATAACTCATTAGGTACTTTCCCCTTCAATTTTTTGATATTAATAATATCGAGGTTATTGCAGAAGAAGAAATGTTGATAGTAGTGGAGATTTTCACGTCGTTGGCAGTGGTTTCATTGGAAGTTTGGTTTTTGACAGTCGTGCTCAAGTCTTTCCGTTTCGTCACGGACAAGTATCACTACACTGGCGTCGATAGAGAAGAAGTCCTTTGAGCTTTTTTTTTTATTAAATTCCTTCATTAAATTTTGACGGGCAATTTTCAAATATCATTTTATTTTGCTGAGTAGTTGCTTCATAGTTCTACTTTGAAAACCTTATGAATTTTTCATTAAACTTCCGAATAGATTGTTCCGTTTTTTAAACCCGAGTCTGAACTCGCCATTATTTACCGCAAAGTATATTTTTTGAGAGGTTGTTATTTTAACTTTTTTCTATTCGGTCTTCACACTGCGTTCTTCATGACTCGGAAAGCCATGGTTACGTTCGTGGGGCGGTTTCCAGTTTTCTTCTCGGCGCAAGGGCGTTGACTTTTTTGAACTTTCGCTTTGATTTCGTTCGCTTTGTTTTCCAGAGATTACGCTTGTGTTCGATATCCAACTAGTGAGAGTAGAAAATTTGTACGTAGGGGAACCGCTTCTCAACCTCAAAAGTCCCAAAATAGCGTAATATACCATTCCAAGCGTTTGTAAACGCGGTTGACAATATTTTAAGTTTTTTCACAGATATAAAATAGAATCCTCGAGATATATGGAACTGAAATAATTTTTGTTATTTTTCTTCGCAAATTTTTTTCATTTGTATATTTTTTTAAGCCAATAAATTTTATCAAAGTCGGATAATGTGCTTGTTTACAGGCGAAAGCAAGATAATGAAACATTTGAATAAAATGATTATATATATCCCAAACTCAACTCAACTAAACGAGTTGTCCCAACTACATTCCTTGTATTTTTTTTAGAATGATTGCAAAAAACCAAAAGGAAACACAGTGGAAAATCCAATTAAGCAATGTTTTAAAAACAGTGAATACAGAAGAAAGGCCCTTAATCAACTTTAACGGTCGAAAAAGGGGTGTTGTTTTCGTTCTTTGACCAAACAAATGAACGCACAACGAGAGGTCAGCCGATGTTCAAGGAGTGGGAATAATCCCGAAGCAAAGAGAAAACACACGAAAAATACAAGAAGATGACAGAAAAACACGATTTAAAAGGAAGGAATGAAGAAAAGAAGTCGATCGAATGGTAGTCCGTTTTCCAGAATCAGTCATATCAGGCAGGTCTTTTTTTGTTTTTAGTTGTTTGGAAGGGGAGGAAGTTGGGGCTGCGTGACAGACATGCGACGAGGACGGTCAGCTTCTTCCATCGAGCTAAAAAAGCGGGAAAAAGTGTCAAAATAGTGCAAAAATCAGAAGAAAACGCCGCTGTACAAATTCACTCACCCGTGAATTCCGAGCAGACAGTCTTTCATTTTGAAAATAACCAAATTTAAGGTACATAACTGGCAAGTTGTGAGTAAATATGAGAAGCTTCTTTTTTATCACGGCATGAGCTCAGTAAAAAACTGCTTATTTAATTTACCCGAACTTTTATCAAAAAATGCCGCCTAAAAGCTAATTCCAACCGAACTTGATCTTCTTTTTTGAGAAATCTTTCATCTTGAAAGATGACAGTATTCATAGTGCGAGCTTGGAGTTTAGGGCTCACCTGGAGAGAGTGCGCTGACGCTCCATTCCAGGAATCGGAACTCCGGAAAGGGTGCCGCACCCTTTGCACAGAAGAATCAGCGACCGCGAGAGCTTTTCCGGCTATAAGATGCTTTATATCCACCAGTTATATACAGGAGAAAACTGTCAGAAGAGAAAAATAGATATGATTGCGTCGGGTCACATAAAACTGTCACAAAGAATTGAGAGAAGAGAAGATCGGAAGGAAATTTCTCAGAACTTTACACTGCGCACTGTATCACTTCTTGATGAATGTCGCCATCAACTTTTTTCTCTCCACATTATCTATGTTGGGAGGCCTACAAGACTAACTTCATTGACATTTAATTCAAATGTGATTCAAAAGAAACGTTTGGAAAAGAAAAAACAAAGCAAATAATTATTTATTCCATTCGAAAAAATTTTCATTATTTTAAAGAATCAAGGGTTTTTTTTTTGAAAATCTAGGCAAAAAAGGAGCACTAATATTGGAAAAAAAACGCCTTTGCTGGGCTGTTTTGAAAAAAAAGTCGCTCAGTGGGTCTTCACAGTATCTCTAAAAACAAGAAACCGCGAAATTACTCTTTTTGATAGAAAAAAACTATTAAAGATATCCGAAAAAAAACCTCTGAGCAACCGAATTATGAGCAACCGCCAGTGAACTTGATTTTTTCGTGAACTCACGGCTTCCTGCATAACGTCAGCTACGTTGTCAACGACAAGGAGAGTGGTCTTCCTTTTGTTCATGCTCTTGTGGGTGGTGTAGACCGTGTGAAGATGAGGAGCCTTGCTGCCAGAAACCAAAAGAGCGTCGACGCTAAAACTATCCTTTTAAAGGTGGAACCAAACGAGTCGAACTTCTCCAGCTTGTCTCCAATGGTAGAAGAGAGGTCCGTACGCTTGGTGAAGGCTACTAGGTACTTGGACAGATTTTTTGGGTTCAGAGTAAGTTTCATCTCGTCGATGTAAGAAAGCTTGTTGAGCGAATCCTGAATATCGAAAATTGGACACATCCATAAAAGCACAAACATAAAGTGCGGTTCAACTTGAATATGGAAACTTTGTTCCGATGATAAATTGCATGCAAGGGAACTGCACTTGAACAGCATGAAGTTCATCAACTTCTAACACCATTTCCATACAAAGGCTGTATAGTTCAGTGCTTTTACGATATGAACAAAAAACACAAGAAACTTAAAAAAACCGCTAAATGACTTGTTATTGAACTACAATATTGACTCAAGAGCAAAAAAAAAGTCATGCGAATCACAGTTAGGTATGTTAGAAACGTGCAATACTCGGAAAGAGCAAAAGCAGTTAGAATTGGTTAAACCGTGCATGGAAAAGAAACCTTGTCATACTTTATTCAAAAATCGCAGTTTTTAAATAGTCCAAGTTTAAGAGGTTTCGTCTCTAAACACAGCAAGGCATTTGACTTTAAAAATTCACAAAAGCTTTTTGGTTACCAGTTGGCCCCAACTCACGTCTGTTGCCTGTAAAACACGTCAAAATTGAATCATTTGAAAATCCAAAAAACATCAAGGCCGATCAAATTCCAAAAAAAAAGAATCAGAAAAAGCTTGATGAAATGAAATTGAAAGCGAAAATGAAATGAAGGCAATGGTGTTTAACGAATCACAATCACGAAGTTATAACTTTTTTGTTTTGCCTGAGAAATTTTCATTAGATCTTTTCCAAAACGTACGCTGCCGAATTTGTGCGCGAAGAGGTAGTCCCAGGCGCCGTCGGTCATGATGGAGTTCTCAAGACGGATGTTCATAACCTGAATTCCTAACTATTCCGCGCAAATGAAATGAAAATATTGTTCGAAGTTTTATCCGAAAAAATCGAAGTTTGAGTCGACCTGTATCATGCAACTGAGGAATACCATCAAACTCTTGAAACCTTCTCTTTGCAGTACTCCAGAATACCAGCGGTCGTCGAGGTGCAGTGAACCAGAATGACGCCCATAGCACGGTTGGGGTGAGCCATCTGAATGCCTTCTCTCGTTCCATTCCACTTTGAAAAGTTTTCTCACATTTGTTCCTACATGCTAGTTGCATAGCTTCTCCAAAAGGACCGACAAATTCAATTTGTTGCACATATGCAAAGTGACTTATAAGTTTATGGAGCAGCCTCACACAGCCTTTTTCATTGGTAAACAACAAGTTTGATCTCATAATCTTTCCTTTTGTTACGTAGAAATAAAATCCAAAAAGCAAGTCATATTTTTCTCGCATTGGTCAACAACAATGCGATAACCTCTTATCTGTAGACCAAAACCATAACTTCTTATCAGGGCTCGTTTCAAGCAATGTTTGATCTCATATGGTAAGTTATTGAGTCAAAACTTACAGCAAAACGGCAAATGATGTTGGCACCCACTCCTTCTCCGAAGCCCATGCATGACTGAAACCAAACTGATCATCAAAGAAATTTCAGTAGAGGGAAAACCTTGGCTTCGAACTTGTCTAACACAGCGAACAAGTCTTCTCCAATCTGATCCAGAGTTGGGAAACTGTAAAACACTTTTTTGAACTCTTATCATTTTTTATTCATGTTGAAGTTTTTCTACAAACTGAATACTTATTGGAGATGAATCGACATCTAACACTCGGTTTTTCACACGCCACACAAAAACATCCGAAGCTTCAGAGTTTGTTCTCATCATGAGAGCTTGCAATAAAGATAAGATTTGCCCCGATTTTGTTTTGTGTTTCGTGCGCTGATGAATAAACAGACCTCGAACTTTATGTTTTTTTTTTTGCCAAACCGCGACAAGCGTTTTGTTTGTACCTAACTAAAGTTTACAGTATGTTTGCTGTAGGACTTTTTTTTTCTCAAACGATTGGATTTCAGAGCGTCAAAAAAACTCTCTCCTTGGGAACCTTTCAATAAAATATGAAGGCAGCATTTCTAAGGCCTCAAACATCACACAAATTTTTGGACTTTACGTTTTTTTGAAATAGAAAAAATATTCGACACGCACAGCTTTGGAGCATGGGAATACGAAATGACACGCTTTCGTCATGAAACTGAATGGGGGAGGGGTTTTGATTATACTTCGCAAGAGTGATATATATAGACTACGTACTCTCCGATGTAGTCAGCAGCGTTGTCCTCTTGTCCGGGAACGCAGACGTGAAGGAAGATGGACTTTTCCTTGACAGCAGCCATCGACGGATGATTCACGAATCGAACAAAGCTCTTGTCTGTAAAAGCTCTATCTAATGAGATCTAGTGGAGAATTAATTGACGATTGGTTCCGATGTCGTGGACAGTGATGATGTACGTCTTTCCTGCACGCTCTTCAGCATTTCCTTGCACGTAGACATGCAGAACTCCGCAGTTGGGCGTTTGAACGGCCACCATCTGAAAAAAAACATATCTGATAGGCCACAGACGCGCGTCGAAAAGATTAAAGTATTGAAAGCTGCACCTGAAGTTCTTCGGCCATCTTGCTCTTGATGTATTTTTTTCTGGAAAAAAAAACGTTGTTTTCGAAGTTTTGAAACAAATACGCGGTCACAAACAGAGACGGTCCGAAACAGAACGATAGCTGATATAGCACGCGGAGTAAACAATTTATAGGGACGAGCGGCTTGTTGCTGATATTGAGACCTAAGAGGCACATTTTCTTAAGTTTGCCTCGTGTGTTTGTGAAGATGTAAAAAGGGAAAAGAACTGGGAACACTGGTATCTCATAAAACTATTTGTGACTATAGTTGCTTTATGGGAACGATTCTTGTTAAATGCGTTTTTTTATTTCTCAAAATTTATTTTTTTGGTTCTCATACGTCATCGAATCAAAAGCGTGGCTGATCATGAATATATGATGAAATCGATAATTTATGGCTTTTTGACGCAGAGAATATATGAATATATATTTTTATATTTTTCTATTCGAGAATATATCAATAGGGAAAACTTACAGCTTAATTTCAATCATAATGATCTGAGAAAAAGAAAAATAAATATTATTTAAAGTGGGTGTTTTTTTCAGAGCTCTTTTACTACCGTTCTTTTGCTTTTTTTATCCATTAAATTTGAATATTCATTCAATCACAAAATGTGTGCGAAATGTAAACTTTTGGGTTTTTTAAAAGGTCAATGTTTTTCGTATCTGTCAGTGAGTTGAATATAATGAAATTAGCACTTTGAGGAAAGTCTATCGAAGGCTTGACCAGGTAGCTAGTTTTTTTTTATCACCACCTGAAAAAAAACAGGTGAAATGTTTAATTTCTATCGGAATGAAACATGCTGGTGTTGCTCGGAAGCTCTCAGTGTAGAACTTTTCAGCTTAAACAAGACTTTAGAACAAGTTTGAAGTAACTTAGAAAAAAACAAATAATAAGGCAGAAGGACACGAACCGACGAGGCTACGCAACTCTGCGCACTAAAAATACCAGCAATCACGTGCTTCCAAACATAAAGGCGTGGCCTCTGGGCTCTGGTAAGACGAATGCGGAAAGGAAACTGAAAGAGGGAAGAAAGCACGTGTGACGCTCAGATTCTTCCAAGACTTCAAAGGGAGAGAGCGCTGTTTTTGACGGCCATGAAGAAAACTTCTTTTACATCTTCGAATGAAAACATAGGAAGCTGATAATATTTAATCGAATAGAACTGAGTTATATTTTCATTTCCTCGTGATAGGAAGTTCTTCTTTCCCGTGCTGAGAGGCATTTAGTATGCTCAGATTCAGCGTAATCTATAGCCTCGACTGCTGCAAAACAACTAGTACTAGATCAGGCTAAAACTCACAACAAATTCTAACGGTCGATTTTACAGGCCAAAGATCTTCTCAAAATCTTCAAGGAAAAATTCAGAAAAAAAGCGATATTTGCATCATCGCAAACTTTTCTTGGCTCTGTTTACAAAATTCAAAAAAAATTTTCACACGGAGTCTCTCGCCTTGGTCTTTGAACAGAGCGCATGACTTGCTCGCCTTCATATTACTGCTTTCGAAAACTTTTAAAAGTTTTTGCAGAATCTCCAACGATGTAAACATCTGAGTCATAGAAAAGGCATTAGTGGAATTGGAATAATCTTGAAATGGGATATTCCGGCTCTCAAGTTGGTTTTTCAGAAGACAGATGTTCAATATTTTGTATTAAAATATTTTTTTATAGTTTTATATTTTTTAAAGACTCGAAAAAGACCGAAAAGAAGCAAAGAAAAAAAATACAAAAAAATCAATCTGATAGATTTTAAGCTAGAAAAAAATATTTTTCAAAAGAATAGCTCAAGTAAAATCCTCTTACTTTCTGAGAAAAATATAGCCTCGGTTACTTGCAAATTTCTCAATTATGAATAAATATATGGAGAATCAAAAAAAAATTGTGAATTCATCTTTGGAAAACATTAACTTTCAAAACACACTTAGATTTCACATTTGAAATAAGAGAGAAACAGCAATTGAACAGCGATGAGTTTCTATATTGAGAAAACTAAAGAAGGAACTTATATAATTGAAATCCTCAATTTGTCAATTTTTGAAATCGTTACATTTCTCCCAAGAGAAAAAGTTTAACTTCTAGGAAGCCAAACAAAAAGGGAAAAGCTTGAGTAGTGGCCGAGGAAGACAACAGAAGACCAGAAGAAGTTGGCAGAGCAACGTTCGAAATTTGCGTGGATGAGGCAGCGAGCTGCAGACGCAAAACGAAGAAACATGGGGTGGAGGCTGAGCCGCAGAAGCCATCTCACATTTCCGTCTGCGTCTTTGCCCGGCGTGAGCTGCCGCTTCGGCATCGGGCCGCCCTCTGTGCATCCAAACAACGCTTGTTTTCTTTATCAATGTCGTTGGTATTTCGAAAAGTTCCTGCCAAAAAAGTTTGAAAACAATGAGATAAGGAAATGCTGAAACATTCATCTCATTTTTCTTATTGTTTTTGTTTTTTAAAAATCTTGAACTCGTAAACGCTTGGAATAGCTTTCGGACTAAAAACCGTGAAAAGCGCTGAGCTTCGCGATGCACAGTATTTGAAAATGGTTGACTTTTTTGAAATAATTTTTCGAAGTTCCATGTAACTCGCCAAATCAGCTTGAAAATTAGGATTCAAAAATTTTCGGGTCCGTTACTCATTCGTGAGCTTGCAATTCGAAAATCTGATTTTTAGTGAAAGATTTTCGTTCTTTAGACTAAAATTTTTTTCTACATGCAATGATGCAAGTTAAAATTCACTTTTTTCGCTGTACCTATGAGGAAAAAGTAAAAAAAGAACAAGTTCACAAAAATTTAAAAGTCAGTTTGAAATAACATCAAAAAAACATCATTTTTTTACGTCTTTTTTTGAATTCAAGTACTCGAAAAAAATAAGCGTGTATGCGTGAGGGGCCAAAAAATTGTGTGTGTGTCAGGGGACTGTAGCCTTTTTTTCAGATAAATGTCTCACGGTGCGACGTTTTTCTGAAAAAATAAAACATTGCGAATCTTTTCGTAAGATCACGAGTCTTTTTTTTGAGTCATGCGCAAAAATTTTTTTTCTACCATGGGAAAGAGTAAAAATTGAATTGTTTACATGCAAACTATCTCAAAACTTCGAGAAAAAAAGCTATATATATTTTGTTTTACAAAAAAAAAAAATTTTTTTATGGTTTCCAGAAAGCGAAAGATTGTGCGCTCAATTTAACACAATTTTCAAAGAAATGCTGGGACGTTCAAAAAATTCGTATTTTCAATTTTTCTGTTTCTTAAAGAGAAGAGATCATCTTTGATTGATTTCTGGACTCCAGGATGAATTATCTGTCGGATTACTGTTTCAGAGCAAAAGAAAATAAGTGAAAAGTTTTATTTCAGTGATTAAGGTGATATATGTGATACGTTTCGTTTACACACATAAATTTTGAGCTAAGACAAAACATAAGAATCATGAGAGCTCGGGTCAATGAGCAGTTGCATTTCTCACAAACCGCGAGTGGCGTTAAACGGAGGATTCAGCGCAAAATTTCTTGGCGAACAGCTCACGAAAGTGAGTTTATTGTGAAGCTATTTGCTGGAATTACAAAAAAGTTGCCGAAAGTCTGCAGACAGTTTAGTATTCAAGGAACGAAATCTACAAATTGAGTTGTTCTTGACATTTCGCTTTAGATTAAGACTTTGAACCATATATTATCAAAATTTTTTTAATCGATAAGAATTAAATTTTCCAAAATTTCATCGAGGAAAAGAAAGTCGGTTTTAGAAATTGTAAAGTCGCAGGTTTAACTTATTTCTCTATGAAAAAAAAGAATAGCATAACGACAATGTTAACATTGAAAAAAAACAAGCTCATCCATCTGTGGTGCAGGCGCATAAAAAGAAAAAAAAACGGAAAAAAAATTGAATTGAAAAAAACCCATTTTGAGTGGATTCTGCACATGTGCTCTCACCAAACGCTCTACGTGCTATTCTCAATCAAATTGATGAACCTAAATTTTTCATTTCTGCAAAAAAGTCTACCTTGTCCTTATAGAGGCTCCTCCGCGCGAAAATGCTATAAAAAATGAAAAAAAGTCCAAAAGACGCAAATAGAGCATCGAGTGCTTTTGAGAAATCTGTTAATAGGAGTGAGTGAGTGTGTAATGCGTCAGAGTTTGCAAAACGAGAATTCATTTCAGTTATCTAAAAATAGTTTGCACTGGAAAAATTTGAACTGGTAGGTGAGAAATTCATTTATTCTTACTCCGAATGCATATTCTTGCAAAAGACTCGTAGAAGAACTTATTCAACGAAAACTTGGAGAAAATGAGAGATAGCAACAATGAAATCATATTGGGAATCTGTGAACAAGGTTTCGAAAAGTTTGAAAATTAAGGATTCGGTTCGAGTTTAATTTAGGCATGCTTGTGAGAAAGATCCTTGATTCCTTCACGGATGAAAGGATGGCCGTAGCGGTCTTCTGAAAATATGATATTAATGACTCCAAAAAAAAAAAATGATAACAATTTTAAATTTTGGAGCTGTTCGTTTCACGACGTTGGAATTCAGAAACTAACCAATTATGACGCAGTCAATGAGAAGAACGACATTTGCCGCTTCTGAGGACCCGTTAAGATGCACGACAGCTTCATAGTTCCCGTCTATCTCTTTCGTCCGTATTTTGAACGACAAAAATGAACTATCAGAGCCTGGAACGCAGATTTCCAAGATATTCTGATATGTGACAAGAAAAACCATCTTCTTTGAGACGTATTTCTGAGATCGAAGCGAAATCCGTCTCGAGCGTCTCTGACTTGGGCTCGTACTCATGACTGAGTGGAACCTGTACTTCCACAGAATACGAATTGTCGGCCTGAATTGTTTGGAAATGAGAACAAAATATAGATTCTGTGTGTTTCAGTGCAAAGAGCTTTTCAACTTGCCATCGAATTCTCCTGGATCTTTTTTCTTGTGAGCAACAAGTTCAACAGAAAAATCGTTTATGAAAAATAACAGGAAAGGAAACTCACCAGAAGCATGCCCAGATGGACCTTGCACCGGTTTTTGTTGATGGTCTCGACGCGAATCTTGCCCTCTCGCGGGTTCTCGACGTTGAACGCCACGTGCGACATCTGCTGAAACATCAACTGTCGGATTGGAGCCAACGTGAGAATCGGCGGGAGTAATCAATTGGCGGGCGACGCGGCAAGGTGTAAATCAGTCGGAATGAATTCGGAAACCCCAACATCATAGACATAGCAAATCGAACATTTTCATGCGTTTGAGAAAATAGATGTACTGCAGTATGGGATTGGTTTCAAATTTGCGGAAGAACTTGATTTTTAAGGTCTGTAGCAGCAATCGTTTTTTCAAATTCACAAAAATGTTAAAAGAATGTTTCACGTCATGAAAGGCTGATAAAAATTGATATAAAAAACAATTGATGCTCCCTTTTTGAAAGACAGAAAAGCACAGAACACGTTTTGAACACCAGCTAAATTCACTCTATCTGTGGAGAAAAAAATTTTCTATCCTTGTTTTGGTACTTTGCAAAACTAAAAAAATTTGGGGAACAGCGTAAAAAAAGGAAAAACGAGCTCCAACCTAAATATTTTGGAAAGAGGTCTTGCTCGAAAAAAAAACAAAAAATATCCCAACGAACAATGAAACTTTAAATTAAAATGTACCTTCTTTTCAAAAAGTTTTTTTTTTGATCGCATAAGAAAAAAAAAGAAGATGAGAAAATGCAGCTTTTGACGAAGTAAAAATGGGAACTCGTTTTATTTTTTCGTCAGCTGGCCGTGCACTTCTAAGCCTTGAGATACGTTTTTGAGATGCCTGGCTGTGAGTTTTTTTTGTTTACTCTTTGAGGTCTCTTTGAGGTCTCTTTGATGTCAACAAACTCAGAAAAAAAGTGCTTTGCAAAGTTTACATCTAAAAAAAAAGAAAAATAAATCGGAAAATTCAAAACTTTTGCTCTATTGGAAAGGATGAAAAAAATATCAAAAAAATCTTCTTCTTTTTTTTTCATTTATCCGGGTATTTTTGATTCCTTTCGTCACTCAAGTAACTGAACTATATCAACTTTTTTTCTCAATTGAAAGGGTGTGTTAAAAAAAACAGCCAAGTTTTTTCGAGCTTCAATTTTATGAAATTAGGAACATTCGAGTAACGAAAAATATCATTCAAAGAAGAGAATTTTGATTCTTTAAAAAAAAACCATGTACCCTGCTTCGAAAGTTTCTGCTCTCAACGATGACCATATCATTTATCATAACATTATTGAAGAATTTTCATACTGAAAACATATCTAGATTATATCAAAAAAGTAATGAAAAGCATCTTAAGCGAACAAAGAAATGAAAAGACCAAAAATCTAAAAAATATTTCGGCGTGACTGGGCAACGCTCGGTGAACCGGTTTGAAGGTATACCATCTAAAACAACAATCGAAGGTTGGTCTTAGTGTTATAGTTCGTTCGACGTCGTTTACCTACTTCGAAAAACTGTAAAAGTCATTTTGAAATAGTACTGAAAAGATAGGCCGTTGAGATAAAAATTGAGAAAAAAAGTACAAGTAGGCGCTGAGTGGGGTATAAAATCTCAGCCAGTTTTGGCGCGCTGCGAAGGAGCCTTCTGGCGTGCAAAAAAGGCACGCGTCACTTGCGAACCGCCGATTACGTTAGATGCACCCATCATCAATCTACTGCTCATTTTTTGCCCGGAGTTTCTTTTTCTTCGAACTTCTTCGCTGAAATTTTTGCATTTAGCCCGTTTCATTTGATGAATGAGGCAAATATTTGCCTTTAATAAAATCTCTTTTTTTTGTATATCACAAAATTTTTTCTTTTTAACAAGCCATTCTTATTCAAAAAGTTTCAATGTTCGAAAAAAGTTTTGAAGAAAAAAATCGAGAGTCTTTTTTCCTCGTTTGCCCGTTCTATCTTATACTTATTTTCGTCGTCGAGTGCAGTTGGGTGACTTTCTGCCCACTTTCAAGGACTAAAAAAACTTTTTAAAGATTTTATCGATGTATAAAAAAACGTCGTTTCTTGACATTCCGGACTATTTTACATTTTCCTCACTTACATTTCTCCAGATTTTTGAGATGTTTCAAAATTTCATCATATTCTTTTTTTATTTTGATTTTTTTGCTCTGTTGATTGTTAGTTAAGCAAAAAAAGCAAGTAAGTGCAAGCTCCATTGAAGAACATCTCCCTTTCAAGTAGTCTTTGCATTAAATAATCAGGAGGAGCTCTTTTTTCCTTAATTTCTTGTATTTTTTCACAGTTTTTAAATTTTGTGCACAAAATGCGCTTTATTTCGAGCAATGGACGTGCGTAACTATTGTCAACGAAAAGTAAACTAAAGTTGTGACGAAACCATCAATTCTGTAAACTCATTTTTCTTACACAAGAAGCCTTAACAATTTACGTCTGACAATTATAGAATTTTGCTCGGCAAAAGCCGAAAAAAGTAAATCTTGTTAATCCAGCAAAAAAAAAAATGAGATTTGGAAAATGAGTGCCGGCCAGAAGGTGCTCCTAATCTGAATTCCGGCTGATTTACACCTTGCCGCGTCGCCCGCCAATTGATTACTCCCGCCGATTCTCACGTTGGCTCCAATCCGACAGTTGATGTTTCAGCAGATGTCGCACGTGGCGTTCAACGTCGAGAACCCGCGAGAGGGCAAGATTCGCGTCGAGACCATCAACAAAAACCGGTGCAAGGTCCATCTGGGCATGCTTCTGGTGAGTTTCCTTTCCTGTTATTTTTTTCATAAACGATTTTTTTCTGTTGAACTTGTTGCTCACAAGAAAAAAAAGATCCAGGAGAATTCGATGGCAAGTTGAAAAGCTCTTTGCACTGAAACACACAGAATCTATATTTTGTTCTCATTTCCAAACAATTCAGGCCGACAATTCGTATTCTGTGGAAGTACAGGTTCCACTCAGTCATGAGTACGAGCCCAAGTCAGAGACGCTCGAGACGGATTTCGCTTCGATCTCAGAAATACGTCTCAAAGAAGATGGTTTTTCTTGTCACATATCAGAATATCTTGGAAATCTGCGTTCCAGGCTCTGATAGTTCATTTTTGTCGTTCAAAATACGGACGAAAGAGATAGACGGGAACTATGAAGCTGTCGTGCATCTTAACGGGTCCTCAGAAGCGGCAAATGTCGTTCTTCTCATTGACTGCGTCATAATTGGTTAGTTTCTGAATTCCAACGTAGTAGAAAGAACAGAGAATTTCAAATTTTTTTTGTTGCTGGATTTATTACTTTGTTAACTTGATGTTAAAAAAGAGAACATTTTTCCGAATTCTGAGATCGATCGTATAATATTTTTGGAAAGATTTATCCCATTCAATCAATATAATATTTTCAGAAAACCGCTACGGCCATCCTTTCATCCGCGAAGGAGTCACGGATCTCTCACACAGAAACGCAAAAAAAATAAAATAGTCGTCATTTTTCAAGATCCTGTATTGGACGCGACCTCAAAATATTTTCAGTGCCTCAGACACTCCACAAGTTTACTCCAGTTGAAATAATATCGATTTCTCTTTTCATCATTTTTTTTTGTATTGCACAATAAATTTTGCTGATTAACTTATAAATTGATTCTGACTACTATATCATAATATTTCTCAGCAAAAAAATATTTGAGTATCGTATGAGATTTAAGTGGAAAAAGTTTCTTATTCACTTATCTGCAAAATTCTATAATTTAAATCTTTCCCCTCTTTCATGCAACTTTTCAGAATCACACTTTTTCTTTTGCTTTTTTTAATTTTTGACAAGAAAGGTTATTTTAATAAAAAGTTTTGGAATTTTTTTATGAATTTTTATAAAATCTTCAATGAGTTTTTTTGAAAATGTTCATAACAAAATATCAATTTTAAATTTTTTTCAGCTTCTCAAGTATTGCCTTCTTCCAGAAGATATTCATCACAAAAAGATTACTCGAGAATTCATTTTTTTCACAAAGTCATTTTTATTTATTCAGAAAAAGTCTGAACGAAGGGTTGTATGGTGAAAAAAATAATGGGCATTAAAAAAATTGAAAAAGATAACGTTTCTCGAATCAGCTGCTCAAACTTTTTGAAAAAAACTTATTAAAATAGTTTTTTTCATGAGAAAAAAACGCTTAAATGAAATAATTTTATTCATTTGTTTTTTTCAGTTTATTTTGATAGAACAACAAATGTTTCGAATGAATCGAATATGCTCAGACCGAAAATCAAAAAAAAAATTGCGTTTATTCTTATCATAACCTTATAAAAAACAACTTAATAATCAGAAATGGAGTGAAATAAAATGTGAAACTTCAACCTGTCAGACTACGAGTCTTGCAAGGAACAAGTTACGGTGGCGAAATTTCAGGTGGGCTCTTTCGAAATTTTTGCACTAGATTTTTTTAAAAAATTTTTCTATTGTTCACATTGAAAGGGAAGATTTAAGAGTTGAAACATTTTTTTTTTCATAAAATCCAAAAAAAAATTTTTCGACTACTCAATACAGTTTTGATCTTATCGATTTGCTTTTTTTACCTTTTTTTATCGAGCTTTTTTCCATGATAAATTTTTATTTAAATAGCAAAGAAAAAAACAGAAGTCAAAAAAATTTATTCGTACAAAAAGAACAAAAAGAAAGAAGTGGAACTTTTAAAAAGAAATGTCAAAATGTGAAATCAATGGGATCTAAAAGTAGAAAAAAATGCATTTTTCATTTTGGTGAATTTTACAATTTTTTTATTGATAACGAGATGAATTTTTTAAAAAAATTTGAAAATTGATTTTTATGATTTTTGTGTGTGAATTTTTTTAAATCAAAGTGTGAGCATAATGAAGAACCTTGAAACTGGTTCAAATAACAAAAAAACAACATTGAAGAGTTTCTAAGATTGTGAGCAAAAATCGCACGATAACATGAAATTGTATATTTTTTTGGGGAGTTTTTGAAACAATTTTGACAAAAATCAATCAATGTGATGAAGATGATAGTTGAAAACAGACATTTGCACTAAAAAAACGAAGACTCAACGTGTTTTGGGGCTTTCAAACTATGCTTTTATATTAATTTTTATTGCAGATTAAAAAAACAAACTTTCAAGGCCTCTAAACTCCGTTTAAATCTTGCTGCCAAATATTGCAAATGCCTTTAAAAAAATAACAATGAGTTCCTTTTTAGGAACAAAAAAATTGCCTTCAGGCGGCTAATTTCAAAAAAACAACAGAAACAAAAAAAGAAAACACGGAAACAGACAAAATAATGGAAAATAGCCAAAATGACCTAACAACAAGAAGGCGAAAAAAAATTGATCAGGCCGGTGTTTTTTTTTTGATTTTTTCTTTATGTGAGCGTTTCTTATAAGATTGTATATCACAATTCTCGTGGGTCAATCGATTAAATGCGGTTCAGTCCCAAGAGCTCTTCTTCGGAGCATTCTTCCGTTGAGCTGAAAGGATTCATCATTAATAAGTTTTTGCTTTTCAATTTCAGGCAGACCGTGGACTTTCTCATGTTTTTCGTTCTCAGAAAATTTGGGAACTATTCAACTGATAGTTGGACGATTTTAAAACTCAGCAAACCGTAAACTATTTAGATGTCATTATTTCTAGTTTCATTAGATACCGAATAGACTGCTAAACTAGTTTTAGAAAGCTTATTTAAAATTTACAAGTTTTGTTCAAAACTTTTTGAGGCTAGGCCCAGCTCACGAATTTTCTAAAAGGAGGAGATGAACATGGCATACCTTTGGCCTCGGCAAGCTGCTTTTTTTCCATTTCACGTTTCTCCGCGCTCACATTCGACTTTTTGCCCAAACAGTGCTCGATAGTCCTTCGAGCGACGCTGGCATTGGTGATTGGACGAACACGTCGGATTCTGAAACAGATACATTTTGAATCAACAAGGATATTTTTGAAACTAACGGATAATTCATGTCCATACGATTTTCAATTGCGGCAATTTGGACATGTTTAGTCGATTGTCCCAAATTTCGAAGACGCAACCAGCTATGATTGATCTTTGTAAGAGCTTGAGTCGCTGAAATTAAATAAATTGATTTTCGGTCAAAAAAGTTGGAATTACCAAGAGTAGTATTTTGGAACACAACAAAGACAATCTTCCGCGAGATCCATTTCACCTCGGAATGTCCCAAATTGAGCATTTGCAAGGCGTTTGAAATGTCCTGTTGCATAATGTAGTCCGGAATGTTGTAAGCCTCCAGAACGTGCGAAAATCCTGAAGTTTATCGATGAGTTTGAGCAGCAACGAAGAAAATAACTTTGGTTGTCCCAGTTGCTTGGCATAGGAGCCGGTTCTGGAATTGGTACCGAGAGCTTTTTCGGCGTCGTTTTTGCCATGTGCAGATTTTCCTCCATCTGAAAAATTTTCAAATGATGTTTTTAGGTTTATTAAAAATTTACTCACCCGCTTTGTCAAATCGTCAACATCAGCAGTTTCCCAAGAATCTTCCTCAGTTGGAGAAGGACTCAGTGGCAAAGGGGAGTCGCTCAAGAGAATGTCCACAGAAACCTTCTGCTTCTGAGACTTTTCGGCGTGAATACGATCTTCTTCGGGTGAAGACGGTAGCTCCAAAGCTCCGAACATATCTTCTGGTCCAGTGATGGAGTGAAAATCCCGAGACGGTTCATTTTTTTCATTCGTCTGCAACTCTCTTGATTTTGAAAGTAGCGTAGTTTTAGCATACCTCCCCTAACAAAATTTTCTCAATAACCTCCAAGGCAAGCTCGGAGAATTGTTTGTCACGCGGATCTTCTTCTTAAAAGATTCTCATTCAAAAAATATTTTTTTAATTCTACCTTCGAAAAGAGTTGGGCTCCTGATATTCAAGAAAGACGAGCTTCCAGCGTTTGGTTGATTGTAAACTGGAGGGGAAACTGAAAAGAGTCATATTTTAATTACTTTAATTTATCCAATTACCGTAGGAGCTATGAGCAGCTTGCTGAAAAGACGTCGGATTCAGAAAATGTTCAAAGCCAGCAGTGGGAGGAGCTTAAAAAAAGTGTTAATTGTGAAATCAAAAATATGTTTACCAAAGAGAGCGTTTTCAGCAATAAAGCCAGTGGTGGCAAGTTGACTGTCGTTTTCCATGTTTCCTCTGGTTCTGTCGTTTCGCAGATTCCGCTTCAGCAAAGCGTTAGAGTTCGGGGTGAGCACTGAAATAATCTTGTCGAAATTTTCAAAAAAATGTTTTGGTCCTTTTGGATTTTGGGTAATTTCGATTATTGTAAAACTTACTGAAAGCCTTTTTTTGAATGAAAAAAACTTTTTATATCTTTTAAAAAATTGAAAAACATACAGGGCGTGAAATGAGAAGGCTCAAAGTTGGTTTGGAGGAAGAGTGGCGGTGAGATAAAGACAGGTGTTGCCACACTAGCGGTCAAATCCACCGAATTTTTTTGAGACGAAGCCGAGAGCTTCTTGGCGTATGGTGGTCGAGCGCGTTGCTCAGCTGGAGTCGCGTTGCTGCTTCCTGCTTCCGAACAGGTTGTTCCCTGAAAAAATCACCTTCTTTGGATCTGTAAGCAAATACGTTAACGCTGATGTTCACGCCGAAAGAATCAGAAATTTTTTGGAAGCAGGGCTAAAGCTTTCATACTCAATCGTAATCGGATTTCAATGGTGCAAATAGAAAATTTATTCAAAATATTAAAAAAATGTGCAAAAACTTTGATCTTCATCCATTTTTCCTGAAATAGGAATGGCGCATAATCATAAAAAAGTTAATTTTCAAACTTTCACCTTTCTCTTATTTTCCTATTTGGGAAAAAAATTCTCTGAATCTTTTGTGAATTTTTCTAGTCTTTTTTGAAACTTAACCATGTTTGTCCCGAAAACCATGTTTTTGATAAGTGATGAAAAAAAAATGATATCGTATTTTGCCAAAAAAGTGCGACCAAATGAATCGTTTCTACTGTTTTCATTTCACTGCTCAGACTACTGAGAATAGCGCGACCTCGTTCGGTATGAAACAAGTTTGCCGCAAACTCGATCTCAACAAGTTCCCTTTTTGCAGAGACATTTCTCCTTGCGTCGGAAAGAAAAAGGCGTTTTTGTGCAAAGAATGATAGGCTCTCCGAGCCCCGCGAGTGATGAAGCCATGAAAAAAAGAGAAACAGAGAAAAGCGTAGAAAAAAAGAGCCGAAACGTTCTGTGGACAGTGGCTGCTCACAAGGTTTCTAACGCTCTCTCTTCCAGTGTAAACAGAACAACATAACCCAAAACGCGCGCGGTTTCTCCTCGACATCGATCGATCACACCCTTGCCACAGCGCGCCAAAAAACGACGCTGCTCTGCATGAGGTCAAAGTATCGTACAGATGACCAGACGCCTCCGCACACTTGATCGGTTAAGTTAGAGAAAAAGAAACCTGTGAGGAGTTTGAGTGGGCATAGAGAAACGAATCGATGTTTTCATCTTCGGCTGGTACCCTTATGTGTTCACGAGACTGATTTATGAGCTCCACCTGCAAATTAATCAAATTAATGTTACTTTCAAGAAGTTTAATAGAAATGATAATTTATTAATTTTTTTATATTCTTATTTTTTTCAAAGCTGTTGATTTTTCAAATATTAGTTTCAGTGAAAAACTTTGAAAGAAATACAAGGGATTTGCGCCGCAAGGACTTTCGAGGCGATTACACTTTTCATTCTTAAATAAGGTAACATTTACAAGAGCGCAGAATCTGGCGCACTAGTCGGATAACTACTACATTTTTTTAAACTTTTTTTAAAGTTTTGAGCACAAAGGCTGAAACTATTTTTAGAGTTTTTTTCTTATATATATCACCGAGCATTTATATATCTTTAAAATTTCAAAGTTATTTCGAGCAGAAATTTGTCATTTGAACTACTGCAGTTGTAAGTTTAAATTTTTTGCAATGATCCAAAATACACTTACAGTATTATGAACAAATTATTTTCATCATTTCTTCGAATACTAACTTATCTTTCATCAAAGCTAATGATAATAAAACTGATAAAGGTTTTTTCGAACTCAATGATGCGTTTTTATCAGTTCTCCAGGCCAGCTTTATTACGTTTTTCGCATTCAGCCCAGTATGAACATCACTCGCACCGCTTGTTTACCCCAGTCGCCTGCCGCCGTCAAGACAAAAAACAAAACAAAAAACACTTTGGGCAGCTCTGGCGGCTAGAACGACACTGGCGCGAGAACAACAACAAGAAATGGTGCTTTGCTGAATAAATAACTATTTGGCTGTGACTCGCGACTAAAAACCTCAAAATAGAGATAAAAGGTGCAGACAAACAAACTTCGAGATCTTCGTCGTCAGCCTGGGTGGCACGGGATTGCGGACTCGCCGTCTCTGATCTGGTGGAAAAAGTCGGCGATTCGGCCAGCGGCGGCACTGTTCCGCATTTGAATTCACGTGGACTTTGATGTGGCAAGAAAAATCTCTGAAAATTTTCCCCATTTGTGAAAATCTTGAAACAACACAATCATTCAGTATGGCTTGTTGAAATATTAAAGCTGTTGATTTTAGGCTCAAAGTTAGAAAGGCCATTTCACTGAGAAATTCGCGATTTTCATTAATTTTTCGAGTCTTTTTCAATTCGTCATAGTCTTTGCATGCGCAAACTGTTTTTCGAAGACTTTTTGAATTCGCACTAAGCGATAAGCTGAAGCCCTCTACCAATACGCATACCTTCAAAAAATACACTGCTTATTTGTTACTTCTCGTCAAAAATTTATTGTTGATTTCGATAGTGCCATCTCGTTGTCCTGCTTATTTATTGAAAAAAAAAAACAATCTACGGACTCCTATTAGGAAAAAAAGTGGGTGTGATTGGCAAGGCAAACCTGCGAATTAACCGAAGATGGATAGGAGCGAGAGAAATTGAAGGAAAGCCGCAGTTCTTCCATTGATTCTGGGTCGATTCGGATGGTGGCATTTTCAAAAGGTGGAAAACGTGGTTTGTACTCTTCTGAATTCCGTTTTTTTATGCAAAAGAGAGTAATTTTTTTGTGGAAAAAATATCAATAATACTAACGATTATAAATAGAAGGAGGGTCTCCGGCGGTGATGGCATCCGAAGTGTTGTCTGTGGAGATGTCGGAAGTGGAACCGTCATCTTGAAGACGTCGTGAAGCTTCGATTGCCGCCAGAAGGTCGTCGCCGGAGTTGTTAGATACCCGTTGAGGTCTTGTGCCCGCGGCCATGTCCGGAAAGAAATCTTCCAGGAAAGATTGACCGCCAGAATTAAAAAAACGATCGAAAGGCATGAAGAGACCCTCCACTTGGCTCACGCTAAAACAAAATTTTGTTTGCTGAATGTGTTTCAGAAATCCGAAATTTTTTTCTCATTAAACTTGAAAAGAAAAATATGTCAGAATAGATTGAAGAGGAAGAGTGATAGACGACCTTTCCGTCGCTCTGACCATGGTTATTTGGAAAGTAATCAGTCTTATTGTAAAAAAACGGTCTTCCAGTGATCACAGTGAAAACTATGAAAAACAAAAACCGGTGGGAAAAATTGATTCTCAAGTTTGCATTTAGAAGTATAAAAACTTAATTATAATCCATGTTTCAGCTTTTTAGTCTCAATCTTTTATAGTATATTTTTAGGCACATAGGCAAAATATTGATTTTCTGATTGTCGAGAATAAACGACCCGAGATAAGAAAAATTTGCTAAGAAACTTGAAACATGAGTTTGGCTATAAATTTTGAACAGGAATATGCTTGTCTCATATTTCTAAACTTCATCTTTTACATAACAAAACATCTTTCGAAATAATTTTTTTCCTTGGCACCTAAGTGAAACTTAGTTAACGTACCTTGGCATAATGGGCGGTATCATCTCGTTGAGCCATCCACTCATCATGCTAACGTTAGCTTCAGTCAGAATCCCAAGCAGCCACCGATGAACGTTTCCCTAACCTGAAGTTCGTCGAGGAGCACCGTAAACGGGCCGCTCTAAAAAAGAAAAAGAGATTATAAGTTGTCCAAAACAGGCGTTGAGCGCGGTGTGATCGTGTACACAACAACACGAAACCAACTTTTCTTTATTTGAGAGTTCATATCTGACAGAACAATGAGAAGGAAAAAAGAAGATTTTTGACTTGACATGACAATAAATCATAAGAAAACGTTTCTGTGGGCGCACGAACAGTTGCGGTTGCAAGAGGCCAATGCGTGTCGTTTTGTACATGCCCCGCCGACCAAACAGGTTACCAGTTAAGAAAAAATGATATTGATTTTTTGAATGAGTTTTAACTTTAGGTACGCATCCAATCAGAGTGTTTGAGTTTATCCGCCAGGTGAGAACAATTTGGAGGCGTCCAATTAAAAGGTGTTGATAGCAATGCCTGGAGAAAAACAACCAGACTAGCCAGAAAGCGGAAATCGGATTACATTCATAAAACAACAAAACAATTCACTTATCCTAATCTTTTTTTATTAATGCCGATGTTTTTTTGATAATTAATATGTTTCTATTTGAGAAACGAGAAACCATGTACACCAGTGTATAAGTGACCTTTGAAACACACTAGAGATCATTAAAACAGAAAGAAGTAACCAACAGTTGGATAAACAAAAATTTCGTTGAAACGTCCATGATTCGTGTTGTTGGTTACTAGTATTATCATGTTGGTCGGTGATCCGTAGAAGTTACGAACGGAACAAAATCGACCAATCCGCCTAATTGAAGGCGGGAAAGATGACGGGTAATTAAGTGGGATAAGGCTGGGAGTCGCACCTGTCCAAAAGAGGATAAAAATGCTCGATAAGATCAAGTCCAGCACCTGCTAAGTGCCTAATTTCTACAAATGGAGCGTTGCCAAAGGTACTCCAGGTGCAGTCGTTTTGCCCCGTGATGACAATTCACATTGTTTTCGAGTGCAAGTCATGCAGGTTTTTTGTGGTAAAAGTGCAATACCAATCAAATCTAAAAAGGCCCGAGATTGTATAGAATCTCGCGAGAAAAGCGATTTATGAGACAGCCGATGGCAAACTTTGATCACATCGGAACATGTTCCTAAGACTGCCGGCTTTTTTGCTCACGCAAACGTGCAAAAACGTGGCTTCCGGACGGCAAAGTGCGTCTAGTGGGGTCTAGCCTGCTTTTTGGCCTCTTCCTGTGGGGCAACACTTCGGGAACACATAAACAAAACTTCAGAAAGACTTAAAAAATGGACTTATTGAGTGTGATCAATGCATTTAAAAGAGAAAGGCTGTTTTCAGAATGATTTGGTACAATTTATTTTTGCAAAAAAAGGAAAAAGAAAAAAATTTTTTTCAGAGTAAGTAACAAAAAAATCAAAAAGACTATTTTATTTAGAATCAGTATTTTTTTCTCGAAAAAAATTTTTTTAAAAAAATAGTCTCTATACTTTTCGAAAATTGAACGGAGAAAGGCGTCGAAAAACTTGCACGAAGTTTGAATTAAGCGTTCCTCTGCTTGACTCACAACAGACATGCTTTATTAGAAAGAAAAAAAAACGAGCGTCGGGAACGCGCCGAACGCGCCAAAACAAGAGATGGGGAAAAGAACTAGGTCATTTATGCCGAATAAGGTTGCGTCAGTGTGCCGTTGACCGGCGGACGAAGCTGACGAAACGGACTGCGACGCGACCGCGCCGCACGACACGCCCCCTCCTCTCGTTTTGCCGGTGTACACTCCGATCTTGCTTTCGCCACTTTTCTCCGTTGTTTGACAAGGCAAACCGTTAAGCTTATAGTCTGGCACACAGCCAAACAACCAATTTAGTCGATGGAAGAGGGAGTTATTGAAGAGAAGAGGAAACGTGCGAGAATAGCTTCAGTTTTAAAAATGTTCAATTAAATTTCCCCCAAAAGGGAAAAAATTTCACATCAGCCAAATTAGCAAATTATTCTTTATGTTTTTTCGGAAGTTACTGTAGTGATCAATATATCTTTTTCTTTTTTTACAAAGTTGTAAAGTTCTCTGAAAAACTTTGAAAGTACGAAAGCTTGAATGAAAAAGATCGGAGTTGAAAGAGAATGTAGATATAATATCCGAGAGATTTAATTTTTTTCAGAAATATCTGACAAGAAAAAGCATTTTTTTAGCGGCATAATGAAGTATTCGTTAAAAATTTTCCCAGATTGCTATAGCAACTAGTAAAATTTTGTTCCGTTTCCCGCAACTTGTTGATAATTTTTTGGAAGTATTTTTACCGGAGAATCATTGGGAGAGTCGTAAAAAAATGCCTTGAAAAATAGTTCAGAACTCAAAATAAAGAAATTCTCGCCAGAAGCTTTTTTAAGGCATAAATCACTTTTCATAGTTTTCAAAAGTTTTCGTAACTGTGTAAGCAAAACTTTTTGTATTATTTTCTTCATATCATGACAATCAAGCTCAATCCCATTTTATGAATTAACATGACAAATATTCTGAAGAACACCACCAAAAATCTATTTATCGAGTAAAAAAAGAGAAACTTCATAAAAAAAAGTTCAGATTCACTTTGAGCTAACCGAAATCTGAACACTCACCAAATACAGTAGCGGAAAGTGGTTACTATTATTTTGGTTTGTTGTCCGTAACTTTATTAAAAAAACAACTTTTTTTGATCTGAAATTTTAACCAATTGATTAAAATGATATTATTAACAATTCAAAAATAATGATTTGAACCGACTCGGGAAAAAAACTTCAAAAAAAATCTTTTTTTAAATATTCAACCATACCGCCAACAAATTAAAAATTCAACGGAGCCAGCAAACCGGTATGAAAAAAAACTTCTAATTAAAAAAATTAAAAAAAATTAAGATTTTTAAACACCGAAGCATAGCCTTGGGATTTGATAACAGCTTTTTCGAGGCATTGACTTGATAAGAGTGTATTTTAACAACAAACTTCATCGGAATTTCAGATCGAAAAGATCTTTTTTAACAAAGTTTTGAACGAAAAATCTATAAAAAATACTCACCACTTTCTGCTACTGTATATAACTTCTTCAATAAGTGAAAAAGCAATCGTTCTTTTTTTCGATTTCAATTGGCTATGCACACTCCGAGAAGGAGAACCCAGGTAGAAGAGAAAAGCGCAATGGAAACTTCCGACGAGAAAAACGGGTTGGACGCAAATTTGCTCCTGGGAAGATTAATTCTCAGTGGACCCGCACTGAACGGGCTTTACATAGTAAATAGGGTCGTTCTCGAAGTGCAATCCGTTATCCTCGGCGTCCTCTGAGTTCAAATTTTCATTGTTCACATGTTGTTCACCTCAAGGTCGCTGAACTCGTCGCAAAACGGAAGTTTATCTACCTTTGTCTGGCGAGCGATTTGAAAAAAAAACTCAAATAAACGCCTCCAAATAAAGGACAAAAAAATTATGAAAATGAAAGTATCAAAAAAAAAACTTTCAGAACAGTTTGGAGAAGAAACCTTAAATGATAAACTTTCTCGATATGTTGATCTAAGAACATTCAAACTGCTCTTGAAACCTTTCATTGCAGTTAGTCTGAGGAAATTTCCTGAAACTCTACTTTCGAAATACGTGAAATCAAAAAGCAAAAAAGTTTTGTAAGTAATCCTGAAGAAATGAACAAACTCTAACAAATACGTACAAGATCTTTTGGTTCAATTTAAAAAGGCAAGCTGAAATTGTAATGATTTTCAAAGTTTTTTTTTTCATTCTGAAGATTTTATAGTTTTTAACGAATGGGTTAAAGACGAGTTTTCTATTTCTTCTCACATTTTTTCATTTATTTTTTGCTTTTTGAAGGGTCTGGCTTCCACGGTGATTTATCAGCAGAAATTTTAAGAGATGATAAAAACTGAAACTAGACAGAGCATGTTTGAATTTTTGCTCATGCTTCAGTCACTCATTGTCGAGAAGAAACATGCTTCTCATTCAAGTGAGACTTTTCTTTTTTTTTCCATTTGGCGAAAATTCTGCTGTTTCTGATTTTTTAAAGAAGATAGTGAAAGGAAAGTTGTTCCAAAGGTCTTTGGCGAAGCAATTATGATGAATAGATCGCATTCCCTTGTTGTCACCCCATCAAATGACGCGGTTGCATCAGATATGCCTGCGGAAAAGTCTGACGTCTGCACAGTTCGTCTCGTTTTCCCTTTTTCGACACATTCCAAAGGAAGTTGACAGAAGCTGGACTGGATTTCCCGGCGCATGTCAGACCTTTATCATGTGAACACTTTTTGTTTTTCTGACGCCGTTCGGAATTGTGAACTTCTTGAACAACACTGAGTTATGGACTTCTAAGATATTACACTCCGAATTTAGATTTGAAAAAAGTGTTATTCGCTTGTACTAGATGTTTCGAAAGTCGAGTTCTTGCAAAAACCACATAAATTTTAAGTGAGCCTTAATAAATAACCGCCAAACTTCATTTCAAAGTTCATCATTTTTGTCGATTCACTGTGGATAAGAAAATGAAGGTCTTGGTTGACTATAATATTTACTTTGAGACTTCAGGTTTCAAATTTTCATTCAAAAAAAAAAAACAAAAAAAGAATGGAGAAGTTAAGTATTGACGAGCAAGAGTAACCGGAAAACCTGAAACTCCAAAAGTGCATGTGGGCTTTTTATTTCCGCAATTTATATCCGAGTTCAATGTTCAGAGACGGGCGTCATGTACTCGCTGCAGTCTGCACTATTTTTCGTCGTTCTTATGAAAGGGCAAGCCTGGAAAAGCTCAACATTTTAAAATGTGAGAAAAAAGTCTCACCAGGTCTGGACAAGCTAACGGAAGGCTTGGATACGAGAGAGAAGCGTTGGTCGTTTTGGACCCAACCGGTTCAAGCAAGTTCTTCCAGAGCCACGTTGTCACAACTGCATGACCCCATTGTGAAAAGTGGAAGCAGTCAGGAGCAAAGAAGCCCATGTACGGCTTACCATCCTTCAATTTGATCAATTAGTATTTCAAGAAAGTTTGAGAAAAGATGTTTTCTAAAAGTAAATCAATAAAACTTGAATAGTAGCTTTTTTAGTGTTTATAGATTCTCTATGAAAAATCGAGCTGAATTTGAAAAAGTCGATAGAAGGGATCTTACTGGCGTAAGTTTTGCGTCTGACTGCCACTGAAGTTCTCACCGGACTTTAAAGTTTGCAAAACCTTTTTAAAGCCGAGGGGTGACGTCGGTTCCTTCACGCGGCGCCAACGAAAACCCTACATGAGTAAGCCGAACTTGGTTACTTCCAACAGCCCTAGCAAGGCAAATTAGAAGCCCACACATGTGCTACTACACGTCAAACACCACGGCTCCAGTCCTCCTTTCGTCGGACAAGCGCCTCTCCAGTATCGTGGGCAGCCTCTGCCGACAAGAGGCAATCGAATCGCGGAGTATCAGGATACCAAGGCGATGGACAGCGGACGTACCACGCCGAATGTTCGCGATTTGGAACTCTCAATTGACGCACGTTAACATCTGAAGTGGTGGTCGAACAACTTCTAGCAGCTAACCGTAATGCGAACATCGAAAAACCAGCTGCAGCAAGATGACACACGGAGAGCTGCTCACTCTCGGGGAAGTTGACAACAAGGTCCTAACGAAACTTCGATTCGCCGACGACATCGTACTCTTCGCTGATGACACCGCCGACTTGTTGTCTATGCCTAACGAACTAGACGCTAGCGGGAAGCAGAACATCCGTGATCCCTGTGATCATCGACTACACAGAGAAAGTCTGGTCTGAAACGAAGAAGTCCGCAACCGCTCTTTGTGCACTGGAACGGGCTTTTCTTGGCACCACTCGCTTTGAGAAGTGAAAAAAAGGACAGAGAAGCACAGATCTCCATCAACTGTTCCAAATCCACGACTTCCAAGAGCACATCCAGCGCGAGAATCACTGCTGGGGCTGACACGTCATCCGCAGACAAGACGATCGCTGGTCTACGAGAACAAGACACTGCCTACCGAGAAACAATAATCGCGCAGATGGACGGACAGCTTCCGCAAGAACATCAGTCACACACGACGCCACTGGATGACTGTTGCGCAACACCATGCCGCCTGGAAAGCGAGTGGTTCCGGCTGAGAAAATTGCCAAAGAAAGTTATCAAAGTAAGTAAGTTTTGAAGCCATTCGAAATTTTCGATTCCGATAAATCATAACTTCTGAACTATCTGTAAAAGATTCCTTTCCTGGAGCTTCTAAGTGGAGTTCCAAGTTTTCATGGTTTTCAAACAAACCTTCATAGGTGGCTGGTCAGCATCGCGGAAAAATGGTTGCACAACTAAAGAAAAATCGTCACGTTCAAAAGTTCCATTGCTTCCAAGTTGTATTTCCAAGTCTGCGTATTCTACACAAGCCTGAAAAACCGGAATCGAAATAAAAGTTTATTTTTGAAAGACCTTTTCTATGTCGGCGTCGGTGAAAGTAGTGTTGCTTTCACAACCACACTCGTCACTGAAATATGGTTTTTTCCAATTTTCCTGACTCGTAATAGTCTCAGTTTTTTGGAAACCATTCGAAATCACTTTATTATTTCTTTTTACCCGTGTTTATTACCGCGCCAATAAAAAACAAAGGCTAAGACAAGAATAACTGTTTCAAGTCGTGACATTTCACTCACTGATGAAGACGAGTGCAGAAAAAGTGACCAGAGTCAGTTTTGCGTAGGATCTCCAAATGCAACATAGTGGTGAGTGAGACGATGACGCGCGGAACATTGTCGTAAATTATCTGGATAGCTTCTTGTATTTCTGAGACACAAATTGAAGGCGCGTAGCTCTGGAAAATACGGTTAAATGCGGTGAATTGAGATTTTTTACGGAGTGACGACAGTAGCCACACATGTCGTTGCCACCGATAAAAATGTTGAGCATTTTCCAATCTTCTTTTATGTTGACGGACTGAAAAATCGTGAATTTCACGAAATCGATTATCATTATCTTTGACTTGGGAAGTTTAGCCGAATTTTTTTGCTTGTGATAGTCTTGCTGAATAATAAATGTATTTTTTACATTTCGAAAATGAGCGAACTTCAAAGTTTCTGATTAATAATTTTCCACTCTCTTTTTCAACGAGAGCTGAGATTTTCGATTGATTTTTCCTTCTCAGAAAAATCTGGATTAATGAGCCTCTTGAAGCAAGATTCTTCCGTTTTAATAGAAATTGGAATCTACAGGTTATCACGGTGACTTATAGTCCTCGCTATAACAGGCGCTTACAAATCATTTTTACGCTGAAGTTCATGGGAAATTGTATTACTCAAATTTCCATGCAAATAGTGAAATAAAAAACTTTCAACGGAATCTTGAAAATTCAATGACGAGTTGAAATTTAAAAAAACGATATGATCGAGTTTTCATAGATCTGTTCAGTTCTCTGTAAGAACCTCGGTGTGCTCTTTCAGGAGCGAAACCAGCTGTCTTGCTTGTCCAGGAAGATCTTTTGCGTTGGCTCCAGGCATTGCGACGTTCAAATAAGCGATTTCCCAGACGTTGGGAGAACCGATTCCAACAGAATATCCAAAAAGGTTAGGGTTGTACTTCTTCAAAATATCTGGAAATTTGAAAAACAAATTTGAAACGGGATAGAGAGCTTGCTCGGGATAGTGGCATGCTCGTCTAAAGTCTTGTCTCCACCAGCTTGGAACGCGAGGCCTCTGTACTGGAGAACAACCGCCAGTGGATCTTCTGCTCCAGCTCCATTTGCCGCCTCAAACAGATCACCTTTTCGAAGAAGACTGAAAATTCTGTCTAAACCTTTTTTCTGTTTACAAACAATAAACCTGACAAACTACGTTATTTTTCTCTAAATTTCGAAATCTCTAGAAAGTTTTTTCTAGTTGGAGTCGCGTCGAAGCGGTTGAACAGTTGGAAATTGAAGGAAAAAGAATCGTCTAAATGGATAGATTCATCTACCTCGGTACTCATCTTATTGATTCAAAAACCGAAATTCCACGCAGAATTCGTTCTGCATGGAGCGTCTTTCACTAGTTCAAAACTCACTTAACACGAAGAAACGAAACGTTTCCAATATGGTCTGTGTACCACGACTTGGAATTTCACCGAACGACATTTTGCTATTCCGCTGCGTGCCTTTGTGCGCCTTTAGTTTTTCATTTTATTTAAGAACTCGACCAACACGTTTTCCTAGAGGAACAGCCCATCTATCAGAAATGGAAACCAACTCAATGCGAGACCGAGGCTCGGAAAGACGCTTCGCGACGCAGCGGAACAGCGGAATGTCGTTCGGTGAAATTTCATGTCGTGTCACACAGACTATATACACAAAGCCAAGATCTACAGCACGTGTACGACTAGGCGATTTTCGAAGATTTGGTGTCCCAATACCAACAAATCTCAGACCCTTTGGTCGGATCAAGGCGGGGGTCGAACTTGTGACCCTGTGAACCGTAGACAGGCACACAACCTGTTGCGCTACGGCGCGCCCCGTTAAGAGGTCTTTTGGATTTCAAAAAAAAAAAATTCCTAGCTTTTGTGGCGTTTTTTTTTCTAAAAAAGACAGAGATGTTTCTTGGGCCCATTCTTTTAATTAGTTGCAGTATGACGCCGTTTCAAATGTTTTACACTATTAATAGAATAAGCTTGCATCCTTGATGTCTTTTTTTCCATTCAAGCAAATGAAAAAAATTTGTTCCACTTTCAGTAATTAAAAAGAAATTTTTATTTTTTTTTTCAATTACCCAAGTAACTTCTATCAAGCTGTCTATTGTCTTTATTTCAGCGTTTTTAATTTTTGAGAAAGGGGGCATATTCTTATCTAACAGCGTGTTTTGTGGTGATTACCAAAATTACTGCAGTTTGTGCTCTGAAGAAGTTCAAAAACAATTATTCGGTCAAGTCCACCCAAGGCTTCTCAAAATCGTATGATTCATACAACATTTAATTAAAGAAGCTTTTTTTCATTTTTCTCAAACTTAAACTCTCCTACTGTACGAGGAACGATTGAAGCGTTACATCCTTTGCTGACCTTCTCCTTCTTGCTAAACTTTATCCTCAACTTCAGTTCCAAATATTTTCCTAGGGCTTTATTAAACTCAGTAGCGAAGTTTCCTCGACTCCTGAAAACTTGAAATGAAGCATTCCAATTAAAAAAATGAAGTAAAAACAAAATATATTTGGGTTGTCATAAAAACTATTTTTTTTTTTGCTTAAAATAAACTAACAGTCAAGGAGTCGCCCAGCGCCATAACAACTTTAATATCAGCCGGCCGCAGTGAGTTGACGTTTTTCGGGATACTTTTGCTTTTTTTCATCGAATCACCAGGACAACTGTAATTTGGCACTCCGACATCCGGTAGAACTGCCAGAGATGTGGCGAAAGAGCATAACAAAACTAAAATAACAGAATTTCGTAGCTTTTGAAACGGATCTTACCAGCCACGGTCTTGAGCGCCATGCTCGCCTCTGTGTGGAATAGATAAGGAAAGGTTCGTTATCTACCACGTGTTTTTGCGAAATGTCCATTCACCTTATCTTGCATGGAAATCAAAGACCAAACCTAGTAATAAGAAAAGCATATTCTGGCTTTCGATAAATAAAATGAAATAAAACGAATTGAGCTTATCCACTTCTCTGTTGTAACAAAAAAATCTTAATGAAATGTGTAATTATCAATGCTGAGAGAATATTGCCAAAAAGACAGCAATCACCTATCACGATCAATATTAGAAAAAGTGTTCAAAAATTCTGCAGACATATGAATGCGATTATCTGGAAAAATTTTTGAAATTTAAAAAAAATTGTTAATTAAAAACAAGAGCCCTCAATTCTGTACAAATTGCCATAACATTATCAATTCTTCACAAAAAAAACTTTTAACTGAGAGATGAAACGGGAGATTGTGACGTCTTAGTAGAACTTTCGAAAAGAGAGTTACCAATTAGTTCGAGGAAACTTCCGAAAAATGGCTCTACTGTGAAAAGGCTTAAAGTATTTGAACTCATCAAAACTTTTTCGGAAACTCTTTTCTTGAAACTAAGTCTGCCCGAAGTATTTTAAATGTTCGTTCTACCCATTTGAGCATCGTGATCGCAGTGCTGGAGCTGTATCATTGGTTTCAGTGGTTTTTTTTCGAAGTTTCGGGAGTCCTCTGTTATGCTAGTAAGTAGAGAACAAAAATTGAAGACAGAAATTTTTTTGAGCAAGGAATAAGATGGAACATTTCAGAGAGTTGAAGATTAGATTTTTTTTTTTGAAGATCCTAGATCTTTCTGAAAGCATTCGGAAAACTCTAAAAAATATTCATATCTTTTCTGAAAAAGAATTCACAGAATGTGTTTCTATGACGTAATTCAACTTTAAAAGGGATATTCTCCTATAGCGTGACTATCCAATTTATTGACTTGAAACTTTTCTTTCAGCAAAAACAGTCAGAACTTTTTTTCTGTACAGATTGAAAGCAGAAAAATTTCTCCTAATTTTTAAAACGCAATTCTCTCGTTATTTTTGTAAATGGGTGAATGTTTTTTTACTTTCAATTATTCTTCGTCTGATATCAAAAAATTGAGAGTTTTCCTCGCTAACTATCCTGATCTTAAAATTATATGGATTTTGGTTGTAATTTTCTCACCTTTATGAAGCTGTATAAATTGCATGATTTAAAATTCACACTCTATCATTTTTGGAGATTGAAGGTTGCAGAATGGACAACATTCCTCGCACCCTCGCATAGCTGTCATAAACTTTTTGTTGCAATGTTTATTTTTCTTATCCTTTCATTTATTGCTTCAACGAAAACATGTACGTCAAACTTGTTTCCGTGAAGCTTCCTGAACGTATAAGTTCACTTCTTAGACATTCCAAGTATTGCAGGAAATTTGTTTATATCTCATTCTCCCACATAAAACGTTCAAAAATTATCATCTGCTCCGAAGTTGTGCATATAACACATAAGAGGGCAAGGTCTACTGCTCTTGAAGAAAAAAAAAACAAAATACCGAGGAGGGCGTCATACCTATGAAAACAACTCGCAGTCATTTCCGGATTCCAATGACTATAAAGGACAGCCTAATGAACTATGGCCATTGCAATCGAAAAGACAAACAATGGCTTGGAATGTGAGAAATCTGAACGGAGCAACGATGTTCCAGGCGTTTTTCGTTTCTGCTTGACCGCAGACGTTGATGGTCACATCATTATACGGGCGGCTGCTTCGACGAGTAAACAGGTGGTTCTCGGACCAGAAGCTCGATTCTCCCTCAATCTGATCCAACCTTTCCCATATACATGTGTTGAAAGGGTCTGCTCTTCGATTCAATTGATTCCTTTTCCGGGTTCTTTTCGAGTTATCGCCTCTTGACTTTTTGATCTTGGTTTTTCGCCTTCGTCTCAAGATGGAAAACTAGTGCGCACGTCATTTCAACTCGATTCCATGACGTGCCGATTTCAGAGAGTGTGACGTACACCATTTGTGAAAAGTCTCGATAAGAATTCACAACCTTTATCGTTTTTTTCTGCTACTCTTCGATGATTAATTTTTGCTTTTTTTTTAAATATTTTTATCTATAATTTTTTTCGGTTCCACCTGAAGGCTGTTCTAAAGCTCGTTCTGAAGTTCCCTTTTCATTTTTTATTTCAGGGACGAAAATTGATTTTCATGTAAATCATTGCATAATTATCTAAAAATTTAATTTTCTGTTTTTTTGATAATGATGAACACCTTTCTAGCCCGCGAAAACTTGCGTACATCAAAAACAGTGAAAAGCTATGTTTTTTTTTGGCAAAGAAAGTGTTTTTGATGCCCTCCGGGATCTATGTTGAGGCAATTTTTTGGAATTCCGCGATTTAGTTGGGCTATGGGGTCTTAAAACTTGCAATATATAAAAAAGAGTTTCAGGCGTTTTGAACTGCTTCCAAGCCATCATAATCCCACTCTTTTTCTAGAACTTCATATTTTACATTAATACATGAGCATTTCAAGAATTTGCTCATTTCTCATTCTCATTTAAAAAAGATTCTTAACAATAGTATGATAAAGAAAAAAAGAAGTCGAAACTAGAAGAAAAACCATATTTTTCCGGCCAGATTTAAATGAAAATGATTCTCAGAAGATTAATTGGCTCCTAAGAACACATTTTTTTAATCTTAACTATGAACTACAATTCTTTCAAGTTAAAAAAATTGTTTGGAGAAAATTTTTTTTAATTTTCAACAATCTGGGTAGTTAACATCTTCAGAGACAATTATTCAGAAAAGAGGTTCTATTCGTAAATAAAAACGCACTGGCAATCATTATTCATTTGCTTTTTGATAAAATTGAAATAGAACACGAAAAATAGATCAATCAAGATGAAAAAAACCGAGATTCACGCCTTGAGAAGTGGCGCGTAATTTGAGCGGCATCTCTTGAAATGGCGGTTTTTTGATACCTGCAAATATGATCTCAGTCTAATAAGTGAAAAGACCAGTTTCTCCAAGGTCTCTGTGGAAAACATGTGTACATCTGAAGCAGATCACCGGCGTCGACACTGCGACGAAATGGTCGCGGTTGCCCTTAAGTGGAGCACAAACCGAAGATTTTTTTCTTCAACTTCCTTTGATATTGCGCAAACAAATATGATGCGTCTCCAGTTGCGATTCTAACGAGTTATTGCTTCCTTCTCCCTTTCTGTCACTTTCTTGACGTCTTCTGCGTCTATGAACGCGTTCTCTGATTCCTAGGAGTTCTTCAATGGGTTATGTTTCTGATATGGGTTGGACAGTATTTCGACGCTGTGCTTTTTCTGAAATCCGGTTTCGGCCGGTCTCGCGGCGGCGGCCTTATGTTTTTCCTGCCAATCGGACTGTCTACATTCTTAGGTTGCTGTATAAAATGCACTTTTGTACCTGGCGACTTTCCATTTTCCATCTCTCTCGTGTAGGCTTTCTAGTCTGAAACAAAATCCAAGCATCTTTGTTTTTTCTTCAGACCAGTTTGTAGAAAAAAAGATTTTCAGTTGACGAAGAATGTTTGCTTCTGTCCTCTAATGTTCTGAACTGTTGACTATACGGAGTTGTTAATGCGTTGTGATCGCCTGACATCGGTCACAACTTTTTGGAAACCTTCGGTTATAAATAGACGTTCCTAGGTTTATTTTTTACCTTTCGAAGATTATATCCTAAAAGTCCGAAAATTCAAAAAAAGTTCGAATATATAAACCAAATTCTAACTAGATATCCAGACAAAATACGTTTTCATCTCATTAATTTGCTTGCGTGTATCAGTTTCATCAATCAACTACTTTCCCACCATTTTAATTATCTTAAAAGATATGACGAAGAATTCCATCTTAGAAAATAGAACCAGTGCAGTTGAACTTGGTCCTGCACTACTCTTAATGTCGTCTAGTCCAACTTTTCCCACAAAGTTCTTGATTCTTCTGAAACTCCAATCATCCTGCGCGTGGAACAAACCGTTTTCAATTTTTCTGAGTGCTCATGAAGAAACGCCCTTGGCAAACAGCAAAACTGGAAACGGTTCACTCGATGTTTACGCGCTTCCGGCAGGAAGAGCCAACCAATCACCGGATCAGCCTTTCTAGTTTTGCGCTCACAAAGGAACTCCTTATTTCAATCTTCATATATTTTCTTTCAATTTCTTTTTTTTTTGGTTCGAGGCCCTTGGAGTTTTAGGATGTCTGTTTACTGTTTGAAATCTGCTTTTGGAATTTTTTTGCAATAGATAGACCGAAGCTAAATGTTTCAGATTACATCAGCTAATGTATTAATCTTTGTTTGAGTCCTTTTCACCTGTTTTCGAGTTATCTGCCACCCATTCCATTTTTGATTACATTTTTGTCTAGTTTTTCAAAGAGGGAAAAACCTTTTCAAATGTCTCCCCTTTTTATTTGTCTGGTGAAAACTGAACTTCTGGCTTTACTTGTTCGTGTTCTCTGATGACGAAAAACGTCGTTCAAATCAGAACTTTTCTCACATTTTGCGTTGTCTTTCAGCTGCGCGAGAAAATTTGAGATAAGGAAGCGATGAATTCTTTTCTCAAAAATCTCTGTTTATGTTTATGATGAAAGGTTGAAGAACGATGGAATTTCAATTAGGAAGCGATTCAAGAGCGTGCCAGGGCCGAAAGTATCATCAGCAGGTGAAACACCAGCTTGTTTTCGGCCCGACGTCGTCAGAATGTTTGCACTGCTAGGCCGAGGTTTATTAAGATTCTTGACCACTGGATACGTCAGCGAATGGCCATTTCCACGTCTTCAACCGCCGATCAAATGGCTTCGCGATTCTGGAGTCAATCTTCCGGCTCTTCTCATATTTCATATTTTAGAATTCACTGGCTTAAAGCGAAAAAAACACTTTTCTCGAGTGGGCGAACTGCCAAACCCACGCATATCGTTGCGCCACCTGCCTGCGTAGTCCGTTTGCGTTGACTGATTCTGAATATTTCAATTTTTGTTTGTTTTCTATAACAAACCTTTCTTAAAAGCTAAAGTTTCTTACAAAGGTCTGAAAAATTATGACTCAGCGGTCCTACCCCCTTAAAACTCTCATTGCACTGTTTGATGACTATTTCTTTGAATTAAACTCGAATTTCTTTTATTGGGTTCAAAAAGTTGACTTTTTTGATTTTTGCCCATCGTCCCAAATTTGTCGCAGTTGCAAAGATCGGAAAAATTTTCTCGTTTTTTGGTAACATGTTGGTTTGTTCTATTCATGTGACTTTTTTCGAAAACAAGGTAAAACCATCCCCCGTAAAACGCCCTGAGTTCATTTTTGTGAATTTTTCATTTCATGAGTGTTTTATGTCACAAGAATATCGAGAAAACTTTCAAGTTTGAAGGTGACAACCGTTTATAAAGGTTTGAGAATGTGTAACTTTTCTAGTCCTCTTCAAATCATTCAATTTAGAATAGTTGCTTTCTAACTTAGCAAAACAAAATGAAAGTCCTCTAAATGAAATGAAATGCATTTCAGTAGCGCTTTTTCTCTGGTTTTCTTAGCTGACCCATTAGCAGGGCTGAAGAAAGTGTTAGCCCAAAAAGAAGAGAAAAGCGGAGAGACTAGAGGCAACTCAAGGGGACGGAGTGATTCACGAAGGTGAGCCGCAATCTGACCTCGACCTCCCCCGCAAAGCCCCGTCGCTGCTCATCTTTCTGAGTGATTTCATGTTTTACGCACACGTGCTCTTTTAGAATTTCACTTCAGATAGAATCAGCCTGAAAAGCAATCAGATAAACGTTTTTATTGAAGAACGTGCACTTGTTTGGGTCCGGGTGCAACGTCACAAAGCGATCTGCCAAATTTCCTACATCCCATCTACATTCCTAAATAGATTACCTCGACGTCCGGAAACAAAATAAAAAGCTCCTTCCAGGATTACAAGGACACTAAGAGTCCTCTTCTGTTCCCGCCTAGGCTCTTTTTGTTCATCTTATTTTGAAGGTTCACTTTTAAGGTTTGTAAATTTATTTGTTGATGTCTCATTTCATGCATTTTCCTGAGAAGTCGCTAAGGGCAAAGTGAGAAAAAAAAGTACGCTTTTGGTGTATTTCCTCGTTGTGCTCGTTCTTTGCCCTTCATGAGTTTGTTGAGACTAGACCAGCTCAAATTACACTAGACTCTTAATAAAAATATTATGAAAAAAATATTTTTCATTCATGAGTCTGACTCAGTAATTCAGTTATCCATTGGTTTTTTTGAAGCAGTTTCCGTCATGGATTCTCAATAATTTCAGACTATAACAAAATTTCTCCCAAATATTCCTTTTGAAACGCTAGTTCTAATACTCCAAAGATTTTTAAATTCACTTTTTTTGACCACGTGAATATTCTTTGAACACATCATTAAAAGAAATGAAAATATTTGCGTCTTCACATTTCGAGAAGCAGAAAAATATGGCGAGAAACGGGGATCCGTGGTTTTAGAAGTTCTCCGCATTGATCCTCGATGTTTGCATAGTTTGCATAGTCATGCGTTTGAAAGAACAAACAAAAGTTGCAAAAATTTTTTTGTTTTTCGTTTTTTTAAATTTCTAATCTGACCTACCCATCCTGGCTTCCTTTGCCTCACGCGTTTTGATAAGCCCCCCAGCTTCTTTGCTGGACAATAGTAAAAGACGAGCAAACACAAAATTGATGAGTAATTCATTAATCACTCCGGTAAGAATTCATTTTTTGCTCTGTTTGCCGATTAATTTATTACTGAGAAGCTTTTATTATAGCACGTAATTTTTCCACGAACTTTTGAATTGCTGGGCTCTGAGAAATCCGTTTTAGTCTTTAAGCGTAGGTCAGTGACGCGCAAAGAGCGGATGAGCTATTTAGGAGAAACATCTCAACTCTTCGCTCGTATCTGGAGAACTTTAATAGGAAAAGGGGAAAGAACATTTCTCCCCCAAGGACACTTCAAATGTCGGAGTAGCTCCCGCACATTATACTTCGCAAATTCATGTTTTTCCTAAGCTATCTAATCGGCAAGTTTCGTTGCGACAGGCCTTATCTTTCCTCGAACCCACGCAACCGCAGAGCCCAATTGTCTCGATCATTTTCTCTCTTTGGGATGAACTGTGTGTGTGTGTGTGTTTTTTTTTCCAGCCTGTTCCGGCTGGGAGTGTTCCGCTCAGCTGTTTTCGCGACTCCGCCCTATTTTTAGGCGACCGGTTTAGGTGGCTCTAGAGCTTCGCAAACGTATTCTCATTATTTGTGGAACAAACGCTTGTTCTGCAATCCTTGCTCCTAGGAGTCTGGTGATTATTAGCATACTGTAGGTCACTCTGACCAGTCATTGGTTCTCATAATTTTTGTCAACGAAATGTCTCCCATCATCTCCATGCAGGGTCGCTCCTAATTTCAAAAAGACTTGATAGTAAGATAGGATGCTCTAATAATATACCTAAAAGACTTCAAAATGACTTCAGACCTTCTAAGTTGTGCTCATTTTGGCTCGTGGGCGGCGAGGGAAAGTATTGTCTTTCAGGTGTTGAACTTTTAAGCCGTGCTAGAATTATAAATGAAATGAAATGCGATGCAGTGACGTGGTTCTAACATTACTTTTTGATGAGTTTCTAGCGTTTGGGCGGCTTTCCTACAGTCCACTTTTCTTTCTTCATTTCACAGTTTCTCGTTTTTTTTCAAGCAAATGCGTCATCAGTTGCCATGTAATTAACGGCATTGTCTCCACTACACAAAAAATTGTCAGTGTTAAAATCACAGGCGGGGCCACATGCATTACTGCGCGCAGAAGCAGAAGCCAACCCCCGTATCCAGTTTTCTAGTTGGCAGTTAAACAAAGCTTCTATTAAGCATTCCGTTCTTGTGTGCAGTGCCTCATCGTCCTTCGCTCTCGTTTCTTTCGTATTTCCTTGTCTGTCAAATTGATACCTGATTTTCAGAGACACACACACATAACTCAACATGAGGGTCCTCGTTTTGATTTTGGTCGCCCTCCTTGCTCTCGTCCAAGTCTCCAACGCTTTCCGTTACGACAGAATAGTTTACGAGGCTCTACTACAGTGAGTTTTCAATTTTCGTTTTTATATCCCTGAAAAAAAAACTCAAACATTTCAATAGGGCTTTTGGACGATTTATTTGCGTCCTCCAGCTCTTTGATATTTTTCATCTGCTAAAACTGCTTCGAGGCCGTAGGGTATTCAGTGAATGAGATTATTGCGAGCCAAACGTTTCCACGAAATTGGTATCGTAAGAAAGAAGCGTAGGCGAAAGAGATAGGAACTGAAAGTGCTCTAATTCATTTTTGATTTCGACGCTTTGGGTTTCAAAAACAAAATTCTGGTCAAATATGTTGAGGTCACTGGTCCAGTAGATAAAAAGCAGCGTCATTCTTTGAAAAGTTGATCACGTACTCAGAAAAGACAAACAATTTTGGATGAGCAAGTTTGAATGTAGCATAGCCATTTTTTCCGAGTAACCTAACCGATAACGAAGCCAGAAGGAAACCGATGAAAAAAGTTTGGGAAGACGAGCTTAAACAGTCAAAAGTTTGTTTTTGCGGTTTTCTTTGTAGTTTCAACAAAAAACATGTTTTCAAAACGAGCACTTTCGTTATTTGCAGAGCTAGGGTTTTTTTCTGGAAATTCCCAGCATTACAGTAATTTTTGTTGCAGAGACCTGGAGAGGGAATACGTCGAACGAGAGCTGGCAGACCGTGTATTAGCCAAGCGGGAGCTTGTCCGCCAGCAGCTCGGGGAACGAGTTCGGAGAGCCTCCGAAAAGAAGTCCTACCCAAGGAACTGCTACTTCTCGCCAATCCAGTGTCTCTTCACACGCTCTTAAGGCCATTATCGACCGGTGAAGGACGTCGCCCACTCTTCACCACAACTCCAAATCCACAGCAACCCCCATACCTATCGCCAAGCACGCTTTACTATCCAATCGTCGCTTAAGCTTTTGCAATCCTTCATTTATTGTTAATTTTGTCGCTCCCACTGTCGCCAAACTTTGATCTCAGCGACTGTCGCACGATCGCCGCGGGTCGCCTGCTTTGTCTGCATACTAGTAGAGTCGTTTAGAAATTTCTATATCTATTGAGATCGTCCAATTTTTCTTGCGGGTGTGTGATAAATGTTAAGAAACTTGAGATGCATTGAAAACGGACGCGTTTGGAAATGATTTTTCGAATCAGTTTGTTGACCGAGTTTTTCTTAAATCTTAAAAAGCAAATAATTTATTACTTTCAGATTTTCCAAGCTTTGTCGGTCAGCAATATGTGAAAAAAAAGGTGGAGCAAGTCCTTTAACATATCCATCATGCACCCCGTTTTTTGTACGTTTCAAACGTATCACCTGGTTGAAAGTGATCTTTTTCTGCCGCTTTGCGCACAATCCCACAATATATGGCATTTCATTCCAGAAAAGAATTCCGCTGTTTGCATATTATATCATCGAGAGTAAATGTTTGAACTGTTGAGTTGTGATGTCCGAAGTCGATAAAAAGAAGGTCTCACTGATTCCGCCCTTATTTCAGTTTCAAAACTGATTCAAAAGTTTACGTTGTGTGATATTCACATATTCATCGCCTCGCATGATGTCTTTGAACTGTTATTTCCACCCGGTACAATTTGATATTACGTTTCAAATCGGCCATAATAAAATATTATTGCTCTAACGATGACACGTGAAAAACACATTTTTGGAAAAAGATAAATAGAAGTTAATAGCACTAGTTTCAACGAATCCATTCAAAGAGTGTTCAATATATTGATAAGAAAGTTTAAAGAGACAAAGGACTTTGCCCTCGTATCAGACTAGAAATCAACACACTGAAAAATACTTCCTCGTTTCCTAATTGAATTTTTGCTGTGTGGAATCTCTCGGAAACACTTTTTTTGCACTTCGTTAGACTGATTTTTGATTCAAGAAAACTTGAAAATATTCAGGAGCACTTTTTAGTTTGTTCATCAACCTTTCAAAAGTTTGCAACTGATGCCTGACAAAATTTTTAGAATAATAATCAAAGTACTTGAAAGACCTTTCAAGCAATTGAAAAATAGACAGTCTTAACTTTTTTTAAACGACTTTTCAAAGTCTCCGATTTTCAATAATTATTGCTCCCTTTCTTTGTCTTTTCTCGACTCAATCAACATGAAATAGTCTTTGTTGTTAATGTCTTATCAATCAGGGCTGTCAATTGTTGTAATAGGGTCAAGAACCATGCAGAAAAAAAACCATAGGTTTTAGAACGTTGTACTATTTCTTGTCACATCGAGAGTCTTCAAAGAAGTGTAGCCTTTGTCAGCATCTCGAAGTTTCAACGGCGCTGACCTTTGCTTGATGAGAAGCAAGCTCGAACCGGGACCAGCAAAGAATGTCGTCCTCTGTTGCCGTATTAGTTTTTTTCGCAACGCTTTTGTGACCGCATTACAGTTACCAAATAACAAAAAAGGAATATGAAAAAAGGGACAGGGTAAACTTGAACTTTTTTGGATACATCTTATTTGCCGCAGCATTCATAGTCAAGTTTTCCCGACTTGAAAGGCGAGATGGCTAGATCGGCGAAGGCGTTGCGTACGCGACGCGGCTTTTTGGCGAGAAAATCGAGTTTAAACGCAGTCTTGCTGAAATGGCAAAAAGACTTTGTTTTTTTATTATTTCTTTACTTTTATTTATTCAACTGTATCTTCTGGAAATCATGAAAAAATTTAAAATATTGGAAAACTGTCAAAAAAAAGAGGAAAAGATCAGAAAGAAAAAAAATCATTTAAACAGACACTCCTCGCCAAAAAAGCCGGGACGCACACGCAACGCTTCATGCTTGTCAATCTACTACCTCACTTTTCAAATGGGGGAGGATCGACTATATGAATTTTTGAAATATATAAAATTTGGGAGTCTGGTCGCTCATTCGAGAAAATGAAATCTTCAAGCATTCGTAGAGTAAGATGATCTCTACGTGTTTTCGTTGACCGGATTACCCTCTGATCGACATCACATGTTTATTCTGTTGCTCGAAATCGATGGAGTCAGGCTTGAAAAAAAAATGAGAAACAACACAGGAGAATGCCGGTCGTTTCTGACTGAGAGTTGCGTTGTTGTGGGTTCGATCGATTTATTTTTTCTCGCACAACATTTCTGTCCTCCAGTGACTCGATCAATTCGTCCCAAGCGATTTCCAACAAAATGTCTTTTGGCGGAGCGGTGAAGGAAGCTTCGCAGCAGATAGCCGCTGGCGGCTCAGCTGGTCAGTTTAATTTGATCTTTGATTCAGCCACAATTCTTGCTTTTCTCGAAGAATCAAGAATAGAAATGGCTGACTATTTGATTGCAGACAATATTTTTCCGCTATTCTTGGGTTCGCCATTCCGTCATTCTATTTTTTTAAGAAATATATAATTATTTTTCAACCAATATCCACAACCTACAATCAGAAAACCGCTTTTTTGAATTTGTCTTGTTTTCTGGAGCACACAAAGCACATATCATTTCAGAATGCAATATATAATTATTTTTAAGGCCTGGTGGAAGTATGTTTGATGCATCCGCTGGATTTAATAAAAAAACACGTCTGCAAGTGGGGTCGCACGACAAGGGAATGGCTGATTGCATCGCCAAAACTTACCGGAGCGAAGGAATGGGCGGCTTTTACAAAGTTTGCAATTTCGTAAATGAAAACTATTTATAAAAATTTTACAGGGAATTTTGCCACCAATATTAGCGGAGACTCCTAAACGAGCAACGAAGTTTTTCACATTCGAGCAATACAAGAATGTTTTTACACATTCAGACGTTCCGATGGCATTAGTGAGACCCCAATGTGAAACTTCTAGCAAATTTTGAAGTTTGTAGACTTTATCATTTGCTGGACTCTGCTCAGGATTGACCGAAGCAATAGTGATTTGTCCCTTTGAAGTGGTCAAAGTAAGACTGCAATCTGAAAGAAATGTTTCTATCGCCGAGGTTACAAAAAAATGGAATTTTTTGATGTTTTTAATTTTTACAGCAAAGGTCAACAGCTGCTATGGCGAGAGATATAATTCAAAAAGATGGTTTCGGTACTTCTGGTCTCTATCGAGGTATTATAGTCATTTTTAACAGCTCAGAACAAAAAAAGTTGAAGAAATTTCGTGCAATTTTTCGAAACTGAACCAGCAGTAGAGAATCATAACTTTTTATTGCTTCTTCAATGAGGAAAGTTTTAGAAGCACAATAGATTTTATATTCAATTTTTTTGAGTTTCTCAGGCCTCGGTGCAACTTTGGGAAGACATGGTGCCTGGAACATGGTCTACTTTGGCCTCTACCATAACATGAAAGGATTGATTCCAAATGCAAAGGTTTTTTTCTCCGCTTCATGAAAAAAAAATCATGGTATGAAAAAAAAATTTTTTCAGGAAAACCCTACTCAAAATCTGATCGGAAGAATTGCACTGGGATTCACAGCTGGATCATTGGCTTCCGTCTTCAACATTCCTTTCGATGTAGCGAAAAGCAGAATTCAAGGTTTTTGCCGATAAAAAAACCGAAGTCTCACGTTTCCTGCTTGCAGGACCTCAGCCGGATCCTTTAACAAGGAAGTACAACGGCACTTTTCAAACCATCAATTTGATAAAACAGGAAGAAGGGTGAGTGCTGTCAGACGAAACTTTTCTATGTTACAAATATTATTTATAAAATGTGTTTGGGAATCGAACTGAGATTTCTCTAAATATGAAAATCGCCCCTGATGTGCTCTTCTACAGCCATGGATTGAGATGCTTCACTTCAAGTCATTGGACAGTTTTTCAAATCCCTGTTCGGGCAATTTTACAGCTTCAATGGGTTTTTATTGAAGTTTTTTCATACCAAATTGATCAGTGGGGCTCACTTAAAAAAACGAAAGCTCTCCCAAGTCTTGAAATTTTACCTAACCGATTTTTTCGATATATCAATCAATCCTTCGTTTTGTTGATTTATTTATGAATCTGGTTCATTATACGCTGAGCATGAACTTAAAAAACCGAGCGTGCTGGAAGTTGGAATGTGTAGTTGATCAAGTTTATCTTGATTCACACTTTTCCAGAGTTCGTGCTCTGTACAAAGGTCTGCTGCCGAAGGTGATGCGTCTGGGACCTGGAGGAGCGATTATGTTGATCGTCTACGAGCAGGTCTACGAATGGCTTCGTCTCAACACGTAACCTGACGTATTCGAGAAGTCTTCTAAATACTTTCACTGCCTAAGTAATTCAGAGTTTCATTTATTTGTTTGAGACTGTCAAATTGGCGTCGCAGTTTTTCTCGTTTTTCTTACCCAATCATCTTTCTATGAGATTTTTTCAGAATTGTTGCATCAGCAGATATTTCGACGATCCATTTTGAATTATTTTCATTTAATATAGAAAAAATGAAATTTTCAAAGATGGTTGTACATGACTTTTTTTTCCTTATTGAAAGTGTGAACTTCTTCTGTTTCATTCAACATGAACTTCCAGATTTTTGGTGTACAGCTGCTCAAAAAAATTCTTCTCGGACTTTGAGAAGATAATCAGTCGATTGTTTTAACTCATGTGTCTAAATTTTCATTTTATGACGTGCATATGATTTTTTTGAATGAATTATGCCGAAGTTTGCTTCTCAAAAAAACATTGAGGTTTTAATGGATAATTTATTTGTGGGTTTATACTCTTTTTCACCGAATATTTTTGTTTCAAAAAATCGAAAAACTAAAATGATTAAATTTAAAGTGTGAAGTAAAGCGTCCCAAAGTTGCATGGCAACCAAAGAAGAAAGTCTGCGGATGAAGAACCATCTTGTTCAAAAATTTTTCAAGATTAATTTTTAAATGTTTTTGCTTGAAAAGTGAACTGTAAAAATCTATTGGGCTTCAGCTTCGGAAAATAAGTTTTCTTTTTTTCTTTCGGGCTCAACTACACGTGACTTTCAGTTACGCTTAGAAAAAACAAAATGAAATTTTGAACACTTCACAAGTAAGTGTGCTATAGGGATATAAACAAAAAAAAATCGTCAAGCGTGTGAAAGTTTGAATGTGCATTGACACGCAATAAAACGAACCCGTGGATATCTCAATTTTTACGCCATTCTTATTCGAAAACTGGCTGTAATGTATTTTTTCTTCTGTTTCGAAATTTTCTGAATGAATCAACTTTTTTGCATCGAACGTTCTTTTTGTCCAGCAGACAACATATAGCGAGAAAATTACGTGTGGATTGAAAGTTAAGTGTACGTCTTGTTTTTTGTTCCAAACTTGGGACTTTAGAACATTTTTTCATGAAGTTTTTTTTGCAAATGTTAATGTTATAAATCCAAAAAAAGAGTCTTCTTAATCCAATTTGGAAATTTATTCAAAAAAACATTCTATCCGTTTTATTATTTTTTTCAATGAACTCAAAAAAACTAGAGAATATATTTGAATCGAGATTTAAAATTAACATAAATTTCATGATTTCTGAAAAAAATTTTTTTCAATAGCTCATTTCAGGATAATTAATTTTTAACCTGAAGTATTCATTGAAAAAAATCCAGCGCTGATCGGCTTCAGTTCGAAAAAAATCACTGCAATCGTCTGAAAAATCTGTTAACATTTGAAAAAAATCAGGTGATACTTCAGAATATGAAACTCTTGAGTATCAAAAGAACTAGCTATAAAGTCTTTGACGAAAAAAATTCCCTAATTTTAGTAAATAATTAAATGCTCACAATTTTTTTGAAATGAACAACAGTTTTTTCAAATTTAAAACAGAAACAGAATTCCAGCATTTCAAAATTTGAAGCCAATCGATGGAAAAAGCGTCGCAAAAACAAAGTTTTTGAAAAAAAGTCGAATTTTTAGCTTACTTTTTTTCTAACTTCAGGGCAACTTAGGTTTTGAGGCCTTTTTTTCAAAGTTAATTTTTCAACTTTATTTTTTTGAAAAATGATCGGAAAAAAAGTTGTCGCGTTGAATATTCAAAAATGAAACTGTCGGTATCGGAGTTGTAGGCGTTGTTTGGCGGGTGTTCAACTGGTTGGGACGCAGCGCGAGGCGCGCCAAAACGCAAGACAGCCGTGGGAAAGAGGGTCGAGAGAGACGCGACGCTCTGCTATTTCGGCACCCATCGATCCGTGATTGGTCCTTCGCCTGGCCGGACTCCTGCCAATCTACGCCCTTTCGACTTTGCTTCCCGCCAATCACAATGTAAGTATTTTTTTTTGTTGACACGCCCATTTTTAGTGCATCTTCTTTTTTTCACCTAATTTTCTTCAAATTAAGTATGAACTTATGCGAAAGCTACTTTTTTCAAAATAAAGTGGACTGCTAAAATTTCTATGGTTTTATGAGTTGGTTTTTTTGTTGATTATTTTTCTTGTTTTTCTCAATATTTTTCTGACATTTGAACAAGTTTACCAGTTTTATCGAAGTGTTTGAAAGCGCAAAAAACATAAATGACCGCGAAAAAGACTCAAAATGTTTCTAGGCTATAAAAAATGCTTTTTTGATAATCTTTGTTTTTTCCATAGAGGAAACTCGATATTGATTTAACAAAAAGAATTTTTTCTCAGCCACACTGAAAATTGTTGAAAATAATTGATGTTTATTCCAGGCAGCGGGCAAATGACAAGCGAATCGTTCGAAAAGCTGAGCCAGCTCTCAGACCGCCAGTTTTTCGTTTTATGCCATTGGACAATGTAAATTTTTTTGCTTATAGATTATGAGTTTTATTTATTTTTTTATATCCAATATTAAAAAGATATTTTTCCTCCTAAAACTCATCAATTTTTTTACTTCAAAAAGAGCTTCAAAAAAATGTCTTACAAAAATTCAAAAACAATTGCAGGTCCCTGCAACAAAAAAATTCACCGATCAAAGTCCAGTGTCTATTCCATCGGTGAGTCGGAAAAGTTTCATTGATGAGGTTGATCTTATTAATTTAATAAAAATTTTTTTCCAGGACGAGGATTCACCTCCTAACACCAAAAAAATCAAGGTTTGCCGGAAAAATATTATTTTTCATTACGTGTTACTATTTTCAGTTATTTGGTGCCTGCGCTCCAAAAACTCGATATTTCGAAAGAAAAAGGCAAGACTGCTGTCGGCGGCAGAGGTTTTTTTCCTATTCTCAAATTTCTATGTTCATAAAAAAATTGGAAAAATATTAATTAGCAACCCAAAGTAAACAATTTTTTTAGAGTTTTTCATGATCATATAAGTTTTTTTCCATGATAAAACGCTTAATAATACATTTTTTTAACAAATTTTGATAGCTTAACTTCTTAGAATAATTTTTGAAATGTCCCGATCTTTGGTAATACTGAAATGATAATTTTTTTCAGAATACTCTCGCTGCAGCAAAAAAACGAACTATGCAAACGGCGAGGCCGAAAACAAAACGACCAGCTCGAGAGCTTTATCGGTAATTATTTCTATCAATGTTTTCACTACCCGTTGGTTGAGACACGCGCAACAAGAAGAAAAATAACGGATTCTAGTGCAGCAGGAACATCGAGAAATATCGAAAAACCGATTGTGCGATTATCAAACGGTGTAAGTTGCTTACGAAACATTGATGTCTTTTATTATTCTCTCCGAGAATTCATATTTTTAAAATTTGTCTTACAAACATCAATTATTTTCAGACAAACCCCACAAAAGCAGTTCCCAGAGATGTAAGAACTTCTGAAAGGAAAGAAACAAAAAATACACAACAGCTCAAAAATACGCAAAATATTTCTACACCTCCTAATGAAAAATCTTCAACTTTTCCTGAGATTCGTCTTTCTGAAACGCCTTCTCCGGTCTTGGGAGCTGCAGAAAGACTCTACCACCGACTTCTACCCAACGAAACCCCTTCGCCAACTCCCGTTTCTGCACCTGCAACTTCTCAAGCCAACGCAGTTTCGTCTTCTGGTGGATCAAAACATCCTGAACAAGAAATACCGCAGAAAACTGGCGTACAGAACTTTCCTAACGGTATGGTCTTCTTAGCTGCAAATGGAGTGACGAGCCAGATTGTGGAGCATCGCGATGAAAGTGGAAAAATCTTCTACGTTCTCAATTCCAGCTCAAATCCAACTAATAATCAGAATGGTTCTTTCACGTCTTCTTATTCTAATAATCCTAATAGTACTGTCTCTAATGAAACACTCACCACTCCGAGAACTTCGACACTGCCATCGAAGGATAACAGCGGACAAAAAGGAGTCGACCATTCACAGAGCAACGGAAATAACAACCACCAACTGATTTACATCAATGGAAACGCTTTCTACGCAGTTGGACAAGGACCTGGCGCTGATCTCAACGCCCAAAAAAATTCGACAACTGCTGCACCGCCTACAAAATCCCAATATGTCAATCCATACGTCATCAAAGACCAGGCGTATGAAAGACGTCAAAACGATGGAAAATTAATAACAACACCAGTCGGCAACCCAGTAGTTCTGAAGAGCGGGAAAGCAACAAGAACATGCTACGCGCCAAGGTATCGGCCCAAACCAAGAGCCATAGAGGTATGTTTCGAAGTTTTTAATACGAAATTTTATGAATGGGATTTCAGTTCTTGCCAAAAGACACTCCTTCAAACGCGACTGCTCCTCCAGGGTTCAAGGTTAGTTCATTTATTATAATTCAAAAATCCGCAACAAGGGATTGACAAGTTGATATTTTTCAGTATTTCAAAATGGTTCACGAAAAGGATAACCAAAACAGTGAAACACGAATCATCAAGGTTCCACAAACGATGACACTCACTGAGCTCATGGTAATTTTCTTTCATTTGCAAGTTTTTTTGATTGACATAAATTGTATTTTGGCACCTATCCGTTTAAAAACAAATTGTATTGAAAAGCTGATCTTATGAAATTTTTTAATTGATTATTAAAAATTTAAATTGATCTGAATGGTGGATTCACAAGAATATATCGCTTTTATTCATAGAATCAACTGCCTCAAGACATTTTGGCGCCTGGTTCCGGCAAAAAAGTCTACTTGCTCGATGATCCTGGGAACGACATAGGTAAACAAAAATAAAGACTGACAATTTACGTAGAAGTCCAGAGCCTGTTCAACCTCCAAACGGCAGTTTGCTGAAGAAAATTTCAAACCAGAAAGCTTCGGATTCTTCTGCGCCAACCAAGGCTGCTCCTACGGTTGCACAGCCGATAGGTCAACCCATTCCGATGACGCAGCCGATTCGAGTTGATCATCGAGTTGACCACCGACAACAACTTTCAATGACTCGTCGTCAAACCCACCAAATGGTTCGAGCCGCGCAGATGAACCAGCCAGTGCGATACAATCCGGCATTACACATAAATCCATCAGGAGGGCCACAAGGCCAGCCGTCTCAACTCCAACGGAAAGTTCCAATAAGCCAGCCACCTCCAGTCGGCCAAACACCTAAAGTTAATCAACCTGTACAAGCGCCTCAACTCGAACAAGCAGCCAAAGAGAAAACGAAATCTCAAGAATCACGTCCACCTCAATCCACCCAAAAATCTGACCTTTCACCAGCAGGCGCAGCAGCTCAAAAACAAGATGATAACGGCGATGAATCAGAAGTAAGTTCATTCTCCATGAGTAAAATTTTTGGAATTTGTAGAGGCCTGCAGTTTACGTTAATCCTCTGCAGTACGAACGAATTCTAAAACGACGAGCCATGCGACAAAAATTAATGGCAGAAGGAAGATTGCCAAAGACCAGAAGCGTCAGTGACTTTTTTCTGTTCGATAGTTCATATTTTGATATTCAGAAATATCTGCACGAATCGAGGCATCGACATGCAATGGCTCGTGTACGGGGAGAAGGCGGAAAGTTTGACAAAGGTGAAATTTGATAAAATGCAATCGGCGTCATAAAATCAGTTTTAGGACGAGATGGCAAGAGAAAGCGACCAGAAAACGAGAAGCAAGCAGGCAGCGACGATGAAGAAGACGAAGATGATGAGGATGAAGAGGAAGGAAGTTTTGAACGAGAGCCTGAAGACAGTACGACGCCCATGCCGCAATACGCCACGATAAAGTATGTTGGAACAAAGGAATTGCAAAAGAAATCTCTCAATGTCAAATGACTTAGTTGTTTTTTTAATTGAAACATTTTCTTATTTTTTTTGAGAATCAGGAAAGCAATGTAGTCAGAAGTTGATACTGCAAAAAAAAAATTATACGTGTGACACTTAAATGGCCAATTTGCGCAGACCTCTACAGCAGAATGTTTTTCTCTCAAATGGGGATTTCTGTGAATGCCGAGATTTTCGCTACGGTCTTATGTATATGCAGCAAAATTCTGGACAAATTTTAATGGAAAAAAATGAGAATATTGATTTCCTATGAGAACCAATTTGCAGACCAAGACGTGCGCAACTACCAGGCATTGTCAGAAGCTCGACAAACGGAACAGGTCTTTCAACTGCCCCATCAAACGGACCCCCAGGAAATGGGACCTTGCAAAAGACCTCTCAACCGAGCATGACAACAAGGAGAATGATGAAAGTCATGGTCAATCAGAACAGTATGCAGCCTCTGACAACTGCTGAGAAAGATCGATACGCCGACGGTCTGTCTCAGCCGGTTTTACAGCCGGAGAGCCTCACTGCTCGAGAATATGATAACATCAACGAATTATAGATTATTTGATTTTTTTTCAGTTATTTGGGTTTTTGGATATTTTCCATTGTTAATTTTCACCAGCTGCATGTTTTTCCATTGATTGTTAAAAAGCCTTTTTCCGTTGACTTCTTTGTGTCATTAACTTTTTTCCATTTCCAACACATACGATGCCTTTTTCTCTATTCGAGCCATGCCTAAAAGTGATCTTAAAGCCAAAACACACTAACAAGCCATATTTGAAATAACTTATTGAACGAAACAGTTCCATTTTTTTACGCTCAATTTATGAATCATGTATTTGTTGTCACTTATTTTGTATTATGGGAAACATCTGTGAACTATTGTTATTATTTCCGATTGAATGCCTCTCTTTCCTGGTTTCACCTCTTTATTTTTTTTTTTTGGTCCGTGTCGAATTCCAATGAAAGGTTTGTGTAAAGCTTTATTGGTTCGTAGTTAAACTTTCAACAAAATAACAGAAAAGTTCATCACGCCGCCAAAAAGTTCAGGTAGATGTGCTCCCGGAAGGCCTGAAAAGAATTTATCAAATTTTGTTCAAGGCTTTGAAAACAGCAACAAAAAAATTCAATTTGAAAACTTTGAGAAATTAATATTATCAAAAATCAGATTCCAGTGTTCAAATGTGCGCGCTGCCTATCAAATCAACCTGGCCCACTTACTCATTTTAAATAAAAACTAATCATTTGGTTTCGAAAAAAAAGTTTGCACTTGTATGCATTTTTAGATAGTTTTGGACAAAACTTCCAGACTTCACAATAAATTGACCCTTTCAAAATTTTTTTTGAAATAATTATCATAATCATAATATAACCTCAACGATATCAAAAAGTTTCATCGCAATCGTTTCCGGCAGGCCGTCGAGAATCCTCACGCATCGAGCAAAGTTGAAACTCGCAAACTGATCCCCATCCACGTTCTTCAATTTGATTTCAGAGTTTCTCTCCGGAAGTTTTCCGAAGTCCCACCATTTCAAGCAGCACTTTTATCGCTTCTGGACTCAGTTTTCGCGCCCAATACTTGCCCATGTACTCATACAGCTCTTTGGCGTTCCAGGTTCTGGGATCAACCGACTTTTGAATATTCAGTTGGAACGCTTGCGTCTGCAAAATTTCTATAAGCTTAAAAAGATGGGAAAAAAAAATGGTAAAGTTAATTGGCTAATGTAGACAAAATCAATGATGATCTCTCACAAACTTTACAGTTGAAAACGCAAAAAATCTGAGGGCTCAAAAAAATTACCTTCGACTTTCGTACAATTGTAGGGGAGCCGTGGACAAGACGTTCTTCGATGCTGCTGCTCGGCTTATTTTTTCTGAAATTACAGTTTTCATCATCATTTTCGTTCAAGGTAAAAACACATAAAAATGGAAAAAAGTTGTTTGATTTGAATTTTATTTAGAAAATAATGTTCTAATGATAATAACTTCTCAACATACGAAAGTATAGATGAATCGGTAGAAGCTTTAGAAGGCATAGCTTTTTCAGAGCTTGCTGAAAACTTTCGTTTGTTTTGAACTGAAACGGAAGCGGTAGCGACGCTGCTAAAAATCTTTATTAAAATACAGAAAAAAACATTTAAGAATTACGATGGCTGCTTATTGCTTTTCGATGAATCATCGTCGGACAAAACCACAATTTCAGCTGGTTTCTGGGTTATGCTGCGGCGCTGGAATCCATATATTCATCAGTCAAACATTTCCACAATCAACCAACCTGCTCAGTATATTTTTCGAATGCATCCATAAACTCGTACACGCTTAAGTTTTCACAGTTTAGAGTAAATTTCAAAGTGAAATCACAAACTTTTTTCTGTCTGTCAAAAAAGGATTCTCGTTATCTCTGTCGTAATCCAAATTTGGAGCAATCTTTTTTTGGTCCTCAAAATGATGATTTATGGGTGAATACACTATTTGCAAACGAACCTCCATTGGAACGTTGGCGATGACCTGCTCGGTCATTCTCATGACTTCGAACCACATCACACGATTCTCCGTCTTTTCAATCGGCCTCACTATGAACCTACGCTTCATTGCGAACAATCGTCTTCCCTGAATTACTTGTTTGAAATTCAACACAAAAAAGTATAGAACTATGATGATATCAAACCTTTTCACAAAACACGCAGGTGAAGTCGTCTCTTATTGGCTTCAAAGAAAGAACGTTCGGGCAACACTGCATTGCTCTCGTAACCGTCTAAAAAGATTAATTGAAAGATGAAATGGTTTGTAATAGTTTATTCCCCCTACTTGAAAGACGGGATAGATAGATTTGTAAAATGACTCGAGACGTATGTGAGGCGGTTTTTTTCGCGGGGAAAGAAAAAAACTTGAGGTCAAACGACATCAGGAAAAATTAAGTATAATATAAGTTTTTTGTTCTTTTCCATAAAATTATTTGATCAACTAAACGGTATTAGAAAACTGAGACGGCTTTTTTCTTAAGAACGAGGGCAAAATATATGTCAGATACCCGCGTCTAGAGGTCAACACGTTCAATTAGGGTCTTTCGGTCAAAGCTGAAGCCAAACGAGGCTAATTCAAAAAATTTTCACACGTGTCATCTTTGATACTTTAGTGAAGAAAATCTGAAATAATTTTTGACAATGAGATATCATGGTTGGAAGTTCGTGAAAAAGATATGCCCATCCCTGAGCAGTCCAGCATTTTTCCTTGTGGTGAACTCTTTTTCACAGGAAAAACTTGGGAATCTCTTTGTTTATGGAATTATTTCAGTGCAGTATGGTATTGAAAACTACTAAAACACCTTAGGATACTTACGCGAAGCCAACCACCAAGCTGCCGAGTTTTGCAACTGGGAACCCTGAGAACCAGTTTGTCGAGGCCGGATCTGACCCGGCATTTCACAGTCATAGTTCCGTAGTTCGCAGCTTCCGAAACGTTGCCAAAGCAAGCGATAATAGCTTTTTGTTTCTCTGGTTTTGTAACACAATTTAACAGATCCTGAAAAAAAAAGAATGAAAAATAATCTTTCACATCTTTCCACTTTGAAAATTTGGCTCGTAACAGATGGGATGGAACCGGCTTCAAAAAACTTTCTAAGGTTTTTAACCGCTTCCACATCCATATTCGGTCCAAAGTCGCAGTTCAGGTTTGTGTAAATTCGAGGAGACCACGAATCACCTTGAAGAAATAATCAAATTTGAAGCTATTAGAAAACTTCTTCTCACTCTCAAGGAGGCATTTTGTCATGAATGGTTTCTCGCTTGTGCTCGGATCGAAGATATTCGTTGGAACGCTGGTATACTTTTTGTCCAGTCCAAAGCGATGGCCATCTGGAAGATTAGAATATAAATACTAATTTTTCTTCGAGAATAGGAAAAAGTCAAAAAAAGTAGAATTATTTGTTCGAGGTGAATATTCTCGTATTAAGAAAACAGTTAACGCCATTTGTTTTTTTAACCAGCACGTCGGATTCCGCACTGTTTGCTAATCTTTATCAATGCAAAAAAATGTAATTCAACATCAATCTACAAATAAATTGTATAAAAAAATATTCTGCAAGTTCATTTATAAAAGTTTGAAATACAATTTGCTTCAAAAACCCGAATTGTATTTGATTGGTGAAAAAGATCTAAAAAGTTTTTCGCGTGTTATTCATTTTCATCCCAGCAATTTTTCACCAGCTTCCCAAATTATTTTGCTGATTCGTACCTTTCATGTCCCATTTGGGATAAGTCTCCAAAGGCGGTTCTTTGATAAAGGGCAAGCTGTATCTGTCGAAAGCACACACAGGAAAAAGCGAGAGATCTCTGGAAAAAAAAACTAGAATAACCATTTTTTTGCCGCAAACTTCTGATGAAAAATGTACGGCGCTCGGGCTCTGAAGTTGGCGCCACAGACAAGCCAGACAAATCCTTTTTCAGCTCGAACAATCAGGGCAGGTGAGAAGAAACCTTGTTCATAGGAGAAGTGCTGAAAATCACATTCGGAAAAGTAATACAAAAATTAAAAAAAGGTGAAGAGAAAAACCCACCAATAAATAACGCAGAGTTGGTACTTTTGATCTTGGTTCTTCCAGCGCACCAATGTTTTCCGCAGGAACCTGGAAAGGGATGAAAATGTAAAAACAGAAAAAAAAAATGACCAACTCCGTTTGGACAGTACATAGTGCGATAAATATCCCAGTTGAATTTGGATTTAACATCTTCATTGACATTGTTCGGAGGCTGGAGAGTGTACCCAATAGAAGCAGCAAATCCGACAGGAAAAATGTGGGTGCTTCTTCTGTGAGCCATGTGCTAAAACTCAATAATTTGGACCATTGATATACCGATTTTGCTTTTTATTTTCTTAAGAATCTCAAACCTCAATGAGACTGTCTGCAGGCTCATATTCGCCAGAAACAACAGTAAAATAATGATCGTTGATGATCTCTTTTACGTGCGCGTAGTAAAAAGTTTGGCGATCTTTGGCCAATACCTCCACAAGGTAACCAGGCTGAAAAGATGAATAAAACTACTTGCTGGATTTTATTTATTATTTTACCAGTAGGCCATGCTGCGTAATGTGATTCCTTTCAAAAATGATTGCAGGAACCGGTGATTCTAAGTATACTTTTTGATTGATATTGTTCTCCTCAACATATTTGACCTGAAAGAGACAAAGCATTGACTAAAAAGTAAGACAAGGAGAAACTAACTTTTTCATGAGTTTTCCGTCCCCATCCAAGCTCGTGACATAACACGTCTGCCATGTGGATATTGAACACCTGTGAAGCTCAGGCATAAATTGAAAAATCAGAAAACTTTCTAATTTACCGAAGCTTTGAAATACATTCGAACCTAAATTTTTGTAGGATCTACAATCTCAAAAGGGAAATTCTCCTGTGTAAAAGATTCAAGTTTTGTAAGTTCGTACTGATTGAAAGGAGTTTAAAATTGTGATAAAAAACATTTCGAAGCTTATATTGACCAATATTTTTATTTTTGTTTTACCAACGAAAAACGAAACTTTTTTTCAAAAAAAGTTCAAAAAAATAAAAAAATCCTTAAAAGGTTTCGAAAATTCAAGAAATTATGGTACTAAGTTAAAAACATTATGGTACTCACCGCAGTACCGCTCTCAGCCGTGATAATTGGCCCTCTAACTTTCATTACTTTAGCGATATGAACAGTTGCTGGATCATTTGGATCTTGTATTTCGAAAAATTGGCCTCTCTGTAAATAATTTCAAAGAACGTGCCTCAACGAAGATCCGATCCGACCTGAACTAAATCGTAAACTTTCCATGGGAGATAGTTCCGATGAAGCAAAAGTTTGCGATGATCCACGAAAGGTGTGTAGTCGTTTAAAATTTCTTCACAAAAACTAAAATCGAGGATTGAAGTCAAAGTGGATGTGGTTCGGTTTTACTTTTTTGCATCGCAAATGATTTTTTCATCCGTGACAATTTTGTCGACTGCAACGTAGTCAATTTCTCGATTGCCATCCAAGTATTTCAGCCGAATTTCATTATCCAGAACAATCTGAAAATTTTAATTTCATGAAGTTTAAAATGTATTCTTTCTGCATTCTACCTTAACCGTAGCAACCCGAACGATATCTGGTTGGGGCATGACGCAAATATTATGTCCAGTGATGCAAATCAAAGAAATAACGGAACGGTCAAAATAAGTGTCATGCCCACATAAAGCTGGATCTATTGAAGGCATCACGCAACTTAGCTGAAATTATTAAGTTATGAAAAAAAAACCCGAAAGAGAAACTCACATAGAGATATGACGACCATTTTTCGAACTCATTCGTTTTGTCGTTTGTTCTGTTTTCAATTACCAGTTTCGGCTGAAATTCAACGATTCTGTTGTCCCACAAAAATTCATGAAATAATTAATCTTTGATAAAAATTGCCTGAGTCATTTTAGTCATGGTGAAACTGTTATGTTGTATATATTTTACGTGAACAGAAATAATTTTCATTTTTTAAACGTAAAATTTTTCGAATCGATTCCGAAAAAAACCAGTAGAACCGGTATATTAAACTCCCAATTTAAAACAATGAAACAATATTTAAAACTCCATAGCTTAGCCCTTGGATTTGATAACAGTCTTGCATCTTTGGAGCAACGACTCGATAAGTGTGTCCAACATGCTCATTGGGATCTTTCCCAAACTTCTTTGATTAGCTTTTTAACTTTCAGGTCAAAAGAATTCTTTTTAACAGCAAAGTTCTTCAAAAAATTTCGGGTGAAAACAATAATTTTTAACAAAGTTATGTACTAAAAATTGTAAATATATATGAATTTGAAAAAAATCGCTGATTTTTGGGCTTTTTTTCCGTTTGGTTTTCCGTTTGAAAAATAATTGATATATGATTAAGAAAAAAAGTATGAACTCACAACGTAAGTCGAAAAGTCCATTTATGATGAATAACTGTTTTGAACTTGGAAGAAACCTGGAAAAACAACGTTTGTTAGAATAAATAAAATAGAAATGATAGAAATAGAAACATAATTGAAATTTAAAAAAGTAAATGAAATTACGCGGCGTCCCGGTATTTGCACTGCGAAGAAATACGGACATCCTTCACACCGAGCGCAAAACTGCACAAATGGAAAGGTGCCAAAGAGCCGAAGAGCCAAGGGCACACAGACTGCTCCGACTCGGCGTGGGTTTTTTGATTGAAAGTGTGAAGTTTACCTGAGGCTTTGAGAAAATGATTATCCGGCACTCGGTATATCATCATGGAAAGACATTGTGTTTTTCTTGCTCTCAAGAAAAAAATCTTATTACTTGGCGGTTGGGATTTTTCTGGAAATTGTTCTCAAAAAAGAACTTTGACGTGCCAGATAAACAGTGTAAAATTTTAAGCATGTAAAATGTTCTAGTTTTTGAGAAAAAAAACACCTCAATGTTGAAACAAGTTATTCTGGAAGTTCGAGCTCTTAAAAAAAATCAAAATTTGTGCCTTACGAGGCTTTCAGGCGACCCTCTTTTTCAGAAGTTCGCCGGCTATTCTCTACGTGCATAATGTATATTAATTTTTTTAAAGCATCCTGAAAAAAAATCAAAGTCAAAAGCCATTGTTTAGCATGGCGACCGATACTTTTTGGTCCGATTTTTTTCTTAAAAAAATTAAATTCCCAATAACCTTCAAAATTGGGAGAAAATATCCGTAGGACTTACTTGTTTTGGTTGAAATTTTTTTGTCCTTTTGTCTATTTTTTTTTCGCTCAAGTTTCTGAAGTTTTCATTTAAGTTATTTGGAGTGAAATTCAAAAAAATATACGCGTTTTTTTGAAAAAAATATTAACTTCGTCCGACTGTTGAATCTGAAAAAAATAACACTACTTTGAATTAGTGAGCTTCCGAGATCCGTTTTCTTATTTTTTTTTCACCGCCTACTTTTCGTTCATTTTGGAATTGTAGCAGTCGAAAAATTAATGATTATTTCAAGCGCTGGAATTTATAAATTTTTTTAACTGAAAGAGGAGTTCTCAAGTTTTTCAAACTAAAAAAGCAAAAAAACTTCGAGCGCAACAAATAATGAGGCTGTGTGAAAATACATCGATGCTGTTCGGAATCCGTTGGCTTCGGCATAGCATTGATTCTATTTTTTGCGTCGCACGAACACGATTGATGTAACTTCCCGCTGCGAGCAACTTCTCTTTTGCCAGAAAATGTCCGATCGACAGATATGAAGCTCAATATGAAATCGTTGAGAGTGTTACAAAAAGTGAGATGAAGAAGTTCGAAAAAAACATTCATTGAATTAAAAAAAGACGAATGAATTAATTTTTAAAAGCCCCAAAAAGAAAAAGTCCGCTAAAAGGTTCATTCTAATGACAAAAAAAACGAGATGACTATTTCTTCTTTTTTTAAAAAAAACTATATAAAAAGTACGATCTTTTTGTTTATTTATAATATTGAGTTTTGTTCTTTTTTTGTTTCGATAAGACTCCCTGATCCATCTCACGGTTTTTGAAATGAAAATGTCCACAACTTGACAATAATTTCGACGGATCTTGAAAATAGAGCTTTTTTTTCTGGGACCAGTGGTTTTCCAAAATTTGACTGAAACATTTTATATTGTTTAAAATAAAAATTCCATCTAGGATATTTCCCTAAGTTTAAGATACTTTTCCTCGTTCTATGAAAATTTATTGGGATTTTTTTTGTCAAAAACAAGAAATAGCAAGTATGGTTCTTTAATACAATGTAATGTGTAAGCTTATCGACCAAGATTCTAATTTTTATAGAGAAATGATAACGGAATTTCTTTCCTGAGAGGCTGCTGTCCTGTTTTAGGTTTGGCAAAGCATGATCTTCGGCCTGTACAATTTCTCTGTTCCTGGGAGTCGCAGCCTAGATGTTTCTCAAGCGCGGCTGCTTTGCCGTAGTTCGTAGGAAATCGTCCGCCTCAAAAAAGCGTTTGGCAAGTCGAGCCGAGTTTACAACGGACTGCCGTTGAGCCGCCTACCCACAGAGCTACGGTGTATTTCGAGGCTATCCGCCCTGCTAACAAGTTACAGCGAAATCCAGAGCCACGCCTTTCAGCTCATGCTTGTTCGCTAGATGTTCATTGCCAGCTTCTCTCGAGCCAGACTACCAGTCAGGAGCTCACATCTTCCCCTACTTCCAGTGCCACTCATTCGAAACCTATTTTGAGATTTTCGATACTGATACTCAAATGTTCTTCTTGAAACTTTATAACAAAATTTTCGAAGTTGTTTGAATAACGCTTGACTTTCTTGTATTGAAATTCAATCGTTCGACTCTTTACATCGTTTGCTTTCCATAAAATACAAGCGTTTTTTAAAGCTTCTAATTTTCAGCGTGCATCATGTCCGACGAGGAGGAAGTGCTGTGAGTGTCTTATTCTCTTTTCATTCAACTTGAAATTAAGTTGACTTGGGAAAGACTCCGCCAAAAATTAATTTCTATCCGAGGCGACAAATTTTAGTGTAACAAGGGTTCTTCGGTTGTTTTCGAATCATTTTTGCGCCACATGCCACGTTCTCGGCTGTCACTCTGCTCTCAGCGGCAGGAGACTTGAAAACCAAACGAATTGCAGCTCCGGTGAGGAGGAGGAGGAAGTGGAAGAGTCGCAGGCCGACGAACCCGAAGAGGACGCCGAGGAGGCTGAGGAAGATGCCGAAGAAGCCGAGCCAGAACCTGAAGCGGCTCCCCCAGTTGAGGAAAAGTATGAGATTCAAATCTTACAGAGCAAAAATAATTTTCCTTAGGCCTAAACCACGTCCGCCTCCAATCCAGGAAGAAAAGCCTGTCGCGGAAATGACCGAAGCTGAAGCTGCTATGCTGGTGAGTCGAACTGAAAAGTGGAAACAGATTGCACGACTTCCAGTTCAAAACACATGTTAAAGAAAAAAAGCAGCGATGGCCAAAATAATGAAGCAGTAGTATATTTTTTTAGAAAAAAAAAAATTAAACCATTCTTCTTGGACTTCAATTTTCAACAGAAAAATATTGACAGCAAGTTTTCAGGCTGCTAAAAAACGCCACGAGGAAGAAGAAGCCGCCAAGCTTCTTGACTACGAACAGCGTCGTGTGCTGGAAAAAGAACGCATCGATGAGGAACTTCGTGAGCTCAAGGAGAAGCAGGAGAAACGCCGCGCTGAACGCGAAGATGACGAGCGTCAGTTTGCTGAACGGCGCCGTCAGGATGAAGAGCGCCGTCGCAAGGAAGAAGTAATTATTCTTTTTTTGCTTCATTTGTTGACCAAACCTGAGCAGGGTCAAATGTGGTAAACGTCAAATTCAAAATCTAGGAAGAACGCAAGAGCAAGGCTGACGCCGAGAAGGCGCGCAAAAACGAGGAGAAATCTCGTCGTCAACAGATGATGGCCGGTTCTTTTGCTGGTGCTGCTGCTGGCGCTCCTGGAGGAAAGAACTTCACCATCCAGAAGGGCGACAAGGCCGCTCAACTGGGAAACTTGGCCGGTGTACGTTTTCTTTTTTTGTGATGTTCTTCAAGATATACTAAATCACTACAAATGAAATTCAAAATTTGTAGGGAGCTAAGCCTGAAGTAGCCACCAAGGAGCAGCAAGACGACAATAAGAGGGCTTTCCTGGCTGCCGTCTGCCGACCAGTCGACGTTTCTGGCCTTATGCCCAACGACTTGAAGGAACAAATCAAGCGCCTTCACCAGCGCATCGTCAAGATCGAAGGCGAGAAGTACGATTTGGAGAAACGCCGTGAGCGTCAGGAGTACGACGTGAGTTTTGAGCCTGTAGAAACTTTCCTCCATTATCGAAAACCACATAATGGGAAATATTGATCGATGATTACAGTTGAAAGAGTTGAGCGAGCGTCAGCGCCAAGTTGCTCGCAACAAGGCCCTCAAAAAGGGACTCGACCCAGAAGAAGCCGCTTCTTCTGTTCATCCTCCGAAGATCACGACGGCTTCCAAATTCGACCGTCAGATCGATCGACGATCCTACGGTGACCGCCGTTACCTCTTCGAGTCTCCCATCGTCAAGAAACCCCCAAGCATTGCTCGTGGATCTGGCCGTCCGCCAACAGAATGGGGACGCAAGGAAAACGAGGAGCTTGAACAGCTCCGCAAGAACCTCGAGCCTCCGAAGTACGTCGAGCAGGTCAAGGCTGAGGGAGATGCTGCGCGGCCGCCGATGGCTCCAATCCCCTTGGTCCTCCCGGAAAAAGACGAGATGGACGAGGTGCCGCAACAACAGCAGGAAGAAGTCCGTTTCTTTTCTTTCGAGTCACAGCTTCTTAGCTTCCTAGATTAATTTATCATTTTTCCAGCAAAGCGAAGCCCCTGTTCCTGACAGCGAAAACGCTGCTGAGGAAGTTGCTGCTGCTTAAACATTGGAACAAAATTCAAAAAACCTACTTTTTCCGTTGTATGCTCTTTATGAAAAGATACCTAGTTTGCTTTCATCCGGTGTTTCTGTACACGTTTCAATAAAATTTTTCGCCGATTTTTGTGAGTGAATATAATGAAGTCTGAAAAGGCAAATGTCATAAAACCCATGACCATCCGGCTCTTTCCCATTCTGATAAGAATTTTGTTGGACAAATACGCATTAAAACCATGGCGGCGTTAAATGCTGACATTTATGAAATGTCAAAAGTCCTCTTGAAGCAAGAGTTCGATAAAAAAATAATTGGAAATTTGGAACTTTTATTCAGCCTTCCAAACACATTCTCTGCTGTTTTGTGCTATGAATGAAGAATTATTTGTAGGTTTGCAAAAATCACTCTGGTTGAGAAAATCTGGCCTTCTGAGAAATTGAAACGATGTCTCCAGTAGAATAAATTTGAAAATTATTCTAAAGTTTTTGACTAATAAAGAAAAAAACTCCATGAAACAACGTCTAAAAATGATCAATTTTTTTCAATATAAATTTATATACTAACAAATTTCTTGGTCGTGTGACAGAGAAAGTTTTTTTATAATTGTTTTTTTCAGAGCTTTGGTGAACAGTTACTCGACATGTTTACATCGAAGCTTCGAAAATCTCACGTGACAATGTTTTTTTGAACACGCGGCGAACCATGAAAGTCTACTGAAACAGTCGAAAAGTGTATTAAGATTGTTAAGAAAACTTAATGTTTTTATTGAATATTCTTATGCCCTAACTTACAAGGGGAACTCATTGGAAACAATGGATTGAAAACTTATGAAATTTCGCTCAAACTCCTCAGTCCGGTATACAGTGTTCTTTCGAACTAGTCTTTTTTCTTACTTTTCAAAAACGTCTTTTCAAAAAAAAAGGCTAAGTTGCGATGAATTAGAAAAAAAAATTCAAATTGAAAACAGTATACACAATGCAAAATCACTGGGAATGCCACTTATTTGTTTTTGTGTTTTTCAAGAATTACAAAGCCATTGGCATCAGATCTAAAAATAAATTTTCTATTTTTATATCGAAAATTATCTTCGGAGAACTCATTTATTCCTTCACTTTCAGGCACCTAAATTTAAGATGAGAAGATGATTCAGGGGTCGATGACGTCATCCAAGTCCTTCCTGAAAAAAAAATGTCGTTGATCTACATTGAAATGGGAACACCACGCTGTCTGTGAGTAACCTTAAACAAACAATCGCAAAACGACTGAGGCGATTTCTTTAGGGGCGGGTTAAAAGAAGCGTTATCAGCCTCTGACGTCAATCTTAGATTTCCTCACAAAACTTCATTTATAAGCACGAGGTCGAGCAACAACTTCACACCATTTTCTCATCTTTTTCCCAAGTTTGTTTAAGGTTCATCTTAACCTTTAAAGCTGACTGCGAAGTTTCCGTCTTAAATATTTTTTGTAAAGACTGATTTTTTCTAGACCAAAAGGTTCGATAAAATTTTTGAAGAAGTTTTTTTTTTTTTGAGTAAAGATTTTTTTTTTAATTTTCAAAGTTAGTCACTTTCAAGCGCACTATCCATTCTATTACTTGCTGCCTCTTCCGCTCAATTTTTTTTTATTGGTTGACTAACATCCGTTTTGCTGGATTCAACTATATGGAAATTTCAGAGAATGTCGTACAATCCTTACAACAACGGCTGCCACGGAGGTTACGGTGGAGGATATGGCGGAGGCTACGGTCACGGAGGACCTTATGGAAACGGTCCTTACGTACCTCCACCTATGCCTTACGGACCACCTACGCATGGCAGCTATCATCATTATCATCATCACCATAATCCCATTTCCAACTTCGCTCATAATATCACTCATCCTTTCGAGGACCGCCATCATGGAGGACACCACCATCACCATCATCACGGACATTATTAATCAACGTTTAGTGATAAAAAGTCGTATCTGTTTGTAAATTTGTACAGAAGTCTTATTAAATTCCTATGAATGTTTCTTAATAAACAATGAACGCAATAATCGAATTACCGTCAAGTTTTCAAAAAAATAAAAATACGAGCATTGGTAAAAATGAAAATTGGACTTTGTTACATTTTTATTGAGGCTTACAGGCTTGCTTCAGACAAAGAGCGTGCGGAAAAAAATTCTCGCAATCAGCAATTTTTGCCATTTTTTAAAAGTTCGAACCTAGATATTCATTTGACTATTCTTCAAGTGTTTGGGTTTTTTCACATTTTTGCCAGAGAAAGCTTAATTGAAAAGGCATGAGGGTTTTCTTGGAAAGTTAGCCTCCAAAAAAGTTAATGTTTTCCGGACCGGAGAAGAAATTCAAAAAAAAAGTTGAAGAGTTGTTCGTCAGTTCGCTAAATTTTCGTTGATCAAGAACGGCGCGTATCTTTCTTGTGAAAATATTAGACGAGTTTTGAACGTTCTTCCGACGATCCCCTACTTTTACATGTAGGAACAGTACGGCGCCCAGCTTCTCCTGGGCTGACGGGCGTTTGATTAAATCTCAACAACTCGAGAGATAAAAATAGGATAAATCGATGTCATTGCGACCGAAACTCCGCAGAAAACGTAAAAAAAAAATGCCTAAACCTCCAATAAAAAAACCAGAAACCGTGGTAAGCCCAAGATAGCTGCATTTTTTCACTAGCCTAGTGAAAAAAAATTGCAGCTATTTGAAAGAGAGGGTCTAAAGTTAAATTGAACGGCAAAAATTATTTGAGAAAGTGAATAGGTTTTGAATTCAAAATCTGAAACTGCTTGAAGATAATATCCCATAAAATTTTGAAATTCTTGTAAATTTGCTCGAATGCTATTTCAGTTTCAGATGAGGACCTCAGTGTCGTTTTTTGCATGAAGTTTCGGATGGAAAAGTATGATTTTTCAAGTTTGAAATAGGACTTAAAATTTATTTCATAACTTTTTTTGAGAGAGCTTCGTATTCATAAGAACAAAAAAATTCAAAAAAAGATTTTTATTTTTTTCCTATGCTGAAGAGGTTATCAACGCTGAAAAAATGTTTTTGACTTCTTTTTTGAAGTTTCTTTGGAGCTACTTTTAAATGAATTCATGGAACAAAATTTTTTCCGATTATGTCTTTTAATCTGCATTGGTGTTTCGTTTCTTTTTTTGGAAGCTTCGAAAAGATCGAACACTCAAAAAGACTTTGTTCCACTGAATATTGAGAAGAACAGACACGACTGTATAATTTAAAACAATGAAAATTTTTGGTCTGAGAAAACGGCTCTCGCCCTGTTTTCCTGTTCCTCTCACGGTTTCTTTGCGAAGTTTCCGATCACGGAATGTTCTGGATTCAGTTTCTGCGATTTTTTTCGATTATTAGTTACGAAACGCGATCGAAAGAAAAAAATTATGTACGATTCATATTTCTGTCCAAAATTCTTTTACGAGTCATCGAAAGCCAAAAAATCAGAAAACAACTTTTTTTTTCTGTTTTCAAACAAATTTGCGTGATTTCAACAATGCTCTCAAGACTATTTCCGCATAATCCATTTACAAGTGGTATATAAGCAATCGTTTTCCTACCACATTCACATTCCTTTTTTTTTCCCGTCGACGTGGCCTTCGAAACGTTTCTCTTTTTTATAGTTTTTGAGATTTTTTTGTCTTTTATCTTTTGAATCGAAAAACTCCTTGTAGGAATTCTTTTCTGTGGCTTATGCTCAGTCGTTTTCTTGGCCGTTTACATTCTTAAAACAAAGTTATTTTCAGAATGTTAGTAAAAAAAACCGTTTTTCTTCTACAAAAACTCATCTCTTCCAAACTTGAAATGGTGTTTTGAACAGAAAAAATTGGAGCAAATCAGTTTGAACTTTTTGATAGCTTTATCAAAAGATGTTGATTTTTAACTGCTTGAGAACAAAGTTAGTTTCTTGAAAGGGCTCTTCTAGAAGTTTTTTATTGTCTATCGATCTGAGGGATTTTCAAGACTCGACAACTTTCTGCTTTTTCTTTGTTACATAAGCATTTTTTTTTTCTTTTCTGCGATATCATGTAGAGCTGCGCGTGACGGAGAGCAATTGCGACGCAGACGGTCTCCAGATGGTTAGAGAACACATTATCCCGATAGCCATTTCTCTGACATTCGAGATGCCGCAAACCTTTGGCAGACACGTCGAGAACGTGGCTCTGCGATTTAGAAACCGAAAATTACGAATCGAAAAGTGATTATTTCTTTTTAGATAATCTCAACGAGAACTGAGAATGTCGAGCATCACGACGACCGTCGGAAATCAAGCGAAGTATTTGGTGAGTACTACTTCCATCAGATAAATGCGGATGCTCCGTGAATTCATTTTCAAACCTCACTAGAAATATACAAATAAGGAAAAAATTGAAAAAGAATGATGATTTACACTAAGTTCTGTCGATTTAAATAAGAGCGTACAAGTTTTAATGAATTCTGACCGGACCCGATAGCTGCGTGAAAATATTATTTAAGAGCAAAATACTTTAAACTACGCAACCTCAGTCTCTCAAAAAGCTTCAAAGATGTATTGATACTTACGAAATAAAAGGCAAGGAAAACCATAGCTTTAGCAGGTTAACTGGAAAAAAATCTCTAGAAAAGTGTTACAGTGTCCTGCGGAAACGTTCAGTTTCGAGTGCGCGGTCTACATGTTCGTCGTCGGAGTGGCACTCTTTTGCGTGAAGTACAAAACGTAAACTCATTTTAGAGCTTATCACCACTGTTGGAGAATTCAGAGTCGGTCGCTACAGTAGGTACACAGCTCCTTTCATGTTCATCATGCTGGGAACTCTCGAGACCTTCTACTTGTTCTGCGTCCTCGATACTGTCTTGAAACAATGCATCGCCTTCTTCGATCCCATTTGTATGTTTTTCAAAACTTCTGGTAAAAGTTTGTGGACAAGCATTAAATTTGCAGGCTACCATGCGTCGGCCATTGCTATCCCGATCATGGTAAAAGTCAACCAGTTATCGATTCTCATATCTATTTTCAGTTCTACGGACCCGGAGTTATGACTTACGTCTTCTTGGTCACCATCGCCTTCGAGATCCTGCTGTTCGCCGTGTTCTACAAAGAGATTTCGATGAAGACTCACGAGAAGCTGCAAAACGAAGACATCTGAGTACACAAATCAATACCGACTTTGTTATGTGTCTTTTTTCTTTTTGTGGGTATAAACATAAAAATGGGCAGTGTTGAAAGTATTTCTCGGAAGTCATCAGATTCAAGCCTTTAGTTTTGGTAATTACGACATGGTCTCCTCTGTTGGATTTTTTTGGAAGTAGTAAAATTGGTCAGACGTTCGACCGGCTACTCGAATAAAAGAAATACTTTAAAACTACTGTAGTCGCTCAACAAAACTTACGGTTTATCATTGTTTTTCATTCTCTTTTGAATTTCATGCGCTATGGCAGTGCACACCAACATGCTTCACAGTCCGGAGGACCTGATGAAATAAAAATTAGTAAAATTTCCTTATTCTTCGCCATGGCGACACCATGAGATTTTTTTCTCCAACAGACCAGATACATCTTATTCGGATAAAAGTTTAAAATAGAAAAGTTTTGACTAAAATTCGTGCAGAAATCATCTAGATTTTAACGTAACGTTAGTTTCCGAGTACAGCGAGAGTTCCATAAAATCGAAAATCCACGTTCTTTTCTTCTCATCGTAAACAAACGCTATCCCATGAAATACTTAATACTGTATTTTAAAATTTCCCATCCATCAAAAAACAATATCTGAACAATGTCTTGTTCCCTCTCTTCACAATTGATTTTTGGGAACGACGGGCCTATAAAATTTCTGATCGACAAAAAATTTCGAAATAAAAACTTCTTTCGCCATCTTTCCGTACAGTGGCAAGAGCCTTCAGATTTTTTTTTTGAAACGTGTCTCACAATAATTTCTATCCACCATCCAAAATATAGACTTCCTATTCAGAAGTAAATTCAAGCAATACTAATCTAGCAAAATTTCCGTGGCTTCTTTTTTTGTGAAAAAAATGTACAAATTAAAAATAATTTTTTTAAGGAATGCACGGGGCCGAGATGGAAATGGAGCTTGGTTCTCAACACATTTCGTTTCAAAAGGTAGGCAAACGAGTTCCTTTTTGATCTAATGGAGAGAGTATTCCAGTGCACGTCCGACAAGCTGTTCCTCGAGTTTTCATTCTACATGCTCATCGTCGGGATTTCCATCACTTGCCTCAAATTTTGGACGCTAGTTTTTTTCTTAAATGACTGACAAACTGGGAAATTTTAGAATGGATTCCTACACGAGGTACACGGGATTCTGCAGCACCTGCATCCGAGGCTTCGCGACTTTCTACGTCTTCATCATTGCCGATTTCCTAGCCATCGCCCTCATCAACCTTTTTGACCCAATTTGTAAGTTTTCCACGGAAACTCTAATGAAAGTTTGAGTTAAGGCTACAACGAGATCAACGGTGTCGTTCCGCTTTTGGTTAGTTTTCTTCGAAATGTGCGTCTCTAAAACTTTTTTCAGTTCCACGGAGCAACGACAATGGCTTGCTCCTTCCTGGTCATCCTCTGGTTTGAAATCCTCTATCTGTACGCGGTTCTCGCCCGTCTTCCGGTGGATGCTGAGAAAGAGCAGCCATTCGAAAAGATTTGAGTGACATTGACTTGAATTGTTTCGCGTTTGCGTGTGAAAATAAATACTGAAGACAACAACCTCTCAAATTAATTTTTTTATTCAAACAGGACTATACACTTTAAGTATAATAAGCATTTTTTATCATTTGATAAGTCCAACTTTACAATTTCATGGCTACCAAAAACAATATACAATTTTATTTTTGAAGGTAAAAACGCATTCAGGCATAGTTAACGTTCAAAACTGTAGAGGGTTTTGCATTATTCTCACCAGTGACAGCAATGGCGTCTGCCGTAAAAACGGGGGCGGAACATTGAACGAAACAAGAACCCTCCAAGACGACGTGGTCCAAAGCGTCGGTGGTACGGATCTCCTCCATAGGGAGGATACTCATATCCATAAGCCATCGGCTGCTGCGGAGGCTGTTGATAGGGCTGCACTTGCTGCTGCTGCTGCTGCTGGAGGTACTGCTGGTACTGCTGCTGCTGTTGGTATTGTTGAACGTGCTGAGCGCCTGTCGGCTGAGGGAAACCGTTGTTGCTCATTGGGTAGGGCACTGGCATTCGAGCAGGGTACTGCTGCATGTTGGCTGAGTACGGTGGAGGCGCTTCTGGATAAGGAGATCTGTTCTGCGAAGCCATGAATCTTAAGAAAAATTTTCTTCAAGAATGAAACTGCCGATTGATTCAAGCCGAAAAAACAAACGAAAAAGAAGTTTTCAACCAATTTCAAAGATATGCGTCACTTGCCGGAAAGATAAAAAAAAAAGAAAAAGATGATTGAAAAATGATTTTCGGACCACTTATTTTCGGAAAAGAAAGAAAATCGGTAAAAAATAAGTTGAAAAGCGCAGTGCTCACAACACAGATACAATAGCTCCAATCTGAATGGCTCAGAACAAAACTGCGCCCAACTTATATTCTACATACTTCTGATGAATTATGAAGGAGCTTCTGAGAAGAGAATCCGCTGCGAGCCACGGAAAAAATGAACTGACGTGAATCATTTGTTTGCTTGAGCCTTTGTTGATGTAGCCTGCGAATGAGGGAAGAAGGTGGCCTTCACCAAACATCACTGTCGAATTCGTTTATTTTTAATTTCCCGTCACAAATCACAGAAAAAAAACTTGCTCATTGTTTTCAAATTTTGATGAGTATAAAAAAGCCTCATACGAGTTTCAAACCCTGTGTACGAAGATGATTGAGATATTCGGCTGAATCTAACAGGAAAAAAATTCCGAAAAAAAAAATTTTTTTACTCTTTCATATATTTTCATCGTTTTCACATAATAAAACGAAACTTAAATGAGTGAAATTGAAAAAGAATACATGAGAAAACATAATTATCTAATCGATTCCATTTTCAGGGGTAACGAGAATAATTCATGAATTATTCATACATCTTTCGAGAGAAATGACTGTTAAAGTTCACACGATTAACGAAACAATAGTCACAAAAATTCACCTCTTTCGTTTATGCTTTTTTTCTCAAACAAACCATAAAGGTTAGAAGATCCCTTTAAAAGTTCTAGTCTCAATTCTGCGTCTGAATTACCAATAAAAAAAAAAAAAATCAGGACAATGTTTGCCTGACATTCTTTTGGACCTTGTTCTCTTTTTTCAGAGTCAAATATTCAGTTTTCAATTACATTTTTAAAAAAATTTCTGCTTCTCCGCCCAAAAAACTTATTACGTGACGAAAAAAATAAAAGACCCTGTTACATTGAGATTTTTAACGTAAGTTTTTTTATTCACTATATGCATAAAGTTGATATAAATGTAGAAGTTATACTGAAAAAAATTAACCTGCCTCCCAGAAACAAGAGTTTTTATTGCTTCAACATCTTTTTCTTATTCACTTCTCGGAAATTTTCCGCACTTGTGAAAAATTTCAAAAACGGATGGTTTATCACAATGCCAGCTTTTTTTCCATTAAGAAAAATTAGAAAGTGGTACATTTTTTTCAAATTAGAGAAACGTCAGATTTCAAAAAGTCGGAGAGTAGTGAGTTTTTTTCAAAAATACTGAATGATCGTTTATTCTTTCAATTTTTGAACTTTGCTTCACGATTTCAAAAATAAGATTCAAGTTATTGAGGGGAAAATTCTTGAATTGACCATTGGTCCAGAAACATAATTTTCAATGGGCGATTTAGTATTTCGAACTTTTGATTGATGCAGAAAATAATGATCGAAATCAAACAGATCACAAATTTGAATGATTTCTCATCAAGGGTTTCTCACTTGCTTGAACATTCTGTCCGGATTATCAATACAGTTCCTTTGACTCATAAACGCCTTTCAAACTTCTTAATTGACGACAATGATAGATTTCAATTATTTATTTCAAAAATTCGAAAAAGAGAAAAAAAAAGTGCAACATTATGGTGAACTCATTTATTCATATAAGCGATTCATATTTACACGTGTCAATCAGCAGTGATGATGGTGATGATGATGGTAGGGATTGTGGTGATGATGATAGTAGGGCTCTTCGTAGATGACGACGGGCGGCGGTACGAAAGGGACCGGAGCCACGTAGGTCGGCTGGATTATCGGAGCGACCGGAATCGGCGCTTGGATTGGATAGACTCCAGCTCCTGGGATGTACTGTGGCGGAAGTTGTTGAGGATATGGGTAGTTGTAGTTGTATGACATATCTGCAAGGAAAATACAATTAATATCAAATTATGTCGATTTTATAAGCTAGTGAAACGAAAAGTTCTAGAACAGAAAGAGTCAACGAACTCGTGGCAAATGTTTGGAAAAGAAGATCACGAAAAGGAAAAAAAGTGATAAAGTAGGAGTGAGAAGGGTCGAGATAAGAGGAAGAAGTCGGTAAGTTTGTTTTATAGGGACCGTCTCGCAATACGCGTCATGCCTTTTGTCAACACATACTGATTGCGTCGAAATATCGAAATTGTATGGAAAAAAATGAGTCACGAGAGAGTGAAAGATGACATTTTGAATTCAGATAAGAAAAATAGAAAGCTTTGCGTCATATTTCAAATTTCAAGATAACCTCTCCGAAAAGGAAAAGAATGTGGAACTACAGTAACTTGTTTAAATAATTTGAGGACAGCTCAAGTGCGTACCCACGAAGGAACACGAAACCTTCGCCTTTTAGAGAAATATTGGATTTCACTAATTATATAATGATGGGTATTAACTCTAAAATTTTTTTGTGATTACCGCCGGCGGAGAACTATTGAACGCATATCGATCTATCATTTTTATCATGATTTCTTTTGTAAACTTGCTCATTTCACTTTGAGGTTGGGAATCTCTTAAAAATCGGTCAGCACACGTTTTGATGTACCAAAAGATAATTATGTAAGTCTCAACCTGAATGAGATCCTGTTTATTGAGAGAGACATCCCAAAAGCAGAGGGAACCCTTAAAACACGTTGAAATATTTTGATTGGGGCTTTCAGTTCTTACTTCTCGAAAACGAAGAAGTTGCGCCAATTGAGATATCAAAATATTTCTTGAATGATTCATTTGCAGCCACTCCAAGAAGCAGGAACACTAAGAAATTTATCTCTAAGCGTGACATTTTTGGTTTCGTGAATCACCGAAAAGTTGGGCAATTCATCGTTTCGCCGAATCATTCCTTTTCCAAAGTGTTTGCTTAGACAGATCAAGTTTAGCACACAACAGTCACCAAAAGGTATAAATTGCAGATCGAAACGAGGAATTACTGTCGAGTCTTTGCATCTCTATTTTTCAACCTTTTTTTCATATGGAATACTTTTTCTGAAAAAAATGAAACTCTCGTTTAATTAAGAATTTTTCATTCTAGTTGAATATCCAATAGCACAGCTTTCAATTTTTATGAAAAAACAATTGGAAAACAATTCGCTTGAATGCTCTACATTACAAAACAAAGTAGGAACAAGCATGAAAAGGAAAATTTTGTGCAGATGTATACCAATTTTTTTATACACGAATAAGATTTTAAAAAAATTTCTAAAAATTGCAATCTGCTCAATTTTTTTGTTTTTTTCATTGGACACTAAAGGCCCGAAAAATCATCAGAATTATTTTCCAATTTAAGGGTTTTTTTCTCTGAAAAAAATAGAAGGTTTTGCTTGTTAAAGTTCTAGGAATCTGGTACATACAATGACTGAATCTCAATAATTTTTGAACAAGAAAAAGCATAAAATCACTCATTACTTCTCAACGAAAAATGGCAAAATTCTGCCTTTTTCATTCCAGCCCAATAATCTGTGGTTCCTTCACAACGAGACGTAGAAAGAACAAACTGCCACGTAAGGTACAGCCACGCTGGCAAATGTGTTTACAGTTTTGCTCAAGTCGAGCCATAACCCTACAATCTATCTGTCAATACGTACGGCTTATCAATGATTAATGCAACGGCTTCAGGAATAAAAAGCCGAGCGTGGCCCACAACTCTCCATTCGGTTTTCTCGAATATCGCTCCTCTCCAGTTGATCCATTACAACAATGCACAACGTCCACAAGCCAGTTCGTTTTCTTAATTACTTCCGATACAATTAGCACCATCAAATGCACGAAATCCACTGACTCAATCTTTCAGTCTGTTCCTGGAACCTACGCCATCTACGAAAGTCTTCGCGATGGTGTTGAAATCGGTCTCAACGGACATGTTCGCAATAGTCATCACAAGTAACTTTGTTTTTAACCAAGGAACATCTAGTCTATAACTTCAAGGGACTTTTCTGTCGAGCTCCTTTCTGGACCTCATATCGTCCTGCATGTCAACTTCCGCTTCCATCACGACCACATCGTCTGTTTGAACTCTGCTAGCCACGGAAACTGGGGACCAGAAGTGAGTTTTCGAGTTGAAATGGATGTTGTTGTAATTTTAACGTTTCCAGCTTCGCCACAGCAATCCTCTCAAACACGGAGAACACTTCCATCTAAGCATCAAGGTCCACTCTGGATATTACCACGTAAGCTTTCTTTCCCATTGATTTGTTTCATTCAAACAATAGATCTCTGTGAATGGCGTACACCTTGCCGACTTCCCTCATCGGTTCCCGGTCGAGTCTGTCCAAGCCGTTGGCCTCAAGGGAGATCTTCACGCCGACGAGATCACTTTCGAAGGATTCGACTTCCACCGAGGCATCTCAAAAAAAGAAAAAACCCGGAATGAACTCAAATTTCAGACTGGAATGCGCAACATGACTTTGGACATTCTGGTTACAACTCATATGGCACTGAGAGCTATGTCGCGCCTTCGGTAAGATACCAGAACATTTTTTCCAAATGAAAAAGGCTAAATTTTCAGTTCAACGAAGGACATTCCTACAACGCCTATTTCTAATTATCAACTCGATGAGACTTTCTCTATTGCTGTAAATGTTGACATTATCAATCGTCTAATAAAAGTTAAAGCATCTTTTACAATTTATGTACAAAAAATATTCTTAAAATTGTTTCATTATCAATTGCTAGCAATATTTTTGAAGCCGTTCAGCGTTCAGCTCCCAAAAAATATGACATATTTTTTTCTAGGTTCTTAAAAGTCGCCCATATGGCCGCGCTCGGAGCCTTCGGCTAGCAGAGCGCGGCAGAGCGCGGCCATATCTGCGCTGGAAAACTTTCGACAAGCTTTTTCTCGGCTGCCTGTGGGGTTCAACAGAATTTTATTTTTGATTCCGTGTACTCTTACCTAGGCCTATCCACCCACAAAGTCTCAATTCTCAACTCGTTGTCGAGCGGAGACCATGCCCTAGTAAGCAATTTTAGGGATCATTTAAGAGTGCTGAAGTTACTGAAGCAATTACTACTGCGTAGAAATTTTTGATTCAAGTAATTCAAAACTTTTTCTACTGAAGTATTCATTTTTGTACTCTCTAAAAAGCTAATTAATATGCCTTGTTCATATTTGTGGTACACTTTTTTTATTGTTTGAAGAGCGTTGACTTTAATTTTAATACTAATTTTCTCTTCAAACCGCCTTGAAAGGGACTTTTCACGTTTTCTGTTTTTTTTTCTATGTGCATCAAATTTTTTTCAATCCCAAATCAAAAAAATCTCTGTTGCCATCGATTAATTTCAATTTCAGCTTCAGAAGAATTGCTTGTGAATTCTCCAATTCTGAAAAATTCGAAATTAATTGACAATCAGCTTTTTGCAAACCATCTCGCCTTTTAGAACATATAACTCTACTGACATATCGTTATATCCTCAAAATAATAACCGATTCATAACATTTTTTTAATATTCAAAAAAATTATCAAAAAAATTTTTATAGGAAGCACACTTTCCTAAAAAAAAAGAGTCCAACGGGAGGAAAAGTTTGGAATATTTTATATTAAGGAAACAATAAACACTGATTTGGGATGAAAATCTGATTTTAATTTTTCAAAGAACATCGCTGAGTCTAATTCTTGTTATCGCTCTCGACTTCAGAGATAAAATTTTTAGGATCAAATTCTGAAAAATGCCCTTTATGAAGGAAATGCCATCACGTCGGCGTCGACAAACATGACGGCACAATGCAAGAGGGTGACGGCAAGGCGATAAACGCCAAGGTAATGCCCGCGATAATCGAAATGGAATCGGAATATAAAGCGTGGAAGGACTTGATAGCAGTGTTGGAGTCTCCTTCGTTCTTCGATCATGCACTCTCCAATCATTCGCCCTGTGAGTTTATTTCTCTAAAATGAAGCTTTGGATAAATTTCATGAAGCAAAAAATTAAATTTTTCAAAAGCTTTGCGTTCAAATTTGGCGAATTCTGAATTGTTTGCGAAAAATCCCATCAAAATATTATATTTGCAAAGCACGTCAGGTAGATAAGCTGTATAAAAATGATATTTTCGTTTTTTGAAGTGAAAATTGAAAATTCAACGATTCCTCAGGCCTGCCCCGGCTCCTACGCTCTCGGCCACCGACTCGCCGTCGGACAACAGATTTCCTTCCATGGCGTCGTCAAGCACAGCAAAAAGTAAGAGAGAAACATAAACTAAAGGAAAAATCAATCAATTTGTGGGGACTTTTCCATCAATTTCATCGCTGGAGCGGAAAACATCCTGCACATCAACTTTCGATGGGAGAAGGACAAGATCATCGTTCTGAACTCCAGAATTGCCAATGCTTGGGGAAGCGAAGTAATTTCTACTTTATAAAGTATGAAAGTTGTTATATATTAACAAGAAAAGTTGCAGATCCGTCACGAAAACGTTCTGCACCACGACCAACACTTTGACCTTCAAGTTCGAATTCACGGTGGTTATTATCATGTGAGTCAAGCTGATGATCTTGAATTTATGTGCAAAACTTTTGAAGATCACGGTGAACGGAGTTCTTCTTGCCGATTACCCTCATCGTGCCGATCCTCAGTTGGCGCAAGCGATTCAGCTCGAAGGCAATGTTCAGATGGAGAGCATCACGTTTGAGGGATTCCAAGCTTATTGATCTTGTAATAAGGTGTTTTTTATGAGAAATAAACCTTCTTTCTTTGCGCAAAACATATTTGAAGTTTATCGTCGACAAATGAATGAAAGAATCTGATTTTAACTGCTGTATCTTCCTCACTGAAGTAGAATTCATTTCTTTCGAGCAGCAAAAATAAGTTGAGAAATCAAATCTTTATATAACCAATTTTTCCCGACTTTGAAGGCAAGATAAGTAGAATGGCGCGACTTTTTGACGGATTTTTTTGAGTTTGAACGCAACCATGGGAAAATGTAGAAGTTAGCTTTTATTTGTTGAACTAAATTTTTTCAAGTCCGTAAAAAATGAAAACTGTCAAAAACTGTTAAAAATGAAAAAAACTTTTTCGGTATTTTCGGTGGTTTCCGTTTGATATTGAGTTCCCCGCCAAAAAGCCGCCCTTGCAAATCTTCCCATCTCGCTTTTCAATTCGAGAAGGATTGATCATATTATTTTTTTGTCCAAAGCTCACACATTTTTCGTTCCGAAGGCACCACGAGCGTTTCTAGTACAAATTATTGTACGGTGATACTTGGACAATAAGATCAACAACGCTCCCCAGAATATGATTGTTTACCGATCAGGAAGTCTTCATTGACCGTTGCGTGACATTGAGTGTCCTCCATCATTCATCTTTTATCGACAATGTTTGGGTAAATGCTCACTTCAAAACAGCTTCGACTTTTGTTTCCTCAGGTACGAACAGCCTGTCCAAGCATGATAACCTGATGGAGATGATAAAGTAGGAGCAGTTTTAGTCAAGTTCACAATGAGCATCGTATACAATCCGGTGAGGTTTTGCTAACAGAATTCTCATTTTTCGTTCCTTAAGAAAGTACCTCAAGATATTCGACTTCACGCTTTGGTCACACCTGGCACTCATTTTTCCTTTTGTGGAAAGTGTTTTGACAAGTTCCTTAAAAAATAAATTTCTCTTAATTTTTCTAATTTTCAGGAACTTCTCCTTCTCTCTGTCGGCTTCTGGCGGAGTCGTTCTTAAAGTGGATTTTAATATGGAGACCGATAAACTCATTCGAGCGAAGTCTCAAATTGGCGAGAACTGGACTAGAGAAGTTACTCTGTCAATGGACTAAACAAAATTTTTTTTAAAGGTACGAGCGAGAAATCCAGTAAAAGCAAATGAATCGTTCTCTCTGCACATAATTGTGATGGAAAATTCTTTTTCGGTATTTTACACAGAGCAAATTAAAAAAAAAACTTTATTCAGATTGAAGTGAACGGACAGCACCTTTTTGACTACAAACATCAAGTTCCTGCTTCAGAAATCAATATGATCACTCTGTTCAACCACATGAACATAGAAAGCTTATCGGTTGCTCGTAACTGACACGATTTTTCTGCCATAAACTTGTCCTTCAAAGTTTCGGAAAAACTTTCAATACTGTATGTAGAGAGACTTGAATTTTTTCTCTCTATAAAGGTCTTCGAAGCAAATCCTAGCCGAGTACTAATCGATTCCAAGTGTTTGACATCTCAATACGGATCAATAACAAGATTTGGCGGTAAATGTCGGAACATCGTACAAGTGAAGTGCTATCATTGCGTCCAAACAAACCATCAAAAGGCAACCGAAATAGTCAAACAAGAGCGCGTCTTTGCCGGGTGATAATCTGTCGAGCCGCATTGTTAACATACACTTGACCACCGTCTGCCGCTATCCGACCGGCACTTTCCCGCATAAATATTATATTGTCTTTGTCATCAAACAATAGGATGAATTGAAGAGTGATACAGGAGGAAATTCTCCGTGATCAATATGTATCCCAATTTTCGCCTGAAGAATAATTGAGAGGAAAGTTCTGTTTTGAAAATTTTCCGAGGTGAAAAATGTTTTCTTGAGAGCAAAGTTTTTTTTGCGCTTGTTTCGGAGAAAGGTGAGATTTTTGCTCTTATCAAGAAAAAAAGTTAATTTGAATGAGTTACAAATTACAGAAGCTGAGCTTCATTTTTCTGCCTTATCAAATCTGATTCTTTCGTGGGATTATTCAAATTGAGATTTGCAGAAAATCAAAATTTCTCTGATATTCTAATTTCTAAACTTTCCAATCTGAACGAAGATGAGAAGAAATCTGCTGACAAGACGGTTCAAGACGAGGCGCACATCACGACCAACAACACCAGATATTTGCTCGAGTGAAGCTCTCAGTTACATAAGGCGTCGATGAATGGATGCTAATGGTGTGTTTGATTCCAACAGTGGGACAAACGGCCGCGTAACCGGATACCTGTTCGTTCCGGTGGATCTTTTCGAGGATGTTGTTTCTTTTCGGACTTGTGACCAATAACCTGAATGGAGTGTGAACTTGCAACAAAAAAAAATCCCTCAAATGTTCTTTCCACGTCTTCAGAACAGATACTTGCAATGTTAAGCCCAGAGCGTTATCGTAATCTCAAGAAAGAAAGGTTTACGTCCATGAAGCTCTCAAATCGTGGACCTTAAAACACCCTGACGAACAGTCCCAATTTTTTTTAGAACTTACGAGTCATATGTTGAAGTATGTGCAGAATTTTATCATAGTGGTAATTTTCATCAATCCTAGCGTTGGCTAAGGATGTACATCAACAGAAAATCACACGTGTTTGTTTTTTTTTCATTTTTTTTAAATCTATCAACGAAGAAAATTATTTGATTCAAGACAAAATTTGATAAAGTGAAACTTGTTCAAAAAATTTGAGATAAAGAGAGATGCTGAGTATCGATAACTAACGTTTTTTTTTCTGGAAGATGCTAGTTTATTTTTTGATTTTCCAAAGGTATTTTGAGTTTTAATTGAATATCTCCAGGTTTTCAAGTAATTTGAAGTTATTAGTAAATCGAAACAGCCCAGTGAAAAACTTCACAAGCAACTCGAAGACGATAACAAAGCTCAAACAATGAAGTTTCTCTGGAAGGCTTCGGTACTCGATATTTTCGCTGAAGTCACGAATGCCCACACACTCGGAATCTTTTTTTTTTTGATCATCTTAGGGCGGAAAGCGACAAGCTCGGAATCGGAAAAATCAAACAGCGATTAATTCGATAGAAAAAGTTGCTTTTCGCTCTCGAGCATTTGTGTGCACAGATTCATCGGGAGCTAAGGACGACGCGTCGGCGCGCCACTAGCTTCAAGAGCCATCGAATGTACCGTAATGCATCATCACCTTGTGATGACTTGCGGCGCTCAGCATTTAATGATGTCGGACGGGTGGGACCAATAACATGACACCCGTGCAAACAGATCAACGTCGCTTCTTCCACTTTTCTCGAAAAACCCGGCCGTCTTCAAGCATACCATCGTGTCTATTTTTATCAGATGCCACTGGCTTTGCAGATCGACAATCGGGATTAAAACTCTCTGGAAAACTGGCAAAGATTTTCTCGGAAAATTAGTTAGAGACATGAAGAAATCGACATTACATCCGCGTTTAAGACAGAAATGGAAAGTGATGGAAGAGCAAGATTGAAAAATATAAAAATTTAGTGATAATTGAAAAAAACTGGCAAAAGATTTTTCTCGGAAAATTAGTTAGAGACATGAAGAAATCGACATTACATCCGCGTTTAAGACAGAAATGAAAAGTGATGGAAGAGCAAGATTGAAAAATATAAAAATTTAGTGATAATTGAAAATATTCGTCAATTACTGCGCTTCGTACGCGAACAGCGATCTTGAAAGTCAATGGTCGAAAAAAAATTTTTTTTTTCGTTTGCCTCCTCAATAATTGTGTTTTCTCTCTTGATATTCTAACCGTTTTCTGAGAAAATCAAACCTATGGCGGAGAAAGCGTCAAACATTCAAATTTACTTGAATTTACTTGTGGCTTCAATAGCTGGAGCTCAAGTAAACGATATATAGTGTTGGATGTTTTTCTTTCTTTTTAAATATGGGATTATCTTCGAACTTGAAGGCAATGACGTTTTAGTTGATATTCTGAATTCCCAAAAACCTTGGTTGACGGACCACATGAGCGTGACGTATTTCACTCTCATCCCGAAGATCTTTTCAATTCTTCATGTCAGTCTCCAGAAGTTCGAAATAGAGCTGAAAATTAATTTGATCAGGTTTTTTCCAGTATTTTTACGCAAAAAGTATTTATCGTCAATCCGTTCTTAGATCCAATTGAAAATCATTTTTCGTTTATATTTTAGAACCACCTGAAGAGGTCCAAAAAGCATTCAGTACCGTATTCCTGGAATTTTCGTTTCCGAAGAAGGACATGTTTCGGACAAGCACCGCTAATGCGACGTCTCTTTCATGTCGACATTCGACACCGCAATTGCTTGAAAAGCATCGGAAAGGGACGAGCAAGCAAAGAAGCACAGAGTGCGCCATACGCTACCGTACACTCTCCTCCCCCTGCCTCTCCATTACAGATCATCAACGCGCCAACTCACTTATCGTATTGCTCTCTTTTCTATTATACGCTTTCCCGCTGCCTTACCTACATGGATCAGAAGTTTTCCATCAGTAGCCTTCTACAGGCTGCGGTCAGCGTCCCTGCATCAAAGACTGAAGTGAGTATATCCCCATTCAGAAGATTAGCCTGTAACTAAAAACTAGTTCAGCAAAATTTAATTCAGCCTTTTGGGTTTCGGACTCTATAGTCCATTTTTGCAGTTGAGCAAGTTGCTCTCAAAAACTTATCCCGAGATTTGGAAAATTTTTGAGGTGTAAGTTTCAGTTTTATGATGGAATAAACACTTTTGATGACACATTTTATATCTTTTATCTCGATTTTACAACTTTTCAGTTCATTTTTATGAACGCTTTGCCCTATACACTTCCAGATGTGTTCAAAATCTTTCTTTATTTCTTACCAGCTAACTTGAAGAATGATATTTGAAGATTGAAGAAGAGAAGGACAGCACGTCTCCAGCTCCAACTGCCAGTATTTGTTCCGAAGATTCGCCGCAAAATTCGCAGGAAGACGACTCCCCCAAAAACTCTCCTGTTCAACATTCCAATCGTGAGCATTTCGGTTTTCCTGTTTCATGACGAAACGAGTACAAAACGCAAAACATGTCAAACGTTCGCAATAGTTGTACTCAGCTCTTTCGATTGTATCCCACAAGGACATGACGAATTAATTTTCAGCGCCTTACGGCTCTTCCCCGTGGTACAATGCGATGAACTACGTCAATCTTACTCAGCAATTGGCTGCTCAAATGGCACAAGCCGTTCAGCCCAGTATTTCCGGACAAGTTCCTTTGCTAAATGGTTAGTCTGACTAACTTCCACACAGAAATAACATCCTAATAAGTACGTACTAGTTCTCTTGAAGGAAAGGAAGTTGTAACTTTCTTATTCTTCTCTTACTCGAATTCAACAAAAAAATTTTTTTCCCGTTTTTCAACTAATGAAAATTAACAAGAAAAAAAAAATCAAATTCAAAAAGTCTAATTTCTAATTCTCGAAATCCCAAAGAAATCTTGAAAGTGATTTTTTTGCTGAAAATTCGTCGCAAAAAAACTTATTCCTGAAAACTTATCAAACGTTCAAAAAAAAAAACAAAGTTTGAGTACACTACGAAAAACAAACTGAGAAACCAAAAATATGTTTATTCTGACTCCTTGGAGAATTTGGAAAAAAATAGTTATCAGAGAAAAATGTTTTCCCAAAATTAATTATTAAAGACAACAAGGTAAGCAAAAGTGATCTACGTGTAAACTTGTTTGTTTGCGGTTTTCCGTGGCTCAGTGGCATAATCCCATTAGTCTAACCGGGCGACCTGTGTGCATTACACTGCAATACCATGCTGAGCTTTGTCTGTGAATCGCAAATTTGGCCGGTTGTAGCGCCTCCGTCGCTGTCGAATCTGTGGGATCCGCGATTGCAGTGGCTTTATCCCTACATGGGCAAATCTCAGCAGAAGCGCAAGGGAGGTCAAATAAGGTTTGGTACATTTTTTCTTAAGCTTTTGATATTTTACAAAGGGAGTCTTTGATTTTGTAGTTTTCTGGATTCTAGTCAAAGCAAGTTTTTAGCTAATGAATAAAGCTGAGTAAAAAAAATTTTCCATCCACAGCCGTTGGATAGAATGAACTTCTTTTCTCACAGACACAGAGCGGCCGGTTTTCGTTCATTTACTCAAAAAAGAAGCTTTTGCACAAAAAGTTATTGCTCTTTGATCATTTGAAATTATCAACAATTTCCAATACTGTACTGAGAATTGATCAATTTCAGGTTCACTAATGAACAAACTGACGCCTTGGAGCACAAGTTCGATGCACACAAATATTTGAGCCCCCAGGAGCGGAAGAAGCTTGCCAAATCGCTGAGTCTCAGTGAACGACAGGTGATCAATTGAGTTACCTCGTAGAAACATGCAACACTATTGGCTGAGAAAAAGCAAACATGATTACGGTAGCCTTTCCAAGCGACGCGCTTCCGCTTTCTCGTTTTTCACTCTTCGAAATTTCGTTCAGAGCCCTCATTCACTGCTTTAAATTTCTCAAGGAAAAAGAGAAGGCGTTAATTTAATTATTCACTATGTTTGCCTCTAATCGAAAAAAATGTTTTTAAAATATTTCTTCAGGGAAATCATGCTTCTGTACTTCCGAATTATTTTTTGTGTAATTTAAAATAGAAAACCAGTTTCCGAAATGTTCTCATTTATGAGGATACATTTCAAATTCAACCACAGCAAAATGAGCTTTGAAAGTTTTCATCACTATCTCAAAGCATGAAATATCTGTTTTCAGAATAATGCTCCAAATTCTTCTAAACTTCGAAATACGAGTAAAATCCCCTTTCTTGACAGAGGAACACATTCCCATAATAATTTGAGCTCATCGATGCCTTGATAAAGTAGCTTTCGTTCAAAATTCCGAACCAAAGACACATTTGACGTAACTAGTTAACGTCTTCTCGTTAGTTCACCAGACCGTTACTTCGTGTTTGAATATCAAATTCACCCGATTTTATGGTGCTCAGGAAGTGTTTTGAGTGAATCAAAAAGCTATTGGGGATGAGTGCGGGTGGCTGACAGGCTATATCGGATTGTCACCGCGAATTGACCGGGATTAGACTCATAATGACCAAACAAAAACGAGTTCAAGTGGATAATGAGCTGTTTGCACTTGTTGCTCTCAAATCAACGTGGACCGCATCCGCATCCAATTCCTCGAAGGGCTCATGTTTCGATACCCATCTTACCAATGCGTGTAATGTAAATCTCGAATATTGAAAATTGAAAAGTTGGTGAGCAAAGTGATTCTCTCCGACGTTTCAACTTCGTCTGGTTCTACAAACTGTTCAAATTGATATTTTTTAGTAGATTTGTAATTATGAAATTATCGCTTACCTCGGGGAAACCAACAAGAACAAAGCTATTCCTTAGAAAACCGCTTTTATTATAATTTCGAGAAGCTTCCAGGTTAAGACAGTAATCTTGCAAAAACCGAGCTTTGCCGACTTTCTAAGTATTCTATCGGCTTTTGAAGAAAAACTACTTTTTTTTGGGTAACTATACCTAAACCCACCATCCTTCAAGGATTCGATTCAATCTTCGAGTCTCTCCGTTTGTTTTCTCGGTAAATATCTCTAAATTATCTGATCAAAGCGAACATGAAGGCAATTTTTTGGAAGCTGTTCAAAAAAATGTGTCAAAAATGAAGAATATTTCCAGGTGAAGACATGGTTTCAAAATCGGCGCGCAAAGTGGAGAAGAGTTCGGAAAGATGGCGAAGACGAAGACGAACTGCCAAACGGCGCTTCTGCCAGATCTTTGGGTCAATTTCGGCCTCCTTATCCCTTTCCTTAGTCATTTATCTTGTAGAAAAAACTAAGTTTCATGTCGATTCCAGATTTTTCACGTAAGAAAAAAAAACCTGTGTACTCACAATCATTAATATTTCACGCCTTCATGATTCCTCCTCTCTGAGGCGTCATCCTTGTTATCATCTTCATCTTTCTTTTGTGTTCCTTTTCCCTCTCCTACTATTTACATCCCACAGAATGCCAAACATATCTCAACATACGCCTACGTGATGATGTCATCAGTGGCTATTTAATTTCATTACATTTTTTCCAGACTCCAATTTCTGGATTCTCATTTGTTATTTCTCGATTCGCAACTCAGACTTTGCTATTTTACGTGTCATACTTTTTTCTTACAAAAATCAATGGAACATTGTATTCTAACTTCAACTTAGAGGATTTTTGTTCATTTATTATCATGTACAGCATTTTCGCTATTTTTTCCTTGTTCAAAATATCTATGTGTATAAAAAATTGAAAAAAAAATCAACCAAGGCCAATCCATCAAACCACAAGCGTTTCAGCTAATGTCGTTTCAATTGTGTTGTGAAATTTTTCTTCTTCATTCAAAGACTTTATGCATCATTCGCAAAATAACTACAAAAGTTATTTGTACTTTCCGTAAGCGTAAACGAGTCTTCCAAGATTATTTAAGAGGAATGAGAAAACGGAATGTGATTGAAGATTAATGAAAAAAGACCCGGAAAAGATATTATATTTAATAACAACGTCGGAACGTTTAAAAGGTGTCACGGACAGATTAACATTTACAAAAAATGGGAAGCTCCTTTTGGATTGTGAACTTTAAGATCGGAAAGCTCAAGTAACATGAGAACTTTTTTCTGAACAAAAAGTTGCGTTTAAAAATTTGGTAAGACCCTAACATTTCGTCAAATATTTCTAGGATATAAAACACAGACGAACTTGCGCATTAAACTGTGCGGCGTCTTACGGTGTCATATTTCACACATCTTCATTTCAAACGGTCATTTGCCATTCTATCAAAACTATTGAGTCCTTATTTCTCTGTTCATAAAGTTTCTCATTCCTATCACATTTTCCCGGAAAAAACTTCAATACTATTCGTGTTTTTTTTTTTGAAAAACGTCTTTTGAAATCAACCAAACAAAAATTCATGGAAGCTGAAAGTTTTATGAGACCTTATTCTGGATAATAACTCTTTCTTTTGGCTCATCAAACTATCACGGCTCTCGTGAGATCGGAGTTAATACGCGCATTAAAATTTCAATTCTCCCCGGCTTTGAAGCATTTTTAATTCAAGAAAACGCAATTCTCATCATTTGATCCTTTTCTCAAAACTCTGACAAATTTTTCATCATCATGTGCGGTCGTCGATTTGTAAAAAACTTGCTGTTTGCTTATTAAAATCTTATAAGCTTGCTGAAAATAGGATCCCTGCCAACTTTTTCAGTTTTTTTAAACACGAAGTTCGACAAAATACTTGACCTTGAATGAAGTTTTTGTTATTGTTTTCGGTCTCCATTTTTCCATCTTAAAAAAACTTAGAAAAAGATTGAAATACTTGTGAACCGCAGCTACTTGGCTAGCCTCGAACCTCTTAGTCATTCTCTGATTACACATTCATATATAATTTTTTTATCAAACATTTTGAGACTTGAAAGTTTTTTTACACATCGCTGAACCGAACCATGAAGTGCGTCTCCTTTCTTCAAAATACTTTCATTACGTCATCACCTTTGAGATTAATTCATTTTTTTTAGATTTGGAAAGAAGACTAGTCGACTTCAAACATTAGTTTTTGAATTTCCCTGGGATTTATGATATTCAAACGTTTTTCACCTACCGTTTCTAGAGAAGGGGGTTTTCGTAGTCGTCAAAAGTCCCGCCCCTAGGATATTATCCAGAGGCGTATAATTCCTGATTAACTGGCAAATTGAGCAGTTAAACGAAAATCGTCTATTCCGAGTGTTTCCAGTTTTACCTGAAGATATTGCTTGCATGATTTTCAGGCAAATCACTCTCATTATGCGATTGCCGGCTGTCCCATTTTTGATTTATTTTCTTATTGATAACACAGATGCGTATTCAGCGGTAAGATTCCCAAAGTGTTCCATGAACTCGGAAAATTTTTCATTTCGTTTTTCAGAGACATCGGAGACCAACTTGTCAGTTGTCGCAATCGTGTTCATACCGGTTCAAAGGACTCAGTTTTGAACTTTGTGATTGTCCAGAAACGAACAACGTATGTCCCGAGAACCCGGAAAATGGGATAGAACTTCGAGGAATACTTTATCAGGTTAATTTCAGTAATTTGTTTTTTAATGATGAATTTGACCGACAGTTTTTTTTTTCAATGTTCGAAAGATAGCCCGGGATTTCCAAGCATTCAAAAAAAAAACTGATACAGCACCTCTGAGATGATAACTTAACATTCGACTAACTCCAATAAAAAGTTTTTCCAGTTCTGCCAGCCGCGACAGCCGCCAATGTGCGAAGTTGGAGAAATAGCGGCTGAAGTGAAGTCTCTGCAAACTTCGATTCATTGCATCTGTCCGGAAGACATGCTCTACATCAAAAGATCGTTGCCTGCATCGAAGGCCACCCAGTACATTTGTATGGAGGTTTGTTTGCATCAATTTTCTACATCAAAATCAATCCCCTAAAGGCCTCACAAAAGATTGAGCCCGTACGGAGCATCGTTCAGTATCACAGCACACTTTCAATATCTCAAGTGTCGGGTTCCAGCGGTATAAAATTTTCACAGTTTTGAGTGTGATCCCTATTAACTTTCTTATACCACCTGCTAACTGAAATCCTTCTCGTGTTTTCCTATGAATGGGTTTACAGAAACCGATTTGCCAAGCGGAGGAAATATGTGGAACAGGAGATGCGAGCGGAACGAAGTGAGTGCAAGTCGGATAAGCCTGTATTTGAGCGATATTCATGGATGAACAAGACACAAAATAGATTATCTGTCTGAGACAAGCAATGAGAGAAAACACACGTCCCAGACTTCCCTCAAAGAAAAAAGCGGAAAGTTTACAGGTTGCACTGTACCTGCCCGGCTGGCTCAACATGTGTGTTCCCAGAAGCTCGCGTTCTGTACAAGGTTCCAGTATCCGGACGATGTCATTAAATCATTATGTTCCCAGTTTTTCTTATTCTTGCGTTTTTTGCTTACCCAACAGGTTTGAAAATCGTTAATTGGCTCTGCGAAAAATTTTGAAAAAAATTTATTGTGAAACTGTTTGGCAGATCTTTTTTTGAGATACTGAAAAAAAATATTGAAACTGAAGGAAAGAGCAGCTTTGAGAACTTGACAAAAACTTCCAAAGTCTATTTTTGGATTTTTTTAAACTTTCATTTAGAGTCGAATTATGACCCTTATTTCAAAAAAATTATTTTTTTCCCAGCTTTGGTTAATTACAAATTCTAAATTTTTTTAATACTTAAACTTTTTGTGATGAATTATAAAAAAACCTTTTTAATACGTTTGAGTTTGGTCAAAATTTCAACCAGTCATTCGAACCCTAGTCTTGTGAGTAAGGCCACCCTCAGTGGTTTTAATTTTTTCAGTACCTGTAAAAAGATAATCACCCGCTTTTTTTCTGTTTTCATCTATTGAAAAAAGTACCCTCTCCCTTTTCCACACCGGTTCCTATTACATCCTAAGCTCGGCTATAGGAACCTCGTTGTTTAGTACTGTTATTGAATGCTTGTCTTGATTAGTTTGATTTTCGAGTTTTTTCATTAAAATAAAAAAACGGAGAAGTTTAACAATGTATTCGCTTGTTTTTTCCGCACATTAAAAATTTTTTTCTCAGTTTTGGTGCATATTTTTCTTATTTAATCGTAAGTCCTTAAATTTGAATGAATACTCTTGTCGTTGACTCGCACAAAATACAACCGATCTCACACATTTCAGTATGAGCAAAAGTTCATTTCCGCAAAACTTAGACAGTAATTATATTATTTGAAAAATCCGTAAGATCTTTTGTTACGAAAAAGGAAGGAGAAAATCGACAGTTGGAAAAATTCTCAAGGCATCGTCTTTTTGAAAATGTTTGAAACCGTCTAGGTTTCGCGCCATTGTCTGTTGGCTTTTTATGTGGAACAATGGGGGATGTCAGAAAAGAACACCGCTCTAAAGGCTTGTGACCGCGGTCATCGCGTTCTCTTCAGTTTGCGTTTTCGGTTTACCAGCGTCTCTTTCGCTTTTTTTTTCTCACGTTTTGGAGGCCGTATGAATATTTACGCAGCGTATATACGATGACTTAAATGAGTTTAAAGCAGGTTAACATGGAGTTTTCGCACGCACATGCAAATCATGTACACAGGAGAACGAAAATAATTTTGAAGTTTACTCACGACATCGCGCTAACTCTGCAAACTGTTTTCAAGCATACAGTCTTCTTTTTTTTTTGGCAGAAACCAGTTTCTTAAACAATTTTTCGAAAAACTAGTTGTATGAATTTATTTTTTTTTTGCGAAAAATCTGAACTCAGAAACCATTAATTGAATTTTTTAAAACTATAAAAAACTAACTCACGATTTTTTTCGATTTTTCGAACACTCAGAAATCCTATTTTTTCTGCTCAAAAAACAGCTATGGAGAGCAAAAAAAAGGTGGGCAACATTCAGTGGATTCTTTGTTTCGTATATCGGAAGACTCTTTTAAATCAGGACGTTATTCTTTCATTCTCTCATTCTATGACAATACTTTATTTGAACGGCAGATGTCTTTCATTTTTTTTTTCTGTTTGATCTAAAAAATAATGAGCGACGTTTGGCTTGAGAAAGACGTGACTCACGCACTCGCGTCCGTTCAAATGTTAGTGCTTTTTTGAATATTCGAGTCTCGAAGCGATTCTCTAGAAACTTTCACGAGCCCTATTTACCGGGTTTTTATTCGTCTTTTTCCATTTTCTTATTTTTTTTTCTCACGTTTTGTGTTTTTGCTTTTCAAAAAATTTGACCTCAACTTGAGCGAAATCATTTACAGAATGTGGTTGACATGGCTGATTTTCTTTATTTTTGATCGCGATCCACCAGACAAGATTGTTGAAACGAACAGAAAAATACAAGTTGGTATCATTTCTCCATTATTTCGCCGCTTTTCATTTTGTCAAGAAGCTATTCGAAATTCAGATAGCTTCCGCTGACTCATTGGCGATTTTCACTGTTGAGCCTGCTTCCGACTTTCTGCAGTTGCAAAACGGTTGTTGATTTTATCTTGTATTCTGTATGTGTAGAATTTAGGAGGCAGAAATAAAACCAATGTCACGAGCGAGATTATCTTCTTGTCGCCTTTTGACGATCCTGATTACTTCATCTATCGTATTGGTACTGCTTTCAATGGATTTTTCACCTGAATATGTATGAATACGAAAAGTTTAGAGCCAGTTAACAAAAAAAGAGTCACAAATATAATTTTTTCTGCAAATAAGACGGTAACATAAAAAATCGTTAATACTTTTTTAAAACAATTTTTCCTCCGAAGCTTTTTTTTATTTTTGTGAAAGTCTTCTCTGAATATGTATGAATACGAAAAGCCGTAGTTTTTCATGTTTTTGTTAATTATATTACTTCGAAGATAACAACGATGACAACGACCATGGTGGAGACGATGGTGGAGCTGCTCATGCTGAAAGATGCGTAGAGGAAATCTGGGCTAGCAGTGACGACGAAATCGACTTATTAGACCTCCTTTTTTGGGGCGATGATACCGACGATGATCTAACAGAGAACATTTACGATGAAGAGCTGTCAGGTAATCTAGAAAATTCCTATTTTCGCTGAAAATTTAGACGAGATAAAGATAAATTCCATGAGTTTTCATAACAAACATGATACCAAATTCAATAAACTTTCCAGTAACAAGCTCAAGCGGCTCATCTATATTTCAACTTCCTCAACAAGAGTACCAAGCGACTGAAGCAAGGGAAGACGAAGATGGAGTGCCTTTTCGGAGGCTTTTTCGTGAGTTCATGGATATTTTTAAAACCTAAAATGGCTCTCAGTATTATGATTCACATCAGAACTTTTCGAATTATCGGAATAAAAAATGTTTTGAACCTTTTCGCGTGAACCACGTGGAGCTAAGAAAAAATACTGACCAGTATAGCCTGTGTACCACGACTTGGAATTTCACCAAACGACATTCCGCTGTGCCGCTGCGCGCCTTTGCAAACCTTGGTTGCGCTTTTAATTTTTTTCTTCTATCAAGGTTCTCTACTTTTATGTGCTCTCACAGCAATACAAATAAATTGAAAGCGTGACCTAGATTCGGAAGAAGCTTCGCGAACGCACGCGGCAAAACAGCAGAATTTCGTTCGGTGAAATTTCAAGTCGTGTCACACAGACTTTAAGTAGTTTTAAATCTTCATTTTTTAGCCGTTGTGTCACTGATTTATGGATTTACATCTAATAACGTTGCAAGTCAAAATAAAATCTATATTACGGTCATAATCATTCAACACGTTCAATAAGTTGAAAGCAGCTTATGTCGGTCCTGTTTGTTTTTTTTTGTGGTTGAAAATGACGATATCCAATATCCTCCTTGCGCTTCAAAAAACACATTTAATGCAATGAACATGTATCGAATTAAACAAACTTTCCAGGAATAAGCTCACGCCAATTTTCCACACCGTATCAACCATTTGAACAAGAAGATGAAGTTGGGGAACCTTATCAGAGACTTTTTCGTGAGTTCATGGAACTTTTTTTTAAACCAAAAACAGCTTCCAAATTTCATGAATCAAATCAGAACTTTCCGAGTATTTTGAAAAGCGACTTTTTTGAAATTTCACTAGTTTTTAGATGATAATTTATCACCGTTTCAAATCATAATAAATTATATGTTACGGTCATGTGACCAAATTGGAAAACAAATTTTTCAGAAATCAACTCAAGTCGCTCTTCCGGATCAGATCGTTTTTTTGAATCATACTCAACGTCTGAAGACAGCGCAATAGAAGATGCAGAGAGAATTTTCCGTGAGTTCATGGAATCTATCCAAAAAAACAGCTTTTGTGCAAAAAGTATTTGATAAAAATCAAAATTAGATCAAAGATGAGTTACACGAGTTTCAAAACACATTCCAAGCAAATTTTACTACATTGAACAAACTTTCCAGAAACGGTCTCAAGACGCTCTCTCAATCGTGAAGCGCTTAATCCATTCCAAAGGTTTGAAGCAAGTTCAAGTGAAGATGAAGAGATGCAAGATCGTGAGTTTGTGAAATCTTTTTTAAAACCTGAAACAACTTTCAACGTTTATGGTATACATCAAAACTTCCCAAATATTGAGGACTGAAATTGAAAAAAAATTATTGTACTTTCCGCGTGAACTTTATGCACAACTAACTGAGAACGGAGAAATTTCTTCTTCACTTTATCCGGAAGTGTTTAATACACGTTCTCTGAGAAAAGCGATGAACCGTTAGCACTGAACATTCATGTTGCTTTTTTGAGCTCATACTTTTATCACAACAACTACACAAGCTTTTAAAACTTAAGGTTAAAGTTTTGACAGGTTCCGCCCCTTTTGTGGATTACTGTAGCCGAAATACGATAAAAAAATCTAATTTTTTTCTCCGTGGTTCAAATCGAATGACATTTTTTTAACGAAAGCCAGTAACAGAAAAAAACGATTTTTTTGTAATACAACTTATTTTTGAACATTTTTTTCAAACCGAAAAAATTTTCGAATTTCGGACTTTTTACCCTAACTTTGGTCTAAAAATCCAAATTTCATAACTTTTGAGCATTGGAATTACTGCTAATAGTGTGAGGGCAATTTGAAGCCACTAAATAGGGCAAAAAGTTCAAATTCCAGGAGTGAATTTTACGAATTTTCAGGAAATTGCCAAATCCTTTCGATGAACTACCGAATTAGAAACTTATTGATGCCAAATTTTGCCACAGATCCATTCACATAATTTTCAATTATTACAGCACCAAATTCAAGCTAGCACAAGCAATTTTCACGGAATTACAAAAAAAAGCGATACAAAATATAGTTCTCGAAGATTTTGTTAGAGTTTTTTACAAAAGCAAAGAGTGGGAGAAAAGAAAAAACTGGAGGAAACCTCAGAGAAAAAAATTTTCGTGCTTCAAAGATCACAAAATTTGACATTTGGGAAAGCCGTTATGAAAAAGGTGTAAAAAACAGACCATTCATTTCAATAACGCTTGACTATCAACTGGATCACTTAAAACTGAAAAATTTGGAAAATTTTTTTCTAGGTAGGGAACCTGTGGCTTCGTTAAAAAAAATTTCACGGATCTGAGGGTTCTTCCCGCATGAAAAAAAAAATCTAAATCTTAAAAGATGCACGATTTTCAATGGAAATCGTTTTTTGGTTTGAAAAAAAAATATTCAAAAAAGGTTAGTATGCAAAAACTGTTTAGTTTGTCACTGGCTTTTATTTGAAAAAAGTTTCATTCGATTTGGACCACGAAGAAATAAATTAGATTTTATCGTATTTTGACTACAGTAATTCACAAAAGGGGCGGAGTCTGTCAAAATTCCATCTGAAAAGTTTAGAAGCTTGTGTAGATGTTTTGATATGAACATGAGCTTCAAAAAAACAACATTATTTTTTTGTGTCAACGGTTCATCGATTCTCTTGGAGAACGTGTGTTAAAAAGTATAGTTTGTCAAAACCTACTCGTCTTGTTTTTTTTTTTCATTCTTCTAAGTACTTAAAAATGATACGTTCAATGAAACGTTAAACTTGTATAACCGTGTAAAAAGTGTGATGTGACAACGAATTCATTTATTTTTTTCTGAAAATAACATGTGATCACAGACAGATTTCCGGAATTTTGAAAGCCATTTCATGCAAATATTATAGTCCATGTTTTCCGACTTGAAAGCGAGAGAGGCGGGGTAGGGGCGAGACGCGTAGCGTGTGCGTTCGCGGTTGTTGGCACGAGTTCAATTCAAACGCCAGCGAATAGTTGAAGAGCTCTTTTATTGTTTTTTTTTTAATTTTGCAATTAAAAACAGTAGAGCAGATACAAAAAGAGCGGTAACCGAGCTTTTTAAATAGTCGGTGTTAGTTGAATTGGACTCGTGCCGAGGACCGCGTACGCACACGTTACGCGTCCCGCCTACTTCGCCTTTTAAGTAGTGATGTATTGACTATACTACATTGAACCATATTTCCATGAACAGTGTCAAGCCGCCCTTCCACACCTTCTCGACGTTTTGAACGTGAGTACCGAGCGAGTATGAGAAGGTTATATAGAAATGGAGTACCTCATCGGAACCGCTATTGTTAGTTATAAAAGCCTCAATTTCCCCCAAAGTGGCAGAAAAAATTTCAGTGTTAAATATGAACTTATTCCCCGGCGATAACTATCAATCGCAGGCCGCTGATGAATATGACACACCTCAAAGAGATATTGATCCAGAAGGACACGTTAATCGTAAGTTATTCTGCAAGCTATTCACAAAATCCTGTGCCAAACTCAAGTTTCGTCCATTTCAAGTCTTTTATGCTCATTTTTTACAGATCTTTTTTTTTTTTTACGGTGAGCTATTGATCATGTGAATTAAATCAGTTGAAACGAATTAGATCAGCTTGACGTGGCTGTCATTCTAGATCATCAAAAGCAAATACTGAAAGTTTTTTTCAGAGCGGTGGTTGAGCCTTTTGGAAAGCGAAGCTCGTTTTTTAAATGGACCTGGAGAGTACATCGATGAAGGTTCATTTCTGAATAATGTGAGAAGTCAAAAAAACGTTTAGAAATACCATGGAGGCTGTTGGAGCAATCGGAAAGTGTTAATTCGGAAATTTCGGCTGAAAGTGAAGAAATCGAATTTCGTGAGTTATTTTTCAGCTAATCTTGCCCTTTTGGAATTCTAATAGAAAGTTTTTCATCCCTCCACTGGATTCTGGAATACGCTTTCAACCAAAAAAGTTCATATAGAAAGTTCTTAACTTAAGGTATATTTGGTCAAACCTATCCTATGAATCGGGCACATTGAGCAACTGGATACTTTTGCCTTCAACTTCAGCCAAGCTATAACTCGGAATTGATATCAATTTATATCATTTTCCTCAATTTGAACTCCTTTCCCTCAGATCCATTTCGAGGCGATATTCACATTGTCTCAAGGTCATTGTTATGACAATTTTTTCTTTGAAACTCACTTTCAAGCTTCAATTCAGCCGTCACCTCCTATGAAACATTTACTATTGAACGACTTCTTCGTATTTGTTCCTCGAACGCTCAAGCGTCAAGTTTTACTCAGGTTAATCTTGAGAAGGTGTTGGAAAGGTAACCAACAGGACGTTGGAAGGCGAATGGAAGCTAGAAGTTATTAAGAAGGTTTTGGGAAGGTGTTCAGAAGGTAGTTGGAAGGTCTTTGGAAGGTAAAAAATTAAAAATGTCTGCCAGAAAACTTCCAAACGCCATTTGAGGAACAAAAAGAAGAAGCTTGTCAACTTTCCCCTGAGTACAACGTGATATTTCGGTTTTTAGAACCAATTGAACTTGTCAGGGTTCAAACGAATTTGTCAATTAATTATTATGATTGAGGAAGACAACTTTTTTCAGCCACAATGTATGATGCAACAACTTATGAACAATTGTTTTGGTTCCACTCCAGTTTTCTGCGGCGAAGTTGGTTCAATCGTGTTTCGCGAAGAGCAGAATGTCCATTTTGTAAGTTCATTTTGAGTTCTTCTGAAGTTGTAATGCATTTTGTTCAAATGCAATATTCCTGAAAAAACACGGTTTTTTCTCTCTCATTTTTTCGTTACCTTTAGAGATTCAAGCGCTCCTTCACGGTTTGTTTTCTGGAACGTAACGAATTCTATCAATTTGGTGGATAACTAATATTGCAGGTAATTGGATGGACCTCTTCTCCGAATCGGAGCACGTCGACAGAGAATATTTGTACGGTGAGAGGATCCTCTTTTCCGAAGACGGCTCAGTTCCTTGTGAATGTCCTCGTGAGGAGGATCGCGTTGGCTCTTAACTCTTTCTCACTAAATTTCCATCTTCTCTCACTAAATTTCTATTTTTTCATATAAGTTTCCACGCTCAAAGTTCGGGATGTAGTGTTTCTGTCATGACGCTGAGTGTTTATGGGCCAGTTGCTTGAACTTCAGAAATGGACAAAAACTTTTGTAAAGCTGTCAACAGAAGGGCTTTGTTTTTTGTTAAATTGCCAATGAAAGATTTGAATTTTTGAAAATTTTAGCACCTAACTCGTGCTTTCATCATTACTGTATCAAAAAAGTGCAAGACTCGAATGTTTTGTTTTTCGGCGGCTCTTTGCAAGCGACGCGGGGTGAAGCGAGGCTTTACACAGATGAAGGCAAGAGAGTCCGCGGCCGGCGGATGGAGCAGCGCCGGCCTCCGGGCGGATTCCGACAAATTTTGAGAGAACCCGCAGCAAGACGAGAGCCTCCAGAGTTCCCACTCAGCGCCACCAAACGGACGCACCACATCCCCCCTGCTTTTATCTGTATTTCCAACGATTTCCCTGTTCTTGCTTGTTTTCCTGTGTTCTTCTCAATCAATTTATTGGCCCTTACTCCCACTTTCACTGTAATCTGCGGCTGCTCGAGCCACCTTCTTTTGAGGAACACACTTGTTGCCTGAGATTTATTGTTACTCGCGTGAGTCCTTTCCACACTTGTTGTTTCTTGGAAATAATCTTATCACGTTTACTGCATTTTTTGTTTTGTTTGGTTGAGAATGTTTGAAAAAAATTTTGTCGGTAAATTTCAATACACTGAATCGATCGGAGTAAGTTAGAAAAACAAAAGCGAAGAATTTCTATATGACTCTTTGAAAATTATCGAAAAGGGTTATCAAAAACTCCGATTAAAAAAAAAACATCGGCTCATGGGATGATATGAAAAGAGGCTTCTCTAGTCTTTTATCAGTTTTTTAAAGTTTTTGACTCACTTCTCACTATTTTTTTTTTCTTGATGTATCTCATCCATTTGATCCTCACGATTTTTTCCATTTGGAAAACAAATCACAAAAATTAGAAACTTTCCTGCTCCACAGTAACTTTGAAGTTTCAATAGAGGTCTAGAGAGTTTTTATTTCGAAACTATGGGCAAGAGTGATTATAAATTTTTGAATCATATCCAAGTCTGCGGCTTTTGTGTTCCATTTTTTGGTTGGTGCGAATTCGGTTTCGAATTGAATCTTTCAACTTATGATATCAGATATTCAAGAAAATCTCTTAGTTTATCAATAAAATTTGAGCTATTTTAAAATTCTGCCCTTTCTCATTTGAACTGTTGCGACTTATGATGTAATTCAAAGAGAAACATGTTGCAACACATCGTTCCATTTTTATTAGCTTTACAAAGGTCCAAGAAAAAATATCTAGACGACCAGTCTGTTACCGACATTCTAATACTTCGAAAAGAACTCATATTAATGTTTAACGGAGCCCCTCCGTCGGCGCAACAGATGACAAAAGCCAGGCGAACCGGCGTGTGCCATCCGTCGGATTTGCCTTCTTCCTGAGTTTTGCGCGGCCTCTCGAGCTTTTTTCGCGTCTTCTAGGCCGCACCTCTCAAACATTGGCTTTTCCATCCCCGCCCACACAAGCGCGTACCGTCAAGCAGAAAACCGCAAAATCAACAGATAGAATAAAATAGAAATCTCTTACTTACGTGTATATCACGCGACGGGCATTTATGTACGAGCACTCTAGGAGCTTCCGTAACAACTCCCAGGAAAAAAGTGGATGACTGTCTTTTTTTCGAAAAATTTTTGATTGATGTGACCCTATCACTGACCTTTACTGGCCACAAACTCGAAAACAGTCCATTTTTCCATTTTTTTTCCGAATTTGATAGAAGTTTTTTCAAAAAAAATTACTTATCAAAAACAGAAAGTCCTTAAGTAATTCTTTCCGTTCATCTCGCTGAATTTTTCATTCATTTTTCTCCAAAATTTATTTCTCCTATACTTGATTGATTGTAAACTTTTTAGTAGGAAACTGCAGTGAGGATCCAGCTACGAATTAAATCTCAAAAAAAGTTGCTATCTTACGAAAAACTCTTTGGAAAGACTAAATTCATCGAGAATCCCAATTTGAAACTACTAGAAGCCAGGAAAGTTTCACTCATCGTTCAATGTTTCCAAAGCTACAACTGAAATTCAAAATCCTTGTCGTACACATTTTTTCTTTTCCAGCACGTTTTTTTTGGAAAATTTTCCGCAAGCAGAAAAATCACGAATCATTATTTTATCCATAAGACGTCAGTTTTGAGAGGCTATTTTTTTGAAATTTTGTTGGATTCGGAGACTAGAACGTATGAGTGATCACAGTACATACAAAATAATAAATAAAACAATCGACTGTTTGAGAAAAATTGGAAAATCCACAGTAACTTTCAATCATAAAACAACTTTGGTGCCAAGTAATATAGTTGAGCCGGAGTTCGATTTTTTTCTTTATCATTTCGAACCTGTATTTTCAGATGAACTGTTTGAACAGAACTTAAAACCTTGAGAGCTGAAGTTTTTGTTCAAAATCGAAGTTATTTTCAACTCAGAGCGTCGGGTCGCCCCAAGCGCCCAGTCGGCAGATCTGCTTTTCTTCGAGCTCAACGGAATTTTTCGGAAAACATGAGGTCATATCCACCCACGATTTTTCACACCTCCGCTTATTTTTCGACGTCACCACTTGTGAAATTTCCTCATTAACCGTTTGTTGATCTGCGACGAAAAGAAACAAGCGGCTGAAGGGAAGTCGGAAGAAACAGCCGCGGCCGAATGGTCATCCGCGGCGGTTTAAACCACCGACCCCTGTTCTTTTTATCCGTTTTGTTGGGACAAACGCCTGTTGCTCTCGTATATTGATTTTGTTTTGTAATAATGCTCACAGTGTCTAACGAACAGCAACCGCAGAAAACTTTGGGCTGATGAGCGAGAACGAGGAAGCCAAGCCGGACAGCGGCGACGATCCTGCCGATCCCGTCGTCAACGGCTCCGCTTCGGTTAGACCTACTGTCAGTTTTATTTTTTCATTTTTCAGCAATCAGCAGTCTTGTGAAAACTGAAGCGCGACATTCAGGATACCAACTTTGACAAAAAAATGATATTTCAAACTTTTCTCCCGTTGCTAGATACTTTTGTTCACATTTGGAACCAACTCAAAAACTGAAAATTTCAAAAATTGTGCCATCTTTCTCAGCTCAAAATTAGAAGTTTCCGTACATTTTAGGCAAAAGAATGGTAAAAAAAAAATTAAATTAAATTTTTAGTACATGTCAGTGAAAGTATTTTTAAAAAAGAAACGTGAAAATTTTTGAAATTTTTTCCGATCTTTATCAATGATGAATAACTTTTGAGCTAAATAAACCGATTGCAATGTTTCGATATTTTTTGGTAAACTGCTAAACGGATGAGTTCTCAAGTTTATTGTTGAAAGAACTCATTTTCGAATTGATAATTCTACTATTCCCGAAAAATTGACTCTAATTTTGTTAATGGACGCCTTTTCCGCACCATGATTTTTTTTTGAAACGGTCAAAATTTATTCGGCTTCAAATGGATCACCAAATGTTTCAAAAAGATAGTATACGGAAAAAATCAATGTAGGAGCAGTTCACCCAAAAAACTTTTATCTGAGATTGAAATCGCTTGAAAAGGGCCGAAAAAAACAAAGTTTCAGCGTGGTGGAATGTCGGACGCTTCGGCTCTTCTGATCGAGGAAGGTCTGTCGCTCCTAAACCTCAAATCTTCGGTCATGCCAACTCTACGGCCGCCGTCACCTGAACTTTTCACACGCAGTCGTTCGGCGAGCCCTGATTTCGGCATCTCCTCTCACGCGTTAGTTATTTTTTGAATATTAAATGGAAGTAATGTTTCTACCTGATGATTCAGACTAGTTTCTCGAAAACATTTCAGCCAATTTTTTTGAAAAAAATTCGTTTTGTCAATTGCATGAAACCCAAGTTTTTTTGAATAGTTTTATATTTATTCTGATAGTTTTTGTTCAAAAAAAAGACCGTCCAAAAATGTCCCCAAATTATTGAAAATTGCTAGGTCAAGGAAAATAAGAAATGAATTAGAAAATGTTTTTTTAAATCCATGAAGAAGCTAATTTTTTTTTCATTTTTATTTTTGCTCAAATAGACAAGCATATTTTTTTGAATTTTTCTCCCTTAAATCTATCAAACAAGTTCTCATTCATATCTTGGAGTGCTCCTTTTTCCTAGTGCAAAAAAATGATTTTTAAATCTAAAACTTTTTAAAAAAACAAGGAACAAACAAAAAAAGCAGAAAAAAATAAATAAATTTTTGAGTACACTGCACTTTTTGCCGTCTGGATAAAATTTCACGAAAAACTTTAAACCGTGAGACTCTCACGTTGCAAAAATCTTCGAGGTTTCGAGTATTGGCGCGTGAGCTCGTACGGGGAAAAACGCGAAGCTCTCATCGTGCACAAACATCCAACAACTCTCTGAGGAATTTTCCACGCAAGAAGACTTCTCATCAGAAAACTTGCGTTCGAAATTAAATGAAGCTATTTTTCATTTCAAAAAAAGTTCAAAAGTGCGATAGGATGTGAAGATTTTCAGACTCGCGCATGCAAGAACTCCGAAATTCAAGCGGATCGATTTCGACGATCGCCTGGAAGACTTGAATGAGAAAAAGCCTGCGTGGAAGTCGTGGCAAGAAAACGTGAAAGATTCATATCACAAGGTAGTCTGTTTCTCCATTCTCACAGATGTTTGTTAGTCCCCATCGGCTCACCTCCCTTCGTCATCTCATCTCAGAGAAGTTTGAAATGATCACTTGAGCATATTCAGGCTAAACGGTCTGTAGAAAGAAAAAAGGATGAGAATGAGTTCCTGGAGAACACCTTGAGCCGACCCAGGAGGATACGTGGCGAGAGCCCATTCAGACATCTCGATTCGGATACCGGCTTCATTCCAACTGTTAGGTACATTTTTGACCAAGACTTTTTGAAAAAAAAAATCTTCAGAAGTCGTACGAGTTTGATGGGACCTTCGCTATCTGATAGATCTCGATTGGCTACCTCATTGTCTACCAGTAACATGTTCAATGGTGGGTAATCCAAGTGATTGTGATTTTAAAAGATAAAAGTTGATAGTTTTTTTTTTCAACTCGAAAGTTAGTTTCGAACTGTTTCTATAATAGTAAAAGGTTGTCTTTTTACTCTCTGTACTCACCCCGACAAATTTCCAGCTGGCTCGGGACCATATGCAGCTCCAGCCGTCAATTTATCTCAGGGAATCGAATCTCGCTACGAAGAACGAGCTAACAATGTTGAACTGGCGTAAGTTTATCGAAAAATCCTATTTTCTGCATTTCTCATTTTTTTTTTTGAAAAGAAAATTTAGACTTCTTCGTACTGCGCCACTTCCAGAAAGATACAAGTCCATAACAACTAGAGAATTCCGAAGAGCTCCAGAGCCCTCGGCCGGAAGTTTCTCTGAAAATGATGATTACGACTTTTCGGTGAGTCATCAAGGCCACAATCTCCTTTCTGACGACAATTCTCTTACAGAGATATGCACCAAAACCATATTACTCAAGACCAAACAGGGACGATCCAGATTATTTTGATTTTGACCTTCAGCATTCAGTGAACCTTTTCAAACGTCCTGAAGGAAGATATACGCCAAGAGGGTAAATTTCAATCGAAAAATGATGACCATATGACATTCTTCTTAGACCTCAAGACTGGGAAAGCAAATTGGTAAACGAATCAACCGGAAAAGGATCAGCGCCAGTTTCTGGATACATGTTCACCAAGGTATTTTAAGCTTCGTGTAGAACTTCCACGTAACGGAAAATGTACGAGACTTCCACGCAGTCGAAAAAAAACGCTTGAATTATCTTCTTTCAGTTGCATGCGCCAGGATCTTTTCCTTTGACATGAAAAAAGCTTTTAAGACGTTTTTTTAGGAAATAAAAAATAACGAGTTTTGGTGAAGAGTTTTTGTAAAGGCTTGACCATTTACTCGGTACATAAAAAGTGGTCAAAAATTTCAATCTTTGCATTTATTTTTGATTTATTTTTCAAAGCATTCAATTCAGTTTTTTTTTCCAGGGAGACTCGGACTGGAGATCAAACGGTTCATCTTACTTGAGTGCGGCTTTGCGTACACCAAAGTTCTGGGAGCAGCGGTTTGAAAGCATTGGAAAAAGTGTGCGCGATAGCAATCCGGTCAGCCTCGACAGTATCAACAGGTCCAGTGATAAACTTTTCGCAGTCTTTCTTCATCCTTAGAAACAATTCAAACAGGGTTTTTAGAAGGATACGTATGTTGGCTGATCTACGCAAGTAAGCCTAGCAAAACCAAAAAAACTTCTAAATCCACCCAACCCATCTATCAAAGAAAAAAAGCGCGTCTTGACTATTTTTGGGAAGTTAAACAGACTTTTCTGTGGTCAAAATGCGCGGAGGACTTATTTTTCCTGAATTTTTTCTATCGATAATAGTTCCGTACAGGCTTCTGTTTCCTTGATATGAAAATCAATGGAATGCTTTCTGATTAAAAAAGAACGCTTTCCTTACTCAACGCCTTAAACAAGTACAATAACAAACCACCAAAAAGCTCACATATGGAATGCAGAATTGCACTTGCAAGGAAATTTAAATAGGCACGCTTTTCTCACAGATATCTTGTGAAACCTTCTTTGAAGGCGGAAGCCATTTTCTCAGCACTAAAGAACTTGTCAGCGCTTCTACTTTGACCTCTAGAAAACATTTCTATGGATTCCAAATTTCTGAAGCATGAATCCCTGAAAAATAATTTTAAACCTCTTGCGAACATGACAAAAATTTTTTAGGAATCGGCCAGTGACTAGCCGATTCACCGAGTATCGTGACCCAGACTACGAAGATTACGAAGACCCGCGCGACGATGATTGAATGAAGGCAAAATAAGGGTGGTAGTGAGCAAGAGTTCAGTGCAAACTGAATTCTCACCCCTCCCAAGTTTTTTTCTTGATTTCCATCGCTCACGCAACGTTCAAGCCAAACTCCCACACTTCTGCTTCTTGTTTCCGCATTCAAACTTATGATTTGAAAGCAAATTTTGTTTAGAGTTTTTCTCATATCCGCTTCGTTATATCCTGATTTTTTAAGGCCATGCACCGTCTTGGTTTTTTTTTTTCTCGCCTATTTTTTATTGAAGCTTTTGAAACAGAGAAGTAGTGTTAGCTTGAAAACCTTGGGAGCAACCAAAGTCGTAGATTAATATTTCACAAGCTTTTCAAAAAATCTTTGACTTGGTTTCCTTAGTTTTCTTCTTGTAGAAATACGCATTTTTACAAAAAAGAGTAAGCAGCAAATAGTGTTGCATGAAACAGTCAAGTTGGATAAAGATGTTAGCTCATTTAAGCTTTTGTTTTTGGTACACTTTCAAACATTTTTTGAACATTTTTTTCATTTTTTTAAAAAGATTTTTTGATTCACTTGCTTTTCATGAAATCGTTTGCTAATGTTCTGCATCATTTTGGCGTAGCAATGTGATACATAATATAGAGTAGGGAAACCTTTATCTTAGCCTCTCTCATGTTGTTTCATGAACTTTTGATAGTGTTATTTGTGTTAGTCTTCTACGCGCTGAAGCTTTCTAGTCATGTGTATCATAATTTTCCTTCCTTTTTTTTCTTTCTTTCATTGTTTCTCATCGTTTTATATGTATTTACTCTATAACTTCATAATTTTTTCTACATATCACTTATTCTTGTAATCTTACTATACGAAATAAATATTGGGAAAAATGAAAAAAACAAAAAAAAATGAGAAGAAAAAAATGTAGATATGCTAATTCACGTCAAACAAAAAAAAGGCATCTTCCGTAAAAGGTTTTCCTGAATTTCCGCGCTGATTATTTTGAAAAGGATGTAAATCTTGTAGCTTTATACTTTATCCACAACATTCATTGCGCAAATATTTTCATTAAATCAATTATCTGCCAAGCCTGAGAAGATTTTTGAATTTATAAATGAAATGCCTTTTTTTCGAGAAATTCCAGTTTAAGCAAGTAAAAAAACATATTGTTCTTGAGCCAAATGAAAAAAAGCTGTAACCTTTTTGACTCAACTATAAACTACTGGCTAATCAAAAAAATTTAATCAAGTCCTGTCAAAAAGGTTGTACCATTGTTTTCCACGGATCAATCCCGAAAAATTGTAAAATTTGATGAAAACCAGGAAAAGAGAAAAATTTTGAAACGCGATATATTCGAATACGTCAACTCACGCTCTCAAGTTTCTCCGTGGAAACGGGAAAGTTTTTTTGAAACAAAGATGGCTTGTTGAGATGCGATGACAAGGAGGCGTTTTTGATAGTTTCTTCTGAAAAAAAGCAAGTTTTATTTTTTTATTTTTCAGAATTTCTCTACTATTCATAAATTTCGAAAAATAATTTTTTTCCTCTCATATTTTTACAAAAGTTCAAGTTAATCAAGTTCAATTTTTTTGTATACATGTTTGCAGGAGAAGTTTCCCGAAAAAAAAATAAAAAGTTGCGAAAAAATTGACAAGAACATTTAGACAGGGTTCAAAAATTTGTGAGGATTTTACAATAAATTTTTTCAACCAAAGCTTATTCTGTGGTTTTTTATGTTTCTCGATGTTTCACTTCTCAAGAATCTGAGGAAATTTTTGAATATAATTTTTGTTCTGAACGACTGGGAGCTTCGAAAAATGATGCATCGTAGTGTCCTATCATTATGATTAAAGTCGATTCATTCTTATATTTTCACGGACTTTTCAAGTATGTGTTCATGCATTTTTATTCAATCTATTGCCTTATGGTTAATTGAGAAGGGACATTATGTCATTTCCATTTTTGTTTGATCAACGCTGGATACAGAAATTATTTAATTTTTTTGAAAACTTCCTAGAAAAACCAACACTGAATGCGCCTAAAATTTTTGTGTTTGAGGCTCGTATAATATTATCTTTTGAAAGCATCGAATCCGAATTCTGATTTCCTCAGGCTTGAGAATAAATGTTCTAATCTTTTTTCAACGAAAAATGTATTAATATGGAAGTTTTTTTCCAAGAAAACATCTTTGCGTTTCAGAGATCTAAAAAAGTCAGATGGAAAAATTGGAAAATTTTCATTTAATGATTGCTCGTAATTGTTCTCGAGTTCGACTGCTCTTTTTGAATTTTTTTTTTCTCTCGAGGATTGCTGGAAAAGACAGTTACTCGAGTCCTAGACAACTGATAAAGCCGTCGTGAAAAGTAACATGGACGCGCGAAGAGCGGAGCGTTGAAGATGCTCTGAAGTTGGAGCTCTTATGTGTGTTTGACTGTGGTGAGTGGCCGACCTCACTTACTGCCATTCAACTGGTGGTGGCGGCCGCTGCTCCCGGATTCGTTCGCCGATTTCTTCTCTTCTCTTTCTCCTGCCGTTCTCATTTAACCTCAAATTGAGATAAACTCTTAAATTCCACCTTCCAACTTCTCATTTTACTCTCAATGCGTCCTAATTCAAAACAGTTCTTGGAAGTTTTTTTCTTTTGTCTTCAGAAAAATTCAGGAAGGTTTTTGAATGACTTGTGGGTTCAGTCAATCGAACTTTTGGGTCCATTTCGATACTCAGTGCCTTGTCTCAATTTTTGCAATGCTAACGACTATTTTGCAGAAATTCTTGTACTCTAACCTTTTATGTTTTAAACCTTTGCTTTTCCGCATTTTTCATCCAATCACCAATATGGCTCTCAGAAACCCAAAATTTGGTATTTTTGTATTTTTCGAAACCGCGTGAAGTTTGAATGAATTTAATTCCTCTTCATCTAAAATTTTCTCTATCATAACCCTAAAAAAACAAATTTCATAGCTCCTTGTAAAAAATCCCTCAGACTTATAATTCCTTAGCAAAAAAATTTTTTTAATTTACTGTAAACTCGGCGCCATTTTCCGTTTTCGAACGCCTCATACTAGCGGAGTTTTTGCTGTCCTAGAAGCCTTTTTCACAAAAAACAAACATTTGACTTTTTAAAAAGTAATAATCGAGGGATTCAGATCAGGTCACAAGTAGAATCCTTCTCGAATGTTTTTCAAAAATTTTGGGGCTTGAAAAATCGAACAGAGAAGAAGTAAACGGAAACAAGAGGCTGATGAGTGCCGGAGAATTGCGCGTAAATGTGCAGTCGATCCTCGAGTAGTTAGGCAAAACTAAACAGCGCTCTTGCCTGCACTTGTGCTGTACAGTCTTGTTTGATCGCGCATCAACACGCTGCGCCGAGTCTTGGCCCGCTTCTCACTGCTAATCTCCTAGTCGCATACGTTTCAGGTAACACGGCCATGCAGCTCGTCGGCCTTCTGGTGCTCCTTGCGCCTGCCGTATTCGGCGCCATCTGCCCTCAGGAGAAGCACACAGTCTGTTGTTTTTTTTTCTTTCCATTTGTTGTACTTTCTTCTGACGAAAACTTTTAAGTGAGAGTAAAAACCTTTTTTAAAACCCTCGAGACTATTTTGGACATTGATAATTTTTCAGAGCTTGAAAAACCCCAGGGCGTTTCATTCCCGATAAAATCGAAAATTCCACATAATCACTTTGAATAAAAAAAAGTATGCTACTGAACTGAAAAAAAGGCAGTGAATAAACTATAATTATTATAACTGACTAGGAAAAATTATGATTTGAAATTTCTGAAAACTCAATTCAATTCAGTTTATTCAGTCTTTAGAGTAAGATGAAGAAAATCTCTGCTGAATCATGGTATAATCGAAGAGTTAGTCGTCGGCGCGGGTTACGGTCCACAATCGTTGTCCAATAAGTCGCGGCGTGACAGCTAGCGTGACAGCTATTATTATCTCATTTGAAAACTAATTTTTTCTAATCAATTCTCTCAAAGTTTGTCAAGAACTATTAGTTCCTTTTTTCATGAATATATTTTTTAAATGCTGATAAACTTCTCAAAAAGTTTTGTCAGAAAAGGTTCCATCATTGGCTCATCTTATTTTCAACCAATAGCCGGGATTTCTCAAACTTTGAGCCACGAAAACTTCGAAAACTTGAACTAAAAAGAAAGTTTCTATATTGAATTTTCCGAAAATGTACACGCCAAATACGGTTATTGATGCAGCTATAATCTAATTTTGAAACATGTGTTATAGCGATTAAATCAGTAATCTTATTAATGTTTCCGTAATTTACGAGGCTACTGTACAGTTTTTCCCAACTTTTTGTATCACAAAATCATCTGTCATGAAAGTTTTTCTATTTTGAGAAGAATTTCGTTTCAAGGTGTGTAACGATGACAGCGACTTCGCTTGTACTTGTGCTGCAGCTCAAGCCGAGGTTCGTTTTTTTGTATCTCAAAAATTATGTTTTTTAAAAAGTTTTTTTGAAACAATCCTCTTTAATCTGTAAGTAAAATAAGAGAGCGGTTTGGAAATTGCATCAAGTTGATGACAGTGGTTGCATCAGATTTTTTTGAATAAAAGAAAAAAAATTAACGATATGAACTTTGTTCTAACTGAAATTCATATTTTTGCGAAAATCTTGGAAATTCTAAATCTCAAAGCCTTCATCATCAATAATATTTGAAAAAAATCATAATTTTTTTGCTCAGCTTTACTGTTTCCAAAAATTAGGCGCTGAGGTCTAAGTACTTGAATCGATATCTTTTGAAAAAAATTAGAACAAACATTTTTTTGAGGAGTCTCCTGTTCCACAAGTTTCATGCAGTAATTTTGTGGCTCGAGACCTTCAAAGCGGCAACTTCCCCGTCGTTTCCGTGCAGTTCACCCTCGACGACTCGGTCGAAGGACTTGACGAATGGCCAGAAGAGGCTTTCCGCGACGCCATTTCCTCTTCTCTCCGCATTGAAGAGGTTCTTTTTTTCTGTAAGCTCAGAATCCGAAGATTCCACCTTCCACAGAACGACGTCATAATTCTTCGCGCTAGTTGCATGGGCACCGATGATACCCTCACTGTTCAGTTCGGCATTTTGAAAAAGGTGGATTGTTTTTGAAAATCGGAACTTTTTTGGAAGAAATTTAAAAGAAGATTCTCAAGAGGAACAGGAAAGTCTCTCTAGTATCGATCATTCCAGGAAACTAACACTTCAAACATCCCTTTCCAAGAAGAAGATTTCATCGACGCCGAGTCGATTGCTACCCGAATGAAGGCTATGGGACATCTCTCTCAGATCGCCGACCTTGACGTTGACAACATTGAATATGTGGGTCCTTTTCTTTGATTTTTGAGCCAAGTTTCACTCATTTCAAATAGATGAAATGAGCATTTCTGGGTGGAGAATCCCTTAAATCCTCATTCTTATCGAAAAAGCGTTGATTTTGTGCTGTGAGAAGGCAATTCGGAAATCACAGTAAGTATTTTAGGGACAAATACTCTTTTCAGGTTTTCTTTCAAATTCAATCAAAAAGAGTATGAAGAAATTTGTGGCTTTCTACTCTGATAGCATAGCGCGTGAGTCTTTTCCAATCTAGTGAGCTGTAAGTGAATACCAACAGTCCGTTCTTTTATTGCAATTGTGGCGTTTTTCCAATTAAACTAGAGAGCAATAGCTTTCAAACAAATAATATTGAAAAAAACTAGTCTTCTGCGATTTTAAACATAAAAAAGCCTATAAACCATGACTCATCTGATTCGGGTTCGGTAAACTGATTACCACTTGCTATGTCGAATGCAATTGCCGTCAAGAAACACGTCAGTGTCTACAAAGCGGCCGGTTTGAGTTTTCGTGATAGAAGGACAAAGGATGTAAGCTCAGTAGGAATCGTTTCCTCAGTTGGCCGAACGTCTTCTCTGACGTCATGGACGAACATGTTTGCGCGCACGTGGTTTGGACTAGGAGGAAAGCCGAAAAATGAAGACTCCAACAAGTTTCCCATGAACAACAAGCTATGCTTTCCAATGACAAGAACTGATGTTTGATTTTGCGTTCCGACTATGTACAGGAAAGAAACTCGATATTCTTTAATGAAATAATTTGTTAATAATATATCAGTAGTATGCGAGGGCTCTTACAAAAAAGTTCTCTCATTTCAAAGTTGGAGTTTTTGTGATGAAGTCGCTTGAAATCGTCTTGAATTGCTAAATTGCAACTTTTCGTTATCATCTCCCACGCATTCATCCGATCCTAGCTCAAAAATAATCAATTTAAACAGCATTTCTGATGGTTTTGAATATTTTTTACGTGTTTGTCCCAATATTGAAATTTTTTTGACTTTAGTAAATAAACTACGAAATTTTACGAAAGCACGAACTAGAAGTTTTTACTAATGAAAGTTTAGGAAGTTCTACATACAGATTTCTTCTTCCCCTACGTTCAGTTGATTAGTTCTGTGATCTCTTAAAAACTTCATTCCTAGTAATAGGAACAAAGGTGCAAAAAACCGTTCGGCGGCCCCTTAAAGCTCTGAGCAAGGGAACTAACTGGACCAAATTTTTTTTTGCTTCGCTCTTGATCTTTTAAACGTGTGACTCCTGTTCACATAGAAAACTCGAATTGTCACGCGGGTTAAAAGTCGAAACAGTTGTCCAACCTAAAAAAAAAGTGTCCGACACAATGACTTACTTTCAAGTGGTAAACCACGCGTTTTAGAAAAAAAAAATGACTGGAATTCACAGCCGGTTTTCGTTAAGTTCCGAGCCAATCTTTGGTCTTTACTGTAATCATAGTTGCGAGGCCTCAACTAAAACCGTTTTCGATCGCGAAGAAGGTGGAAGTAAATAAGAAGAAAAGTTAACTCTTAGATATCGGTTTTTTCGATTGGTCGTCATTCATAAGGCAACCGAACAATGGAATGCAACTGGCCACTCAAAGAGGAAGCATTTGGTCTTGAACCAGTTTTTCGTTCCTTTTTTGTTACTACTTATCCCAACCGTTTTCTTCTCTGTTTTTCGATGCGATACTGTGTTTGCAAGTTCCAAAAATCATTTAGCAGAGTGTAAAAACGAGTCGTTATTTTCTCATTCAAATTTTTCAACTATTGCAACGGAAAATTTCTGAAAAATAGTTGGTCAAGGAAATTTTTGATGATCCCTCCAACTGAGAAAGTGACTCTTTTTTCGTAGTTCTCAGAATAACCTAGCGAAGAGACCACGTGGAGGTGCAGGAGTAGCAGCAAAACGTTAAGATCCGCCACGTTGTTGACCGAAAAACAAAAAAAGGGCATGTCTGTAAGAATGGATTTTGAAATTTTTTTGCTTACGGAAAAACTATGATGAACAGTTAGAAAGAATTGGCCTACAAATACATTTTCACTCAAATCGAGAACAGAGCGTTTTTGCATTTTTCACCAGTAGAACAATTCGCAATTCGGCTTTTTAAACAAACGATCCTGTAAACTCAACCTTCTATCTTGCCTTTCCTCGTGGCAAAATTCTATTGCATCTAAAAGGTTTGTAGATGTCTTCTATTTTGATTTTGCTAAGGCATTCGATAAAGTTAACCATTCCTTGCTCCTTCTTAAGCTTCGAAGTTTTGGTCTTGATAAAACCGTTATTTGATGGTATGAAAACTTTCTGTCTGATCGTTGCTCTACTGTGCTCATTGATGGTTCTCGATCTACTTTTTATTATGCTAATACGTCTGGTGTCCTCCAAGGTACTGTATCTGGGCCTTTGCTTTTCTTGATATTTATCAACGACATTGTTACCTTGATCGACCCTGAAACCTCCATCTCACTATTTGCGGATGACATTAAAATTTACGGTTCTAACCCAGAATCTCTCCAACATAGTATAAACTCTATTTTTGAATGGTCATCTACCTGGGGCTTGCCCCTTGCCGCTAACAAAACATTTGCTATTCTCCTGGACCCTCGCAATCCTAAAACTATTTATTTGATTAATGGAGTTCCCGTCCCTCATAAATCTGTTGTACGTGATCTTGGTGTACTAATCGATGAGAAACTCACTCTTGTTCCGCACATTAATAATATTGTATCTCTTGCAACGCTGAGATCCAACCAAATTCTGCATTGTTTTCGTACAAAATCTCCGGCTCTTCTGCTTCAAATTTTCAACACCTACGTCAGACTTTTATTGGAATATTGTTCTGAAGTTTTTAACCCACCTATTAACTCTGACCTTTGCTACAAGCTTGAATCCCCACTCAGAACTTTTTCCCGTAAAGTTTACACTAGGTCGAAACTATCTTTTGATTCCTATTCAAATCGTCTAGAGCAATTTCAACAAACCCCACTTTACATTAGACGAGTTATTTCTGATCTCCTCACTCTCCAAAAAACTGTTTCTGGTCACGATCACTTTCCTCAATTCGAAAATTTTGCCCTCAGATCCAATTTGAGGCGAAATCCACTTCGGCTACGTTTTCAAGGTCAGTTTTCTAACAACTTTTTCTTTAAAACTATTCCTATTTGGAATAAACTTAGATCCAAATATCAGTTCACCCTTCCACCTAAGTCTTTGAAAAAATTATTGGTCGTTTTACCTCGCAACAAATTTTTTACCTCTATTCCACCAAGACTTAACTGATCTCATTTTTTTTTCTTCAACTTTTCTTTTCCTTGGTGAACTTGTGAACTCGTTGGGGTTCACACTAATCTGTGAATAAATTATTATTATTATTAAAAAAACAAAAAAATCCGCTCGCTACTTCATAATTTTTTTCACGGCCTTGCTGTGTTTTGGCTGCAGAAAATAGAGTTTTTATCCGGGACATCCCTGTAGCGTGAGGCTTTCTTTGCGCGCGGTCTTGGGAACTCAGTTTTCATGAGAAAATTATTAAGGATATCATTCTGTACTAAGCGCACTTTTTCTAAATCTTCATTACTAGTATTAGAGGCAAGCTGTCTCTGACGCTAGTGCACAAATTCAATCACAAAGTTCAGTCTTTTGTTCAGCGCGTGGTAGCTATTTCTGGTTTTTTTTTTGGTTGCACGTGACCGTAATGCTTAACGGCAGCAGAGTGTGACCAAAAGGAGCAAATAGCAAAAAAGCGTAGAGTGACGTGGTCTTGAGCGTTTCCTTAAGCACGGTTATCAACGGGACAAAAGACTGCGCAGGAGTATTTCCCAACTATTTCACTGATAACTTGCGTACTGATATCAGAAGAAGAAATTTCAGACCCACGTGATAGTTTTTCAAATCCAACATTTACCGTTGTAGTGACTTTATCAATAAAGTGTGAGAAAGATAATAAACTGATATTTCACACTTCAGCTGGAAAAAGATCTTCATTTGTCCAGAAATGTTTGTTAACTTGTTCAAAAAAAAAAAATGAAGAAAGGAGAAGAAGTTCATAAAAACGCTACTCATCCATTTTTGAGATCTGCATCTCTTTGAAGAACTGTTTATCGCGTATCGGGAGTAGTAAGACATAAATTCCAAATCTCCATTTTAGGGTTTACTAGGGAAAAACTGCCGCTGAGAAAGCAGTGAAGTCGATTCCCCAATTTCAAATCGAAAAATTTTTTTTGCAGCTAAATGTAAAAATGGAAAACTTAATTTCAGACGGAAGACCTTCTGCCTGTGGAGTATGAGCCGGACAACTCGGAACTCGTCTTCAAAGCCGTCGGACTTGCCGTTACCTTTGGAATTTTCTTCATTATGGGACTGATTGCGACGTGCCGCCAAAAGAACGAAGACGATTATACTGACGACCTTCAAAAAGCATGATTTCCCTTCGTAGACGTGTTTAAATTACCACGGGGCACCGTGAAAACTCTGATTTGGCCGAAATTTATTTTAATTTCTGAATGAGCGATTCTGTGTCATTTCTCATAAAAATCTCTTTTTTTATAGTTCTCGAAGTTTTTCATAATCCCGACGATTTCTTTTCATTCTTTATTTCCAAATTTTTCTCTCTTTTGTCCTTTTCTTTTTTGCGCGTCGATTCATGTAATATGAATCATTTTTTTAAACGATTTTGCTCATTTTTGGGAGAAAAAGAGCGACCCACGTGCCTACGCCATTTTGTCAAACATGGAATTGCATCATTTTTTTATAGATGAGCGATCTATGGAAAATAAATGTCTCTGTTTTTTTATTTGTAACCTCTTGATAATTTCTTTTTGCGGTTTTGAGTCTCCGGTTTTTTTCAAACTCTCCCAACTTATCAGGGGGAAAAAAATTTTGATGGAAGTCACCCACGCAATATTATTTTTTTGTAGACGAAGCTTTCCTAATGACTTTTTAAAGAAATTGGAATTTTATTTAATTCAAGATTTGAAAAAAATTACAAAACTCAGTCAAATACTTGAACTTTTTTTAAAAAAAGGCTTTTTTTGATACACCGGCTGAAATTCAGGATATTCTCAAACTGCTGAACTTTTTACCTTCGTTCTATTTAAAGAATTCGATTACTTCCAAACACATCATGAAGGTTCTTTTGCCAAATTTCAAAAAAATGCAAAAACGTTGCCAACTAATCTCCCACTATTTCAAAAATATAGAAGCATTTTTTCAAAAAATACCTAGAAAGTTTTAAACGTAGAAAAAGCTCGACAATCGAAAACTGTTTTTATTCTAGGTTTCATCACTTTTAAGGAGTTTTTTGGAATGGTCGCTGCGCGGTTAGTTGATGCGTGGGCGGCAAAGCTTCCCGTGAGCAAACACATGGGTTTTTGTCGTTCCAACCTAGGACCACTGAAAATTGCACCGCGAGGATGGAGAGTGGATGCAGCGGACGTAAAAAACGACTCTCCGTATTCCTTCTCTATTTTCCAGCAAGGGTCGCTTAGGAATGAGAAAAGAGATTGAGAGCGTGGCGAGAAAAGCCGCCGAATGAGAAATGGCGCCAGAGAGACGCAGATGGCCGGATACAGCCGTGGAAAATAGCGCGCGGCGCCGATAGAAGCCTCATCGCAAACATTTTAGAATGATGCAATTTGTCCGTTCGTGGTTCTCATTTTGCACTGGAAAACGTTTGCTTTGATGAATGGCGACGACGATGAACGTCTAATGAATTCTAATTTAACCTGAAAAATGTTTCTAAAAAACAAAATTTGAAAAATGTACCGCAAAAATTAAAAACAAATGTTACCCGTGAATGAAAACTTCCAAATAAACGATAAATACACTCAAGAAGAAGAAGAAGAAGACACTGCTATATGTATTTAAAAGAGATAAAATCTTGGCGGTAAGAGTCTCAAAACAGAGAAAGAAATTTCTAACCATAAAGTCCGTAAGTTACACAGATTGAGACAGATTTCGGACAATGTTGGCAAATTTTCAAAAAAAGTCGGTTACGGAAGAACCTTAGGAAACCAACACTATTCTAAATCTAAAATTCATTTTTTCATTTGAATTTTTTCCCTGTGAATATTTTCTTCCAACGTTTTTTTCCAGATGTGACAGAGTTGTATGGTGGATAATTGCCACCATTCGAATTCCATGTAGGTGTTTAAGTTTCAACCTTTTTTTTTCACATTTTCCCAGCACGGTGCTCAAGATCTCATCAAACATTTTGTGTGGAGGTTTTTTCTCATCTATTGCGGCACCTCAAAGTAGCCCCTCTTTATGAGTTTACCCTTTTTGGTTCAGTGAAGCAATTTTATAGTGGGAAGAGAAGTTTACGACATTTTCTTTTTTCCTTGCGGAAGAGAGTTACTCGGAACCCGAAAACTGTAACTCAAAATCAGTGAGAATTTCGAGAGAATGAGAGTCATCGAAATCCTCTAAAAATAGCAATTTGAGTTCACTTGCACATAGCCAAACCGTTCAAACAACGTGGTCTCTTTCTCTATTTTTTGGCAAAGTTGACATTTCTGTTTGCACACAGGAGGTATCTGCAGAAGATTTGGTTCAACGCAGTCACGTAAGCTTAGACTTTTGGTTACTCTGAAACTTAATTTGAACACAAAAAGTTTAAAGTGGCTAGTTTAAGAATAAAATGAGCGTCAACCTTGATTTGGTTCAACTTCAAGCCAACGGTAAATAAACTATAAATTCCCATAACGACCTATTCGCATTATCCTACCTTAACTTTTTTTTATTGGCACTCATCTCTAATTAAATACGAAAAAAATTTAAAATTGTTCAACTATTGCAACGGAAAATTTCTGAAAAATAGTTGGTCGAGGAAATTTTTGATGATCCCTCCAACTGAGAAAGTGACTCGTTTTTCGTAGTTCTCAGAGCAACCTAGCGAAGAGACCACGTGGAGGTGCAGGAGTAGCAGCAAAAACGTTAAGATCCGCCACGTTGTTGGCCGAAAACCAAAAAAAAACCCCGCGGAGACCATATCACTAAACAACCGCCAGGGCCGAAATGACGCACGAGACTCTCCGAAAGATCACATAACTTCTATCACCGAGATGCAGTGGCGACTGCAAATCGCGACGTGTTTACAATTACTGATTTCGAGGAAAAAGGCTTTTGCCGGTGCACGCGGACCTATGGAATGTGGCAGTTGACTGCGAAAATAAGTTTCTTTTTGTTTCAGTTACTTCTCGAAGATCTCGGGTTAAGTGTTCGGAAAACAAAGAAAAAAAATATGAACTCAGACCAGTTTTGATGGATATAGTTTGTCCAAGAGCGCTTACCTCCAAGATGCTGAAATTTTTGAGTGAAGTATTTGTTGAAGTCTATATGAAATCGAGCTAGCTTTAAGTATCTTTTTGCGAGAGCCCATTCAGTAATCTCATCACAATAGCTTTTGATACTGCATGAAAACCTGTAAAGCTGAATCATGACTCCCAGCTCTGGCAATGAGTCTTTTTTCTAGAACAAAAGCAAGAGAAGACTCACACAAATCATCTGAACGTGAAATCGTTCGTCAACCCGAATCTTCGCGACTTATCCTTTGCTATCGAAAACTTGGTTGTGTTGACGCCGATCCGCTTCGTGACGTTATCTCACCGGCAAACAACTGCCGTTAGATTTGCCAAGTTAATGAGTTTAAATAACACTTTCTATCACCAAACAAAACTTGGATGCATAGTTCCTCGTCTCACAAAAAAAACCTATTTTTCATATACTTCCGTCAAGATTATTTTATTATTTGCGTGAAGCCAATAAATGAAATTATTTATTTTTTAACACGTAAAAGGGGAATAAAGTGCTTCAAACAAAATCGGGCTCTAGTGAAAATCACAGCGTCATGACATTCAATAGAACTGTTCAGGTGATAAAAGTATCTGTTGAATATTTCAAACCTTTTTTCTTGATTTTTTCACCTGGACATTCATATGAAAACTTCGCGAAATGACAACTTTGTTGAAAAACTCATATGAAACAGTCTCAGCAAAAACAAAACTCGTCAGATGTAACTCGGTTATGCGAAAAAAGCTCCAAAAGACTTAGTAGAAGATGAAAACACCGGAAGTTATAAGAAAAAAAAAACTTTCCCGTTATGATAGTAACTATCATTTCAAAATCTTCTACGCAAGTCTACTGCCGAGAACAGGCTGAAATAGAGGGAAATTTCAAAAGAAGCTGCACACAAGGATCAATGAGATTCGTTCATGAAAAGCTTTTAATGCGCCCGAATCCTCCTTGTTTCTATGACATCTCCAATCTTTTTTTCCCATTTCCACCTGCTCTCGAGCGAAAACTTCTTCAAAAGACAGCTTGCAGGCACTTCAAAATAATACTGAGCAAGGCATCATAGGAAAAGAATGAGAAGAGGAACCCGGTAAAAAAAGCACTCTTTTCCAGGAAATCATAGAAAAAAAAAACAGGATAGTCTGGACAACTCTAGGAATAATTAGAAACGCATAAAACCGGGCAATATTTACAATAGTTATAGGGTATGTATATCTTTATATAGTGACATGTTCAAATGTTACTTAACCGAAACGTTCAACTTTTCGAGCTTACTTCGATTTTGGTAACATTCAAAGCAAAACTTGAAGCTACTGCGGTCCGTAATACGGACAGCTACAGTAAAGCGGTATCGACTCAATTGCATGAAAAAATTTCGAATGAGGAAGTAACTCCGGTCGATACCGCTCGAAAGAAGGAAACAAATTTAGTGATTTTAAGACTTTAGTCTTTTTGCTGGTGGAAGAACTCGTCATGTTGTAGCATCGCCGTAAATCACAGGGGAGGGTCATCTGAAAAGAAAAATCAGTTTTAGAGCTCTTTTTTTACGATTGTGAAATTTTAGCGATGCGTTTAGAAAGACTTATCATGTGCGGTAAATTGATAAGAAGACAAAAACGGTGTGATCTTTCTGACAAGATTTATCACCTAGGAGGTATAGAAATAAGAGGCTCACCTAATAAGAAGGCTAAACGGGAACCAGATACTGCATCGAACGGAAGACTGTGCTGAAAATATTGAAATTGTTTGTGATCGAAATTTTTTTCACTTGTTGAACTTATTTGCTCACTGAGTATTCACCGCTGGCTTGAAAGAAATTAGAAAGAGTGACACGATCAGCCATGTGCAAAAAGAGGTTTGACGGATCTTTTGCTTTTTTTGTCCGCAGTCAATAAGGAGGATACTATTTTCATATTATGACCAAATAAAACAAATCTTTTGATATCAATAGCCCAAATTTTTTCACACATAAATGTGTAATCTATGCTTAACCTCATAAATTCATGACGCGTTTATTTGCGAAACCAAATACTTTTGGACCGAGCAAAAGTTCGTGCGCGTGGAAGACAGCTGCCTCCGGCTTGTCAATCGTCTATCAGGCACAGCGGCTTTTTAGCTCCTTTAAAAATGCCCGAGGCAAATGCTGACCCTCAAAGATAAGAAGGCGGAAATGGCGCACGGAATGACATTACAATATGAAATTGAGAGTTGATGATGAATTTATTATGATCGAAATGACGTCATCAGCTCGAAAGGAAGTTTTCGAAAATTGACTATCTTTCAAGTTTTTATGAAATATATTTGTAAAAGCTCAGACACTGCATTGTTCCAGAGGATCATTGCTGACTCGCAAATTAAAAAATTACCAACTTTCGAATCAATTCAAGATTTCAGATTATTTCACGAGAAAGAGAATTTTTCTCAGGGGGAAATTATAGATTTCTTGGATAATTGTTAAAGCCGATGATGGATAAAATAAAAAGATCCGATCTTTGAACTGATATATTTTGAGGATATTAGAAACAGAAAAACTTTTTTGAATGTTATACATATTTGTATAATCTTTAGGAGTAAAATGAATTACCAGAAGAAATGTTCTTTTTTGAATTACGAAATCTGAAAGGCTAGAGAAATAATTTTAGATTGATTCCGTTGGACTCTTGCAAACTTTCTTTTGATCTCGACTGACTTGCTCTCAAAGCAGTGTAGAAGCGTACCTAATTGGAATTGGTGCTGGTAGCGTCAGAGTTGGAGCGGGACTTGTCTTTAGAAGAACGTCGCAACGTGTTGGCGATCCATTTCAGAACGCTGTTCTTCTTGCTGCCCTCGGCGTTTTCCAGTGGCTCGGGAGCAGATGCCGTCTGAGGCACTTTGCCGTTGCGCTGCTCCGCACGACCTCTCCGCGTTCCGCTCGAAGTGCTCGCCGCCGAAGTCACACTCGATGACTCACTGGAAAACATGTCAGTAAGTCAATGTTGGTTGAATCTAATTGCAAGATTCTACACAAAGGATCCTCAAAGATAGATTCTTTGGTACCTCTTCCTATGGATAAGCTTTTCGAGCTATGCAAAATATGAGAGCATTTTTTTTTTGCGTTCGAACATCAAGCTTTTCCTAATGCCTTGAAACTCTGGATAAACTCCGTTTTCTCAACAATAAATAACAGCATAAAGCTGGAAAAATGTGAATAAGCGAAATGAGAAAATGGCGAGCCTGTAATAACTCGACTTGAGTTTTTTTGATAACTTCGCACTGTTGGTGAAAAAAATAGGAAAAAAATATTAGACTGGCATATGTGGAAAATATAATTCATCCAATGAATTAGTCAAAAAACGTGGGCCATCATTTTTTCCCACTGATGGACTTTTATGGTTGATTTGACGATTGTAGTAGCCCCATTAAACGCACACAAACGGCAAAAAAATGACATTGGAATACAAAATGTGATTCCAGTACTGACCTTTTTCTTTCTAACCGTGTTTTCATCTCACCTAAGAGTTTTATAAGTAATACTGGTAAACAATGTAAAGTGCTTTTTGAAAAGGAAGTATGACGTCGTCACGGACAGAAAAATTGACCGCCGAAAAAGGAGAAAAAAGCGCAGAGAAAAGAAATATGAATTAGAGGGTGCAGACATCGAGAGAGAACACTCTAGAAACCAAAAAAAGGAGAAAAAGTTACTGGTTAAAAGTCGGAGAAAGCTACTTCCTTCCATTAATTTTCTTTTTGATGGAAAAAAAACTAATCGCTCGAAAAGTTTGCTATTCAAAATATTTTTCTATAGGAAATTTCAAATTCAGGAATCTTCTTTGACCTTATCTCCTAATTTCGGTGTCCGAATATCAAAATTCTGATATGGATTGTTTTGAAAGTCAACACCGTGACTTTTGGAACTAGAACAGTAAAAAAAAAAGAAAGGTCAACAACATTCGAGTGAGAAAAAGCAAGAGATAGAAAAAGAAGCAATGAAATAAGTGGGGTATGGTCACCTCCGACTGCTGGGAATGGCGTGGCTGGTCATTTCGACGCCTTCCTGAATGGCCGTCAACGTCGTCTTCCTTGTCACAGAGGCCTTCGGAGGGCTTCTGGCGACTCCAGCTGACGGGAGGTTGCCAGTCGAGGCAGATGTTCTTGGCTTGACCGGAATGATACGTCCTCGAGAGCTTCCACTGTTTTGCAGGTCTTGAAAGTGATCGAGGCTTTGAGCTCTGCTTCGAACATTCTTCACGCATGGCGGCAACTTCTGCGCGGGAAAAAGCCGCATATCTTTGGTGACAATAGGAGCCAGCATTCTCAAACAACACACGAACTGCTAGGAACGCACACTTAGAAATGCAGTGAGTGTGAGTGTGTGCGCGACGAACCGGTGGGAGGAGCTGGCGCAGCGCCGACCGCGACGCATGCGTTCCACCCATTTGGGGCGTGGTCTATTTGGCTCGTTGCCGGACTCTGCAGCCACTTTTTAGCCTCTGCAGTGGTCCGTGTTCTCTCGTCACGGAAGATGCACTAGCGACCGGAGAGGCGCAGGCAAAATTTGAATTTCTTTTTTTGCAAGGAGAAGCACAGAGTTCTGTGACGTAGAGCGATCAGAAGAAATCGCCTGCAAATAGTATATAGGAAACCTTCGAGAGATTGAAATTTTGATAGAAATGCGTGAGCGTTTCTTGTAAGACAGCTGTTTAGATAATTTTTTTCACAACGAGCTTTTTTTCTCGAAATTCGATAATCTTTCGAAGATATAAAAAAATGCAAAAATTGATCTCTCTCAAAATTAGGACAAAAAAAATAAAAAAATCTATTCTCAGAAAGCTTCAATTTTAAAAAAACGTCACATTGAAATTGTTTATGAACTTTTTGCATGAATTTTTTTTTAAAAGGAGTTTTAAGCTTTTTTTAAACTATTTTAGCAGTTTCCAAAACTCAAAAATTAAATATAAATCGGGGTTTCCAATTTTATCGGGTTTCGTAACGCCGACAGTTGAAATTTCCAATATCATTTCGTGCGCTCTTCAAGAATTCACTATCATCTCCTTTTTTAAAGGAAAAAGATTTTTTTCAAACGTTGGTTGGTTGGAAACTTTTATCCAGTTTTTTAATCGAATTTTTTAAAAGCAACTTGAATTGCAAGCAATTTCAGAAATAATCTTTTTTTCACAAAACATCTGTCTGAAACAAGGAAGTCTAGAAAGACACACATTTTCTTGAATTCAAACTCTTTTATCTCTTTTCCGAGAGGTTAACGATTATTTACTCAATGCAAGCCATTTAGGCGGCGGGTGTCATTTTGGAAAAATGAGCAGTTTCAGCTCTCCAAATCAACATGTTTTGGTGCAGCACCAGGTCGATTTCGCAACCTAGTTTTTCGGGCATCGGATCTGGCTTTTGAGTAGATATAGAGAATCAAAAATATGAAAACAGTGTTATCTCGAGTTTATCTCGCTGAAATAATCAACAAATACAATGACGAGTCTCACCTTCTGTTAGTCATTATAAAAATTTGCAGGTAAATAACCCTGACATTTGTTGCGTTTTTCTTTGAAAAATATGTTGTTTTAACTTTTTTTTTAATTTACAGCATGGGGAAAAATGAGAAAAAAGCTTCTTTTTCTTCGTTTGCATGATTATCAAGATATGAGCCGCTGTTTGTATAACATAAAAGGTCAAGAAACAAATATTTTTGACTTTTATTTTTCTTGAGGGTAATTGGTTGAAGTAAAGAGAGAGGGGCGGCTCATATTTTGTTGCTGAATATCATATTCGAAGACACTTCTCTCGATTTTCAAGGGTCTTCGATCATTCTTTTTCCTTGGAAACCGGATTTTTCCTGTTGTCCTGATACAAACTACGACCGGGAGAGTACTGTATAATTTTTTTTCAGGAATAAGATAGCCACCTACTTCCGAGGTGCAGTGCCGATTCATCACTCAAATGAAGTAATAAAAAACTCGGACCTATCGAGGCAGTTCTCTTCGCCGAAATGCACGACACCCGTCTAAACAAGAACCGCCAAAGACGAAACGTCGCGTTCTGTTGGAGAAACTTTAGGAGAAATGTTCGTGGCTGATGGATGAGACGGTTCCCCGGGCATTCGTTGACAGCGGAAATCAAAGCGCCAACTTCGGCGAGCGATCAGCCGGAAAGTCGCCGATCTGCCGGTCCGGCTATATTTATCTTATCGTTTTCCGGAAAAGATGGCTTGTTTGCTTCCAAGGGCGAAGGCGAGAAAATGACCCGACGGTGTCACTATAAAAGCCAAAAGTTCGAGCAATCGTTTTAACCGTTGCTCATTTAATGCGAGTTTTCATTTGTATTCTGACGCTGTTTTACATTTCCTCTACTAAAAGAACAGCTAGTTTGGACAAACTTTTCAAAAATGTCAATTTTGGTCAGTTTTTCATACGTTATCGGATGTACATGTTGATGGTTCTGTCTTCATATTAAATTTTATGAAATTCCTTTTGAGACAAGAATGTTTGAATCTTCATTTAGTATGAAAAGAATCGTTTTGTTAATTTTTCAGGGTATACTCATACTCAAATTTGAATTACTTTTTTCTGGAAGTTGAGCGACCCGAAAAACAGTTTCAAAAATTTTTAATTTTTTCGCATCTCCATATTTTCGAGAATTTTGCTTCTGAACGGAAATTGCGTAGTTTACCGGATCTTTATCTAAAACAAGATGAAAAATTATCTTGCAAGGAAATGTGATTATGATTGCATCAGCAAACGCATCAAACTTGCTTATCTTGAGTCATGAGATTTTCCAGCAAGATTCCTGATTAGCGAATTCGACTACACTGGTTATCTGAATCAGGCAGACCAAACGTCAGGAAAATTCGTGCCTTTCCAAGATGCAAGCAACGACACTTATTTCCGAGTTGGCATGTGCGTCGACTTGAATTTTCCCCATTTTTTCTATTTTTCAGGTTACACAAATCGCAACTGGAAAATTATACAAAAATTCGAATGGAAGAGCAGCTTGGCCAATTGAAAAATAAACCTTGGCTCCCGGTTCATACAATTCGCGAAGAGTTTGCAAATTGTCTCAATTTCAAATACGGATCTTTAAGTGAAAACGATTTCAAGGTTCTTCTTCATCTCTCTTTTATTCTTGGAGCATAAGCCAAGAAAAAAAAACGACGTCTCACTTTCACAAGCAAAAAAAGAACATTCGAGATTCGTTCATTTTTATTTTAAGTTGCTTCTGCGCTTTCCGAAACCTTTTAAAATACTTATATTTCTTTCAAAGACCGCTCTGAGAATCATCAGCAATAAGAATTTATGAAAAAAAAGTTACAGTATGACAAAGGACTATATGGCTGGATGAACATCATGAAGTTTTCCTGTGCAGCCATTAACGACGATATTTTTGTCTTTGCAATGGCGTTTTCTAGAACGAGATTTCGCTTGAAACAGGTGTTTCTGAAAAGACAAGAAAAGTAAGTTCCCCTGGAAAAGTTAATTACGATCTGAATAAGGAAATAAGACCTTCAAATTAGAATATGTGTCATGACGAAGCTTCTAGAAGGCTTGCATTTGGAGTGAAGACTTCCTATACAAAAAACTAAATTATGCTTCTCTCCAAGAAAGAAACCGGCCATTAAAAAGCAAATTAGGGCCTTTTTAGCCTGCATTTTGCCTCAGCACTCTCGTAATTATTTTTTACAGATACTGGGCAACTTCCGGACGGAGCATCATAACCCGTGACGTCCAAAAAATCACGGAACTCTTTGCGATCGGCTTCTCAAAGTTTGTGAATGAGAAGCTGCTCGAAGAATTGAAGAGAAATTCGAACGAAGAGATTCAAGAAAACTTTGGAAAAGACACTCTTGGACGTTTGTTTTATCGGTGAACCTTCCGTTAAAAATTAGTTCTTTTCAGAACATTATTTGAAATTGACAAAAGAAACTTTGGACGAAATGGCTGTCGCGTTTGGATCGCTCAAAAACCACACGTCTCTTTCTGAAAGCCGCGTTCACACTTTCAATACTTTAGGGATCGAGGTCTATCAAACTCAATTTTTTCATCTGAGCTCAAATATCTAATTGTCTGCAATATTGCGAGGCATTTAAATCATATTTTTTTAAAGGTTTCAGCTAAAAAAACCTTTCAAAGCGTCCGTTTCAAAAATAGATTCATGAATTCGGCAGGTTTTTTTAAAATCTTTACCTATCTTATAAAAAAAATGTTTCATGATCAATTGAAAGAGTTTTTAAAGTGTGATTGAAAATATGGCTGAAAATCTGAATAAAATTTCTATGCTTTTTTTCATGAAGTTTTTTTCAGTCCAATCTTTCCGCTTGAAACGAAATAGTCGGAAACAGAAAATTTTGAAATCTGCTAGAAACTTTTCATTTTCTCTTTTTTGAACTGGTTCTCTGTTACTCTGAAGTATTTAAAAATGCTCTTATAACTTCTTGGTGATACAACCAAGCGGCGAATAAATGACTTAATTTATTCAAAACTGTTCATAACAGTCAAACGATGAAGCACAAACGGAATGATTTGGGTTTCCTAAACAAAATGAAAAAAAACCAAAACTGATTCAACTCATAAATAATACTCAAATTTCAGCTGACTGGTCCATTCATTTTGATTTATTAGTGCAGATTCAACTGAAGGTCCGTCAAACCGGACTAAATTATTCATTCTGCAGATCAAGACACGGATGATACTGGCGAGTCCTTTGAAAGTGAGCCAGATTGTTGAGTCTTTTTCGACCGAACTGGATGATGAAGCCTTAGAGACACTGGACTCCTGTAACCGTGAAACGTGCTCGCGACAAAAAATGGTCAGTTTCTGAATTATAATATCTCTTCATAACGTTTTTTTTTGTAGACGAATGAAACGTATAACCAAAAACTGGAGACACACAACTATTCGAAGGAGAACGCGTTCGTCCACAAAGTCAACAGCCGGATGACACTTTTGTCGTTTCAAACCAGCAGACCTTATTTCCAGTTTGAGACTATGAATCGTCGCACTTCGCATGGCATCACGTTTGTCGGACTTTTTTTATTCATTTTTTTACGGCTGGTTAAAAAAATTATTTTTTTCAAGAAATTGATATAAATGGAAAAAAAGCAAGCACAAATACATCAGAAACTACAAGAATTGGCATATTTTTTTCTGAGTTTTTGAGTAATTATCGAAACTTGTTCTTTTTCAAAAATAAGAAAAAAACTCTGTGCAAAAAAATTAATGATTCAAACCTCTTCAAATAATTCGTTCTCAAAAATGAATCTGAGTAGAACTTATTAATTTTTTTATTTATTCTCAAACTCAAACGCATTAGGAATAGTTTTTGTCATCAAACGCAAACTTATCCTTAGGGACCACAGTGAAAATTCGAAAAAAATTTTTCTTTTTAAGTGAAAAAAATTTTATACTGTTCGATCCAATTTTCGAAATATTGACTTATCACTCAAATATAACCTTACCACAAGGTTATAAAAACAAGTAATTTTTTGACCAAAAACAAAAATTTGACCGCTGCGGGCATCGAACTCACGACCCCACAGTAGTGAGCAGGCGTACATGAACAGTTTCACGTACATCTTTTTCAACATTGGTTTCAAATTATAAATTATTAATGTTTTTAGGCTACGGAGGATTTTTTTATTTTTATTATTTTTTTATTGTCCTAAAATTGAATGAATATCATAACTTGAAAATAAAAAAATTAGCGCATTTGACCGGTGATCATGTTAAAACAAATTTCGAAAAAGTTCGATGTCTATTTTTTTGCTTCAAACGAAGTTCATAAAACGAGATTTATTTTTAATGAATTTTCGATTAGATTTTTTTGTATTAGTTGTCTTGGAAACTAAGTAAATTTTTTCCAACTTTGCACGGCCTCACAAAGATTAGGTTACGCGGGAATTTCAATTTTTCAAACTCAAGAAACTTAGTTTCCACTTAGAAACACTTTGAAAAAAGGAAAAATTACGCATTCAACTTGGAACTAGGGGAAATATTCGGAACAGGAGTTTTTTGCAAAGAAAAGGCGGAGCTATTCGGTCTCTACTTATATAACATGAAAACTTCATATGCCGAGAATAACTACTGCCATGAAAGTAAAGTCACTGGCGGTGAATTAACGTCTTTGCAAATGGGATACTTTAAGACAAGCCGGTTTGCACTTTCTTTGACGCAAAATCGCTTTTTAAAAGTTTTATTTTTTTTTTTTGGAGTGCGTGAAAAACTTGCAAGATCGCGCTAAAAAAACACGAAGATAACGGAGTTCCTTTGAGAGGTTGTCAATGAATCGCCCCCGACCACATTTTTTCTTCCTGACAAAAAAAAAAGCCTATATCTTTAAATAAGTATGTTGCAGAAAGATCAAACAGAACTTGGACGTCGAAGCAACTAAACTATGGGACGATCTTCTGGACCAGCAGTTCTCTCTAGTCATGCACACCCACTACCGACCTTTCTTCCCGGCACTTTCTGGGAAAACTAACTTTTCTGCAACCCAATCTTTTTCCTAGATCCTCAATAGAGCTACTTGCAGGCTCTCGAAGTTTTCCCTGTGTTTGATTTTGCTGCTTGTGACTTGCCGATCTCTCTTTCTCGATAGATTTCGCGAATAAGATCTTTACCTGTTGACTTTCATATCTCTGCAAATATCTTTAATGTTTGGTTTCTGCTTGATACTCTGGTAAAAGCGGAGACTGTCGATTTCACTGCTGACCTCCAAGAGAAAAAAATTATCAAAATAAATATATTTTTCCTTCGCTTTAATGTTTTTTTACAATGAGAACGACAAAAATCATGAAGAACTGTTTTCGTGCTACAATTCCTTGTTGCCCTCCTTCAATAAACTACGAATTCCACTTTTTAATGAACATTCTAAATTTGAAGCGATCGACGTTTATACGGAAACATTTTTCTTGTTTGGTTGTTCAATGGAACAATAAGAATACAAATTTGACAAGTCATCCTGGAGAAAAATATTTATTATCTCTGGATATTGTCGATGATTCTTCACTTGGATGTTTTCATTGCAAAAATTGAAAATTTCCAACCTTAAAAAAAAAGAAACCTTTCATTTTGAAAACCTTAGAGTTTTTGCAAGTTTGTCCCATTGAAAGCTTCATAAAAAAAACTTTCATAAATATTTTTCGGTGTTCTAGAATCTACGAGTTCTTCGTGCAAGTTGAAGTCAAAACGTTTAGTCCAAAATAACATAGCTTCTCATTTCACTCGATTTACCAAGAATTTTGACAAACATTTTCCTTCGGCGGCTCATAGGCATGATCAATGGATCGCTTTCTGTTTTTTTATTCAAGAATCTAGAGGAGACTTACTCATCTTTCTGTGGCGTAAGTTTTTATTTGATCCCTATCAAATTATCAACTGGACTGAAACGCTGATTAAAAGGCACGTAGAACTTTTTCCCCCCAAAAGAGGACTATTAATAATTTTTATAAGCGGAAGAAAACATTTTAATCGGTATACCGAATCAAAATGAGAAACTATGTTATTTTGGAAAGAAATGTTTGGTCCATTTCCCCAATGTCGATAAATTCCTCCTAGGAAAGTTTTGGCAAAAACGAAATTCTTCAAAAAGTTGCGAACCTAGGTCATAGACTCTGCAGTGCAAGGACGCTAGCCACTATACCAAGCTGCCAACTGGAGTGGAGGGATCGTACGCGAGCCACATTCCCTCTTACCTTGCAGCACTCATTCAGCGTTCACACTTTAAAGCTCCATAACTCGAAAACGAGATCTATTGCGGGAAATTTTATTTGTGTACTGGAAAGAGGAGGTCTTATAGTACCTTCCAGCAAAGTTTCAACAAAAGTTCAACCGGCCACCAAAAACACTTCCCTTGTAAGCCAAACAATAAACCAGTTTCGAAAAGATATTCAAAACCTTAACAATTTTTTTGTTCAATTTGAGTCAAAAAAATGGTTTTTTTTATGAATAATTTTTTTCTTCATAGTCAGTCAGCTCTAAAAAAATTGAAAGAGACAAGGAGGGATGGGATGGAATCAAGAAGCTTTTTGGAACATTGCCGAGGAAAAAGCATACTTTTGAGGCCGAATCGATCGTTGCTCCCCTCAGCGCCTAGTGTACGCCTTTTGCCGTTCGTCATCAGCCTCGGTTGCTTGTGTTTACGTGCTTCCGTACGCGTCCTTTTCTTTATTTAGTGCAAGTTCCGTTTTTACAAGTTTTTTTGGTTTTTGTTTTACCTTTGGATGAAAATTTTCGCGCTGAATCCCATAATTAAAAAAAAAGTTTTTAAACTTGCCACAAAAGCCTAAATTTTTTTTCACCTTTTTTTGAGTTCCTCTTTCTGTGATGTTCCATCGGTATTATTTCATTCCAAGGCAGAAAATAGCAACTTTTAGAAAAGTTTTTTTCTAAAGTAATTAGATTTCAGTAAGCGTTGCACCTGCTCCAAAAGTACTAAATAAGATTTTTTTCGCTTCCGGTTTTGCCGAATTCTCAAGTTATTCCAACTTCAAACAATCAAAGCCGGAAACTAAATGAGAAACTCCATCAAATGCATGAAAATTCAAAGTTATTTTAATTAGTTTTTTAGAGCGGAGGAGTTGGAAAGTTCTAAATATGGTGCTTCTTTCGACATTTTTGTGTTGTTTTTTTTGTCTTTAGATCAAACAAATGAAGTTTTACAATTCATTAAGTATAAGTATAAAAAATGGTAAAGTACCATATAGTTTTGAATATTCCCGGCAATCAGAATTTTCGCTGCACAGTCCAATGTTTTCTGTAGTTTTTTTATCGCAAGCTTCTCAATTTCCAAAGGTTTGGCGTCATACGCCCACGTGCATTCTTTAAGTACTTTGCTTAGGAACAACGGGACTTCCGGTGAGTAAAAAATACCGAGGCTCTCATTTTTTCTACCGTTAAAAGTTTCTCGAGTTCTCATTAACTGTTTTTACACTTTTTTTTTTACTTTTTTTTTATTTCTCGCGTTATTTGGAAAAAAAATAGTTTCCTTATCACTTTTTGATGTTGGTACAGAACTTCTCGTTCTTCACGTTGTTTTATTTTTCCTATGTAGAGCTCCTTCTTACTTGGCTTAATATTTTCGAAAATTCTATTTCTTCTTTTTAATTTTTTTTTCAGTGCAGATATAACTCACAGTTGTTGAAAATAGTCCAGAGCATCTTTTTGACGCCTCGCTTTTTCTTTTAGACATAAAGCTCTTTTCAGACTATTTTAATAAAAGTATTAAACAGCTGGATAGTTTATATTGATAAAATAGAGAGTGAAGCATCAGGTTGGGCTTTTTTGCAATCATTGAAAAGAAATAATTTCAATATCTAGACCAACCGTAAAGTCTTGAGATGACCAATTTAAATTAGTAAGTTTGAAGTAAGTCTGAAGATAGTGAATGTATGTTACTATTACCCTCTATTTCACCCTTTTTTTAAGCTTCAAAATTCATTTAATTTGCTGAGAAGAAGATATTGAACTCTCCAAATGATGTTTCCCGTTGTATTCATACCTGCCAATATGCCGAGAAGTCAAACGTGCTTTTCCAACACAAATTCTCCGTTTTCCTTGTCTATGAGTGCGCGCGCCCCTGTGTGTGTATTCCGTGTGTCTTTAGTCTCGCGTAAAACTATCGATTTTAAGATCATATTACAAAATTGAACCGACTTGTTTTTTTTTTCGACTCAATCTTCAATCTTTATAAACAGGAACCTGACTCTCTTTATTGATTGAATTCAGTAGTTTCCTCACATTTTCTCGTGAAAAGTTTGACATACTCTTATTTGAGAAATCTTAAAAAAATATCCTTTGTTATTTCATTTTTTTCATTTTTTTTGAAAAAACAAAAAGATAATATGAGGAACAAGTGACACGAAATAAACTTCGTTCTGTGCGCCAGAACTTTATCGTAAAATAAACATAAAACAGTGACGTCACGGTGCTACGTGTTTTCGCAGCCGTGAACTCTTTACATAATTTCCGAGTACATTCCTGAGAAAATTTTTGAAATCAACAAAATTCAAACTCCTCCTAATTGTGAGTTTCATTGAGAATTCCAATAATTTTTTTTTTTCTGAAATGAAGAAAACTTTATTTTATCAACAGTTTTCGTGCTTATCTATCGAATTCCATTCACGCCTCTGTCTGCATTTCCTGGCAGAAGATGTATTTTTGGAGGCTATCGCGCTGACGTTAGAAACTTTCAACTCCTAAATTTCATGAAAAATTTGACCTTGATGTCTCTTTCGCAATTTTCGCTCGAAAATCCGTCTGCATACTTGAGCTCCTTTTCTCTTCAGAACCCTTTTAGACTCGACTACAAGCTGTCCGCAGGTACAGGTTTTCTGGCCGTTGACGGGACAGCTTGCCGTTCGAGAACCGTCGGAGACATCGCATTAGTGTTTTTTGTTGTACAGAGGTAGGGCCGCGCCCGTCGACCTGCGGTCTTACGCCAAAATTGCAATGGACTCATCGATTCGGACCAATACGAAATGTCTCCTTGTTGATCCAAGGGCAGAAGCATCTCGTTTCTGAGCCCACTTTGCGCGTTTTGCCTCGAGCCCATTGACTCAGCCTCTTGAATTGTTCTATCCGACAGGCTTTCAACTTTCCGTCGTTATTCGCTTTTTTATCGAAAAATAGATTATCATGGGTTTCCAATTCTTAAAATTTCGGCGCTAAAAAAATTGGAAGCATCTAGAATCATTTTAGCTTTCTGTTAAGGTTTCCTCAAAGGTTTCGCTCTTCTTATTGGTATTTAAAAGAAAAGCAATAAGCCTGTGAATCCTGCACTCGTTTGCCTTTTCTAATATAAATCTCTCTTATACTTCTAAACCTCAACTTATATTGCTTGTCACCTGCAATAACAAGTTAATGGGAGGCAAACACATGCTAACGGAACGAAAAAAGGTGAAAAGCCTAGGTATTTGAGAGAACTTTCATTTGATGACAAAACGAAACAGCAAGCCCAAGATCCAATATTTGACGTGTGTTTGGTTTTCGCTATTTGGGCATTCTATCCCCTTTTGTCAGCATTTTCTCGTCATTTTTTTTTTTGAATTCAAAAAGCTGTTTTCCTCGTTATTCCTCGAGTTTATTTCGGGTTCATCCATTTTTTCGGTACCATTATTAAGTACGAAAAAATGCTTTTCAGACGAAATATGAAACGCAGTTCAAAACAATAGCGCCACTGCGATGGTTTTGTTCCCGACCGTACGCGAACTTCTTTGTGAGCCGAATGCTACAAGCGTAAGTTACTTATTTGAATGATTTGTTCAATCAATGTTTTTAGCTGCTCGAAGAGGGTTGGAAAAATAGTTCTGGAATACCTCACGTTAGTCTTTAATCTATATGTCTTGATAAAAAAGAAGACTTTTAGGTGACAGAATGTGCTCAGCATGTGGATTTTTCTATCATCCCAACAATCTTCCTAATAATCTTCTCGCCAATAGTTCTCTGCGATCTGCACAGAAGTCAAAATGCGCATCTTCGCAGTTGTTCTCCCATCTCAATACGGATTGTGAGAGATTCCCAGTAAATCATTCTAATATTTTTCTTACAGATTTTTTGTTGTCTTCTAGTTGTCGATCTCACCATATCATTGTTTTATGATCTTCTGTTATACTCTGATTCGCGGGGAAATGCATGGACTTATGTGATAGGCGATTTGGCGCAATATATCGGTCAGTAGAGCTTTTTCCATTATATTCGGGACGGTTCGAAATATTCTTAACAACTATTGGCGCATTTTTTTTTTCCTATTTTGAAAAAAAAACGATTGAAATGTAATGTGAACCGTTTGATGAGAAGAAGAATGTTATTCTGAATGAATCCTTTTGTGATAAATATAATACTTTATAAAAATATCCGGAACAAGTTCAGGAACTTGCATCGCACTTACGTTCTCTATCGCCTGTCGAAATCGAGGCATCGTATCATCCGGAGTTCTTTTTAACTATTGGTTGTTAGTAGTTCTCTGCGGTTTCCCAGAGGCCAGATTTTTGTTCGTCAAGCAACAGGAGGTTATCAACGATTATTCTAAGGTTTTAAAAAAAACAACTTCGAACTACAGGAGTATTCGTCGGTGGATGCAGTTAGGTCCATTCTCTACTACATATCCTACGTCATATCATGTATGCAACTGTTTCTTTCCTGTTTTGCTGACACTCCAACGTCAGGTTTCAACGGAGTGAGTTATTTCGAAATGAAAACCTTCAACGGTTGATAATCCGCGGCGATTAGCGCTTCTTGTGTCCTTTGCTGTGTTGAGCTCTTTTTTCAAAAAAAAAGAAAACTATGCGTTTTTGCTAGTTTCCTCATGCTTCGAATCAAAATTCGGATAACAGGAAACGTAACCACTCACATTTCATGAATCTAGCCGAGATCCTACTTGACTGGAGTTACTCTCACGCTTGTACAAACTCATGTTGTCCCACGCTTTACGAATTGGTTTAATTGTAGTTCTCACCAAAAATAATCCAGGAAAAAATTGATATATATAATTTTTTCAGAAAAAATCATGCCCGGAAACAACATCTTCCTTTTTGAACCAAATAACTTTCCACTGGTTTACTGGTCTTGCCATTCTTGGAAACCAGAAGCCTTTGGAGCGGGACGACTTGTGGGATCTGAACGAAAGAGACAGAGCCAAGAACTTGATTCCAGACTACATGCAAAAATCTCCAGAAACAAGTCAAAGGTGCTCATCAATCAGAAAAAGATGAATCCAAACTATTTAGCTTATCGAGATAAAGTGAAGCGAAATCCTGAAGCTGCTGCAAACGCCAAAGAACATCCCTCTGTTGCGATTCCAATTTTCCAAACCTACAAATGGACCTTCTTGACTGGGGCCGCCTACAAGTTCATTTTTGATCTTCTTCAGTTTGTGGCACCTGAATTACTCAGTCAACTTATAAGCTTCATTCAGGTATTTTTTTAATCAAATCTATTCAAATAATTCGTTTTTTGAGGACAAAAATCAACCTTTGTGGATTGGAATAGGCATCGCTACCTTGATGTTTTTGTCGGCTCTCATGCAATCAATGATTTTGCACCAATACTTTCACGAAATGTTCCGTTTAGGCATGAACATACGCTCTGTTTTGACGAGTGCTGTTTATAAGAAGGTAAACTAAAACGATTTTGGTAGTTAAAGACAGTTATAGTCATTGAATCTGTCGAATGAAGCAAGAAAAAATCGTACTACTGGAGCCATAGTGAACCTCATGGCGGTTGACATCCAAAGAATGCAGGACATGACAACTTTCATCATGCTCTTCTGGTCTTCGCCCTTCCAGGTTTAACTCGTTTCCATTCCAAATAAAACTCATCTCAGATTCTACTCTCCATCTATTTCTTGTGGAAACTTCTTGGGTGGTCAGTTCTTGCTGGTCTTGTCATTCTCCTTCTTATGATTCCATTCAACTCCTGGATATCCGTGAAAATGAGAAATTGCCAGGTTGATTCACAGGATCTGAATATTTACGCATGAATTGAAATTTAGATGGAGCAAATGAAATTCAAAGACGAACGAATAAAAATGATGTCTGAGATTCTCAACGGAATGAAAGTTCTCAAACTCTACTCCTGGGAAAAGAGCATGCAGAAGCTGGTAATATCTTCTTCCATGTATGAAAACTTATTTGACTTCAAACACTCAGGTTCTCGAAATTCGTGAAAAAGAGCTACAAGTTCTACGTAAACTTGCGTACCTCAACGCAGCTACGACTTTGTCATGGGCTTGCGCTCCTTTTCTGGTAGAAACGCAGCTCTTTACAAGTTTACAGCGGTGTTTCAGGTCGCTGTATTGACCTTCGGACTTTATGTCATCTGGGATCCAGAAAATAACATTCTGACGCCGCAGATCACTTTCGTTGCTCTCGCACTTTTCAACATTCTGAGGTTCCCTCTCGCCGTTTTTGCGATGGTTTTCAGCCAGGTTTGATTAATTTATCAATGAAACATTGAAAAATTTCTAAATAAATTCAACTTTCAATTTTCTTTTCATTCAGGCTGTCCAATGCTTCGTCAGTATGAAAAGGTTGAACGAATTCTTCGCTGCTGATGAAATGGTTGACCAAAAATCTCTGGGCTACGGAGACTCGGGTTCTTAAAGAGAAGAAGAAATCATTTAAATGAAAAATACGCAGACGTTGTTGTGAAAGTGGAGAACGGAAGCTTTGCTTGGGGATCGAATGATGAAGATCGCACTCTCAACAACATCAATCTTTCAATCAAAAGAGGTCAACTGGTTGCAATCGTCGGAAGAGTTGGTTCTGGAAAAAGTAGTATACTCCAAGCTTTACTAGGTAGTTATCTATTAAAATGCAAAAAACCGAGTTTCTATGTTACAGGAGAGATGAACAAAACTCGAGGAATAGTCGAGATGAACGGTTCTGTCGCTTATGTTCCTCAACAAGCTTGGATTCAAAATCTGAGCCTGAGGAACAACGTTTTGTTCAATAAAACGATGGATCGGTCATACTATGACAAAGTTCTGGCCGCATGCGCTTTGAATCAAGATTTGGCGAGTCTTCCAGCTGAAGATTTGACTGAAATCGGAGAGAAGGTTGGATCATTTTCCTTTTATTGAATCGAGTTTTGGGCTATTCAGGGCATCAACCTTTCTGGAGGGCAAAAGCAAAGGGTTTCTCTGGCTCGAGCTGTTTATTCCAATTCTGAAATCGTTCTTCTGGACGATCCACTTTCTGCGGTAGATGCGCACGTCGGGAAGCACATTTTCGAAAACGTTATCTGTAAGGCTATTATAAATTCTTCGATAGCTCTTATTGTCAGCTTCTGCAACCGGAATTCTCGCAACAAAAACGCGAGTCTTGGTAACACATGGGCTCACGTACTTGAAGCATTGCGATCAAATTGTAGTCATAAAAGGTGAGTTTTGAGATAATTTTCGAAGACAAAGAAGTTGAAGATGGCACAATCAGTGAAATGGGAACTTACCAAAGCCTGATGAACAGTAACGGCGCGTTCAGTGAGTTTCTGGAAGAATTCCTCATCGAGGAATCCAAGCATCGTGGACGGAGCGTCAGTTTCGGAGAAAATGGTACACCAAGCATTTTTTTCTTTGGTAAATTCAGTTACTTAAAAAGTTTCAGCCGAAGAAGTGAACTCTATCCTGGACGATTTGGATCGACTCAGTCCGCAGCGAAGGAAAAGGATTGAGTCTCAGATGAGCCAGGAACAGGACAACAAAAGTCGTTCGAAGGTTTTTCCTTCTTACCTTTTTCACCTGAGACATCAAGAAACAGGGCTAGGAGTTCAAGAGTATAGCAGTCGCGCAGCGTCGCGTGCGCATAAAAACTGCAGAGCACGTCGAAATGTTTCTTTTCCCGCCCGTTAAAGCCCGACAAAAATTATAATAGCGCAAAAAAAGGCTGCTGATGAGGAAAAATTTGCGCAAACCTTTAATTTTTTTTTGAAGTTGTTTTGAGCAGATTTCAATGAGAATTTCAACCTTTTTGTATAACTTCCATATATTGATTTCTAATTTTAATAAAAATTCGAAATGATACATTCAAAAAAAAAAAGTTCAAAGAATTTTATTGAAGACTCCCGATGGGACAGCCCTATTCGCGCAAAATGGAGCTGTGAAGAATTCTCTCCCGGAAGAACCAGCTACAGGACCCATTACGGCAAAAGAAGAAAAACAGGCGCTTCTCGGTGCCGATGCAAGTAAAGCCGTAGCCAAAATCCCTCAACAGACTCTCAAAAGCAAAATAATTGAAAAAGAAAATGTGGAAACTGGAAAGGTAACGTTTCAAAAATTTTGACTCTTTTTGACTCAACTTTCAGGTGAAAATGAGCATTTACATGACTTACTTCAAAGCCATCGGTCTACCAATAGCCTTGCTTTTTATCGTTGTCTACATTGCTAGCAGTATTCTTGGAGTGTTCAGTAACCTTTACCTTGCTCGTTGGTCCGACGATGCTGAGCAAATCGTGAGGAGAAGTAATGGAAGCAGTTCCGAGACCCAGACAAGGCTCGGCGTCTATGCGGCTCTTGGTATGAGTCAAGGTACTAACTAAAAAAAAAGTTTTGAGTAGAAAATACTTTGCAGCGGTTTCCGTTTGTGCGGCTTCTGTGATTATGGCTCTCGGAATGGTTAGAGCAAGTCGGTTGCTACACGCCAATCTTTTGAAAAACACCATGCATTCGCCGATGGCTTTCTTCGATGTCACTCCAATCGGCCGCATTCTCAATCGATTCGGAAAGGTTCGACAAGATTTTCGTTTCTAGAGAAAATGTTAACTCATGGTAATTTTTTGCAGTTCTAGTATCGGAAGCGTAATTTAAAAATGAAAATTTAGCTATTTTTTGAAGAGGGCGGAGATCAAAAGAAGTAATCTTGAGGATAAAAAAAATTTTAAAACTCTTGTCTACTGAAAGGGGTTCGAAAATTTAAAAAGGTTTTTTTTTTTTTCTCATTTTGCCGTTACCTTGCACCACTTGCCTTCAGAAATCTATGACTTTGGGAATTCGAAAACGCTTGCTCGAGTCTTCGAAGCCACAAAAAATTGCCATAACGTTAGGTTTATTTTTTGATAACGCTTCAGAAGCAAACTTAAACAGCAAAAACATGCTTCAAAGTTCGACGCCTTCGAAAAACGAGCAAACTTTTTCGAAAATTAAATGTTTGTGCTTTCCACGCATTTATTATTTTAATGCAGCTTTGCGAAAAACTCCTTAAAATCAACTTTTCCCTGTTGTCATGAAATAAAGCAGGGCCATTTTTGTTAAAACGCCTCCAGGATGTTGACGTCACGGACACGAAGCTGCCAGAATGCTTTGACGACTTTTTCCTAACCTTTCTCGATGTGCTTTCAACCATTGCTCTCGTACTGATAGCCACGCCAGTTGTTTCTCTTCCACTCGTCGTCATCGTCTCCGGATGTCTCCTGTTGCTGGTGAATAGGAATCCTGGATAAGTGTGACCCCATTCACAGATTATTGGAGTTAACAGCTAGGCAAACGCAAGGTAAAGTGGCTGAAGTTGATTTCTCGCAAAAATGAAAGAAGGTGGAATTTGATGGAAAATTAACCGAGAATGGATTCTCCACCATTTATTTTCAGAAAGAACTCATTTCTTCATATTTTCAATTATTAACTTTCACCTTCCCAATTATTACCCGACGCTAAAAAATCTAACCCATTTCGAGTCCGTCCATCCAAACTGTCCAAATGTTCCAACAGGACGTCGAAGCACTCGACCAGACGCTGCCCATGTCGATTCGGTCTTTGGTGATGACTCTGTTCAACGTGATCGCCACTTTGTTCGTCATCCTCTGGGCGACGCCGGTCGCCTCTCTAGCCTTCCTAGTTCTGTCCGTCGTCTACTTTATCATTTTGGTACGCATCAGCTCACCTTAATGCTGCTTCTCACGCTCACTTCTGAGTTTCAACTCTTTCTGAAGTTCGGGTGGCGGATGCATCGATTTTTACTTGCTAAATTGCTTTTTCGCTGAAGAGCAAGATGGTTCATGGTTCATAATAAAGTCGTCTGAGCCAACCTCTGATAGCTTTCTTTTTTTTTCGAGACTAGTTGAACCTTTTGAAAAAATGAGAGTATTTTTGGCAAAAAATATCCTCTTTCTCTCAACTTATAAGAATTTAGAAAATCATAAAAACGTCTAGATTGATCCAAAAAAATGCTCATGTTTTTCTTTTCCAAGTTTTTCGTTTGTTGAAAATTTTTTTTTTACATTGGGGTTATAGCTCATGACGACTTTAGTTATTAACTTGTCATTTACTTCACAAATGAGCTGTAAAATATCGAAAAGCTAAAATTCATGCGACTTCGCCCGGATATTCGAAGAGCTTCCTTCTCACTTCTCTTAATTGATAAATCAATTATGGGTGTATCATAAAAAAAAACCTAGCATGCGAGTGATTTGAAGTGTTGGATTTCAAAATGCATGCGGTTTGATGATTTGCGGTACAGGATATCGATGCTCTGGACACACGGCTGCCGTCGACCGTCATGACGTTGGTCGGAGCCATTGTCCAGGCGGTCACCATTGTTTTGGTTCCAGTTTACGCGACGCCCACTGTGATCCTGTTTGTGACTCCAGTCTTCATCGCCTACTACTTCGTTTTGGTCAGGCATGCACATCGAGTCTTCGAACTTGTACTAATCCGTGTGCCTTCTTACGTTATTGGCTTATATATGTTGGTGAAATTCACTGTCCTCCGAATCATATTACTTATCAAATAAATATATAGCAAAACTAATTCAATGAAAGGTTCAAATAATTATCTTACATACCGAACTTTTGATGGTTTTTATTCCCCTCGAAAAGTTAGATTTTATGACATCTTCTTCTTATCTATATTATTAAAATAGTGTGGAATTTCGTGTTTTCGAACACCAAGAAAAAAAAATACCCTTGATATAGAGAATTTATCTTCAATCTGATCTCAAAGTGAATATTCAAATATAACTTGGTGGTGTTGTACTGTGTGTGGTGTCGACAGGACGTCGAGGCGTTGGACGATGGAATCCCGCGTTCTCTGATGCAGTTCATCCGCACGGCTGCTGCTTCCGCCGAAATTCTCTTTATGATTTTGTGCGCTACGCCGCAGTCCTTGTCGCTCATGATTCCCTTATTTGTGCTCTACTTCGTTTTGCTGGTTCGTTTCGCATGTATATCAGCTTCATGGTCTTTGGAATGCTGTTTTCGTAGTGTGTGACGAGGAAAGTTGATAGTTTTCAAAAGTTCACGATATTTCCTCAAAAAATGAAAAAAGCAAACAATTTCTGTACAAAATGGTTCTCTATCATTTTCTTGCCTTACTCGAAACATTTTTTTTCCAACTTGAAAACTATGAATTTCCCTATTCCGCATGTGTCTTTCTTCAGCTACTTACCTATGCGTTTTAGCAGTTGTCTTGATCCAATAAGTCTGCTTCCCTAAACCCTTTCCTTTTTTGCTTAGAAAAAAAATTCAATTTTTTTTACAGAGATTTTATGTTAGCACATCCCGTCAGTTGAAAAGATTGGAATCAGCTTCAAGGTCTCCCATCTACTCTCATTTCCAGGTTTCCTCTACTTCGGGTATTAAGATTAATAGCTGTTTATAGGAGTCAATCCAAGGAGCTTCGTCTATTCGTGCCTATGGCGTCGTCGACAAGTTTGTGACAGAATCTGAGAACCGAGTTGATGAAAACTTAGCCACTTATTACCCAAGTATTGTGGCAAACAGGTTTAAGCGTTTATTTTCAACTTTTACATATCAAATTGAAAAATTAGATGGTTGGCAGTGCGGTTAGAGCTTGTCGGTAACTTGATAGTACTGTCAGCAGCGCTTTTCGCAGTGCTTTTCCGAGACTCGCCAGGACTTTCCGCTGGTCTTGTTGGACTTTCTGTTTCGTACGCTCTTAATGTGAGTGAATCCGTATCGTATAATAATCTTTAAATTTTTTTTCAGATCACCCAAACACTCAATTGGGCTGTACGAATGACAAGTGAACTGGAAACGAACATTGTGGCTGTGGAAAGGATTCAGGAATACACCGACACCCCAACTGAAGGCAACGGTTCTATCGAACAAGCTCCGACAGGATGGCCCAACAAAGGAGAAGTTTCGATCATCAACTACAGCACTCGGTGATCTTTACCTTCTAAATGAGTTCATTGCTTAGAGCGCAAGAATAAGAGCATACACTTTAGATATCGTCCTGGTCTTGATCTTGTTCTGAACGAAGTTACTGCACATATTGAATCTGGCGAAAAAGTCGGAATAGTCGGCCGAACAGGCGCCGGCAAGAGTTCTCTAACTCTCGCCATGTTCCGAATAATTGAAGCTGATGGAGGATGCATTCAAATCGATGGGACCAATATTGCTGACCTTGAGCTTGATGTGAATTCAAATTAGAAATATGAATATAATCGAAATTTTCCAGCAACTGCGCTCGCGCTTGACTATCGTGCCTCAAGATCCAGTTCTGTTTTCTGGAACTCTTCGGATGAACCTTGACCCCTTTGATGCTTTTAGTAAGTACAAAACTCATTAGAGCTTCTCCATGTCAAATGCATAGATGACGATCAAATATGGACAGCCCTGCGAAATGCTCATTTGGAGCCGTTTGTTACATCTCTTCCCGATAGACTTTTCCATCAGATTGTTGAAGGCGGTGAAAATTTGAGGTTTTACATAGATGATTTCTTAAGAATGAAATATTGTTTCAGTGTGGGACAGCGACAGCTAATGTGTTTGGCTCGAGCACTTCTGCGAAAGACCAAAGTATTGATTTTGGATGAAGCTGCGGCGGCGGTTGACGTCGAAACCGACAGTCTTCTGCAGAAAACCATTCGCGAACAGTTCCGCGATTGCACTGTTCTTACCATCGCACATCGTTTGAACACAGTTAAAAAATTGAGAGGTTTTCGAATCAGTCTTATTGTTCTCAGGTGCTGGACAGCGACCGGCTCCTTGTAATGGACAAAGGACAAGTGGCCGAGTTCGACACTCCAAAAAACCTTCTTGCCAACCCCAACAGCGTTTTTTACTACATGGCCCGTGATGCACATATCATTTGATTTTGTATGCATTTTTTTGTTCCGCCATAATAACTTTTCATTCTTTACAACTACAATAAAACGAAAAATAGTTGATGTGAAGGAAGTAGTTTGAACTCTCGATCAAGGGGGATGAAAGAGCCGGGTATCTGCGTGCAAAATCTGAAAAAATAGAAAATTCGATTAAACGGTGAAGAAAAACCTGCTTATCGATAACAGAGTCAGGTAGGAAGGTCAGGTCTTCGAGGTGTGAGTGGAAACTCTCAATGTTGGTCAGAAAAGTTTTGAGGACCACGCCTGTGTAAGAAATAGATTTTATATTCCTAATTTGGATGGTTCTCGAGCTTCAATAGGCGTAACGTACTGGCTATATATCCTAAGGTGACGTCATCCGGAACACCCAGTCGATTGCAAGTGGAAACAAAATCGTTCTCATCAAGATACTCATTAATGCGACAAGCTGCCCGACGGGATAAGCAAATGCCCGCGCCACCAGTACCGAATCTGAAGTCCTGAAAATTAAATTGTGACTCTTTAATTTTGAGGAAAATGCAACTACGTGTTCTTCTATGCGCATCGGTTTTGCTGTTGAAATTTTTCCTAGATAGACATTATCTTCCGCGTTATAACTGTCTAGCAGATTTTTCAGAAGAACCATATTCACGAAACTGTCGTCGTCAAAATGACAATAGAACCTGAATTAGTTTCCCTTGGGGATATTCAATGAATGAAATGTTTGCTCATGAAGTTACAAGCTCAAAATACCAGTTTGAAAGTCATGCTGGGACTTGAAATGAATGGCTGTTCAGAAACTTCTTTTCAGAGTTTTTCGAGTTGCAAGAATAGGCCTCAAATCAATCAACGACTGAGTTAATTGATTAGCAGAAGTTTTTTTTTCATCAAAACGCAATCAATTCACATTACTCCGAAAAACGCAAAACTTGGAATTGTATTGTTAATTGCCAAGCAACCGCGACGTTTGGAGTCCCTCTAGACGCCGCCCAAAATTTTTAAGGCGTGACGTTTCCCAGTAAAAGACAAACGTGGTAACTTTCGAAACAGAAAAACAAGTTATGAAATCTCTTGAAAAATTCAAAAAAAGAAAGCCCGTTAGAAAACTCTTTTTGGGGAATAGACTAGTTCACACAAGTTAATAATAAGGCCGAGTTTACTATCAGTAGATTCGAAAGAAGGCAATTAATAACGCGGTCGGTCGTTAATGGACCTCCAGGGAAGAATTATTGCATGGACACATTCTACCGTAGCTCGGCACGTTCTGTTTAGAGCCAGATAATAAATTAGATAACTGCCAGTGCTGAACTAATTGGCCGAGAAATGAAAGTAATAATGAGCTGTCATTTTTGTGTGTCATAGTTCTTTTTTTGATTGATGAATAAACTGTAAAAAAATGTTAATCTTCTCAAACAAACACCCATTTCGTATCTGAGCTAGAAAGAAAAAAACAAAATAACTTGCTTGGAGCTGATAGACCTGTAGAACCGCAACTCAGCAGACATTTTTGCAACATAGAGACTCTCTGAAACCCAATAATGTGGTTTTCTTGTGGAATTTCAAAAATTTTTTTAAGAAAAAAATATTGGTTTCACATGAATCGTAAAAAAATCGTAATAAGAGCTTTATCATGATAAAAATAACTTTAAACCTGTCGTGACCGGACCCACACCTGGTGTTCCGCAAATGTCCTTTGAGCGTTTCATTGAGCGCCTCGTCATCCACGTCGGTGAACAGAAATATCTGAAACATTTTTCAAATTGACGACTGCAACACTCTAAATTTCCTCAGTTAATTTTCTCAGTTAATTTAACGATCGGTTCGTTCCCAGAGATGTTCGACAGACATCAAAGGGCGATAAATATGCACACGAGCCAGCTGGCGTCTTTTTGATCCGTTTTTTATAGGCTGAGAACGAACCTCATTCAAAGTCAACTTCAGAAAAAGCTTAAAAATGTATTCAAAAAAAATTATTGAACCTGTTCAGGAGCATCGTTCCACCAGGTTTCTGTAAGACGCATAACTCTCGTCTGGTGGAATTTTCCAGAAGTTTTGACACTTATGATAACATCGTTTTCTGGAGACTTGGACTCGATGGAAGACTGAAAATTGAATAGTGTTAGAGGGGAAAATCTGCGTTTAAACCAAATCTGACGCTAAAATAAAATTTTGCCTCCAAATGTCTCGTGGTTTTTGATTTTCTTTTTAAATTCGATTATCTAAAAAAATTTTCTCAACTTTAAAACAAACCTGGTGAAAGTAAAAAACCATACAATGGAGCAGAATAGAAGCTGTGCGCATTTCTGATGGAGTTTTCTTTGAAAGAACAGCAAGGGTAGAGGTGCAAAAAGGCGGGGCGAGCTGAAATGCCTTTGAGTAGGGGACGAGGATGTTCACGGCATGCGTTTGAATGTCGAACTGTGAGCTGAATCATCAAATCGATAGACCTCCTAATTTCTTCGTTTTCACCAAATATATGAGACGCAAAGAAAAGAAAGAAGTGAATGTAACTATTTAGTTGGTCTTTTTTTAGTAAATTTTTTGAATTTATTATCTCTCATGTACAGGTTGAGCTTGGAAGTCTTGAAGTTGGAAAAATGTGTATTACTCTAACATCCTCTCAAGATTTAGAGGAAAACTCTGAGAGTCATTGCCTACCGATTTCGAGACAAGAATTTGTCAAAGTTTTGAAGCATCCGCTGCAGACTTGGTTCTGTTTTAAACACTAACTTCGTAAAATCATATCTTGGAGAGATTGCGTAGGTAACGATTATCACAAATCTGGATCTGACAAACTTATTGAAAGAGACGGAAAAATTAACACGGACCTGAAAAATTTAGACTGAAAATAGAGAATGATTTTTTTCAACACTTTTTTTGAATCATTCAGTTTTTTTGATACATTCCTGAAATTTATATTTAGTTCATTTTTGTGGTTTTTAAACACAAAGGATATAATTTATTTCAAAATAGGTATTTACAAACATCAGTTATCATTATTTTTTAAAAGTTCTATTAATGTTCTCCTCTCATTAGTCTTTTCTGAATCAGAGTGGAGTTGCTCTTGGGATCTTGAATGCTCAATAAGGAATTGATAATTTTGAAGAAAGGGTTTTGATCCGTTTCCAAAGCCGTACATTCGTTTCCAGATCTGCAAAGTTAAACTTTTTCGAAATTGGTCGTGTTTTTTTTTCACCTGAATAATCCAACACAGCACCCGCGCCAAAGGATATGAAACTCAGCATTGTTAATTAGAAAGTTTGTTCCTTCGGGACAAGTTTTGAAATTACACGGCCGTTTGTCATTTTTTCTGAAAAGGAATAAGATAAAGATGTTATGAGATGAAGTATTAATCACCTGCAAGAATCTTTCTTGCATTCTCGAGTCCGCAAACGGTGTCCACAGCCGCCACATTCTTGTGAGCAACCACCAGTCCATTCCGACCAATCGCTGCATCCGCATTCTATTAGTATTAATAAGTAACCCATTCAAAGATCAATATCACCTAAGACAGTGTTTATGGTATCTGGAGTGGCTGTAGTGACCAACATTCCTCCAATGGGACCACCAATAGCTGGCAGCCTAAAATACTTGTTTCATGGAAAATTAAAGGCAAACAGTGTTAATTCTTACAAAGTTGGCGGTGTGAAAGACATGACTGGAGAAAGAGTGGAACTTCGAATAGGCGCCAGAGTAGGTAGTGATGTCTTTGTCATAGGTGCCTGAGTGATCTGCAATTTATGAAACTCAAAAAAAGTATACACATGATACTGATGGATAATTAATTTACTGAGAAGGACTCGTGTGTCGAATTCATGCGATGGAACCTTATCCAGACATAATTTTTCTTCCCTGTAAATTAACACAAAAGCAATAATTTTTTTTACTCAAAAAATCTACGCACATTGCACATTCTGAGAGAATAAATCGAAACGTTCCTGAATTGTAAATCAATAAATTTTTTTTATTTCTGAGGTTTCGGCGATTAAAAAAAGTGGAAATAGCAAAAATTTGAGAGATCCTGGAACTGTGAAACTCAATTTCAAAACTTTTTCAACTCTAAAAACTGGACTTTATGGAAGTTTGCCAACACAAATAAAATCTGATTTATTTTCAAGTGTTTCAAGATTCAAAAAATCAAAAGTTCGAATTCTTCAAAAAGCAACCACACTTCAAGTTTCAGAAAAAAAATGCAACTCTTCATAAAATAGTACTGTAACCGGAACTCACCGTCGGTGTCTCCGTAGAAGTTGTAGTAATCGTGGACGTTGTAGTCGTTTCTTTTTTCGTAGTTGTCGTTGTCCGTTCAGTCGTCGTTGATGTGCTAGGAAGCTCAGTAGTGAAAGGAAGAGTAAAAGAACGAATTTCAGTCGAAATTGTGTGAGCTTCGGTAGACGGAAGAATCTATAAATCAGAAAAGGATGTCTTTCAAAATATTGAGCTCACCGGTATTGGAGTTGCGTCTCCGAGGTTTGACCAGTATTTCGCTCGGAAACCACGGCTTGTTGATTGAAATCCTCTCATGAGAACAATCATTTCGTTTTTAAAAGAGATGAACCGAGTTCGCGGAAGCATCGAGCAACAAAATCTTTGAGAAAATGGAATATCCAAATTTAGAGTGGAAAAAAACCTCGCTCCCGTCATTCGTTTGTCGTTATGATATTTGACCTCAACGTATGCTTTATCGCATGTATCCTCACACAAAAAATCGAAATCTTCTTCAAACTCTAAGAAAACACGTCCTTCTGAAAGGTATTTTTGTTTTTTTTTCTTTTCAATGTCTTGACAATCTTGTGCATTTTCAGGCTAGAAAAACTTGAAACAATGAAATTTTTTTAATTCTAAAAATTGTTATAACAACCGAAGAACTTTGACGGAAACCAACTATCAATATGTTTTTTTATAAACTTGAAAAATTTCATTGAATCAACGGACTTTTCCTGTTATTTTTTTGTTTCAAAAAAACTAACCAGCTGGTGCAATAATTATCCAATAACATTCAGAATTAAGAGGAAAATAGTCTGGATAATGAGGACTGTTGATGTAACCTGCTTCTTTGTTTGCCTGGAACATACTTCTGATGAAAATAATCGACAGAATTGAACTAACAAACAGAACTCCTCCACAAAGGGCCGTGGAAGGCTTGACCATCTCGCAGAATTGACCGCTCAGACCATCAGGACAGGCACAAGTGCTGCAGTTATTCGGATGTGGATAGCCGTTTCGAAGGCATGGAAGGTTTCCGCAATGGTTGTAGCAGCCGTAGGCTACATTGATCTGAGGTCAGAGTGAGTGATCGAGATAATCAACAAATCACCGCTTGATAATCAAGGAACGATGGTCCAGCTCGCTGTCCTATCGTCGACTGTTGAACTTTTTCCAACGTTCTGATGGTGGGAGTGTACGGATCAGCAGCAAAACCGAAAGGACCATAATGCATAACAGATCCTCAAAACGAAAGAAAAATGTCGAATTTGAAAAAAAAACTGCTACCGGTGTCGTAAGGAAGGCTGAAGGTATCTGCATGCTCATCCCCCACAGCTTGAAAATTATTCCATCTTGAGATTGGTATATTGTTGTAATTGATAGAAATGTGACGATCCTAAGATGAAAAATCAAAACTTTCAATGCTTCATCAAGGACTGGCTAAAAATATACGAGAGTTTCAATATGGTCGTTGAAAATTTCGCGAAAAAAGATTCAAAAATCTTCACAGTTAGTTTTTCTTGTTTCTTTCTTGCGTTTAAATGGAATTAAACAAACCCTACTAATACTGTTCCCATTATTCCATTTTCGCAGACACTTTCGACTGAGCAACCAACGCTTTTCGAAGACTCTTAATAACCTCCTCACCCGAAAGTTCATTCAAAGATTAAGAGAATCTATTCTGGGATTTTGCGTCAGCACTATTAAAAATTTCTGTCTTGTTGATAGAAGTTCCTAGTTTTTAGTTTTTTTGTCCTGACAAAAAAAATTTACTACTAGCCAAGTTACGACTGTTTGAAGTCAACTTTGATGAAACGATAATTGATTGAATGTATAAAAATACCTGGTCAGGACGTGCTTGTTCGTGGAAAATTCCTAAAGCATGGCCTATCTCGTGACTGATGATTCCTACATGATCACAGCCAGGTGTAGCAATCGAAATTCCCTGTAAAAAAACCATTTAAATTTAATATTAGTTTTTTTATAGCATTTTTCCAGCGAGAGGACTTCAAAAAGTGAGAAACAAAATAAGTCATTTCAAAAAAACCTGAGTTCCTCCAACCCGACCAACAAAAGAAGAACAACCACCGCCGTCGAAGAATTCCAATCGATCAACGTTTGGACCGCTTTCTTCGAATCGAACGCATGTGTGACGCTGCCAAAGCCGCATGGCATCACTTGAAAAAAACAATTTCTGTACCGATGCTCATTTTAATTACAGATTTCAACGATCACCTTATATTTTTTTAACATTATGACAAAAAAAAATTTTCATAGCACAAACCGTATTTTAAGCCTTGTCAAAGACGGGATTGTATCTGCAAAATCAAAACTGATCGGCCGTGCTGTATCCCATTTTTTGTAGAGTGGTGAGCGACCAACCTAACAAACTTTATCTAATAATCATGAATTTTCCTTCAACCTTTCTTTTTTCTCGTTTCCCTCTATCGAAAGTCTTCTCGATGATATCAACTTGATGTTCAGACAAATCCACATCTCCTTGAAAATACTCGTCCGCGTTGTTCACAGACAACTCGTCCTATATAAACGGTTATCTGTCAACTACAAATCGTCTCACGTGATTTCTCGTTGCGTTTGGATTTCTCTTCACGTCGTCGAAAGGCGCCACGGAGTCACTTTGTATCAGAGATTGATGTCTGAAATTCCAATTTGATCAAAGTCAAATTTTTTCGATTCGACAAAATTTGTAGAAGTGCGGACATTAGATGTCCGGTCTTAGTCCAGAAAAAATAGCTGAAAAATTGCCATCAAAACCGAGATGTAAACTTCGACTAGAATACATACATTTTTTCAGGGTCGGTACTTCTTTTACCTTAGACGTTCATCAAAAAAAAAAATACAGTAATATTTCAATTTAACTTATTAGAATAAAACCTGGACGCATCCTCGTTTATGAGCTGCTTTATCCTCTGCAGCCGTTGTCGAGAAGCGCGCTGTGCACGGAGGGCAGATCCCGTCGGAATTGAGGCTAACGCTAGAAGCAGGATGAAGCGCCGCAGGCAACGCATCGGGCAATCATTGACGCCGTTGGACAAGCGCATCGCGGAAGGCCGGTCTCCCAGTGACTCACGCCAAGACGCAGCTTCAACCGAATCTGCTTTTACCTCCTTCATGCGAAAAAACGCTCGGTTGTAGTCCAAGGTCTTGAAGTTGTAAAAACGTGCCTTTTGACGCTTTCAAGTTTTCTCTCATACTGTTCGTGACGTTTCGCTGTGATTCATTGGAAGCTATCAAATGATACGGTTTTTGTTTCAGTGGTTAAAAAAACTTTTTGCTTGGGTCTTCACCAAAGTTATGCAAAATACTTTTTAATACATTGGCTGCTGGCCGAAGGAGTTTCCTCAAATCACTTCCCGCAGACCACTGGTTTTTCAAAAAATGAAGCTCAAATTTTTGAAAGGTTGGCTGAGGTCATTTTAGAAGTACTCTTTTGATCTGATAACTTTTCAAAACGGGAAGTATTCGTAAATCCAAATTCGAAATGTATTATTTCTAATTTTTCTGCTTCAAGATGACAGCAAGCGAAGTTTTAAAAAGTGGTGTTAGAAACTTTGCAAACTTTTTGAAATTCTAGTGGTTTCGCTTTGTATTCAAATAATTGTTCAATGGCTTTCTTTTTTTAATCTGCAGTTTTAATCATTAAGTTTATTATATTCAAAAATATTGGCGATCACATCGAGAAAGCAATCACAGAAATTAAAACTTCAAATAATATTTCACAATAAATTCTCATTAAACTCTTCGATATGTATCTTATTATTACAGAAGAAAAAGGCCAAGTGAGACTAAGGAGAAGAAGAAAAGTAAAACATCATCATTAAAGTCAGAAATAAGCAAAAAGAATCAAGAAATCAAAGGAAAAGATATTAATGCTTGTATTTGAGGGAGTCATCGACGGACGAACCGAAAGTCGAGCGACGGCGGGCCTTCCGCCACTCGACGTGGCAACACCCGTTCCGGAGGCGATCATTAAACAGCTTTTCAGCTAATTGGCACAAAATTACAAAAAAATGCTGAGTGGGCGAGTCTGCAGCATTTGAATAAAGGTTAAATTGAAGAAAGCATTATGAAAGGAAGATAAAGAATTCGATGACCTGGGTGCGGTTGCGCCGCTCATCATCTGCTTCTACTGCAATTGAGCGGGCTAGAAACAAAAGCAGAAAAAAGCAGACTTGGCGGAATAAACAGTGAAATAATAAAATGAAACAAGGAAAAACAACAAAAAATGTCGTATGTGAGAAGTTCAAAACAAAGGAAGAGGAAAAGTCCATAGTCGTTTCGAGGGAGGTTCCGGAAAGAGAGCGGGTGATCGGGCTGGTTTCTCATTTTACTGCTTGTGAGATTCGCCAATGAGTTCGTTGATGATAGCGACGGTCTTGGCGGAGCTCTTGCCTTGGACAAATGTGTCGTGATCTCCTTCTACGACAAACACCTGTAACATATTGAATTGCTTTTTGATGAATGTTGAAATATAATTTGTTTGCGGCAGGAATAAAACAGACCTTGGAATCTTCGCAGACTTGGCTGATACCGTAGTCCTGACCGACATCTTCTTCACGCGCAGCTCCTTGTTCGGCACGAATCAAAGTGATGTGTCCGTTGAACTTTCTTTCGGGCTTGTACCTAAAAGGAAGCATTTTTTTTTTCTGAAAATCACTATTTGAACGTACTTGTCAGCCATGAGGAACTTCGATCGCATGGCTTCGCAAGCAAAGGCAACGGTGTCTGGAGACTTGAAAAGTCCGGTTGTCATGACGGTGTCAACGACCTGAAACCTTTTCATGCAAAAAATTTTTTTGAAAGGCGTTTTTTTCTCAAATATTTATCTGAAAGACTGTTTTGGGTTTTTGATGAGTGCTCCTAAATTTCAAAGAATTTTCGACTTTGAGACCAACAGGAAGAATTATTTGTTGACAAATAAATGAATTTGAGAAAAAAGTTGGCTACCTTTTGGACGCGTGCCTTGAATCCAGGCTGCTGCAAAAGCTCGACGCGGAACTTCTTGTAGTCGACATTGGCAAAGCGGAGCGTCATGGCGCACATGATCTCCGATTCGAAAAGCGGGTTGTTCACAAGAGTGTCACCAGTGACTCCAAACGCCATACGGTAGACCTGCAAGTTTATCATTGAGCTTTTTGATTAGAAGAACCAAATTTTGAAGTCTATTGAAAATTGTCAGAAGATTTACTCACGTTTCTGTACGTTTGCATGTACAAGTGGGATCCGTCGAGAAGGATGAGCTTCTCGACGGCGTTGGGTCCGTCGGAAACTTGGAGCATGGTGGCCATCTCGAAGCCAATGCAAGCACCGTATGAGTAGCCGATGAGGCGGTAAGGTCCTTCAGGCTGGATCTTCTTCATTTCACGGATGTAGCATTTGGCGACGGATTCGATCGAGTCCTGTGGCACGTCCTTGGTTGACTGGAAGCAGTAGACAGGGAAGTTGCACTTGGACATGACGCGCTTCAGAGGTGTCGCGATTCCTTCAATCGAGTGCACGAAGAACGTCGTTGGACCTTCTTCGATCTAAAAATGAGTGTTTGACATTTCTTTAGGAAAACTGAAATATTATGGGATCAAAATTTTTTCAGAAGTTCTTGTTTTTCGATTAATATATTTATTCTCAAGTTTCTTAGAAAAATTGCCCAACTTATTCTTGAAAGTTTTTTTCCTAATTTTGATATTTTGTGAAATTTTTCTCTCAAAATTTCACTCTTTCGATTACGGTTCAAAAATTTCAAATTAATATGGTTGATATGATTTTTTACCTTGTTGATTTTCAGAACGATTTCTTGAGGGTCCAGATCGTTGACGTCAACGCGCATTTTGAACAGTTGGTTCATCTGTTTTTCCAGCATTTCCACCGTATTCAACTCAGCTTCTCGTTCTCCCTCCTAAAAAAAATAATGAGTTCTCCAGCCCATAGAATAAAACTGAACCTTCTTCATTTCCAGCTCTCCAGTCTGCAAAGAAGTTGCCCCTGCGCTTCCGGTCTCGGCCATCTGCTGCAGTTTGTTGAGCGTCAGTGTGCGAATGTCTTTCATCGACAAGACAATGTCGTAGTCGCGTTCAAGAGCTTGCTTGATTTCAACGCCCATGAGGGAGTCGAGACCCAAGTCTCCAAGGTTGGCGTCAGGATTGAGCTGTGAGACGTCGTTGACTCCAAGAATGTGAGCGATGGTCTGCATCAAGTTGCCGCCACCAGCGCTCTTCTTGGATCCCATGTCGGCCTTGATGTACGATGACACGATTGGATGGTTCCAGGACAAGAAAAGATCCAGAGCTGCCAAGCAGGACGGCATTCTTTGCGGCAAGGTTCCTCCGACGACAGTGTTGTTGTCTCCCATGTTTTCGAGAATGACTCCGACGTCTCCGATGGCACCCCATTGAATGGCGATTCCAGGGTATCCGTCAGCACGACGATGCTCAATCATACGTTCCATGGTCGAGTTAGACCAGCCGTAGTTCGTCTGACCGGCGTTACCACGACCAGAAGTGATTGAGGAGAACACAACGAACCTGAGAAATAAACTTCTGGGTTAACTGGGAAAAGAAAAACGAACCATTTCAAAGAGGAGTCGCAGTGTTGGCGAGTGGCCTCATCAAGGTTGATAGTACCGTAGTACTTGGCTTCTGCAGCATCCTTGAAGTTCTGGACGTTCTGATTCTCGAACAAGCAATCGCGCAAGACCATGGCCAAGTGGAAGACGCCTCCAACTGGTCCCATCGAATGGCACTGACGCATGAGTTCGACGGCGTCGCTTGCTTTGGAGATGTTGAGAGTCGAAACGAGAACTGAGACACCAGTTCGCCTCCAGAAGTGGACGCAACGGGCCTGGTATCCAGTGCGAATTCCTGTTCGAGAAGTGAGCACAAGTTTTCGCGCTCCTCGATTGATGAGCCATTGAGCAAGTTCCAGGCCGAAACCTCCCAGACCACCGGTGATCAGGTAGGTGTGCTGAGGATGACACAGAGTGCGGCAGATAGCTTTCACCGAAATCTTAGAAGGTGGGCAGACTTTCTCCTTTTCCTCTTGACGGATCTCCATGACGACTTTCCCGATGTGCTTTCCAGCAGACATGAAGCGGAAAGCTTCTTCTGCTTTGTCAGCTGAGAAGATGGAAGCATGAAGTGGCTGCACAACTCCACTCTTGATGCCTTGTTCCAAAAGTTTGGCAACTTCCTTCCATTCCTCGATATCTCCGACAGTTGGGTCCATGATCGAGTCAAGTAAGATTCCGTGCACAGAAACGTTGTCCAACAGTTTGGACATTCCAAGCGCTGAGTTCTGCGCCAAATCGACCTTGCCGATTTCAAGGAAACGTCCGTGGCGTGCAAGGCACCGAAGAGAAGCTTGAAGCATTTCGTGAGCCAGCGAGTTCAGCACAATGTTGACACCACGTCCTTTGGTGTGTTGACGGATGTGGAGCTCGAAGTCGGCTGAGCGCGAATTGGCAAAATGATGGTCCTGGAGTTGGGGGAATTTATTCTTGAGGTAGTCGCGTTTTTCTTTGGAACCGACAGTCGTGAAGACTTCGCAACCGTTGGCGAGAGCGATGGCAATAGCGGCTTGACCAACACCTCCAGCTCCTCCGTGGATCAAAACTCGTTCTCCCTTCTTCATTTGTCCTCGGCGGATAAGAGCATAGTAGGCGGTGGTGTAGACAACAGGAACAGTTGAAGCCTCAGCAAGAGTCCAGTTGTCTGGCACAACCCAGGCATAGTCACGGTCAACAGTGACAGATGTTGCCAGAGCTTGAGCAGGCAGGATACCCATAAGGCGAGTGCCGTCCTTGAGTCTTCCAGCAAACTCCATACCAAGCAGGCATTCGCGGTCGGCAAAGTTTCCAGGGATGGCGTCAGGTGGAAGGCGTCCATAGGCGAGCATGATGTCACGGAAGTTGATTGGAGCGTAGTAAACCGAGCAGAGCTCATGAGAAGCCTTCTTGTTGGCGATGGCGTCAAAGTACTGGTTGGGTGACTCGAACCAAGTGAGCGAGGAAACATCTCCACGAGTCAGAGTGTTGATGAAAGCATGCTCACAATCCTTGTATGTGTGAGAGTCTTCTGAAAAAAAAAGAAAATGTTTATACAATCTTGAGTTGAGATTCAAACCGTCACGAACGATGATGTGACGCATTGATCCCCAGATTCCGTCGCGGTAGTTGTTGGCGTGCAAGTCAAGGTTGATGATCTTCTTGGCGTCTTCGTTCTCCGGAAGAATAACAGCTGGTCCATAGCGAACTTTCTTTTCCGTTGACATATCGACGATTGAGCGGAAGCGGTTAGATTTGAGGTTTTCTTCTACGAAGCAAAGAGTCAAACCAACGACTCCGTTGTTCCGGACCTCAAACAAAAAATAATAATATTTAAAAAAATTTTCAAAGGTTTACCTTGGTGTTCATCAACCAAATTGTCTTCCAGTCTGGCTCATTGAGTCGATCTTCGATGACTTTTTGCAGCGGAGCAATCCAGGAAAACTCCTTGATGTCGTCGACGTCGATGAACACAGGGTCCCGAGGAGTCGATGGTTTTTTTCGAAGTAGGTACGTGGTGGTCATCAACGCCTCGTCGCCTTGATAGTTGCCCAACAAGAAGCCGGCCTGCTCGAAAATCTTCAGCAGGTCCTTGTGGGAGTAATATGAGTTATACTCGCGACCAGAGCCGTTTTCCACCCCGATTTCTTCGCCAAGAAGAGCTGGAAAATTGAAATCATTGAAAATTAACATTTTTTTTAATTACCGTCCACAGCTAGCGCAACTTCGTAGTTGGAAGTGACTTCCGTCACGATGATGAAACCATCCTCACGAAGCAGAAGCTTGCAGGATTCCAAGTAAGCAACAGGATCAGTCTTTCTGAATTTCCTCCTGAAGTTTTTTAATCCAAATAAATCCTACCTCCAGAGAATTTTGTCCAACAAGAGATAATCGATGTTTTTGACCTCATTGTGGCCTGTGAAGCCGTCGTCCAAAGAAAGCTTGACTTTTTTCGCGCCGAGCTGCTCAAGAGTGTTGTCATCCAAACGATCGACATTTGGTCCAATGCAATGGTAGTCCACCTAAACAATTCATCAATAATTGATTTTTGTTTGAATTCTACCTCAAGCAGTGGATGGGACGAGTTGGCCTCAATGCAGTGACGAAGCTGATCAGTCGAAACGATTTCGACAGCAGCCATCTTGGAATGATGACCAGCAGAGTTTTCGATGCAGATGTCTTGCAACGACTTGACGATGCGGTGATGGTCAAGAGAAGCTGCGAAAAGTCTGTCGAGCTCGAAAATGGCACGGACACTCTTCATCTTGTTGATCACAATCTCTTCAAAATCTTCAGTTGGCTTGATGGCGAAAATCTGAAAGTTGAGAAATTACTCTGATTTTCGGAAAATTTTCTGGGAACCTCTTCAAGAGCATGAAGTATTGAAGCTTTGGCGTCGTTGGAGAACAAGGTGACCATGGCTTCAGTCACATCATCATAGTTCTCTTGCTGAAGTGCCGCAAGAGCAGTTTCGAGAAGAGTGCCGTTTTTCAACTTTCTCAGAAGACCTTTTTTCTCCCAAGCGCCGAACCCAGTAGTCAAAACTGCAATTTTAAAATTATTACTCTGGAAAAAGTTTTTGTATGACTTTTCAAAATCATAGCGGAGTTGGCCACAAAATGAAAAATGAAACTTTTGAAGATGACTTTCACATGTCTTGCTTTATTTTTGTTTTTTTTTTCGAAGCTTTTGAGCATCTTTTTGGGTTCAACTTTTTGATTTGGAAAATCATATTCATATCGTGGTTTTGTTTTTGAGGAGTCTCAGAAGCACACATGAGCAGAAATTAAAGATTCAAATCCAAAAAAAATTTGACTATTTCTCACCTTTTTTGAGCACTTTGTTGTATTGCTCCAAGCGGCTAGCGTCGCTTTGGAAATCGGCCATGCAGTGGTCGTCGAAATGGGGAACAAAATAAATTCGTTCGTGGAAAAGCTGTCCAGAGCACTGGATACGGCGTGAAACTGTGTGAGCCGTCAGATCGCAGCACTCAACGCCTCCGGCGATGCATCCATTGGTGGCATGGTCGTTTCTGAGCTCGACGACCTGGATTCCGTCCTTCTCAAAGACGTGCTCCAGATGCTTGATGGGATCAATGCGAAGGTGACGAACACGAGTTGGCAGGCGGAGAGTATCGGCTCGTTCGGCCAGGAGCGCCGTCTGGAGCAGAGAATCAAGGAAGGTCACCCAGTTTCCAGTCCAGTAGAGATATCCACGCTCTCCCGAGTTGCAAGTCTTGTAAATGCCTCGGAACGCCTGTCCATATTCGTAGCCACGGAGCAAGAACTCCTTGTAGGCATCCTCCGTGTCAAGCTCAATGCGGTCAGCGATTGCGGACGTCCTGATATCTTCCAGTTTGCCATAGTAGAAAGGCTGGTTATCCTCCGGGATGTAGATGCGTCCTGAGGCGGCGACCTGCTCATCGGAGATGATCTCGAACTTTCCTTCGCCAGGCGTCAAAACCACGTCGAGTTTGACTGAAAGAATGAATTTTTTTTTCGAAAATTAAATACTTTTTGATTTGGAAGTTTGAACTCAAAAAAAACTTTTCTCTCCTTATTTTCACTCACTTGGTTTGGTGACAATTGTGGCTGAGAAAACGTTGATGTTCTCAAAGACAACAGGCGTCTTTTGGAAGTCGACTCCCTTCATTTTGCAAAGAGTCTTCCAGGCTAGAACCATGTGACCGGTGAATGGATACAAAACACGTCCGTCAATAACGTGGTCCAGAAGGTAAGACTCCTGGAATTTGAATTAATCATAAAAGTTCTTCTGATAGGCTTGAAACCTTGGAATCAGCGGCGAAGGGGTCGATGTTGTAGGTGGCAGATGCAGCAATTGATCCACTTCCTCCAGCAATGAGCTGACGTCCATCCACAGTTGGCCAGTCGACAGAGTGGTCCCATTTCCACATTGGTCCAAGCATGGGAGTGCCCTTCGGGACAAGTCCTCGGAATTGACCTCCGGGGTAGAGATCGCAGACGCGAATGTTCACTCCAGCTTGGTAGATTTTTCCAAGCGAAGCCAAGAAGCCTTCGATTTCGTTGTCGGTCTCGGACTTGGGCTTGTTCATGAGTCCAATGTTGGAGACCGTCTTTTGCAGAGCACGTCGAAGAACAGCTTGCATCAGCGAGTGAGGGGCCATCTCGATGGTGACGGCGTTGGCTGGGATTTTTTGAAGAGCTTCGTAGAAGAGAACTGGGGAGCACGCGTTATGAACATGGTAGTCGGCAGAACTGGAAAATGATAAATAATTTTAGAACTTTGGTTTTCAATGTACCAGGTGCTAGCCAAGTCGCTTTCCCAATCTTCTTCAGGTACTGAGGTGGAAATCCAGCGTGAAGAACGAGGCTTTGGCTCAGGAACAGCAGATTTCATAGCTTCCAGCATTTCGTCCTTGACAGTCAGCATGGCAGGCGAGTGGAAAGGAATTCCAGAAGAATCGACGACCTAAATTCGGAAGTTCAACGCTTGAGTCTGAAAAAAGTCCACCTTGGCAAAAATGCCTTTCTCCTGAAGCTGGTCGCAAAACTTGGCAACTTGGTCAGCATCACCAGAGATAGTTACAGAGTCAGCCCCGTTATGACAAGCCGCAACAACGCCATCCGGAACTTGTTTCTTGGTCTCTTCCCAGGTCAAACCGATAGCAGCCATGGCACCCTAAACACAAGTTAGTTTTGAAAAGTCAGTTGAAGTACACCTTTATTTCCTTGTGCTTCATGATGGAAGTACCACGGTGATAAGCGAGGCGCATGGTCTGTTCACGAGTGATGCCTCCGTCCGCATATCCGCAGCCCATTTCACCAGTAGAATGACCGATGATTCCATCTGGAGTAACTCCAAGAGCAGACAGGGTATCGGTCAAAGCGATTTGAATGGCCGTGATGGCAAGCATGCAGTTGAGTGTGTTTCCCTGGTACTGGGACGGATCCGAATTGCAGAGCATTCCATAGACGTCCATACCAAACTCCTCGAGAGTCTTAATTAAAAATTAGTAAATAACCAGTGTTTTATACTATTTACTTTTTTCATAGTTTTTAAAAATTTACCTTGCTAGACATTCTCAAAGACTCGTCGAAAATCGGAATTTTCATCAGCTTTTGAGCCATACCAGGCCATTGAGAGCCCATACCGGAGTAGATGAAGTAAACCGGTCGTGGTTCAGTGATAGCCACCTAAAGTTTAACCTGATAAAGCCGAAAAAATGTTTGATTTTCACCTTTTGCACGTGCTTGAGTGGTGGTTGATTCTCAACTCGGTTGATGAGCATGTATCCACGGAAGGGAGCATCCTTTGCTGGCAGATTTGCCTGATTAGCAAGTAGAGCTTGAAGGTATTGGTCATTGACATTGTTCTCAACGTTCTCGAAGACGTAGTCAACGGCTTCCTGAGTGCGACCGCAGTACCTGAAGTTTTTTTTATTAACTAGAAAGAAAATTTTATTACTGACGTTATTATTTTCGTGAAAGAAGGTGGCGTAATCGGCTCGGAGACGTGATCTGCTGCCTTGAGGATCACGTGGGTGTTGGAACCTCCAAAACCGAAGGAGTTTACTCCAATGAGACCTCCTGGCAGAGGAGTTGGCTCAGTGACAACCTGAGAGTCAAGTTGGTTATGATTTCTGTCTTATTTCTAACCTTCAGTCTTCCGTCGACTAGCCCAGGAATGTATTGATTCGGAGTGTTGTAGTGAAGATTCGGGGGAATCATTTGACGTTCAATGGAAAGACAAATCTGAAAGTTTCAAGTTTTTTTTTCTTCTGTGAGTTCTTTTCAACCTTCGCCAAGGAGCACACGCCGGAGGCCGGCTCCGCATGACCCATGTTCGACTTGACAGAACCGATAAGCAGTGGCCCAGACTGTCGGTTCGAGCAGAACACTTGGCAAATGGCATTGGCTTCCTGTGGATCGCCGACTTTGGTTCCAGTTCCATGAGTTTCGACGTAGTACACCGAGTTAGGGTCAACACCAGCCTCCGTGTAGACCTCTTCCAAGAGTTGTGCTTGTCGTTCTCCAGATGGGAAAGTGATTCCTTGCTCCTTGTAGCCTGGAAATTATATCTCCTATTTCTGAGTTTTCAATTTTCTGAAAAACAGTCTCTGATTGAATTTACATAGAGTCTACGATCTCCGATTGCAGCTCAAAGAGAGTTACTTGTGAACGAAGTCAGATAGAGGGATTTTAGTGAGCTTATTTGACTTACTGTTGTCAACATTTATCAAAAAAATGTTGTTTTAGGCTTTTTACTTTGTTTTTCGGGATTTGAGTTTTTTTCAAAAAAATTGAAAAAAACATCTGAACAAAAAAATGTTGGTTCCTAATGAAAAAAACACTTCTTTTTATTTTTCTTTTTTTGTTTCAAAAAGAAAAATTTGAAATCTTTTTCGCTTCTGCTCGGCAGAAAATGTTTACATCTATTTTTGAAAGTTGAGTTCAATTAGTTTTTTTCAATAAAAAAAGGCTTCCTTTTTGGTTTGTGAGTCACAAGTTCTCAGGAGTAGTTTTTACCTTTTTTTATCTCTAAGTCTTTCAATTTATTAGCTATTCTGCTGAAACTTCAACTTATTTTTTTCACATGATAGTTATTTCTAGAAATCATCTGTTTTCATATTATTAGATGACGAACCGTCCGTGTTGGACTTGGCGTGAAGAACACTGGCGTAGATACGCTGCGCCTTGGAGCGACGTTGAATGAAAATAGCAGCAACGCCTTCAGTGCGGCAGTAGCCGTCGCCGGAGTCGTCGAAGGAACGGCAGCTACCCTTGTCCGTCAGCATGCCCAGTCGCAAGAACTGGAGCGCTGCAGTGGGAGTCAGAGTCAAGTGAGCTCCAGCAACGATGGCGGCGTCGCATTGCTTCTGCAAAACAAAACATTGAAACTATGTTCTCAGAAAAAAATATCACTTGTCTGATTGCATCAATAGCAAGTTGAAGTGCAAGTAATGAACTGGAACACGCCGTATCTACAGAAAAAGACGGTCCTTGCAGGTCGAAAGTGTAGGAGATGCGGTTGGAGAACATGGAGCGAACGCATCCTGTGAGTGTGTAGCCCGTCACAGTCTCAGGATCTTGCGTCAATGCTCCAGAAGTTTCCGAAGCCGAGCAGCCCACGAAAACACCCGTGCGTGAGCCTCGGAGATCAACCGGATTGATTCCTGCAAGGAAAAAATTTTGATTCTTTCCAAGTGCTGAGACAAACGGTTTGATTTGAACTCTCACGGTTCAAATTTTTGTTTGGTTTTGATTACTCAAGTAGTTATCCGAAAATCAGTTCTTTTTTTTTACTTATCTCTGGAAAACAATGTCTCGATTTCAAAGAAAAACCATCGTTCGCTGGAGTCAAGTAAAATTTTTTTCAGTTTCTCTTAAAGAAAATGTGAAATAATTGTATATTAAACTGCTTTTCTTAGGATAAACCTTTATGAAAAGTATTTTTTTTTTCATTTTATCCAGAACTTTTACATTTTGGCGCTACTAAGTGATTATTGTTTTCTAAAAGCATTTAATTGTTTTATTGGTGTTATTTACCAAAAATTGTCGCATTATTTTCTCAATAAAACTTTCTGGAAAGTGCGCTCGCAGGTAATCAAAAATAGCCCTCCTATCGTCTATCTCTTTTTTTTTCCAACATCGCCAGACAGAAATTACAGTTATCTCTGCGCGCCCATCGCGCTAATCGAATCATCCTCAGGGTGACACCGTTTGATTTCAGGCTACTTTTGAGCGTTTTTCTCTATCAGCTTGCAAAGAGGTTGAGAGTTGAGGCGAGGCACCAAATGTAGGACGCCGATTCGCTTTTGCTACGCGTTCAAGGTTACGTGGTACAACGGGACACGTCGTTCCTATCTGTGTCCCGCCACCTCGCTCCACATCCTCAAACCCTCGATCACTTTTTTTTTAAAACCAACTGTTCGATTTTAATTTTTTTTTTTGTCAAGTGAATATATTCGTCTTGGACGACTAGAAAAAGACTTGTTTCTCTAGTTCTCACCCAAAAGCTTTTTTTGAAAGCTTCATCGATGTCATTTTTGAACGTATTTTTAATTTTTTTTATATCAACTAATCACACTGACCAGCATCAATCATTGCTTCCCATGAAGCTTCCAATAAAATGCGAACTTGGGGGTCCATATAGTTCGCTTGTTTAGGCGTAACAGAAAAAAATTGTGCGTCGAACTTTTTCAGTTCCTTGAGCTTTCCATGTCTCTTGGGGAGGTCGTAGAAGCCTGAAAATGAACTTTTTTATGGGATCCTTTTTTCATATCAACCTGGAGGCCATCGGAGGTCGTCTTCGGTGACCAGGTCTTCTCCGGCAAGCAGCATGTCTCCGAATTCTTTGACATTATCGCATCTGAACAAAATTGCGAAATTCAGAAACATTTTAATTGCAAACCTGGGGAATCGGCCCGATACTCCCGAAATGACAATTTCATCTTGATTCTTCCACCATGGCTGCTCATTGGAGCTCATGCTCTCACCCGACTGTAAATTGGTCCATTTTAGAAATTAAAAACGTTTTTGATAGAGTGAAGTTGTTAACAGATATTCAAAATAGAAGAATGCAGAACAAGGTTATCGTGGGGCTGACAGACAAAAGGAACGAAGAGGCGAGACTGAGAAACCGGGTCAAATTTAACTAGTTCATTTCATAAATAACCATTGTTATCAACTGATGATGTAGGCGGCCACTAATTATCAGAATTGTCGGAAAAACCCTTTATTTGTTTTTTTTTTCCGAAGATGAGTTACATCACAATACGCATTGTGGTAATTTAACGCGGGATCTAATCAATTTGAATGAAATCTGTAAATTGCACTTAGAGAGACCTAAATGCAAAAGTGTTCGAAGGACATATGAAGTGCAGACAAAAGAGTCGGAATAATTTCCATGGAAGATTCTTTTTAGAAGGACGCGCCCTCCGACAGCGCCACGTCTTCGAGATGCGCGAAAGATTCTAGTTAACGGTGACGGCTGGGCGACGATACGATGGATAAGGTACAGAAGGAGGCGGCGGCGGTTGTGCTAAGTCATTGACCGGCAAAGGTCGCGATGGAAAGACGTGATAGGGCTTGGGCGGACGGACCTCCAGGCTTCCACGAACCTCGCTTGCGCTTCACCTCACCTCTCTCTCTCTTTTAATAGGCATGTCATGCACTTGAAGTCGAGGCGCAATGAACATCAATCGGAGGAAAAGTTACGACCTTATCGGGATGCGATCGTTCATTTCTTATGAAAACAAGACCCTACAAACTTCAACCCCAGAAAATGTTTTTCCAAATTGATTTTTAAAGAAGTTTTTTCCATTTTTCGGGTTGAAGTAGCACTGATTTGAATGCCGATAGAAAAGAAAATGTAAAAATTTCTTAATTAATTGCTATTTACGCAGACCAACACCGACTTATCTAAAATCTAAGGCGTCAGAAATTTCGGAACAACTGATGAAAAATCAAACTTATAAATCTGAATCAGAAAGTTCTATTGGAACGCTCAAGAAGGAAATTCGGATGTCGCAAATCGAGGGTCAAGAACTGCGCAAGGCCGGAAACCTGCTCAGATTCAAGACAAACAAGTGAAGGAAAGGTTCCAAAGCAGAACGAAAGTCGAGAGCCGTCCGTGGTCGAAGCAGAGGATCGTAATGGCCGAAGACACGAGAGAGCCGCGTAGGCGGCCCAACCAAAACATTACAAAAGGCGAGAAAAGTACCTGTGAATTGTCGGAGACCCGCTCCCATCCGGCACTCATATCCGACGAATGTGCGCTTTCCTTCTCCATTGTTGCCAAACTGTTTTTCTGATGTGCCTGAAATAAAAGTTCAATTTGAAAAATCATGAAGAAAAAAAATAAACGAAAGAAGACGACACACACAATAGGTAGGTATGGAAAATCAGACTTTTTTGGGTTGAGATGATGGAACCCGATAAGGGGCCCGTAGAAAGGAAGGATTCCGCAAGTACACACGACAATCGGCACAGATGGCTATCACAACCTCAGTTCACTTCTCGAAATTCTATGAGTACAAATCACGCGATTTTCGGGTTGTCGTCCCATTTTAGTATTATTAGGTCGTATTTTGAAACAAAGACCAACAAATAGAATCTGCTTCAAACGTTTATTATTTTGAGCAATGATCGTATATTCGATGTGAAAGCGGTTCAGGAGCAAGATTTTTTCGGCTCAGGTCATGGACAGTGTTTATCGATTCGATGGCGATTAAGGGTCAGGACTCATAAAGACCAAAAATAGAGCAAAAGAGATTACATGTCGCATGCCAAATCGCCGTTCTGTATCCAACTTTTTTTTGCGATGTTCGGCCAAAACGCTACTCAAAATTGTGAAAGATAGTGTTCAATAGAGTCGTTTTGTCAAGTTTTGACTGGAAGTCATGAATAGTTTCATAATGAAAACGTTGAGTCTTTTTATGAATCTTTGTGTGATGGTGGAAATTCTTGATGAAATAGGCGCCTTCTTAACCGAAAACAAAATTGAAGCTCTAAAAGCTGTTTCGAAAGCCCTTCTCAAAGCATCAAAAGTTTTTTTGAAGAATCGAAACTTTTCCAGAAGCCTTTTTGTCAACGACAAAACTGCAACGGAGAAAGGTTTCTCTCAAAAAAAAAATGCGGCGTCATCAGAGGTACAAGGTTCAGTTCGCGGAGAATCTCTTGACAGGAAACGAAGGAAAGGTTAACATCTGAAGAAAAGAGATGGCAAAAAAAGTGAGTAGCAAAGAGACACGAGCATCTATCCATTGATGGGTGTGAACCGTGAATGGACAGGAGGCGTCAGAAGTTTGCGTGGAGGAGGAGACCTCCAACACACACAGAAATGCGGTCGGCCGTCCGTATCCCTGGACGACCTTGGCATCTTACAATTGTAAAACCTTCGCCTCCGTCTTCTGTCTTTTCCCACCTTTGGAGTGGTCAAGCGGAGCACAGAATGTGAGACGACGCTGCCGACATCTGCCAAAAGGTCGAACGGCAGTCTTTTTGCGCGAAAATGATGTGGCCACAAAAACAACTCAAACTCGCACCTCTCGTTTCGGGGTCAACGATGACGTCACGGATATTGATCAATGAAAAAAAAAACCGACTTCACGAAATTTCAAATTTTTTACATCGAAATCATGTTATTAGATCTCTAAGGAGTTTTTCTGGAAATTACGAAAGATCGAGAGAATAGAATCGTTTTTGGACATTTTTTTTCATTTTTTTACTCCACAGCGTTTTCGGCAAAAAATTGACAAAATGGGACTGTTTTTGAGATTTCTTCGAACACTTCTTAATTATTATGCTATCTTCAAATCTCTTATTCACTCATTTCAAAAACTTCAAATCTTTTTTTATCTTACTTAGGCGCAACAATATTATATCAACAAAAAAATAGTCTTTCTTTCAGAATTTTTTTCTGCAAATTTTGCTAAAGTAATTTTTGCGAGGTGTGTATGAAAAAAACAATGTTTCATGAAATTCTTACTTCTTTCGATTTTTTTGCAGACTGTTTTATCACTCAGGAATAACTTTTTTTCTCAGTTTTCAGAGGTTCAAAGAAACCATTAGGGAAGAAAAGTTAAAAATAGAATTGTCTCGAATTTCCGTCGCGCAAAGCTTTTAGGTTCAAAAAAATGCGTCGAGGACAAAAAAATATGAAATTCTGAGAAAACCGCTCTTATTTTGCAATTGTAAAAAATTGATTCAATTATTTTCTAGCCATCTCGTGTTCGAAAAATAGAGCATTGAAATGGAAACAGGAATTGGTTTCAATTTCCAAAGACACATTCCTTTCTCTACTTTAAAATTGAAGAAAACTTGTTTGGAATGGTAAGTAGTGAGGCTGCCATAGGAAAGTTGAACCTGTAGTTGAGTTCTAGCGAAAATTTTTACTCTCAGTTTTAGAAAAGAGTTTGAATCAAAAAAGAAGCTTGTGATAAAATAAGTGATGTGGAGGTAATTAAAACTTGAAATGATAAAAATGAAATGAAAATAAAACAGAAATAGGAATTGAACGAGAGCAGCGGCTAGCAACGGGACAGCGGAGGAATGAACGTGGAAGGTGCATGTGGGGAAGGATGAAGGGCATCGAATCCAGGTCAGCACAGTTGCGATCAAACGCGCCTCCCGCACTCCAGTCGCCGGTAAGTCAAACTCAAAAAAATCTCTCGTCAATCGAATTTGGCGAAGTGAGTCCTATATTACTCCACCGTTTCTTCTGAAAAATCTTTAAATTTTTTTGCTTTCAATTTAACTAAATTGTAAAAAAATTTTTTTGAACAAAAAAATAAAAAAAGTACTTTTTAAAGCACTCAAAAACGATTGCACACAGAGGATATTGAGCGTTGGAAATTGCTCAAAACCAGTTGCATGATTATTTTTGATATTGACTAATGGTGGAAAGTTATATTCGTGAAAAAAATGTTTCGAAGAATTAAACAACTTCAATTTGAATTAATTTTTTTCTAAGAGCTACATAAATTTTTTTGATAAGAAATGTTCTCACGTTTGAGAAAAAAATTGAAGAATCCGCCAAATGAAAAGATTCTCTCAGGTAGTTAATTAATGGAATTTTTTTCTCCAAAGAAGGCAATTTTTTTCGATCACTTCAGGAATTTTTTTGCTTTGAGCTCAAAAAAAGAGATTCTTCCAAAAATTATGGATTTTCAAAAAAAGTCCAAAAAAAAGTCAAAGAATAGTTTTTTTCAAAAAAATGCGAAATGTCTCATTAGCTCTAACTCTATGGAAAAAAAAAATTTGGTCGATTCGAACAGATTGTAGTGGAAATGGAAGGTCAATGCCACGCCACAGCGTCATTTCTTTGACTCTCGACTTGACCGGACCTTTCTTCGTCGACACGAATCTTTTAGGTGACCCAATAACTTTGGACTGGTTGGTCGGCATTTTCAGCAGTTTCATTAAAAGTGCACTTTGAATGGCGCGTTTGACAACGAAAAACGTAAAAAAGTGAAAAATGTGAAGAAAATGGAAAAAGTGTCCTAAGAAGTTAAATGCGGATGAATTACTTGAAATCGAAAAAAAACATATATAATTTCGATTATCATGTTTTATCGATGCAGGGATGTAGGCAGATCTGGGGTTTTGGTATCTTTAAATTTGTGTGTGAGAATGGGCTTTGGAACGGTAAATTCGTATTTCTCGGAGTCGAAAAAAAGAAAAAACTAAAAAGATACAGAAATCAATTATTATAGTTTCATATGAAGACTCAAAAAACCATAGCAGATATGCTTTTATGACAGAGAATGGAAAAAATCAAATCATTGGATCAACCTTCGAAATTCCACTCTACTTTCGATTAACAGAAAATAAAATTTCAGGCTTTTAAAGCCATCAAGCAAAACTCCGTTTCTGGAAAAAAAATGATGCTTTCATTGACAAAGAACAGTCTGCGAAAAAGTTGATGAAGTGGAAGAGTTTTGTCTCAAAAAAAGAAAAACTGGAAAACTTGTTTTGAAAGACGAATGACGCGCGAGCAGACGGCGATTCTGATTCGGCGGGACTGCCTGAAGTACCGACGACCTTTGCTATTATCTGATCGGACCGACCCCTAAAAGTCGTCTCATCTACCAAATCACCCCATCGGTCATTTTTGACTGTGCACCGACAAGATCGTTATCCAGTCAAAGCTTTTACGTCATCGCATAACGAAACTTTGATTTACAGTCACCATATAAAAGCAAAAACTTCAAACTATGGTTTTTGATTGAATTTTCATTTTTTCGATTTTCCGAGCAACATGAATGAAAATGATAAAAAAGGGAAAATATTCACTTTTAGGACAGTCCAAGTAAGTATGTGGCTTGTACTTATAAGTTGTACCAAAACTTCATTTTTCTTTTTGTTTCGAATCACTACATTTCTCAGTTTGCAGGCTAATTTTTTTAAGTTTCTCAAAGAAAATGCTTTGAAATGACGTTATATGTGTTTTGAAGAAAATTTAGAGTCCATCAGTCAACTAAAAAGAAGTTAGAAAAATTCACAAAAAATCCTACCGTAACGCAGTGAGCCTCACAATAACTAGCCTAAAAAGTTTACACATTGTGTCTTGTAAACGTGATAATAATTTCAACTCTCAAAACAAACTTGAAATTCTAGTACCAACGGTTCATCGCTTTTCCCGGAGAATTTGTATTTAAAAGTATGATAAAAGGAAATATTGCAAAATCATTTTTTCACAAAGAGAAATCGAACTTTTTTCGTAAAAAAAAGTTTTAGTCCAGAAAATCCCCAAATAGAAAAAGATAAAGCACTTCTCAAAGAAGCCAAGCATTTGTCATAACTTTTTCAGGCAGTCAATTTGCAAGTACCCATCCTCATATACGTATCAAGCACTTCTTTGGAATTCCAGGAAAAAATTTGTGTAGTTAAAATTACTTCATTTTATTGATCGAAGAGTTAGAAAAGTTGCTTTGAATTTTTTTTTTCATAATGAAAGCTTGAAAAATTACGATTTCTGAAAATTTGAAGAAATCATTGCAAACATACTTTGCGCTTTTGAAAGCTTTCGATCAGCTCATGATAAGTACAAATTTCACCATAGATCATTTTTTATTATAGGAAATTTCTTCAATAAACTGGAAATACGTTTTTTATAATGCTGAGTTTTGCTTTTTTGGTCACTCGTTGACGATTCTTCTCTTCAGGTTGACCAAAGTCAGGAGACGGCGGTGTTCCGCTTGTGATGCTATCTCGAAGTCTCGCTACAGTTCGAGGAAAGATCCTATCGACGTCACATGCCTCGGCGGCGACTCGTTGAAAACAGTTCGCCGTCGGATACACATCTCTCCAACATCATACAGCTCTCGAAGTTCTCGTGGTCCGTCTTGCGAAATTTTCCAGAAATGCCGAAAATCGTCTTAACAACACAATAAACGCGTTTCAAAGCAGAAATTATAAATAGACAGTTTAAAATTAGTTTTCTTTTTTTCAAACCGTGGTGCCACTTTATTTACCTCAAGAAAAGAAGACCAACGATTGGGAAACCAGTACCTGTTGATTTTTTCTACTTGCAAAAACGCAAAGATGAGTGGAAAGGATGTTTTTTCGAAATGAAACTCTTGGGGATGGTTTTCTAGTAAAAGTTCTTATTAGTGGATCATTTTTAGTTTACATAGTAAATTTTTTTAAATTTATTATTCTTTTTTTCTGAAAAAAATGAAAGATGTCATAGCAATTATTACAAGATCAGAGCCCATCATCTGAAAAATGTTTTTTTAGAACTTTAAAAAAATTAAAAGGCCTTCTCAAATTAGAACGGTGTGTTCAAATATTTGTAGATTCGATACTGCCGTAACCTTTTTATTAATAATCACAGTTAGATCAAAGAAAAACCAAATGACCAAAGCACATGAATGTACCCGTAACTGTTATTTCTTCATACAACTGTTGTTAGTAACTCATAGAAAAACAATTTGACAACAATTTCTAAAAAATGATATAAACTGAATTTTCAATATTAGGCTGTTTTAATACAGAGCGATGCCAGACAAACAGAAAAAGGGAAAAATGTTTATTTTCCAGCAGTTGACGCTGAATTTGTGTGGGCGAGAGCCTGAAACACTAGAGATATACCGACATTCGGAAAGTTTTTACCTGTTCGCGTAGAAGTTGCCGCAACTCGTCGTTGTCGGCTTGGAGCTCTTCGATTCGTTCAATTTTTTCTCCATAAAATATCAAAAGCTCGTTATATTCTTGATTTCTCCTCTGCAAAAAATTGAAAAATTGCAACTTCGATTTTTCAGTAATTTTCTTGCCATGCAAAGATAACAGAAGAAAGTCTCGACTTCTCACCTCAGCATTTCTTTTTACGACTTCCGCTGTGTAAGCTTCTTGTCGGACTCTATCCATCTCAGCTTTCATCGACTCTCTCATTGCAACAACTTCTTTCTGAAGAGAAATTTCAAATATAAACACCAAAATTTCAAAATAACTGACCATTTTTTCTAGTACAAACGTATTTTTTTCAAATTCGATTCCAGGAGCGCTTTCTTTGACCTGAGTTTCCTGAGAAAATTGTTTTCTAAGCACAAAACAGAAGTCGAACCTTTTCAGGAGTACTGGCTTTTCTCGGGGAATTGTTTTCCACAGGACTTGTTTGAGTTTCTGATTCGCTGGTACTTGGCTTAGTTTTCGCTTTCAAAAAGGGCTTTTTTTCAAAAATATGTCTGTTGATGTAAAATGAAAGCTTCATACTTCCCGAAGGATATTTGAACTCTGAATCTCATAACATACTTTGAGTAATTTTTTTAAAAAGTACCGATTCATATCTTCCCGAAAGTGCAATTTTAAATCCGCGAAATACTCCGCCAACGAAAAAAAGCTGAAAAAGTAAAATGGTATCAAACTTGATAATTAAAAAATACCATGTTTTTCAGCATCCTAGATTCGGAAGCCAAAGAAGGCATGCGATTCATCAAAATCTTATGCTTTTTTTGTAATTCTTCACGTTCCCCAATAGAAGTTTCTAACGAAACTGACAATTTGTCAATTCTTTCTATGAGAGGATTAGTGGCTACAAAATTTCATTAATAGAGCTAAAAAACGAATGAAACCTGCAGAAACACTTTCAGAGAGAAGAGCTGTTTGTTGCATTTCTAACTCCTCGATTCTCTGCAACTTTATCTTTAATTCAAAAAGAAATAACCTCTACCTGATTCAGATTTTGAACTTCTTTCAACAGTAATTCGTTTTTCTTCTGAGACTCCAACAATTCTTGCTTATTTGCCACCTGGCTAGCGCCTGAGTAGTTGTTCTCGAAACTGACAGCCATTTTCTGGAATTATTAGGTAAATGTCTTGTTTTTCTTTTTTAAAACCTCTATTCCAACAAGTTTTTCGTATTGGGCTTGGTGATCGTGGAAAGTTATCTCAAGTGCTTCGCATTTATCTTTCCAGTACTTGGCATCTGTTTCTAACGTCTGAACTCCGATAACTGGAAGACACTCGGAAAAAAAGTAACCTGTGCCTTGGAAGCTGCAGAGCTGCTGTTTGCTGTCAATTCTTGGAGCTCCGCCTCTTTCGTTTTGAGAGCTTCTAAAAAAATGGCTATTTTCGTTTAAAAACTCATTTCATAAATATAAAAGTGAACCTTCCAGAGAAAAAATTTTCGCGTTTTGTGTCTCTTCTTTTTTCATGATTTCGTTGTGCTTCTGTTCCAAAAATGTCAGTTTTTCACGAAGTTTCCGTCGTTCTTGAACAGCTTCAAACAGAGATGTCGACAATTTAGTCGCTTCAGCTTTCAAATTGTCATGTTCTTCGGTTGCCTGACGTTTGCTAAAAAAGCAAAAATCAATTTTTGATTAACTTTTATGCTTACCTATCATTCAGCTTACTATTCGACTTTTTCAGCTCCAATTTTTCAACCCTCAGTTTGTTCAATTGCATATTAAGCCAATCATTTTGACGCCGCAAGTCATTCTGAAAATAAATTCATAGAATCATTTTTATTCATATTATAACACAAAAAGTAGCGTTTTCTCTAGCTTGGGCAATAAAAAAAAATCCCTGAGATTTTGCAAAAAAGAAAAAATGAAGTCGAGCTTACAGAGTTCAAAGAAGGCGAAGGAAAAGAAGATTTAACCATCTCATGTTCTGCTTCCGAACTAAAAAAATTTATCTAGAAAAAAATGATCAAAAAAATACCGTTCTTCATTCATGTTGACAACTTCCAGGTCGGATGATACAAAAAGTCATCGCTTCATCAAAAGCGCCGTCTTCGTGTCCAACGAAGGCTTCAAATCATAAAAAATCAAAGCTTATTATGGGCGATGAGAAAATGTCAAAAATAATAAGACGCCAAGATAAATTTTTTTTAAATTTTTTTTAGTGATTACCAAGCTTCGCTGAGAATGAATCATCAATAAAAGCCGAAAAACATAATAAAAAGAAACAAAAAATACTTACGCGGAAGGACTGGCTCATTTCGAACAACGACGGCGCTCCCAGGATCTGACGACTGACCGGGAGAAACTCCAGTGACGGGCGAAGAAACATTTTCTGGAGAATCGTTGGCTCTTGGCGTCGCTTGTTCTCCAGTTTGAGACGACGCCCATCCAAACAAAGTCGGCTGCAAAACAATGACAATTTCAAACTATTGGTTTGAGAGTCAGTAGCTAACTGGAAAGCTTTATCCATTTTTCAAAATTTTTTGGAAAATCTACTGAAGTTTTTTCTGCAAATTAATCCATAAAAAAAAGAAAGAAGTTTAGAAAAAATCTGTGAGCAGAACTAGTTAATTTTTGCAACTAATTGATACATTCTGCCGTGTTTCAGTTGGAACTACCTGGGTTTCGATGGTGAGCTCTGCAGGACTTTCTGTTCGGATGTCCAGAATATTGTCAATCTTCTCTTGGGCATTTTTTTATGGCATCGCGCCAGTTGACCATATTCTAATGACTTCTTACTGAAAATTCATTGTTTTTCTAGATAACACTAAGAAAATTAATTTTACAGTTAATGAGTTCAACAAAGCAATCCTGTGAGAAAAAAATCTTTTTGGAAGCTTTTTTTCATAATAACTGACGAATAATGAAAACAAAAAAATGATAAACAGAAATAATAAGATTTCCGACTACTTCTCCCTCTTAAAAGAGAGAGTGCCACGTAGTGCGCTCCATCGAACACTATTACCCTGCTTTTTTTTCCCGATTTTCACCCAAAGTTTTTCAAAATGTGTCGCCCTTAGTTAGAAATTGAAAAGGCTGATCGCAACAGTAGCAGTGTTTTAAAATGGCTTCTAACTCCACATTTCAACTTGCACAACTTGCAACTTTAACAAAACTTCTTGTTCCTGCAAGGGCTTAATCGATAGTTTTCCGTAGAGCGCGCTTCCTTTTTTTCTCAGTTCTCATTTTTTTCTAAACTTCTATTTACTTTTTTTGAGTTTTGTTTCCGAAGTAACAAAAAAACGACATCGAGTAAATACAGTAAGTTCGATCAAGTTTTATCTCGATGAAGCACATAAAACACAGTGTTTAACGCAAATGCAAATTCAACTTTATCCTACATGTTTTAAAAATCGTTATTCCAACGAGAAAAAAAAATTCGAAAACGGGCTGGAAATTTTTCAAGGAAGGAAAATTCAATCAACATTTAAATTGCTCATATAGCCGAAATCCGATGAATTTCTTACACCTAAAAAATCTTTTTCTCAAAAGTTTGTTAAGAAGTTTGAAACTTTCAGAATATATGTTTGATTTAAATTTAATCTGAACAATTTTCAGAGAATTTCGAAATAGAAAGAATTCTTTTCGCTTTCGTTATTGCTTTGAACTTTGTATGCTTTTTCGAATAAACAAAAAAAAGTTTTTCAGACCAAATTTCAGAAAAAAAGCATGCGAATAAATGACACAAGGACTGAAAAAAATCTTGAAGCTTTTTTTGCAACGTTTATTTCATCGAACAAACATAATTAACATGCTTCGAACTACAGCAAATATTTATAGTAAAAAAATTAAAGGATAAGAAAAAAAGTTTCAGAGAGCCGATTTTTGGCACAGCCGCGTTGCCTACTCAGTAGCAGACACTTTCTTGATGATTTTGTACATGGCAAGGGTGGTCCTATCATAAGATGAAATTGCGATTGCGCTGCCTCGGCCGTTTGTGAACTGTGCTCCAACGATACAGTGGTCCTTTTGCCTCTTTCCGTAGCGATATTCTACCTGAACCCCATTCCCACAAATTTCTCACAAAGGAAGGAAAAAAACCTGATAAGCATGAGGCTTGCGAGTGTGAAGTTTGTAAACTTTGAAGGTGCTGTCTTCCGAAGCACTCATCACATAGGCGCTCTCTGGTGCCACGGACACACTTGTTATAAGTCTCGCATGGGCGTGGACCTGCAGGGAACTATTCTTCAACTTCGTCTGGAAAATCTGACTTCAGCCATTAGGTCTCCGCTGACAACGGAATAGAACAGCAAGACGCCCCTCATCGTTCCGGCTATCACTTGCTTCCGAAGGACGTTGATGCAGCTCAGCGATTGTCTTCATGAGGATGCGGATGACCTTTTGTTTTAATTGACCCTCACTTGGTGTCGATTCGTGACTGGACTCCCTTAACCGGCTTCTGCCATACAATTATCTCGCCAGCGTTTGTAGCACTGCAGGTTATTTCGTCGAAACGACACGTTGCGATGTCTGCGATCGAATCGTTGTGTTCCTAGAAGAAAATTGAGCAATACTTTCATAATGTGTCAAGTTTTTAAATGTGTACTTGATAATTTATATTTCTAGAAAAAAATACTGAAAAAAAGGAAATTTTTTTCTAGTCTTATAGATTTAAAAAAAACATTTCAAAAATGTTTTTGAGATAAATGCATACATTTTTGAGCTTTGCTACTTTCTTTTTTAAATGTCTGAATACTCAAAACATTCATCAAAAAAACCAAACACTGCAGGTTGTTTCTTCGGTTGAGTTTCTTTCAAGTCAATTCAAAGTTACTTTCAAGTTTCTCCTGGTAGAGATCGAAGTTTCTCCATTGCACATCAGAATTAGAATGTCGCCAACATGAGTACCTAAACAACTTTCGTCCTAAATTTTCATTTTTACACTCTTCTAAAACTATAAAAATTATCAATGGCTTCATTCAGCGGTAGAAGAGATGTTTCGATTTGAAAACGCTCTGATTTTTGCCTTTGTTTATCAAAAAGGTCTTTGTCGGTGAATATTTCTTTGAATGCAAGAAATGAAGTTTTACCGACAAGTATGGTGTTGTCATTGCATGAAATGCCTCGACAATAAGCTCCAATATCGTTTTTTCCTGGTTCGGAGTTCTACAAGCAGTTCAAAAAATTTAAACAGTAGGTGTGGGATACACTTTGAGAACCGCACTCAAGTTCACTTGCATGAGAAGCCGATGAGTGCGAACGTCGTAAACTTGCGTCCCCATAACTGTGCCGACGACCAAAAGAGGCAGAGACCGGGCGTTTGGATGAACCAGCCCGACCTTTATTTTCTTGAATTTCAATTAGAGTTAGTTACTGACGTGAGTGATGGTAATGGACTTTTCGGTGGCCATGTCGACAATATTGAAAGATTCCCAAGTGACAACATCACTGCGAGTATCCCAATGAGCAACATGCACCTGAAGTCACTGTTTCAGGCACTTAAAAAATTCAAAAGCGGAAGGCTTTCTCAGGGTGTTTTGGGTCTCATTAAGTGTTTGAAATTTTAGAAATTCTAGCAAAATCTTTAAAAATGAACTGAGTGAATTTCAATTGTTTCAATTGCTGGACGAAACCAACGTTTGTGTTTTGTGTGACTGCAGCAAATGTGGTGTTGCGGGTGTCCAGGTAGCAAACTGCAAGGTTTCCAGGATACGACGATGCGGAACCGAGAGGCAGCGAAATGTCCTGCGTGTGCTCGAACATGGCCAACGGCGTCGACATTTTTCTGTTTGAACGTGTCCTACAAACCTAATTGGCCAAACAACTTTCAGAAAAGGTTTAAAAGAGCTATAATCCATGGAACCGTCGTTCTATCCCGGTTATTAGAAAATGGGTCTTTTCAAAGGAAAAGTTTGGCTGCTGTTGAAAAATTGAACATCTTCCAGTGAAAACTGAATATTTGCCGTTTCAACAAGAAAATCGTTTCTAGGGCCAGTATTTAATGAAAACGATCAGCATATCAGTGTGCCAGAACGAAGAACAAAAATAGGCTTACAAAAAAACATAAAAAAGCTAATAAGCTCCTACAGTAAGTTTTCCGGAGCCAGTGACTAATGTCTCTTAAAACCTCAGAAAAAAAGCTCTTCACTGATAAAGTGGCTGCGAGAGACGGATAATATTTGAAGTGTGAGAAGAAAAACGGGAAATTAATTTGCGAAGAAACAAGGCGAAGAGGTACGTGGCGCCATTTCCATGACAACCCTGATATACTCGCACTCGCCAATTTACTCACTCGCCTTACTTCTCAGGTGAAAGTTTGAATAAGTTCTGCAAACTACTTTTTTTTCTGTTTGCTACAAGTTTAGGCTTCCCTGATCCGATTTATGGAAAAGAAATGGAAGTCACGAAGCACAGTCTGACCAAATGAGAATAAAAGCTGACTGGAGATTGAAATATGATGTAAATTATGATGTAGGATTCTCGATTTACCAGGGAACGTTTTCTACCCCCCGGTTGAACTTTTGCTGAAACTTTGTTGAAGTGTACTTTAGAACCCCCTGATTCCAGAACAAAAAGAAAATTTCTCGCAATAGATCTTGTTTCCGAGTTATGGAGCTTCAAAGTCCGCAAAATACGCAAATTAGGCCAAAAAAGCGCTATTTCGGGTTTTTAAAGTGTCCTAACTCGAAAACGAGATCTATTGCGAAAAAATTTCTTTTTTTTCTGGAATCAGGGGGTTCTAAAGTACACTTCAGCAAAGTTTCAGCAAAAAGTTCAACCGAGGGTTGAAAAAAGTTCCCTAGTTAGTAGAAATCCGATTAAATGCATTATTTTTGAGTCAATTTCTTTTTTTGATTAAAAAAACAAAGAGGAATGGCGAAAAAAACAGCTAAAAGTTGTTATTTTTCCAAAACTATAAATTTGAACGGAAACTGGGTAACTGCTTGAAAAAGTATGCGTTTCTTGAATGAAAATTCCTTTCAAAAATTTAGACTAATAGTATTTTTCTCGAATAAATCGAAATTCATAACGGAATAAGTTGGCATCTAGAGAAGTTTATAATCGAAATTCGACAAAAGCTATTGAAAAGTTTCACCTGAGTTGGACATCGCCGAGGTAGAACATTTTGTCGCCGAGAGTGATAATTGCACCTGCCAATGGTACTTTTTCCCACAGACAAATCAAAATTCTCACTAAAGTAAAACATTTTATCAAACAGCAGGAAAGCACAATAAATAGGGAAATTCTATACAGACGTAGGAGCGGTGGTGATCAGAGAAAGGGGTATGTTAGAGTGAAGATGCAATTTCGGTAGTTTTAGGTCATTTTTGGATGAAATTCACGGTTGAATTGCTTGATTGAACCCTTATTTAAAGTTGGAATTATCAAAAAATAACATCTAAAATACTCATGAGAAAAGGTGTGCGTTTGAGGGGCGACAAGTAACACGGCCCATTTCAGCTTATGGGTCTTTTTTGGCTTGTACTAATGGTCGTTTTTAGTGGTCGTCGGAGTTATTCGAGTGCAATGAGGAACGGCTGCGTGACGGCGACAGAAGTCCTTGTTCGTCCAGATGTTTGCGAGTTAGGAATCCACTAAAAAAAAGTATCATTAGTAGAAAGTGAGACTCTGAAAATTAAAAAAATTTCTCAGTTTGGTTAAGATATCTTTCAAAAAAAAAAAAACAATCAAGACCGACACCTTCTTCAATTCATTATCAAAATTCCGTGTATTTTCTTCACTCGAAGTGGTAGCTCTCTCAATGGTAGCCGAGGCTACCCTAGAATTTGTGGTAGAACGAGGCAAAGGACCGTAAGACCATGCTTTCAATTCAATCAACTACACGTTTTGACTTCTTTTTCGCCAAAGGCGGTGTTAGTGCCTTTCAAAAGAGCAATTTTTTCACCGCCTAGTTGATTCCATCTGACTAAAACAACCAATAAATATTGATGATGATGATGATGAAAACCCAAAGCAATCGTACCGAATGCGGGCTTGAATTTTGACAGCCGCGTCGTTGTCCTCCTTCTTCATTTTTTCCACCTGCTTGCGAGCCAAGAAACCTCGGATCTCGGCTTGAATCTTGGTGGCAGCACGATCTTCAGGAGAGTCCGACTCGATAGAGTAACCTCCCACGGAGTGCCTCCTACAAGTATTTTGTTGCAAATGATTTCAAATTTTTTTCATTTTTCCACGTTTCTAGACTTACTTGAGATCTTTGCGATTGTTGAATGCTTCCATTTTCTCACTTGACTGCGTGCGTGACATCACTTTCTCAACTCCAAATTTTTCAGGGTGAGCACGAACCTAGAGAAATGGAGTTTTCTGAGTTCTCAGAGGAAACTTCTCACCAAATGACCTTTGAAAGCTGCTTGGATCTTCGTTGCCGCTTGATCCAAAGGACTTTCGCACCGTTCTTGGTCCGTTTTTTTCTTGGGCAAACTGCAATCAAATTCTTATTATAAAAAAATTGTATATTCATCAACGTTTATATTAAAAAGAAGTTGGTGGAACTACTTGGGAAAAATGGGAAAAGAACAGCAGCGTAGAAAATGTGGACGCACGCGATGGGACCCTCGATGTTTATAAACATATTCAATCGAAATATTCTCTCAAGAATTTACTCGTCATTCGTTTTCTAAACGAAACGGTCAAACATAGGGCTTCAATGATCAGCTTCGTGAAAATTTTCCGTTAATCATTAATGAAGAGAGATTTTCAATTAGTCATACCGAAAAAGTGATTAGTTTCTGGAAAAGAAGAAAGTCATTGAGGTAGGTTCGACGTGAAGTATATGATGTCGTCAAAGAAACACTTAACGATTCTTTTTGTTTGTTCGATCGTGTCAATTCTAATGGAAAATTTAAGAGGGTCTAAAAGTTTTGAAGATGTAAAAGTGACTCACTCGTCGTTGCAAATCGGTACGAAACATCTCGTAGGCAACGGGGTCGGCAATGATCTCGGAGCTGGGGTTGTCTGAAACAAACACTTCCAGATGGTTGAAATTTTGAGCGGCTAGAAGAGAAGGCTTTGCATATTTTTTGACCGAGAGAGGGCTGTTTTCGAAAATTTTGTTTGATGCAATATTCGACGAGCCTTTCATACTTCCGTACTGCTAGCATTTCCCAAACAAATTTGCATAACCCGTTGGAGGCTTAGCTGGTCTTTGGCTATACTTACTGTCATCTCTGACGTTCTTTTCGTGCAAACAACGTGTTGAGGGCCATAAATCAAGAATTTTAGAAAACGTTTCAAAAATGAGAACAATCGGATGGTTATATAAATCTTTTCTGCACGATTTACTTTACTTAGAAATTGTACACACTCCGAATATCAGTCAAATTAGCCTATAATATACCAGGAAAAGACTCTAGAAACCGCAAACTACAAAAAGTATTTCTTAAAAACCGACGCGCGAAACGTCGCTGACGTGTGTGATAATTTAGAACTTCAAGGCAGTTTTGTAGGTTGACACTTTCCCGATTTTTATCTAATACATCAACGAGGGTTTTAGACGGTTTCATTAAATAATGTGCGTTTGAGTTGATCGACCAGCCCTATCCGGTTGAAAATTTTTAGAATATTTTTTTGTGTCGGAAACTTTGCCGTTTCAAGTAATAATTTTCAATTTGCATTCTTGGCCTTTCGAATATTTTTTCAACCATATGTATGTTCGAATATGATCATTTTATAGTGAAAGGATCAAGAACCGCGAATTCCTGGAATAAACTCACTTTTTGCGATGGCGTTCGAGTTCGTCGAAGAAAACGAAGCCAAAACGAGCAACTTCTTTTGGCTGCGCTCGGATCGTCTCCCTTGCCAGAGCCTCCAGAAGAGGACGCAGACCATCAGGGACTGTGTACTTTTCGCGACTCATTCTTTCTAAAAAATAATAAAAAAAACTTTCTCGGGGGCTGCAAGTAAAATAATGCGGCTGAACGAAAAACAGAAAAAGGAATAACTGTAAAAAAGAACAAGTAAGTTCAAGATTTTCTGCAAAAAGAGGGATGATTTTGTATTTCTCAACTTTTTGCAAGAGGCAAAAACGAGAAAGTGGGCTAATTACGAATAGTGCGGCCAACTGATCTCTTTAGTCTCGTCTTTCAGAGCCTTCTCTCCCGCTGCCCCGCTTTTTTACTATGGGATTTTCGTGGACAACGACAATCTTTTTGTTTTGGATCTTCGCTTTAGATTTAGCCACAACCGTGTAGAAAATTTAGTTCGGCAAAACATTAGTGCGAGCACGACACGTTATATGAGTTGAGAGAGTTTTCGAAATCATATGAATAACAAGAATATTATTTCTTCTGATTGTCATCAAAAATGTTATTCGCTTGGTGAATGCATTCGTCAGCAGACGTGACGCAAAAAAAATAACATGAATAATAAGTTAACAATGAAGTTAATGATTTTGTTAATTAGCTTTATCAGATTGTTGAAATTTTTTGATCTGAAAGAGTTTTTGTGAAAAAAAGCGAAAGTTTGATGATTTTTCTCTTCAAACTGGAGAGACGAGCCAAATTTAGAAGAGAAAACTAATTAAATTCCAATCAATGAGAGGATCCGAGTAGAAGTTTCCCTGCTTCTGAAAGTGAAGGACAGGCGTGGAAAATGAGAAAAAAATGTGACCAAAAAACTTCCACACGTTTTTAAAAACAAAGAAGTAATGGAAATTTGTTTGAAGAATGGAGGGTAGAGTATTTACGCACTGATCTCAAGTTTCAGCAAAGCATAGAAGAAAAATTGATGACCAAACGACCTGCGAAAGCGCAGAAAAGCTCGGATGGCGTCGTCTGGACAAGTAGAATCCTCTATCAGTGAGAAGAGGAAATGTCTCCAAGTCGAGGCAGAAGCTTGCGCGAGGGTGGGAGGACGGCGGCCAAGGTGCCTAGGTCGATTTGGGTAAGTCCGTTTTAATCTCTGTTTCACGCATACGCGCCAACGTCGATAAAAACTTGTCGTCGGATGTGCCACTTGGCAATCGCCGAGCACACGTTTGAAGCCTTCCGAAAGTGGGTGGAAGATTATTTCCGACTTAAATACAAGAGGCCAAGCTCGAAAGCACTTCAAACTATTCTTCCTAATTGAAAGAAACTCCGTTTCCTTTCACTATATTCAAAAACCACTATGTCCAAAAGTTTCGGCACAACGACAGAAAACGTTTTTGCGAGTAAAATAATGAAGCTTTCCAATGGAGGAAGACAATCTCGAAAAAATGTTTCCTGAGCTCTTTCTTAAGCTTGCGTGTGAAGATTTACGCATGGAAACTGGACGACTCTTGGTAGAGCTAGTTCGAAAAGTCAGTTTCTTCCAAAAAATGAAATTAGTGAAGGACGAGCAATGACGGAGAAGGAGAAAAGGCATTGGGAAGGGGGAGCAAAAGACGCGTTTCTCGTGTTCAATTTCAATTTAATCAAACGCACTTGTACCCGATGCTTGCATCTCCGCCGTCTTATTCCTGTTTCAGTTTTTTTTCTAAGATGACGGGTTCAGTTTGCAGTATATTTTTTCCTGGAATGAAAGCAGCAAAACATGCCAATTGGCTTATGAATACTTTGAAGTGACCTTAATTGAACTAAGGTCAGTGACAAATAAAAAAATAGACGTCTGAGCCTTTGCTTTGCAGAAAAAAAAATCACTCTGAGAGACAGATAAGTATTTTTGACGAGTTCTAGAAATGAGCGAAATGATGTCAAAAACGCCGTTTTGATAAAAAAAAAACACCGGAGCGGAAGCCAGGATTTGAGAGCAAGTGCACCTGGGCTTTTGCAAGGACAGAGCAAATAAGTCGGCCTAAGTGGCTACGTTAGCTCAGACTATAATTTAAACGCATTTGATTATTGATCAGTCGGCATGCCTAAATGTTCATGATATCTATTCAATAAAATTTCTCAAGCATTTTTTTCCTCTACGAAAAAGAAAGTAGGACATGTAATTGGTAGGTTCGCAGGGCATTTAGCTCTCAAATATTCCAACTTGCATTGCCTTTTAGCGAGGGAAAACGTACACGATAACGTCATTTGCTCCTAACTGAGCTCCAAACTTGCAAATAAATTGACTCAGCCAAAGTTTGCAGGTGGATATGACAGAAGAAACTATCCTGGTCTTGCAAAAACACTGGAAAAAAATAGAAATCGCCTCATGAATAGGATTACGAATCGGATCAAAAACTTGACAGCAAATCAAAAGACAGCCTCTCATATGTAATATTTGAAATAGAGGTAATTTTTCGTAATATTTCTGTTTCATGATCACTAAAAGAAACTGACTTTCTTGAAAAGGAAGTATATATTTACTCAATAGCCCAGAATACCCACAGAACAAACTGACCGTTTATTGAGTTGTTAAAGCCCGACTCGCGAAAAAAGAAGGCAGCTGTGCCCTGCAGTGACGTCTTTTCTAAAACAAGAAAAAAGAAAAGAAAACTGCTCCGAGAATTGGCGCAAGCGGCTTGTATTTGGCTGAAGAGAAGGAAACAAGCTTATGGAAAAAATACCCCATAAACGAGAATCCAAATTTTCTGAAGCTGGACGGGAAATTACGGTTTGAAAAAATTTGCATAGGACTAAAAACCTTTATAGTTATCCAATCTATATATATATATATATATATATATATATATAGTAAATCATTTTATGATTTTTTTCAGCAGGTCGTTGTTTTATGAAAAAAATTAGAAATTCGATTGCGACCAAACAAGAGCAGTATGCAAAAAAAGCAAAAAAAGTCGTGCGAGCGCATGAGAGGAAGATTCACTTCCATATGCCCGCTGTAATTCCATTAGTAAGAGGACACTCTGGTAGAGTTCCACAAAAAGATACGAGGAGAACGGAAATCTTCGAACTGCGACAAATTTAGAAGAGAAGTTCATTCGAAATCAAAAACTAATTATTGACTGAATCTCTTCTCTTTGGAATTGAAAAAAAGCAAGAACTCGCAGCAAACGCCAGCATGCTAGCCTTTCAATTTCACAGCAGAAAGAAAATGGCGCACCTGTCGCTTTGGTGAAAAAAAAACTCTTTTGTTTATGAACGTCAAAAAAACATCAAATCCAAAATAGTCACATTCAAAATATCGAAGGTAACAGAATCAGTACTGTGACTTTGAACGAACTACGAATTTTTGAGAAAATTTTTTATTGCTAAGAAATTTTTTTATGAAGAGAACTTTGGGAAGCAAGCTGGTTTGCTTAGCAGTTACCCTTGTGGAAGGAGTTCAGGAACTCGGGAAAGCCGTTAACTGCAGGTGTCACACATCAACTTTACAACCGAAAGTTGGTGCAAAAAGGCAGAAAAAGTTTCTGGCAAGCCGTCAGAACGACTTCCATCCGAAGAGAAATTGGGCAGTCATCCGGCCGCTTCCGGAAACAAGGCCAAAGCTCATTGCCATGGCACCCGTCGGACACGCCACCGGATCTTGGCGCCAAACCCAAGACGATCTCGATTTTCGCGAAGCTTCTTTTTCCATAAACATCTTTCTGGATAGCATGAAAGCGCATAAATGGCGTATGCCTGGCACCGCAAAACATCTGACCTTTGCGAGTAGGAAAAGCTGGATGATGCCGAGCCAATGTGTGTTTATTTATTTGAAGCAGATGTTTTTTGGTAAAACAATGGAAATCTTGGTTAAAATCAAAGGCCCAGCTCATTCTCAAAAATTGAAAAAATTCTACAAATTTTCTGGCGCGATTCTTTCTCTTTATGAGATAAAAAAGAATAAAAATTGAGAGTTTTCAAACTGATTGGAGCCTATTGTTTTATAGCAATTTCTTTGGAGCCGTAACTTTTATTCTTTCGAATGAGAAAAAAATTGACATATTGTATTTTTTCTGAAATTACATATCTTTAGTGGATATTCTTGAACGTGACCAGTTAAGATGGAGAATGTGGGAGCACCGACTAGAAAACTTTATCTGTGATAATTCACTGAAAAACTGTTGTAGCCTGATGAGAGCTACTTGAAGCCTAACTCATTGAATGAAAAACGAAATATAAAAACTTAACAGTAAAGATGAAACGGAAGTTTGAAGGGCTTTCTGTGCTTACATTCGTCGTGAGTCAATGTCAACATTATTGAACACACCTCCAAACTGAAGCTGAATTAACAATGTTTTTTGAGAGCATGTCAGTTTGAACAGAAGCATACAAAAAAAAACACTATTTTTCTCATGAGCAACGGAATCAACTCAAATTTTCTGCATAACTTTGTGGATACATAAGCAGAATTTGCTTCCTCAATCAAAACTCGAAAAAAAGGAAAGTGGCTTCAACAAAAATTTTGTTGTTGAGAACTTTTTTCACAGGGACCACGTACAAAAATAATACGAAAAACTTTTTTATGAATCCCGAGGCCTAGCAGTAAAATAAAAAAAAGTTTCTCACGATGAACACGCTGGTGAGAGAATCAAAAAGCAGTGCGATGAATGTCTTTGCAGAGAAAAGCCGTGGAATTCGCGTTCCAACGAGACAGCTGCCGATCGCTTGGCGTTAACAAGCAGGACAGCTCGGCCGCTTTTTATAGCTCCTTTGACAACTCTCAGTGTCACTTAACCAAACTTGCGGCATAAATCTCAACCATTTTATTGCATAACATTAAAAGCAGCGAAACTCAAAAATCATGTCGCTAAATCAGTATTGCTCTCGTTCTCGTAGAGCCAGTATAATGAAAATGAAAGAAATTGTAGTACTTTAAAAGCCAAAGCGTCACCTTCAATTGTCACGATTCGATAGCTACAATGAAATCCAAATCTTGTACTTTGAGCTCCAAACTGTCTCGTTTGAATCATTTCTAGTCCGTTTTTGCATGAGCTGTTTTTGTTGTGATGTCCATCTACCACTTTGTAGTTCTATCTCAAAGAAAGTAGTATCATAATTTTTATTCATTTTAAGTGAAATATATGAGGATAGAACTTCGAAACAACTTTGAAAGATGTATATCTAATTTCTTGAAGGAATGAGAAAAAATAAGTTAGGAAAAACAATATACACAGAAAAAAGCCGGGTTGTGTCCAATTTGGATCAATCGTCTGTAAAACAAATCTCAAAAAAGACAACATGAAAAGTGAGCAAAACAGACATACTCTGTCCATGACACGAAATAAGATTTGTTCTACTGAACTCCTCCAAAATGCGTAAACGAAAACAATAAATACAGAAAAAAGACTAGTAACTTTGTAAGTGTATTGCGGTCGGTGGATAAAGATAAAATTCAACAAAGAAAGAGCACCCGAATTTGATCTCAACGGTAATCAATCGATAACGTCAGGAAAAGCTTATTGCAGAAAAAAAAGCTGTCAATATTGTGAAGGTGAAAGGAGTGGAGGTTTAGACAGTATTTAGAAAAGAAAGATAGGAAACAGGAAAATGATAATAATCAAACGATTATTTCTCGCATTACTCGCCGTCCATCTTCTTCTTCAGAACCTGTCACGTTGGTTTCTCCAATTTGTTGGTCTTCCAGAACTCCGGCTTAAATTTGTTTTGTGTTTTAGAAGTTAATGAGATGAACACAAACCATGGAAAATATGATTGGAAGCTTCATTGAGGTAGGGGTCATTGCTGACGTCGTAGTGAGAGTCTCGAGGCCAGTTTTCAGCAGTTGTCTCGTCACTGGAACTTGAGAACCTTTGTTTGAAGTTCAATTTTTATTGCTGTCGGAAAAAAATGATAATTTCATTTGGGTTATTCTGAATAAAAAGTTTCCCCGAAATGTGCGGCTTTTGTGTTTTTGTGATTATTTCTTTTTGAAAGAAGGCTGCAGAGAAAATCAGATAGCTGCAGCTTGTTAGACCAAAAGAAAAGCTTTTTTGACTACTTTTCATATTTAGCCTACATAATTTCTGATTACCAGAAGTGCGCTTAAAGTTTTTACCCGAAGTCCAATTTCAAAAAAATGTATTCCTTTGAAAAGAAATCAGAGTGCGGTATCAAAGATTTTTCGAGAGACGATTTTCAGAGGATTCAGGAAATACACATATAAAAACTCTATTTTTCAGTCAAAGAAAGGTTCTCCGGATTTTATCTTTTTGGCTCGAAGTTTTCTAGTTTCCCAAACCAACTTTCAATGAAGTCTAGTCTTCGAAATACCTGGAGTAAGTATGGGAAGTCTGAGCCAGCGTGGCTCCTTTTAATCGCGTCGAATCCAAAGTGAACACGCCGCTGTCCGTCTGAGAGCCGTGAACGATGGTATTTTTGGTATCAGGTGTCGGAAGAGCCGAAAGAGTGACGGGTCTGAACGCGCTAGAGTCATTAGGTGGCAAAGAGAGACATTCAGAGCAACTTACGTCATCTTGACGCTCTTTTTGCTAGGACTTCGCGTTCGACAGCAAACGGCGCAGAAAACGATCAAAGTAAGCACGATGAATGCAAGAATCAGTAGAGGGGTCAAGTAAGCGCCACGCCAAGTGCTAGAACCTCCTGTTTCTGCAAAGACCTTGAATTACTGATTTCATTGTGAGGGACGATACCGAGAATTGGGGAGATGGGTGAGCATGTAAGCGGAGATCGGGCGATGCAGAAGCGCGCCTTGTACTGGCTCCCCGAGAGAATGTTTTCCATCGGCTGACTATCAGTGAAACAATCACTGGCTCGCCAGCTGCCGTCAATGGAGACATACAGCAAAGTACAAGCGTCGATTGGAGGTCTCGGCTAAATTATTCAGCTTTTCATGAGTTTTTTTTATCATTTTATACCTCAGCCTCGATGATTCTTTTATGTGAGTTGTACTCTAACCGTGCTGGAGACATCATGTTCATATCTTCTGTAACGTCCTTCGTTGTAGCAATGATCATCGGAGTGTACTCAGAAACGCCCTGAAGTTCAAAAACTCTTTCTGACAAGGCAAAACAACAAATACCCTTTCGTTGATTGCTCTGGCGCGAATATAGTAAGTGGACATTGGGGAAAGGGAAGTCAAGTTGTATGTAGTCAGGAAAGAAGGCACTCCATCTTCCTGAATTATTATTTCCTCTTTTCATGTTTTCTAAACTTCTTTGTACCCTGTATTCTTCAATTTTTGTGCCATTTCTGATTTCGACCGTTTCAATTGGAGAGTCTTCGATGCTACCCGTAAACGGATTGACTTTTCTGAAGTTTTGTCGTGAAAAATGCAAAAAATTAGAACCGACCTGTACTCCAAAACAAAAGTTTGCATGTAGCCACCATCAAACTTTGGTCGCCATCCCACTAGAATGGAGTTGGACATAGGTTCAACGTTTTGAAGGTCGTCCGGAGTTTCAGGAAGCCCTGAAGAGGAAAAAATATTTTAACTTTGTCAAGTTCTAAACTCACCAGTTTTTCTTAGTTCAATTATGACTGAATCGGCGCCGTTTCCATTGTTAGACCTACACATGTATTCACCATAATCTTTTTCTTGGACGTCTTGGATTTGCAGAACTTGTTCGTACTCGTCTGGGCGGTTTCTGATGGGCACCATGTGCAAAGAGTACCTCAAATATTCAGACCTGATCCGTTCACAAGTTTTATAAACTCACTTTTCATTTTCTTGGATGTTTCCGTCTTTGAATGTCCAGTGGAATTCTGGCTGCGGTCTAGCAGAAACAACGCAACTCAATTGAGCCTGAAAAAATTTTATGAAAAAAAAAAAATAAGAAAGTCTCTTATTTACCGTTCTGCCGAGTTCTGTAGCTGCCAGACTGTTTATCGGGTAACGTTCATTTAGTACAACTGGTGCGTGAAGAACTCGAACAATAGTCCATGATCCTCGATCTTCCATTAGAGAAATGCCGCCGTTTTCAGCCACACAGGAGAAATTTCCCTTATCAGACCATCTGAGAGGTCCAGTGAAAGTCAAAGCTCCGTAGGTGGTTTGCGTGCAGAAGTCGTTATCAGCACATCTGAATACATTGAATTGTGCTAAACCTCAATAATCTTCATTACCTTGATGTAGCGACAGTTGAAGCGATCTTGTAACGCCGTCTGTCCACGATGACGCCATCTTTATACCAGTTGATAGTGGGAGTCGGATATCCTTGAGCTTCACACTCGAGACTTTTCTTGGTTTCACCCGCAGAGAAAATTCTTTCAGTAGTTAATGGGCTGGAGACTTTAGCTGGTTCGATGACCTAAAATAAAACAATTTTGAGTGGAAAAAATGTTTAGAAGCCGTACTGTAACTTTGACGACAGCTTCAGGGCCGTTTCCTAACTCGTTGTAAGCAACACATTTATATTCTCCGTTGTCAGCAAGCTGGGCATTTCGAACAAAAAGAGTCGCTCTGTCGTGCTCACTCGTTCCAAATTCGCCTCCAGAAGATGGCGAAGACCACTGAACCATTCATAATCATTTTTGCTCGATATTTGCACTTGCAACTCAGTACCTTGAACTGAGCCTTTGGATTTCCAGAATCGGCAGCAGCACATCTAAGCTCGATCACGTCGCCAACATTGACGTTAGGACTGACTGCTATGATTGAAGCCTTTCCAGGTCGGCGTTTGACCTATGCATACAAACTTGTTATACATTTAACGATTCTCCTCACGTCAATAAAAGTCGTGGCTGATCCAACCCGAGTGAGAGACCCCGTTTGACCATAAACGTTGAGAAAATTGGTCGCCAAACAGGTGTAGTTGCCGGTTTGGTCACTAAAATGCTCATTGTCACTGTGTCGAGACTAAAAGTCATTATTTCGCATGGTCGGACTCCGAGACTGTCTAATTGGGCGCGAGTTGTAAATCTTCTTCGTCCGGTGCAATGGCACCAGGCCCTGCAGCAATTAAGATGGCGGCGCGCAATCGGATAATCCTTCTAGAGCGCAATTTTTGCATGGCTAAGGTTCTTAATAAGCATTTGAGGACGAACATTACGTATTTTTATGCAGCTGTGAAATTTTTTGATGATTTTCATGAAGATGTTTAGACAAGGTAAAATAAGAAATTCAGCTATTTCTGTGCCTTTTATATTTAGAAACGCTTTTTTCTTGCACAAAAACTCACCGAGAAATGGATTTGATAACAAGAGTTGATCCCTCTGACTTGAATCCATCAGGGCCAACCCATTTGACTTCAGAAGCGGCTGGGTTGGCGTCCAGCACACATTCCACTTCAACTCGTTCTTTTTCACTCGGACTGATGGTGTTCTGAGAAAAAAAAACCATTAAGTTTTATTTAGTTATGATTCCACGAACCGGGACCATGATGATGGGAGCATATTGGACGTTGAGCTTGAGCACTTCAGAGCCGTCGCCGATTTGATTGGTGGCGCGGCACTCGTAATCACCACTCATTTCCTTGTCGGCTCGCATTGGCCATACAGACGCCTGATATCGCTCTCCAGAAGAAAGATGTTTCCTGAAGTTATTTGTAAAAAAAATATAGGAAAATGAAAGATAAATGAAACATCGTCTTTTTGCATTTTCTTTTTTGTTTTGCTTCCTGCGTTTAAAGTTTGTTCAATCTATCCATTTTAAAACGGTGATGAAAAATATTCAGAAATTTTTCAAACTGCTGAAGTTAACAAAAAAATTACTAAAACACCCTCTTTGAAGCTTAAAAAAAATTTTTTTAGGCAAATACAATTATTCATAAAAAAATAATTTTTTATTCCAGGTGCTGAAGATGATTTTTGAATAGAAAGTTGAAAATTGATTAAATTCAATTGATTAATATGTAAAAAAACAAAAAAACATCTTTCTTTTTCAACTAACGCAGTTTTTTTAATCTTTGCAGAATTTATTTTTTTCTCGCGAGTTCTCAAAGTTGGCTTGAAAAAAATCAAAAATTTCTTTATCATTTCTTCAAATTGCTATTTATGTGTTTTTTTCATCAGCTCATAATCCTTGAAGACCAGCTGATTTGAAAAAGATTTCTAAAAAAATGGATAACGAAGTATGCGTTTTTCTCTTCTATGCATGTACCTCTCGAAAAACCCCATCCAAACATTTCCTGTTCTGGACCATATTTCCGACCGCAATTAGGTTTTTCAATGGCCACCTCCAGGTATTTCCCAAGCGCCAAGGCCACTTCAAAAAGACTAGATAATTATGGTGAATAATAACCATTCGTAGCTGTGGGCGGATGGGTTGGCATCTGCCTTGCAGGTGAGGTTCACCGGCTCCCCAGCTTCCACCGATAAATGGGTCATGTTTTCCACTGGAGACACTTGAACGCGTGGCTTGAACAACACCTGCAAATTCATGTTTCGAAATGAAGCAGGTAGCATGAAATTACGTTGAGTCGCATGCTCGAGGTCGACTTGGGAGGTTCATCTTCAGTGGCTTTGTTCGTGACGGAGCAACTGACTGGGGAGCCATTGTCCAAAGCTGTCACTCGGAAACTGGAAAAAAAAGCTCCAAAACTGGTCTTATGAAGGAAAATGTTAATGAGACTGCTTAAAGGTTTGACGAACACAAAAAAATTCAGAGGTGCAATCTCAAGATCCAAATTTTCCTTGACGTATACAATTTTTACGTTTCTTACACGATCGTAAATGATTTCCTGCTTTTTGAAAATGCCTTGTACATCTTCTTCTCTTCTTTTCTTTTTATTGTTTTGAACTCACTGGAAGGAACTCTCAGAAGCACCATCGCGAGTAGAAGTAGTCCAGTATTTTTCTTCAGCAGCTGAACCATTTGGCATGGTCCACCTGAAAAAAGGTTTTACAATTTTTTCTTTAGATTTTCCAAACGAGAAAGTTGGAGGAGGGCTTCCGCCGATGGAGACGCATTTGATCGTTACTGTATCACCTTCGATTACAGGTTCATCAGGAGACTCGTGGATGACCGGATCACCAGGTGGTACTGTAATATAGTACTTTTTCAAAAAAAGTCTTGATTGTCCCTTGATTCGGAAAGTTTTCGATTCGTATTGAACTCGACGTTTTCTTCGGCCAAAGATAATTCAATATGAAAGGGGATCGAAAAACACCATAATTGCGCGTGAATTCAGTGGACCGTGACCGAGATCTCAGAATTGCAACGATATTCGGCCCAGCCAATTATTCCACTGAGAATGTCTCCGTCCACTCTGTGCTAGCTAGTTTGTCTAATAAGAATGAAAAAATAGAGAACGATTTGCCAAGTTGCCAAGTCAGCCTGTTCTCATGAGCTTCTGAAAAATTATTTTTTTAAATTGAAAAAAACTCTGGAAACTTTTTTTGAGTACCTATTTCTCTTATGAGAAATGTATTTCATTTTTTCTATTCTGTGTTAGCCGTTGTGGAAATCAGAAAAAGCTCAGAAAAGCATCAGGTTTTCAGATTTCTACTGTAAGCTTCGAAAACTTTTTTCGAGAAAAGTCCCCTTTTTCATAAAAAGTCGAAGATAGCCCATTTTCTTTCTCACTGCAGCGCGATACAGACTCGCACAATGCCTCATAGACCCCCTTATTAATGGCTCATTTTCGCGGTTATGTGGTAACGAACGAGCTCGAACGCGTTGCCGTGGAAATAAAGCAAGGATTAGAGGTGGGGCAATTAGAGAATCCTTGTGCGTCCCAACAAAGATCGCCACAATCACCAGTGACCCCGGAAGAGATGAATATTATGAAGATAATTGAAAAAAGCGACGGCTTTGATGCAGAAGTTGGGAAGTGTAATTGGACTTTGATAGTTTTGAGCTCTTATCGATAATTTCCTTTCTGCATTTTGTGTTTTTCGTTTTTTTCAAAAAATTTTCTTCTAAATTGAGATTTGATATAAAGCCGTTAGAACCTAGGATATCATGTTAAAGTCATTTCAAATCGGAAAACGGGAAAAAAAATCCAGAAATCGCAAAGCCAAACAAGCAGGGCCGATAGCGTGTAATGAGACTTATCGTGAGCGGTGAGTTCAAAAGTTTGCGCAACATATGAAATGTATGTCAAGAATGTTAGCGAAAAGGCGTACGTCTACGGGCTCGATGTCAAAAACTAGCCGGTCATTGACTTGCGCAAATAAACAGGAAATGGTGTTGAATCAACACCTTCAATTGCCTTTGAGTGACCTACTCTTCGTTGATTGGCTTTTTTCCTAATGAAGCGAAAAGATAAGTTCTTACCAAGAACCACTACGGTCGCTCTAGGAGAAGAATGTTGAGCTCCAGAATCGTCTTTGGCGATAACGTTGCAATGATAAGTTCCTTCTACAGCGTCTCGTCGGACGTTCGCAATCTTCAAGCTGTAGTTTCCAGCTTCCGGGTCGCTCACGATTGCAAACAGAGAATCTTTCTTCACAAGTAACCGCTCATCTCGCGCGATTATTCTGAAAATTAACCTCAGTGTTCTTCTAAATTTGACAAAACCAACCTCAGTTGATTCTTGTTGTTATAAAAGGCCCAATTGACTTCGTATTGAGTTCGGTCGGAGAATGGGGCCTTGAATGAGCACGGCAAAACTGGACCAGAAGTTCCTTCCCTGACATAGTACGGCTCATCGTGTGGAAAACTCGAGAACACCTCCGAACACTCTGGAAACAACACGGTAGAAAGGAAAATCTTCGAAGATCTATTTTTTCCAGACAGCAGACTACAAACATTAGACGCGAAACTGTCATCTTTTTCTTCCCGTTATTTTTCGGATTTCACTCCTTTGTGTAAACGCCTCAAATGAACTGAGAGTGTCGTTTTTCTACTGTTACGAACTTTTGTCTTTTTCTAGGCGAAGTTACGAGGATTCGATTGAGCTGTGAAATAGAAATCAACAAAAAGTTCTATGAATTGTCGCCTCAATTTTTTTTTTTCTGATAAGTTTTTTTTTTAAATTCGCATCTTGATTAGGATTTAAACACAGCCCTTTTTTCAATTTTTTTTTTTTTGAGTTTTCACTGAACATATTCCAGAGAACTGATTTTTCCGTTTTTCTGTCATATAATTTTAACTGGTAATTTTTTTTTATCCATATTTTTTTGAAGAGTATGTTTCACCTGCTACACCAGCGGCGAGTGCGAAGAGCAAAACGGCACCAAGGCCCATTTTTGAAGTTGGCTGACCAAGAAACTCGAAATGGTCGTCGCCGTGCCAAACTTCCTGAAAAATATACCCTAGCCTTCAGTTACACTTGGCCGAGTTGAGAAACACACGAATCGGAAACGAAAGGACAAAAATCGCAACCGAGGAAGCAAAGAGCCGTGAAAAGAGGTGTTGCAGTGCGGGAAACGCCGAGGAAAGGGTGGCGAAAATCGGAAAAAAAAGAAGCCCAAACGTTGGAGAAAAAACAGAAGAGACGGTGTGACACCGGACAATGGCCGAGGGAAAAGCCGGTAGGACTGAGGAGAGACCTGAGGTTTAAGAAATGAGATCACAAATGCAAATATTCGGGACCACCACAGTCGAGCCTGGCGGCCGAGTCTGGTGCGCATAAACTCGCAACGAGGATCGTCATTACATTGATGGATTAAGCAATGGTTGCACACCCGCGGATGAAAACATTTGATTGGTACAGCACGCGTCGGCGGCACCTTCAGAGAGGTGTGACCAGTCCGATCGACGCTGATTAATACGTATTGTGTAACCTTTTCTATTCACGATTTTTTTTTCTCTGAAAAGTCATTTTTTTAAGAAAAAAAAACTCGAAAAAAATAATAGAAGAATGGTAAAATTGAAAGAATTCAAACTACATTTGGAGAGAACACATATTTTTCTTATACTCACGTTTCCTGCAATTTCTGAAGTTTTCATGAAATTTTTAGGTTCTGAAGGCAAAAAAAACATACAAAATGACCAAAATTTCCAATCGCATTTTTTCAGAGTTTTTGTAAGTTTCGAACCATCTTTTCTTTCAAATTTGCTGAAATTTTTTCTGAATTACTACTGTACATTTTGGGAAGTAAATTAGTTAACTAGATATCGTTTTATGATCGAAAAAAAGTTAGAAGTGTAACATTGGGAACCACGAAATACAGGTATAAGGATAAAGAAAAAAATGAAACTGTAGACGGGAACCGAAAACGCGTAACAATGAACAACAGCCACACAACAGCGAGGCTGCGAAGGTTTTGGCGCGCGGGGTCAAATTTTTTGGCGGATAAGGTCAAAAATTTTGAACTCACAACAACTCACAATGCAAGTCAGTTTCTTTCTAAAAATAAAATTTCAAGCGGAAAAAAGAAAGAAACTTCATTGCGACAAACAATAATTTACAATCCTAGGAACACCTGTCAATCTTTAGCGTCAAATTTATGACAAACCTAAATCAAAAAGTGATCGTAAAAGTTTTTCAAAAGGCCGCTCTCTCGACTTGAAGAATTATCTCAGTCAAAGGTGAGGCTCAGCGAACATTCCGCGACATTTGTTCTACAGGTGAGATTCATGTCCTGACATTGGTAGACATTAATCTTGACCGCTCCAGGTGCACCAACTGCTCACAACGACAATGAACTGACGAGAGAAACTTCATTATTTTTTCACTCGCGCAATGGAAGGGATGTCAAGGCAAAAAAAGAAGAGCCCATAGAAAATTTTGTGCAAGCAATTAATAAGCACCGGAAGACATGATTTATACATGGAAACGCAGTGAATTGTTGCCAGAAAGACGAGTTCTGAAATAACGAATGAAGGAATCAAAGAAAAACTATAAATCCGTAAAGAAAATTTGAAAGCTGTAGTTTTTTTCGGTGAAAAAAATGAAGCAACATCGGGTATCTTTTAAAAAAATTTTTTTAAAAAAAATTGGAAAATTGTTAGAAATCCAATAGAACTTCAAAATTCACTTGAAAATTTTTAAAAAAATAATGGTTTTTGAGAGTTGGAATCATGACTTTTTCAGTTTTGCTTAAAAAAATTAAAGGGTTTTTGAAATTGGTATACTGATTACGAAAGCGCAATACAAAAAATCGGTAGGTTTTGGTGGTGAGATTACCCCATTTCAACTCTATCAGCCAAAAAAAAACCATCATTTCCTGGTTCAGTATGGTTGCTCAAAGTTTTAAAAAAAATGGCCAACTAAAAACTCTCCAAGAAACTATCCCCAAATTTCAGAGTTCTAGCTTGTTCATATTTGACGGCACATTCCAATTGAAATAGAAAAAGGTTGCACTACTTTCTTGGATCCTGGAAGCTTGGTGTCTTCAAAATAACATTAATATGAAGAACAAAAAAAGCAACGAGAGAAAATTATGAAGCATAGAAAAAAAAGAAGAGCGAAAAATGACAGATGACCCATGATGGAGCTGCTTTTTAGAGTCCTTTGACGGTATTGCGGCAAGGGAGTTCTGCGAGGCCAAGCTGCCAGGTGCGCTTCGCTCCTCCCATTAATGGATCGGCGCGCCGCGCACACCGCCTAGGTAGATATTATAGGCCATCACAGCTGTCCAATGCTTTTTAATGTGTGGAGATGATCCGCAAGGCAACATTTGTTACCAATCAGCGGTTGTCAAAAAAAAACCGACGCAGCTTCCGTGCGAACCTTCACCTCGCAGATCAAAAAGTTCAAACGATGAGTGAGCTGAAAAAACATGGCGGACACCTCAAAGACTTTTAAAGTGTGATAAATGTGTTACTCATGCTAAGAGTAGATCGAAAAGGCTGAGGTGCGTTTTGAGGTTCATGAAGACGTTGTTTTATAGCGTGACGAGGGAGAATCAACAATTGGAGGAAACCTTGGTAGATAGTGTAAGTCACTACTTCACTACAAAAATATAAATTGAACTAAAAAAAATCAGAGCAAGGTTAAAAATAAAAAACAAAATCGCAGTACTGGCAGAGTTTAAGTAGCATTTTAACAAAAAAAAAGAAGAGTGAAAAATTGCTTTGACATTGTGAGAAGCAAATTTTTTACGTTCAGATCACTGCAATAAATTAAACTATGAATTCAAAGAATCGAAGGAAAAAAACAAACTTCGTAGAATTTTTTATTTATTTTTGTTTTAGTGGTTGATATTTTTCAAAAAAAAAAGTTTAATAAATCAAAGTCTTAAACATCTAGGCTCTGAAAATGATTTGAGAAATTGGAAAAAGTATACACTACGTTATTGTTGGTGCGTAGTATATCGGAAAGCTCAAGGCACCGATTACATCATAACTTTTAAATGCGTCGGATTTATGTCCCAGCTGCTGGTAATAATACCGCGATATGCCACCGCAAAGCGCCCGTGTGGCTTTGAACATTCTGGACTAGCAGAAGATCATGTGCGCAAGCTTATGTGATATGAAGCTGAGATAAAGCGAGGAGATTGGCGTTTCTGACAAGATAACTCAGGAAAAAAAGATCGTTTCAAAGAAATTCGAATATTTGAAAAATTGAATATGGCAATCGGCTATGAATTAAAGCAACACTTGTTGGCGGGGGCGGAAACGTACAAGACGGCTGATAGGACGCGACAGATGATGATAGGTAATCAATGCGGGTGCGCCGGATTCGAGAAAAGGCATAAACATGTGGGATCTGTTACATAATGGGCAATATCTGCCCAAAACGACAGAACGCCGAAAACAGCGATTCTACGCGACACCCTACCGTAGGAGATCGTCCGAAGATTGGCTTTCTGCGCCATTCTCGGATTCTTTTTCCGGAAAATCTTCACAATCGTTGTCTAGTCATTCTATTTCATTTCCTTCCGTATATATCATTTTTGAAACTTTATTTTTAAAGTAGGATATTGTTCCTCAAAATTAGATTTGCTTCAAAAAGTGGAACTTTTCAAAAAATCGAATTGAAAATCACAAGTCACAAATTCCTACTTCCGAGTAAATGAAACTCGAAATATTCAATTTCTTGCACTTTAGAAAAGTGATCCCCTCCCGATAAATTGAAAAATGTTCCGTTCGTTTTTAAAATCTGTATTCAAAAAAACTTGGTCGGTTTTCAAAAAAACCTGGAGCTTCGAGAAAATGACTTGATATAGCCTTTATAGGAAAAAAGGAAAAGGGTAAATTTTCTTTGCAAATTATGTTTGTAGGAAATCCCTATAAGTAGCGATTCAGGCAAAAAACTCCGCCACCTAGAAAAAATGATTCCTTTTCTTTTTTTTCTCGACACAGGCCATACCTCGGCGATTTTTGGACCGTGACATGCGAGACGCGAACGAAAATGAGAAAAAAAGAACTGATTGACCGCAACTGAGATTTGGAAACAACGGGAACGCCTTCATATACGAAGGAAATCATGAAGAATTTCAAAGGAACAAACAAATCTTCCGCAGTCATCTCTCTTCAGATCTCTGTCATGTCCGACGACAAGCTGGGAAGTCCTCGATTGACCATAAATTTCAATCACTTTCAATGGCAATCGTCGCAGTCTTTGGGCGTTGTTGATACTGAACCCATAAAAGCTTTGGATATAAGCTGTATCCAATTTAGTGCCAAGCTCTTCAGAGTTTGAGAAAAAAAACGGTGGAAAAGTTCAAATCTCTGGCTTTTTTCAATTAAATTCAAACATCCTTCAAAACTAAACAAATAGCTTCTTCACCTTTTCGGGAAGACAAGATGAAATCTGAGAATAGGAAAGTACTTGACATGGAAAATGGTATTTTTTTCAATTGCTAAAAAAAGTGCGACAGTGTCCACATAAAGGCGACGATCTCTTGGTTTGCATGCGAAAGAGCTCGAGTTGCAGCCGACCTCACCCAGCTCCCGACTCAATACACACACGCCGACGACACATCAAAGAAGAGTACCGAAACACAATGGCTCATACCGAAAAACGAGACGATCCCAGAACTAAAAACGGGTGACGCTTTCTGTCCTTGTGCAGCGCCATTCAAAGGAAAGCGCGAAATGTGTTGGTTGAAACAATAGGGCTTCTATTCGTCTTCTTTCGAATGAAAAGCTCGCTTGCGCAGGTGCACGGTTGACCCTGTGAATGGGAAGAAGAACATGAATTTCGAGCTTCGGTTCTGGCGTTGAAATTCTAATATTTCTTGTTTGAAAGGTTGTCTTTTCCAAAATGGTTCCTCGAAAACAACAAATTCGATTGCAGCATGATTTTCAGAAGCTGGAAAAATAGTATGAATTTTTCAAAAATTGATTCATTTTCAACATTTTTGAAAATTTCAAGCTCGAAGTATAAATGAACTTTGCTTTCATTTCCATCCCATCAGAAGGACAGTTTTTTGGAATTTCTAGAAAATTAATCGACTTTTTGCCATTGCTGAAAGAAACTAAGGTCATGGCCCATATTTCCAGCCTTCAGAACGAGATCGCGGTTGCAATTTCAAATTCGACGTTTACCATAAAGGGACAGTTCAACAGGCCGTTCTGTTTGCTAACTTCTTGCTTTAAGCCAATACGGCGGCGCAGCTCGCAAGGTCAGCCGCGTGTATCCGCCAGCATCTGCATATCCAAACGAATTATTACACGCGTTCCTTTCGCTGAGACTTTTCAGTGTGCAGGTTTTTCTAGAACATGTTTAAGAAAACGAGAAAAGTCAGAAAAGTATCTATCTTCTTCATTCCTTTCTAGAAAATTTTTTCGAACTTCTGAATTCAAGTCCTCAAGAAAAACTAACTCTTCAAGTTTAAAAAAGATGTCAAATAAGAAAAAATCCATCAATAGGAACCTCTTCTGAGCCTAACCAAACTCAAATTTTTTATTCACCTCCATTCATTTTCTCAAACTGAAACGAAATTCGATAGTTTTGGGTTGAAATTTGTAAAGCTATCTAACGTTTCACTTGTTTCAAATAAAAAAATTTAAAACATCTCCTAAGAAAAAAATAGAATGATTAGGTATCTATACTTTAATTGAACAGTTATGAAAAAAAAGTTTTGATGAACATATTTTTCGGAACAATGGAAAATTTGAGCAGAGTCAAAACATTCCGTTTCACCTGCACTATACGAACGTTGGCTCTTGTAGTACATTACCCAGAACCTCAGTCGGGGAGCCTACTTAAAGAGACGCTGTGTACACGGTCTATGAGAAAAACAAACAACGCTCCAAACTTGGCCGAAACAGCAAGTGGCGGCTGTCGAACAAGGAACTTTTCGGCATCCGAATGCACTGCAGACAAGTAAGAAATACAGAAAAGACAGCATGGTGGACAAGAAGAACAAAAAAACCAGTTCTCATTCGGGCACGCATTTAATTGGCAGCAAACCAACAATGCTACCATCCGCGTGAAATCCTATGTATTCGGGAGCGCAGTGGGAGGCCCAAAATCCTTCTGCGGCACGGCGACAGCCTCTAATTCCACGGCGGCCAGATCAACTTTCTTCTGAATACTTACTCAGCCGGTTAGGAAGCCTAGTCTAGTCAGCAATAGACTTTGATCAAGAAAAACAGAAGACTGCAGGTAAGGTCTTACAAAAATAAAAAATCAACGATATTCGGAAAATAACGAGTTTTATGTTACTTTGCAGTTTTTGGTGAGCTCTTAATTAAAAACATTAAATAAGAGACTAACAAATGAACTTTGAAAGGACCGCATGAGTCATTTAAAATAACGAATTAGAGTCTCTTCGATTGTCCAGCCAGAAATTTCAACAATACAAAAATGAGCGACTCATCACGAGCAATTGTGCTGAACGAGAACAAAGCGACTGCCAAAGGCAGAAACAAACGGCGAGCCAGGTAGCGAACGCCAACAAATTGGGGTTGTCCAAAATTACAAATGACTGTGGCCGACGCTCGCGCGGACAATGAAAGGACAAGCGTGAAAATTGGCATCCGCCGGTACGGCTTCTCTTAGTATTGCTAATAACGCCCAAATAATGAGCGCCAACAGTGAAAAAAAGCACGATTAAAAAACCAGCTTCAGGATTCGTCTTCTTCGATGATATTTTCAATCATCGAAAAAAATGAAAAAGAAGAAAACTAAAGACTCGTTTGCAACATGATAGAACTTCAGAAGATGCAATTTTGATAGCAGAAAAGTCTGTCCTGCAAACTGACGCAAAACTTCAGAAGAAAAAGAACGCCGTCATTTCTAACTCTCACAAGGTCAATTTGTTCTTCTACACGTCGCTAACGTGTTTGAAACCTCAAACCAGTCATTAGTAATAGTAAAAACAACTTGATGTTTTTTTTTTTGAATGCTCGGAACTTGGAGGCCACCTTGATTTTTTTTAAAAAGGAAATTTTATACAACGATGTTCGGTGAACTACTGTTTGAAACTAATTTCGTCCAACTATTCGGCTTTTAAGAAATAATGGAAACAATTATTCTGAACTTGCGAGTATTAAAACCAAGCTTAGCTTTTCTGAAGACCCAGTCAGTGTCTCAACTGACAAGATGTTTTAAACAAAAACAACGTTCTAAAAGAGTATTTAAAAATTGACATGTGTCTGAATGACAATATAAGGAAATGAGATGTAAACAAAATGATGAGAGGACAAGCTAGGAACGGGGAAAAGCTGAGGTTGTGGCGGTTGGGAGAGTACGAGTGCTATGTAGGTATAGGAACGGTCGGAGCGACTCGAACAAACACGCGTTGACCGGTAGGCCGACGAAGCTGGAGCTCCGTCGGTGGAGCGCGAAGCACATTTTCGGTGACCAACTTTTTCGTGAATTGCTGCACACGACGACCCGAACAAGGTCACTTGTCACGCTAATAACCAGCCAGACAGACGACTGCGGTTAATCCGAAGCCCCGCATCTCGGGACACAAAATGGCATTCACCGCGTTGGCAGTAACAAGTGCGCAGCGGAAAAGACAGTTTTTGCGAAAGAAAACTGAAAAAAATCAGAATTCAATCAATAAAGGGCATTTTGCGAACATCGATAATATCAACTGAAATCTAATTTCCAAAAATGGAATTTTTCTCTTTTTCACTTTATTGAGAAAAATAAAGAAACTTTCATTTTGGTTGAGTAACTTTTAAAGTATAGAATTTAGAAAAAGATTCAACCAAAGATAAAATTTTCACGAAAAACGCACAAGAGAATGAAATATTATCAGCCAAAAAGCTCCCTCTGAATAAGTGAGCCTTTAAAAAAAGTGAAAAATCTGTAACTCCTGCTCTGTGATGAAATTATGCAATTTTAAATCAATTCTGCTTCTGGCCTTGATGAATATCAAAAGTGGTAGAAAACGAAAATGAGCGCTTTTTCTAAAAAAAAAAACTGCAAGATGATTTCGATGAGAAACTAAATGATCGGACACGATTGGAAACAGTTGAAAGCTTAAAAGAAAAACTTGTTTCCGTGACCCCAACTATTTTTTTATTTAAAAAAAAAAACGTCTTAAAAGCCAAGTGGCTCTTTAGAATTGAGAGTAGGACTTGATGCCGGTGATAATGCAGTGAAGTGGACGGCGAGCCCTGGGGATTCAAGCGCGGCGCCGTCAGACGATGATTGCTCGCGCCGATAGTCAACGACACATTATATCACAAGTTGTGGTGCAGCTACAAATCCCACGGGCCTCATCAATTGTTTGTTTCAAACCTTTTCCTGGTTTTTTTTCTTGCATCAACAAAAATATTAATATTCACATTTCAAGCTGGGCTGCTGGAAAGGTAGGGTTCAAGCTGGAAGTTTAGCCAGTTAGGATGAACTATTTCATTTTCAGAGTGAAGTGAGAGGCGAGTGAATAAGTAATTAATAAGTCATCTCTCTCAAAATCACAGTAGGTGTTTTTAAACGGACTGCGTGTAAAAACGATATAACTGCTCTCAATTTTGAATTTCTGTCAAGTATAGAAAATAAATCAAAACTTCGTGAATTCCACATACTCAGTTTTGATTAAAAGACGCAAAAAGCTCACACTAAATTTAACTCCTACAAATAAACCGACATCGGCTTTGGCTCCCATTGCAATTTCAACGGTTCTTTGACCACCTAGGTTCATTTAGACTTTTCGATAACCAATCTTTTGTGAAACACAAAGGCCAGCCCACCTCGAGAACAAGAAGTTGGTGAGGAGAAACGAGTCGGTGCGCGGCTTTCCAAAACAATTATGTCAATTTGGAACGGTAGATAGGCAGAAGGCGACGTACATCCCATAACGAGTCATCCCAAGTCACGCTATTTCGACAAAACCATGGCAATTAAAGCAATATAGAAAGTTGAGGCCGAACCACTCAAAAAGCGGTCCAACTTACAGAAACAAAAAGTGCGAAAAATTTTGTGAAATCCAGACTTCTCCCCACGGCAAAAACTAAACTGACAGTAGAACTTCTTATTGGACTTCGATGGATAAATAGAGCGAACCTCTATGAAAATTAATGAAGTTTTTTTGCCTAAATTTTTCGTTTTCATTCCATTTTTTTGTAATTATTCTCCTGGGAAAGATTAATTTTATTATTGAAAATGATATTAACCTTTTTCTCATAGGATCTTTCTAGATGAAAAATTTAAAAAAATCTCAGTTCATTTACTGCATACCTTCATAAGAAGTAAAAAAAAAAGAGAAACTGTAAACTTTGAAACATTTGAGAGCTCGAATGAATACTGCATTATTTCATTGAATTGTGAGCAAAAGTACTACTCCAAAAGGAAAACCTCAAACGCCAACATGTCCGATCTCATTAACGTGCAAATAATCTCTTTGACCAGTATGTTGTTTTTGGGCCTCGAGTGGTTTCTATCGAGATACAAAATGCTCCCCAGGCAGTCAGTTTGCATATTTCGTATCTTTTGCGCAAGATTGCTGCTTAATCTGTCCGCTTCGAAACGCGGCAGGACCAATTAGGCGGCTTAACAGGCGCCCTACCGAGCCTCAAAAGTAGTCAAGGAACGCAAACAAAAACCTCGCATACCGCTAATAAAGCGAAATATAATACTTCTGGGCCAATAACGCAAAACCGAACTGTGTGTCATGCCGCAGCAAGCCGAGTGATTTCGGCAAGTAGTCGTAATGCCGGTGTTCGTTTAGGGTTTCCGTAAAGCTTTAGTTTAGCGGTTAGTAGTTTTGAATGAGATATCAGCATACTATACGAATTTCGAGAAAAATTGAACCGAAATTCATTAATATATTGAAATTATCATCAGAAAGAGGCGTTTGAAAGGAAACCTATTAAAATTATTATTTTTTTTCCAGATGATTTTAGGAGCGAAGCGGTGCGAAATGGTGCGAAAGATATTTCGAAGAAGGTCGTCTCCGTTATATATATTTGATTTTCAGAAAAAAAACCAAAATGTTGAAGATTGTTGGAAGAAAAAAAAAGTCATGCAATGACCTAATTTCAACGTCATTGAAAAATCGAGCAACAAAGTTCGCATTCATCATACTGAGAAAGTTTTGAGCTCAAATTTTCAAAACCAGAGATTTTCGCAAAATAGAACAAAAAAAGGAAGAAAAAAGGTATCTAAAAAGTTAGCTGACCTCACAAGAATTAATGGGACGAGCTGTTGATAGGTGCGACACACGACATGACAGACGGCGGATAGAGTTGCGCAAAAAAGTGATGGCTCTTCGTGGACATAACCGAAGCGTCTCCGTTCGTCGCGATCAACAAGGCCCGACAGCTGCGAGGCGGTTTCCGGCTGACCGTATGCTCTGGTTGTGTCACACAAGCCGGTAGTAAGAATATCGCTCCAGATACGTATCAGAGCAGCATGTGAGCCGCTTGGCTTGGGTTTTGATGAAGTAACGGGGCTTCTGTGGTTGAACTCCGAAAGTTGAACTAGACCGATATAGTTTGAACTTATCTAATAAAGAAATTTTTGAAAGAAATTTAGCTTGGTTTAGTCAAAATGCCCTCTTTTTCTCATTTCTTTTCTGATAAGGACATGTTGATCCTTCTCATCTGGAACTTCTTCTCTGAAGTCAAATGCCGATTTGCAAAAATAAACATACCAAAACAAAAGGATGCCGCCAGCTGTCACTCGGATATGTCTGAACGGGTCTCATAAACACTTACTAAAGATTTTTATGATTGACCACCGCAAAATGACGACGAGATGAGTGAGAAAAATGAATAATTTTTGCATTCGTTCATTATTCATCAGCCAAAGTTATTTAAAAAAGAAGAAGAATAATTTCAAAAATGCGGATGCAACGTGCAAGAGAAAACCCTTAATTTGAAGGTTACTCTGAGAATTCTGGAGGTCCGATCATCGAAACCGATAGCGTCGCCGGTCACACTCAGAACTCAACTTCTGTTGTTAGTGCGCCGCGCCAAACAACAGTAATCTTAATGGAACATCTCATTGTAGATTCGATCGCAACTCAACATCTCAAAATCGCTCTCGAATATGCCCGTTTCAAACAAGGTTTGAATAAATTTGGATAAGGGGCATAACTTCGGCTCGGAACAAAATTGAGACTTTTCATCTTGAGCGCTTAGTTAAATACCGAAACAATGTAAAAAAACAATTCGCTTTGATAGATCTGAAATATTTTTAAACGAACAAGATTAATTTTTTGTGAGTTAGCGTTTTTTTCTACTAGTTTTTCAAAAAAATTTTTGAAGTTTTGTTTAGACTTACTGTTTGCTTCACCAATTGACCAATTGAAACTGAAGAATTGCGCAGATAGCTGCTATTTCACAAAAATTCCAAAACAATTTTAATAACTTCACAGATTTTTTTCAAAATTCTTCCCTATGTTGATTATAGAGTGAAAGAAAAACGAGCAACTGAGTGAACCTATAGCAGAAATCTTTTTTCAGAATTTCAAATTTTTGTAAGCGCGACCAAAAATTTTCCAAAGAAAATACCAACATTTTGTTATGAAAAACAGTAGCAAGAAACTGTAAAAATGAGAATATTGAAGAAGCGCCCGAGGGGTGAACGAAAGAGCACAAGCAAATAGCCACGTAAGTCGCCGCCGCTGATTTCGCAGGCCGATCTGAGAGACGAAAATGCACGAAATGGTCCTCATGCGTCCCACTCGTTAGCACATTTTTACAAGTGCGTCGTGTACGGTCGTGCCCCCAAGCGTTTGCGCTGAGAAAAAGGAAGTTGCGCGACAGTTAAGATAAATAATCACTTTTTCTCAAGATGATTGCGGAACGAGGAGGTTTGAATTGCCCCAGGATAGGGGAAAGATAGTCGAAAAGCGATCAGATTCAAAAACTTTGATTGGGGGATCGACTTATAGGAATACTTCAACCGAAAGCTTCTCAATGCAGAGACTTTCTCCAACTCGGCAAAGTCGGGTTGGTGGATGATGGCCGCTAAAGGGGAGAGGCTCAAAAAAGGCTGCAGAAAGGCAGCAAAAAGGCAGCAAAAGGTAGCAAAGAGAGTCCCTTCATCGAACCTTCCATTTTTTTGGATTTTAAAGGCTCGAGAAATGGTGGAGAACGAGAGAAGCAGCAAAAATGGTGCATAAGGGTTGACAAAATGGAGCAAAAGGGCAGCAAAAAGGAAGTTTTCATCACCCTAAAAGGAACATTTCTATGGAGTCTTCCTGTAACCTTTATGACCCTCGGAGGGTCCTTCCGACTTTGCCTATGAACAAAATAGACCATTCTCAGATTTTTATAAACAAAAAAGCATTTTTTTTTTACAATACTGTAGAAAATATGAGATCTATAAATCATTACGAAGAAAAGAATTCGAATTTTTTGTAATACTCCGTTGATCAAACTCTGAAATTTTTTTCTTTCATGTGGTTTTGATTTTTTAAACTTGACCAATAATCATCTGATCCGTGATCGTCCGATTGAACAGAACCAAAGCCTTGTTTTCGTACTTTGGCTGAACCAGAAAGCCAAAAGCTTTGAGAAAATTATCTACTCGTCGGTTTGAGTTTTCTTTTTTTTTTAAACCAGAGTCGAGTAAATTTCAATTTAAACATAACGTCGAAAAATAATGTCAAAGTCCTTAAATCATGCATACGATGTGTTGCGATTTCATTAAAAGAAAACTCAACCCGATGAATAACTTTTGGCGTAGTTTCTAGCTTTTCGGTTTGGATAATCATTGGCCAAAATAAAAAAAAAACCGCGTAGGATGAGCAAAAGCTGAAAAGTCGGTTGAGAGCTTTCAAAAATTTTTTTAATGATAATTGAGATTGAAACTCGAATAAACTTCTCTAATTGCTGTTTTTCTCTGCACACGGAAGACTAATCGTGTAGCAAAAGAGCAGAAATACTTTCCGTTAAAACTATTAGCTCGGTGAAAGGAATTTTAGAAATGAGCTCGTTAACTTGCCCAATGTGGAAGGAAAAGCCGAGATTTGCAAGTGACCTCCAAGACGCCATAACCAACCGTTCCCACGGTGAAGTATTTGAGCATTTCCCTCCATTTTCAAACGTTTGTTCTCGAGCTTTCAAGCGCGCCGCCGGAATCGCACTTCTTGAATTTTTCGACCAAATATCGCTGGAATGGATGGAAGAATACAGTACATCATACTGCTTTCTTTTTGAAAAATTCAATATTTTCCTGAATATAAAACCTTTTTTTCAAATCCCACATCAAACGAGATTTAGAATTCCCAGAAGAAAAACCTAAAAAGGAATTTTCGAGACAGTTAAAAATTATTTGTGTACCAATTTTCAATGCATTCCAAATAATTTCCGAGGCGTCATTGAAATTTTTTTTCCAAGCCGCATTTTTCGTTTTTTCTATAGCACAAACTAAAGTTATATCAAATTTTTTTCTAATTTTCAGATGTCAAGTCTCAATCAAAGTAGTTTGCCCTGTTTGTGAATCTAAGTTTTTTTTCAAAAATGACTTCTTGTAGAATCGAAAACATCAATTTATGTTTGTCAGTTGTCAAACTACAATAAGTTCATCCCCTCAAAAGCTTTGTTAATTATCATGATGAATAGATTGACCTAATATTGTCACGAGTTTTTTTCTCTCTAAGCAACGTAGATTTTTTTGAGTACGTTATTATGAGCAGTGCGTCACTTCAAAATGATTTTTTTCCCGGTAAGTTCAAAGATATCAAAAAATACTCATCAACAAAAGAACGGTCGGAAAGGCCTTCATTTTTGAAGTCACAGCAAATGAAACAAACATGAAACAAACTAGAAACAGCACCCTGATAACTACGTCTTCTTCGAAAAAAAAAAAGGATTTCTGATTTTTTTTTTTCACTCAGAAGTGGAATAAGGCGTTCTTTTTTTTCCGAACTCATTTGTATTAAAACTCGGAAGAAAAACAAGTTTTTTTTCCTTCTTACTCAAGTCGAACACTCAACTTGATTACATTGACTCACTTAAACTCTTTCACTTCCATCATTTTGAATTGTTGACGTAATCTGAACACTTTTGTTGGAAAATATGCTATGCTATGATAAAAAGTTGAAGTGTTGCAAGTTGAGCGTCCTTAATTATTAACCGAAGATCGTGCATGACGGAGGAAAACAATTTTCTTTTATGCTTTTTACGTAAACACCCTACAGGATATTCTTTGACGCTTCGTTATAGCTTATTTATACCAATTAACCTAATTGATCGAAGACTTAGAAATGGAAATAGGTCTCAATAAACTGAAAATAGGACAAGACTGTGTACTTTTTGTAAAACCTGAACTAGATGAAAGGCAAACAAATCAACTATTATTTGGGTTTATCGAAACCCTACGGAGTGAATCTCGACGAAGTTCCATCAGATGAACGAAATCTGTTTTTTTTTGTCAAATCTCATTTCATCAGGTTCTCCAAAAAAGCAAAAAAGGAAATGAACTTGTGATGTGTTTGAAACTGCCGTTTTCCGTGGTCTCCCTATAAAATGAGCCACAAACGGCAATTGCTTCCAATATAAAAGAAACTTTGCTCTTCAGGAACTCTGCGTGTTCTTCTTCCTTATTTGAAGGTCGTAACGGTACGCAATATTGGATCTCTCCCGCCTTTTTTCAACAAATAAAATGGGTTAATTTAGTTTGGCAAATACCGAAAGCCTTCTTCGGTCCGCCTCTAACCGCTAAACTCGCTTTGAAGAGGCCTTGATGCACTTCAATTTTTTTCTTTTTCTTATTTATTGAGTTCCATCAAAACGGATTCCAGCTTCAAATGAAGGGCGGTACTAACGAAATTTGGTTCAAACCGAACAGAGCTAGTTTGTTAGCCGACAAAATGAATAAGTAGCTGTCGTCTCACGAGATTTACCAGCAAAAGGTCCTAACCACGAAAGCTTGCTTTTCTTGAGAGTAACATGTCTCCATTGCGTCAGCACGTTTGAATTCTTCAGTATTTATTGAACGAGGCCACTCATTTTTCAGTAAACTCTCATATTACTCTCATGTAACCTTGTTTCTGAAAACAACCTGATTGGTTTAGAGAGAACTTTTATTTTTGATATTCTTCATGTCTCTTTAAAAAATCTTATCAATCCAGACAATCCAACGGCGGTTCACTTATCTAGAAGTTATCTGCAAAAAAAGGAGAAATTATTATGTGGTGAAATTTATGGGGTTTTGCCTTTTATTGCTACGTTTTGCGTCATTATGGGCCCTTGGTAGCGACGGAGTTTATGTAGTCCTTTGCTACTGCAAAAACGAAGGAATTGCATTTTAGTTTACTTCAAATACATCGTTGGTGTTTTTATTTTCATGACTAACATCCTTCTCCAGCTTGTTGTGTTTTTTTTTCCACCTGAATGATTTCAACTGAGTCACAAAGGGCTCTGCTAGAAAAAAACGTGTAGATGAGGTGACGTTATTAGTATTTTTGTTATTATATCATACAAGTTTTCTCGTAAGATAATTATCAGGCTTTTTTTCAACAAAAATATTTTGTAAAGAACAGATTTTCGTAAATGAATCTGTGCTGAACCTGCGCTTTCTTTAGCAGTACTATTTAGGGAGTTTACGGAGGGCGCTGCTAAATAGCCTCATTGCAAGACGTGAAAATTGTTTTTTGAGGGATTTCATTAACCGACGCGGCTCCACGTAAATGTGACGTGGCGAATTTCGCGGATTGCTACAACAAGATTTGTGGGAATCTTCCAGTAGAGTAGTTTTCTCATCAAGCGATCCTGTCGTGCGGAAGCATCATTTGCAGAACTCGGCTTCCTTGTTTCCAATCTCAGCCTGAAAGACAATTGTAGCACCAACTTTCGGTTTTTGTTCCTGACTTGACGCCACCAGCCTCCTTTTCTGGTTTCATTAGTGGTATCACTACTTCTTACTCAAACTTTTTGTTCATTTTTTTACACTTCAGCTTGTCACATCTAATTAGTCAAAGTAGGAAGAGCGCAGTACATCACATTCATCTACTTAATTTGTGACAAAGAGTGAAATCAGGGCCTTAATTGAGTTAAGCTTCTTTCTTCGAACCAAGGAAGTGCTTTTGTGGCTCAAAAACGTCAGTATTCCGACACACAGAATTTTTTTAGTTGTTGTTTCGAAATTTTGTTGTGCGAAATTTCAGAATGCAAGAAAAAATTAGAAGCCTCCCGTTATTTTCAAAAAAAGGATTTCTGCTTCTCCGAACCCTGTGTAGTATTTTCATGAAGATTGTTGAAATGTGCCAAGCTAGAAATATTGTGTCCTTTTTGTCCCCAATAGAAATATTTCTATCTTTGTACCCTATTTTTTTCTTCTTTACTTTAGATAATCAAGTGATGAACAGAAAAAGGAGTTTTTTTAATACTAAGATTTTTCTTGAAAAACTTTATTTTTCTTTCTAGTTTCTTTTTTTAAATCTGACTTTTTGTCCCCAAAGAAAAAAATTACTTATTATATTTTTCATCGCTTTTTTTCTCTCAAACTAATGAGGATATTTATCCATCAAAACACTTATAAAACTTTGCAGGTAACAGGTGGTAGTCCACCAGACTCCAGGCATCCAAAACGGAATGTCGCGTCTGGCAACTGTCGCCTTGCTCGTTCTCGCTGTGCTCGTCGCCCACAACCATGCCACCGAACTGTTTGTGTTCTGTATAAACATTTTGCAAAGCAATCTGTAATTTGAGAGCCGATGGAGTCGACGCGACTCGGGAGCAGAAGCGCTTCGATATCGATTTTGTGAAACGTGAAGGCGGCGATAGTGGTAGGTGAAACGTTGAAGTTGGCAAACCCCAAATAAAGTAATCACGACGAGACAGCCTGTTTCTCTGCCCGCCATGTGGAACACAAAATTGGATTGGTGACAGATTACCGCCAATCGTTTTGATAAGCGAAAACGTCTAAAAAACGTTTGCGGAAAACGCGTTATGAAACCTGAATAAACTTTCGTTCATCATAAAAGATCCTTCAAATTTAATTCCCAAGGTTCTAGTCATTTCTAGTTGGTATTTTAAACGTTTGCTGGAAAATCCATGCGTAAAGTTTGAAAAAAAAACTGAAAAATCGTTGGTAACGCTTGCTCATACACAGGCATTTTAAGAAGTGACAAAATGATTAAACAAAAATTTTGAGGTTTATGTAGTAAACTTTTTTGCGCTGCTCAACACTCAATGATTTATCCAAAAAACTATATAAAAAAAGCCTTTGAAAATTTTCACGCGCTGACACAAAAGTTATAACAATATAAGTCGAAGTATGTGGAAATGTGAAAATTTCTTTGCAGAGTTTCCCGACTTCGAAGACAAGGAGGACGTGAAACGTTTCGAACCTTTCTTGGACGAATCTTCCGCTGAGAAACGTTTTGATCCGTTTTCGAAGCGGTTCGACCCTTACTCTAAACGCTTCGATCCGTTTTCGAAGCGATTTGACCCCTACTCTAAGCGTTTCGAGCCATATGGAAAACGCTTTGACCCCTATTCTAAAAAATTTGATCCTTACTCTAAGCGTTTTCAAAATCTGCTCATCAAGAAGTTTGACCCTTATGCTAAACGCTTCGATCCTTTCTCGAAGCGATTTGATCCTTATTCTAAGCGTTTCGACCCCTTCTTCAAACGATTCACCATTGCCAAGCGTTACTTCTCCGCCGACGTCCGACAGTTGCTTTATTCTTTGGACCAGTCCAAACGCAACATCATTGATCCGAAGGCTTTCCAAATCGGTTTTGGCCGTTGAATCCTTGTCATTTTCTTCTTCGATCTCACCCTCTGAATCCATCCATCATTGTTGGCTTGACTACTCGAATCGTCATTGAAGATTTGTCGAACGTTTCATGTAGATATCGCATAAATATTACCACACGTTGATTTCATGATTTTCCCTGGAAAAAGTAACAATGAGAAATTCTGCCTGGAGGCTCATGATTTCTACAAATCAATCAAAAGTAAGTTTTGAATGAAAAAATCGCTCTCTTCTGTTTTTTTTTTAATTTGAGCCTCAAAACTCTCTCTGGAGGTTTTTATTGAAAATCCTCGTTCTCGTAATCTGCGCGATTGCTCTCTCCGCAAGAATGAATGGTAAAAGTTTAAGGTTTAATTTTTAGGTTTGGCACTGCATTGCAGCTTCGACAAGTTCAAAAATTATTATCTCCGAAGTTTACGTTTTGCGCAGGTCGGGGTTGTGGAATATTCAAGTGTTGTCTTTACACAATGAATCAATTTTTTCAATTGCCTGTAGTCAAGATAGGGGCGAATAATGTTTATTGTATCGAACCGTACTTTTGCCAACTCTAATTAATGAGATTTCTGGTAATCTGGCATTGAAATTAAAGAGTTCATTTTACCACAAGGAGAGCTAGAGAGAGAAGGCGGTGATAGTGGAGACGATAGATCATGTGTGCAGAGAGAGAGAAAACGGTTTTTGGAAACGAGGAGGTGGGCGCGATGGGAGGAGCGTTCTTCTGTACGATTGGGCCGAGCCGTGAGCGCATTCACTATCAGGGTATCGCCGGCAATTGACTGCCTCCACTTCTGTCTTCGGAGACCCTACGGCTTCCGCTCCAGAAAGCTCCTGCTCCCCAACTCCCAGCTCGTTCGCCTTTGCACAACGCGAAGCTGCAGCTATAATCCTTTAGTGAGATTAAAGCTTATGCTTCGTGTTGCGAAAGGTCGACATCATTTTTTTAAATCATTTTTTCAGAGTAAAACTTCAGTTCTATCTTCACCGATTGAAAAATGTTCTCATCATGAGAAAAAGTTAGAGAAAACCCCCCTGAAAAGGGGAAAAAATCTATTGTTTGTTAATTGTAGAACGCTGTGGACTAGAAAAAAGAATTTTTGCCTTAAAAACTGGAAATACGAAAAATGATGGTAGTTATTTTCAAGGTCATAAAGCTAACTTCGAATGGGAAAAAGTTTTTTTACGCACAAAAAATCGAAAATAAAGAAAAGAAATATTTGAAATTTATGTACGTTTTTAAAATCATTCAATCAAACAAGAAATATTGGTTTTTTTCCAAAAAAATTTTTTTATTAATCTATATTGAACAGAATAAAAAGAAAAACAGGAATATTTTTCGAACCATTTCTTGAATCTTGAATCAGATATCAGAAAGTTAAAATATCAGAAAGTCACGCAATAAATGAAACTCTGCTTATGTTTTATAAGAGAAAAAGTTGACGAGACTTCCAGTAAAATAGAAAATAAAAACGTTTTTTTTTAACGAAACACAGAAACTTCAGAAAACCTGTTTATAGTAATTATAGGTCAGAAAAAACTCTCTGTTCAATTTTTGATCAAAGTTGTTTGTACCTTAGCATCTAACATTCTGAAAAGGCGGCAAATTTATCAACGATTTCCGTAAATGAAGGGTCAGCAAAAAACGGGAGACTTGCACAACGACGTCGGACGCTGATAAAACCGATCGATACAGTCAGTGGCGGCAAACAACCGCGTCTGATAACAGCCGACCTTCGTCGATGAGGACAGCCCATCGCTCAGCTTGGTTTGCCGTGCCGATTGCACCGTAAATATCTCATAAATCAACGTTTATCGAGAAAAGAAATCTAAAGAAGTGAAGAAAAATGACCAAGCGTTTCTTAATCGCAAAGCACTTTTCAAGGTAATCTGCGCATCGAGCGTTCCGCCTCGTTTTGATCTGTTTTTTTAGTGAACCCCATTGATAAAAATCTTGAAAATTTCTTCTAAAAATTTCAAAATCGAACTTTTTGACCAAATTCAAAAAAGTCAAGATAAAGTTCGTATGTTTATACAATTTTCATGCTTTGCACCAAAAATTCTATTCTACATCAGTCTAGTGACACTATTCAACAAAAAGTTGTGCCTTTCTCAATTTTTTTCATTCAGTCCCTTGTTCCTTAACCTTAAAAAAACATTGAACGTTGATGAATTCGAAATTAGGAAATTTTTAGCAGCTAGAAAAATTTACACTAAATTGAAAAATCATATGACTACCAATTTTCCAACATTTCTGTTTTGCAGTTTTTGACGTGAAAAAACAAATTTCCTCTTTCCAAATGTGATATTCCAAAAAGAGCAAGTTTTCCTCACTCGTCGAAGCGAAAATTTCATTTGTGGTTGAACATATCAGTTTTTATCTCATAAATATCTTTATTCAAAGGCAATTAATGTACATATTGCAAATCATCAATTTAATGGAAACTATTGAACGTTGTGATATTGATGCAGAAGGGAATGCTTCAGAAGACGAGATCCATCTATGACTAGAATCTATGAGTTGGAGAGTAGATTGTGCCGCTCACAAGTTCGTCCCTTCTCGGCGGTCTCACCGCGGTCGTAGCCGATCCTGAAAGTTCAGAACGTCAAATCGAAGTCGAACATGAGATAACTACCTAATGGGAAGATTCTATCAATTCTGGGGAGTCGCCTATGAGACATCGTTTCGGAATAGTGGTCTGGCACTGTTGCCAACGCTGTCACTGGAGTGTTCGCATAGGCATCGATTGCCTGAGTTCAGATATTTTTCATTTATAACATTTTCCGTCTTCTTTTTTGGACGGAAAGGAAGAGAGAAGACAAAAGACATAAGACCAAGACGCACAAAGTGGTGTAAACGGTTATCCTTTTGATGGACTAGCGTTGCGTCGCTCGCGACTTCGTCCTTGGGAGAACCTGAGCGGGTTAACTGAGGAGCATGAAGAGTCGTCATCGCAAAGTCGAACGTATAGGTCAGGATGTTCAGCATCAAAAGTAAGCAGAGGATCCATTCCGACAAAGCAGATACCACGTGATTTGTGTAGTACTAAAAAAGTTTACTTCATAACTGCATAGTCTGTTCAAAATAGTTGTTGAAAGTTTCCTTGAGGTTACTTATGACATATAATATTTCAAATCATAATCTGAACTGTTTTCTTGAGAAGGAAGAAAAAAATGCCTTTGTGGTGAAGCATCTTTGAAAGAGTTGAAAACTCAACGACGTTTTTGTACAGAAGAAAGTTTAAAAAATTAGCAATTTTTGAAATTCTTCCCTTAAATTTGACTTTTTTCTGAATAATCTCACCGGTGACGTCGATTTGGGTCTTTCAATGTTTCCAGGCCATTCAGGATGATCGGGCAGCTTTCCGTTTTCTCTTTTCACAAAAGGCTGAACGAACAAGCACACCGAGTCTGCAGAGAGGTTTTTCCGTTTGTCAATGTTTCCAGCTTCACTCACGGAAGATCAGTACAACCGAGACTGAAAAAGTAAGGAGCAGACGGAAGTTCGTGAGATGAATCGGCACCATTTTTGGCCTGAAAACGGTTCTTTTTTTGAACATTGCTTAAAGAACTTGTCACAGTCCGGAAAATCACGGAAAATGTAGTTTTGTTGAGGAGACGTGAGAGTCTCTCATTACCTTCTGGTTCAACTTTTTTTTCTGCTTTCGGGAAAAAGTTTTATAAGTGATAAATTTTGATTACATTATTTCTAATGAGGAGAATGTTTGGGAAGCTTTAGGAGGATATTCTGTCGAAGTTTTGAGCTTGAAAAAAGTCTTTAAAAATTATTTGACAACGACCATTTTTGAAAGGCCACACTGTATACTTTCTTATTCAAGTTATATTTGCTATCGGGAAAAATATCAGAATCTGAAGATAATGGGCAACAGTGCTGATGAATCTTTTTGTAGTTGACCTTACCGTAAACTGTAAGCCAAGACAAGTTGGCCCCAGAAGTAGAGGATAAGACCGATGAAGAACATGAAGGCGCCGACGGTGTGTGCGGTCAGATGGTAGCTTTCCTTAACTTCTTGATCCGCCGCCGCAGGACATTTGGCTGCGCCTCCGCTGTTCTAGCAAGTGCACGTTTCAGGTTTCTTCTGTGGATCACTGGTCTTGGTAAACTGAGTCTTTTCTTAGTTCGCGCAAAATCATCCTCACTCACTAAATAATATCTGTTCTGAAAGATAAGCAAACTCTTGTCATTGTTCGATTTTCAAATTGCTTGAAATTGAAAAACTGTAACAAGGCATTTTTATACATTTTTTTCGAAACCCTTTTTTTGAACTTCAGAAAAAAAATTTATGAAAAAAAGCATGCTTCGCTAAAAATGAGAAATCCTAATTTTTTTCATCTTGCTGATTTTTTTCACTGCACTAGCTCAACTGCTCAACACGGTTTTTTTCTTTTGTTCAATTTTTCTACAGTAATTAGAGAAGCAAAAAAAGACTCGATTACTTTTTTTCACCAGTTTTTCATATGATTCAACATTTGAAGTTTTAACGATAGGCTTTTTAGCTACAAATTTGAACAGTTGAAGACCTCAAAAACCATAAATTCAGTAATTTCTGACAATCAGTGATTCACAACCTGAACCTTTTGATAACGTGCACTCTACAAGCGTTTCTATGAGTAACCACGGTATGAAGGCGTTTTGAAACTTTTATGAAGCATTTGACGGACAATCGGACAAAGACAAGCGTTCAAAGTATTTGATTTCTCACCACCCAGAAGCACCGTAAAGCGTTAAAAGATGACCAAGCGACAAAGGTAAAGACTCAATCAACCATTTAGTCAAAACTAACCGGGAAGTTGGCCACCATTGAGCCTCCAAGAGCCGAAAACCAGCCCAAAAGCATCAAAAGCAGTGAAAAAGTTTTCCAACCACCAATGTTCACGTTTATTGACTTGTAAAAACATACAATATTGCGATGAGCCAAATAAAACGTAAATGTTACTGAAAATTTGTTTTTCTTGCTGGTTCTTTTGATGAAAAACTCACAAAACATGGCGGCAATGTTGAGCAATTGTCCGAAAATTGAGCTTTCCGGTTGCAGAGCCCCGCAGTCACTGAAGTGAAAAGTTATTATGTCAGAGATTTTTCGGTAAAAAAATTTATCAGAAATCTTTGCGAATCTGCCAAAAGCTTATTTACTGTGCCTGATCAAGACCGTGGAAGTTTTTTCATCTGCATAACTTCTTTATTTCAGGAGACGATCTCATATTTGCATTCTTTGAAATTTTTTTGTTGACTGAGACTCCTTCTGGCGAAATACTCGTAATTTTCAATTTCGAATTAAAGATCGTCGTTATAAAATTTTTGGAAGTAATTCAGAAAGTTAAAAAAATTCTAAAGAAAGTTTTTAGACCTGAGAGATTCACATTTTATTCTAAAAAATGCTCTCCAGGTAAAAAGTAACTAACTTTAATTAACAAAATTTCGAAAAACCTTTGCGCCAAAAACATTTTTTTCTGACGAAATGCAATTCGGCGACAACTGTTTGAGAACGACGATAGTTTTTTTAGGTATGGGAACATTCAACAAATACCTGATGTAAGGAATCCATGCGTCAATATGGTCTTTCGAAAGAGCTATGGCGTACCTGAAAACCATTTTCGAGTTGAATATGGAATCAAATTAAAAAAAAAACTTTTCCTAGTTATTATAGATTCGTACAAATGGTTTTAATAAATTGACTGGAATTTTGTTGAAAATCTCTACTCAGAATTTTTTTCTTTCCCATTACCATTTGGTAACCTCCAAAACATCACATTTTGACACCAGCATAAAACATAAAGCCGAAATTTTTTTCTGATACCAAGATGCTTCAAATTTTATCCCAAAAAAATTTTCGTAAAAAAAATTAAGCTTTGGGGTTTGAATCGAGAACTTTGATTTTTCAGTTTGCAAGTCCGTTTCGGAATTTATAAAGAAGCAATATATTCTGCCGATAAACCTTTTATCAACTAGAATCCACGAATTCTTGAGATAAGATAGGTACAGAGATATAAAGAACTGTGAAAAAAGTTTACCCGATGAAAAAAGCGAGTAAGCAAAAAGCGACCGCCAGCAGAGGGATCACTCCAACGTGTCTGAAGGTCATCTCGAAGCGGCAAAATCTGCTTCTGGACAAAAACGGCCTCGCGTACCCGTGCGGAGCAGAGCCAGTGAGCCTCGGACGCTGATAACAACACCGTTATAACTTTCTCCGCCTGCACGCATTCAACTGCCAAAAAGTCAACAAATCGTAGGTGTAATGTGGAATGCATCTTATTATTCATTCTGCGACAACCCAAAAACGCACTGGCACCGTTTTGATCGGTTTTTTTTTGTTGCTCAAGGCTGTTATGCAGAAGACGTTTGCAAATAAACAGTCGTAAAAACAAAGGCTGATACTCATAACGTACAGCGAAAATCTTTGTCTCGAGGTTACAAACCGGAAAAAGATATCAGCTCAGTGGGATTTCTAAAAGTAGTTGGATGACTAATAGATTGAAAAGAAGGATTAAAAAAGAGATTCGTTGTATTACGACTGTCTAGAGACTTGAGAGACTATAAAGACGTTGAAAAATTATCTCAGTTGAATGAACCAAATCAATTCCTCGGAATGGTAGTTACATATAAAATATTCCCAATCCGAAACAAAAAAGGAATATAAGAAAGAAATGTATCATAAACGTTGGGCAGAGGAAATAACGACAACTTTCAGTCGGAGGATATCGTATAGTTCATACAACGCTGGCTTCAGACAATATTTGATGAGCGTCTTTACACGATTAGCAAAACATAGTGCGAAAAGAAGAGGTTTACACGTCTTTTGTCCTCCAGCTAGCTGTGAATGGACAGTACGCAAGGTGGTGCCAGTACTGTGACCTATTCCCTCAAAAGATTTGTGGATCAATCAAGAATTATATTAATATTTCAACTTTCTGCCTTGGAAAATGAAGCTATCGCCTCGTTGACGATGGCGTAACGCGCAAATAATTGCTACAGAACCGGTATCATCATGGAGTTTTCGGGAAAACATGGACAATCAACGAAATTTCGTTTATATTTGATTTAAATAAACAATGATCGTAGATCGAACCGAAAGAAATATGAAGGGAGGAGTTGAAAGCGGCGATTTTGCGAGTGGAAGCTTTGTTGTTATTTTGAAAAGTTGCGACCACGTGCGCGACAGACATCGAAGGTCTCCGTGACGACCTCTTTTGCTTCTTGGGCCCTGCCATTGTTATGTCACTTTCATCCGTGTAAACAACCTAGAAAACTGCTGCGTCAAGGTAACCTTTGAATCTTTAAGTTACTGCAGGTGAACGGCGTCCGAGGCGTACAGGCGCAATTTCGAACCCTCTATCCAACTTTTTTTTGCCAAGCAACTCTTTGTGATTCAAGACTTTAAAAACAATACTAATACAAATTAAAAAAAGTTCAAATTTCCAAAACTTTTTTTATAGAGCTTCGAAATTTATTTACCTGAACAAAATCAAAAAAATTAACTTTTTGGACATCGATTTTTTTCACGGAAGATTTGTAGTTCAAACTTTTGAAATCTAATTTCAGTTATAAAAAAATTTTTTTCTAAATGTATATAAAGCAAGACGCCTCAAAAAAACTTCCTACAAATGTGTTCTTTTCTTGAATCTGTTAACGCCGACCTTTTGGAAATATTTGTAAAGAATCGCAACTCTACCCGTCTATGTACACAAAAAATCGCTTTTTTTCTCATCTTTTTTTTGCAATGTGTTCGAAATAACTCAAATTTCTTTCAGAAACTGCAAAGAACTCATAAGATAAAATTTATTCATCCATTTTTTTATTAACAGAACCATGAACAAAGTCCCAGAAACAACATAAAACTATAATTTGCACTTCTATTATTGATCCAAAAAAACACTGAAATAAAGCAATACCAAAAAAACCCGTGGTTATGTAGTTTTTTTGAATGAGTAGGGTTTTTGACTGGAAATCGATTTGAGTACATCCTTTAATTTCGACAAGAGCTAACCACAGAAAACTGAAACTTAGAAAAAAGAAGAAGTTCAAAGAAAAAGTTCTTTTTCTGAATTCAAAAGATCTCAGTTTTCTCTAAACTATAAAAATCATGAAATCTTCTGAATAATAAGGATTTGGGATATTTGGAGATAATTACACAATTTGTTTTCAAATTTATTTTTTTCCCTGCTTTCTAACGACAGCGGTCCGTTGTTTATGAGCCTCAGCGTTGGAATTTTTCGTCTTCGGCAGTTCTGCAGCACCCCGATTACCGAAAATGTGAACTGCAGCGCGTGGAACCTGGAACAGTTCATTTCAGTTTTCTTGGATACGAAATAGGAAAAAAAATACGCACGCTGGGCATGCCGTAAACATTGGATAGAACGAATTCGATGTCTCTTGCTTCTATTTTATTCGTTCCACGTCCTTTGACCAATTTGCAAACTTTTTCAACGATCTGAAGGCATTGAAGAGATGAAATGAAAAGAAAAAAGACAGTTTTGTACCGAATCAACAAACTCGTCCGTGTATTCCACCAGAGCTTCTTTCACATTTTCTTCCAGAACCGTGTTTGCATTCACTTGAGTCACAAGTTCTTCTAGTTTGCTCTGAAATTTTCCAGAATATTTTTTGTGGTCATGAAAAACTTATGAACTTTAAAAAAAGAACATTTAAAGAAAGCTCATTATCATACGCTTGGTGAATCTTTCATTGCATCGAATCAAAATTTGAAATTTGAAAAAAAGGTTAGTTTTTCGGCTTTGATTTTTCATTTTACGCTCTTTCAAATAAAAATATGTTTATATAATAATTGAGTTGAATTTTTTTGATCATACTGTAATGGCTATGAAAAACCAAATTTCACACCTTTTCAAGAACCATTCCTCCAGCTCCTTGAGGTAAGTGAATCGTGCTTTGCTGGACCTGCTGTTGAGGGGCATGATGAACTTGTTGGGGTATTTGCTGTGGAATTTGCTGAGAAATTTGTTGAGGAGGAGGTTGAGGCATTTGTTGAGGAATCGGAGTTGGCATCGGCTGCTGCATTGGTTGCGGATGCGGCTGCGAAGCTGGTGGGGGCATCGGCTGAGGAATCTGCTGAGCCATCATCGGCGCTTGAGGCGGCGGCATTGACGGCTGCATCTGAGGTTGTGGCTGAGACATCGGAGCTTGGAACTGCTGCTGCTGATGCTGTTGCGGATGCTGCTGCGGATGCTGCTGCTGATGCTGCTGCTGATGCGGCTGATGATGCTGCTGCGGATGCTGTTGCGGATGCTGTTGCGGATGCTGTTGCGGATGCTGTTGATGTCCCATTGGTACAGGTCCTCCCATTGGTCCAGTATGTCCCATTGGTCCGGAAGGGCCCATATGCATTTGTGGATGCATTTGAGTCTGCATCGGCGGCTGCATCTGTTGCTGCATTTGTGGAGCTTGCATTTGTTGAGATTGGATGTGTTGATTTTGCATATGTTGAGATTGCATCTGAGGCTGCATCGGCTGCTGGAACTTCGTAAAAAGTTTTATGTGCCACACAAAATTTTTTTTGTTAATCTAAGCAAATTTGAAACAATTTTCTGACCATTATGAAAATTCGTGAATCTCGACAAAAGGACCAAGCCTCTTTATCATTTTTTTTTTGTTTCTTCTACTAATATTCAGTCTCCTAAGACACCATCTTTTATATGGTCAACTGAAAAAGTTGAAGATACATTCCTCAATCATTCGTTCGCTTCGAATACTCGTGCTGGACAAAATAATGACAAACCTCATGAAACTTTCAGTTTAGAAAAAGCAAAAAAAAAGTCTTACCATGTTCATGTGTCCCATTTGAGGCGCGTTCCCCATCTGTATGTTTCTTTGCTGTAAATGTTTTCCAGTTATTGGACATGTTCAAACTATTTTTTATTGCTTGTTTTCTGTTGGGTCAGAGTTTTAATTCATTAAACCAAATTATTTGAAATTTTTGAATTTTTTTGATTTCAAAAGAACGTAAATTATGAGAATTCAGAAAAAAAGAACCAAAAATTCTGAAAAAAAGTTTGGGTGATTTGCAATAGCCGTTCGAAATTTTTTTCGAAATGTTTTTCAGTAAAATTATTATGTTAAAAAGTCCCTGATAAAAAAAGAAATTGTACCTGCAAATGCTGTTGAGGTTGGTTCTGCGAAGGATGTGGCTGCATGTGTTGGGGCGGGCCCTGATGTTGGTGTTGAATGTGTTGGTGTTGCTGGTGTTGGTGCTGTTGAGCGGACTGCATCTGGGGATTCACGTAAGGTCCTTGCTGCATCTGCGGATACTGCTGGTGGGGATGCATCTGCATGTTTGGCGGGTTCTGCTGCGAACCGCCCATCCTCATGGCAGGATTGTATGGCATGGACCGAACTGTAAAATTTCATTTTTTTTTACTAAAAGCTCTAAAATAAATTCTTTGGCGAGTGTCAGGATCATTAGAAGGAATCAAGGTCTCAGGAAACGATAAAGACTAAATCTTAGCTTGATCTGTGCTTGATAGAAAAACGAAAATGATACAGGGAGCTCCTGGTCCAAACTTGAAATTGGAAAACAAAAAGTGGAAGGGCATCAACTTGAAATATAGAAAGAAAGCCGTTTTTAAACAAAGAGAATCACTAAAATTAACTATATGAAGGCGAGGAGTTTTTTTTCCTGTGTAAAAATATAAACCTTGCTGCATCGGCTGCATACGAATGGGATTTTGTGGATGCTGCTGAGGATGACCATAGCCGGAGGGGTAATGAGGCTGATCGTTGTGCATTTTTAGTCCTGAAATTTCGGAAATTACTGAGAACCCTAAATCAAGAAGCGTGCAAACTTTCAGATATCAAGAAAAGAGGAGAGATTGGGAAATTTCAAGCCGATGAAATGTTTCTTAACCTCTTGAAATATTCTGATACTTACGAATTCAGTAAGTACACTATTATTTTTCGAAGAAATAGAAAATCTGAGTGAAGAAAAGAGTTCTCACTGGAATGAAGTCGTAGGTTCCAGGTGAGTAAATCAATAATGCGTGGCCGCATTTTGCAGTCGCTGTGTCTTCACGTATGAATCCGTGTACGGAGATTCTTAATTATATTTATGAAAAAAATATAAGTTAATTATTTTTTTCATATATAGAGTATTATTTCAATAAAATCATGAACCATTCAAAAAAAGGGCGTGTTAAAGTTCTTGTAAAAAAAACCTCATGAAAATCCAATTTTTGAAATCCTCTTGAAAAAAACTTGGGCTTGAAGTATGCTTTGAAGCAATCTGTAGTTTCAAGGTTTTTCTTCTGATTTTTTTCATAACTATACAAAGTTTCTTATAATTATATATTCAGTGAAAAAAATGATAAATTGGTAATAAGAAAAAAAGAGCCTTTAGAAAAAAATGGTTAAGTTTCACTAAATGTTTTTTTGAATTTTTTAAAATGGAAAACAATTCTAATTTCTCTGTTGTTTTAGGCAGAAAAAAATTTCAAAAACCAAAGAACATATAAAAAAACTTACTTAAACTAAGCATATATAAAAAAACCATAGAGTGGAGAAGTGACAAAAAAATGTCAGGTAACTTATAAAAAAACTCGTAATTATTGCTGTTAAATAAATTAAAAATACTTTATTTCAAATATATGTATATATTGAAATTTATGAAACAATCCGGTAATATTTACAACTGTAAAAAAGCTGCACAGAGTATGTAAATTTTGTGTCAAAGCTGATAAAATGAAATGAAAAAAACAAAAAGATTAAAACAAAACTTTTGAGAATTTTTTATGTTTGCAATAATACTTACCTGCTTATAAATGCAGAAATACTCATAGCTGCTGTTTTCAAGAGACGAATAAATTTAAAAACCGCCGGAAATAGCAAAAAGAAGCAAACCGAGTACGATTTGGCGCAATGTTTACATCGCTGCAATTGAACGAGGTACAGAAGCTAAAAGCTTTGAAACAATTTCAATCGATTTCTTTCTTCATTCAAAACACTTTTTCTCCCGCTCTGATCGTTTGAAAAAAAATTTCTAGATCCTCTAATATTCTTATCAAAATAAGGCCATTTCTATGCTTGTAGTTTTTCGTTTACTATAAATGAGTTTTTTTATGAAAAAAAGTCGTCGGTGATATTGTATTATATAAAACAATCCACAAAAAACTTGAATAATTTTAAATAAGGTAGAAAAAGGCTGATTGAAAAATATTTTGCACATACTCTCTTTGATTATCGATAAAAATATTTTATGAACTTGACTTGGAATATTTTAAATTATGAGGTAAAAATTTCCGTGTAATGATCAGGTCAATCTCCCGTAATGCACAAAAAGGAAAACTTTTTTTGGACAATTGAAAAAAACCGGCCTGAAAGTTTTTAGTCAAGAGTTTTTTTCCCCAATCGAACTCACGAGTAGCGTCGATCAAAAGCAAACTTTCCCAATAACTTTATTCTTTAAAAAAATTTGAAAACAATCCGTTCAAGAAAGCGACATATATCAATGATTATTAAAATTACGAGACATAAGTAAAAGCTATTACCCAAGATTAAGCACAAACGAAATCTGACAAGATGGAGATCAGAGAACCATTCGCAAAAAAGTGATGAAAACATTTGGCAAAGTCCCCGAATCGTTCCAGATAAATCGGAAAGTTGCAAAAAAAAAAAAACTCTTTCATCACTCGAAAATAGTACCAGTATGACATGGCACGCAGAAAAGAACTTTTAACTACTTGGGCGGCGCATAAGAACAACAAGGACTGCTGTGATGAGAAGGAACGCTGTAGCTGAAGTCAGGCGAATCAGGAGCAGCTGGGATTACCGGGGAGACCTTCCCGGTGAGCAGTTCGGTGATTTCCTTGCCGAGGAATCCTTGGGTCGGCATCCTGCTCATCGAGAGGTTCTCCGACAGTCGACTGTCCAGCGTTTTCAGAGAGTTCTGAAAAGTTGGTTCTTGCTGCCCTTGTTATCCAAGTTTAAGAAATCTCAAAAAATTTCCGTTAGCACAAAAAAAAATTTTCATTTTCTAGTTTCTTTTTTTTTGAGTTTTGCCATCATTGACTAGCCTTCCAATATAGTATTGACTTTTTCTAAGTGATGAGAATCAAATTAATCATACCTCCTAATGAAATTAGAAAAATGCTTCTTCTGAGTTATCCCTTTTCTTTTTCTTTGATTACCTGCCAATGAAGATAATATCTTCAAACATTGGCTTCCAACTGAAAATTGACACTTTCAATAATTCTTGAGGACTTAGAAACTAAAAAAAGAAATTTTTGATTAAATGGTGAACTTTAACAGTCATAGAACATTCGCAAAAACATGTTCAAAATTTTTATCGTACAATTTCATTCTAAGCTTCACAATTGAAACAAAAAAAATCATTTACGAATTTTTCGTTTTATTTTTCAATATAAAGGGAATGTTGGTAAAGAACTTGAAATTATCAGTTAAAATGTTTCCTAAAAATCGCATCAAATTATTTGATCGGGCTGTGAAACTTAATTTTTTTTTTTTTTTAGTTTCAAAAAAATGTAAAAAAAGGGTGACTATTTTTTTCAATTTCGAAGTTTGCTCTTTCCCACAATTATCTGGGAAAATATTCACGATTTTTTTCTTACCTTGATCACTTGAACCTTTTCTTCGAGCAGCCTGTTTTCGTAGTTCTGAACTTGGGAAAGGACATGTGCAGAACCGATCGCGTCGAGATTAGAAGAAATTTGGAGTTCCAACTTCATCTGTTGGTTTTTCACGCGCCACTGAAGATATCATAAGAACTATGACTGTCACGGAAAAAACTCACATAATCGCGTCGATCGTCGTAAAATTCTTCAAAGCCAAGCTCTTTCTTTTTTGCTTCGGCCAATCTAGGATCGTAGTAGCGCATCATATCCGCCCAAAGCTGAGGATTGCGTTTTCTGATTGGAATGTAAGGTCTTCCACCTGCAAGAAAAGTTTTACACTTTGAGTTCATATACCTCACAACCAGAAAATATCACATTTTGATGAGATAGAAGAGAAAAATTGATAGAAACGTTGAATTATGTGACCTTGTAAAGCTTTTGTGTTTGTGTTAGTAATTACTCTAATAAAAGGATTTATATCTGTTTTTTTTTGGCGCAAACATATTCAGAAAGCATCATGAAAGATTTTCAATTAGTTCTGGACTGAACATTTAGAGAAACCCAAATTTGGTTTCCTAAAACCCACGGTTCTAATAGGTTTTTTTCATTTTCTCGACACTATACGACAAAATTTTGAAACTCTCGATTTGAAAAGCAAGAAAGGTGTAGGATGAGAAATTATTTAGCATATCCATGTTTTTAATGAGTTACAAAAGTTTTCTGGACTATCAAGCATATCAAGTTTTTAATGAAGCTTGATGTGCTGTCGAGTTTTTATGAGAATAAAATCCTTCGCTAAAGTTTTCAGATCCTCATCCCAAAACCCACTCCGGCGAACCGCCCTCATGGCACGCGAAACTTCTGCGACCGCCTCTGTTGGTGAGAAAGAGCGATTGGGTGGCGAAGGAGAAGCAGGGCCTTCCAGTTCGTCTACTTTGACGTGGATTTCTCTCAGGAGCTCTTGAGGGATTCCGGGCTGTCCTTTTTCCGTTCCTTTCATTGTTTTTTCATCACGACCAACGCATGGCTTAATAATTATAAGTTTGAACCGAAAAAAATCAACGAAAGAACAATTTTTTTCATTATGAATGTTTTTTTGGAACTTACTCGTTTTGCCGAGTGGCCATGTCGGGATGAAGACGAGGCACCAGGCACAGAATGATGAGAAGCGTGGCTTCTAAAAAAATTTGGAACAATATTAAAATAATTTTTGAGTTTTAAATTGAAATATCCTAGCATTCAGTTGTAATGTAAATAGAAAAACTCCTACCTTTTCAAGGCATGGCGCTCTTTTTCTTCTTTTTCCTTATGATGATGCTTCTCTCGTTCCTTCCCACGTTCCCGTTCTTTCTGTTTGTGTCGTTCATGTTTCTCCTTCTCTTTTTCTCGATGTCGTTCTTTATGTTCTTTGTGTTCTTTGTGTTTTTCTCTGAAAATAACTTCTTTCTGAAGCCTCTTCAAATGGGAACAAATTTCAATTTCTAAAAGTTCACTTTGACTTGGTTGCTGGAGATGGCCCCAAAGAAATTGTGGGCTTGTGTTGCAAATTACTTGGCGCTTGTGGAACATTTTTCTGTGCCTAAATTGATATTGGAATGTTTTTCAAACTCTAACCAATTTTTTCCCGCTTGAAAGGCGAGGGAGGCGGAAAAGGGAGCGGAACGCGTAACGTTTGCGGTTCTCAGCACAAGATCAATTCAACCGTCAACAACTATTTTTAAAGCTTGTTTATAGCTCTTTTTATTTATTGTGATCCATTCATTGATTTGGATCGGGTCAAGAACAGCGTCCCGCACACTTCTACGTTTCCCTCGTCTTTCAATTCTTGATGGATGGACTGGAGAAGTAAAATCAAAAAACCGATTGTGAAGAGGTCGTCACAGGTTTTTGACCCGACGTCACCGGAGTCGGAGTATTTTTGATCGGCACCGCGGGTTTGGAAGGCTGAACTTCAAAGTTTTGAGATTTTCAATATTTTCTTACTGTTTTAGTCAAAGTTGGAATTTTGGGAGGCACTGGCGGAGCTGCCACAGGCTTGGGAGGGACTGGTGTGGGAGAAACAACTGTCAGTTTGACGCTGAAATCAATATTATAAGCAAGTTCGAAAGAATATTTGATTTACATTGGTTTTGGCGGAGTTGGAGGTGGCGCATTCGGAGGTGGCACATTCGGGGGTGGCGGCGGAGGGAACATTCCTTGAAAGAACGGCGGCGGAGGCGCTGAAAAGCTGGTGTTTAGCATCTCTTGTAAATTTTTCATTCGAGCTATGTTTTCCTTCTATCTTAATTTTCGATGAAACGTTATAACTCGAGAGAATTCTTCAAAAGAAAAAAAAATGATTTTCCTTTTTTCCCTAGTGATGACTTGTGAATTAAATGATTAAAAAATGTTTTTTTCGGGAACCCGGTTTCATTAAAGTTTTTTTTAACTCATGTAACTGATAGTTTGAAATAAGATTTTTTTGGGAAGAAGATAGGATCAAAAACTAACATAATAATGACAACCAACGAGAATACTCGATGTAGTTTACAGATTTTCAAAATGGTGGTTTAAACATTTGTTTGTTTCAAAATGAAAGCTTACGGTGCATTGGTGTTGGAAATTGACCGAAAGGAGGAGGCGGTTGAGCAAACGGCGGAGGTCCACAGAAGTTCTGCGGTGGCGGCATGTTGAATGAAAAAGGAGGCGGAGGCGGCATTGGAGGATTCGGAGGATTTGGAGGTGGATAAGGTGGCATATTCTGAAGCGAATACCTAAATTATCAAAAACCGAAATTTCAAAAACCTGAAATCGATTATGTTCTGGCGGAGGAGGTCCCATGCGGTCTCGAACCATTCTTTGCTCATATTCTCTCCATTCGCGTGGTTTATCCCATTGTGAAATCTGAAAGAACGGACTTTAGCCGGTGTTCAAGCAGTTGTGCGAATGGATTCGTCAAACAAAATTTTTTCACGTGAGAAATGAAGACTGTGAATTTGTTTTGCTGTACTTTATGAAATTGATCAAAATTGTACTTTGCAAATTACTCAAAAAGTACTCAATAATAAGCATCCAAAAATAATTGAGTGTCTTAAACTAGTCAAAGCCGTTGTGAAACGCTTCAAAATTTATTGTAACACTTATTTATATTATATCAATCGAGAAAACCTTGAGAAAAGAGATCGATGAGTTCGAGATTGGACAAGTACGAAAAACAAGAAAGAGATGGCGTTATGATTTTGACGCTCTTTTGAAGACAGTTTGAATTCTTTCCGATGTGATTATTCAATATTTTTTTTTGACATGTACAAGCCATAATGTAATTGTTGATTTTTCCAAAAAGCGTTTCTAATGGTGGATATTCTAACTTTGAAATGGCTCAAGACGTAGAGCATTTTTTGAAAAGAGTTCAAGAGTTTTACGCTTCAAAAAAGACATGAAGTTTTCTTCGACATGAATTGAAATATTTGAATGGCTAGATGTAAGAAAATAACTGACCTCTGTTCTATTGTTGTAAAAGTACTTCCGGCCAGTAGAACTTGTCTGCTCAGTCCACTCTCCGAACTCTCTGAGCTCCATCGGAGGCATATCATGACGAGGATGTGGCGGCATGTCGTGGCGTGGATGGGGAGGATGCATTTCATGACGATGTGGTGGATGCATATCACGGCGATGGGGATGAGGAGGCATGTCATGACGGAATGGAGGCATGTCGTGGCGATTCGGATGAGGAGGCATATCGTGGCGATTCGGATGAGGAGGCATATCGTGTCGATTTGGATGAGGTGGCATGTCGTGCCGATTAAGATGAGGTGGCATATCATGGCGATTTAGATGAGGAGGCATATCATGGCGATTTGGATAAGGAGGCATGTCATTACGATGTGGATGAGGGGGCATGTCGTGACGATGTGGATGAGGAGGCATATCATGACGAAACGGAGGCATGTCGTGACGATTTGGCGGTGGTGGTGGCATTGGCGGTGGTCCTGGCATCGGTGGCATTCCTCCCATCGGCGGTCCTCCCATCGAATGCATCGGAGGTCCTCCCATTGGCGGAGGTCCTCCCATTGACGGAGGTCCTCCCATTGGTGGTGGATATCCAAAGTTCATTGGATGCGATGGACCCGGATTTCCATAGTTATGTGAAGGAGGTGGCGGAGGTGGAGGAGGTGGCGGTGGTTGCCAATAAGACATTTTGAATACCCGTTATGAACCTGCAACAAAAAAAACAAAATCCCCGAGAATAAAAACGGGATTGTGAAACGGATAGAACTGTAGAAAAACGCAACTGTGGATTTTTAGTAAGTAAGAATTGCGAATTCAGATTTTTCATCAAAACTCAATGAAGAAACAATTCTGAGGTTTTCAAAAAAGAAAATATCTTTCCTGCTGTTTCTCGCAAACCAATTAGAGAGAATGATTTAAATTTATCCACGATGTTTCCTGGGAAACCGTTCCTAGAAAATTGCTCAATAATTGATGAACCTTGTGGCAGCTCATAATTAAACCAATTTCTGCAAAATTTTTTTAAGCTAATTTTTTTACTAATTAAGCAAAAACACGAGAAACAATTAAAGAAAAAAATTATAAATAAGATTATGAAGCAAATTTTTGAAAAAGAATATTTTGATTTAAAAAAAGTTTCTAGTTTTTTTATTCTTTTTTTACAAAGATATTTTTCGAAAAACAACAAAAAAACGTTCATGACACGCGGTCGACTTGAATGCTGTACGCTCAAATGAAAAAAATCATTCCGGTTATGAAACTATGATAAGGAAAAGAAAAACTTTCTGACAAACAAACAATAAAATGAAATTAGCGAAATGAATGAAAGTGAGCAAAAAGCATTAAAAAAAGAAAATTTTGAAAGTTTTTACGATTGCAAGGCAACGCTGGGAGTGCAGTAGGGCGCACTTTCTTTGACGCTTCAAGAACAAAAATTTCGCGTATTTAAAAAAATTATTTCTTTAATTTTATTAGGTTATATAAAATAACTTTTTTTCATTTTTGATTGTGAAATAAAGTTTAAGTAGCTACATTTTACTGGAATAATTCAGGTATTTTTAAAAATATATTGAGTACAAAGCGCTCTAAAAACGTTAAAAAATTTTCTTTCTTTGAACGCGTCTTTCAGATGTATTTTTCTCTTTTGCTAGATGGCCACTCCGCAAGGAAAGCTTCAGATAACTTTTTTTTTTTAGCAAACAGGAAAATCCCAAATTTCGAGACTTTGAACTAACAATGGGTTTTTCAGGAGGTTTATCATTCGCAAGGAGAATAGAAAAAAATAACATGGAAAACAAAAATATTCTAGTAGAAAAAAAGAATTTTTTTATTTCCTTCATAAATATTTTTTTCCTTTCACCTTCTCATGTTTTTTTGTCGTCGCATTGCAAAAAAACTCAGAAAAAAAGTAATAATTTATCTCTTGATAACAAAAAGTTGACGTATGACAATCAATAACAACAAAAAAATACCCATAATAAAACAAAAAGCTGAGCATCAGAATTAAGCGAAAGAGCAATAAAAAAAAGAATGGAACAAAATAAAGGTAGTATTTCTCAGTAGTCATATGTAAACCGTAAAATCACACGTTTGTGAAATAACAATGGCCGAGGCAAAGTAAAGCATTTAAAATAAAACAAAAAAATAAAATACAGTTACGAAATAAATAACAAGAAGTCAATACCGTGGATTCTCATCACTACTATGACTTGAAAGTGAAGAAGTTGAGGAATGATGTATGGGTTGAAAAGCGATTGGCGACGGCCGAGTTTTTGTGTCGAACATTTTTGGTGAATCGGTATATTTCCCATTCCGAGGCGTTGACGTCATTCTCACGTTCTCGACCTTAATTTTTTTTTTTTCAGAGTTCGAGAAAAAAAAATTCAGAATTTGAGAAAACCAAAAAAGCCGGCGCTGATAGAAGTTGATATTTTTGAAACTACCGGAGGTGCGCTATTGAGTTTTGAACAATTGATAAAACGGTGCAGGAAGCTTTCATGAAGCGCCGTGATTTTAAATCAAAGTAGAAAATTCATTGAGTTTTAAAAAATTTCAACTCTTTAAGTTCGAGCTTCAGTAGCTGAGCCGCAGAATATTAGTCCATCGCAAGACTGAAACAAAAACTATACCGAGCTATCGTCGGGACTCTGAGTTCTCCGCCTTCGAGTATGACTGCTACGAGGAATCATCCGAATGTCAGTAGGTCTCACAACTCCATAAGTTGAGAGGCTGAAATAAATCATTCAAATTGTGTGTATGCGTCTCAGAAACCTTGCAGTGCTTGGCGGTGGGGCGTAAAAACGATGAGGTGGAATTTCGGCGCTCGATGAAATTTTGCTCGCTGTCCAGCTCGAATTCGGTGGCGGCAAAGCGATACACGTTGAAGAGCTGTTTGTTACAGAATATGAATGCAACGGGACCTGAACATGATATCAAATTGAATTTCGTTTTTTTTTTCAATGCGGACTTGGTCTGGAAGGAACTGCGGTGGCCGAGGAATAGCCGTCGAAGGAAGTAAAGAACTCGCTTCGTTCCTGTCAGTGGTCATCGTGCAATTGGTCGGCGATGGCGCCTTCGCTTGCCTGTGAACCATTCAGAATAAATAAAAAATACAAAATCACCTGGCACAGCAGAACATGACGAGGATCAGGATGAGTAATATGACAATGGCCAGAAGCACGCTGTACAACCAACCGGCGTTGCTTTGAATAGCAGAAAATCGGAAGCAAACCTCAAAGAAAATAATCAGTAAAGCTAAGAGCTTCGAGTGATTACCAATGCACTCTCGTCTTCTCCTAACTCGCAATCCAAATTTTGATTGCACATCGAGATCCTTGGGACGCATTTCTTTGAATTTGAACTGCTCCACGCTCCACAGTCAAAGTTTTCATGAGGTCTTTCGCATCTAAAAGATTTTTTTTTTGCAATATTTTATTATAAACGCTAAAAGTACAGAGCTAATTTCGAAAAAGCATGCGATCATATCATTTTTTTTGAGGAAACAAACAAAAATGAGTTTTTCATTCAAAGCCTCAAATCTTAACCTGCAATGAAGTTCATCAGAAGCGTCAGGGCAATGCGTGAAGCCGTCGCACACAAAAGTACGATTAACACTGGATGTACCGTCGTCGCAGGGCCAACCTTCGCCTACGGTAGAACACTGGGATGAGGTTTCATCGCTGTGATCGCTGAAATCACTTTAGTCTTTATCAATCTTTTGAGCGAAACTCACTTGCAGTCATTGACCCTATCACATTTTTTGGCTGCATGAACACACTGTTGCCCATCAGCACATGAAAACTGCCAAGGTTCGCAAGTTACACTCGGGACGCAGATTTTGCTGCTGAAAATAGTAAAACTGTGAAAATAATCTTTGTTTGATTTGCCTTTCTGAGCTGAGCGCAAATCCGATGGGGCACAAGCATTCAAACTTTTCTTGAATGGGGGCATCTTTTTCTCGAGCGTAGCGGCACATGTGAGAGCATCCGGATTCCCGGCAAGTTTTGCTTTGAGCTTCCAAGGTAGCTGAAACGAATTTTACATGGACAAAATTAGAGAACCTATTAGCAAACAAAAATACTTAAAAAAATACTTTAAACTCGCAAAAAGAATTTTTTTAAATTTAGGATAATATTACTTTTGATCGCTCCCTATACAAATTTGAGAATTCTTAGTTTTTTTGCCCTATATCTTTTTATCGTCTCATCTCAAGTTTACTTCAGAATTTTTTTCCATATTTTTTGAACTTCCCACGGTTAGATTTCGAAAAAAATTTAAGAAGCGACATTGAAAAAATTTCAGCTAGACGTTCGAAAAGTTGTTTTAGAGAAAATTCTGGTTCTCGAAAAAAGTTATTACAGGAAAATTTTCATACTGGAATTTCATGAATCTTTAAAAACTCACATGTTATAGTTAACAAATAAGTGTCGGTAAGCGCGGGAATTGTCTCATTAATCAGCAAATCAATCACAAACGATTTTCTGAAAGGATTATTGAAGATGTATATATTTTGTTGAGAAAAACTGTTTGTGAATATCCGCAACGAGTACTATGACTTCATCAAGGGGAGCCACCGCGTATTCCGTAGTTCCTTGCTGCGAAGAGTAATGATGTCTGACGTGAGAAGTTGCCGAAGCAATATCTCTTGACCAAACACCCGTCTTGCTCTGAAAAAAAGATTTCATTATGAATAACTCGTGATTTTTACAGTATAAAAAAGACGAGAGCTCTCAATGTTCAACTCAGCCTGTAATTTCGTGTTGGCCGATACTCCCTGGAAAGATTTTTTTTGCTTGAAATACACAAAAAAATTACTTCGGTCAGCCAATTGATGCATTTTTTGCCGTCCAGAGAGCACTTCACAATAGAACTTGTCCCTTGTTTAGCTACCCCACTTTTGTCCACATAGAAAAAAATACTGAAAATTTTTCCTCTCTTCGCGCATTCAGATTTCCTGAGACTTTTTCAGAGGAACCACAATAATGGCGCGTGGTTGCGTCGGAATTCCTGTTGCGGAAGCAGCCGCATCTCCGGAGACAACAATACCAATGTATTTCAATAAAATCGGAGAATTCTGAAAAGAAAAACATCAGAATTTTCTGAGAATTCGAAATAATTGTATACGGAGATGGAATAAACGGCTACAAATCCCGTCGAGCTACGGTAACATGTCGTGTACAACTGGTTCCCGACATCGTCAACAGCCAAAGCAACGAAGAAATTGCAATGACTCGAAGTCAAGCTGTTGAAAGCCAGCCGCTAAAAAATACTTTGGAAACTTTTCAGATAGAAAAGTAAAACCTCATAAGGATGATCAACACTTGCAGTTTTAATAGAAGTAGGGTCATCTTGTTCGATCCAAAAGAGGGTGCGAAATACGGAATGGTATGAAATGGAGGAGATCACGGTAGAGCGCTTGAATTTCAGAGGCAATCGGGTTATTGGATCCTAGAATGAGATGAGTCTTATCAAGCCTGAAAACTATTGTACTTGGCGCCATGTCATTGATTTGTCGGCTAAGCGATGAAGGGACAACATCGATATTCCATTATGTGTTACAGCAAAGACTGACTGAGCGATTGCTGAATTTAATTTTTTTTTGTTCCGCTATTGATCCCGAACTGACGTTTGCATTGAGCAGCTACAGTGGCAACGGCAGCTGAACTCTCTAAGAAAAAATGGTCCGAGCAGGTGCACATTTCGGAGTGCGACTCTTCGAATCCAAAAAAAGAGCGTTCGTTTTCTCTTTCTTTAGGTAGACACAGCTGTTTGCATCTGTTTGTTTCCCAACCACACAAGTCAATTTCTAAAAAAAAAAAGAAGAAGAATTAGAAGGAACATCGATTCCACAAACTCTTATTAGGCTTTTCTTGACGCTGGTGAAGTTTGAAGCTGCTTATGTGAGGCATGTTTGAGTGAATTGATTTGAAAGCCATTCCATCGTAATTTCCAAGAACTCCCGGAGTATCCGCAGAGCCCGAGTTCTCGATGAAGTAAAGTAGATTGTTATAGAAACTGATGTCGAGCGGATTTCGATCTTTTCCGACGTAAAGAATCTCACGCTGTTTTCCTGAATTTGGATCTTCGATTTGTTAAGAAAGATTCAACCTAAGAAAGTTCAACTAAAAATTATCAATTACAGACGATGCAATTTCCTTTTTATATTTTTGTAGACTTTTTACGGTTTTTATAGGTTAATGTCACTGTGAGCACATGCGCGTGCATTTTGACAAAATGAGGAGGGCGCCGAAACTACAATTCATGTCGACCTATCCCTCGCCTCCTAGACATCCCGCAAGCTATTCTGCTGGTGAAAGCAATGTTTAATAACGCTTTCAAAATTTCAGACCAGCTCTGTTTGTTATGAATTAAACGCATTCACTATCACTGCCTACCAATTATTCGGGATATTTCAAACTTTTTCTTGCAATTTGATCCAAGTCTAGTCATCATCGTGTGTTGTGGCGTTTCTTTGGTTTACACCACTTTCAACGATAGTGACAAGAATAAAATCAAATTTTTTATTTTCTTTCTCGAAACTTTTATAAGAAATAAACTTGCCATCTAACAATGCGACGGATACAATCCAAACATCATTGTTTTCCACCCAATAAATTTGAGAGTTTTGTTCATCGATAGACAGTGATAAGATGTTCTCCAGCTCTGTGATAATATCCACGCCACCAGAAACATCACCGGACATTGGAAGCTTCTGGATATATTAGCTCTCATGAAAAGTAATAACGTCATTTTAATTACTCGAATGGTGACGTTTTTTGCTGCATTCACGTAGAAAATTGCTTTTTGCGTAGAGCTCAGAACCATTTGTCTTGGATAAGTGTTTTTCCAAGCCAAAGCCCTCCGAAACTGGCCCGTCATATCACAGACTTCTACACGATTTGTGTGAGCGTTTGTCCTGGTTATCAAAAGAATGATTTTTTTTTGATATTTGTCTCACCAAAATATGTTCCTCGAAGTTTGGTCTACAGCAATACTGACCACGCCGTTCAAACTAGACTCGCTAAGAAGTACTGTAATCGATGGAATGGCTGTGACTACACTGTAGTTTGAAACAGATGGAATTAGAGCTTTGGCGATTGTTCCGTATCCATCAACTGATATGCCAGCGATAATCAGTTCAGATTGAAACTGAAACAATGTTTCTCTCTGAAATGATTGGAGATTTCCCACGTTGTCAACGCTTGCGCAGAGAATCTTCTTGAAAACGTCGTTGTAGTTTGAAATGAAGTTATTCGTTTGGGGCAAACTGAATAACAAAATTCATTTGTTTTACCTGTATTCTAAATTTACCTCCCTGAAGTAACAATTTCCAGAAAGTTCTGTCCTCGGCCAGAAATCATGAAAAACATTTCGGAGAAGGCCGTGCAGCTGATTCCATCGTCTTTCAAGGCAAAGCCATCTGCACAAAGACAGACCGGTTTCCTGAAATTTAAAATTAGATGATTTTAAAACCAGCAAAATGGAACACTTTTTAAACATTTATTGATAAATAAGTCATGAACTCACAAAGCATAATTACTGGTGCAAATATGCTGGCATCCACCGTTTGAAACAGAGCAAACATCTTTTTTGATGTCATTGTTGAACATCGAGATGGCTTTCATTCCACTGGACCCAAATATTGAAACTTCAATTTTGTCAGCTTCGTCGGCTTCTGGAATAAATTATGGATATTTTATGAAAATACCCTACTTACAATGAACGAATGTTCCGACTTATCTTTCTCTTTTTATCTGTGAAAATAGACAGAACCAGTGCGACAAACACAAAAAATAAAAAATGAATTCAAGCCATTGCAGAAAAAAATATATATATATTAAAAAGTACTAACCACTAGGGACCATTTTGAGAAGATAACGCTCAGCGAAGGAATTGAAGAAAATCGTTTCTTCTTCAAATTTGATCGAGATTTGCTATGAAGAAGTTCAAATCTCACCAAGAACAGAAACAATATTAGGTTGTGCGAGGCGAATGGATGGTGGGAAATCGATCCTTTCCGCTATTCCTTCGTTCAGATCAAGCCACTGAGAAGTTGAAAAGATTATAATTAAATGAGCTGTGAAAACTGACAGCGACTTGGGTAGAATTACTTTCTGTCCAGTATACTTTGTTAGCTTTTACGTCAAAGTCGATGCTGATGACAAAATGACCTTGGGGCAATGATAACTGAAAATGGTCATTTGTTAAATTTTGGAAAAAACTTACGATTCTTGTACGATTTTTTCCATCCAATGAAAACTGTTCGATGATACCGTAGTCTTCACGATCACCTTAATCAATGATTGTTGGATCTCAATAACTCGGAACTCTCACTTGCAACGACAATGATCCGTTTCTCGTAATTCAAGGCAAAAGCTTTTGCGCCCCTCAGGCCGTTCAAAATGATGGTTTTAGAAAAAAAAGTTGATAAACTTGTCATCTAAACCAGTAAAATCAATTGATTTTCTAATTAAATTTTTTTTACTCCAATCCTCGACGTTATCCCTTCTTCGAGCCAATACAAATTTTGAGTAGGAGGGTCGATTTTTATTGCTTTTACGTTTGTTGGAACAGTGAGAATGACCTCAAATTCATTTTTTTTGATGATAAAAATTAAAAGACAACCTTTGTGTTTGATCCATTTATAAGGCATCTTTTGACAACTTTTCCAAAAACAGAACTTGTTGGTTCCTCTCGAAGCCCTTCTAACCAATACACAAATTTAGTTTTTTGGTCGAACTCGACTCCATCCAACTTTTGTCCTTGCTCATGACCCTATCATTCAACGATTCGGTAGCTGTTACAGTATCGAAATACCTCATATTTTATTTGAATGGAAGTTAAATCTGAAGTATCCAGGGAGATTTTATACAAACCATTCAGAGCCGAAATCAATAACATCTGAAAAAATCAATTAATTTTTCTCGGAATCTTTCAGAAACCTTATCAATCCCTTTCTTCTGACAAGTTCTGCCATCTTTTTCAAGAGCGATACCAATAGGACAGGCGCAACTTGCGTGAGGTCTTCCATGCGTCAGAAGGCAGTAATGCGAACAACCGAAATTTCTCCTGGCGCATGGATTTGGGTGTTTGTCTTCAACATTATCATTTTTCAAAGAGTAAAGATAAAAAACACTTTTATGAGGCTGGAGAGCCGGATCGAGTACGACAAAAGTTTCCACACCAGCGACTTTGACCATTTGTTTCGTTTCTTGGCAGTTGTCGATAGTGCAGTACATGAGAGAGCCATGGACACTCATTGACCAAATAAGGTATTTCTGAGTAGCTAATTAAATATGTGATTTTATTGAGAGGAGCATTTTTGAAACAAAAAAAAACCTCAGAAACGGCCAAATGGATGATATCATCAGCTACGGCCTGAACTTGGCAAGAGCGAGATCCGGTCAGATGACAAGCCACAATTTCATTTGCTGAGCCTAAAGACCTCACAAAAAACATCCGTTGTGAGGGAGGGTGAAATGTGAGTGACGTCAGGCGGATATTTTGTTGTGCGAACATTGTTTCAGCAGTCTGTAAAGTGAAAATGAAAATCTCGAATACAGCTTTCGCTCAGAATTGACTAAGACCACTTGATAGGGAAGTCTTCCAAAGGCGGATGAAATTTTTATTTTTGTACTGGAGATCTGTTCAAAACTTCATCAAGCTTATTTTAAGGCATGAAAATTTTGCGAAACTTTTAAATAAATAAGAAGTTTTTTTCCTAAAAAAGGAATTACCGTCAAACTACTGGGTTGCTAGAACTTTCAGAAGTTGAACCGGGATATCAATTTTAAACTTGGCTGTAAACTGAAGATAGAAAAAAATAAGTTCTCTGAAGTATCCAAATTGAGAGAAAATTCTACCTCGATCGGAGTCCTGTCGTGATTGCTTCCGTTCATGTAAGCGCTTTCGACGCTATTTGAAATTCCATTCTGCCAGTACATCAATCTGTGAAGAAAACTGTTTTACTTCATTTATAAATTTTCATACCCTTCTGATGGATTAACGACGAGAGAATAAAGATAATCAAGACCGTCGAAAAGGACCACAGCACAGTTTGAGACGTCGCTAATTGAGCATACTTCAATTCTACCACTGCTATCATGGTCTCCTTGCACTCCAACGTAGAACTGTGAAACACGGAAATGAATTCTCTATTATCTTTTCTCAAACGAATTTTCAATCTTTTCGAAACTTAGTTGAATTTTCTTCAAAAAAAAATTCAGCAAAAAATGAAAAAAGCTTCATGGTTGGAAAAGTCTTACAAGGAAATTCATGTTTTTTTTTTGCTGGAAGAGCTTTTCATACTGTTTACTGAAACTCATAAATGTATTAGGGAGAAAATCCTGAAAATCTCAACTTGCACAACTGCCCAATTTTCGAGAAAAACATTTTAAAAACGAAGAAAGATCTCAAAATTCTAAAAGGAAGCTGTGTAGGTTAAACCATAACTTTTTTTTCCTGGTCAACGAAAAAGTGTTATGGCTAGAGAACAAAAAATTCCAAAAAGGCAAACTAAAATGACCTCTCTTATTAAGGAAAATGAACTCCAACCTGGCCAGTTATCCAGTCCAAATCGATACTCGAAGGCGAATCATCAACATGGTGACCAATTTTTCCAAGTTCTCTGACCTGGCGATCTTCTATGTTGATAGCATGTAAGCTACCTCGAGTCATAAAATATCCGATGTTCTGAAAACACTTTTTCCTGCAAAGTCAAAAACAGTCCTACATTTCTGATGTCCGCAGCTAGTAGAACATGAGCATCTTCGACTATAGACGAAACCAGAGGCGTTGAAACTGTGATATTTAACCTCTCCTCCGTGTCTATTTCAATCAACGATATACTACGAGCAGTTCGAGCAAAAAGTCGGAGACTCCCGCAGCTCACAATGCAAACTAAATAGAAAAAACCCTTAAAAATGAGACATTTCAACAAACCTGAAATAAGGAAAATGCGCGAAAGGCCCATTCTGATGGACAAAAAAGTGCTTCACTATCTGTTTAACAGCTACAAAGTCGGCATACCTGAAATCAGAAATTAAAAAAAAATTTTGTTACCAGAAGGAAATTACTCAAATGCAACTTTACGCAACGATGAAAACGACGTTATACTCAGCACTGAATTTTTGAGCAATAAAAATACAAGAGTAAATAAATAAAAGCTAATCGGTCCAAATAACTGTTTCCCCTCAATTTTCAAACTTGAAAGGGTGCCGCCAGTGCGATAGAGCGCCTTTTCGAGTTTTTGTGTTGGCCGCGAATTGGCTCGAGAGTGCAGCCGAGCAGACCTCGTCCAGATGTTCCCGTCTCTTCTCGAGGTCATACCACAATGGAAAGATCAAAAACGATTTTTCGCTTTCTTCAAGAAAGAATAAAAATTAACATGCGGAGAAAAGCTAAAAGACTCGTCAAGGACAGAATATCATGAAAAAGGAAGCGAGCAGTTTTACACACTATTTCAGAACATTTTGATTCGAAAAGCGGGCGTCGTGGGATTTGGAGCCGGAGTAACTCAGAACCCAAGAAGGGACGTCTCGGTCCTCTGCACTCTGAATTATTGCACTCCAGCGGATTTGCTGTGCTGATCATATTCAGAAGAAAAATGTATGAAACCGATGATGTTTTTGATTATCTGAAAAAAACTAGAAGATTTTGCAGCAAAAAAATTGATGATCTTTTTTTATTAACGTCTGATAAAAATTGAAAACCCATTTTTTTGTCTGTTTCATTCATCACCTCGCTACTAAAGTTTATTTTTTTATGAAAATTGTGTCTAGGACCTTATTTTTTTTAAAGCAAAAAAGATAAGAGAACTAAAAAAATTTTTTTACTCACAAAAAAATATTGTCTGTTCAGATTTTTAAATGTCAAGCAGCTAACTCCGCCCCTGCTGAGACGGTACTTTTTTTCGCGTCGATGTTTTTAACGCGCGGGACTAATTTTTGATCTTTTTTTGATCAGAAAGATAGAAAAAGAAATCAAAAAAATGCAGCCTTATTAAAGGGCCATCGTCATCTGCAGCTAAAACATTGACGCGAAAGATATTGTAGCCTTGGGGGTGGAGTTAGCTGCTTGACATTCAAAATCTGAACAGACTATAAAATTTATTTTTTAATCTTTTTAAGACACAAAAAGTGTTTCATAAAAGAAATGGACAATGATTTTAGGAGGTTTCGAAAGTTTGCGATTTCATCAAAAAAATTTTCAGTCAAGTGGTACGAGGACATTTGTTTTTTTTTTCTTCAAAAATGAAACAGAGATGTGATCAAAACCACGACTTCTCAATATTGAAGGTCTCATTATCGAAGAAAACAAAATGCGTCTAATTTTCCACAAAGCGTGGATTTGCATCCAATTTCATTCACAATGACATTATTTACCCGCGGCTTGTTCGTTATTCAACCAATGTGGCGGATGTACGGCGAATATCGATTTCCCTACTGCAGCCGCCGTTATTGCTCCAGGGCTCATCTGTCGTCCAATTTTTCACCAACCATTTCACGTGCGAAAAATTTGAGGTACTTTTTCTTTTTCGTTTCAATTATTTTCCTTAAACTTCTGAGAGTTTCTCTGATAGATCGAAATTTGCAGAATTAAAACCGTCCGTTTTTATTTTGAAATTTCTATGCAAACGGAAATCTAGGAATAGTTTCAATTTCTGGCATAATGGAACTATGGTATTAATTTCAGTTTTTCTAGGAAATGAAATATAATACGCCTTTCAATTTCCCTAAAGAAAATCTAGCCTTCATGTGACTCAATTCGCTAGCAGATTAAAAATCTAGTATTCCTATTATTTTTCTCAGAAGGTTCATTCGTCAAAAGCCCTATTTTTCTTCTTGATGATCAGCGTTACTGTGGCTGCAAATGGAAGATCTCGTCGAGTGATTGGAGCAAACCTAAAGGCGATTTTGACGTCATTTATCTTTATAATTAAAAAAATAGTTCAGGCCTATGGAAGTGGTCGTCTTCTTATTTGTGAGTTAGATAAAGAGACTCTCATAAACTCGCCAAATGTTGTTTCGAGGAAGTTTGACTTTCAAAGAGATCAAAAAAAACCATCATTTCACAGAAATAAAGTTAGAAAAGTCTTGGAAAAAGTGGTCGAATGGGTTTCACTTCTGATTCGGTTATGCTTGCCTTTTTTATTTTCTGCTGCCAGGAAGCCTTTTAGACCCTCTGCATTTTCTCGTAAAATCCCGATCAGTTCATTCTCTTCTTCTCCAATCCAGGTATAACTTTTCACCTGGAAAAAATTATCGAAAGCTTTCAGAAGTTAACGGATGATCTTCTGCTGAATATTTTTTCCAAGTTTGATGCAGAAAGTGTCATTTCCTGTGAACTGGTGTGTCGAAGATGGTCAGGAATTATCAATGAAAACCTGAATGAATTGCCAAAAAAATTTCTACGGATCAGGTTTTTTTCAATTTTTCTTATAAAATTTTTGAAATTCTTGCTCTTTTTTTGAATTTGACAGCAAACTTTTTAAGATTCGCGCTCTATTTGACGAAGGAGAAGTTGTAATCTATCCTATAGACGAGAAACGCTGTCCAACTCGTTATCCAATGCCTTCATTACAGGTTTTTTCCTACTTTGTGAAGGCGAAAAGTTTCCTTTCATTTTTAAATCGGAAAACTTTAGTGAAAAAAAAACCATATTTTGGCACATTTAGTGAAAGAAGCAAAACAATTTATTTTTTGAGAGTATTATTACCAGTGGAAAACTCCATTTTTTTTCAAATATTTCAGCTGCTTGGATCCCGGCTCAAGCATCTCACAACACAATCTTTATTTGTTCGAGGGCTAATTCCTATCGAATCAAATCCAGTGTTGAGACTTCTTAACAGTCTTTCACTTCAGCCTCAGCAGATTTATTTTATTTGGAGCAAATTCGCGATTGACAGTATTTATTTGGTTAGTTCAGCAAAGTTGAACTAAAAAAAAATAATTTAGCTAGAGGAGCTGATCAACAACAACAAGGACACGGTTTGTGACATTGGACTGGAAGAATGTGCTCCATCGCATTTGTTCACAGATCAGCTCGTTTCACCTGTTGTTTCACGTGAGTTAATAACGGTAACTTCAAAAATATCTACGGTCAATTGAATAACGTTTTCTTTATTTTTGGAAGTCGGGACTTTTTTCAATTCTTATAAAGTTGTTCCAATGACCATTTCAAAGAACATCTGAAGCATTGAATAGAAAGAAAACTGCAAGAAAATCGTTCGATGTGTCTTTGATGTAATATTTGACAAACAGAGAATTTGATGTTTGCGGCGTGATTGACGAGAACGGATTTTGATCGAGTGGAAATCGAAGACAGACCAACCATATTTTGGAGCGACCGATCAACTTCAAATTTTCAGATCTCACATCACTGCGTCTTTGGAACAATTGTAAGTCGTCTCATTACGCCATCACCGACACGACGACCTTCGCTCTTTCGAAGTGATTCTCCCTCAAGCGACCTCTTGCGGCACACTTCGTTCAGGGCGATCGCCGAAGGTGTGCCTGTAGAGACGATAGACCTCGCGACGTGCAGCATCACCAACCACAGCGTCATCGCCGCCATTCTCGCCTGGACCATGTGTCCACGCAGCGATTTGTCCATTTCACTCAGTCATTGTCCCTTGATTGACAGGTCAGTTTTGAACTCAAACAACTAATTTACTACAACAAAAATTTTTTTTGATGAATCAGTCAATCATCCAAAAAAAAAAAATTGTAACAGATAAAAATTTGGAACTATTTTGAGTTTTACATCAATCAGAGAAATCTGAGACTGTAGGAAGTAATTTCTACGCAGTTATATCATTCTTCACATTTTTCAATCATTCTCAAAAGTTTTTTGCAGAGAAGCTTTACACGAGGAGTTGATAGCGCAAGAAATCTTTCTCAAAGAAGATCGAGTTCGTCTGAACGGTTACACGTTGACGCTTTTCTGCTGATGATTACGCTGGCTTCGCTGTCATTCAAACATTCATTGGCCTTTGATCTCGTAAGACATACATGATAGTCAGAAGAACGAGTAAAGAATTCTATTATGATGTATGGAGCGTGAACAAATACGAATCTGAGAGTGAATTGGACTCAATTTTTTCACAATATGTACACGAAGGAACAAAATCAACAAAAAACTTTGTAACAGCACCAGTAAAGTTTCATAACACAGTTCAATTCAAACAGTATACATTAGACGTTTCCTGGACACCTAATGACAAGTTTCCACGATGGGATTGGGCACTTCTAAGATTTCTGGGATTTCAACTTTGCCAGTTTTTGAGCCGCGGTAGTCGACTTTCTGTCCATATTTTGAGAAAAAAGTCACTTGGCATTTGGTTTTGTGACCAGTTCTCTGAAAATTTTTTGTTAATCTTCGGACATTTAGATGTAGCAATCCTGATAGTAACAATCAAACTGAATAATTTTTCAGTTATTAGACTTCTACAATGGCTTCATGCCTATTTCGAGATCAATTTCGAATTTTTTTTATTTCTTTCTGGTTTTTTACTCAGTAGGATTTGTTCCGAATCTTTCTCTCACCTCATCGAATGCGTTGCAAGTATCGTAAGGAGGGATGTAAAGATGAAGACTGACGGCTCCGTCAGAATGACTTGGGTTTTCCATACGGTGCAAGCCGAGCTCGTCTGAAAAATATTCATTTTTGCCATCTCCTTATCTTTCCTTATCATTTTTTGCTCAGTCTTATCACAATGACCTGAAGTTCTATGTTTTCTCTGAAGTTTGCGAGCTGCATGACTTTTTATCAGTTTCTTTGCTGCCGATTTCCACGAAAGACTCTAGGCACGTCGTTGAAATACACAAAACAACTATTTCGTCGACAAAACGCGTGTTTTCCGCGTTGCGGTTACGGTAGAGGCGCGAATCTTCGCTCATCGTTCTGATCACGTTATCAACTATCAATTGTTTTAGTGGTTCTAGTTCAAACAAGGAAATGTGATGCCGTGTCTGTCACTGAATCTTGGAAGTGGTTTTTCGCTAGTTTTTTTTTCTAGTGAAATTTTTAAAAAAATTAGACAAAAAAAATGAAAAATTGAAAAGACTGGTTCATCGATAAAATGATTTACGAAAGTTTGTTAAAAAGTTTTTCAATATTTTTACGGCCGTTCAAAACGACTTATAAAGTTGAGAATTTTGTTTCGTCATGAATAACTTTCAAAAGAGCTCAATTTTTATTCAGTTGTGATCTTATAAAACACGACAGACGTAGTTTTTTTTTGATTTTCTAAAAAGTTGTTCCATACTGTAGCAGCTCTCCTATCAAACATTTATTCAATTTTTAGACTAAGAAATCTCATTTTTTCTATCAATGACCTATTGATCAAACTTCTCCAACACTCACCACTCATGTAAGAGACGCCGTTAGTGTCGTACGTGCTTTTCGCGACTGTGTGAAGTGGTTCCCCTTCTGTCTCCGGCCAATCGTACTTTGTCTCCAAAAGAGATCCTTGCAGAATTTTCACGAAGCAGTGAGCATCTTGATGATCGTGAATACTAAAAAAAGCCTCTAAATGTCATTTTACCCAATAATAGGCTTACCTACTGCCCATACCTGGGCCCCAGCAAAGAATCATCAGGTTGTACTTTCCATTTCCGATATCTACCAGATTACGAGTATATCTGAAAAAAAATTAATCAAACTTGACAATTTGAATTTGAGAGGAAGTTCATAAAAAACTTGAAAAATCAGATAAAATAAAAAACGTTTTGTTCAACTCACTTGTGTTCATCAAAAATAGCGAATTTTCTCCACTCAGCCGGGTTGCTTTTGTAGCTCTCCATGACTTTCATCACGTAATCCACATTGACTTCATCTTCAGCAAAAATAATGCGCAGCTTCTGGATGAGTTCAGCCAAGGTGGTCATTTCTGAAAAATGGGCGATCTAGAGTTATATCAAGGTAGGTCAAATATATTTTAAATACACTCGAAAAACAGGAGTAATACAGATTAAGAACCAATTCCGAACAGACGTGGAAAAGTGCGGGTTTAATAGAAGCGATGGTCCGATGGGCGGCGCCACCAATGATACGGTCACATGTGATACGATCGACGAATTCGAAACCTATGTAAAGGGAATTTGAAAGTTTGAAAGCCAGAAACAAAAAAAGTTTATAGTTTGATGGAAGTTTGCATAAGAAAATTTTTTTCCAGTTATTTGTACTGTTCCAATACACTGTTTGAACTCAAAAGGCATTCCAAGGGAACTGAGTTCTTTGAATCTGATGTTTCACCCTGGTGTAGGATGTAAGATTCAAAACTTCTGAAAATGTATTTAAATGAATCTTTAATTGCTCGAAGAAAATAAGGAATTGTTCGTATATCTGAATAATCAATTTTCTACTGATTTTTGATTTGAAGTTGATCGTATATGTGATTTTTGAAAAAAATATCCCTTCTTTTTCGATTTTTTTATAAACCAAAAAAATTTTTAAAAATTCTTGAAAAATCAAACAAGTCCTCTCCCATTTATAGACAATTTTTTTGCTCTTTATTTTTTTCAAAATTGCAATCGTGGAATAAAAAAATTACGAGTGACTGAAATTTTTTTGTATTTTTTTTTGTTTGCTTAGTAATCGTCAACCATCTGTTCTTGATGAAAAAAGGTTTTTTTTTGCCAAGGTAATGGAAAGAATGGAAAACGGTTCAACGGATTTTTTGTTTGCACAAAATTTACTCTTGAGATTTCGTCCATCCTTAAGACGGGTGTTTTAAATTGAAAACTTTTTTTCAGTTTTGCAATCTGTAAAATGCTTTTCCGAAAAGTTAGCGCAAACAGTAGAAAGAAATTTCAAATGACAATAACAAAAACTTAATTTTCTTCCTTCCTGCGATTGAATCATTCCTTCTAAAAAAAAACTTTTTGAGAATTGTGAAAAACAAACGGAAGGAAAAACTGAGTTACATAATTAAAAATGTGATTTTTTTTCCCTTTTAGGTGTTTATATCTTTAGACGACTTTAAAAATGTTTGTCGGGTTTGAAACCTAGAAAGTTTGAATAAAGGTTCACGGTTTGATGGTGAACTCGCAGCGACTTTGCAATTTGCAATTTTTTTTAATGCGCAATAGTTTGCTTATTAAAACATAGACAATTGCAAAACAAATTTTCAAACTCCAATATGAACAAAACATTTATTTAACTTAGAAACTTTAACGTACTAAGAAGTGGCCAAAAAAGCTTTTTCTGAATGAATTAATGAAGTCGCGCACCATTTCCCATTATTTTAATGGATCTGATTCTAGACTTCTTGTATCCTTCTCCAGTTTATCCTTTTTTCAAAACTTTTCATTCAAAGCATAGTCGGAGTATAAATGTTCATGAAATTTTAAAGCCCCTTATAATAAAGACTCTCAAATCGGAGGAATTTTTGGAGGATCGTTTGTTTCTTTTTTCTCTTGTTGAAATCTGATAATCTTTCTATAAATATCATCATTGTGTTCTTCGAGAACTCTTTTTAAAGAAATGTGACGGAAGTTGGCGTTAATTCAAGCCTGTCCCAAGTGATGAGGTCACTCTACACGTGGTGAAAGGAGAAGAACAGCTTTGATAACGAGACTATTTCCGTCAGGTTGTTTGCTAATGAAAATTCTTGAAGTTTGGTCGTTTAATGTTAATCTGTAGGTTAAGTGATAAGCGGTCGACTGCAAAGGTAATGAATGTTTGATCTTTTTCTCAGCGAGAAAAGAAATGACTTGTCGCGGTTTGATTTGGAATTATCATTGAGCCATTTTGTCTCCAAATTTGTCGATTCGAGCTCATGAAAGATCATTCGTATTTCTAGTTAATTTTCTCTAGACTTCGTTTTTTCTATTCCAAAGAGCGTTCCAAGATTAAAGAAAACAAGAAAAACTTTATTATTACATCAACATGATTACCGTTTCAACGCTATGAGGTGATCATTCGTGTGGGTGGACATTCCTTCTCATCGTTCTTCAGTCTTTTTCCGGTTTTTCGCAATTCTGTCGGTTGTTCGTCGATTCTCAGACGTAGCGGTCGGAAGAAAGCTTAATGAAAACAAAGAACAAAAATGTGACCGCTCGGGGCTTTTAAAACTTTGTCAGTTTGATGAACAGCTTTCGACGAGTCACATTTGTGTCACAGATCCGTAATTAAAATCATGAAAAAGTTTTTATTGCATACTCAAAACGTAACGGCGTATGCATTATGAATTTGAAATATTTCAGGGTTGGTTCAAAAAAGAGCGTTTTAGTAAGAAAGTGGTAAGTTACTAAATTCATCAAAGGTTGAGAATTGCTGACATCGCATAATCTTAAATTCTTTTTAGTTTTTTCCCGTGCTTGTAAAAAATCGTTCATAAAATGGGTTGTGAATATGGCCATTTAAGAAAATATCGGTTTCACTTTTTGTTCTTATGTCACACTAATGAAAAATGAAATCTCTAAACTGAAAAATCGTTAATTTCTCCTTTCGTTTCAAAATCCGCTGTGAACCGGAAAAAAAGTTCTTATTAGTTTTAGTTACAAACACAATTAAGTTGGCGAAAAAAAGTTTGCGCAAGTTTTTGTTCGAGAATTGTCAATTTGAATGGTTCAAATTTTCCGATAGCAAAAATTTGTTTTACAAATTTACCCCACTTAAACTTTTCAGTGATTAACATCGTCTTGAAAAAAATTATTTTTAGCTTCAATTTCTCTCATTTTCATAAAGGGCATTAGATAACTATAGTTTCAGAATTCTTAGCCCCACAAGTAGGTTCCCGAGTAGAGAGCCCAACTTGTAGACTCTTTCCGTCAGCCGGCTGCAGTCGCCAATTTTCGGGTCTCCATGGCTACGCGACAGACTTGCCTGCGGCTTAATCTCCCTCATTCTGCCAACACTCTCTGCTGAGCTCGAGTTCATCTACAGCTGAAACGCGCCTTTTAATTCGGCCATGCTTCCTTGTTATCGAGAACAGCAATTATAAAGGTGAACATATTCGCATTTGGGCTTTCATCCGAAAGCTTTATGCAAATCTGGAAAATGCAGGGCTCTGACTTCAGCGATGGGCGATGATGACGGAGGCATCGACGACTTATTAGAAGTTTGTTCATTTGATTTTTTTTTTTGAAAAGTACTATAAGTCGTTCCCAAATTTTTTGAGAAATGACCAAAACTCTCGGAAATGAGTTTTTTCAACTTTCCGAACTACAGGAATTTGTTCTGCTGAATTATTGTGTGCCGTGGTTTTTTTTTCCATCAAAACTACTCGGATTTACCCAAAAAGCTTTTTCTATCTTTCAGTCAGTTTTACCTGAAATAATATGCTCTTATAATTCGTTTTGCACAACAATTATGCTTGAAGGGAATGGACGATCTTGACAACATCCTTTTTGGGAAAACCACAACTCCAAAGAAAAAACCATCAACAACATCAACGTTGTCAAATATCTTGTCATCTGTGAGAAAATTTCCGGAAGTTTATGAAAATTTTGCTCTGACAGTCATCGGGTGGAACAGGCACAACAGGAAGAAAGCCGACGGTCAGTTTCCTCGAGCCATCGACCACCACCTCCGCCGCTCCTAGAAACGTTCGTTACCCTTTTTTTTTGTCACGCCTGGTTTTGTTCAGTCGCCTTCGAAATCTTCACTGGACGATCTTTTCGGTGATTCTTCCTCTTCAAATGAGCCTAAGCCTACAAAGTGAATTTATCAAGCCTTTGTTCATTTAATGCGTCATGAAATGACAATTCCCAGGTATTGCATTCTAAACCTGTCAAGTTTTAGCCCGCCTACGCGACAGTCTAGACAGCAACAATCCATTTCCGATTTATTCGGATCAAATCGTAAAAATGAACCTGCAAAAGTCGAAGCACCTCCGGAAAGAAAAGAAAGCGCTCTAACGCCTGAAGCGAATGCTAACGTTGTTTCTCAAGTTGATCAAATTAGAATTCAAAGGTTCTCAAATTCGGATAACTTCCAACCAAGATTTACTTCAGGTTGGAGGCTGAAATAGAGCGACTGAATAGAGAACTGGATGATTTGAAGCGAAGAAAACGGGACGATGAAGAGGATCTTGAGAAAATGTGGAAAGATCGCATTGACAAACTGACAAAAGAACATGCAGATCAGATAGAAAAACTGAAAAGTTTGAACACGTGAGTTATTGGTGAATTGAGAAGAGTCGGGAAGGATATATTTGTTTTTGCTCCGATACCGCCAAAAAATCGTAATTCTTCAGAATAGTTCACATAAACATGAGATGCATTACCCATGGAGTTTACGTTTACTAGACCAACTGACTAAAGAGGAAAATTGTGCAAAAAGCATTTTCCATTTTTTTTTGGTGTTTTTTCTACAAAATTCAAACTTGATTTTCAGAAAACAATCGCAAGAACTAGAAAGTGAGCATAAACTCGAGTTGGAACGCCTAAAAAACAACTATGATCGGCAATTGGAAAGCCTCACTCAAACTACGGGTCAAACAAGGTTTCATATATATGTAATTTTTGAATCCGAAAAAAACCAATTATAGAGATATTGTAAGTGTCGTTGAGCAAGTGAACAGCCTATCTTCTGCAATCGAAAGGATAGCTGATAACGTCAAGTTTGTTCCAAATTTAGAGTAGACAAACTTAAACTTTTGATAGCAACGCCACTGAGAAGGTGACAACTGAGCAAGAGATGATAATCCGGATCAAAGAGCAACAAGTGCAGTCGCGAGAAGAAAGGTTTATCTGAACAAGTTCGAGTTCGACCAATTTTTAGGCTGGAAGAAGAAAAACGGAAGTTTGAAGAAGAACGACAGAAAGTACACGAGCTCAATGTGCGGCTCAATGAGATGTGCCGCCAACAAGAATCGAGCATGGAAAATGTTCAAAGTTTCAAAAATCCAAAAAGTTTTTTTTATAATTTTAGGACAAGTGGAAAGTACGCGACGATTGGAGAAAACTGCAAGCGGAAAAACAAATTTTCAAAGAGGACCAAAAGTATATTCTGGACGCTTTGGAAAAAGAGAAAGATGGCCTAGAAAGGAAGAAAGTGAGCTTCTAAATAAACGAAAATTCTAAACATTTTTTCAGACCACTTTTCTTCAAGAGCAGCACGATTTATTGGTACGAGTAAGCACAGAAAGACAATTGTTGGAGCAGGAAAGAAACGATTTTTTCACGTCGGTTGGAGGCTTGTTATTGAGTAGAGAAAATGTTTCAGGAAGCGGAGCATGGACATTCGCCGCATAAAAGAAGAAGCTTCAGAACTGGATATCAAAATACGACAAGTTGCAATAGCCGAAAGACATGTAGACGATTTGAGAGACACGTTCGAAGGAAAGCTCAGACAAGTACATTTATGGGATACCTGACTTTTCTCGAATGATTTTTAGCTCAATGAGCTGGAAATAGCTTTGATGGAAGAATGTTCTGAAATGGATCGAATGAGGAACCAACTACACGCCGGCGTTTTAGCAAATCAAAAAGTAAGTCACCTGGTTCGTTTTGATGAAAACAACTTGCGAGTAGTATTTTTGATCGGAAAAAAAGAATTTTCAGGCAAGCCGAGCAGATCCGCTAAATTCACATGTTTTTCCTATACAGCTCGAGAAGGAAAGTTCTGCTCGAGACACTGGTCGCAGGTTTTTTTTTCTGCAAATCTTTCAAAATTAATGATTGGTTTTTTCCAGGAACGATAGTGTTAGAGCTGTCTTGAAAAAGCATTCCGAGTTTTTGGAAAAATACGTCGGGCAAAAAGTTGCTGCGGTCGCCCCTCAGCATTCGTGATATTTTTTTTTAATAAAAAAATTTTTTTACTCCTCTGTGAAGATATAAAAAGTTGAAAACTTTTCTTTCATAGCTTTTTGAGATTTTGTTTCGATGGAGTCTATGATTTTCTGATTTTTCATTTTTGTTGATAGAACATATCAATATTTTTATTTTTATGTGATCGATTATTCTTTCATTTTTGTGTGATTTGGACTGCCGTGATACTATTGCAAAATTTGTATAAATATGAAATGTGAAGTGTTCAATTTGTAGCTTTTTCTTTGTGAGCAAAATGAAAAATTTTTTTGCTCGGTTTTTCAACGGTTTTTTTGCAGAAGTGTTCCCCTTTAAAAAAAGTCATCACATTTTTTTCTAATAATGAAAAGTTATTTCGAAACCATCTTAATTAACTTTTTTACTTCAGAAGAGCGTGTTGAAGGTATTTTAATTATCTACAAAACTATTTTTGCTCCTTAAAACACAACCCTGTTTCCTTCGATTTTATCTTTTATTAATTGAAATTCTCCAAATTGATGAGTGTGTCGCGCAAAAAATAGTCAAACTCATGTTCATTCAAACTAATTCGAGCAAATTTTTTTTTCTCCCCGATAAATGATATTCTTTTTGCCGTTATTTCACATAATCGAAAAAAAAAACCCAGATGACTTAGAAAGTTTCATTGAACAGCAGCCGAATAGAATAAATCAAGAAGAAATACACTTTGGTCTGATGAACCGAAATCTCATAGATCAGAGAAAGTACTTGCATTGCTATTTTCTGGGATTTACAAATGGGATGTGTGTGAGGTATAAGGCACTGGGTGCAAAAATTCACAGACTGGTTAGTATATAGACAGGAAAATTGAACATATCATAGGGATGGAAAAAGAAGAAGTATATAACTGGAAAGATGATAAGTTATGATTCAAAGAAAAATTAATGAATGAAATCAACGGCTCATATCACATGAAGGTTATATGAAGAAAGAAGTACAGGAAGAAAAAATAAAACCCATGACCAGAGAAAAGTTTGAAAAAAAGACCTACAAAACTTTATACAAAAATCGAAATTGATACCTAAAAAAGAAAAATTTAACTTCTATTCAAAGATTCCAAAACGACGCCCTTCATTGGTTCGAGCCATCTTCGCGAATGAGCGGATATGACTTCTTTGTGAAGTTCTTGTCCTCCGTAGCCAAGATAGCTCAGTTCGCCTTCTTGCGTTATTTGTGCGGAGTTCATACCGGCGATGTCGGAAGGCTGGAATAAAATGATTTGAATTCATATAACCTATGTTTTTTTTTGTTTTTTTTAGTTCTTTTTTTTCTACTTTTTTGAATATTTTGGTCTAGAAAAAATATTCTGAAAGTCTACAATCGAGAATCTTCATGAAAAAAGTTAAGTTCTTTGCAATCATTTGTTTCTAGAGGTGAAAGATGTTTTGTAGCCATTCAAACAGTCAAAGTCCTACTTTGAAAACTTCATGCTCAACGCGTTTTCTGGGAGAAGATAGGGAATGGATATTGACAGTTCCAGAGTTTGTCACGACGCAGGCAAACATATCGTGCTCGCCAGGATCTAAAGAATAATCATTTTCATAGAATCGAAATTTTGTAGAAAGGACCTCTTTTCAATGGAAGTTTCACAACAGCAGCATTCTTGATTCGCGTGCCTTCAACCGAAGTTATTTTGTACTTTATTCGCGTCGATCGCAAGTCCGGCACAGAAAAACCTCTGATTTGTTCCTCGGTAAAGACCATCAACCTTTGTTGCGGTGAGGGTGACTGGAAACAGTTTTTTTTTTTTCTGATTTTGAAAAATAATATACATTTCCGGCTTCACAAGACAAATCAATCTCAACAATCGGAGCTCCATGGGACAGTCGCAATTCTCTCCACTGAATATATAATTTATTTTAATGAGAGTGAATTTTCTGCAAACCTTATACGCAGTAATTGCGATAGCCGTTTTTGGCTCGTGGAGTTTGTAGATGATAACACTGCCCTGGCTGGTTCCGATCGCGACAACATCGTCAAGCTGAAAATAGAGCAGGAAATAAGAAAAAAGGGCTGTTTGAACATAACTAAAATATATATCGCTCTGCCTCGGGCTTTTTATTGGTTAACAAAAAAAGAAAAAAAAATAGTGTTTTGAACCAAGTTTAAGTGAGACCGTGAGTTGACTTACACAAGCCGGGTTCGTTGTTGGTATACGTAGGACTTTGATGCATGTGACGTAGTTGGGAGGTGGTCCATCTATAAAACATTTTCCTGGTGTTGAAATTTTCCCTCAAAGTACCTGAAGCCGTGGCTCTGCCTTCAATTTTTCTTTCAACAGGCCGGAATGTCTCCTCAGGATCGGAAGTAATGTCTACCGTCTGCAAATTTTGTTAATTTTTCATCAAAGATATAATTAGTCTCTCACCGTGTTTGGAGTACTGGACCTGTTTTTTCTGCGGAAAGTCTGTCGAATAGACTTTTTCATCGACCGAAAACGATTGAGCGTCATGTTCAAAGCATCTCCAGGCACGTTGTCTGAAAGTCATTTATAGGTTTGCTCTCATTCTCAAAACAAACCTCCAAGAAAAACATTTTCGACGACCGCATATTTGCGATAATCAAGAAGTGCATATCCAAACATGCTTCCAACAGCCAGCATATGAAGATCCGCATGATACGAGAGAGTTTTGATCGGAACGCAAGGAGCAAGTTGCACATATTTCCTATAAAATGTGTCGAGATAATGAAAAGGGAAACAATTCCCTTACGCATCTAATCCTGTTCGGAACGGTTGATAGCCAGCGGGAAAATACACGGCTTCTCTGCGCGGATACAGAGGCTGCACTTTGGCAAGGTTAGGCTTTGTACCTTCTAGTTCCCATTTTATGGTCTTTGACTCGAGTTTCAAACACTTCAAATAACATCGAACTTTTGCAGTGAAAAATAAACCATACCACATCTTCGTCATAATAGGAGTAGACCAGTATAGCTCCACATCTATTGGTACATACGAAAGCGCCAGTCTTTGGGTCGAAATTCAAGAGAACAATGGAAAGTCGCTCATCGTCACAGTACTCGTCGTACTCTCCAACCTGCGTATGAACTCGTTTTACAACTTTTGATAATCTCTGCTTTTAAACCTCCATAACGGGTAAAGACATTCCAGAGGCCTTGGATGATAGCGTGCCGGTCACAGTCTACATGAATGAAAGTAGTGGTATTAAATAACTTGGTACCTTCTCTTCCTCGTCTTTGAATAAATCACTTGTTTTAAGGATGAAAAGTTGCCGCATACTGTATGGTGTTGTCGCCCAGAAAGTCACACGTCCGTCAAAATGTCTAAAGAAACGAATTGAGCTTTACTTAGAAATTCTTATAAAACCCTGTTATAAAAAGTTGTCGATTAACTCCTCGGGAATCTCGTTCTGCGGAAATTTTGCTTTCCATGCCAGCTGTCATTGGGTATTGTCTATCCGACAGATCTTTTTGTTTCCAGTAGACTTCACTCATCTGAACTTATGGTTTTTCAAAATAGAAGTTTTTTCCACCTTTAAAAGCGACCTCCAAACGTGCTCTTCTATTGATGAGCATGTCAGCTGAGCAGTGATCTGAACCACTATTTTTTGTTCAATTCGAAATTTGGGAAAGTAGTGAGTCGCTGAAATTTTACAGAAAATATCTTACCGGCGATGCGTTCAAAGGGAAGAATACTTGCTGAGTCATGGCCCGCCATCTCTCGTCAGCGATATCGATAGCAACCAGCTCATATTCAGTCAAAACTAACAGAACATCTTTCCGAAGCTTGGTTCCATCTGAAACTAGAGGTGACAAAGGCTCCATTTTGAAAAACGAAAACCTTCCAAACACTCTGCGCCAATAATGTCAAGAACCTTCGAAGCGAACTGGTAGACAAGTGTCTGAAAAAAATTTTTAAAAAAATTTGAATTGAATTTTTTTATTTACTTTTCCCGCGTGCCGAACTGTCACTGTATCTTTTTTTCCATGTAACTGGCTCGTTCCATACCGCCCATGTAGGCCACTAGTGGAATATGAGGTTTGTTATTCGTTCTTCTGAGAAACTCTATTGTAGTTTATTTTTTCTCAGAAAAAGAGCGTACGTTTCGTTATTCAAAACTGCTAGACGAGTCATCTCGTCACAAGGATAAGGTCCGAACAGTTCGTGCGTTTCTTGTTTCTCAAAATAATGACCTCCGGTGTAGAACGTCTTGGCCTTCCATGTGGTGAACTGCAAAAAATAATAAAGCGAGAAAGAAAAACTCGAAACCTGTCCGTCTGTATGAGCCATGAAGATGTTATCCGATTTTTTGTCCCAAACCACATCCTGAAAACGCGATTTTATTTACGAAATGAGTTTTAGTTTTCTTAAACAGGAGACCACGCAATCAAAGTTCTAAAGACTTTATTAGAAATGGATAGCAATTTTTTCAGCTGTATTCAAAATTTTATCTATTTCCACGAACTTATCATCTCGGTTGCTGACTCTGCATGATCCCCGTGTCAGCCTTGATCATCAACTAACATTAACTTCTACAGGAACTCGTATACTGGCGACCATGTGATTGGCACTCATCAGCAAAGCAACGGATCTACCCAACATTATCAGCATCAAACTTGGATCGTCCGGTTTTACACAGAGTGAGGAAACTTTCGACGAAAACTGGGCAAGAGCGTTTTTTATTTCTTCGTCGCTTTCCAATCTAAAAACGTTCAATTTCATCTTACTTTTGAAAATGCTTTTTTTAACCATTGATTGTTTTGTATCAAAATCTACAAATGAGAAAACTAACTCTCTGCGAACATTGTCAAAAGTGAAAAATTCGTGAACTTCCATTGTGGAGGGCAGCAAAGAATAAACGTTTCCTGATACGGTACCTGAAGTAGAAGAAATTTGAAAAACACTGCAATAAAACACTGGCACACCTATGTAAATGATGGGAGATTCATCTGGGAAACGGCGAGCACTGTGACAGCTTGTGGCACTTTTCATGCGCGCGTCGATCGTCGACATATCTTCCCGTATTTTTGAGCCTGATGAAAAACAGTAAATTTCGAAAACGGAAGCAAAAACCGTTTATTTTATATCTAGTAAAACCGCCATCTCGGAAAAGAGCGATAAAGTACCCGGTGCCATTCATAAAATACAACTGTTTAACTTCTTTTGCGGCTCCTTTGCCGCTGACAGTAACTTCCCAGAAGACGCCAGGATAACCACTTCTGCAAATTTATGCGATAATGTTCGTGTTATTGATGTAATCCTCACAGAACAATGTCTCCTTCTTTGGTTCCGAGGGCAAGCACCTTGAGAACCGGGTCGTATGCCATACATGAAGTGTTGTAAGGAAACCCATACCGGTTTGACTGGAAGTTATTTCATTGATTTCATTCTCAAACTCGTGAGAATAATATTGACTAAGAGCTAAACGGTTTTTCGAGATAAGAGTTCCCAGTCGACAATGTGGAAGAAAGTTTCTGTTAATAGGAACTTTGATAAGAGTTTCTCTGCAAAAAGTAAATCAAGAACTTCGTTTCTTTGTGACGTGTTGTCCAAAGGTTTCAAAAATATTTTTGATATACAGTGTGGAATCTTATTTTTCAATGCAATTAATTTGAAAATGGAAAAAAAAAGATAATTCTAGAAATAGGAAACCTTTTTCCAATCAACAAAGCTGCTGAAATGAATGTCGGAGGCGCTACGGCCTGATTCCAGCCGTTGGCGTATATACTTGAACATAAACGTCTGCAAATTAGTGAAATTTAGTGAATGCCGAGCACGGTCATAACAAGGTTGAACGCGAGGTGAACAGTAAATGGCGCGAATGGGGACGACTGAGGCACTTTTGCGGTCGACTGACTCAGGCCGCATCAATTCAATTGTGTCTGCGCGCCATTCATTTCCAAATTTAGTGAGACCACAACAACTGCTTGCCAATATGAATGCATCAATGGATCAGAGAAATGAATGAGGAGAAGCCAAATTGCAATGCATAAAAAATTGTTCAAGAGAGGATGCGTTTCTCTCAAAGCTCAATTTTTTCATTTCTTGCATTCGAAGGTTTAGAGACAGAAGAGACGAGAAATATGTCTAGCTATAAACAAAAAGGATTCAGGCGAGAATCGGCACCTTATGACGAGAAAATCACTACATTATTGTCGTAATTTTATGCTCTTTTTTACGATTTTAATTATATAGTTAAAACGTCAGAAAAAATGAATCAAAACCATCACTATGGTTAGATTGAGATAATATGGAAGACTGACAGAAAATACACATATTTGAAAATTTGAGATTGGTGCTCGTTTGGTATAATTGCCATGTTTCTCGTTGGCGCGCAATTTCCTTTCGCGGGCTGACCCAACATATTTCAAAATCGGTTTACTGTGGGATGAAAATTGTTGAATCATTGTGCAAAATATTGAAAAAACGAGTATTCACCCACGTCAATAATTTCGTAGATTCGTTTCAATCACGACACTGGAGCTCTCAAAAAATTTAAAAAAACGTTGATTTGCTTTTTTTATTTTTTTATAAAAAAATTTTTTTGAGATATAAGGGGTACTCCATTTGAAAACATTAATATTTTTAATCGAAAATTTTCAACTATTTGCAATTAGAATGAAGACGTATCTTCTCAAAGATTCTTTAGATTTTTAAAAAAAGCGCGAAATTGAAATAAATCCAAATTTTTTTGAGTGTGGAGGAACAGCAACTCTCAATTCGAAGTTATCGGACAAACCACATGCCGTCTAAAACGCATAATTATTTTTTTGAGAAAAAAAAACAACCGGAATACGCAAGTTCCTTTGAAAAAAAAGAGCTTTTTTGAGGGGAAAAAGTTGAAAATTTTGGTCGAAGCCTTTTGAACGAGCATAGAAGATAAAGTATATACCTGTAAAGTAAAGAGAGGGAAATACCAAAAAAAGAGTAGGGTCAAAAATCGATAGGCAGGACGGCAAACAAAGAAAGCGAACGCAATAAAGGTGAGGCGTTCGCCGTCGACCGATCTCGCTTCAACGAGCATCGCGCGTCGAATACCCGCGAAAATATTCTATCTACGGCATCTCCCAATGTTGTCTCAATGTCGAGATATGCGGCAAGTCGAGTAAAATAATTTCAAACATTTATTCGGTAGAAAGGAACAAGTTTCGTAACTAGATAGTTGGGAAGAATTTGGCGACGTTTTGGTTGCCATACTGGGCTGCGATTGCTGAAAATTAATTAGAGCCTGAGTCATTTGAAAGTTGAACACACCTTGAGTGAACTTGAAGCAAGTGACTTTCCTGACAGTGTGAGAAGTTTGCTTGACCAGGTCTTTGCCGTGAACTCTAGAAAAAAAACCATGAAATTTTTAAAAGGGTTCTAACGAACTTTCCGCGTTTGTCACACTTGAGAATAACAGAGACGTTGTCACCGAGGGCAAGGATGGAGGTGTTAGGGACGACTTGAGGAGAGGTGAAGGAGTTGAAGTTATTTCTCTGAGCAAGAACGCCGTAGAGGTTTCCTCGTGGACAACTGATGACTACGAAGTCGTCGTCGTTCTTCAGGTTGGAGAGGTACCTGAGAATATAGACACATTGAAGTAATTACTTATGTCTCATTTCTTCAACCTGAAGTGAGGCTTGACCGACGAAGTTGACTGAGGCTTGTTGCCGTTGACGTTGTCCGTGACAATGAAGTTTCTCAAGTGGTTGCAATCCACTGAATTTTCCAGAAATATTTTAGCGCTATCTTTCAATTCTAACCGTAATCATTTTCGTAGTTGGAGTAACCATAAAATTGGTCGTATGTGGGGTGCTGAAAAAATGTGACTTTTCAAAACTTGAAAATTTTTGAAAATCAGCTAGGAATGCTTTCAAAAAGATGAAAACGGGATAACAAAAAATAATGAGAAGAGAAAAGTTGAACTGACGTTGTATCCATTTTGAGAGCCACCGTAGTTTGCAGAAACGACGGCGAAAACGGTCGAAAGGATAAGAAGGGCTTGCATCTCCAAAGGTGCTTTGGAATTCTTTTCAATTCCTTTTATACGTTCTTTTTGTTTTGTCTTCTCTGACGTAGCAATGTCGTTTGATTTCGTGACACATTTGTAAAAAACATTTTCTTCTATGCGTTTCTTGGTTCACCTGAGCCTGAATCAAAATTTCTCTTACAGAAAAACTTGAGTTCGTCGGTGAAAAAGCAATCTCCAAAAAAATATATTCTGGCAGCAAGTGAAAAAAAGATTAAATCTGCACTTAAAACTGAGAATATTTCCGCCTGCTCTCGAGGGCTTTTCCCAAAATGAAAATTTAGAAAACAGAAAGTTTGGTTCAAGTTAGTTTTTAAAAAAATTTGAAGGATTTTTACCTGCAAATCTGTTTTTGTGCTGAATAGCTTTATGAGCTTAACACCTTGTGGGGAACAAGACAAAAAGAGTAAGATCATGCTATCACTTATTTTTTTCGACCACACGTTTGTAATCCAATTTTGATGAAGATGTTGTTTGACAAGGCTCAAAGAGCTTTCCTGAATCTTTCAGTGAATAAAACAAGCTGAAAAATCTTTGGTTTCTAGTACAAAAATGTCTCATTGGTAATGTACATTTTTAAAAATCCCCACTGAAATCCAGAATAAAATAAATATGCGGAAAATTTTCAGCCTGATTTACAGTGTTATTCACAAAAAAACAAACTGATTATTGCAAAAGTTCTTTCATATTCCGAATTAATTTTTCAATGAGTATACATTTTTTTAGTGAGTAATCGCTTTGTTGCTGATTTCATGCTGAAGATTTTTTTCCACTCAGAATCTTAATTTTTGCTTTAACCACTACGGCTACAGCAATTGGTGCGAAGAATAATTGACTGCCGCCAGAGAGGAAAGAAATATATATCCGTCGGCAATATCCATCAAATGGGAGATCCTTCAATTTGAGAAAGAGTGTTTGCAGTCTATAATTTGAAAAAAATTTATGAGGCAGTGCTTCATGTTCACAATCGTTTCAAGGATTTGCTGTGCTTCTTCGACACATTTTTTCAGGATTTTATTCATCAAAAAAAAGTAAGATTGGGTTATTTATGGAAGCACGTGAACCGTCGAAGTCGTTCTCGAGCGTTTGTGAAAATGTCGCGACCATGTGTCCTGAACGACGCATTTTACTGACAAAAGAAGCTCGGAGTCGGACTTAAAAAGTCTAACTATGAAAGATGAACTATAAAAGACTTATTTTCGCGGACCTTCCCATTTTGTCGCACTTGAGCATCACAGAGACGTTGTTTCCTTTTGCCAAAATAACCGCATTTTTGATTCCATCAATTGTGACGTGCTCCCTCGCTTCCCCGAGCAAGTAGCTTTCCACTTCAGGGCAACTGATCAGAACGTAGTTGTCCTTTCCATTTTTTGGCGAGAAGAATCTGCATTTCAATGAAACTCCACTTGTCCGAGATCAAAAAGTTTATTAAATTGATTCTAACATCTTAAAAAACAATTTTTTCACTATGTACTTCCTAGAATGAGTATTCGATAAATTGTCAAGACACTTTTCCAGATTACGAATACTGTTTCTAAAAGTTCCTACATCCCTTGCAAACGTCGAATGGTTTGAAGTAACAGTTTTTCAGACTAGAGATTTTTGAAAGCTACCAAGGTGGATGACTCCAAATCTTCAAACAACGTTCCAATGAATTATACGACTTTTTTTTAGAAATTTTCTTGAGTTTGAAAAAATTTCATGATTAGTCCACAAGTGAGCCTATTTAGACTTAAAACATCCGCCCCATTGACTATACCTAAAAACTCATTCCTTAAATTTCTGACAGAAGCATCCAAATACTTTCTAATGATTTCTAAACTTTTAAATGTTCGCAGAACTGAAACAAAGTTGGAAAAGAAATGTTACTCAGTATCAAAGTGACCGGAACTCACCGGAAACGCGGTTTTATGGACTGCTTCGATGAGAAAACACCATTTCCATCTTCTCCAATCAAAGTGAAGCTTCTCAGTTTTTTGCATTCGACTTGAAAATGTTCTCATTTTGGATAATTGAAGACCCACTGACCTACAGGCTGTGCTGACTCCGCGTCTTCCGGCAATTGCAGTCCCAATTGTTCTGGATACCAGCCAGGAGGTCCCTGAGTAGCTCAAAACATGGCCTGATGCAGGGTTATACAAATCTCAAAAGGGGTACTTCGCATAACTTTTTACTCAAAAAAGAAAATATGAATTAAACTTTTTTGCACTGTTTCCAGGAAAGAGACGTTTGGGCTTCAGTTACAAAAACTTCCTTGCTTAAGTAGTATGTTTCAGAAAAGTTTTACAAAATATTTGTACTATTAGCATAGAAATATCCTTGTTGTATTTTTCAAATAAAATATCTTACATAATGATCAGGTTGAGAGATTTGGCTAAATGCTGTTGATAAGAAACAGAGAATCAGAGGTATCAGCATTATTGAAGTGAATTAATCAATAATTTCGATCCTTATGAAAAGTTTACGTTTGCTTTTTTTGTTGTGAATATATCCAGGCGTCATCATTAAAAACATTTTTTATTGTGAAAAGTCAAAAGCTTCACAGAAATATGTTTTGGGTACATTTTCTTGAAACCTTACATATGAACTGAAACCATGAAAACACAAAAGAAAAAGTTCTTCTCAAGCTCATAGTTATTATTATCTCATTTCTATATTTCGATTGGTCGGTTTCCATTTCCGCTTTGGTCTGAGATTTAATCCGACGCCCGTCAGCCCCGTGCAAGCTGGGCGCCGTACTGTTCCTACATGGAGAAGAGTGATTGTCGGAACGCTTGAAAGTCGTTTACTAACATCAAAATAAATGCTCGACGCGGCGTTCTTGATCAACGACAGTTTCGCAAACCGACAAAAAACTCTTCCATTATTCCATTATTCAGCAGTGAACCTTCTCTGAAAACTGACCAAAAGATTCTGAAGTTGCAAAAAAAAGTTTTAAAAGTATTCCCAAGCAGTTCTTCTATGTGAATGAAGGCAATTCCCAATTCCGATTAGACTTAATATGAAAAATTATTTTCGGTTAAAAAAAAATTTAAAATTTCACTTTTATTCTTCTCGTTGGAAGAGTCTTCATGATTCAGTTGGAAATAATTACTAATTAATTCGTACACTAGTTCAACACTTATAAAAAAATTTTTGGAAGTTATCTTTTTAAGCTAAGTTTTTGGAGAAAAAAACAGAAGCAAAATCGACCTTGAAAACGATTAATTTTTTTCAACATGAAAAAAATTCTGTAAAAGAAGATTTTTTTAAGATTTTTTTAGATTTTTTTAGTCGAACCCAGAAATTAAAGAAAAAGTTCATTAAGTTTTTGAAACTTAAACGCCAATTTTTTTCACTGGTTTAGAAAGTACAATGGAAAACTTCCAAACAAAAACTTTATTGCATTTTCAAGTTAGAAAAAAACACAGATGTATTTTATTTGTTGTCAAATGGCTTGGCGAAGCCTTTTTTCTGAAGCGCATCCAGCAAGGCTGAAAATAATTGTTTTTGTCTTCTGGTCTCCTTGCAGAAAACTGACTTGCATCAACTTTGAAGCAGGTAAAACGTCTGATAGACTTTTTCGCGTGGATTACAACATCTCTGCCATGAACTCTGAAATGAACTTCTCGTAATCTTAGGAAGGAATAAATTTCCTACTTTCCATGGTGGTTGCACTTGAAATAGTGAGATATATTGTCTCCGACGGCGAGCAGTACGGCGTCGGGAATCAAGGTCGGATCCGAGGTGAAGCCTTTTTTCTCGCCGATTAGAGCATAGAGTCCTCCTCTTGGACACTCGACGATCGCGTATGAGTGCTTATTCTTCTCGCTTTCCAGGTACCTGAAATTCAAAATAATAGTCATTTGCGAAATAAGGACTATTTCTTAAGGTAGTGAGAAACTGTCAGTCTCAAAACTAAGATGCACATCAACTGTTTTGATTTTTGAAAAGATGTACTTGAAACTGGGAGCTTGAGAATAGTCGACGCTAGGAACTTTGCTGTTCACTTGGGAAGTTACCGTGAACCGCTTTAGTCTGTGACATTTTGCTGAAATTGTGTGATATTGAATGATTTTCAACTCCAATTTTCTACCGAACTCCTCCTCAGGTTCTCCAATGGCGTCATAACCTTCCTCGTACTGAAAATTTTAATTTGAAAACTTTTGATTTCTGATTAGAAAAAACGTAGTTATTGCCGTAGTTTGCAGAGACAAAGACGACGGCGACGGCGGAAAAAGTAAGGAGAAGCTTCATCCTGAATTTCGCAAAAAAATCATGTTTGGAATGCTTTTTATACTTTTTGTTTCCGTTTGTTTTGTTTTATAAATCATTCCATTTGATTTGCATTTTTATGATTCATGACAAAATTCAAAGCATAGCTTTTTTTGAGCAAAAATAAAATCAAGAAGGGTTTATTAAAAAGAGTTTTTCAGTCTTTGTCTTAAAACCATCTTTCGGGCGTGTTCAATGAAAATTTGAATTTTTTTAATTTTAGGAGCTCAATGTTGTTTGGTTTTCACGTATAAGTGAGAGTTTTTGACATACAGTATTTAAGTTATGAATGAATTCAAAAATCTGAAACGGAAAAACGTCACTTCCCACTGCAGACAAAATAATGATGCCATGTTTGATGCTCTAATCCCCGTTGTTTTTTATTCAAAACTTTAGTCTCATGCCTTCTTTATTATGTAGCCCAATGCTAAACGAAGTATTAACATCCTTGAAGTGTTCTCATGAGACGTTATAATTTTGAAAGTTGTCTGAGATCTCTAACCCACAAATTCTGGATTAGAGAAAAAAATTCTACTTTTCTATCAGAAAAAACTTCATCTCTCTTCATGAAATTTTCATTCAACCCGCTGCTAACTCGACAGCAAAAAGTTTTGAGAAGGAAAGCGTCTCCTGCATTGATTTTCAGAACTTTTTCTTACTATTCACTTTGCAAGTAGAAAAAGAATTCCGGAGCCCGGGGCCAAATATGAAGAAGTGAACGGGAGCTTATCGATCTGTCTAGCCTTCAGGACTCTCCGCGCCTTCGGACGACATCTCATCAGAAGCTGCGCCCTCCGAGCTAGAGCAGTTCTTTCTCACCAGGATTCCTTGTTCAGTCCTCTCTCACGTCTTCGCGCTTTCTAGCGTAGACCTTTTTTTACTGAGCGAGTTGCTTTCTGCGCTCAACGACGCGCATTCCGTGAGAATATTAAGCCGTGTGCACAATTTTTTTTGCATTTCCCATCTCAACATCTTTGCTTTTTCAGATCTCAGCGCTTCTAGATTTTTTAAAAAAATTTTCCAGTATTTTCAACTTGTCGAAAAATGGTTTTTGTTCACTAGTTACACCATGTTTATGGTTAAGCTTTACTGTTCAACAAGATTTAATGTATTACGGTAAAAAAATTTCGTTCATTTGTCAAAAGTTTAGGCTCATAATTTGCCTTTTTGCGTGGGGGGCACGCAATAAAAAAATATTATCCGTAAATGAGACGAAATCCTTCACACTGCCAAATAAATATTTTTGTTTATGCTTATTCGAACGCAATACTTTGGTTGCGATCTATTCAAGCCATTTATCTATCTCAAATATTTTTCGGATAATGGTAATTTTTGATTCGATACCTTTTCTCATTTGTTTCTTCTTCTGTAAAAAACTTTATCAACATTTTACGATGTTTCACTTTTTTTTCCGTTATATCTGACGTAAATAAAGTGATAAGTCGTTCTTGAAAACGAAGAAAACATCGCAATAAAATGAAAAAAAAGTGTCATTTTTGCTTTCTAAGAGCAGAAGTTCTGTAGCACACATTTCGGATTTTCTATATTCTCCTCAGTTATTATCAGTTGTTTCAAGTCAATATTCATCATCCTCAATATTCCTGCTTTGTAAGATATACTAGCAAATGTAGATTTTTTTTACGGTTTTTTCTGGTATGTCTAACTTGAAATTAGAAATCATTCAATTTCATTATTGAAAAAATTTAATGGAAGATGAATAAAAATAATTTATTTGTGCTTTTTGGAGAGAAGGTCTTCTGTAGCGCCAATCTTTGGCTCCTCATCTTCTTTTTTTCACTTTTTTTATCAGCCGTAGATTGCTACTCGTTATCCTTCTCCATATTTTTTCATTTTGAGAAAATTTATAAAACGAGAAAGGAATCATTAGTTTCCGATCATGTTATATCGGTAATCAAAATGATTGATTTTTTTAGGAACCAGGGATAATTGAGATAAAATCGAAATTCTTGATCACCTTCTCACGAAATGTATTATTTATTCAGTATTCCATGAGTTCACCTCCAGCCGCGGCAATTAATCTTTTCTTTCAATGGGCTCCTTGACGAAGCGCGCGAGGGTGGAAAAAGAGCGATTGTGAGTGTGTATTTCCGCGCTTTTTTTGGACTTGAGCCAAATGCAAAATAGATGAGTCTGTCATTACACAAAACGCACATCTTCGAAAGGCAGAATGATGTGCGCAAAAATGACAATGTTTGTGTTCTAAACTTTAATTGTAGCATTTTTTCCTTTATTAGCTTAGATTAGCTCATCCAGCGTGACTTTTTTTTTGCTCAAAAAACATAGCGTGATGGTATTTGAGATTTTCTAGAAAGTGTGTTCTCGAAGAACAACAAATATTTGAATTTTGAAAAATTAATCTCTTCTTCCCTCAACAATGTTCCCAATTAAGAAAAAAGATAAAAAAATTCATTTTTTGAACTTTTGCTTTTCTTTGCCGATTCCTTCGGATTTTAGATTTTGAAAGTTTGAACTTGTTTTTTGCGTTTGCATTGTTTCTCAGCGCGGTCATTCAGTTTGCGAATAGCTAACAAGAAACAAAAGTAGCACAAAACAAACAGAAAAATAAATCCATTCCATTAAATGGTACGACAATTTGGCATCTTTGTGCTAAACAGGACGCGGAAACACATCAGCTTGCTTTTGTTTTTTGAAACGATTTCATATCTTCGATTACATCATTTTCACGTTTCATTATCTTTGTTTGTTCTTGTAAAGCTGTTTCTTTCTTGTTCGGAAAGCTTTCAACCACTCACCACACGAATAAGAGAACAGCCAACATAAATACCAGTCCAAATCCATTTGTGGCGTCATCGGACTTGCTCTATTGACAAGTTAAAACACTCCGTTGGTTCTCCCAGGAGAATTCTGATTCAATATAGATGAACTTTGGTAGAAAGAAGACTTTAGAAGTTTTTTTGCCTCTGTTAGTTTATTTTAACCACAATTTTTTCAATGTTTTTTCATCAAATGAAACGGAGATTTTCCGTGTATCACACCTTGCTTAATTTCACATTTATAATTTTACGGGACTTCTAATTTCTGCGACGGAAACCAACTTTTCAGAGGTTTTTTTGCAAACCCGTAACTAGGATTTTTTTCATGACGTTGCTGGAAAAAAATATAATTGAAAATAATCCTGATTCGTCCTCACCATAGACTTTTTTTCGAAGTTTTTCAAAGAAATTTCGAAAATTTCTATCATTTTATCGATAACAATAATTTATATATTTTTAAATAAATTTTTTTAGATCTCAATTTTTTTGTCATAATCTCCCGGAATATGTTCTAAAAATAAACTCAGAAAAAAATACAATTCAGCTCTCAGGAAAAAGTTTTTCTTTTCATTAATTGAATCAAGAAAATTCACTAGAAAATTGTTTGCACCTCTGAACAAAAATAGCTGGACTTGAAAAAATCGCTCATCCACAAGAATGGGCTTTTTTTGATCTGAACGCCGCTGGGAAAATAAAAAAATAGACCGGGAGTAATATCATCATGAACAAAAATCTGTGTTGAGTACGTGTGAAAAAAAGAACCAAACACTTTTTGTATTTGAATAATAACTTGTTAATATATTTCTCTGAGAGTTTTTATGATTTATTCTTTGATATTTTCGGATTTTTTTGATATAAACGGCTCATCTTGAATATTTTTTTCAAATATATGCTATCCTCATTTTTTTCTTATTATTTTTTTCTAATATGATGATTACACAACCGTCAGAAGTATATTTTTTCAATGTCTAAGATTTCCTCTGGTCTTTTTCGAAAGTGTTTCAATTTCTTATCACATGAAGAAAAATTCTACTAAAGCCTTTTACCAACCTTCCATGAAGCATTAGGATAATGTTTTATATGATCGATTGAAAGAAACCAGCAAGAAAGAGTCTTCATCAAGTCAAAAAACAAACAAACCCATTTTCTTTCGAACTTTCAATTCCATTTGTCGGTTCTACACATTTCAAAGTTTTCAAATAATTTTTTCTCTACAGAGAGACAGCCAGCTGATGAAATCCACAATTTGAATGGCTCATGAGAACAAGGATAACTTTCGCATGATAGACTTTCAGGTGAAAAAGATTTGAGTTATGAGACGTCTCGAAGTGTCTGGTTTCCTCTGTTCCAAGCATCAGCTGCTGAGTTTGAACAACCCTTTGAAATCGTTTTTTTTTCCCTTTGTGCTTGTGTTCTCGAAGCGAATTCAGCGCCAGTCGCGTGAACCCGTCATACGTCATCAAAAATTGCATAGTTGTGCCCACGTGCTGATGTCTTCGGGAAGCTTTTTAACTTAAAAGACTTGTTCAACTTCCTTGAGAGTTAAACTTCCTGAAAAATCATTAGGAGTCTGTTCCAATTTTTCAAACCTCCTTTGAAAAAGTTTTCTTCGAAGATTCAAAGCATCAAGCTAAATACTTTTTTTCATTGTAAACTCGAAAAAAGTTCTTGGAACTTCCAAAACAGTGGAAGTTTGTTGAAAAATTGAGAAGCAAAGGAAACTTTTTTTTCAAAGTACACCTCCGCATACTTTCATTAACTTCATGAAGCATGACTATTCAAAATGATTTTCAGGAAGATGATTCCTGAGAATTTCTCTTGATAAGTAAACTTTTAACATCTAAGGCTGTTTATGAAAAAATATAATTTCGTTTCAAAATTTTTATTCCTCCAAAGTTTCCATTTTTGATCTTTTTATCCATTCAGTTTTAACGGAAATATATCCAGAAAAAAGAAGTTGACTCACCCTTTTTCGTTGCTTTTTTGTTTCTGAACAGAAAAACCGATCTTGGCTCACTTTTGTTTTCTACTGCAATTCATCCAAAACCATTCAGACACCTTTCAGAGCTTTTAGCGCTAAAGCCAGAAGTTTACTCACCCTTTTTCGCTACTTCAATTTATCTCAAAACTGATCAGCCTTCTTTATGGGCAATTTATTTGTGAGAAGAAATTCAAATTTTGAAAAGAGAAGAATGACATGAAGCGGAAAAACTATGTGGGATTTTTCCCATGAAATTGTTTAAATCTGTTTAACAGCGCATAAAAGGGCCCCCAGCCCAATGTTTCTCACACTGTACGGCCCGACACACGCGCTCTGCTGCCTTCCTTCTCCCTTTTTCGTTTTGCTCAGAGAACTCAACCTACTTCGGCAAGTGGACACCGAGCCGCAGCAGGGACAAGTCGTTTTCCGTTCTACTCATTTCCTGCTATCAAACTTTCATGGTTTGTGTAGCCAGGTTTTTCCTCTGAACTGAGCTGAGCTCTTCAATTTAATTCCCGGTTCCGACGAGTGAAGAAAGACGAGAATATTCGGTTCAAAACTTTTTTTCCCTTTCGTGCCATCCAAAATCGCAAAAAAAAAGAACACCTGGCAAACGCAACGCTCTGCATACGAACTTGAATTTGAAAAAAAAACCAGGATTGAATGAGGCGCTGTCCGAGCTGCGAGGCCTCCACCCTCGCAACTCGACGGCACATCTGCCTGGTATATCACCCACCCTCGTTTTAATTTGTTGTGCGCAAATACGTCGTTTTTCTTCTTTTCATCAGCATCTTTTTCGGCTCGTTCATTTTTTCGACACGTAAGCTCTCTCGCCTGATAATTGTCGGGTCTATTTGCAAGTTAAACAATCTCGGCCATGTGAGCGGCGCCATTGACGCCGAGGAATATCATAGCTTTTTTTGAGGTATACCTCGCCGAAAGTTTGTTTCACGAGTATAATTGTTAGGCGAAAATGCTCCTATTTGCCAGTCCAAATGGCAAAAAACAACTGCTCCAAAGCATGCAATAAGCAGATGACGTGAGCTGAAATTATTTTCAATTTTTCTTAGGCCTTTGATTTAAAAAGTCTGAAAGTGCTTTAAACTACAGTAATCTGTTCGAAAAGAGCAAAAAAGAAAATGTTTTTGTCACTTTTCGAAGTTTAAAACCTAAACAGCTCCTCAGATTCAATTCATAGTCCTTTTATAAAAGTCAAATAAAATCTTTTTGAACCACGTCCAGTGAGCGTTAAAGTGTTCAAACAACGTTCAAACCAAACTATCTTGAAAAATCGTAGGTAAGAGGTACGAGGCGCGAGATGAAGACAAAAAGCAAGAGATCATCTGAGAAAACGAGGCTGGGCAGACGCGCGTTTCGCCACTGGACCGAGCACCGAAAGACGAAGTTTGAGAGCAGGCCTGTGTAATGAAACGGCTGGTGTCAAACTTTGGCGAGTCGCATACTTTCCTTTAGGCGCCGCTATTGTCATTCTCTCTATGATTATATCATTCATCAGCGGCACGTCTCTTGACTGATTAGTTTTCCGTAGTGAGTCAATCTCCATGAGAATAATTCTAGTTCGTTGAATTATGAATATGCCAACAATGATCACACTTTACGCCAGCTCAAATTTCATTTTTCATAAAGACCAACACCTCGGATAAAGTGCGACTTTTCTGTGAGTACCGGCCCCATCTTCAGCATAGATGTTAGCTTTCCAACTTTAATGCAAGTAATGATCTCTGATGACGTGGATCACACCAGGAAAAAACCTTTTTGATACTTTGGCCAATCAGCAAAAACCTGAGCTCAGATCTTTCGAGAAAAAAAGTGTATTTATTAGTTTAAATCAGCCTCAATTTTGGGAAAAGTTTTTCTACATCGGTCTACTTATGTTTGATATAGTTTGCTTTTTTTAAATAGTTTTAGCATAATTAAAATAGACAGAAAAAAAATATTCAAGTCATTCTCCTATAACGAGTTTGAAAGAAGATTTAGTGGAAAGAATTGGACTTTCCAATCATTCATTCAAACTGAAATGCTGAATAAGGTGCTCATAACAAAATTTAATTAGGAGTTAATCTTTTCCTTTTTTTAAGTGTCTAGTGGAAAAAGTTCAAGTCACGGTTTTTCTGTTTTAGTTGAACGTTACAAACAGGAAAAAAGTATTTATGGCGACTCTTTTCTCCTTCTGACTTTTGCTTCCATTATTCTTTGTGCCAGCTTCTGTCTTACCTGAGTATTATCCTTGCCATGCCGGAGGCGGCTTCATTGTTGGCGGAACACTTGACCGCGCGAATGGCAAAGCCTCAAATCGCCGAAATTATTTTCCATTCTTGTTCACCTCAAAAAAAGTGTCGGCAATCCAATCCCGATGTCAAACATTGGTATGCCGCATTACGTTTCATTCATTTTTTGTTATTTGTCTTTCCCGATGTTAGAGAATGAAAGAAAACTAGTGATTAACAAATGAATGTCATTGAACTTTTATTCAAGAGCGTGGTGAACTTATATATGTCGTGAAAAAGCTCATTCAGGGATTTTGTGCAAAATGGCAGTGATAAGGATTTAGCATTGTTCTCCAGTACGTTGCTCCCTTTTGCGTTGCAAAAATGAGTCTATAAAAAAGCGAAAAAAAAGAAAATTCTCTTGACGAATTTATATCGATGTTGCAGAACTAGTAGAACATGCAAAGAGTTCAGAAAAAAGCTGGTACAAAAAATAATTGACCAAAAAGTTGAGTTCTTTCTAGGTGACGGTTTGCAACAGATCTTTATAAATTCCCTCAACCATGATTGTAAGATAACTACATTTTCCGCCAACTGTTTTGGATCAGTTTCTCATTCCGGCATTGCGAACTGCACCATAAAAGGCGGAGGCGGAGTCCAACAAAGCTGGCTGGGGGAGTAACCGGCCGAAAAAAGGACGCAAAACAGCAGGCAGACTAGAAGGCGGGTTAGTTTGTCCGTCAGCTCTCTTCCCTTTCAAGCTCATCAACCTGAGCAACTTAACCACGGAGCCATGCGAAATTACTCAACATTCTCAGGATCAGGTAAGCCCAAGCTATATGGTTCAGTTTAATGGAGAGCAGACCTGAGTTAACCAATCACAGAATCTCCTCTCAACCGTCTCCGTTCTTTTAAGTTTATTTGCACTGAGCTTGGTTGGTGTCAAAGTTAGTTTATTGGCAGTGATTCAAAGTGCCCTCCTCAAATAAAAAACCGCTCGACTCATGCACAATCGTCTTTTCCTTCATTTTGTCTTATCTTTGGCCGGTTCTATCTGAAGAATGGATCTTTCTATGTCTAAAACTATTAGTCTGATCGTTCAGTTTTTGTTTTACCGAAGCAGCCCATCTATTGAAAGATGACCGTTCCATTTGATATAGTTTGATCAACATGAGTTGAAAGATATTCTCAATTTAAATTTTCACTGACATTTCCACCATTTATTGACAGTACGAAAATTCGTTTTTTCTGTTTTTTCGGTTAATCTTCATTCTTTTCCATCGGTCTATTCGTGTTGTGTCGTGATAATCTGTTTCAAAAATCATTCCTCAAACTGATACGTCATTTTTTTTTCAGAAATGGCGGGTTTACCTCCTGATTTCCTTCAAATACCAGGGCAATCGAACAAGCCATCGTTTACCGCTGGGAGCGAAGAATCGATTCGGCTCGGCTCGCGGGTCACATTCACGGACCAGACGGTCAATTTCGAAAATGGCACCAGCGTGAGTTTTCTTAACGCAACGGCTACCCATCTTTTCATTTCATGCAGTTCTCTCAAGAAGAAAATCATTGTTATCGAGAGCATAAATAGAGTTATCTAATGAAAGCTGTTGGGAAGTTGTTTTATTCGAACTACAAGTATTTTTTGAACGTGAAAGAACGTAGCTCCAACTTCAAAGTTTGTGGTACATAAAAAACTTCATCTCGTAAACGAAATTTCACGCGCCTTCTCTTTTCCGCATACAAGCTTCAAATTTTTCGTTTCTTACTCAAAAGGCATCATGAAAAATCTTATTTTCTTCCGCCACGAGAATTTAGTTAATTTTGGTTTTCTGGTTGAAATAGCCCAAAAAGAATAATATGCGAGCTTTGAAGAGAAGAAGAAGGATTTCATTTTCGTTTCAGACGGGTTTTTTAAGCACAATGTCAGTCAAAACGACATGCCACTGCTCATATTTTTTGTTTTCAAGGGAGTAAAACTCAAAACTATCAGCTGATGCAGAACATCAGGTCGAAAAGCAGGTGAACGTTCGCAAAGAACTAAAATTAAATGTTCCGACTCTTTTAAAAAATATCATCAAGGAACTGAATCCCTTTTTCAATTAAAATGTTTCGTCAGTAACTGAGATTTAGTTCATTAATTTTCAATTATGAAAGATGATTAGTAGCTTGAATCTTATTCCCACTGCTAACTACCGCTTTGCGTCTGCAAATAATAAGCCCGAGGAAGCATTTTGGTTGGGTCGAAAAAACGTTTCTTACCGATGGATGGGTCTAGGGTATTACGAGTCCAAGGCCTGCAAAAGACGGCTCTTTCCAGAACGTGGCGTCAGAGGCACGTGAGCACCTCTCGGCCAACTTTTATGCTTTCTTTCTTGGCTTGTTCGGTGAATGGGAAGGAATGGGCACGGAAACATCGGCTAAGAGTAGTTCGAGCTTCATTTGATTACAAAGCATTACCTCTGGACAGAAACGCGAACAGCTTGTTTGTTTGGCCTCAAAAAAGTGGACATGCTGCTGGCTTTAGGCTCACGCTGCAAAGAAAAGTGTGAGGAATTATTTAGGAGGTGAGGGTGGCCCGTTGGAGTTCACATTTCTCAATGAAATGAATACTCACTGCTCATGTAGTTGTGCGGAATATGTCTGAAAGGAAATACAAAGTTAGAAAAAAAGTTCTTCTTAAATATCTGATAATTCTATACAGGATAATTCTTATTATATTTCTTTTTTCTTGACTTCGAGTAGAATTGAAATTTTCTCAGTTTCGGAAATTCATATTCAATTCCAAATGTAGATGGCGTCACTTTTGAGCAATACGAAATAATAAAAAAGGCTGTTTCCGGCGTTGAATCGGCGCCAAGTGTGCCCACGCAAAGAGCGTGTGTAGACGCTCTTATAGTTTATGGAGATAAGTGCCATTCCCTAGTAGCTCGCAAGCAACAAAAAGAAGATAACGAAAAAAATGTTTTAAAAAGAACGCATGATAGATAAACGTCATTTTGGCGCATCATAATTATTTCTCAACTAACGAATTCGATACAATGACAAAAAATGAACGTTCAGTTACTTTCATGGTAAGCTGTCTTCTTTTTTAATTATTTTCTTCAGAAAATATCAAAATCCTTTTTGGAATTATTGGTCAGCTTCATCCTTTTCTTTTTTCCAGGAGAGCCAGCAGATATCATTTGCTGTGGAGCAAGAAAACGTGGAACGAGAAGAATGGGCCACGAAGGTCAGCCATCTCTTCAAAACGCATATAAACTCAGATTTTAGACGCAATTCTACATGGGAATCGTTTCCTACGCTGTCGGCCTGGGAAACGTTTGGCGTTTTCCGTACTTGCTGCAGAAAAATGGCGGGGGTCCGTCCTAAAGTACATTCTCGTGCACAGCCAATCTTTCAGGCGCCTTTTTGATACCTTATGTCGTCATGATGATCCTCGGTGGCCTTCCGTTGTTTCTCATCGAGCTGGGAATTGGACAAAGATTGCGAACGGGACCTGTCGGCGTTTGGAGCGCAATTCATCCATACCTTGGCGGTTTGTTTTTTTTCAGTATACATTGCACACTCACTTCTTTTTACTTTTCACTGAGATAATTAGAGAACGTCGCCATCTTTCCTTTATTTGCTATCTTTTCATCCGGCGATCTCTTCGGCGCCTTGCTATCAAAAAAACTTCTAGCGCAAATAATAAAGAAAACTTTCCTGCAGGACTCGGAATCTCCTCTGCCATTGTATCGTACTTCGTCGCCATGTACTACAACGTCATTGTGACGTGGTGTTTGTATTATTTGTTTCAGTCGCTCACAACTACTCTTCCTTGGTCGGTAAGGCTTTCGAAGTTTTTTCTAAAATTCTGAAGGTACTGAAAAATCAATGTTTTTTCACGAATTTTTGTCTCAGTAAGATATTTTCAAACTCTGCAAGCTTGTCAACGAAAAAATTTTTTGCGCGATTTTTATCTCTAGAAAAATAAATCTTGCTAGATTTGAAAATTGCTAGAAACATGGATACTTTATCCGAAATAATGCTTTTTCAGCAATGTCCATTCGAAAATGGGACAGCTATCCCGGAATGTGCCAATCAATCGACGCCGGCGTACTATTTCAACCACGAAGCCTTGCAAACGACCAGGTGAATATGCATTTTCCTCTCTGAACTTTTTTTCTTCAGTTCCATCGACGAATTTGGGGGCCTGAACTACCGTATCTTCCTGGCGCTGACCTTTGCCTGGATCATCGTCTACCTCTGCGTGAAAAAAGGAATAAAGAGTTCCGGAAATGTGAGCGGTTTTTCTCAGCCATGAGAACAGCACAGAATATGTTGTTCACTGACTAGGGAATTACTCGGGCTCTGATTCGCATATCATGTTGAAACTACGGCGGCTTATAGACTTGGGTAAGAACTCTTGGAAACGAGAGAGATTATTTGTTAAACCACATAGGCTTCTGAGAAAAAGCTTCTTGAAGAAATCGAGGAAGAGTCCTGTACGCGCCTGATCCTCATTCTTTCACCGAGGTGGGCTGGCGCAGTGGTTAGAGAGTCAGTCTCATAAGCGACTTTTTTGAGTAGGTTCGATTCCTGTCGAGGGTGGATCTTTTTTGCATTTCTAGTAAAGCCGAAATTCTTAGTAAAAGTAAGAAATTCAAAGGGATTTGGAAGTTTTATCAATAATATTTCTTATTTCCGGAGGAATTCAGAAAAAAATGTTCTCTAGATTTGGGAAACAACGCTAGGAAACAACGCTAGGAAACAACGCTAGGAAACAACGCTAGGAAACAACAGAGTTTTACTGAAAAAAGGGGGGGTATGAAAACAAGATTAGCGAAATTTGCGTTGGCGAACTTATCGAAGACCGCGAAATCGCGGGCGGTGTATGCCACCGTGTATGCATACTGTTTGCGCAAAAATCAATAAACACCTTTCCGACGGAACTTTTTCCGACTTTTTTTGCCTCTTTTTTTCAAATTTTTTTGGATTTCGTCACTCATTTTTGGTTTTTTTCTGTTATTTCATCTTTTCCATCGCATTATGATCCTCTGGTACGCATTGTTCCTATTTTTTTCTCGATAAAAAAATATTTATCCGATAGGAAACGATGTCAATGAAAAAGATTTGGAAACAACAAATTTATGGACAATGGTGAAATAAAAATGAAATAAAAACAAGAAATTGGGAAAAATAAGAAATGACACGAGAAGAATGTGAAAGATATAGGAAATTTTTTTGATGTTGCCCGAAACGAAAACAATAATTTACAGATTTGTAGGAATCAGTGTCACTCAAGTAATCAAGCATGTCATCCAATGTTTCTCTCATAGCTCTTTCTTCTTCACTCATTCTGTAATTGAAACGCAGAAAAAACTGTTATAAACAATGTTCCAACAGCCATCACGACGAAAAATTATTCCAAAAAAATATTTTTTTGCTTCAAACAAAAAAATTGAGGTCTTTTTTTCCGATACAAGGATCATAATGCGATGGAAAAGATGAAATAACAGAAAAACCAAAAAATGAGTGACGAAATCCAAAAAAATTTGAAAAAAAGGCAAAAAAAGTCGGAAAAAGTTCCGTCGGAAAGGTGTTTATTGATTTTTTTGCGCAAACAGTATGCATACACGGTGGCATACACCGCCCGCGATTTTGCGGTCTTCGATAAGTTTGCCAACGCAAATTTCGCTAATCTTGTTTTCATACCCCCGAAAAAAGACTTTTATTGACCCTTTGGACTTTTTTTTGAGAGAAGTTCAACCAGGAGAAATGCTTTTTTTCCTTAATTTTATGACTTTTTATTTATTTTTTTGTCTTTAAAAAAATTGAACCTACTCAAAAAAAGTCAAGCATGAGACTGGACCTCTAACCACTGCGCCAGCCCGCCTCGGCAAGAGCGGTAGGTTCAGACGCGTACAAAACTCTTCCTGGATTTCTTCGAGAAGCTTTTTCTCAGATGCCTATGGGGTTCAACAGATAATCTCTTTTGTTTCCAAGAGTTCTTACCCAAGTCTATCAGCCACCGCAGTTCCAACTTGATATGCGTACTCGAGCCCGAATGAGTAAAAAGTGTTATAAAAAAGAAATTTTTTAAAAACATATTTTCTCGTTCTAGTAAAATATTTCAGGTTATGTACGTCACTGCCATTTTCCCGTACATCGTCACGTTCATTTTTCTTTTCCGCTCGCTTTCTCTTGTTGGAGCTTGGGAAGGAGTCAGATACATGTTCAAACCTGACGTAACTAGAACAAATCAAACTTTTTGTACTAAAAAAGCTGTTTCAGTTGACCAAACTCTACAGCCCTGTGGTCTGGCTTGAGGCGGCGACGCAAATATTCTACTCGATGGGATTGGGATTTGGAGGTTTTAATTTTCAAGAAACTTTTTTCAAAATAAATTTTTCCAGGGCTGATTGCTTTCGGTTCATACAATCCGGTAAAAAATGATGTCAAGAGAGATTCTATCTTGCTCTCTGGCGTCAACCTCTTCACTTCGATTTTGACCGCCATCAACGTCTTCTGCGTTCTCGGCTCTATGGCATACACCACAATCTCGAAATGCATTGAACGGTTAGTTTTCATTCGAAAAGTAGTCTTGCTCGCCATGACTTGGAACGTCTTACAAAAGAGTTCTGTCGTTTCGACCCGATGAGATTTTTTTTTTCAGTTTGTCTTTTTTCATTTTTCACTATCAGAAATATTCATGAACTGTACTGTGGAAGCAATCAAAAAAGATGAAATTTTGTCATGTCATGGGCGTTAAAACCAAATAATCTATCAAATTTAGCGATATGCATACGTTTTCGAAAGTGTACCCTCTTTACTTTCCAACTTACGCCGATGTTCGAAAAACGTTCACAAATTCCGAGTACATTGAGGTTCGTGGGAAAAAGTTAATACAAGCTACGAAAATGTTTGCAGATGATTGAAAACAAGTTTACTGGGCAGTACACTATGATGGCCGCACATTCCGAGATGTGCGATTTCAAACAAACTCTCAACGAAGTATTTTGAACCTTTTTATCCAAGTTTTCATTGTGAGTTTACAGGCAGCCGAAGGAGCTGGTCTCGCGTTCGTAGTGTTCACAGAAGCTATCCTGCAGTTCCCGATGCCGCCCATTTGGTCATGCTTGTTTTTCCTGATGCTCTTGAGTCTTGGCCTGGGCTCCATGTTCGGTGAGTCAATAACTTCCCTCTTTTGCAGTATTCATAAATAAAAATATTTAACTAGAAATATGAACTGCAGATTTCAATAGATTCAAGTGAGAGAACCGAAATCATTAATTAAGACTCATAGAAAAACGGAAAAAACCTATTGAAAGTGTAAACGGAAACTTTTAAAATTGCTTTCTTATGAATTTTTTTGACTTTTTCATCCAAGAGTCTCTTGGTTGGTTCTCTCATTATTTTGAAAGCCTAGATTGGGATTCCCCTTTCATGAATGGTTTCATTTAAACAACATCGATGTGAATCAAAAAAAAACCGCACTTTTTTTATTTTTAGGCACTTTGGAAGGCGTTATCACGTCTCTGAACGATTCAAAGCTGATCAACGTCAAGAAGCCGGTGCTGACATTCATTCTTTGCCTATCTGCTCTGATTGTTGGAATCCCGTTTGCATCAAGATCTGGACAGGTTTTTCAATTGTATTCTTCATCCGTGTCACAAAGTCGATTTCAGTACTGGGTCTCTCTTTTCGACAACTTCGCTGGATCGTACGCGCTGATGTGCGTGGCCTTCTTTGAGATCATTGCCGTTTCATATGTCTACGGTGCACAAAGGTCTAGAAACAATATATAAAAGATAAAATCTATGTTATTTTGTAGATTCTCGGATGACATCGAGTACATGACTGGCTCTCGTCCTGGATTGTACTGGCAATGGACATGGAAATTCTTCGCGCCCGCCATCATGTTAGTGTTGTTTTCTGCGTCTGTCTTGCAAACTCTTTCAAAGCCGGTCACCTACATCGCCTACGATCCACAAACGGTACGGTTAAGAAAGGATTCTATTGAAATTAATGAAGAGTTTAGGCGAAGCAAATGGAGGTTGGATATCCCACATGGGCCATGTACATTGCCATTGCAATGGTTACGATTGCCATCGCTCCGACTCTTGGAATTTGGTTCCTTCGTTACTTCAGAATCTGGAAGCTCGAAGCCAACATTCCCGTGGTATGTCTGAATGTTTTTTTCTAAGCCGTCAGTGATTTTTACTTCTTGGAGCTCGAAAAGACCATGTACAGAGCAACTTCAGACTTTCTATTGACATTTGAAAAAAATATTTTTTTCTAAAAAAACTCGATAAAAAAATTAAAAATTTTTCATCTATAGAACTTATTGTTGAATATTATTCTCAAAGATGATTTTTTTCACCTTTAAAAAAATAATCTGGCCGGAAATTATGAGGCATTTACTTAGTAGAACCCTCAATCAATCTGAATATGAAAAATGTTCGCAATAGCTTTGAAAAAGACGACTATAACTCTGGCAAGGACTTTGTATCACAAATTCAAAATTCAGGCGTCCAAATGCTTGAACACAACACAATCAACGACGCAGATGCTCAAAAGCGACGTTTCTTTCAATCACATCAACGACTCTTCCGCTACCGTGTCCGAAATGGTCCCATTCACCGCAAATGTAGAACAAAACCAATAAGGCGTTGTGCAAAGTTTATGGGTCCTCTGAGAATGATTCTCCGGATGGCATTCAAATTTCCAAAATTCTTCCCATATTCAGATTTCTTTGTGAGTGGTTCAATCGGTTCAAACTCGCAAGTTCATTTCAACTTGATATTGACTTTCAAACTTTGAAAAATTGGACTTCGCCCACTCGAAAAATGAAATTCCTCAGTCTATTTTCCGCCCCGTGAATCTTACATTTGAACAAGCCAACATTTTTTGTAACCTTTTTCTAAAAAAAATGGATAGGATCATGAAAACATATCCCCAACCCCTGTCAATTTTAGTTCACTAGAAGCATATTGGACATTTATGCGAATCTGTGGCGAATGTCTTTCTTCAGCCCTTAAATGATCACTTGAAACCGGCTCATATTCTCGTCATGCGCTGAAGTTCCACAATCCTTTGCGAGTACTCTTTCAGTTGCGACATACATATTCCCCTCCAACCTTCTAATGAATTTTTAAACGGTTCGCAATTGTGATTCTCCTTTTCTCACCATGGCGTTTTTAGTTTTTTTCGGGCATTAACAGTTATGATGGATACTTAGCAAACTGTGAAGTATCACCCGGAAAGATCCCTTCGCATTTCTGTATCAGTATTACCTACTTTTCACTGATGACATCTTTTTCCAAACTTCATTTCCCACGGTTCTTCTTTCCCAGTTGTTACGAATTTCTGGTGAATTTCAACTGTTTTTTCATGTCGTTAGCTCTTTTTGCACCCTTCGTTGTAAATCAAATCGGACAGGTCAATCTTTTTTTTATTACTCCACATATGGCTCCTTGTTCTTTTTTGGAATAAATCTTTCGTAGAAAGTTATAAATTTTTGATCGTGCATAAAAAAAATGAAAAGCGGATGTATTCATAAAGATAGCCCAAATAGGAAGGATCTCGTTTTCACAGAATTCTATGCAGAAAAATTTTCAATAGATGTTCACTTCGGATTGCTTTCATTAGCTTCTGACTGGAAAACTTCTCGGACTTGAGGACTTGTATCGGAATCGAACTTTGCTGGTTTTTTAACCTAGGTAAGTATTAGGAAACAAGAGAGATTACTTGTTAAACCGCATAGGTTTCCAAGAAAAAGCTCCTCGTAGAAATACAGGAAGAGTCACCTGAACCTTTCTCTCTCGCCGGGGTGACCAGATGCAGGAACTAAACGGTTCGTCTCATGATTGAATTATTAAGTAAATTCGACCCCAATCCAGTGAAAACTTATTTCTGCTTTTTAATGACAAAAACTTTGAAAAGTATTAATTTCAAAAAGATTTGAAAGTTTTATCAGCGTAGTTCTTATTCGCGAAGTAATTCAGAGAAAAATTTTTACAAAATTTATGAAAGAAAAAAAGCTTAAAGATATCGTAGTTTTACTCCAAATGACTTATGTTTAGTCGTTTAATTTTTGCTTGGGAAGCGATTGAATCAGGGAACGATCGTTTGTCTCAACTTTATGACGTTTAAAAAGTTTTTCGTTTTTTTGAAAAGTGCCCGCCAAACAAGCGCAAAACATTGGGATAGGTATTTAAATAGTTGAGAAGAATTCAATGACAGTTGGATGGAAATCTGCCAGAAGTTTCAAGAAATGAGAAGACAAGTTATTAGGTTTTTCAGAAGGTTTTCTACTCATTTGCTCTTATAATTTTAAACAAATATATTTACAAAGTCATCGAAATAGACCAGCCAAATGATTCATCCTGATTGAGGAAAATTCGGTTAAATGGATCAGAACGAGTGGACGTTTGAGATCTGTTTATTTGAGATCGCAACAAGATTAAAAGTTTTGTTTTCGATGAGACTCCCGAACGATTCTGCCGTGTATCCCAACTAGATCCTACAAAAATCTCAGACAACAATGAAATATTCCTGACAAATTTCATAATTTTTGGAAAAAAAGGAAATAATTTGAACCAGGATGTTTCAAACTAGAAAAGAAGTTACGGAACAGCCTAATACAAATTTTTCATTCAGTTTTGATACTATTTCGATAGGTATATCTTCATAAAAAAATTTATGTCAAAAGAGTTGAAGCGAGAAATCAAGTCCGGTTTTTGACAACCGATCGATATGCAAATTGTACAAACGGAGGTGGGAAAAGCTCTGAGACGCGAGACGACTGCAGAAAAGGCCGTAGTATCGTAGTTGGGAATGCATACAAGCCAGCACTCATGCGTTTGTTTGTACACGGGCCAGGTTGCCCGTCGGACCGTTGAAAGCAGCATGCGTCATTGATTCGTCCTTCCTCTCATGGGGAGTTCTTTTACCTAGCTTTCCGGTATTCTCAGTAAACTCTCAAAAAATCTTCGATGTTTTGAGAATCGAACCTACGTTGCTATTTGCGCCAACTTCCGGTTTCCAAAAAGGAAGGTCCTTCCACTTCCTCGAAATCCGTTAAAATAGCCTATACAAAGGCCGTTTAGTTCTGGGCTTTAAGCCTTAATTTCTCAGAAGCTAAAAATGTTTGCAAGTTGAGACATTAAAAATCATTTTTTGCTATATTAAGGCCAATTTTTAAGAAATTTCTATCTGAAAATCAAATTAACCTATCTTGAAAGATAAGATCATTTTAAGTTGTGAAATGAATTTCAAGCTTAATTATTGTTAAACGCGAATTTTTAAAGTGATAGCTTGAGAACTAGAAGGTTGTCCTCGTAAAGATTTTGTGGATTCGATTCTTACTTGCCTCACGATTGTTTGAGTAAATTGACAATAATTCCAGAAGGAAAGGCAAATGGACTCCCCAAGCCAGCATCTATCTCTCATTCTATTTGATCAAATTTCTTTTTCTGCAAGCATTGTTTCAAGACAGGTCTTAGAAATTTGACCTTGCAAAAATTTTTTTATTTTTTTAACATAGGTGGAATGAGTAAACATTGGATACTTTTTAGCCCTGAAATTTAGGTTTTTTTGAATCTTACAAGATTTTTTTCAACAATTTTAAGCTCCCAATTATTTTTTTATCAGGTACCTAAGAAATTTTTTTCCATTGAAAAAAATATCAAATCTATCTTTAGTTTGTAGATCTCTTTTTTTCCATCGTTTTTTTGAATTTTTGAATTCATTAATTTTTTTACTTCAAAAAAATGATGTATAAAATCATTTCTTTCAATTTGGTGAGAAAGTGTGAAAATTCTGAACAGAGAAAAAAAAAGTAGTATTCTTCATCAGGACCTTCCAAATTTTGGACGAATGATTTTTTCTGATCGCGTTGAAATTCCCTTTCAAGAGTGGTTAAACTAAATTTGATTCTTTAGTTCCTGAAGCTTAAAGTCCAATTGAAAAGTGTCAGAATTGGAATTTGCTAGATTTCTCATGCCTCAAAGGCATCCATACGATAGGTACGACGACGACCGACCACACGTCTATTCTCCTGTACCAAGAAAATGTGAGAGCAAGCTTCGTTTTTAATTTTTCTACAAAATTATCGTTTTTAGATGTTGCTCAGAGTATTCCAGCGTCTACCGTCGACACCTACACTTACACTTCCGCTACACAAAGGTAAACTATGAGTTGTTCAGAAACAGTTCAGAAGGAATTCTCTAAGATTCTGAACTTATCTACTAGCAAAACTTTCTAGTGGCTGAGAAAGAACATTACAAACAATAATAAAAGCTCAAGATCTGTTAAATTAGGTTTTTTTCGAAAAAAATAGGAATTTGTGAATTTTCAGACTTATAGGATCTTTTTCTTGTTCTATCAATGAGCGCTATAACTAAATTACAAAAAAATTCCCATCAAAAAAACAAAATCGCCACTGTTTTCAAATTATTTGTACTGAAGTAACCGCTGTTCATCCACTAAACAAGACAGGCTTTTTGCTTTTAAATTTTTTTTTCAAACTCTATAGAGAGAGAACATTTTTCTTTTTTCAGTACTGTAGAAACGACAAAAGGAGATCGAGGATGTATGCAATGGATGAAGTATGGAATATTCACAGCAAACATTGTCTTTTTGGTGAGACTTTCTTTTTTCCTGCTTTTTCCTATAATTTTTTTAGGTCGTTGGTGGTCTGCTACTTGCCATGGGAGTTTGGCTTCGAACTGACAGCCGATTCAGAAATTTCATTAGTGAAAGGTTGAATTTTGATTAGGAAATCTATTGCTTGAACTTTTTTCAGGTACCGACAAGCCGTAGAAGAAGCTTTCTGGGAGGCGCCAACATTATTCGCTTTCTCATATATTATCATTGTCCTCGGTGCATGTATGATTGTAGTCGCTATGTTTGGTTAGCTTGAAAAAAAAACTTGACAGCATGAACTCTTTTTTCAGGATGTTGCGGAGTCGCAGGAAGATCGAGACTGTTTTTAATCATTTATGCAATGGCTGTTTTCGTTCTTCTTGTCGCTAGTCTCAGCTGTGGGATTTACCTGCTTTACAAGAAAGATGGAGTTAGCACTCCTCGAATTATGAAAACCGTATATGAACTTTTCAGCTTGATGTGGAGCTTTCTGATGCGTTGAACTACATGGTTCAACATTATTATCAAGGACCTAGCATAGTCCAGGAGTCTTTAGACAAATTGCAGACCACTTTCAGATGTTGTGGTAACATTTTTTTCTGTTTTTCATATACATAATGCATGAGATATAAAGGTAAAGCTTCTTTTTAGGAAACGCTGGTTGTTCTGATTTTCGAATATTCCGGCAAGACATCCCTCGTTCTTGTGATATTCGCTGTGACGGCTGTCACTATAGGTTTGAATTATTGTTTGAATTATTTTAATGCAGAAGTTTAGGATACGAGGGTGAGTTTATCAGTTAGAGAGAGAGTTTATCAATTGAAGAATCATGACTTTCCTTTACATAAGCCATTTTGCAGAATAATGGTAGCTCTTCGAATCGGCTTCTCGGTCACTTTGATAGTTTTTTTCGCGGTGATTCTGTGTCAGATTTTAGCAATCTCATTCGCTTTGTATTTTGTTTTCATTAGAAGACAAGAAGTCAGGGTGGTGAGTGATTTTCCCCGATCATTTGAATCAAAATGTTTGTCTCAGATCTACGTCCAGCCACCAAGGCTGCGTGAGCCCAAGTTAACACGAGACACCTTGAGAGAGCATAATCTTCCCTACGGACTTCGAAAATCTTCAAGAAAACCTAACTACTTTTGAAAACTTGCATCATATCGTATTAAATGTCATCTCCTTTCTTATGTATTCTTGTACAAAAAGTGGCCATAACTCTTTTCAATTTACTAGGTGAGAATTTTTGAAGTTTCGATCCGCACGATTCGCTAATTTTTCTTCTACAGAAAAGTCCTCCAGGATTCAATTAAGTTTCAGAAAATCCATAATCTTTCTTGTCAGACTTTAAGATACAGTGAAAGTTGATTTCAATCACGCTTAACCGTGAACTATTGCCAACAAAACAAACCTGTGATATTATGAACTCAATTTTTCTTTTTCTGAATTTACAACAAATCCCCCACATCATTCTATATGTACAGTATTTATTCATGACTTAAAAAAAACCTGAAAACTCTCGTTACAATCTTAAATTAATTAAAAACGTATATTACTTAGAATGTCGTTTTATTTTTGTGCCTACGCATTATTAGCAGAGCGCACTTGCCTCTCGCGCAATTTCAACACCTCACGCTGCCGACCTGTTTCTTTTTTGTTTCTTTTTCTCTCGGGCCGTGATGGCCGTGTTGTCTTATTCTTTGATTCTTTTTTTTCAACTTTTTTCAACTTTTTTTCACCGCATAAAGATTCAGAAGTGTACTTTTTAATGAAAAGATAATGAAGTTGTAAGCAATGAGTCATCTTTGAATTCGTTCATATCTTCCAGTCGAATAATTGTTTTTTGTGTCGTGAAATCAAGATAACTTCTCTCATATTTAAATCCGCATGTTTTTTTGAAAGAAACATAATTTCAATAAAATATAGGAATTCACCTACAATGAATATTTTTTTACTGAGAGGCCATTTTCTTTTTTTTGTAAAGCGAGAAGATTTCTCTAAAAATTTTTTGAAGGTGATATAAACTCTGTTTTTTTCTATATATGGATATAATTTTTTTTTGCACTGTTAAATCATCTTTGAAAAAAATTGTCATACAATATTATTAATTCCCAAATAAATCGATTTTCAGTAATGGATCCTCAAAGAGTGCGAAGTGGCGACGGCCACTTAGTGACCGAAGACCTGGAAGATCTCCCTCTTTTGTCGCCTTCAACAGCTCCAAGTCCTCAGGTACAATATATTCTTGACGTAGTTATTATTCGAAAAAAAAAGATTAATGACTCAAAGTTTATTATAAAATGTTGAAAATTCTCTGTGGCTGTACAGCAAGCTGAAACATTAGAAATTCCATTTTGCTAACAAATTAGTTGGTCAAATGAGTTTCTCAAAATTCAGTACAGTTAAGGGTGTTTTCTGTTGTTTTCCAAAGTTGTTCTGAATTGCATCTCTGTTCAGCGGACAGTCTATTTTTTTTTGCTAAGACAGCAATAGCAATGAAGTTTGCAAGATTATTTTTTGCAAAATTCGAACATCAAAAATGACGATTTCGCGGTTTACCGCAGAGATCCCCAGCGGCAAAAAATGTTGCCAACCGTCGGGGAGTTCGATAGCACTATCAGGTGCTCATTATCAAGAAGCAATTTGCACGTGCCCATCGTCTTGGTTTCCCTTTTTTATTGCTTATCGCTGCAACTCCCTCAAGTCGCCACGCTGAGCAGTTCATTCAAATATATCGATCGTCAGTGAGAATTATTCTGCTTCTTCTTTGGAACGATGCCGTTCCGCTCGAGATCGCGAGCCAGTTCTTTCTCCCAGCCGAACCTCTTCTTCGGCGTCAGCAACGTCTTCATGGCCAGCGTCATCTACTCTTTCTGGTTCTGTCAGTACATGACCGAAATGGTGTGGCGTATGGCACGCAGGATGTTCCGCGACAACTCTTTGTACATCCTCATTGAATTTATTGAGGCAACCAGAGAAGCCCATTCTCATCGAAATGCGGTCCGATTTCGAAATTTTTGTGTAGTAGCTATTTGACGTTTCAGCACTTTTTTCATTGTAGCTGATCGTGTTCTAGTTCACTCTGAAATCCTTATCTACACTCCGATTTTTGCAGACTGCCAGAAATGGACAACGTACTACTTCAACATCCGCGGCCTCTTCAGAAATTTCTTGTGAGTTCAGAAAGAATTTTACATTTGTTTTTTATGTGAGAACTTGTAGCTCAAGAGGGAAGCTCAACCTCCCGTGATGCTTTGAATGGTTCCGAATCGAATAACTTCCTCTCGGACTATGGCTATGACGGCGATGTCAATCTGCGCACAAGAATCGAACGAATTCTCGAAGAACACGGTAACTCCGCTCATTTTCGCCGGTTTTCCAACGAAAAATAGGTGGTTTAGAGCGCAGAAGGCGTCAAAGTACGGACACAGAAGGTGGCACTTCGGAAGAATTGCGCGTCATTCAACCGGTAATTTGAAAATTGGAAGATTGAAAAATTTTTGCTTAGCTCATTGAATACTTGTACCTGAGCATTCCGGTGATTATTTTATTTGTTCTGCGTCTTTGGCTCGATGGCTTTGTTGATATCTTGAGGTTGTCCAAGGAATGGAAGTTGAATTCAATAATGTTTGAATTCAGAATAATTATGCTGTACAGCTTTTTCCTCTACTTTGACATCCATGTTCAAAAAATCGGAGCCGGTGGTGAGTTCCAGTTTGAGTAGACCATCGTTACTTCAAATTATCAGGTCGCCCAAACAAATACGTTCGTCTCAGCCATATTCTTGGAGTTTCGCTTGCCATTTCCTTTGCCATCCCAATTATTTCTCAAATGGAAGGGTTCAATGTATTTTCGGCTCTCATCTTCGACGTCAACGTGAGATTAAAAGACAGGAAAAAAAAATCAAAAGCTATTTAGTATTTTTTCTCTACCATGAGTTATCACGAAATGGCGTACACCGTTTACTGTATCATTCTGACGGACTGTGTGGTTAAAATTTTTACGGTCGCAACCAAATTGATGGTGCTTTTTTCAATATTCGAAAAATTTTACAATGAAGGTTCAGATCATGTCTTTGGGAGAGACGATCATTTCTTCGGCCAGAAAAAGACGTCTTCTACAGCTTTCAGAATATGTCTCTCAAGTCATCTTTAATGAGGAATTAAGTTATAAACTGTATTTTTTTCAGCTTTATCGAGCACTTTGCCCTATTCTCCTGTGGGTACGCTACTTCATGCGCGACAGAGATCAGCAAACATTTTACGACCTGCCGTTAGCTATGTTCTATCTCGGAATCAAGGTAAATCTTCTCGCAAGCCAATTTTTATAAATTTCTTTAGAAGTATTTTCAGATAACTAGCAAATTTCTAAAACCATGTCAAAATTTTAATATCAGCAAGCCATTAAAAACACATTGCTAAAAGTTAAGTGAAAAGTACTTCAAATAATCAAAAAGTTAAGCAATTGCATATATGGTAAAAGTTTTCTTATTGAGCTATTTTTTCAAAATTTTTTTAAAGAAAATCTGTATTTTTTTCAGACTCGGGAAATTTATGACTTCTTCCCTATTCTAACAAAGAGCATCCGCCAACTCGCAAATGTGAGATTTCTTTCAAAGCGAAGGAAATAATTAATTCGTTTAGAAAACTTCATACGGCGTTGTACCGGCCTCGTACGAAATTGTGGAAGCAAACTGCACTGTTTGCCGTGATCTGTTCAATTCTCCAATCAAGGTTGGCTTGTTTCGAAGTAAAACCATAAGCTTTTACTATTTATTATCAAGAAAAAGTCGTTGTGAACTGAGAACAAAATGGATATTTCTAGTTGGAATGCGGACACATCTTCTGTACGCTGTGCATCGAAACGTGGCTCGACACCAACTCGACGTGTCCCATGTGCCGAGCCGCCATCGACCGCAAGCAGGTTCAAAAATGACAATTTTTGCAGTTTTTCATCGAAAAGTTCACAGGATAACCAGTGGAAGTCGGGTTCGACAAGTCGCATGCCAAGGTTTCTTTGAAAAGCCCTACTGATTCGACCGACTGCGTACGGGTCTGCTTGATGCTCTAATTCTCGTTTCTCTTTACTTCAATCCAACCAAATGATTTTTTTTTTACTTTTCAATTACTCATGGCTTTTTCTTCTTACTCCGGTTAACTAATTTCTTTAGGCCTTTTTCGCTGTTGTCTTTCATTTCTATTTCACTTCTCTTTTTCAAAATCCTTTCTCGTGCCTTAGAATCCATGCCAGTTCCGGTTAGCTCATAATATTGTGAACAGTCTTCTACTCTCCCCTTTTTCTGTTGAATATCGCACCGTTTTCTTTGTTTTGGTTTTGTTTTTGGGGTTTCTAAATCTCTTTCCACTCAATTTTGAAAAATTTTTTCTGCCCTATCGAAATAAATGTTTTTAACATTGTATAAAATTTAAAAAAAAACTATACCAAAATAATGTTATCAACAATTCTGAAACAGATTGTGCTGCCATGTTTACAAAAGAATAGAAAAAAATAACTGACCATTGATTAAAAAAATAATTAGTTATTCTCTTAGTTGTCACTTGCACAAAAAAATTGAGCTAAAAAAATTTCTTTCACATGTATAAGAATAAAAATTTTTCTTTAAAAATTCGAATAATTCGAAAAACGTTAAGAAGTTGATTTTATAGGAAAGAAAAATTAAGGAAAAAAAATTGTAAATCGTTTTTAGGAAATACTTATTCAATTCATAGAAGTTTCTTGTTTTTTTCGTGAATAAAATTGATGAAAAAGATCAATAAGTATTTTTTTCTGTCTAGAAAACCCTACAAACAGAATTTTTGTTTTTTTGCTTATTTGAATTTTTTTACTTTTTCGCAATGATCAGGTAAGCTTTGAGAGCATTTGATGACATAAAAAATTTTCTGTGCTTTTTCAAAGTTTTCTCTTTGTTCACAATTTTATTTTCAACTGTCAGGATTAAAATGAGTGAAAATAATAAACTTTATGCTCGTTGGTTAGTTCATACGTAGTAAACTACCATTATCTGAATTGTCATAAAAGTGTATAACAGTTTCTCCCAAGTTTTGCAGCTTTCAACGGATCCTTTCGCAAGAGCATCATGTTTTATCAACTTGAAAAGATTTATGAGTTTGTTTCATTATCGAATGTCTCCGGTATTTTTTTTTTTGCATTAGGCTTCTGCAATCGATTTTATCCAACCTCTATCATTGAAAAAAAAAAATCCAAGTTATGATTTCGATCAAAGAATCTGCCCGAGTCGAAGTTAATTGGCAGCGCTCAGGAAGGCATACGTACACAACAAAAAGCTTACCGCTGCCGCGCAGGCGCGTAGTCCTGGCAACGCCTTCGAGTCGGCTCTTGCTGCACATCGCTTCAAGGCAAGCTGAAACAGAAAAAAGTTTCACACTCCGCCCATTTTTGCTTATCCAATTTGCTTAACATCTCCCACAACGCCTCTACGACTTCCTTTATGTTCTTCTGGCAACTCCCCGTCGCTGCACCACCGTATTGTCAATAACCGCTGTCAAGAGCCTAACCAAGTAAGGAACTACTTTTTGAAACTTCATAGCTGCTTGAGATTTTCGAAAAAACAACTCAGCGGTGTCATAAGTAATTTTTTTATTTAAAAAAATGGGGAATTCAAAAAGTTCAATTAAGTGGGCTTTGCGAAATGTCTAAATTAAAATATCATTTTGTATATTTGTACACCAATTGCTCGAGCAAAACGAAAGACGCTGTAAAGGGTTAAGCAATTTTCCCATGATAATTCATATTCAGTTTGAAGTCAGTCCAAAGATATATTTTTCAATTTTATTCTCGTTTTTTTGATGTGCTGATTTACTCAAAGTTTGATTAGTTTCAAGTACATCGCCTTGATAGAAAAGAGTCATCGAAAGTGTGACAGAAACTACACTTCTCCACTCGCTTGAATAATTTTTATAATTACGTAGCCCTTTCACTCAAATCATCTAGAGCTGTTTCAATCGAATGAAAAAAAGTCAAAACGCTTACTGAGCCTTTTGAGACACAAAAATCTTGTTAATGATAGCTTTGAAACTTTTGATCATTCGGTTATTTATCTTTGAGAAAACTAAAGGATGTTTTTGGGCCCTGCGAAAATTCACGTTTAGTTTAGAAGCTTTCAAAGTTCTACAAGCTTTCTTTAAAAAGACAGTTTGCAGCTGTCAATATGATTTTATATTCTAGGAAAGTTCAACCTACATTGCAACAACTCCTGTAGAAACAGGAATCGACTTTTTCGGAACATTTTCTACTGAGCCGGAAGACTTCATCAAAAAGTACCAACTGAGCAGATTTGTAGAACGGTCGAACAGCCAAAGCGCCAAAGATATGGGTGATGATAGAGGTGCAGTCCGAGAAAGATTGGAATCCTCGTTGCCGAGTCTTGGCACTACGTGCTTTGTGAAACCCAAAGCCACGGGAGTCGTCAGCCTAGTTTTACAGTTCGGACTCCTGATTGTGAGTGGAGTCACGACCATCTTCTACTTCTACCATGTCGGCGGATACGAGTACATGTCTTGGAACGAAAACTCTACAATACTCCAACCGATTTCTCATCCGAAACCTGTCACAATAGTTCAAGAAACTGTGGAAATCCCTTTTCTGACTACTTTGCGCCCCGGAGAAGATTCAGCTGTCGAAAGCGCAACCATAGTAGCACCGTCAATGGAAACAGATTGGAGCCCAGTTCCTTCTGGAGAACCCCTAAGCAATATAACGTTTCCTGTTCCTGACGATCCGCTTCTTCTCAATACAACCGAACAATCTGACAATGTGGCCCTCGAAACATCGATGGAATCTTCAACTACTGAGGCACTCGTTCTATCTTCAGCAGTTTTACGAAAGAAAAGAGAAGTAGAGCAGAACGAAACGTTTGAAGTGACTCCATTCTTGACTTCTTGTTTATTTTTTGTTATTTTTTAGGCAACAACATTCAGCGAAGATGACGAAAGAGCAATGCTTAATGAAGCTTTTTTCGGAAGCGATGAAGACCTTGACGTTGACGAATTGATTGCCAACGGGACTATAACAGGAATCGAACAAGTTCCGAACACAACCATCACATTTGCGGTGCATTTCTGAAGCTTTTGAAATTAATTCCAGTTTCACAGGGAATGGATCTTGATTTACTCGAAGTGATCCGTATATCTACACTCCTATATCTGTGTATCTGCATCTTCTGGTTCCTAACAATGTTTTTCCTACTCATTGCGATCAAGTGTGAAGTAGTGGACTTAGTGATAATGAACGCCATGCTTCTCCTCATTGTGATCATTTACAAAATTACGCATTCAACACTGATCGCGATCTTGTTGTATTATCAGGTAAGAGGTATCGGATGTGCCTGAACATAGTTGAGCTACAGAGAGAGATGAGCTGGAGAACCATGGCTATCACGATTGGATCAATCGTCATCCTCGGCTGCTCAGCGATACTGGGATGCGTTTGTTTGGCCATGGACTACGGTTGGATCCGCTACATCTCTTACATGCACGACGACCAAAGAGTTAGTTTTTTTCTCTCCGTGGGAAAATTTCTCACCCGTAGCTTTGAGAAATTTTCAAATCATGTGAAAAATATGCCGGTTCAAAAAAAGCAAAAAAGAGTATTTTGTGAATCACGAGTTTTTTTTTCTCTGAAACTCTCGGAAGGTTTCGATGCAAGTTTCAATATCACGGTTTTTCAAAATCCAAGATTGGTTTTTCAGTGCATCTGCTTGGCAATGATTGTCAAAATGATCAAAGGAAAGGAACCTCCCCGGGAAACCTTCGCGGCAAATCACTATGCAATGCCAGAAAATACTCGGCCGATTGAAATTCCATTCAGAGGCGAATCTCCGATCCAAAACTTCAGTTCTTTTTAAAATGTAAATCAGCGTATTAAAATACCACAAGCCGGGACGATACTGTAAATTGGACTTTTTGATAGATTTAGAATGTAAAATAAGTTATTTTTTTGACTTGATTATATTCCAAAACAGTGATGATTTGTTCCCTCGATAAAATATTTTTTTCTCATAATTTTTTATTTATTCTGAAATTTAATCATTTTGGTAGAGATCTATACAGCTTTTTTTATTAGAAAATGTCTAGCCGGTAAAAAAATTACTTTTGTGGCAAAGTTCAATTTTTCTTTGCACCTGTTTTCAATAACCCTGCATAATTTATCACTCCGTACTGCATATCTACAATAAATATTTCTATTTATTTTTTTCTCCTCTTTAATCATAAAAAGATCATTCGCGGAACTGCCAAAGTTATTAAAAAGAAACTTCAGGACATTTGGAACCAGTAATTAGTTAACCTTCCGGAAATACCTCCATGTCATGTATTTAAAATAATTGATACTGGCAAAAAACGTAAATGATAAGTTTCAGCATAATCTCAAATACTCGATAAGTTTTAATAAGACCTTTGTGAGTATACTATTGATTCTAACTTCAGGACAAATTTTTTTGACACTTCCCGCTAGGCAGGTGTTATTTCTGCTTTGAAAAAAATTCACCATGACAACTTAAATTGTTTTTTCATTTTTCGCGAAGAATGATTATATAAAAACCTTGTTATATGTTTTTCTGAGCTTGAGTATACGTCATGCGTAAAATAAAATTTTGAGTAATGTTATGAATTGAAACTGCTTCTAAAAAGTTGGACTTCGTGCTTTTTTATCGAAAAAAATAAAGATATATATATATTTATTGCTCAGTGAAACTTTCAAATAAAAGTATACATACAACTGGGTTTGGGCGATCGGAAATCGGACCAGGGTGTCAGAAATCCGAAGCACAACCTTAAAAATCTCTGACGAGGATTCGGAGCGAAACAACGTGGATAAAGCCCAATAAGCGAAATATACTCTACATAACATCTACGGCGCAAGTGCTAACCTCATAATCACAATCTAGGTGAATTCGGAATGTCTCATGGAAAAGAACACAAGTGAGGATGGAACCGCTTCTCATAGTTTGAAAAGCTCACGATTCTTAGTTAAAATTGCAGAGTTAAAGTACAAGTAGAGCAAATCGTGAGGAATGACAAGAGTGGAGACGATTGATAAGAGAAGACTATTTTCGAAAACTTTTAAGGTAAATTTTCTAATCAGTTGAGAGAAATTAATCCTCGAGGTTTCTGAAAGCGTTCTGCATCTGCTCGAGCAAGTCATCGTAGTCCTTCTTGATCTTGTTCTCGCCGTCGGCAAGGGGATCCTTCAAATGTTTTGTTCAGTCGAATCTTTGTTCGATATGTAACCTTGAACTTCATGGAGGAAAGTTGGTAGAGAAGGTCTCCCATGTGGTCTCTGATTGTCGCCCACGTCACTTTGTTCTCAGACTGAGCTGTTGCTTCGACTGCGTGGCGGGCAAGGTCGTAGAAACCAATCCTGCGATTCATGACGTATTCTTGAATATAAGAAATATCTTACATATTCTTCAACATGCCGACAGTTTTGTAGAAGGGGCAGAAACGATCGTATGGAGTGTAACCGTTCTGTTGCAAGAAGTCGTCCTGTAAAATTACGTATATAGTATACCCAGAAAAGTTCAGAAAGCCACCTTAATGATTTTGGCGACTTCAAGAGTGATCTTGTCAGATTCAGCGAGGGAAGCCTTACCGACGAGCTGCACAATTTCGGAAAGATCTTCTTCTTCCTGAAATCTCGTTATAAGTGAATATGAGAAGAGATCAAAGGACCTGGAGAATCTCCTTGCACTTGGTACGGAGAGCGACGAACTCAGGGTGGTTCTTCTCGTAGAAGTCTTCAAGAGCTCGCATGTATTTACTGTAGGAGATGAGCCAGTTGATAGACGGGAAATGCTTGCGTTGAGCGAGCTTCTTGTCCAATCCCCAGAACACCTGCACGATACCGAGAGTGGCGGCAGTGACTGGGTCGGCAAAATCTCCACCAGGTGGCGACACACTGTAACCAAAATTTTGAGGTTATAAATTGATATGACAAACATTTCAAGAATAAAAAGAAAGAAACTCACGCTCCGACGATGGTGACGGATCCTTCACGCTCGGGGTTACCCAAACACTTCACCTTACCGGCACGCTCGTAGAAGGACGCAAGACGAGCGGCCAGGTAAGCAGGGTAGCCAGAATCGGCAGGCATTTCTCCGAGACGACCAGAAATCTCACGGAGAGCTTCGGCCCATCGTGAGGTGGAATCGGCCATCATAGCCACGTTGAGACCCATGTCACGGAAGTACTCGGCCAAGGTGATACCTGACGAAATTCAATTCAGGAACTAAACTGCAGATAAAATCTTACCAGTGTAGATGGATGCTTCACGAGCAGCGACAGGCATGTTTGATGTGTTGGCGACAAGAGCAGTACGCTTCATGATAGACGTGGTGACGCCGTCGACCTCCATAGTCAGTTCAGGGAAATCACGAAGTACCTAAATCTCTCATTTTTTTAAGAAAAGGTGTGTTTACTGTAAAAAAAAAACTTTAAAATAATGTTGTTAATTTTCTCTGTATGTAATTTGGGCCTGTAGAAAATTATTTCTCTTGGTGCCAAACTAACAAAACTGTGTTTGTATCTTTTTTTGACCGTGAGGTGCACTCCTTCCTTTCTCTCCTTTATATGATATTTTTCGAAACTAGGTAAACTAAAAAAAAACACAACTTTCGTAATATCTGATGTCAATATTTACAACCTTCATCGTTTATTTTGTTAAGTTTTAGTTTCGAAAAATTTCGCCTTTTTGGGCTAATTTTTCCGATTTACTACCGTTTTATAGACCCAAAAAGATCACTCACTTCAGACATTTCGTTTCCACGCTCTCCGCAACCGACGTAGATGATGGCATCGGAGTTGGAGAACTTGGAGAGAGACTGCGAAATGACAGTCTTTCCGCAACCGAAAGCTCCTGGGATGGCGGTGGTTCCTCCCTGGACACATGGGAACAGGGCGTCGAGCACACGTTGTCCGCAAAGAAGCGGATTGTTAGCGGCCAACTAAAAACTCTCCCATTCATCTCTAATTCCATTATGTTTTATAAACCTTCTCAGCGCAAGGACGAGGGTTACGGACAGGCCAAACTTGGAGCATGGTGAACTTCTGCTTTTGTCCAGCAAACTCAACTTCGAGCAAAGTGTCCTTAAAATGATTGATGTAGAGACATAGATAATAATGAAAAAAGGAAAAGAAAAAAGTTTACCTCCACTGTGTACTGCCCAGCGGGAGCGACGAAAGTGACGGTTCCGCAAGCGTTGGGCGGCAAAAGGATCTTGTGCTTGATCAGAACGTTTTCGTGGACAGATCCAAGTTCGTCACCACCAGTGACGTGAGCTCCGACAGAAATGTGCTTGTTGACCTTGTAATCCCAACGGGCTTCGCGGGACAGAGCCTTGGTCGATACTCCTAAAAAAACGATGAAAAATGATACAAATTAAAACTATAGTATAATTACCTTTCGGAATGTAGATGGAAGATGTCATGTCAGCGATGTCCTTGAGCGGACGCTGGATACCGTCGAAAATCGAACCCATGATACCTGGACCAAGTTCCACGGAGAGCGGCTTTCCAGTTCGGAGCACTGGGTCACCGATCGTCACACCAGCTGAAAAAGCAAAAAAAAAATGAAAGGAAGGTATAAGGTTCAAAAAACTCCATGAAGCTGATATTTCAACAGGCATAAAAAGGCAAGAAACATAAAGGAAAAAAAAAATGATTAAATTCGAAATTATTTGAGTGATGAATAGGTTGCAAAGCAAAATAGAATTTTGCAACAAATAAGGAGAAAATAATTAAACTGCATTTTTCATTTATAAACGAATATCTATCTCTGAAAATTTCCAATTTTTGCAAGTCTTTTTCTTCCTTAAATTTTTTCTTTATTTCAATCATTTTTTCAAGCAAACATAATGGTTTCATGAAATCTAGAAAAATTGAAATCAAATTTTTTTAAGTTTCACTCACAAGTTTCCTCGTATACTTGGATGGTGGCGTAGTCTCCTTCGAGACGAATGATTTCACCGACAAGTTCTTGGTGACCTACACGGACAAGCTCGTACATAGCGGATCCGGCCATTTTCTCGGCTGTGACGACTGAAAACCACTTTTTCAAGACTTTTCCACAATTTTTGACGGTTTACCAGGTCCGGAGACGCCGTACACGTAGCCATAGGCAGATTCCCTATCGGAGTCACGAGCACTGGGGGCCATGATCCTGGAGAAAAAAATAATTTTTGAAAAAATATATCAATTTAAATATTTCGAACTATTTCGCGATTCATGAAACGTTGCAACCCAATACGAAAATAACAATGATCCATAAATAGCAACCATTTGTCACACAAGCCTAACGTAAATATCGTGTACTACTATGCGGTCAATCAGCGAAATAAAGGATTACACGTTCAAAATCGAAGACCAATGAACGAGACCGACCGCGCGTTGAGACCCAATGCGCGGGGATTACGGTGCTGTTGTTTTGGCTGTGCGGAGGCAAGATTTACGCGCTCTTTTCCTCCTTTTTGCTCTATTTTTCGTCCTTCCACTCAAAACATTTTTGTCTTTGCATTGGACTTGCCGTTTTTTTTACTAATAATGGCTTTGAAAGTTTTTTGAGGTTATAGTTTAAAAAAAGTTTTTTTAAATAAAATCATTTCATATTACTTATATTTCAAAAAAATATTACCTTTTTAAAAATTCAAAAAAAGCAGAAATAAGCATGTTATATGTTTCCTAGAGCAACTTCAATTTTCAAAAAAATCAAATTGTGCTTTGATCATATTTTTAGAAAAATATACCTTCCAGGCCCATCGAAAAAAATTTGAACAAACTTTCTGAAGATATAAAGGAGCAAACAAAGATTCATCTTTCTGGCTTATTTTTTTACTAAGTTTTGGAGTTCAATACATTTTTTCTGAGTTCATATTTTTTTACCAATCTGCCTTTTTGAACGATTCAACATAATTTCTATGTATTCTTTATTTTTCATTTTGCAGAAACAACAACCAAAGGTGTACAACTGAAATTCGAAACATTTATTCACACAAAAACGTATCGAGAGTTCTGAAATAACTGACTAGAAAACAGGACAATAAATAATAACACCAAGCACGATAATTTCATTGATTCAATGTACTAAGAAGAAAAATACGCTTGGAACCCTCTTTTTGATAATCATATGTAAAGCTGCGGTGAGCGGAAAAAATACCAACAAGAAAGATATGACAACGATTAGAAAGACGTGATACTGTGTTAAAGTCGTGAAATCCTTTCAAAATAAATTATTGACTCACATTGAAGAGCGATTCACTTTGCACTTCTTAAATGAAAAAAGTCCGCTTAAATGTTTTCGATATGTTACATAAAAATTCACAAATAAGAAACCAGGTAGAACTTTCGATTTAGAAGAATAGAAAGTCAAAAAGAATCATTATTCCTAGTATTAGAGAACAGATTTTTGCAAATCATCGTATATTCCGAGAAAGAGACCTTCAGTGGAATTTTCGTTGGAATTTCCAAAAATAAAAAAACCTATCTCATTAAATGATTAATCACAAAACGATGATTTGATCGAAGCAGTGTTCTTAGACACAATTTCGTTCGTCAAAAAAAGTAGTCAGGAAGCGATTAGTTCATTTTGACAAATTCTTCGAAGTCGTGGTTGTTTTCGTCCATGTAATCAGGTGCAAATCCGCGGGTGTCGCAAATCGCGACGCGCATGTTGTCGATGGCCATGGCGGCGCGAGTTTCCGCTCTCTCGCTGTTGTGGGCCACCAAATAGAACTGCAACAGACAGTTAATCATAATATTCCTAGACCAGTTTTTACATGAGTAGTTCCGGGCGGCAGTTGGACGTGTACTGTATTCCACCGGAAAGCGTTTTTGGACGTCACAGATCGCAGAATCGAGGGACATTGGGTGAAAGAATTCACTGTTCTCATTGGATTTGTGTATCGCGATCCTGAAAAGACTCCGTTAGCTTTGTATAACTGTGAAATTTACCAAGACAAAGCCGTATAGTCGTCATTTGGGACGGTCTGAAATACTGGAAAAGCAAAACGTTCAATGATCTCGTTGCATTGAATTTCGGAGACTCCAAAATTGCAATATCTCCTGGATCCAAAATTGAAGAGACAAACTGCCCGTTAGTGTTTGCTGTAGTTCAATCATATGACTTCACACTTCGTTTTATTCTTACTGGCTCTGATATCGGTAGCTCCAGTCAGTGGATAACCATATCCTCGATTTCTCAGCGTCCAGGGCTTTTTGGTCAACCCGTGGTTCAAATAGTTACAAGCAGTGTCTAAAAGTAATGTGCATTCCAGATACTGCGAGTAAAACTAACCGTCGAAGTTACAGTTGAGAAGCTCGCAATAGTCTTCGTTTCTTGGATCTGGAGTAGTGGTAAGCAAATTCCATTTAACGATTGCCGGTCTTCTGAGAGTACGAAATATGATAAAGCTCTAGATTATGAAGGAGTACCCTCTGGTCGGAGGTTTGTTGGTGTAAACTTCTGGGAAGACAGGGCTAAAAGTTGTTGGAATGATCCGCCTAAACAACTATCAAGTCTTGAAACCTTTTAGAAAGACAGCTGAAAAGTTTTTAGCTCAGAAAAAATTTCAAAGAAAGGGAATGTTAGTCACTCACGTTATTGGTCTTTTCTTAGTAAATGGCTGCTTGACTTCAGGTTTGTTCCGTGGAGCCAAAGTTGTAGTGGAAACTTCCGTCGTCGAAGTTTCGTAGTCTTCTTCTTCTGATGCATCGTCAGTTGTTTCTTCTGTGGGATCCAAAGTTGTAGCCTCTGTTGTTTCTTCTATGACAGCTGTTAACAGATTTGATATATGGAAACTTTTTTAAAGTTAAAACTTGTTGTTGTCGGAATTCTGCGGGTTGTAGTTTGGACACCCAAGACCAATGGCTCTTGAGTCGTTGTCGTCGTCGGCTGTGGTCTTTCTTTTGGCTGCCCTTTACACTCTCCAATGTAAGCAATTTCATCAAGTACCAAAAAGCGGTTTTTGAGTCCGAGCTCCCACTGCGGTACAATGTTTAGCTGAAATATTTCAGATCTTTACGGTCCCTATTAGCGTGTAAAGACAACATTCCGAAGGCTAAATAAATCTATTTTCTTTTGAATATACCGTAAAAGGTTCAGTGATGCTCCGTGACAGCTCGAAAACGGCAAGAGTATTTCTTTCATGGCGCATTGCTCTGCTCTGATCAACGCAGTGAATAACGTCGCTGTTGTTGCCTGAAAAACAGAATTTCAAAATCCAAAATTGTAGCCAAACCGTGTCCTAAAGCACAAACTTGCAGCAGAATATCTCCATTTGACCAATATCGGAAAAGAAGCTGAAAAAGTAATGTCAAAGTCGTTAAATAACAAACAACAAACTTTTCCAGGACCACTCTGACATGGAATAGGATCACTTGTCAGCATAGCGGTTCCTTGTAAGACAAGAGCTGCTGGATATGTTGGTAAGAGACTGGGGTCAGCAATTGAGTCTTCCAACGAAGGAATGGCGCCTTCAAATATTTTAACATCGTGCAAATATTATAATAGCCCACCTTTTTCGATAACAGCCCATCTTCCTGCTTCAACGCCCCATTGGCAGGCGAACTCGTTATTAAAATCACAAAGCAATCTGGTAGCTTCGCCGATCATTTTTCCTGAAAAAAAAAAGTTCCATAGATTGAGGTCAGTTTATACCATTTCTTCTGTCAAAAAGCGGCTTCGTCCTGTTCCCGTGAATCAGAAGATCAAATGGAACTTCAGTTGGGGAGTCTGTCGAGGTTTGGCTGAAAACAATAGTAGTTTGTTTTATGAACGAATTCCAACATTTCTCGCTCAGTTGTAGTCGTTGGAACTGGCGTAGTGGTGCTTGTCGTGGTGGTGATTGTCGTTGTTGTGGTTGATTGTGTCGTTGTTGTCGGACTTTCAGTACTAGCTGAAAAAGTAGAGTACTTCAGCAAAGGTATAAATCAGGACTTCTTCGGATAGGAGACTCCGTGGTTTCCACGCTCGTTTTCTTGATTGTCCAAGGCGAAATTTTGCGTGGAGGAGCGGTCGACTGAAAAGAAATTGAGAATCAAGGTTTTTTCGAGGAATACCAAAAAATCAGGTCGTCCACGAATGCCTAGACCATGAGGCTCGGTTTGGCATATGGATGCGTCATAGCGAATGTCGTCTAGTACCAAAACACCCGTGTCAACATTCGGTGATATCATTATCTAAATTATTGCGCTTACTTGAGAACCACTACGGTAACTCACTCTGAAAGGCCTCTGAAGCTCGGGGATTTTTAGTGAAACTTTTCCTGGCATAACATTCGAATTCAACATTCCAGTACAATTAAATTTGTGACCGTCCAAGTCAGTCAGGCAAATTTCTAGGTCAGCGTTGCCTGAAAAAATGTTTTGTTCGTTCAGAATGAACATCAAAGTTTGATAAACATTACCTATAGCCCAATAATTGAAAGATAAATCGGCATAGCCTTTCTGACAACGAATAGCATCAGTCATGAGAGAGTCGACTGGATTTCCCCTTTGTTCTATCAGAACAAACGGTTCGCCTGAAGTCGGATGAATCAAACTGAAGCTTGTAGTTCAGCCTACGAGGTAGTTGCATGGTTCCGGTGGCTGCTAGCCATAACAAACTATCAGGTTCTCCCCTGGCTATCCTCCATCGGTCCATCGTGTCGCCTACAGAGGACCATCTGAAAATTATTTGTGCACATAATCAAGGAACGGGTTAAACCTGCAGTCCGTGTCAAATGAACAATCATACGACAATAGCTCATGATTTATTGGAAGTGGAGGAAGATCGGAAGTCGTCACAAACAATCCGAGGGCAACCTAAAGAAATAACTTTTTACCATGGAAAATTGATATTTAAAAAAAATTTTTCAATTTCATACTTATGATAAGACAGTAAATTGGTAAAACGAAGCATTTTTTTAAATCTCGGTTCTAAAACTTTGATCATTTTTTTCAACTTATGTTGGCGAAATTCTTTGGACTCATGCTTGGAAAACACAAATCGGTTGTTAATTTTCGCAAACATTGTATCGTTTTACCTGTAGTATCCGGCTGACGAGGTTGTTTGGAGTGTGTTGGACCGTTGTCCGCTCCATTCCATAGAGCCTTGGGAAACGCTCGAGATATGCAAAATCTCTGTAATTTTGTGAGTTCCAGTTTGGAAAGTATGCAAATAGGGAAGCGTTAGGAATACAGAGGTTTGACCGGCAATCTTCGCGCTTAATTTGGCTGGCAAACAACACTCGGAAATATTCGCTCAGTCAAGTTTTTGTTCAGTAGCCTTTTATTAGTGTTTGAGGGAAGTATTATCATTTTCTCAGAGAGCGAAAGTACAAAAAATAGAAACGAAAAAAAGAAAACAGAAATTTAAGTAAAAAAGTTGAGGAAGCTGAACATCTTTTAAAATTGAATGAAACTTTAAAAAAAAAAAGTTCTCAGATCTAAAGAAAAAAATCTTATCTTGGGAAACTTTCTAGTAGTGTACACTTTATTGCTCGAAAAAAATTGCAGAAAACTTAATACTTTATGCGCAAAAAAACATTTTTTTCCAACCCTAATTAGTTGAAAAAACTTCCTATTTAATAACAGTCGAAGGAATCCAAATAAATTCATCTTATAATTTTTTTTCTCATTTTGAATAGCTCCTTTCTGCCAAAACGTTAAAAAAAAGGTGGAAAAGATTAGTACGAAAATCAAGAATGATATGGCACAAAAGTTTCGAAGCGAGTTTCTAAAATAATCGAAGCCGAAAGAAGATTTCAAAGTTTACTCTCTGATAAAAAAGGAACTCAGAAGCATAACTGAAAAGCGGCGGACTACCGGCACCGGTCCTTGACTGAGCGAGCCGCGAAAGGAAGTGGCGTGCGGGAGCAAGTGCTCGTGAAAGGAGTGAAGTGTGGCCGCATACACGAAATGTGAGAAACTCCTCTTCAAATCATCTCACGCATCTTCAACTTATCAGTCCGAGATCCGCCTGCACTGGACCTTGAACGGCTAGGCTGTTGAGAGTTTGAAATTCTTGGTTTTTCTTTTTTGCTATCCACCCAAAATTGATTTTGTGAAAAATGAGAGCTGACAACAATTTTGATCTTTAGAAAGTTCCAAATTATAATTAGTGGGAAGGAAAGCTGAAATTTAAAGTTTCAAAGAAGCGAGTGGAGGCTCTCTGAAAATTCCTGAATACTTTCCAAACAATTGGTATTCAATGATTCATGAATTGATGAAATTTTGAAAGTGCCAGAACGCTCCTCAATATATCAGGTAGAAAAGCTGGAAATAGAGATTTTAACCATATCCTAGATTAAAAAAATTGTCGTCTGAGAGGTTGCTCGACTAGAAGTAATGCAGAAGGCAAAACCTTCGAATGAAGATTGGAAACTTTGAGAATTAATAATTTTATGTCAAAAATCGCTTGAGTTAGCTTTGAGGAAGCTCTAGTCTTCAATTCGTTGGGGCGAATTCCCAGCAAAGGGACAAAGTTGAAAAATCTCCAAAAGAGAGAGCTGGAATATCCAACCGCGCTGGAAAAGTTTCCGAGTCAGAATGAGAAATGGCCTTTGGAAATTTTTGACCGGAGGGGTCAGTACAACGGTGAGCAAACAACGAAGAACACGATGAACCGAATCAAAAACACGGGCCGACGACAAAGATTAATGCAAAAAAGATGAGTTGAGCGCGGAGCCTGATGAAAAAAAGGTCGTGCTTCACAAGTACGACTGCCCTTTTTGAGGATTTCCCACGCTGAGCGGCCTTGCACGATTCGTGTAAGAAAATAAAGAAAAAAAAAAGTTTTTTTTATTGGGAAAAAGCTGAGCAAAAGTGTTCTGCTTCTCGCATCCTGGAATAACGATACAGTTAATAGAAAAAAAAATGCATTCAGTGACGTTAAGAAAAATGATTTACAAAAAAGACTTTTCACGTTTTGTTATGAATTTTTTCGTTCAATATGTTTTTTGATTCATCGAATAATGATTTGGGAATTTCGATATGGGCCATTTTAAAGTCTCCTTCAAAATTTGAAAAGCCAACAAAAGATTTATTATTTGACTACTTTTTAAAAAGTCAATTTAATTTGGTCTGAAAAAAAGATGGTTGTTGAAATTCAATTTAGAAGCTTTATAATTAATCAAATAGTCATTTCCATAAATTTCAGAGTAGAACTACCAGTAACACTTGAAAAGTTGAAGTTGAAAAAGTTGATTACTTTTCTCTGGATAACTGAGAAGATTCAGATTAAGAAATGTTCCTTCAGTTCGGGAAATGATCACTTTACGGAAATATTTAAACACGAAGTGAATTAACCGGAAATCCCGAAAAAATGGAACAATTGTGTTCAACTGGTGGAAAAAATTAAAAGAAGACTTGTTTCGAGCAGCGGCGGCTGGTCGCTCGCACAAAGAAGGTTAAGGATGTTAGGAGGGCTGGTACACACGTAAGAGGGTTGAAAGATGACCTGAGCAGTTGTGGATGAAGCGCCATATCGAGTTGGCTATTGTGTTTGTCAAGTAGCCAGTCTATTCGAAGGCTACAGCTTCCGCAGATTCTGCCACCGTGGGGAGGGACTTCGCGCCTTTTCGAGTTGCAGACGGAAGTTCCCCGATGAGCCGCTTCTTCGTATTTACACATTGGTGCATTTCACACAAAGCAAAGGTGACGGAACGCTCGTTTGTTTCAGTCTGTTGCCATAATCCATGACTGACCGAAAAGTTTGAACAGAGCTTCGAGAATTTCCTCGAAGAATCGGTTTTCAAGTTATAGCCAAATAGAATTATGTCTACTTTGAAAATCTGAATCATCCCTTTTTCGTTTTCGAGAACTAATCAACAAGATAGTTTTTTTTTTCATTTTCACAGTTTCTGGTTAGAGAAACGTCAGAGGCTGAGATATACCACAAAAGTTGAAAGAAACTCGGAAGTTTCGAGCAATAAGATTACCTGCGTTAGAAGTTATTGTTGGATAAGTTTTCTAGAAACTATCGTGGAAATTTGAAAAAATTTAATAGGCTCAAGTTTCATTTCATTTTTACCTTCCACTAAAATCCGAAAGATGAATGGAATAAAAAACCATTAGGGAAAAATGAAGAACCTTCAAAAAAGTTATTTCTAACAATCTGAACTACAGAAAAAAAAGAAACATAAAAGTCTGAATGCTGGTACGTGCAGGAAATTTTCGAAGCGCTAAAGGTACAGATTTTTCCAGAGTGAAATAGAAAGGGCCACCCTTTCCACAAGTTTTATACATGAGGAGAATTGAGTGAATAAAAAGGCAAAACGTGATGTTTGCCTTGCGTTTCAGTGCTCGAGTAAATTCTTCAAACCATCGGGTCCTCCAGCAAGCGTGAAAACACAAACGATTCTCTGTATGCACATACGGTCAAGACTCATGTCAATAAAACATTTGCAACAGAGCCACCGAAAAATTCTTGAGTTTTTATCCTTTTTAGGCACGACACGACCGAATTCGAGTTTTGATTCGACATGAACTGAATTTGTCTGAGGCGATAAAAAGCTTTTAAAAAAATTGATGAGACAATTTGAAGCAAAACAGTTATTAAAAAAAAGTCGATTTTAAAGTTTTTTTTTAGAAGAAATATTCAAATTGGCACAAATAAAATCATCAAACGATGCGTTGAAGGACCCGAGACCTCTGAGTTTTTTTTTTCACGGCGAGTGCAAAAAATTTGGAACAGAACAAGAGAAACGTAAAATGAATTATGTGATTTTGACAGAAATAAAGTAGATGGTTGCTTCAAAAATGAACAATCTGAAGAAAGATGTCCAGAGTCAGAAAATGTAATGGAAGAAAAAAATTAAAACGATATAAAAGTTTTCTCAAAGAGACTTTCAAATGGGCCATGAGTCATGTTAAGATCTTTAGCTTCGAATTTTTAAGAAAGTGTGTTTGCATCGGATTTGAAATCGGAAATGCAATCGGTTCAAAAAAGTCGAAAAAAACATTGGCAAAGTCTCGAGTGAATCGTTAAAGTTGGAAATTCGCAAAGGACACGCGAGAAGAAGCGCGAGAAGACATGGAAGAGACCGGTTGGGCAGCCATAAGCGGCCGACCGATCGACGGCATCCGAAAGCCTCCAGGTGGACGCTTCGAGTTTAGCAGTAAGCGAGAACGGGTTTGTTTTTCCATGTTTTCGTTTCTTTCTCTGTTTTGATAGCTCTTCGGACAAACTGTGATGACCGGGGTGTTTGTTCTGGGGATTTTTGGAATTTAACCGATCGCCACGTTGAGCTTCACGTACGGACAAAAAAAATAGTATGGAGTAAGCTAAGTTTAAAATTCCATCACGTTTTGGATTATCGAAAAGAATGAAAACTTGATCTTCAGTATCGAATGAAGTATCGAAATGATCAGAAATCGCAACAAGAAAAAAGCTGCTTTTCGTTCAATTGCTAAGTGACTAAACCTTTCTTTTTGAAGTTGTAAAAATATGTTTTTGTTGAGTTTTCTAGGATACTCCCATAAAAAATGGTGTTCGAAATTACTATTGCGAAAATCCTCAAAATAATAAGTACAAACCCTCCTTTATTAAGCAGATCCCACGTCTTTTTACACAACCTTGCTACTTCAAATGTTTCGAAATAAACAAAAAAGAATGAAAAATGGGGAAAGTTAGATGGACGTGTCAACTCGTTGATCACTATAAAAAGCATCCGAGAAAGCTTAAACGGACTCGTTTCGCGCTTTCTCTTCCTTCGATTCCTGTTTCAAGCCGTTGCATCTCTGACCATCAATGATTTAATATTTATTAGAAGATCATTTGTACAAACAATCAATTGTAAAATATAAAAAAACATGATAATTTATGAAGTTAAGCGACGTCATCCTTGGCTGCTTCTAAAAAGGTTCTCGAGAAGAGATACGAAAGAACCGATAGGGGCGCCTCGATTTTGTCTGTAATTTTTCAGATCTAGTCTTGAAGATTTGGCGGTTTAATAATTACTTCAATGCTCTGGGAAGATCTTTCAAAACCACATGTTCGAAAGTATTGTCGAATCCGGCTTCGTTGGCTCCCAAGAGTCCAGTAAGACCTCCGTTGCCTTCCCAAGCGGCTGGTGGAGGTTTCAGAGCCGAAGCAGAGTCTGAAATATTCACATCTACTCGGAAAAAAGCACTGACTCACCCAAAATAAACCGCACTGTGAAGTTTGATGGCGAAAGTTTTGAGATACTATTCAAAACAACTTGGTTTCCTTCAGAAACAATCCTTCCAGGTACCGGATTGCAGCATTGCCTGAGACTTGAGTTATCGGAAAAAACCGCTTTTCTTCTTGCCTGAAGCCTGTTTGCTCCATGTTCCTGGAATGTTTGATTTCCAAGTAATTCTCAGCACACGAGGAGTCGCACTTGTATTTGGTTTCAATTATCTCGAAATGCACTTTTCCAGATGGCGCCTGAATAGTCCTTTTTATTTGAAAAAGTTGATGCAGACTTACAAATATTCTCCAGTGACAGTTGCCAACTTGGGTGTTCTTGATAGTTTGCCAGTATTCTGTAGCAAGAAGCTCACCGCCACAGCCCGCTAAACACAAAGAAAACAGTGAAACAACAAAAAATAAGATACAAACGAGTGCTTGGGGCAATCCTTTCGCAACGAGTTCCACCCAAACCCGCCGGACATTTGCATGAAGAACAGTCCAATGGGTTCTCGTAACCGCCGTTTTCACAAGAAAGAGACGTTTTGCAAATATCTGCAACAAAATGTTTGCCTGCAGGCGAAAGTTGCCAAGTCGCGACTAACGACTGCAGTAAAGCCGATTTGCATGCTTGACGTCTGTGAAAGATACGTCTCCTCTTTGGCCGATCGTATGTTGGAATCGATGATCCTGAGAAAAATTGAAATGAGGAAAAAAATAATAAAAAAAATATAATAAAAAAACCAGCAAAAAGCAGTCTTAAAAAGTCAAATTTTTGCTTTTGAACAATATCACTTATTTTTTTAAATGAACAATGACGAAAAAGTGTCTTACAAAACCCAATCAAAAAAATATTTGAATGATTAAACTAAAGGATAAAGAAACACAAAATTATTAGAGAAACTAAACTTGAAACTTCCTGAGAATTTCATTTCAACTGGTCAAACGAAAAGTTCGCGAGCACCTTTGTTTCGATGGTCACATATTTCCAATCGCTAGTGAAAGCTTGAGGACCATAATGCATAACTGAACCGAAATCGTATGGTATGTCGGATTCCTCCAGATCCACTCTTTTTTCGAAATTTCCCTGATGAAAAATTTTGATTGCTATAAGAGAAATAAATTGAAAATCACAACGTACTTGTGTGCCTTTAAGAATTTTCTGCTCGTTGATATTAACAAAGATGTCCCTATCCGGCCGACTTTGTTCGTGCCAAAATCCGAGTGCGTGACCGATTTCATGAGCAACAATTCCATGCTAAATTTTTTTCCAGGGAAAAAAAGGTTTAACCATGTACCCCTTCACATCCATATCCTATGGAAATATACTGTCGGCCTCCAGTTCTTCCGACATTAGAATAGCATCTGGAAGAAAAAAACTTTTAATCAGATTGAAACTTGAGAGCTCATACATACCCTCCTCCTCGGAAAAAGATGGCGTAGTCTTTTTCAGTTGTGTGTCGCCGGAAGCGAATGCAAGTCTCTTTCTGCCATTTGTACATTCCGTGCTTCACGATAGATTGCCATTCAGCTGAAGGACAATACATCTTTCTTATTCTCTTTTCTCAGTTTTTTTTTGCTTTTTTATAGTTTAATCTATGTTAACAAGTGTCAATCAATTCAGGTTGCTGCCCTTTTGAGATACCGGCTACGAAACCGCTACAGTTTGACCCGTTCCTTTTGCGAAAAAAGCGTTTCGGTTTGTAGCAAATGAAATTTATTTGCTTTCATCTAAACAAGTAACGGTGCTTATTTGAAATTATCCATGGACCATAGAAAAAAGCAACTGTTATCTATAAAACACCAAAAACCAGAATAAAAAAAGGGTGCGCAAATATTTTGCATTTTTCGTTCGGATTTTGATTAGAACACGATTTTCAATCACAATGGAAAAATTGAATTCACATTAATATTGATTCATTCTCTGCACGCTTCATTAATCTTTTTCGCATCTCATGAATTGAAAGAAATCACGTTGATCAAAACAGCGAAGAGTTTCGCCTTTCTTTAAATCCCTAACTTCAAAAGAGATGATTGCGCAGATAATAGATGTTTCAAATAATTTTCGGCTTGAAAATGTTTCCAAATAGCTATTGTAATAAGTTTCAATGGCTTGAGTGAATTGATTTTCTTAGCGTTTTTTTAGCGGCTTGAGTTTTCAGAAAATCTCCGTCTTCAGAAAAACGTATTCAACCCTTTCTCCCTGACATCAATAATTCTTTTGATGATTCTTTATGTGACCACCTCAGTTCCCGCGGCGCAAACAAGTCTCTGTCAAGTCGGTTTTACTGCTGAGAAAAGAAAAAAACGCACTGTCGTTGTCCTTAAATTTGTAGGGAACGACGGCATCGGGCCATCTGTACTTCTGACCCTCGATTGCAGCGTTGCGCTTGATCCTCTTTTGGGTACCTGCTCATTTTTCCTTCTTATTTTCCACACCTGACCAAATTGTTTCACCTGTCACACGAGTTCGAAATGTGTCAATGACATCGTCCATTTGTGGTTTTGTCAACACCAAATCGCTCTCGAAAACCTTTAGTTCATCGAGTCAGTGCATTTTTCTTTTTCAGGACCACCTTTGAAAGAATTCTCCTGTTGATAGCGTACTCAGTTTTGTCCACGTAGCGTGTCGACACCGGCTGCAAAACAAACTTCCAAATTTCCTACTGTTATCAATTCGCTCATTCGTTTGCGCTGCAGAAACTTTCAAACAGACGGAATTTTTCTTTCCAGCGGGTCTGAACAATTTCTCAAGTTTCAATCACAATATTTCTTTCATAAAATTATCTGCAAAAAATAGTATTAGTGGACAAAAAAAACAAAAAAAAATCATGAAGATTTAAAAAAATCAAACTTCATTTCGTGGTAACAGTTAAAAAAATTATCAAAGAGAATAATCATAAAAAAAATTTTTTTGAATTTTTTTGTGTTTTAGAGAAGCTTACAGGATTTGAGTTTTTCTTTTTCTCTTGTTTGCCTGATATACTGACCGTTGCAAAATTTGACGTTGCTCGTGGAGTTATTTTTGTAGTTGGAGGACATACGGAAAAAAAGTTCGTAAGAAGGTTTTGAAACTGCTCCTCATTATTTCTAAAAATAAACTTGTCATTTTTTTCATTTCTTTTTTTCCTCACTAATGAACTCTTTATATTTTAACGTCAATGAAAAATTGAAAGTTGAATAATTGAAACTTACTGGGCATCTGAAATAGCGACGAATATCAGCAGCAAAAAAAACGGCTTCATTCCTACAAAAGTAGAAGTGACACCGCGTTTTGAAGCTAAAGCCAGGCCCCTTTAGCCTTAACAAACAGGTTTTTTTCTAGCCATTTGAGTCACGGCTTTGGCTGCAACTTTCATTTTACATCTCAAAAAAAGGATCAAAAACCGAAAACTTTTTTTATGTCAATTGTTCATTACTTCAATTGAATTTCTCTGATTGGTAGCAACTGAAATTTTTTTCAAAAAAATTTAAGAATACTGCAAAAAAACCTTATTTTTTTTGAATGTTTCTTGAGGTCAAAGTTCACAGCGACAATGTGCGCTCGCTTGATAATTTTACCCGTGCAAAACAGCTGATATTCACGTCTCAAGGTCACTTGCACTTGTTTATTATTCTCGCGATCAGCAGAAATTCGTATTCTGATCGCACATTTTTGTTCAGTGCTTCTTGATAAGAGGTTCCATTTTTTTTTTCAGGGTAAATGACCGACGGAAAAGCAGATTTTGTAAAATTCGTAAAATACTTTACCTCTCGTCTAGTTCAAACATTAGTTCAGGTAAGAGCTTTTTTTTTTAGTTCTGGAGAGAAAAAATATTTAGGCGAGGCTTGGAGAACATGTAGATAAAATATGCACAGCTGTTCCCGATCATAATGATTGGTTCAACCTGAAAATCGATGAGATCGGCGAGGTTTCTGCTTATTTGAAGTCCACAATAACGAAGTGAGTATTTGAATGATTTTCTGGATGGGGACTTGAGAAAAAGTTTTGAAACTTTTTTCACGTAGCACTAAAAAAATGGGCCGTGAATGATGGTTAAGATAAAATCTGTAGGTTCCCGCCGTACTCGCCTGTGGTTATCGAGTTCATTCTTTACACAGCTGACGGCCAGCATTTGCCGTTAGAAGCATGGTAGAAGATTTCTACACGAATATTTTTATTCTCCAAATTTTTAGGATTTTGACAGTCAATAGTGATAAAGGAAAAGATGTGAACGTCAGGACGGAGCTCTATCATCAGATGAGCACTTTGCTTCGGTAAAGTCTATTTAGTTCCTGGAAAGTTTATTAATTTTATGAGCTTTTAAGATCGGTGGCTTTAGCTGCGCGAATGACGCCGATGCACAGACAATACGTGAAAAAACAGAGCGAAGACTCATTTATCGTTTTGTACAGAGTGAGTATCCGATGACAATCGTTCTCGTCTTTGTTTTCTGTTTGTTTTTCATACATTTGTTCAACCTTAAAATTTTCCAGCTTTACGACAGCACCGTGACTTCCAACATGGGCAAAGACAGCAAAAAACGACGTTTGGGAGAACTTCCAACGCCTTTTGGCACACTTTGCCTGGATTTAGTTTTTCGCACCTCTATGCTGATCGATGAAAACGAAGAAAATTTTCTTGCCAAAAGGTTTTTTCCTTGTTTATTTTCTGAATCATTTTTGTTTCATCAAAGTGTCATGGCAAAAAACCGGTTTATTAGCTCCCAATCGCTTCTCTTCCGCAATAGTGTGACATTGATTTTGTTTGAAGCGACAAATTCGCAAGGAGAAAGGAATATTTTGATGAAACAATAAGGAAATTCTAAAAGCTTCACATTGATCAAGAATGGAGATTTTCCCGTTTTTTAATGAAAAAAAGCTTAAAAAACCGATCTTTTTCGGAAACACGACATCTTTTCAGTAATTCGGAAGAATACACTGGAGCCTTAATTCAAGCGAATGACGCCGGAGTTCCCAGCAGACCTTCACTTTCCGACTGCTTACCGGTTCAGAAAGAAGGTATTATTCACTTCAATTTTTTTGTGAATATTCTTAATTTTTTTCTATCGTCATGTTCCATTTTTTTAGATGAGAAGGGAAAAAGATTTCAACAGTCCAATGAGCGCAGGAATGTGTGCTTTTGCAATTTCTCCAGAGGAGGTATCGGGTTTTTCAAGGTTTTTGGAGACACATTTACGAATTTCCGTAGAAAAAAATTTCAAAAAAAGGATCAAATGATTACATCATAAAAAAATGAAGTATATGACTTCTTTACCTTGGAGTTCTTTTCAGCAGCCGGGCGCAGTTGCGCCTCGTTTTTCGGCTCGGCGTCTCAACTTCCAGCGACGACTCTAACATTTCCGAACATCCTGTCCTCACGATCGACAATAAAACTCGCGCTAAATTAGTAAGCTCAAAAGTTTAACAATTTATTTATTTCAAAAGTTCAGGCGCTCCTGAGGAATCACTCTTTTCCACTTTCTTCTCTTCTTCAGTCGGCGTATGAGATTCCCAAAAAACAATGCTCAATGTTGGCTCTTAGTAAGTTTTGATGAATTTAATTTCTATTCACACCAAGGGTGGGAGAAATAAAGGACACTCCCGGGCGCAAGATGCCCGTCTGAGGCATCAGGCCTTCTCGATGAAATGAGCAGCGTTATGTGGTGATGGCGTGTAATACCACGTCGTAACAGTCACCCAAAAATTGTCATTATTAATTATTTTCGATCAGTTTTTGGATTTTGCAATTTTTTCATCATTTCTCATCGATTTTTTAAGGCTCCCTTGAGAAAATAAATTTCCGCCGCCACACAATTAGAAATTTTAAGTGACCATAAAATTTGGAAGCTCCAAAAACAACCATTTTAGAAGATCCCATAAGTTTGCCGTTTTTTCTTCCAATGGCATTATTTTGCCGTCGCGGTTTTTGACCCCTGGCGGCTTAAGCAGCGCATTGGTAATAAATGACAATAGCGTTTCACGTAGGATGTATAATGTTGAATATGTGAATTGATAGTGATCAAATGATAGATCACGTGAGAGATATCCCAACTAAGAGTATAAAAGAAGTCGGGAACTCAGATCATAATCACTCGTACCGCCCCCGTTTCGCCTCCAGCCTCGCCGTCGCTTCAAGCCTCGGACTGACGACTTCTCTCCTCAACTTCCTCTTACCACACCTAGTTAATAAAACTATTGTGGGGTACTCTTCTTTCTGATAACGCACAAGATACATTAAAGTGGCGATCAGTAAGCGGACTAACTAAATAAAAGAAAGAAATAATGACGGAAAACCCTGTTGTGTCATCAAACTCATACCTGACGAAAGGACCCGGTGCCTACGTACCGGGCACGTCATGGGAAATATATGAGAAGATGTTCAACAATTTTTCTGAAGATGCGTAAAAGTAACTGTTGATACGGAAAAAAAGCGTGCATATTAGTATGCGAAATAGGTGTCACAGTTTACGCAGAAATAGAATCCCTGTCTGATAAACCTATAGAAAATCTGTCGTACGACGAGTTGATAATTTTGCTCAGGAAGCGTTACATGCCAAAGAAATTGACGCTGGCAGAAAGAGTGAAGTTATTAAACATTGTCCAAACAGAGGGTCAAACAGCAGAGGAATTCTATACGGAATTAAGAAAGATCGCAACACACTGCGAATTTGACAAAGTAACAAATGTATTAGATATGATGGTTACAATGTTATTCGTAAGAGGGTTGAGAGAGGAAAAGGTCAGAGCGCAGTTGTTGAACAAAGTTAAAGCTTACGGGACCGGAAGCACTCGAAGAGGTGGCTGTGTTAGCAGCCGCGAAAAAAGAGAGCCAAAAGATGACTAAAAATAATGCCACAGTAAAACATTCACTTCTCACGGTTAGTCAACCGGTAAGACGAGATGGCCAATACAAAGATAAGGCTAAAATGAAGTGTTTTACATGTGGAAAATTAGGTCATATGTCCAGAGATTGCTATAGAAACAAAAAAAGTCAAGCAGTCAACATAGTAAATCACGTTCCAAAAATGCAAGGAAACCATAAAAGAAAACATTTCAAAGTAAAAAAATCACACTATGTCACTAATGATCGAGAATACGACAGTGAATCAGTGGATTTCGTAAATTTAGCGGAAATGGAAAATGTGGTTAATGCCATTTATCCGGCATGCATGGTACCTATAAAAGTAGACGGTACGAACGTTGATTTTGAACTGGACACCGGCGCTTCCATGAGTATAATTGGTATCTCACAGTGGGAACTTCTGGGAAAACCAAGACTCACACCCGTTGCGTATACCGCGAAGGCTTACGGGAACTCTCGAATTGAATTCAAAGGAAAGTTCAGTTCGTGGGTTGAGTTCGAGAATAAGAAAGCGCACGTAACACTGCATGTGTTAAACACCAAGGCCGTTTCTCTCTGTGGCAGAGACCTAATATGCCAATTAGGACTCGATGTCACAAAACTGTTAAGAAATCTGGTAAATGAAATGCCTAAGATAAACTCTGTTCAAGAGGTTGAGGCAGTGTTAACTGATTACCAAGAGATTTTCGAAGACGGCCTGGGTACGTGCACAAAAGTCAAAGCAAAATTACATGTGAAACAGGGGGCAATGCCAAAATTTTGTAAAGCCCGACCAATCGCATTTGCTTTGAAACCACAGGTTGAGGCAAATATCGACGAAATGGTACAGAAAGGAATCTTAGTACCAGTCGAACATGCAGAATGGGCCTCAGCTGTGGTGGTGGTTCCGAAACCAGGGGGTAAAGTAAGAATCTGTGGAGATTTTAAACAGACCATAAACCCCTGGCTGGACGTGAACCAGTACCCGCTTCCGAAACCGGAAGAGTTATTTCATGCACTAAATGGTGGACAGAAATTCTCAAAGATCGATCTGAAAGATGCGTATCTGCAGTTGGAATTGGAGGAAGAATCTAAACAGTATCTGATATTGAATACATTGAAAGGACTGTTTAGATATGAAAGACTTCCTTTTGGCGTAGCATCGGCCCCTGCAATATTCCAGAAAACAATGGAAACGATGTTGCAGGGGGTTCCCGGAGTTATAGTCTATCTGGACGATATCACTATAACCGCGCCATCCGACGAAGAGCACATAAAACGATTAAGAGAAGTGCTGAAGAGAATTAAGGACTATGGTTTTCGGGTGAAGAAAGAGAAATGCGAATTTCTCAAACCGGAAATAGAATACCTGGGACATATAGTAAACGCCGAAGGCGTAAAAAAACGTCCTCAAAAAAAGGTAGAAGCCATAGTCAAGATGCCACCACCAAAGAACTTGAAGGAATTACAGTCGTTCTTAGGCATGATAACTTATTACGGGAAGTATATACCAAACCTGTCATCTGAAAGTGCACCGTTGAATCGGTTGCGACAAAATGATGCTGAGTGGGTTTGGGGAGAAAAAGGAGCAGATGGCCATAGATAAAATAAAGAAAAATACTGGTAGACAGTGGAACACTGGCACACTACGACCCTACAGAGCAGATAGTGCTCGCGACGGACGCGTCGGATTACGGGCTAGGTGCAGTGATATACCACAAGTACCGTGATGGTACAGAGAAAGTGATAGCGTACGCATCTAGAACTCTCACCGGATCCGAGAAGAATTATGCGCAAATTGAGAAAGAAGCGTTGGGCATTATCTATGGCATTGAAAAAAATTTAACCAGTATTTGTACGGAAGGAAGTTCCTCCTGTTGACCGATCATAAACCGCTCCTAAAGATTTTCGGTCCGAAGGAAGGATTGCCGGTGATTGCAGCAAAAAGACTGCAACGCTGGGCATTAAAGCTGATGACATACAGCTACGAAATAGAATACCGAAACACAGAGAAGTTCGGTAACGCTGACGGATTATCAAGGTTGCCCAACCCAGACGAGAGAGTGTCTGAAGATAGTCAGCAAGTAGAAGGCGAAATACTCGCTCTACACGAAGAAGCCATAGCAGGATTACCTGTAACGGCTGAAGAAATAGCTAAAGAAGTAGCTAAGGATTCTGCACTGCAGAAAATTTTGCCTTATGTGCAAGGTAGAAAACCGTGGCCAGAAAAGTGCACGGACGAAGCGCTAAAACCTTACTGGAGAGTAAAGGATTCGTTAACCTTGCACGAAGGATGTATGTTAAAAGGTACGCGAGTGATTATTCCACAGACCTTGAGAGAAAGGGTATTAATGGATTTGCACAGTACACATGCAGGAATAGTGAGAATGAAAGGTCTTGCTAGGATGTACATGTGGTTTCCCGGAATTGATGAAAGAATAGAACGGGAAGCTAAAACTTGTACACAATGTGCTGAAACCGGGAGAGAAGAAACCCGGGTTCCATTAAAGATGTGGAGCGTACCAGAGTCACCGTGGCAACGAATTCACATAGATTTTTGTGGGCCAACGGCTGACTATATGTGGTTAATAGCGGTAGATGCAAAGACAAAGTGGCCCGAAGCATGGCCAATGAAAACTACCACTACGAAAAACACCACGGAATGCTTACGGAGAATGTTCGCAGTACACGGGTATCCGGGAGAAATAGTCTCAGATAACGGACCACAATTTACTTCAGAAGAATTTGAGAAGTTTTGTGAGATAAGGGGCATAAAACATACGTTAACCCCGCCGTATAACCCTCAATCTAATGGTGAAGCTGAAAGATTTGTGCAAACTTTTAAAAAAGGATTAGAAAAATGCATAAAATCAGGGCGAAAAGCCTTAGAAGCAGCACCCGATATACTATTAAAATATCGGATAACACCACACCCTGCCACCGGGAAGTCACCATGCATGATGCTCATGGGTCGACAATTACGATCGAGATTGGATTTAGTAGTGCCAAAAGGTAGCTCGGTAAAAATTGAACCATACACAGGAAAAATATGAAAGTGATGGAAAAATTACCGTAGAAGAACTACCGAATACCATGACAGAAAGGCCAAATCGAAGAAGTTCCAAATAGGAGAAATAGTCTTTGCCCGAAACTACCGAGAAGGAGAGAAATGGGTAAAAGGGGCTATTATAGAAAAGAAAGGAACTCGATGGTTCGTAATTGCAGTACCGGGTTTAGGCAGGTGGAAGAGACACTTGAACCAAATGAAGAAGTTTGTGTCTAAAGGGGAAGGAGACTCCGGAAATACCGAAATAGTAATAGAAAAGCGTACAGTAGTACAGCAGAAGGAGCCGGTAATAAAACCGAATTTGCCAGTCAGATCGTCTATCAGGAAAAGACAACCACCGACCCATTTAAAAGATTATGTGACTACGTTACCTCAAAGCGCGAAAGACAAAGTGAAAAGAGTGCGTTTTGAAAATGAGAAGATCCACCACGTAAAAGGGATCTGGAATCATCGAAGTGGAAATGAGAGTAAAAAAGTCGTAGTAAATCCGCGTGAAGATGGGAGGTGGATAAGAAAGGGTATAAAAGACATGATGGAAACAGATAGACACAAGAAGATGTCGGACAAACCATCTCGCAAGAAGAGCAAGAACCACGAAGGACGGCCGCCACCAGCAAAAAAACGTCGTGAACAAGCGCCGCCGGAACAGCACCAAGAGGAGCTGCCATTCGTGCCTACGTACTTAAGACTGCACAGACTCCAGCAGAGTATAAATAGCTTGAAAGAACAAATGGAGGTACAGTCATTTCCTAAGATAATATATAAAAAAATCTAAAAGGAAAGGAGTGTTGAATATGTGAATTGATAGTGATCAAATGATAGATCACGTGAGAGATATCCCAACTAAGAGTATAAAAGAAGTCGGGAACTCAGATCATAATCACTCGTACCGCCCCCGTTTCGCCTCCAGCCTCGCCGTCGCTTCAAGCCTCGGACTGACGACTTCTCTCCTCAACTTCATCTTACCACACCTAGTTAATAAAACTATTGTGGGGTACTCTTCTTTCTGATAACGCACAAGATACATTAAATATAATGTGAAGGTTTCAAAGCTTTTAGAACTGCATTTCTTCATATCTTATTAACAAACAAAATTTATTGAAGATTTGGTTCGAGCAGCAGAAGAACTTGAAGAGAAGCCAAAAGACTCACTTTTGGCAATCGAAGATCAAAAATCTGACGAGGCTGACGACGAGATGGACGGAAGTCAGGACGATTCTTTTGTCAAGGTGATCAATTTTTATTTCTGTTTTTTTTTAAGTGAGATACTCTATTCGCTGCCAGTTTGGAAAGAAGTTTGAATTTTGTCCTTTTTTCTTTGCACTTTTATTTCCGAAGAATGAAAAAATCTTGAATTTTAAGCATTCATCAAACTTTTAAAGGTGAACTTACAAAATTCATCCAAAGCCTTTATTTTGCAGATTTGTGGGTTTGGCTCCTCTTCAAGCCTCGGCAACGACTTGGCAGAGCTTATCAAGCATCTCAAAACAGCGCCGGAAACTTTGTCGACCTGTGCCCATTACCACGGAACTTGTGAAGATATTCAAAAAGAAGTGAGCTTTCATTTTTCGTGTTTTTCTGATCTATCTATTGCAGCTTTCCCAGTTTGATGCTCAGAAGAAGGAGTTTGACAACTTCGTTGTTGGCGTCCGTAGGCTCAGCGAAGAAGATTGAAAAAATCTAATGTTTTGTACATACCTGTTCAGTTTTTTTGCTTACTCAGTAAGAATATTTACCTGTGATTGATCGTGTCAGGGACCCCTTTTTTTGTTGAAATGTGTGAAAGCTGAATATTGCCATCCTCCGAGGTTCCAGAATTTTTATTGAAACATTTTTTTACAGTAAATAAACAATTTGAAATGGATGAAATGTTTCAATGCAAACAAGATTTTATTCCAAATTCATCAAAGCATATCCCGCACGGAATTTTTCCCGTGAGACAGAATATATACCGGAACTCCCATAAAAATAGTTACTATAAATTTTTTGGTTGGCCAAGAAAAGTTCAGCTTTTTGGAAAAGGTTATAAGTGTATGAAAATTGCACGCTGCAATAACAATAATCTGGGAAATCATCAATTTTCAGAACATTATGCAAATCGTCCAGGGAAACGTTTAAGGCGGCAAAATCTAGAAAATACAATTCTTTTCTCTAGAAGCAAAAGTATTTTGGGAATCGAAATTGCACTTGCAATTCTCAACAACAAGAAAACATAAACAAAACGCGTCCTGCTGTTTGCGCAGTGTTTTGCTCTTCTTATCGACGAGCTGCCGTGGGGCACGTGAAGTTTTTCTCGGAACGACGCTCCACACAACGGGACCCTCTGTTTACGTTTCGCGCAGTCCACACAGCTCCCTCATCGGTTACCCACTCAATTACTCAAATTGTTGATTCGAATGATTTTTGTTTTTTTAGTACTTGTCCGGTGTTTAATTATTGATTTTTAACATTGAAGTTGCTCAATTTATTGAAAAGCGCCTTGCGAAAATTTTGAGCATTCGGGTATTTTCCACAAACAGTCAATTGAAATTCATTTGTAAATTTTATTCGAGAAATAGATAAAAACATCAGTTAATTTCGCAACATTTAACAAACTGAATTGATAGAATAATAGAATTACTCTCGGCGCACAATCTCAACTTTTTGTTTCTATTCTTATCTAATAATAATAATAACTCTACTTTGGCTCAAACTCAGTTCATGTTTTTACGCTTCTTACTCAAAAAATTTTGATTAGCCAATAAATTCCTATGGTTTTTGGCAAAAAGCTCCGTACGTATCGACCGAGCTTAAACCAAATTTGACATAAGCGCTCATTTTCGTCTTTTTGTACCAATTTCTTTAGCTTTCAAATTAATTTGCTTTGCTCGACAGACTTAAGGTAATAAACCAAAACTCAATGAGAAATCAACGCAGGCATTATTGGATAAATTGATTGCCTGTGGAAAAAAAAAATATATTTCAGTGAGAGCTAATTTTTTTTTCCTTATAAGATACGTTTCATTTATAAACAACTTATTCTTAGAGAGAAATGTAAATTTTGAAAGAAAAAAATGACGCAGTAAAGAAATTATTTATTATTTTTCACTTTGAAAACCGTGACAAAAATAATTTCATCCACAAGATCTTCCCTAATCGCAAATTAGATCAGTCACCAACGTCTATGCGAAAAATGAATATCTTTTTTTTAAATCCTAGCTTGGATATAAAAAATTTGTCAATAAACCAGATGTTTATCTCTTATCGCCCAATCAAATAATTTTACTGAATAAAAAAACTCTAGCTCCATATAATATTTGGTTCCTTGAGAAAACAAATGAGTAGAAGTTATAACGCGTTCACTTTTATCACCTCACCAACATTCTCCGATCAAGTAAAAAAGGCGCGAGATCAAAATACAAATTAGGTGCCGTTGGCGCGAAACGGAGACCTAACGTTGATATCGTCGGCAGCGACGCACCCTTTTTTTTCGCGTTCATTCGGGAGCGTGTTGGTGGCCGTGCGAGGTGGCTCGTGCCTTGAAGATAAGCGGTCGCTGTATGGATTGCTTCAGGCCGTGCCCATTCCTTTCATTTTGATATAGTTCATTCAGGAAACATTGCTCATAGTTATTGTTCTAATATATTGCGAAATTTTATCGTTGAACGTGAATTTTTTTTTAACAATTGGGTTATGAAAGCAAAGCCTTGTTCTTTGTTATCACTTTTTACAAAGTCATTGCAAACACTTGCCAGTTTATTCAGCTACATATCGTATTGCGTACATTATTCCCGTTTACTTTTATTTTTATTTCAAAAAATTTTATAGTCTGGAATGAGTACCACGGTCTCCACGCGCTCTACTATTGACTATTCGATGTTGGTGGATGAAGTTGTAACTCAATTCGGATCCATATCGGCCACAATCATATCCTCCAGCGTGAGTTTTTCTCCCAAGTTCAGGTAAAACAAAATTTTAAAATAATTCCCGAATTTGTTTTTAATGCAAATTTGTCACTGATAAACTTTCATCTCTTTTGAACATTCTAAACCACTATCTGCAAATTTTTTTTTCAACACGGTTGTGAGCAGAAATCATTTTAGGAAGACACGGAAACGTCTCCAGAACCAGCGAAAAGAAAGCGTCTGAGAGCTTCCAATGAAGATTCAGAAAAGAAGGTTTGAAACTTCGAGTTAAAAATGAAGTGTGGAGCTTTCAAGGGAGGCAAAGGAAACACAAGAGTGAGCCGTCGAGACTCTCTCAATGAGAAACCTCTTGGTTTGGATAATCTGAGGTTCTCTTTGAATCTGTTTCAAATCAACTGAATGTGGCTTCAGACTGTGCGTAGAGGCCGAGAAGATAGCGGATGCGATTCCGGAAAGCGTGGCCATCGTGGTTCAAACTCCCACCAAGTTTTGTCGATTCCGCAGTCCCTCGGACACTCAACTGTCTCACTTCATTCCTAACTATCACAAGACTACGGTTCTCAAAGAAGTGAGGCTTTTTTGTGATCAAAAAAAAGAACGGAAAGTTTACGTGTTGAGATTAGGTTTTCGATGATGTTCTCAACAAAGCTTCAGGAAAATCTTTACCTGAATGATAGTCTATTCAAAAAATTTATGAACGCTGACAAGCTCATTTTGGCTTGTAATATATGAATAAACGAAGAAGATCCTTAGAGACTTAAAAAAAACTCTCACCTATTTTACTGGAGTTACAAGAGTTTTACAAGCTAATAATCAATAAATACTGTCCTCCAATAAAAACTTCCATGATCTATGCCTTATTTTATTCCCAATTTTCAGAACGCCAATCGTATCCAACAGCTGCTGAAGCCACGTCTGTCTGCTCTCAAAAAGTCCGCGAGCGAATCTGGAATGATGAACAACGACCTCATCAAGATCGACATCACCCCGATCAAACTCATTCCTCCGTCTCCTGCGCCTTCCAAACGATCGGCTCACAAGCGCAAGCGCAACAACAAAAGTAATCAATTATTATTTAAAATTTATTACAAAAAAATTTTTCTAATTCAAATAGGAGCAATACTTTGATATAAAATCGCTGAACGGATTTTTTTGAAAATATAAAGATGCGCACTTTACTTTAAAAAAACAAAGTAAAGAAGAAGATTGACACAAACTTGAAGAAATTGATAATCAACGGAACCAAAGTGTAGTGTAATTAGACAAAGTCTAAAAAGCTTCAGTAGTCATTCCACAAATAAATGTTTAAAATTGATCTTTTTGAGACAGAGACGGATAAAAATTTTTTGAATTTTCCCGGCAGCAAATAATTTTTGAATTTTACAGAGCTCTAAATAGTTTCGGACCGTCACGAATCGCCATGCAACGATCTCCGACCTCGCCACGCCAACTACGCCAAATCGTCACGATCTTTTTTCAAACTTATAGCTTTTAGTGAAACATGCAGTCCACAAGATGACTAGACCTTATCCTGATTTTTTCCCAATTTTTTTTTGTCAAATGTCTGGGATCTCTTTTCAACTCTTCTCCCCGCATACCATCATTTTACTGTGTTCGATACGCCATAATCGCGGGTTTTGTACTGTGTTAAATTAACTAACTTTTCCATCACGCCTTTAAAATTGCCCGGTTCATTGTAGTAGTCCTCGTTTAAAAACTGTTCATAATTGTACACACAATGATTTAATTTGTCCCATGAATAAAAGTTCTTTTGAACTTGAAATTGTTGATTTGCGCTCGATATTGATTGGTGATAGATTCATAGTGTCGAGAATCGTTCTTATCATTTGGCGATGTGCCTTTATGGCTTCTACTAAACTTCTTTTTACGCTCATTTTTTTTTTGATAATTTGAGAAATTACTCTAGAAAGGTTCAGCTTTTCAGTAATCACACAATGGCTTATTTCATGTCCGATGTCGCAAATGCCCGCGACGAGGGACGTCTTGTGCCAAATCAAAACGCTTCAGCTGATGAATTGAGAACAGTAGGCGTTGAAACAACAGAAGTAAGTTTGAAGTTTTTGAAAAGCTGTCAGTTTTGCTTATTTTTCAACTTATTATTTTTTTACAATCTTTAGAAGTACTTTCAATCATTTAAAAAAAGCGTAGCAAGCTTCCTATCAGAAAACACTGAAAAAGGCTTTCGAAGTCGGTTTTAATAATTTTTAAGTTTTTTTACAGTTTTGCAAGACATGTTACACAAGGCATTTGTTTTTTTGATCTTTTGAATTGTTTCGGTATGAGAGAGTACTTTATATTTATTAAATTTTAATTCCTAATTTTTAGTATGCCGTAAATTTACAAACAAAAAAAGGCTCTGACTATCGAAAAAAAGTAATGTAACCTTTAATATTTTTTTATAATTACAAATTCTCCATTATTTTTTTGAATCTTTTCACTATAATAGGAAGAAGCCTGCAAAACGATTCAAAGGTTTTCGGCCACAAAATTCAGCAAGTACTCTTCGTTTAAGATATATAACCAGATTCAGTATGAACTGTTTTAAAAATTCCAATTACAGATCGACTTCGATGCTATTGACGCTGAGGAGCAGCTTGAGAAACTCGTCAAAGAATATGACATGAATCACCGCGACCAAGTGGAAATTAGCAAGGAAAAAATGCCAGATTATGAGAGCAAAGTAGGAGTTTTCTTTTTAACTTTTAATATGTTTTTTGTACAGTTGAAAATATTTTTCACTGAGCATTTGCATAATGATGCCGAGCTCAGAATAATCAAAGAAGGCTCAGGATTCTTTGATATTCGCGACAAAGAGGTTTCTTCAAAAAGTTGTTTGCTTTTTCCATAAATTACTTTTCTTGAGGATCGATGGATCAGAATTCCAGTGAAACGAGGAAGTTTTGTCTACTTACCGCCAGGAATCTACCACCGCTTTACCCCAGATTGGAGCGTAAGGCTGTTTTCACGTGGAAAATGTTTTCTCTCCTTCTACTTTAGGATCGGGTTGTGGCCGTTCGACTTTTCCGGAACAATCCAAAATGGGAAGCACACAACCGCGCCAATGATGGAGATCAACAAGAAGAGCGAAAAAAATATCTTGAACAAATTTTAAAATCACAGTGATTCTTCTTTATTTTATTTTTGGTGGATAACAACATAGGAAGAATGAAGGTTGGAACAACTCAGAAATGTACACGTGATCGGAAATGACTGGGAGATGCTGTTTTCTATCTAGCGATGCTCAAAGCCCTAATTGAAATATTAATAGTTTTCTAAGGATGAGAATAAAACAATGGTTGAGGTATTTTTTTCTGAATCAATTTTTTTCGAGCATCCACTTTGCTACGGAAATTTTTTTAGAAGGAGTAGTCTGCTATTTTTCTTGAACATCTTTTTGAACTGCGAAACCTGAAAGAAAGCTATTAATTTTACGTTTCAAAAACTTCGAAAAGAAGGGATTTTTCGAAGAAAACTCCTTCAATCAAAATTTTTTTTAAATTACTCCGTAGCGAAATAGTCTAACCTTATTATCGGAGAATAATTTTGCCACCGTCATTTCGAGTAATGATCCTACTCTTCGGAACCTTCGAGTTGCCTGTAAAATTGGAAAACTTCTTCCACTTAAAAAAATTTACCCCAAGCGGAAGAACACTGCTGTCCATAGTTGGATGAACTTGCATGTATGAAACGTTCAAAGTCAATACATGATGTTTCAAAGTTCCGAGTTCAATCATATTCAGGCCTGAATGATAAAAAGGGAAAATGTCTTTCATTCGTATTGGAAACCTTCATTACTCGTACTCAAAATTGCGACTTCTGGAGGGAATGAGTTTGGTTTGAGAGTGATGAAACCGTGAATGATTCTCATGTCATCTTTGAACCATGAAGTGCTTCTGAAGTGATTGACATTCAGCTAATTGGATGCAAGAAAGCAGATTTGTACCAGTTTCACTGTAATGACTCACGTGTAGTTCAGAGACGGAGGTCCGAACATCGGAACTGTGGCTGGAGCAATGTCAATAGTTTCCTCATATTCGTTATCGTAGAGATCGGTCGGGAATCGCAAGCCCTTCGTTGCCTAAAAAAAATTGTTTTCAAGAAGAATTGATCTTCAAGAACCTGTGAGTGCCACGTTCCTAAGAAAAACTGCATCGGTTCCAGAGCGGGGGCCAGTGGAATCTCAGGCGCCACTGTAAATACAAAGAACATTTCGATGTTCGTCAAATATCACACACCATATTCTGGATCAACGTCGCACATTTTACACGATACGGCGCAGTTAACGTCGAAAAAATTGGTTTGAGTGAGTACTGTATGGCACTTGTCTTCAATGGCCCAGCGGTCACAACTTTTGTAAATGTTGCGACACTTTCCTGAATTTTTTTAAATTATATCCTTGACTCATAGCTCTTGCGATATTTTAAATCGAAAAACGCCAGAGAAAGACAGTGTGAAAACAGGCCAGCTTTTTTGTTCTTGTTTTTATTTCTCCAAGCTTGCACTCCATTCTAAAGGTTTTTTTTAATAATGCGACATTTTTAAAAGCCCATCATTTATCCAAAACACGTTGCGCAACATGGTCCTTAGCCAGATTATCTCTACAGACAGGCTTGGTCGACCGAAAAATCTTGGCAAGTCTCCGCTGACGGGACTTCTTCTTCCCGCTGAAATCCAGCTTTGAGCGCGTTCCGAACGCCGCTCACGTAATCTGCGAAGCAATCCAATTGAAACGCTTACGAGGCAAGTGTTCGCACTTCCCATGCCAACCGAAGGGAGAAAGGCGATAAGATTAGGAAAAAAACACGCGCAATCCATACTCATAAAAGGTTCCCGATCAGATTGAAGCGCCGACAGAAAATCTTGTTTGGTTAGGACTTACTGTGGCAATAACGGCCCATCCAGCCTTGTGCACATTGACAAGCTAACTTTCCGGGCGTACAGGTTCCTCCGTTCAAGCAAGGATTTGTCCGACAGGTGTCGATTGTGAACCGCTTGTAGATTAACTGCGTTGTTTTGGAACCCACTGCAAGGAAAACCTGTTATCAATAAGTCCTAGGAAAAAAAAAAATTAAAAATTGTTTGGCGGATTCCTTTCGAATGTAACAATATTTCAAGAAAAAACAAAACCGAAAACACAACAACGGGTTGGTTGAAGAGAAAAACCGCAAAATGCGAATACCTCATGAATAATAATTTCTCGAAGAAAAATGAGATTGATAGAATATTGACAGGAAATTATAAATCAAACTTTATCTATGCTATTATTACTCTTTTTTTAATTCAAACAAATCTTCATATTCGTTCGAGCACTTCGCTACAATTGGGATTTCCCAGTGAAATCGTCCCTCTCAGAGTTGAAAGAAGAAAAGTTCCTAACTTCAATTACTCCTATTGCCCCGACCTAGGAAAACAACTCCCTCATGCTATTTAATGATATAAAGGCAATAAGAAATAGGGTTGAGGCCATTTTGGAAAGTTCTTTCTTGCCTGTCAAACAGTAAACTTGGAAACGTACAAAACTTCTAGTTTTGGAGAAAAAATATTTCAAAGTCGGAGAGTGAAAAGTTTTAATTCCCGCAAAAATAGCGTTTGCAGTAAAGTTGCTCTATGTGCATCACCCTACGCCATTTTTTTGGATTTTTTTTCGATTTTTTTAAATTTCAATTTTTTCTGCTGTCACCAAAGTTTTTCCGTCATGAAAACTTTCTATTAATGAAAATTGGCAAATTTTGATTGTAAAATGTTTCTCTTGGGAAAAGTGATTATTTTTCATAAATATCGATTGGGATAGCAATCTTTTGCGTTTCCTTTGTTATCGGTGTGTAATTTTTCTTCGACTACAGTTTTGTTTTCAGAAAAAAGTTCAATAAGATACTACTCACTTCAAACCCTGTTTTTTACTGCCCCATGCCTTTAATAGAGAAAGAATCTACTCAGATGCTTGCCCGTGTGTCGATCGTTGCAAAAAAACAAGATGTTCTTTCAAGAAGAGAATTCGTTGAAATTCTCAATATTATCCGGCAGATTTTGCTTCAAGGTTTCTACGAAAAATTTGAGAAGTTCGGCCACAAACTCAAAGCGCAACTAGTAGGACTATATAAAAAAAAAGACGACGAAGTCTTTTTTCTTAAAAATCATAGCTCGTCGGAAGCTGGCATAGTTTAAAGCTGTTGTAATATTCTAGCCATTTCAGTGTTTGACAAAGAACCGAGTTAACAGCAATTAAATATTCAAGTGAGCATCAGACGTTTTTGGAAAAGAAAGATTCAATTAAAATGAAAAAGGCGAATAACGTGAAAAAAGAACCTGTGGAAAAGAAGACGAGGAGAAGCACGAGTTTCAGCACGACCGAGCTCCCGACGGCATTCATCGCGGCAGTGGCGTTCGCTTTCTGCGTGTTGCGTGTGTTGCGCTTCGTCGTAACCGGCTCGACGTCCCTGTATTTTTCGCCCACTTTCTCTCCAGCCTCTCGTGTCTCCTCAGCCGATGATCCATCTCCGCCTTAAACACATCCCTTCCTCTTCTGAACATCTTCTCCCCTCTTCCTTCTTCAGCTGCATGCTGCTACAAATTGCCGGTAAAAACCACAAATAGCGCGGCTTCTATGCAAAAAATGTGACGGGGTAATTCAAGCTTCCCGTCTGCCGCGCCAAAGTTACAAAAAGGGAACGCCGACAAGGTGATTGATAGGTCCGGAGTATCTTCCTTCAGATACTAATTTTTCGGAATGGTCGCAAGGTTGTTTTTTTAAAAGTGATTGAAAGTCTGATAATTTCACAAGATATAATTTCATAAAGGATACGACTTGACGTGAAAAAAAACGGGAAATTTTCATTCTGAAAGAGTTGATAGAAATTTATTGCAGAAAAAGCTAATAGATAAACTTGATCTAAATTATAATGAAATAATCTTATAATGACTTAAGGCTGTGGCTCGAGGTTGCGAGATATGAAACCAGAAGGCTTTTTTTTCGAAATTTCGTCCTAAAATCCTGCATTTTCAAGAAGTGCTTTTCAAGCCATCTTCAAACGAATCCGATTTTCGAATCCAGATTCGCTTTTTCTATCATTGTTTCAAGATGGCGAAACGATAGATCCGAAGGATAAATTAAGCGCGGCGTGAGTTTCTTCAACGTTATAGGCCGTTTGATTAGAAAAACCAGATTATGCAGAGCGAGAGTTCCATATTTTTCGCCTTATTCTCGCTTTCGATGATTTCCCGATGACCGACCGAGAAGCTTCTATTCACTTCCTCGCATGCAAATTGCTACCATTGTCCGGTCCTGGGATACGGAATTCCATAAAGTTCAAAACATTACAAGAATTCTGCGAATCCCAGAGCCAGCGAAGGTTTTCGATAACGGAAGAGCAGCCGGAAAGAACAAAAATCTTTCTGTATTAGTAGGCTTTCTTCAGTTAGAGGCTTGAAGGATTTAATGGTGACAACCTCAAACTACGGGTTGCCTGGAAAATTCATTTCAAAAACAGCAAATAAAAGCCGTGTAGGTGAAAATGGCCGTACACCAGCAATGCCGTAGAAGAACTGTGGAAACGTTTTCGCTTCTTTCCCAAAATATTTCGGAAATGTTGCTCTCTGCATTTGGCGGAAAACGGGGAAAAAAGGCACAGATGTGAGCTTTTTTGGGGCTGACTCATCAACCAACATTTACTCTACAATTTGAAAAAATGTACAGATTGTCGACATTTGAATATTTTTTTATGTTTTCAGTGCATCTTGTTTCAGAACTTCATTACCAGCGATGTTAAGTTTTATTTCAATGCTTTGATTTTCACGACCTCTTTTGAGTTTAGATAAATTTTCTGTTTCTCAATTTTCAGAAAATTTAAATGTATATTCCTAAAGTTGACACGATCTCGTCGAATGAACATCTTGATCAAATTGATCCTGCCAATCGCCTGAGAAAGTTCTTTCTATCTGAAAACTTCTTTGGGATCAGTGGATTCCCACAATGTATACCCGCACTATTGGTATCGTCATTGAATTCCGTCTGCTTTCAGCCTCGGAGTCTGATTCGGCCTGTAAAGGTTTATAGCAAGTTGGTTATTATTTTTCTGTCAAACCTTCAAAGTTTGAGACGTCCTTTTGCTGTGGACTGACGAAGAATATCTTCGATGAGATACAATTTGTTCGAAAAACATGGCATCAACAAACACGAAAAGCCTCAATATTTTGGGTTTTCGAGTCCATAGAAATCCAGGAATTCGACTATTTCACTCCATAATGGTATGTTTGAAAATTCTTACCACCAGGTTTCAACTAAGGCCCCAAAGACCAGTGCCACAATTAAAACAGTCGCTGAAGGAAGTAAGATTTGCCGTTCACCCGTCTCGTTCGAACTGCTAATCCAGCCGAAAACCGTGTAAGCATAGAAAAAAAATAATTCAACAACAGTCCACTGTAAAAGAGAGATATCAGCTAGTTCATTGATCACGCTACTAACTTGCCAAATGACGTGAAAAATGTACAAGTGCTTTTTCGTTTGTGCCAAGCAAATAATGTTAAAACTGAAAATTTTTTTAAAAATTTTTTTCTCATTTTTTTAAATGTTCTTGCAAACTCACGTATAATTGGAACGGTGGCCAGTAAAAATATTGCGTAAAACTTTGCTATTTGATTGCCGTGTCCTTCGTAGAAATTAGTGTAGAAAGCTTTCCCGTTTGTCAGATAAAAATCCAAAACAACCATGGTCAAAAATGCTAAAGCCAAACCAAGTTTTTTTGCAAAAACAAGGTTCTTAACTTAATGAAAAAAGTTCTGTAACACAAATAAGAGGTACGGCGTCTCTCAAAGAAACACAGCCGAGACAACATTTATGTCGAGAGCAAGGAGCAAAAAGAAACACCTGAAAAACTTTCAAAATAAGATATGAGTAGACTCATTCTGATTAATCTCACCATTTTTTTCGAAAAAGTGGTCCAGCTAAGAAATAGTTATTGAAGCTCGATGCAAGGGAAGAAGGCCAATCAAATTAATGAAGAGACCCGTATTAAAATCCAGCCCAGCTTTTTTTTCTCTTTTCTAATCAATCCCATCATTATTGACGAGTAGAACACAAAAATTATTGCAGCATCAATTTTTTTCCATCAGTTTTTTTGCGCAAATAAATTAGCTTAAATTTTTGATTAAATATGTTCACTTTGCGCGGCTATTAATTCTGAACTATTCCCCTTTAGATTCAGGATTCTAAATTTTTTTAAATAGAAGTCTATAAACGATGAACCAAACTTTCGTCACTGGCAGCTATTTTTAGTACTTTCTCCGAGTACTTAACCACAGAGTTTTTTTAATCAAATCTGAGATTTAACTCTCATGGAGTAGTCTGGTGAAGCTTTTGGAATAACTTCTTTTTGATTAATCAATAGAAAATTTGTAGAAAAGTTTTTCCCAAACACAACGGAAAATCTCACCTTTCCAATTGAAACGACGGACATCCGTATGCTGTCCCACGCAGACGCAGAAGAAATTCGGGAAGAAATACATCTAGACGGCTCGAGCTGCAGAAAAAAGGACCATTTCTCAGTTTCACACACCCATCTGCGAATGGCATGTAGGAAATAAATTTGAAAGACGCTATGATTAATCTGGCTACAAGAAGAGAGACATTTTATTTCTTTTTATTCACGTTCAACGCCAGCAATTCAGAAAAAATCTGAGTAATTGTTTACACATTCAATTTTCAACACAATCTTTTTAAATCGAGCTTTTTAGCCTGATTCTGTTATTTTTAAATTTCGATCTTTTCCCTTTTTTAATTTTCGAAATTTGAAAACCAAGGAACTTTTTCGATTTCAATTTTCATACTGCTGCACAGCTTCTTAAACTCGTTTGTTTTCTCGCGAAAGTCAAAAAAACAGCAAAAAAAAGAAGATGCCTACGAAATTCGGGTTCAGTCGATTATCGTCGACGTGAAGACGCAATGCCATTGAAGCTGATGAATTTCTATAAAATGGAAAAAAACTAGAATCAATCTCACAATTTTTGTTTATCTCTTAAGACTCATTTCTTGCAGCTGAAAAAGTTCAACTGGAAAGAATTGGAAAAAAATTCGATTCGAAGTGAGTTCGCAGTATTTATGCAAACTTGATGAGCATCAAGAATACTAATTATGTTGCTACGGAGATATAGGAAAATATCATCGTCTAATCAAATTTATAAACGAAAGGCGTTTGCCACCGGAATACTGCTAATAAAAACCCGGTTGATATAGAGTTTCTGGCTGAGGGTTGCCCTAAAGTGCGACCGTCGCCGTTGGTCGAATCCTCGGCAAGCTCCATGTTTTGATTTTGTCTTGAAATTAATCAAAAAGCTGAAAAAATTCACTTTCAAATCAGTTGTTGAGTGAAAAACAGCAGATGGGCGGAAAAGGCAATGGAAACAAATAAGAATTTCAGGATTGGAAGAGGAGTGGCGGGCGATTAGAAAAGCGATTAAACTCCGGAAAGAAGTTTCACATAGGTTCCGATGGATTGAAAAGTACTTTCAGCTTTTTTGAAACACAAAATTGGATAAAGTGATGGAACTCTAACAAAAAGGCTGAACGAGGAAGGTTTTGCAAAAACAAGGAACATGTTTTGAGTGAAAGCTCTAAACAAATTAGAATATTCATATGTGGATTTGTTTTTGAACACATCAAGACTGCGAAGTATGAAAAAATATCATATAAATTCTATTTAACGTGGATAATTATTGAGTTGTATTCTGAGTTTTTGAGAGCTTCCGAGAACTCCGATGTGAGAAACCCACTAAAAACGATGATTTATTGCTTTAAGGGAAGACTGGTAGTGTGGAGATGAAATCAATATGAATTCCTGACTAATGCATTTTCAAATGTAAAGTTCTAAAATAAACAAATTTGCCGACAACTGTATTTAGTTTGTCCAAATGATTATTCTTACAAAAATCGTCAAGTCGCTCTCTGAAACATTTTTCTAACCGGATTGTTCTAACCGCAATTTTTATTGAGACGTGAAAACGGAAGTATTTAACAGTTGAATGACTTCCATTGAAAACAATGACATCCTTTAAAAATAATTGCGAAGAAGCATTTCGAAACCGACGGAAAAACATAATAATTTCGTCAGAGAAATCGAGAAGGCGTCTACAATATACAAAAAGTCAGAAGGCAAAAAAAGAAAAAAGTGAATTGAGTTTGAACTGCTTTTTTCCGCTTCACACTACGCGTTCGCCGCCGGGATCGTGTTCCGTCAACAACGCAATCGTGTAGGAACCACTCGAGAAGTTTTCTCCCAGATTTGCCAAAAGTCTTGATTTTATTCAGGTGCAATCTTCCAGCTCCGTTTGCAGGCAGAAATGTTAATGAAGAACGCATGAAATAAAATTCAAGTCGAACTCTAAGAAAACTCAATCTTACTGCAATTTGAAAAGAAAAAGCACGGAGGCGACTTTCGAGCCGTGCAAAACCACACATGCATTGACTTTGGTTTGAGGCCAAGCTGCATACAGAAGTTGGTCGGCATGGCGAGAATATTAATCAATGGCTCAGCGCACAAATAAAAGCAGAGACTCCATAATTAGAAAAAAAAAACAAGACCGCTGTGATAAGTAAAAGCAAAACTCATAATTTCCTTCATCATCACTTCCTTCAAAAATTAAAATTTTTGAGAATTTGGTTCATGCTGATTGCCTAGTATTCAGTTTGAAAAAAACCACTTTCTTTTTTTTTGAGTTGAAAAGTCTTTGAAAGTATTGAATTTGTTTAAGTCTATTCTAAACCAAGAAGAAAAGCAAACAAACATTTTCCAAATCTTCATCCATGATGTTTGAAAAGAAATTGTTCAAATTTCAGATTTCAATAGCCTCAATGTTTTTGGATGCTTTGGTTGAAGTCATAGTCAAAAAGAGGAGACAGGAAGGATCCGCGTTGATTCCGGTGCATTCGACGCCTCCTTGGTATGCGACACTTCCATGCTCTTGTCTTTGATTTTTGAAACATCTGGAAATTTTCAATGATCTTTCGTTTTTATTCAGTCATAATTTTTTTATGCTTCTTTATGTTTAATTCTTTTTGGATTTTTGAAGATTAACGCAAGAATAATGTAACTCGAGAGTTTTAAATTGAAATCATTTCCACGCCTGCAATTGGCATAGAGCAACTCATTTTTTTTCGAGCATTCCGTTTTGAAAACAATTTTTTACTGTTGACTTATCGACAGAGTTTCGTTTAATTTTTTCAATAACGTTCAGTTTCTAGACTTCTCGTCGAGAAAAATTGGAAAGCATAGCTTTCCTGTCACCTTCTGCTATGAAATATAGCCAAAGGTCGTCATAAGTCACCCTCGCTTTTTCGGAAAACTATTGCCGGCGAAGGGAAGAATACATGCTCGCAATGGGATTTGACCCTTTTTGTCAACAAAAGTCCACGATCCAGAAGCACTCTTATTCTCTCTAGTCCTCCTTTAAAAAAAGTTTTGAAAAAGGACAAGTCCGTTAGGCTTTGAATAACATTCTTCACAATTTCCTCTCACACTTTTTCCACCTCATATAATTCATTCGCTTGCTTAAAAAACTGAAAGGGTACTTTTTGTCTCTATCTGGAATTTTCTATAAGAACTTTGCAGCTTTTAATAATTTTGAAACGCGTTACTGAGCTTTTAGGGCACCAAAATATGTTAACGATTTTGGATTTTATCAATGTCCTAAAGTGGTTTTTTTTAGTTCTGTGAAGCGACGGTACATTAATTTTTGAAGTATTTTATTGTTTCTGGTCGTTTTTAGATTCGATTCGTAAGAATCTTTTTTTCTGCAGCTTGGAATAAAGATATCTTTCTCAAACTCTGAATTGACATATTTTCTCAGTCATGTCAAATTTTTAATTTGTCCTTTTCAGAAAACCTCCCAGTCTGAAAAACGGAACTAACCCTTAATCCAACTCCAACCTAAACTTGTTACTCGTTCGCTTGTGCTATTATGTCTTAGATTCACCGCGCTTTCACTAAATTCCGTATTAACGGAGCACCAGCTGCATTTGCTTGGCGAGCCGGCAAACGCATTAATTGGGTATTCGGAGGAGACGGACGAACGTCTGGCTGCCTTCTTTGGTAGCGAGTCGGGTCCTTCCATGTTCTTGTATCTTTTTAGGGTTGTCGTGGCCAAACTTTGGCTTTTGCCCCTCATTTGGGACAGGCAAAAGATGTCCACGTCTCTAATTGCTTTCTGATTCGTTTTCTTTTCTATTCCAATTTATGCGATTGACGGAACGCTCGCCACCATTCTAATTCTATTCCCGCCTCAGCTGCCGCTTGGAAATTTTTTAAAGATGAATTTTCTATTTTTCACAGAGTCTAATCACATTTTCTTTTGAGTTGCATACACACAAAATATTTCCGGAGTGAGTTGCATTTCATAGCTACAAAACTTGTTTTCAAAAATAGTCTGAATGTTTTTGTCATCGTTCTGTCAGCCCTCATCAAAGCTGAAGACTTTTTTTAAACTGTATATTTTGTTAGTAAAAAATTTTTAAGGCGTTACATGACACACAAATCTTGCGAAATTTGAAAGGTCATCAAACACAGATCTTCCCGTTCCTTTTTAAAACTTCATATTCGCAAATGGACCTTTAAACACTTATAAGGCATCTATTGAAAACACTATTCGAGCCACGTTTCCCTTTCATTTTCCATGAATAAAAATAGGAATCAGCCTCGTGGCACTTAAAAAATGTTTTTTCCTTCAGATTTTTTTTTGCCTCTTTATCTTGAATAAATCTTCCATTTGGATTGTTTCTGACTTTTGACGAACAACTTGTGAGCTTTGAACACGCAACAGCGTAGAAGGAAACGTGTGTTTCCGCAATCCACGAAGCGATATTCTATTCTGAATGTCCACCTGTTGAATACGCGCATTCGCCTCGACGCACTTCGGCCCTTGTCGGTCCGTTACATTTGGGATTCTGGCGCCTGCCCAATATCTCTTCATCAGACTTTTTTCTTTGCTCCACTGCACCGATCCATCAATTTAATAAAGCCACTTTTCGCATATTTTGCTATCGACGCTCGAAAATAACACTCATTGTACAGATAGCTTTCTAGGGGACGTACATTGTTTAACTTTTTGCAACTGCTCTGTTCTGAGTTTTTCGATCAGTTTTTTTTTTTTCTGAGAGCCGGCCTTCAGTGTGATTTGTCATATTTTCTATTTTATCAACAGTTATTTCGAATTCATCAAATAATCATCTGATGAAATTAAGGTGTGACAAATCACCAAATTTTGCGCGTTTGAAGACTTAGGAAAGACACAGAAAACTGGATCGTAGTAAGCAGAGAACTTCATTTAAAAATTGTTTTTCCAGTTAGAAGAAACATTTTCCAAAGAATCCGAGAGCGTTTCATTCCGAGTAACGAAGCTCGAAGTATCTTTCATTTGCTACCCCCGAACCGCTACACCACCTCTTCCGCATTTCTTTGCTATTCGAGCCGTTTTTTTTTCTCTAGTCATTGCCCATTAGCTTGACTCTGTGTCCAAGAGCGTGGGAAACTTGCTGGGAGGGCAGAATCACTTTCTCTCAGCTCCTATATTTATTCTGACGTTCTTTTGGTGATTTTTTAAGGCGCTAACTTAAATGTTGAAAAGAGAAAACATTCACCTAACTCTCGGAAAAACAGCGGAAGTGTTCAATTTAAAAATGAAATATTTCTGAAAAGTGAAAAAAGAAAGCATTTCGCTTCAGCTATCCGGCGTGAGGAATTGGTGCCGTTAGTCAGTATGAAAGAGGACTAATTGTAGGGTGAGAAAATTCAATGAATTCCCTTCAGGCTTTCTTTTAAAAAATCATTTAACTTCTTCAGCAAAATCAACCTGTTTACGAAAATTTTTTTTTAAAAGTTTTTTTCAGCAATTATAGGTTACGAGAGAAATTGTTTTACGTTTTTTTAGGATGTTATAAATTTTATTTCGAAAAATTTTCATTTGTGAGTTCCAACTTGCTCATCTTTTTCGGTTTGAGGAAAAAAATAGCTCGGCTTTTTCTGAATTTCCCATTCAAGCAGCGCTTAAAGGTGTTTTTTTTCAACTATCAGACTTTTTGATTCCTTGAAAGCTTTTAAGGTTAACTTCCGCGACCCCATTTTTTTATCAAATATTGTTCTTTGCTTTTAACATGCATCAATTATGAAGTAAAAAAACTATTTCTCGTAGGAAGTTTGATAGATTAGTAAATACTTTGAAAAAAGGCAAGGTAAACCCAAAACATTCGAATTAATTAATTCAAACAAATTGAACAAAACGGTGTCAGTAAATTATGAGGGGCCTTTTCCGGGCTTTTTGAGCTCTGAAATGACGTAACAGCAAAACTACAAGCTATCGATCTACGCGAACAATTCATTAGAAAAACGACCATAGCTTATCTGGCGCAAGTAGCAGCCTTCAGGAAAACAATGAGGTGCTTCTTCCGAAGTGCATTTCTCTTTCGTGTGCTAAAGAACGGCAGCGAGTTTTTCTGAGACTGACTAAGTACTCATTATTTTTTTTTTCTCGCTGCAGGAAATCCAATGCAAAGCCATACTCTTCTATACATGGCTGAACCGGATATCCCTGAAAAACAGAACGTGTTAGTGTTATTAAAGAAGTTTGTTTATAAGCGAGTGTGCTTTCCGGTCGAGCGTCTTCTCTGCGTAATCCCCATTAATTGCTCCACTCGCTGTTTATCGCCGTGGGCGTCTCACCTTCTGAAGCAAAAGACCATTTCCTCTCACGCCGTCTTCTTTTTACTTTGTTTTTTCGGCGCGCATTCGAATATCTCAAGTTATCCGAGCATTGGAGTCAACGCTTCGTCGCTTTTCATCGTTCTCACACATCACATCTATGCTTCATTTCCAAGGAAAAACGAGCACTTGCGGCAATTAGTCGCTGCTGCCCAAGCCCGTTTTTCACAACTATCCAATCACCTTTCTGCGAGAAAGTATAAAACTCATGAGCACGCTAACTTCACTTCAATGTTTTCTTCCAATCAAATATTACCTGTTACCTTTTTTTTTCGTAGTTTTTCTGCAATCCAAAATGCAGAAACGCCGTGCAAGTATGCTACGGGATAATTACGTGATGAATTATTCTAATCCAGCACACTTGTTGGAGTTTGCACGCGATGTTGCGCTTTGCTTTGTATAAAATGTGACCCATGCGGCATTCCTTTCGCTAAACAACGACTCTGCTGCAACGAGACCCAGGGCTATCAAATTTTCTTCATTTTTCTTAAGCTTATATGAATTTCCGTCCTTCATCAAAATCATCGACAAAAAAGTTTTTCATCTGAGAAACTTTCTATAAAAGTTGAAAAAACATATTCTTGCCTCATATTATTTTTCATCCCGCTAAAAACTCTAAATTTGGAAAACCAACAACGTAAATTCAAATTTTTTTCTCCAAAATCGAAGTTCCAAAATTTAGTAATTTTGAACAAATCTAGTTTTCAAACCAAGTCGGCCGAGTTTGAGTTTTTTTTTAGAGTGTGTCTCCAATTCTCACTGCAGAAACTAATGCAGAAATGGAGAAAAAATTAAATGCATTTCGATTTTTGAAAACTCAATGCGAATATGAGCGACTGGCGGTCAATTAACATCAACCCTGTGTTTTTTCCGCTCGCTAAAAAGTTTGCTTCAGCCCGAGCTTACTAAGAAGAAGCTGTCGTCATCTGCATCGGAAGCGTCCGTGTCAACGCCGCGCAATTTCCTGCCAGACCGCACTTTCCATGTTTTCCATGTCTTGCCCTCATTTTTCTCTCTTGTAACAAGATCTCGTCGAGTGATGCCATCCCGCCGCATTCTTCGTTTTAAATCAGTTAAAAAAAGCTACATTATTTCCAATAGCTCGATTCTTTTCAGTCTTATGAAAGTAGTCGTAGTAATAATCTTTACGCTAATAAAAAGGGATAAGACCCTTTCTGAATTTTATTCCGATCAAAACTGCTATCAGTGGTTAAAAAGCGTTCCCATTTTTCATCAGAATCAAAGCTGGAGCTCACTTTCGAAACATTTTTTCAGGCATACAAAATCATGAGCCACTTGTTTAATAATGCAAAACGCCGGCATGTAGCCTCTCTATTTTTGCTTCAAAATTATTTGTTTTGTTCGGTCTCTCGCGTCAACACATAGAAACGGGAAAACTGAGATTAAAGACAGAAAAAATTGCATTCCCATCAATCTCTTAAGCTCTTCCAACCCCCGTTTCCTAACGGATATGTGGATTAAATCCTACGCAGCTCATACTTCTTGTAGAAAAATATGGTTGCCATGAAAAATTTGACTGAATTTTTAACACCTATTTTTTTTTTATCAAAATTTCCACGTCGCTTTCCGATAAGTTCAGAAAATAAGATGTTCCGCAGGATGAAGCCACGAGCTCAATGAACGAAGCGCAGTACGACAACTTCGGCGCCGAGTCATCGGACGCTTACCCGGAGTACATACCTTCGTCGCTGCAGGCCGATCTTGCTGGAGTTAGTTTTTTGTTGTTTTTGAAACCTTTGGATCAAATTCAGAAAGTAATTTAATTTGTTTCGGTTCAATTACAAAAGTTTCTCATAAACTAGGATATTCCTTGGAGGTGATTCTCCTGTCAACATGCAGTTCTGATAAATTTTGACCGTGGTGGTAGACGAAGTAGATATGAAGCGTCAGGTCAATCCAAATGGGCCTGTTTTCACACTTTTTTTATTTCAAAGTTGGGTTAAACTCCAGCCTCTATTTTTTTTTCTGTTAAAAAAAATTAGGAAAATGTTCATTTCTCAATTTCCAAATTTGTTATTTTGGCTCTGTGAAAAATATCTCACGAATAACAATAGAGCAAGTTTTGTAAGGGACAGAAGACTCCAGAGTTGACAGCCGATGAACAATGACTCCCAGACAATAATAAATAAGACACAAGAGCCCACAATTATTTAGTAGTGACGTATGAAAAGAAAAATTGAAAAATGTGCGCAGAAAACACGGCTCCTTCATGGAAGTGAAAAAGTCAGATTTTCGTGGAACAAAAATAAACGGAAAAAATTCCTCGACCTTTTTTTTATAACCGCACTATTTCTGTCAAAGCTTTTTCAAGGTTCTAGTAGAACCTTTTTCATTTCTTTCTTCTCTATAAAACATTTTTTTCAATTAACTAGATGAAAATGCTCATCAATCGTAGTTTTTCTTGCGAAAGCTCTCAGTTGTACGAAAAAAATTTAACACTTCATAATAGTAAATTTTTCGCGTTTTTTTTTGTTGAAATCTTTGCAAAGTACTTGGGAAGTTTTCAAACATAATGAGTGCGTGAAAAAAGTCTCCGCGAGTTCGCAGGAAATATTTTCAATTACAACTATTGCAAAAACCCTTTTGTTCTGGATTTATTTTTCCAATCTCTGCTACTCTTTCCAAAGCTATCAAAGGAAAAAGGTTGAGAAAAAAATTCATGTTGGATTCTTATTCATTTCAAGAGCACTGCTCAACTTCCTGGACCACTTGTATTCAGGTGGGGCCGGATCAATATTTTTCATCTTTAATGAAAAACTTTTTTTTTTTTTAAGTTTCAAATTCTTGATCATTGGAAGCTGATTGCGTTTCCCTGAGTTATCCACTTTCTGCAGCTTCCGATTGTAAAAGAAAAAACGAAGTTTTGTACAGCCTATGTACCGTGACTTTGAATTTCACCAAACGACATTCCGCTGTGCCGCGCGAACCTCTGCGAACCTTGGTCGCGCTTTTAATTTTTTTTTTCATTGAGGTACTCTACTTTCTTGTGCTCCCAAAGCAATAACAATCAATTGAAACCTAGATTCGAAAGACGCTTCGCGAAAACACGCAGCGGACACAGATTGTCGTTCGGTGAAATTTCAAGTCGTGGCACACAGACTATAGATTTGAAATTCGACTTTGTTTTGAGTGAAGTAATCTTATCATGAAGCATTACTTTGATCACATGTAAAATGCTTAAACTTAGTATTTCTGTAACAAAAAACATCTACAGGTACCTGCGTGGGCGATCTGGCTGTTCGTAACGTGTTCCCTGCTGATCGTTGCGGTGTTGTTGTTGGACTACTGCGTCATCCGACGCAACGCTCTCGGCAACACTTGCTGCGCTAGAGCAAGGCAGAAACGCAACACGCAACAGTCTGCGCACCAGAAGCGTTCCACCAACATGCTCCTTAATGTATGATCCGTGTGTGAAGCCGTTACAGCGGCATCCCCTAACACAGTGTCGTCTCACTATTCTCACTATTACTCATCTCAAGTCGTCTTTGAGTCCATAACCGTCGCGTTATCATCGTCCTGTCTCTCGCACTGTCCACCTCACCAACCGCCAACCAAGACCAACTCCTTCATTCGAGTCCAGCAACGGTAATCTGTCTATCACTCGTAGAATCTTCACTTCCTCACAACAAAAGTCATTTTCATGCCAAGTTGAACTCTTATGAGAGTTTTCTCGAAAAATGCTCTTATTAATAGTCTTCACTTGCACAAAAGGTTGTTTTGAAAATATGAATTTTTTTATGTTTGAGGACACTGCTCAGTGCTAATGGCAATTTACAAAACCTCTAAAACTAAAGTTTTAAACTTCTTTGAGCATAAAATTTATGTAATTTTTCAAACTTCCTATGTGTGATGATACCTTCCAGAAATTTTTTTCAATTCTAGTTTTTTTAAAAAAACAAAAAAATTCGTTTTTGCGCTAAAGTCGTGAGAATTTGTTTCTCACAAAAAAATTTCTTCCGACCGGTTTTTGAGCGGAAAGTTTTATTCCGATCTTTTTTTTGGAAAATATTTATAGTCATTGTTTCCTGAATTAAAAAGGGAAGGGAGGCAAGCAAAGGGGCGGGACGCGTAGCGTGTGCGTACGGCATGAGTTCAATCCAACCGCCGGCGACTATTTGGAGAGTTATCGTTTATCGCTCTTTTCATTACTTTTTCAATTATTTATTGATTATGTTCATGTGTGCATCAAAAAATAATAGAACATGTAAAGAAAGAGCAGTGACCGAGCTTTGTGAATATTCGGTGCTTTTGAATTGAACTCGTGCCAAGAACCGTGTACGCACACGCTACGCGTTCCGCCCCTGCTCCGCCTTCCTCTTTTTTCAAGTCGGAAAGCATTGAATATATCTGGATGCTTTTTCATTTTAGAGTTTGATTCTTAACTATGCACGAAAATGTGAATTTGAAACCTTTAATTGGAAAAGTTGCTTGAAGAAATGGACTGAAGATATTTTATTGAGCACTTGCATTTTTGAAAATTTCAGCTTCAAGGCTTATGAAAAGATAAGAAAGAGATTGAATTGGGTCGGTTTGGTCATGGACAGGCGGAGAGAATGATGAATGATTTATGCTTGAACATACGACGATCTGTTACGAAAATTATTTCACTTCATATTAGTAAATGTTTGCTTTCTGAATGGTTTTTCTCGTAGAAAGTTTTTTTCAGGATCGGCTTTCAGCTTGTCAGAAAGTGTTTGTCGTTTTAGACTAACTTCTTTTTAGCTTGCATGATTCTAAAGGGATTTTGGCTTTGGTTTCTCTTGGAGGTACATGCGCAGTGTACATGTGAATCTTCTTGCTTTTACTTCTTTTCCGCATTCAACTATTCAACGAGCTTTCGATAAAAACTAACGATGCCGCTTTGAAGTGATTTTGATTTGTTTTATGCTGATTTTGAATGCTGCTAACTTCAAATATTGACTTGGGCTATTCTAATTTCTGATTATTTGAAAAAAGAGCAAAACTCATTGGACTTTTATACTCCATTGAATTCACTTGATCAGCCTTCACTAAAAAAAATCACCTTTTATTTTTCTTCGATTTTATCGGTTTGCTCAGAAAACTGTTCGAGGCTTTTTTTGAAGTCTTCCTTACCACAGGCGCACATTTTTTCAGCTTCAAAGGTAAAAGTATCTTAACTTTTCCGCTTTAAGATTGCGTCTTGTAATCAATACAGCTCATTTCAAAATTATACCTTTGGAACTGAAAATTAATTTGAGCGGATAACAACAGTAATAAACTCTCGCTGAAATTTCAGTCAGTGTTTCAGTGAAACAATATGTTCTTCAAAACGAAGTTATCTCTCAGGAAATATAATCCTGAACCAAACCTTAAAAAGTTTTGAACGGTTGAACCTTATTATGAAACTATTGGCTCTTTTTTGTTGGCTTTATTGACTTATTAGGTTAAAAAAAAGGTCAAAATCCCTTCAAAAGCTAGTTTTCTTTGTTGTGTAATTGTGTACCTCCATTTTAGATTTTTCTAAAATTGGAAAAGATCGAATTTCTTATTTGTTTCTGAAAATGGATGAGTTGATTCGTGTTGAGAAAAATATGTATCATTACAGAAGCTGAACCGAAACGCCAACGCGACAATCGACCAAGATGTCTGAATCGTTGCACCGTTCGAACACATCGCAATAACTCATATCTCTATGTTACCCAATTGTACAGATTACATTAAAAAATGAAAAAAACAGGTGAAGGTATAACTTTTGGTAGAGACAGAGACGCCTCTTGAAAACTTGTGCTTTTTCATTCTAAAGTACTGCATTTATCTTTTTGGGTTGAAAAATTTTTTGTTAGTTGTTGAAAAATGATAAGATTCAACTTTTAATAAACTACAAATATCTTTCATTATTTGTTTCTTCCAACTCACTAGAAAATTCTTATCTCAATAATTACTTTTTTTATTTCCACAATTGTATTTATACAGTGTGCAACATAAGATTCAATTTTGTCTAGTAATCAAAAATCCCTTTTCAGAAGTGTCTCCGGCTATTATGATTGTAAATTTTTTTTCGATTTTTTCTTATCACACCGCCAAAAGAAATTGAATCAAATGATTTGAATCGAATCATCTTATAACAGATGTCGTACATTCAAGGTTTTTCCGTAACACAATAATTTTCTACTCTCATAGCGCACAAGGGCTTTATTGGAAATTTCCCATTGGATAAATTATAGTCGATGTGCCACGAGTTGAAATTTCATGGAACGACACTCCGCTTGGTGGCCTTGTGACCGTGAAGAATCGAAGCCTTTGCGGATCTTGGTCACGCTTTCCCATTTTATAATTTGCTGTTTTCAAAAACATTTTCTTCGATAATTATTTAGTTTTATGAACTTTTTGGCAGTGCAATGGGTGAATAAAGTTTTTCAAAATGCCAATAATTCAACCAGTCGATAAACAAGCAGTGAACGATGTTTAAAACTGTTCTATTCTATTCTTACTTACTTTGATACTTTGATGGTCCATCTTCGCTGATGTTCTCAGCGTGGACCACACGTTCTCCAGGCGGCCCGGTCTTGCGCGACGGCCATCCAGTGGCGGCCTGGCTGACTGATGTTCTTGCGGAAGTAGTCCGTCCATCTGGTCGGTGGGCGCCCGAGTGGGCGCTTGATGTTTCTCGAAATCCAGTGTGTTAATCTCGGGGACCAGCGGTCGTCTTGTCTGCGGATGACGTGGCCGCCCCAACGATGTTTCCCGCGCTGAATGTGCTCTTCTTGATCCCGGGTTTGGGACAATTGACGGAGGTCTGTGCCCCTCTGTTCTTTTTTCCACTGCTCGAAGCGAGTGGTGCCGAGCAGAGCACGTTCCAGTGCGCGGTAGGAAGTTCGTAGAATTATCGACGCTTCGAAGATGTGAGCTCGCAGATTCGGGTCTTTCAGCTGCCTGGTGACTTCTTTGATAGAGTTGAAGGCGGCCCATCCCGCGCGTCTGCGTCTGCCGATCTCCAACGTGATGATGTCGTAGGTTGGTCTTCTCGGCCTCGATCGCTGGTGGTAGTCTTTCTTCAGGAACTTCTGGTTCAGACGGACCTTGGCGCGAACGAGTCGATGATCGGATCCAACGTCGAAACTGGGTAGTACGGCAACGTCGAGGAGAGACCATTTGCGGTTGGTCAGAATGTGGTCAATCTCGTTGGTGGTGTTTCCGTTGGCCGATTTCCAGGTCCAGCGTCTCTGATCAGGCTTCTCGAAGAGAGAGTTGCCGTGGTAGAGCCTTCTGGAGTCGAGAAGATCGGCCAGGCGTTCGCCGTTGTCGTTCCGAGTTCCGAGTCCATGCTGCCCGTGACGAATCGAGGGAGTGGCGTACTTGCCCATCATCGCGTTGAAGTCACCCAGGACAAAGATGTAGTACGCCTTCTCCCGCTGGATCGTTTCCTCGAGCTTCCGGTAGAAGTCGTCAAGTTCCTTTTCCTTCTCTTCCCTTTTAGCCTTGGTGGATTCGGCTTTTGATGAGGTCGGCGAGTAGACGTTGATGATGGTGAGTCTTTCTCGCTTTCCTAGGTTGAGTCGGAGGATGCCGAGACGGGCGTTGACGATTTCGTGCGAGTCGACAAGGTGTTGCACCGAGCGATTACAAGGAAGCCGACTCCGCCGACGTTCTTCCCAGGAACTTTGTGGCCGAGAATTAGAAGTTCACCGTTTGGCCAAGTCTTACAGCTGGTGTCTATTCTATTCAGAAATTTTTATTCGATACATTTTTGACGTCTTTTTCTGCAAATACTTGTCTGCTCTGTCGAACTGCGTGTTCTGAGTGTGTGGACGTCCTGTTCTTTATTACTCTCACTCGGATCTACGCAGTACAGATTTTCTAAAATTTATGTCAGTGGGGTATGAAAAACTAACCTTGTCTTATATCCCTACGGATAGCTTTTTCTTTCCTCGCCAACCTTTGAAATATCGTCCAGATATCCTCAATAAAATCATGTCCAACGGCAATAAAAAGTGAAAGAACAAAAACAGAGGAGTCGATTTAACCTTATGTTGACTGAAACCTATATCTCTATTTCATAGTGCTCATGGAAGTAAACGTCTCCATTTTATAAGCCACTCACTTTCTGAAAAAATCCATTAACCACTGCAACAAACAGAAAAAAAAACGATAAAAAACGATCAAAATTAGAATGAAACCCAAAAAAGATTAGCGTGGCCGAGGTTGACGAATTCGCACGATGCGCGCTACCGCACAAATCAAAACAGCGGAGTGTCGTTTCATGAAATTTCAATTTGTGGCACATCGACTATAATGAAATGCTCCAATTACTATTTTTCTTTGTGAAATTAGTCCTAAAAATTCCACAAACTGGTAAGTGATTTTTTTTTATGACAGTTTAAATTCAGATGGCTCTAGAACAACCAGGCACTATCTCTTTTTTTATCGTGTCAGGACCCATTTCCCGATGGGTCAAGCCAGCCGTGAATCAACTATATGCAACCACAACTATATTTTTTTTTCTTATTCAAAGCAAGACCATGATTTTGATTTCTAGATTTCATTTTCCAAAAATATTTTTTCAGGCAACTTCACAAGTTTGTTTTAAAAATGAGTTAATCTGTTTTTATTAGTAATGTGAAATTGGTTCTTTCAACACTGCTAGTTTACAATTCCGACACGGGCAAAGTCCAGAGAAGGTGCCAAAAAACGGGGAAAAAAATGGAAAAAAGAGATTCCGAGGAAATTTTGACTCCTTTTCAGAAACTTAAAAAGGAGCTTCAAGTTCTTTTTTTAAGGTTTTTTTGAGGTCGTTTAGATTTCGTCTGTGGATGAAAAAACTTCTACATGACCTAAAATTTAGTAAAAATTGAAAAAATGTTGGCGTAACCAACGAAAAAGGCAAAAAAAATTTGAAAATAAGTAAGGAACAAGGACAATATTTATAACTGATTTGTTCCCTGGTTTTTTTTAACTGAAAAAATAAAAAACTCCAATGCGATGAAAGCAGTAAGAGATTTAATAAATCGTGATCCTGAAAATGAGTATACAAAAATGAGTCGATCTGAAATCTACCAAGTTGCTATGGCGAATCATGCAACGAAAGTTAACTTCCCCGCAAAATAACTTTTTTTTATTTGCTTTTTTTAATTTCTGTTTTGGTGTACTGAACTGCATACGAAAAAAATCAGACTCTTCCAATTAATTGCTTTTTTTCTTGTGACCCAGTAGACAGTACAACAAATGATTCATCTCGTAATTGGTTCCCTAAAGCATATAATTAAAACTTAAATGGAAAAATGTTGAATACGGCAACTATTAGGAAGTTTTTACGAAGAGAATGTGAGAAAATGAAGACTTGCAGATAGGGACGAGATTTGGAACAGACGAGAGACGTCGGGGAACAAAGCATTTTCTCTTTTAAAGGTGAACCAGAAGCCTCTTAGGTGGCTCTCTTAGCCAATTTTTGTGTTTATTTGTATGTGAACCCATAACACTTTCTCCTCAGGATGGCGCCAAACGGAAAGCTTTAAAGACGATGCTCTAAGTTTGGTGAATGACGGTTAACGAGAAATGTTATACAGACCGGATATTGAAAAACTGAAGTCGTGTCCTATCAATGTTGTTAAAAAGAGAGGTTAAGAGTTAGTGATGGCAGCTTTCGAGATCTGCTACAATTCAGGGTCTTGCCACGTATCTGCGTCCCTTTGAAGCTCCGTTGGAGATCGTTTTCCCGCCACCGTCCTTTTTGTTCCCAAAATTCTCCTCCGACGTTTTTTCTGTCGAGTTGACAAATGCTATCCAATATGTTGTGAGTTTTTTTAATAGAACGTCGTTCTATCTTCCCAATGTAAGTTCTAAAAAATTAAGCCGTACCTAGGAGCCGCAGGCCAATTCACAAAGTCGATGATATAAAATTGAAATCTATATATAATGAAAGCTGATGGCAATTGAAAGCTAAGTGCGAACAGGAAAGAAAAAAATTTTTAGAAACGAAAAAAAAGTTATAAACGAAGGAGTGGCGATTTTTGGGGAGCCGTTTTTTTGCGTAGAAACTTTCGTTTGGATCGCAGAGAAAAAAAGAGCTTTCCATATTATATATTGTATTGCCTATATATTATGTATATTAAATGCCGCGCGCTTCTTGCTACTCGTAAATTTACGCGGGAGAAGTTTTGAAAATATGTTAATATAAAATATGTTAATTTGAGTTTTAGAGGTTTTCGAATGAAATATGAAAGCTTTCACATTGAATATTGCTTCTTCGGAAACCTAGACTGCTGTCTAAGCGAGTTTTGAACGCAATGGATTTTGTAAAATGAGAAAATATCCGAGGAAATAAGACCAATGCAGAACAGCAATGAACCGAATCCTCCTCAAAAAGGTCAGCTCTCGGGAGCAAAAAAAAGTGGAAAGTTGGTGCCCTACAGCCATTATCAAAATTTCATACTAATGGTAGCTACACTTTCTGAGAGAACTTCTGTTAAATTCTTGTGCTCATTTTTGTTAGAAACAAAACGGGTGGAAAATAGAAAAGAAAAATAAATTTAATAACTTTGCTTTCAAAGAAAAAAGTCCGTAAGACAGGAAAGTTTACTCTAATATAATATAATATTATTCATTTACAGGCAGAACAAAATAACATGTACAGAAAAAAAAGAGAAAAATTTGGCATTAAGCCTGAAATAAATAAATAAAAGGCCCTTGAGGCCCTCACGAGCCTCTGAGCCAGTAATGAAAGAATAAGAGGTGAGGATTGCACAAAGGTAAAAAAAGTAAATAGAAAAGAAAGCATTATAAGTTATGACACAGTGTAGCACAGGTGAATGGGCAATTTAATTGTTTGTAATGATATAGACGCGCATAAGATGGATTAGAGTAGGGCTGAAGCACGGGTACCTGGTTCAACGGAGTCTGCTGGGAATAGATCCAAAAAGGAAATTGTTATCGAGGGATAGTAACAAAGACCTGAAACGATCTGGAGAAACATTGAGGTTTCCCAATGTAGCCAGTTTATTTCAAAGAGGGATGAACGTCTCAAAGAAATTTTCGAAACGAATCCCTACTCTGATAAGACGTGATGGAGCACGTACTGAATTTGATCTCCTGAAAACACTGTGAGGAACTGGCAAATGACTCTCCTTAATATAAATTTTATGTAGTGTTCTTAGACAAAATTCGACTCGCCTTCTAAAAAGGGAGTTTGTGTTAATCTGAGCCAACCTGTCTTCATAACTAGAAAACCTAATGCTTGATCTCATGAATGTTTGACGAGTAAATTGACGGAAGATGTTTTCGAGGGTGTAAGATAGTTCTGAAGCTAGGGGGGACTGAACAACTCACAACAGTAGTCCATATAGGGAGCAACGTAAGTAAGAAAAAAATCCGGCTCATTAGAGCGGGAGACAGGGCGCGGAACGCTCTGATGATTTGTTTACTTTTTTTAGTTTGCATAAGGCTATAACTTTACGAAGGTGAGGCTCAAATGTTAGTTTGTTATCAATAAGAATGCCTAGATCGCGAACAGCTTCCGCGGAAGAGATAGTTATATTATTTATAGTATACTGAACATGAGGGTTGCTACGGCCTAGATGGAGAAGGGTGGTTTTGTGTTCGGCCAGGGGAAGACCCCATTGACTAGACCATTGGAAAACGTCGTTGAGACCTTGCTGAAGCGCTATAGGATCGTCAGAAAAAATTTTAAGATCATCAGCAAAAAGATAAGCCTTTCCATCATCAGATAAGTTGCTGATAATGTCATTAATGAATGTTACAAATAAGAAAAAAAAAAAGAAAAAAAAAGAAAAACGCTCCAAGGCAAAAACTTGAAAAAGTTGTAGAATATGAAATTTCGCTTTTTTTGGATTTCGTGTTATTTTTTTGTTGCAAAGATAAAGGCTTGAGTCAGTTAATGTTTGATTTGTGACTCACAGCTTCAAAAAGCAAAACTAAACAAAAAACTATAACTCGTGTTAATAAAATTAAAAAAGCTACCGAGGTGATCAGGCAAAATATGCACCCTGAAACTGTTTTTGTACTTGCTCTGTTATCGAAACTTGTGAAAAAAAATGTTTGCTTGGCATTTTAATACTGAAAAATTGAAATTGATAGCTTGCAGAAGTTTTTGTGAGAAGAAGTTGGAAACGCTGTCCAGCACAAAGTAAGTTTAAAAAAAGAATATCAATTAAAAAAATAAAGAAGAAATAAGACAGAAAAGAACATTTTTATACAATAAATCATTTTTATAAAATTTCTAAACACTTTCCTTTTTCTTCAGTTTTTTTGGGAGTTCATTCAAATACTTATTTCTCGGGCGGCGTTCCTCTAGATTTGCTTCTTTCTCTTGTAAGCTCGGGGTGAGTTTCAAACTTTGCGGTTGTTAAGTTAACTTTTTTTCTCAGCCCTGATTAATTTTTCAAAATTCCGTTTTTTTAATTATTTCTTCACCTTTTTTTTCAAAATTCGTTACTAATTTTTGAATTGGGCAATTTCAACAAATTTACTTTTTATTTTTCCAAATTAGTTCATTGCTGCTTTTTAAACCTAAAGCTTGTTAATTCTGAGTTGTTGACTCATGGATTTCCTCTCCGCGCGTGCTAGTTTTTTTCGTGTCCGTGTTTTTCGCTTTTTTTCACTTCTTTTTTTGCAAATCTGGCATTTTTTTCAATGAAAATTCGGTCGGTGCATATTCATATTAGTTTAAAAAAATAAGTGATAAAAAAATATTCATAACTAAATGTAACTGTTTCAATCCTTGTGTTTTTTTCAAAACGAAAAGAAAAAAAGGCTCCAAGGTGATAAAATGAAAAAAACATATTTTTTTGATTAATTTATATGAAAATTAATAACATCTGAATCCTTGTGCTGTTTCTTTTTGGAATCAAAAAAACGTTCGAGTCATTTTGTGATCGATCCCAGATTCAGAGCTCCAAGGACGGAAAAAAAGAAAATCGTTGGTCTCGTACTTTCAAAGAAAAAAAGTCCGTGAGACTGA